TTGACCGACTCACAAAAGATTCCCAGACGGGTTATGTGGACCTGGAAGAAATGGCACTTGCGCTAATAAAAACTGCAGAGACTGCTTGGATGCGCCAGCTGTCCATGTGGATATTGTATGGGCAACTGCCGGCCTTTGGGCGTGATGATTTTTTTATTCAAGAGGTCCCCAGAAGCCTGGATGGGACAAAGGCACAAAATGTTGAGTATATCGTCCGACCAAGCCTGCTACCAAAATTTCTTTCTGAGGCTACGGCTGCTTCAATTCTATTTATCGGAAAGTCTTTAAACCATATTCGCGCTCGGGGAGACTTTTCAGCTGGCGCAGAGTCGAAGGCTTCCGCTTCCCATATGACGTTGCATGGGGATTATATTCGTCGTCTCTCAGCCCTTTCATCACCCTTGTCCCCTGTTACAATGAACAACACTATATCCGATATTCGACTATCACTATCACAGACCGTTCTATCAAGGTTATTACCGCTGCCCAAATTAGTTGAAATTCTCTCCGTGCTTCATGGCTTCCTCCTCCTAGGACGCGGAGAGTTTGCAATGGCCCTAGTTTCGTTTGCAGACGGACAAATTCTCTTGAAACATAGAAGAATGGCTCCCGTGAAACCGGCACATACGGGATTGCAATCCCTCGATTTCCTAGGAATTAAAGATGGAGAAGTTTCAACAGTTCTATCCCAGGCTTGGGCTGAGCTTTATTCACTCCAAAATGAAGAAGACCCGATTGATGACGAGTTAGACCTTGCTCGGGATCTCCTGCGTTTGGTAGTAAAACGAAAAGCTGAAGACCAGGTTAGCTTTGAAAAGGAGAGTGTCACTGGCAGTAGTTCAGTAGCTGAAATATCTGACGTTGCTTTTGACGACCTCTTGTTTGGGGCTTCAACCGTTCTGTCACTCGATGTACAATCACCTTTGGATTTATTCCTCGCCCAATCAGACATGTCAATCTACTCCCGAATCCATGCATATCTTCTCGGTATTCGACGCGCTCAGATACGTCTTAGCGGTCTCTGGAAATGTACATCTATTCGAAGAATCCATCCAGCTCCTTGGGGACCGCCATTGAGTAACAAACCTGAGGGCCAAGAGCGGCTTCGCGTGGGACGCGAAAGGGAACGTCGCCGCTGTACCCTCATGCGATCGATCTGGGCAAGCTGCAGCGCTGCCTTGTTCGTTGTCTCGGAGCTCGGAAGCTACCTCCAAGGCGAAGTTATCAGTGGCTCTTGGCGCCACTTTAAGCAATGGCTTGATGGGACGAAACCGTCGTGGACTCCAGGAAATTCTCGCCCAGGGACAGCGAAATCAAAGCATCTCGATGACAGCGGAGACTCCTCGTATCCCCAACACGACCCGGAAACCATCACTATCGCACACCGCACGTATTTGGCTTACATTTCCCAATCCCTTTTTCTCACAGATGTCCCTTTTACACAAACTCTCCGTTCTTTTCTAGCTCACATCGATGACTTCATCTCCCTAATCACCCAGCTCCAAACTATACAACAAAATCTCGATCTGGAAAACGATGAGGGTGTGTTCGACTCCTTGGCAAGCTACAGCGAGGACGAACAGGGAGTATGGTACAAGCTGTGCCAAGCAAGGGCCGACCTTGACGCTGGAATCATGGAGCTTATTTCGCGACTACGAGATATTGATGATGGCCGATTTGCCGAAGGCATACGGATGTTTGATTTTAGAAACAACGACACTCAGAGCCATACTACTGGCAGCGACTCCTTCGCCGAACGCACAAATACGTACGTTCCCTGGAGGGCGGCTGGAGTAGATCGTTTGTTGATGAAGCTGGACTTTGGCACATCGAGGACTGCTCCGGGCTCGTTTGGATTCAAAGACGAATTCATTGATTAGAAAAGAGAGTCTGGGTTGATTTGAGTGGATAGTTGTCTCCCTTTCCTTTCCTTGAGCTCAGATACAAATGTTCGTGGGAACCCTTGTGACAATCGACGAAATCATCCCACCTGTCCCTGTAAGATAGTATGCTTAGATGTTAAGAGTTGCTTTACAGGCACCATGTGTACGGGGAAACATTAACGCCATAGGAGCACTCTTACAATAAAGGCCTAGACACTACATAAAAGCATCCAAATGTTCATCTATCATGAATGGAGAAAAAAAGAAAGGAAAGGAAAAGAAATTCTCTGTTTTCTATAAAGGTAACTCTTGCCTTCTAGCATGGATGCACACATCAAAGGCCATCAACGGAGTAGACAATATGAATATGGAAGGTCAACATGGGAACAGAATATCACGCTACAACATGAGGGGGTATTATATCCAAAGCAACCCAAGAGATAACAAAAAAAGGGATCTTCTCCAAACCTCCTCAAATAATGTAGACAAACTTCCCATCTCCCGTCTTTTCCACTCCGGCCTCCAAAGCAGCCGAGGACGTGTTGGAAGCCATCAGCCCTTCCGTCTCTCCAGTCGCAGAAATCTCTTCTTCTCCATCCCGGTTTATCGTCCTTTTCGCCGATCTCGCGTTCTCCCTCTGCAGCAGAACCCGCAGAGCAAACGCCAATATAGCCACAAAAACCATGAACATAGAGCACAGCGCCATTCCTCTTATGTACCACGGACTATCGCGTGCAGGATATAATCTTGTTCCCACCAACGGTCCACATTGGCCGATAACGTTCAGAATTGCCATTCCGGTTCCCTTACCTTCTTTGGCGCGCTGATTGTCCATGGTCCAAGTGATTATGAGAGTGATGGCGGAGAAGAAACCCGCTGCGGCTGGGTAGATGCACACGTATCGAATGAGAATGTGGATGGATTCGGGGAGATATGAGTGGAAGACCCCCGTTAGAGCAATGATAAGATATGCCAACGAGGAGAGCAGCGCATGGAGGATTATGTAGGGGCTCCGGCTACGATTGCGGTCGGATGCGGAGGCGGTTACAAGGACAACTATGAATGCGAATAGGTACGGTGGAGCGGAAAGAGCCTGGGAAGTCAATCTGGAGTATCCCATACTAGAGCGAGCATGTTAGTTTAACATTGAATTCCGGAGTCGGAATATACTAACTCGTTTAATATGGTCGGTAGGAATACCGGTAGGGAACTAAAGGCGACATTGCAGCTGAAAAACATAAACTATTCACTAAATCAGTGCTCCATACGGACCAAATAGGCTGAAGAAGGAACTGACGGCAGTAAGATACGCTTTCGGATCGCATAACGTGCGAGCCACTTCACGCCAATCGAATTTACGAGCACGAATATCATGATTTCGGCTCTTACCTTGCTCTTCGCGGAGACGCCATTTTGCAATCTTCCTTTCGCGCGGTGTTAGATACTTAGCTTTGTTGGGCCGATCTGGAATATACGCCCAGACAACGGACGCCACCACCACGCTTGGAAAGCCCTCATAGAGAAATAACGCTCGCCATGGAGCAAGAGGGCCATCTTTGTTTAACCAGACGATGAACCAGGCGAGACTACCAGCAAAAGAGGTAGCCAGGGGGGCAGCACAGAGAAACATTCCCGTACGGAACGCCAATTCCTCCCGTTTATAGAAGAAGGACAAATAGAAAGGCAGACCGGGGCCGAATCCTGCTTCGAAAATACCCAGCAGGGCTCGAAGCAGCACCAGAGCCCAAAAGGATGTGACAAGGGACTGAAACGATGCAATCAAGCCCCATCCCAGAACACACAGAGGTATGTAGATATGTGCCGGAACGAGTTTATACATTAAGGTCATCCATTCAAACAAAATGTATGTTATGTAGAATGCCGTGAGGACCCATTCGTATTGCGAGGACGAAAGTTTCAAGTCCTCCATCAGCCCAGCAATTTTGGCATTTCCAATATCTGTTTTCAGTTAAAAAACGAAATGGTCGCTTAGCCTTGAACGTGATACACCCGGCGCAGACGGGATCCAAGTACTCACTGGAGCGATCCAAAAAGGAGAGCATGTAGAGAAATGCCATGAGCAAAGTCAACCGCCTATCAAATTTTCTCACTACACGCCTCTCTTCCTCGGCCGTGTAAGATCTGGAGTACGGGGCTATCAGATCATCTTCTTCATCCCGTTCATCGCGGAAGCGTTGTTCACAGCGCTCCGAAATCCCAGAGGTCGCTGATCCAGCAGATCCCGACGAGGGGGTATCCCCTTCCCTTTCCTCACGGATATTGGTCTGAAGCTTCTTAAGGTCCTGCCCTCGACCGATGGCATTTCTAACTGTATCTCCATCTCTGGATCCATTCTCACTGGATGCGGGTGTTAGTCGACCGGTAGACGAGGGGGTGTCTTCGGCGCGTGCGGGGAGACGAGATGAACCATCGTCGGAATGAAGGACGGAGTGAGGATCAGATTGCTTCATTGTCAGCACATGATGCTCGAGTATAGTCGCTCCAGAACCGGTTTCGAGAAGGGAGGAGAGGGCGTGCGTGATTTATTAATTTATGTAGGCCTCGTGTGCGCGCTGGAAAATCTGGGGACGGCGTTCAGCTGATCCGCGGCCGGTCTTGAAGTGATCATGGGGCTTCGGCTTCCCCACACGGTGCCCGTCACATTCTCCCGGTCTGCCGGCCATCCAGCACATACTTTTTGAACCACAGCCACACACCGTGAGTCGCGACGGTTCTCGAAATCCGTCTTGGCCCGCTCTCGTTGAATTTGCCGGTTATGCCGGATGTTTGCGGACCTATCAATCCGCGGGCAGGAGAGGACAAGCATCGCTGAATAACTCAAATAGCATTCTTCTCAAGAATCTCGCTTCCTAAGCTACATATTGTGTGTAAGTTACTCTACATACACTCTTGATCCACAAGTAAAGCTTTGCACACTGGCGCACCCTGAGAATAAATTGACATGAAGACTCCTCACCGGAAGGTACATTATTAACCAGGTGCCGTCGGTTGACTTTTCCAAACCTTTGCTACGCTATCCTTACCCGCCTCTGCGCCAGAACTGATCGAAATCAATATTGGTAACCCGAGACTAACTCCCTACGACTGGAAAACCACCTATCCGCGTCGGGAATACCGCGCCCTAGCCCTATCAGCAGGCGAGGCATTCCTTTCTCTGGGTCGGTAGCAGTCAGCGCGCCCGAAGTTGGGACGGGTATCACGCAGTTGTCGTTCACGATAACGGTACTGATCCGAGCTCATCTCGAATGGTCGAGCCCTTCCTCCAGTTGCTGCGAGCGTCTTCTTGTATCCGAGCCAGTATGCTGACTTAATGTGAGGCACCAGCTCATGGCGTTGGAGGCCATTCTCCCTGAAATATGCAAGAATATTTTCTGCCGTGTCTCTTAGAAATTTTGCGGCAAGGTACTTAGCACCCCTTTCCTTTTCGTCGACTGCGTGGAATTCCTTCTTTGCCCGCTCAAGTGTGTCGAGCATTTTGGAGATGGCACTGTCGCTGTCCCACAATGTCGGGGATGACTCTTTCTTTTCAGCGGGACTTTCAAGCTTTCTCTTCCGTTTCTTATCTGCCGGCATTTCCGTCATTCCTTCAACGTCTTCGTGTTTTACCTTTTTATCGAAATTCCCGTCGCTCCAATCCGTGGCTTGAGCTAATGTCAGCCTCATCCGTATGTGTATGTCCCAATAAGCGATGGCTACATACCACGCTGGAGCATGGACCTGACCGCAATATTCTTTTCAAGAATTGCTTCCACATCTCCAGCCCTTCCATCCGTTTTCACTCCGAGAATTTCATCAAGGAAAAGCTCGATTGCCCCCAAGTTGTGCAGGTTGTTGCCGTTGGTGGTGAGAATCAACAGTGCCTTGTCATACAAAGTGACTTTTCCATCTTCAAATGCCTGAGAACGCATCTTGATCATGGAAATATAGTTTCCAAATACGTCCCTGAACAATCCAAGATTGTCGGGTGATTTGACAAGCTCAGCTACATCAGGTCTCATTGAATCAACAACTGTGTACTTGCACACAATGCTGGACAGCTCCTTTTGGAGGCTAGAGTACTGTCCTGGAGTCATTCCGGATCCCTCTAGAACCAGACTGTGTTACTATGGAATTCAGGGTTTGATTAGCTTGTATAAAACTGCTGCGTGGTCAAAGTATGGGGTTCCTTACACAGTATATTCCTCTAATGTGCCTTTCCAAGGAAGTGCACTGGAATACAATTCTGTTGTGCAAGATGTGAAGAGTGAGTGTGGAGAGTTCAGAAAACAAGTGAAGGGAAGATCCATGAAGTACGCGTTGTTGTTATGTGTTTGTGTGTTGTTTGGGGTTCTTCAGATTGATACTGAGTTGGCTCACTTGTCTATAATACCAGCAAAAACACTTGCTTAGGGCTACAATACAATTAACTGGTTCATACCTTTTATATGCAGCACAAAAGGTTTGTTTCAATACTCTTCCCTGCTCAGGAGTGAGCACCCCACACCATGATATGCTCCCATGTTCCTGTTGTAGAGGGCTTTGGCCGGATATCTCCAGGACTACACATATCTCCCCTTAAGGTGAACACACTTTTCCCGTCCATGACAGCCTTGGTGATCCCTCCATTATCAGAGCCCAGACCCTGATCCTCAAGCTTCATTTCTTGGGAAACCCATTGCTTTGAATCACAGAATATTACAATACATCGTTGTTGTGTTCATTACCCATACATACATTCATTATATATCTGCAGATATAGTACTTTTGGCCTTGAATAGAGACTATGATACATCAGGGCCTTTAGAGAAAATGAGAGCCCAAACAGGATCCACTCTTGCTTCAGAAACAAAGAGTTAAAAGGAACCCACAACACTGCTGATTCCTGATCACGTCGCAATAATGGCAATAACATCGTACATTTAGCAAGAAGCCTTCAAAACCTATCATTTGACTCATCAAGGGGGCAGATATACCACCCTCAATTCCTCTCCTTGTACAGTCGTTCCACCTCATTTACAATGCCATCAACTGTATCTGCACCCTTCTTTTGACAGTTCTTCCACTGGCCACCGTCAAGGATGCACCATTCTTTCTCGTCCACTCGGACCGTGCAACTCTTTGTCGCGCCAACCTGCTGACTTCGGCGGAAGCTCTCTCTCAGCAAAGCAAGCCCGCTAAGCTCGCCGTTGGAAGAACTAGGGTCATCACTCTGGCTGCTTGCACATTTGTTAAGAGCCTTGAAGTCAATTCCATGCTCCAAAGCACAGTCTTCGACAATATTCCGGTCGGGAATATTTTTGTAGTCGCGTAGCAAACAGTTGGCGAAGCCAAGAGAGCGGATGGTGGGAACCTTGCATTTGTCGCCAGGTTTGGATTGTTCAGGGTCGCAGGGGAACGGTAAGTTTGCAGCGCATAGCATCAACATGTTCCCAACACATTCGCTGGGGCCATGCTTGCAGGATACATCGGATGAGGATTCGGATACGCTTAAAACGAAGAAGAAAAAATAAAAATTAAAAATTAGCACCATGTCCTGTTCCGCAAAAAGACAGGAAGTAATTGGTGTTAGGAAAATAGAACGTACTTTCCGATAAATGAGAGTTTGAAGTCCACTTTATCATGAACTTTCACCATCGCCGGCACAATAAGGTCCAGAAAGCAGTTCTTTGCATCGGGGCATTTGCTCATGATATGAGCCTCAAGGGGCACCTTTTTGGATGATGGATTCGGGTCTTGGCCGGCATTGTCTCCGACGTTCGAAATAGGAGATTGGGTTCTGTCCTTCATGATGGCGCTGGGTCTTGTAAGAAGATGAGACTGATGAGAGAAACAATAGATGGCGAGACAGAGACACGTTGCGAGAATGGTGTTTCGAAGGAAACGCGATACTCTCCAGGGCTCACGACGTTGCATTGCCGCTGTGGGGCGGCTGCAAGATGGTTGACTCTTCTCCATGGTTAGAGTCGGAACGTAGGGGTTCCCCTGGGGATATTTTCAGGTACGGTTCTAAAACCACGCCGCATAGGGGGTTTGAATCCGATTTCGAAAGATTTAGAGATTCTGGACGGATATCTGTTAGTTATATGACTTTGACACACCTCCTCGTCGGGCGGCGGCAGCTGCATTAATGACGTCCCCATGAGGCACATTAAGCTGCCGATGACATAAGCAGACACTCGACCAAAAAACGCATCCCCGAGGCTATCTCAGAACATCTCGCGCCACCAAAAATCTGCAACGAGACTGTGACAAGTTCCGTCACCCGGACATTGAAGTTGAGTGCTTCGAGTCACCCACTACCATCATACCTCGCTGGGCGAGGAGTCGTCCGTGATATTGGATCCAGTTTCTCCATAGTGGCTATCTCCCTACTCAGTTTTGCCCAGACTTGGGCTGCCGGAATTGGTCCGGCCTTCAAGTCATATTGTGGTCCGTAGCGTCCTTGGGTGCTTTGGAAGAATACATAATAAGCCAAACGGGTTATTGTCCCAGCGGTGGCGATCCTACTTGCAAGAAAAGAATTTGACTGCTCAGTGAAATGCATTAAAATTTAGCAAAACTTGCTACGGAGTACACGGCTAATTTGGCAGTGATTAACTAAAAGACATGCTATTTACTGGCATATTTTCAACATTTGTTATCAGCCTAGCTTTAAAATATGCTGCATTCGCTCCAACTGTGTAACAGCACTTAATCCTTTGGATTCCTGATTTGCGCAATCGCAGCTGCGCCCGCCATCGTGCAAATGAAGAATTGCAAAATGGGAGCATGTTACTGTGGGAACCTTTTTCTTCAAACTGGTATGTTTTCTGAAATTCTGCCATGAGCCTTAACTAGATTAGTTACTAAATATAATCCAGGGGACTACGATTCCGAAATTCACAGGGCCATTCGACAAGCAGGTAGGCCAAAACTGATGTCCCATTAACTATAAGATTAGCTATTTCACTGCGATGGCGGTCCAAATGGTGATATCATCTTTACTGAGACTTGCAAGCGAGAATGCAGAGTGGGAGTCATGAACCAGAATGACTAGCGCACCTAATTTCCCATAGCAAGAACAAGGGTTGGACATGCATGACCCATCAGATTGAGTGCATAAGGGAAAAGGTAGCTTAATGGCATCCTGACTATTCCAAGTATGTCTAACGATCTATGTCCATGCTATAGCAGGAGATTATACGCTGTCATCGTCCCAGCTTGTCTAATGACTTTCAGCTCTCTCTCAGAAGTTAATCAATGAGGAGGGCACACATCCCCTGGTATCTAAAATATTTCAAGATTTTGAGATGAAGGTCAAATAAGACAATTTCTCTAGACGAACTTTCAGGGTTGAGCATTTTTGGCCAAGCAGCAACTAGTTATTGGGCCCTTTCCGTGCATCTGCTGATTTTATAGGTCGATAGACTCAAAAAAGAAAAGGCATTCCAAGATTGTTGACTCCTCTTCTGGGTGCCTTTAAATATGTGGACGGGGAAAGATCCATAGTTATGTTAATTCAATTCGGTCTACCACCCAATTCTCGAGGATTCGTGTCCAATTTCCGCCAAAGTACAAAAGGATTTGAGCATGCAGACCAACGTAGAAAAGCTCACAGCCGTTGGATATGATCTGTTTTCAACCCATGTTCCAATTTTGAGGATACCCCATACCCTAATATCCTTTACAAGGGATCACGACAACAAGGCTGCAGCAACACTCGCTTTCCAGCATTGCGGTGTGAAACCAGGGGCCGCCTCCCATTATTCCCAAGGCTCATTCGATTTTTTTCTACGGAGCCAAGTTCGGAGAAGCATCCGACGGGATTGTGAGTATTGTTTTGGGCCCTCTGAAGGTCAATGTTTCGACACAGGAAGATTCCAAGAAGGGAAAATTGCTACGATGGAATATGCGTGTTAGAATGCTTCGATACCGACTACGCAAGCGTTAGGGCAATAACGCTTGTGCTGCTGGACCATATATGATGCCTCGATTTTTCGAGAGAAATCTTCTAGCCAAATACCAAACCCTTTGATGCTTCAAGGAACCGTCTACACTGAACCTGAATATTGGATGCTGACCGCGTTTCACGGGGCCTCTTAAGGTAATTGATTATGAAAACCTCAATGTTCAAAGTCTTATTGACTACAGATTTTGCTACATTTGGTGCAGGTGCATATTACATTTGCTCTCTACCCAGAGAGCCAGAACGATTGTTTTGATGGCTGTGGCATAATATATAGATACCTCACCAGGAGATCTCGATATCTTATGCGAACGCGACCATGATCTTGTGGAGCATGGCGTTACCCCGGATTCATACCGTCTCTCCGAAGTTCCGAATGTATGGCTCCGTCACTTGAGAACGGTAACCCCCGGGTTTCCATTGCGGCTACCTATGATGATATCCGTTGGCGTTTTATATACCCACTAAAGCCCCGGGGCTTGGGAACTATTTCTTTTGTGAAAGACAAACAGGCAGAAGAAGGGAATTTTGTTTCACATCGAACCCTCCAAGAGTTGATGGATGTCTACTGTGCTCTATTATATGTGCATCTTCATGGCCATGTGACCCTAATTTTCAATTTTCAATAACTCTAGAGTGCTGCATTGATCATGCTGTCGACCGAACATCTGAGTTAGGAGGACGTACGGCAGCACACCGGCACTGAGACTTTCGGTTCGCTCGGAAAATGATTCTCCCATCAACGTGAGCAAGGGGGAGCAGTTATGCTTTTCCCTGACTCTTGCGGAATCGTGACGTTCCTGGTTCAGGGTTCTGGTTTGAGCTCCAAATTCGCAGTTTCAACCAGTTCAAGCCGGCCCTGAGTTGGTTATGAGCAAAAGGATGGATCCGAGTTTGCTCACCTCCTTTTTTTTTTTTTAGGAAGTGGTTGGGGGTCTCTTAGCGAATGTTAAATAAAAATTTAAAGGTGACATGTTTCAACTTCGCCGCCGCACACGCATGACATCCGTTAGCTCCGGAAAGCTTTGACGGATTTTGACAGGAGAATGACACCAGCTGTTTTAGCATTCCGTTGTCGCAAGGCTTAGTTGCATCGATCTGTACGTAACTATGTTACATTGGGATAGGATCAGAGCAAGGTTCAAGCTCACTCCTGGAAGAAGATGTGCTCATGGTAACTCCGTGCTTGGTACCTGGATCCATCGAATTGTCCAGAACAAACCCTGTAAGATCGCGTTGTTCAGATAAAAGCACAATCACTGGCCCCTGTGTATGTTCCCTCTAGAGGCCTCCTTGAGGTGAACAGCGGCCAAATGCACGGGATGATGAGAGGGCGTCTCTGAAGGGCGCAGGTAGCTTGTTACTAGTTATGCTCCCTCCTTTTGTTGCCCCACCTCCTCCACCCATCGCTCAAGCCAGCTCTCACTGTCAGGGTCACATCTATCCAGCCTGCTGGCTCTCCCTAGCCTCACACCGTCGCAAGGTCGTATCAAGTCTGCTGACTTGTCTGTTTCTCCTTCAGTTGTTTCGAAGTGTCCGATCTCCAACGTCACTTCAAAACAAAGTTAACCACCCTGGATCAGGTTGCGTGCAGATTTACGTTACGACCACGCTGAGGAAGATCAGCGGTCTTTCTGAAACTTGCTGACATTCCTTGAGCCGCTTCAATTCGTCCTTTCGAATGCGATAACTATTCTGTCTTGCATCCCCAAAAGTCTCCTGCGTTCTTACAAGTCTCCCTTCGTTCTTCGTTAGCCTCGGCAGGTACCCGCCCGAGGACCTCACCCCTTTGCACAGCTCCGGGTCCAATATACAGATCGCTAAGTGAGAGATTGCGTACTGCTACTGCGAGATCAGGCTTGAAGAAGCTTGCGTGATTACGGGAGCGCATCCCGCGAACCGAAACAGTTCGAAGCCTTGTGCCAGCTGATTTCATACGATCCTCCCTTTCCGCACCAGAGCCTCAATATGTTGTTGACAAGTATAGCGGAAGACGACGACCACAATATGGCAGTCGAGTCATGTGATGAAGATGATGCTCCGCAGGAAAAGGGTACACTTGAAGATGGTCCAGAGGGAAGGCTGCCAGAAGACCGTGCAATCGACAACTTTTTACAGCCACTTGTCATCGAAGATGCGAAGTTATACCAGTTGGCATGCTGCTTCTCCAAGGTTTATGAGAAACTTGCAAAAAACTCCGATCAACAATTTCTGCCGACGCCAGTAACGCGGCTTCCCACTGGGCAGGAAACGGGCCGATATTTGGCGATTGACGTTGGTGGAAGCAATCTCAGGGTTGCCTTTATTGAATTATTAGGCGAAGCGGCTGATCAAATCGATGGCGGATCAGATGAGGAGAAATCGCGCGAAACTTTACGTAAAGCACAGCGTAATCGAGTCCGAAGGTCGTTAGAGAAGGCGTGGCCAATAGAGGAACGCTTGAAGACAGATAAGGCGGAAGATTTGTTCTTGTGGATAGGAGATTGCATGGCGGAGGTTGTTGCAGACAGTTTGACGGCGGAGCTCGCAGATGGTGCCCAAATTCCTGAAGAACTGGAGATGGGGATTACCTTTAGCTTTCCAATGATGTAGGTAATAACCCCGATCCTCAGGGGCCCAGCGCTTAGCTGCAAGTGCATCTCTCAGCATTTGGCCTAGAACTGACTGGACACAGGCAGGAATCATTATCAGAGGCTATCCTGATGCCCATGGGTAAAGGATTCAAGTGGGTAGATTCGACGGATCTTAACCTTGGGAAGATATTATTAGCCGGATACGAGAGGCACACTCGGCGACCATACGGCTCAAATGAGCCATCAGTGAAGCGGAGGAAACTGTTTGCTCTGCCAAAATTAAAAATCGCTGCAATAACCAATGATACGGTTGCTACCCTGGCATCGTTGGCCTATTTGGTTAAGTCTCTGCCGAATAGCCGCGTTGCAATGGGTATTATCGTTGGTACCGGCTGCAATGCAACGATCCCTATGAAACTATCAGATTTACACGAGTCAAAAGCGATACAGGTATCGTCACACGATGCCAATGCAAGCGAAACCATTGTCAATACAGAATGGACGATAAATGGTGCCGCTCCACCTCTACGAGAATTGAATGTTACTACTGTGTGGGATTCGATCCTGGACAGCCAGTGTGCTCGTCCAGGATTTCAACCTTTTGAGTACATGACTGGTGGCCGCTACATCGGCGAACTAGTCAGGATAATTTTCTATGACTACTTGACATCGATAGTAGGCCTGCCAAAGAAAGATCTCCCGGCAATTTTGGTACAGGGATATGCACTGAGCACCACGTACCTTTCATCGGTGGTTGCAAATACACCCTCGGACTCGGCCCTGGCTGCGAAGCTCGGAGCCACTCTGCCACCACCAGAATCAAGCTCCTGGAACTGGGACATCGCCACGGCCCGGGCATTCCGAAAGGTAGCTCGAGCCGTACAAACCAGGTCGGCCGCACTCATTGCCTCTGCAGTAGTCGGGTTGCTGGCTTGCAACAAGGAGATCAAACTTCGCCATGATGGAGCCACCAACCCACGTAGGGCATCCAACATCATAGTTCCTGAGTTCAACGCATCCACAGATACTCTCACAGATGTATATCGACCTAAAATCTCCAACACCACTAATGATATAAATAATTCCGAAATTTCTGCCGCAGTTGAAGTTGAAGGCTGGCAGTCCGGCCCAGAGGAGTTGGTTGTCGCTTATACTGGCGGCATTATCCAGCATTATCCTCACTTCAAAGAGGCATGCCAAAGCTTTATTGACCGATTGGTGATTTGGGATGGACCGCAGGAGAGTGGAAAGTCCGTGTTTCTGAGAGAGGCATCGGATGGGGGGATTATTGGGGCCGGTGTTTTGGCCGGGATGGTCTCCAGCAGTTGATAATACGGTGTTGATGGTTATCATAATGGCCTACAGAGGCAATTTATCATTACAAGCGCGAACTGGTGAGTCCCATACCACGGCACTTTGAGCGAAGCACTTTCTCTATCTCTCGCTCTCTTTCTTTTTCTTTTTTTCTTTTTTCTTTTTTCTATTTTTCTTTTTCTTTTGATTTTTAATTGTTATCCTTTCTACGGAGTACGTTGATTTAATTCCAGCCCAGGAAAAAGGTGCATTTGGATTAGAAGTCAACTTTGGTCCAGCCTAAAGTCATATTCTATAAATTGATTACTTTGAAATCGCTTTTGATATCATTGATAACCACGCGTTGCCCTGAATTGCCAGTTGCGTCTCCTATATAAAAGGTTTAAAACAAAGTTGCTGAAAATTCATATAATAAAACATGTCACGTTCATTACCGTCATGGCGCTCGATAGCCCACCCCTCAATACCAAAAACCCCACGTCTTTCCTACGGATTTCCTTGCATCCGTTCAAAGCTAAAGCATGTGTGTTAGGCCTCTAAGCGGTGCAAATGGCCTTTTCGTACACAGTGCTTGTTTCGCACCCCTTTCTACATCCGGTCGGACATGGCAACCACTGCGTCTGGGTTGGCGTAGTTGGGCAATGCTTCGTGTGACAAGGGAGCGTTCGAGTCTCGTTCATGATACACGGGAGCACGATGCAGTCGGATGTCTCTCGTGGGTCGGGACAGGTCATTGGGTACAAGCTCGTGGTGTGTGTGTGGCATGCGAGCGGGATACGCCTGGAGTGGGTGGTGATCTGTGGCGGTGCCACATTGGGCGCCTCAGCGACACTATTGACGCGATTAGTTCTTGGATGTGGAAATGAGGTCGATTTTGTGAATTTTGGTTGGTTCGAGCGGGAGACTTTGTGATACATACGGGGTGGGTGAGGCGAGAATGGTGGAAAAGAAAATGCCGATGGCCGCGATTTTGAGATGCATTGTGAGAGGTTTTCTTTGCGTGATTTTTCCTTGGATGCCTGGTTTCCTTCAAAGCCTGGTGGATTTATGCAGGTTGGACCAAAGAGATTTGCCTTTCTGGCTTTGCGATGAGAAGTGGTCTCAAGAAGTTGGATCAACAGCGGACGTTGGGGACGATATATATACCTCATCCAACGGACCCCGATGAGCCTGTTAAGCCTATTCGTTATCGCACGGGATCCATGGTCTCCCAAAGTCGCGCGATACATTCTCAACGCACCCGGTATGCGGTCTTTTCTCTCAAGTATGCGTACGGCACCGTGCTCAGCCGCTCTCCTGCTCCCGAAATCGACACTTTTCCATGCCGAAAGTGTTGGATTTTCGCATTCGCAGAGCAACTCAAATCCTTGTACATGTTCTCAATCCATGACAATCTATTGGAAACGTTTGTTCGAGAACAAATAGCCCGGGAACGGAAGAGCCGAATACGTAGCACGTTCCATGTATTGTTGTCAATTCTAGATTTTGGATTCTGTATCCCGGGATTCGGGTTGTGGGTTTGTTTCTATCCCTTGCAGCCCAGTCTAAATATGCATTCGGCTGGTGCAGATGTGTATTTATCCCTGACGAGGGCTTTCTAAGGTTGCTCTTTGCTGTTGGAAACTCCGCATACCGAAGAGGCTTTGCGTGCTGACAGGCCCCCAAGAATGGTAGATGCGACTCCCATACAGCAGCCCTCAGCTATTTACATCCTTTGGCCGTGAGTGTTCCTTCGTTACAGGAATAAATAGTAGTTCAATATTGCGTACTCCGTACGGGGAACCAGGCACCCTATTATTAGCCACGGAATATCGATGGTAGCCAAAGGAGGGGTGGATTGGACTGTCATGGCCAAGCATCGGAGCTTTCAACTGAACTAGCTACAGCTCCACTTTCAAGGCATGATGGATTTAAGTACATTTCAGATGATACGCTTAGAAGTGAAAGGATTACATTGAAAACCGGGACCCCATTGACCTCCCTCTCCACTTAAATTCTATCCCAGTTAACAAAAACCCGAGCTTCGGTGGCTAGAACTCTTGGGCCTAGCTAAGCGTAGACGAGCAACTAATCGTAACAGTCGGGCATGCCGGGCTGCAGGCTGTTTGGCAAGGGGTATAGCTGATGGATGTAGGGGTTGTCGGACAATTGCTGTCTGGACAAGGGATGGAAGTTGTCTCTGCCCTAAAGCAGTTCACCATAGGGCACGCTTCGGTGTTGAAATGAGCACAGCGAATATGCGGTGACGGCTGCGTTATGGTTGCTGTATAGCACGAATTCGCTGCTTGCATTGGTGTGATCATCGGGTCTTCTGGTTCTCTAGCTTCAACTGAAGCGAGTATGAATGCGCTGAGAATAGTTAGAAACGGAAGCCGGCTATAGGCACGACTCCACTTGCCTTGAGCCCAATAGGGCTAAGGTAACAGCTTTCGTGATAGAGGCCATCTTGGCTACTTAAGATGATATGTGTATGAATCAAAAGCGCAGGATGAAGGGACCTTGGATATGTTTAAAACGACCAGGAAAGAGCGCGCAATATATGGTCAAGGGAATGACAGATATGAAGGAGTGCGCTGTTGGAATCTTTGAGGAATTGGCGCCCGTTCCTGATATAGAGGCAGGCTTTGAATCCCTGAGCGGCCGGGGCTGTGTCGGGAAGAGAGGGCAATTGCAAGAACTTAGAAAGGCCCCCAAGCCGAGGGGTTCCTCAAAAGTCAGATCCTTTGTTCACTGCAAGCCCCACGGGACCTACAGGTTGGTCATGAGTGCGGATCAGACGTCGGCATCAATCCGCGAGAGCCCAACAGGGTATTTCGGAAGATTTCTGACCGTGGTCCCCAGTGGCGTTTCGTGCCGGAGACATGCCCCGACGCAGATTCCAAGCACTCTGTCAACTTGCACCATGTGGCTCCTGGTGGTTAAGAAACGGGCCAAGTGTCTGGGGGCCTCTGGTGAATCCAGACCACGGGCGGGAAGTCAACTCAACTCAAGGGCGGGCGGCGGCGGCGGGAGTCACGTCGGGCGGTTTTGGAGCCGGAGCCTGCTGGCCATCACGTGATCGCACCCACGGCCTTCACGCCTCCCAACTCGGCCGCTCTGCCGCATCACCGCTGACCTCGCCATCATCTCGACCCAGGCCGCAAAAATGAGCGCCCAAGCCTACTATGAGCTCTATCGGGGCAGCAGGTATTGCAGCCCACTAGACCCCGGCCCACATGCTACCGAACTGACAAATATTGCGTTGCAACAGTATCGGCCTGTCCCTCACTGACACCCTTGATGACCTGATCAATGAGGGCCGGATCGAGCCGCAGCTTGCTATGAAGATCCTGTCCAACTTTGACCGGGTTATTACGGAAGTCCTAGCTGAGAAGGTTAGGGCAAAGTTGTCCTTCAAGGTAGGGACCGGGTGCATGCCGCATTGCCGCCAACATGGGAAACAGGACTGGAGCCGCTGATACGAGATTCGCTGACAGGGCCATTTGGATACATATCGCTTCTGCGATGAAGTCTGGACGTTCCTCATCAAGGATGCTACGTTCAAGCTAGATAATCAGACAACGGTCCATGCAGACAAGGTCAAAATCGTGAGCTGCAACAGCAAACGTCCCGGCGAGACTTGAGCGGCAAAACGCTTCCTGATTACTTTCATCACTTTCGTTCCAAAGTTAAATGAGTTATGATGCAAGAGGATACGCTTGGAATTTGTCAATCCCTATTCGATTGGTGGGATATATTTCAAATGGCGTTACTTTAAAAACCCACGAGGATACCGGGTCCGGAGGATCACAGGCGTTAGGGATAAGGGAGTTACGATGTATAGACAATTCTGGATGACGCGACGAGAGTATTATTCTGGGTCTCTAGTCCGCGAAGCTCTTCGAATGAATGTTGCTTGAGAAGAAATATCTTAAATTGAAAATGCAATTGATATTTCTTCCCTGAACGAGTAAATACAAGATAAGTGAACGAAATTAATCCTTGTAGCCGTTTAGAAAGCGACGTTGTCCTTGGAGCTGGCAGACGTGTTCCTCTTATTCGCATACAGAGCACATTGTTTGAGTTCTAGGTTGGAAGTCCATTAATTGGCTTGGCCAGAGGAACGCGTTGAATAGGCAACATAATCCTGTACTGTCAGCATCCGTAAGAGATAGCAAAGTCGACGTGGTCGAATTGAATGTGGAGTACTCCGTACGTGTAGGAGCTAGCTCCCTAGTATCATCTTTTCAGTCCGGAAAGCGGGCACCCAAGTATTTGTTGGTATTTGTCATGGAGTTGTATGATGATTGCCAATCACTCCTCAACAGGTCTCCAGTCTTGACGTACTGCTTTATTCCCCTAGCGTGAACTTGAACAACGGTCCTTTATGGAGCTCAAGTGTGCTGCCTCCTGTTAAGAATGCCGCGGACATTGCCATGGCAAGTGAAAAGTGAATCTCGGAGGAGTGCAACGCCAGCTTCATCCGCTTCTCGCACTTCTGCCCGCGCGTCGCGCCCTGCGACGGACTCGGAGAAAGACCATGCTCCACCACGCGCCAAAAGAGCGCGAAGAGACAGTGAGTGAGTACTTCTGATTCCTGGTGGATAAATATTGAAAGAATTTTCGAAGATCGATCTCCATCTACGTCACCAGCTCGCGAGCCTCCTCCGGAAGAGTGTGTTTCTCCTCCTATCACCCATCCCCCCGTCGCGTTTCAAGGACTTGAAGTCACGGACTGACGCGCTCATAGGTTAATGCTCGAAGGGTTAGAAAACGATGAAGTGTATATAATGGTTGAGGATGAATTTCTTGCTACAGCTCAAGCCTTTACGCGTCATCTCCATTACGCCGAATACGCCCGCCGCAAGAAAGAAGCAAAGCTTGCCAATGAGGGGAATCTTGCAGGAATATCCCGACGGACGGACGGAAAATCAACACTGAGCAACGAAACTAAGAAGAAAATAGAGGCCGAGGTTGCTGCAGAAAAACGTAGAGTGGCATTGGATGAGTTGAGGAATGCCGCCGGCCGGCCGCTCGTTGATTCGGAAGCGGAAGATGTGGATGTGAGCGAGGGAGATAAGGACGATGATCCTTGGGTTGGGACGCATCTACAGCCGCTGATGGCCGCACCAAAGCCGTCAAGGTCGCTGGTTGGACTACATGGTATTAAATCAGCGACAAAGGCTGCGCTGGGATGTCGCCGGCCTATTTCTGGAAGAGTACAAAAAAGGAGCCCTGCGGTGAATTTAGCTGCGAGGGGACAGGCCAGAAATTTTCAAGAGCAAGAAATTTCCTCGGAAGATGATGACTCCCTCGACATGAGCGATAAGACGAGGCCAAGATCGGCCGTAACTAGTCATAAATCGTCAGCCGCACCTTCGAGACCGACAACCAAGACTGTCTCTCGTCTCCCTCCAGTACCCTTAACTCGCGATCCGAATGTGCTGCCTCGAGTGATGAAAGCTTCGACGGAACCGGGGCCAAGTCATAGACCAGGAACAGCTTTTCCCCACCCTCGCAGTTCAACAATATCTCGCCTCCGTATACATCAACCCATCAAGACACCTCAGCCTTCAAAGCATAAGTCCAGCATAAGCAAGTTACTGGATGAATTCGACGAACTAGATGAATCCACTACACCGATTACGGAGGACGACCCCAGCCGGTCTGTTTCCAAAGCGAAGCCTGCGCAGGACTCGAGGTTCGAGAAACGCCGCGATGGAGTTGACAGACTTAGGGAGCAACGCCTTCGTGAAGTCCCGACTTTTCTATAGCCCGAGTCAGAGTTTTCGGGCTACCCTTTGAATTGTCGACGGAACGGTCATGAAGCTCTTGGACTGAAGCATCGGATGACATGCTTTACGATATATCCATATTAAGTCGCGCTGATAACTATAGCACTCCTCGGATTACCAACCTGATTGCATAGCGACCCGTCATTTGTTCAAGGATGATGAATTTCTGGTTGCATTTTCTACATGAGCATCATGATTAAGATTCCCTGTGATCAACTTCTCAAGATGTGCAGCAAGACAAGACGCCTCGACCTATTTTGGATAATCCTTCAAATGGAAGCTCTTCAGCTTCACAAACTGATCAAATCCGAACTTGCTCAGTGTAACTCCTCGCCCAGAGTTCTTCCAGCCAGTCCAGGCAAGATCCTATGAAAGAGTCAGCGCTCCGCCAGGCCATTAGTCGGGGTTATATGAACATACCGGACTTGGATAATCAGCACGATTGACAAACACTGTTCCAGCCTCAATCCGCTCAATCAACTCTTCTGCGGTACCCACATCTTTAGTCCAAACGCTCGCGGTTAATCCCAGGTCACTGTCATTCATCAGCCGAATGGCCTCATCGTCATCTTTAACCTTCATGACAGGGATAACGGGGCCAAAGGTTTCGTCTGTCATGACAACCATATCATGATTCACTCCTGTCAATAGTGTTGGCTTGACAAAATTGCCTTCAGGCGGCATATTCTCAAATGTCGAGTTGGCGGGAGTTTCGTCTTTGGCTCCCTTCTTCACAGCATCGTCAATGTGTGAAAGGATATTCTCCTTGGCTCTCTTCGAAATAACAGGTCCAATCTGGGTCTTTTCATCGAATGGATCGCCTACCCGGTATTTTGATATAACCTTCTTAACCTCTTCCACGAACACATCGTGAATTTTTTCATGAACATATACCCGCTCTATAGCGCAGCAACTTTGGCCGCTGTTGAAGATTGCCCCGTCGACAATTTCCTCGGCTGCCCAAGCGACGTCAACGTCGTCACGGACGTATGCAGGGTCATTGCCACCTAACTCTAACCCAACGCTAACGATTCTGTCTGCCGCGGCTTTCTGCACTCCTAACCCCCCCGCGACGGAGCCAGTAAAGCAAATGTGATTAATAAGTGGAGAGCGAATAAGTGTTTCGATGGAGGTGGGGGACCCCGAGTGGAAGTATTGAATTACATTCTGTGGGAGGCCCGCCTCGGCAAAAATAGCAGCCATCTGTTCGACAACGGTTGGGGTCTGGGGCGAGGGTTTGAGGATTACCGCGTTCCCAGCGAGAAGGGCCGGGATCAAGCTGTTGACAAGGATCAAATATGGATACTATTTCATATGATGGCCCCAACGTCAGCAGTATCCCTTATGTTACGCGAACTTCTAACTGAGAAAATCTTACGTTCCAGGCAAAGAGAACCAATACTACTCCAACAGGTTCTTTTTTTAAGTATCTTTTGAATCCCGCCTCGCTGTCTGCTTCGATCTTGTCCCCTAAAACTTCGCCCGCCACTCGGTTTAAGTATTCTCCACGCTTGACTGCGGTTGTAATCTCTGCGCCCGTGTATGCGATCGGGCGACCCATCTGCTCCGTGACTTCGCGTGCAAGCGCATCTTTCTTCTTCAAGAGGATGGCAAGGGCTTTTGCGACAATTTCTTGGCGTTGAGCAAGGGTCGTAGAGCGGGAAAAAGAGCGGAAAGCCGTTTGGGCTGTCTGTGGGAGGGTAAGGAGGTCGGACTCTGAAATGCCTGCGCGGGTAAGGATGGGGCCGTTGGTGGTGGGGGAGATGGTGGTTAACGTCTCTACGGACATTGTGAGGGAGCAATTGAATAAAAATGTGTTTTTTGTGAACTTAGATTATCTGACAATTCTATAGGAATAAATAAGCAAAAGTGCGTATGTTTGCTATTCCCGGAGATACAGAAAGCAGAAAGTTATCCTATTTATTAAGCTCCGGCGCCTCCTTGACCTTTGACCGTGTGATGCCCCTCCTCGAGCAGCGGCTCCACTGATAAACGCGTCTGATGCGACTTTCCCGCTAACGAATAGCCGCCGCCCCCTTATTGATGACATAATGCACCCCGCGTTTATCGGTTCTCGGCCGGAAAAGCCGCTCGGTGATGGAAAAACTGTACGTCCGACTGCGTTGCAAAGCGAGCAAGCATTCGAACGGCATTCGTCCTCCTCCTCCAGCAAGGTTAAGTCTGGTCTGAGCGATTAGTGTCTCGTTGTCAGAAGGCTCGCCTTTTCAGTATCGAGCCCCTGGTGAATATGGCACTGACACCGGTCACAGTTGTTAATATTTAATAGTTAACTAATATTTCTTAGTCAGTGATAGAATCGAGCGGCGTCTATATGTCGCATCCGATGGTGTTAAACGTGCAACATCGTCTGCAAATGTGGTCCAGGTTTTAACTGCATTTTGCTGAAGCCTTCTCAATGGTCCCTACTTGGGGTGTCTTGGGTTTCTACCAGCCACCCAACCCCATGGATGGCAGCAAGCTGGGAACGCAGCGAGTGCCGAGCCAATCGCAGTTTGGGAGGTTGGGCTTCGGATTGCCTCTCTTCGGAGCCAGGCCGTTTACCTTGGCCATTGCGACGATTGCAAAGACAGTGAGCAGGACGTAAAGTCACCAGCGTCCAAAAAGCTTCTGTCGTCGTCGCTTTGGACTGTTAATTTATAAGCAGCACCGCAACGGCAGCGAGGCTGAGTCAACGATAATTCATCAGTGGCAATTTGTGATGTTTTTCGGGGAGTACTCTTATAATTATCATGGCAAATTCGAGCACCGGTGGTCCTGGGGCTCTGGTTGCCTCTCTTTAGAACCACATTCCCAACCTCGATGATTGGGATAGTCACGAAGACAATGCTGAGGGAACCACGCACCGCAAGAGCATGAGGCCGCGGCTGCCGATTCTCAGGGCCCGTTGGCTTGGCTATACCCGGCGGAACGCAACAACAGTGAAGCAGAGCCAACCGCAACTCGGCATTGCTGCTTTACCTTTTGCCATTATTGACCAACAAAGATGATAGTGCAAGACCCCAGGGACAGTGATATCGCCATATTCCCACAGACCGGATTCCGTTATATTCGGTATTGAAAACTTATTTTGGACTAGCGTTTTGATGTGAATTGAAAGACGAGCAACGCAAGTGCTTCAGAAAATATAAGGCTTAAAATTGCCACACAGTGGCTTTTCCGACTACCTGCCCGGATTTTATACAACCTTTTGCGTCGCTGAAGCAATTGGTACTTTTTAACAATAGTAGCTGCTTGTTTTTGCAAAGTATGCGCCCTTTATTCTCCGGATACCACTTTTTGCGGATTCCGAAGTGCTTTCTGAGTGTGTCGCGGAATTGGACCATTCAACCTATTATTTATCTTTCAATTAATCGAGCCCAGACTTTTTTTGTTAACGGTTAACTTAGCGGTTGCCTTTGAGATATGATGCCGCTCATTGTCCAAAGCCTTTGTTTCTTCGTAGTCTGTATTGATTCTTTTATTGATAGCATATATTGACAATCTATTTTCCCTGTAAGGTATGCTCAACTATCCTTTTTTGTATCGCCTGTGCTCATGCTGAAGTTGTGGTCAAATAGTGGGAGGGGGCTGAAATATTCATGTTAATTATCCATCCAGCCTATCCCCAATTCTGGTCATCCTTTGGTAATGTCTATCTCCGAGTATTTTCTGAGAGTATATTCTCTATTGACGGCTTCTCCTAGCCTGCTGACGGCGCCCAGCGACGCACCCGCGTTGGAGCTCAAAAGCGCCGCCCCCCAATCCTTCATTTATAATGGTATCTTTTGTATTTATTACTCTTGCTCCGAAGAGTCAAATGCGTCTTCGTTTATTTTCTCTCCAGTTTCCCAGTTAATTGTCTTGTTGTTTTGTGTCATGGCAAGGTATGTTCTTTTGTTGGCGAACCGCCAGTATCCTGCGGCACGTTTAAGGGTTTCTCTGGCCTCGTTAGCGAGAAATTCAAAGTCTCCGAGAATTGCCTCGATTAAGCTGCACATCAGCGTTCTTCGCTGCCTGGAGTCTTTGGGGGATAGGGGCTTGACACTTAGTTTGTCCAAGATGTCTCGAATGCATGGGATCTTCAAACTGGCTGCGACTAGCAAACCATCCTTGTCTTCAAACTTCAAGTTATGGCTGGACTTTATATGTGCTACCTTCTTCTGAAGTTCTTCGTGTCGGGTTATGTGTTCAACGGAGACTTGTGAGATTGCCTCCGGACTCATTGAAGAGAGCGCCTTGGTTGGTCCGTGTATTGCGTGGCTCACCTTTTCGACTAGTTCATTAGTAGTAATCGTGGAAGTACAAGTCATACTTTGCCGCCTGAGAGCTTTGCTAGTCAACCTGAGGTATTTCATAGTCTTTTTCTCTTCCCGCCGAAGCTTCGCGGGCGTCTGCTTCCATGACTTCGATGTTTGCGTGTTGAGGTGATTAGACAAGCGTGGACTTTTCATTAATTGGTGGATCATATCCTTTCTCATTTCAGCCGCCGGAGTGAGCTTCTGACTATTGGCTCGGGGTTTGTGTGTCCGAGCATACTTGTTTTCCTCGGCTGTCCCAAAGACCGGATTATCCATCCAGCGGACAGCCTTTGGCAGTATAGCCCGTGCGTTTTTATGCACGGACTTGGATCGGTGATCGACTATAAGCTTCCTTAAATGTTTCACAGATGAGCCTCGCCTGGAGGCACTGCTTTTCGACGGAGCTCTAAAGTCAGATGATACCTTGACAGCTGGAGTTTTTGTTCCAGATTTAGGAAATGGGGTGCTTTTGTCTGAGATTCCTATTTTTGATGAGCCTGATGCTCCAAGATTTTGGTGAAATAAATCATTTTCCTGGTCAAGTTCATGAAGTTCCTGGATATACTTGGCAATATATCTGTGCCTTTTATCATGGAGTTCATTAGATTTCCTGCATCTGTAAAGGCCAATGTATTAGCTTCTGAGTGATAAGTAAAGGTATGAATGAAAGGTGAAACTTACGCATCACATTTATGACTTTCGCCTGATATCAACCTCAGTTAGCTCTCAGTAGTTCCCTTGTACATAGCCTCAAAAGTGAAGTGAAAAATATGCGACGAAAGGGATTCGACGAAAAGAGTACTCACCTATGTGAAACATGGTTTGGTGATATCTTATGCATGGCTCACTATGAGTGCCATAGCAGGTCCTTTTGGCCTTAGGGTTATTGAGAGAGGTGCCACATACAGCACAACCATGATCTATGACGCAAGAATAGAAAGAAACTATGTTAGCATTGCTCACATAGATGAGAATAGGTAGGAAAGAGAGAGCAGAGTATGGTGGATGACCTGGAGAAGGAAAAAAGGAAAGGAAGGGTTACAGAGGCCAGGAGAATCCTCCCACTTAAATAGTCCAATGGCCACAGGTGAGATGCCCTCCATCACTGAAAGTTAGCTGGTGAAGAGTGAATTAGCTTGAAAGATACAAGGTGAAAACAGAGCAGGTGAATGTTGTGACAAAGGATGTGACGAAAAAAGCTTGCAGAGTGAATAAACAATGAGACAATCAATAACACAGATCTGTGAATAGATTGAGTGAATTCATGAGAATTGTAGTCAGTGACTTATGGTGTTGAAACCCAATGGAAAAAATGCCGTTGATACAGACTCTTGTGTCCTTATATACCTTGCCTACAGTCCCTTAGCACATCCGCTTTTCAGAGAGAGATGATCCTTAAGCAGTCTCCTTCCTACGAAGGCTGATAGAATCACCGACACTATTGTTGCTAATGCAGGGTGGTATCGCAGAGTTTCTGAGGAGATTATCAGGTCAAGTCGGGCCCCTTTGTCACCAGAAGAGCCGATATTGATTTCCCCTTAAAAAAATGGCCATACATTTCCTCTAACAGCATTTAGCCCATTGAAGAAGTTGCAAGGGCCATTGATGCTATGTTTTGCGGATGAGCCCTAAAGACTTGAAAGGCTGGCAGTACAAGCTTATCAAGGATCCTCAAAACCTGACATAACTTCCTGGGAAAGTGGGACAGATCTGCTGTGAGATTAAGGATGTTTCTTTTCCTTGTCTCGAAGCCCTATAAACTCTGTTAAGCATGTGAGTATAAGGAAGACGAAGAGGTCACAAACCAAAGACAATTTAACGGCAGATGCAGGCCTAAATAAGTACGCTTAAGCTGACGTGAGAGAGCTCTCAAGGGAAAGGGGCGAATAGGGAGAAAGAAGCCAAGGAAATAAGGGTTCATTGTCTATGCTGCCTTTCGTTCTTCAGACTCGTCCTTTCTGGGCACTTATCTAAACCGTTGTCTTGTCCCCTTCTTTATCTAAAGCGGGTCTCAAGGATATGCCATTTTCCTGCAATTTTTTCAGCGCAAGTCTGGACTCGCGAGCAGCCAGGACAACCAAAGACATCGCAGGAAGCAATGCTAAAATAGCAGAGCAAACAATAGTGAATATCGCGAACCACCGAGAGAGACGGGCAAAGGTCATCCACGGCTTTCCCGATACAATAATTGCCTGAACAGAGAGTGCCACTTCCAGTGCACTGAGTACCAAGCTAAAAATTCCAATCATAAAAAGTACAGGGCCATAAAATTGTGCGAGACGAGCGCCGTACTGCCCGTGAACCTTGTGATATGTAAAGCGTTGGAGGAAAACCTTGGACGAGAGGTTCAGTCGTGTCAGCCCGAGCTCCCCGTACGCATATCGTGGGGAAACGACGTCGTCACCGATCCTATCTCTGCCGAACGCCCTGATGAAACAGGAAAATTGTGCATAAGAGATGTGCTTTGGTATCAAGCGGTGATCATTGTTTGTTGCGATAGCGAAATCGGATCTGTGTTGGATGAGGTAGAAGTAAGACCGGAGGAAGCCAAGCGCCGCGCTGGTGATTTTCGTGTTCGGCCGCCCAGGGATTGGTGGGCGGGCGCCATTGAGATAAAATTCCCAGAACGCGTGGGAAAGAAGGTATTTGGGTATCGGTTTAATAAAGACACGATCGTAACTCCAAACCAGATGCAGCTCTGGTTGCTCTGTGACGGTTATTTGGCGACCGCGGACGATCTGGTGTGTGAGTGAGGAGATGTCTGAGCTGTCCGGTGTGGCCACAAGCCAGAGATTGGGAGCAAGTTTGTCCAGATCCTTCGTGATCAGCTCCGACTCGAGGTACAGTGCGAGTTTGGCGTCTTGCAATCTAATCCGCGGTTGGCCTGGGAGCCAGTCCTTGGTCCATGCGACGCCTGCTCCAGAGATGGGCTGCCGATGGATGGAGGGTGGATTCCAGCTCACAGAGAGCTTTCGGTAAAGCTCATCTTCCTTGGAAAATGGAGGATCAGCCATTGTACTGCTGATATTGCAAATTGCGGGCTACATTGTCTTCTGGTTCTCTCGAACGACGTGTCAAGCTGGGCTGCTCGACGTTAACTATCTCGCGTGCTTTCCCAGTCAAGAGCCTTTCCGTCACGACATCGAATCTAAGCGCACAAATTGCAAGACCAGCAACCGCCGCTTTGGATAATTGTTTTGCGGAATACAAGTTCTCAACCGGCATCAACCAGCATTTCTCCATGTCTCCATGTTGAGCGGAGACGAATCTACAGCCTTTGACTTCTCATCACTACGATGCTCGACAGGCCACATCTTCATAAAATGAGAGTATTTATCATAGCCTTTTCGTTAGGATTATAGAATGAAATGAAAGGCACCCCCTGATCTGCTTAATAAACGGACCATGCCTTTCATTACTATGCCCAATATCAAGTGCAGCCGACCAGCTTTAGCAGTCATCCAAAAGCATTCATTGCTAAAGAATTAGGTATCATTCTTCAGCTATGCCTATTGGAATAGGCTCCACAAAGACCCATTTCAGAGACCAACCAAAATCAATTCTAGGCCTGAAAAGAACCAGCCGCATAATCGTTGGTTGCTGGTTAGGAACTCGACGCTGACAGTCGAGAGGTGCTCGACTCACTCAGGTCTGGCGACATGGGAAAAGTACCGCCAGCGCCACCGGTGTCTTCCCTATGAGGAGTCCGCTCCATACGCTACGGTATCAAGAAGGAAAATTCGCTCGAGAGAGGCTCAGATGTCGGAATGGATGGAAGGCTGGCGTTAAGAATCGGTTCGATCTTGCGGCCTCCTGTGCTTCCAGTGTGGCAGCTATAGCCATAGGGACAACAATCACCAATTGTGCCGATGCAGGGCATGTCGCAAACGGTTAGGCTTCCAATCGATGTGTATGGGGCATCAGGGGGACAGCAGCCGTTTCCGTCGTCAAGGGGAGTCTGGGCAAGAGCCATGTCGTCGAGTGAAGAGGTTGCCAGGAGCGCGCGACAACTGAGGTTACGTGCACAACAGCGATACTAAGATTGTTACCTTTTCCTTCTGCCGCCAGGATGGGCAATATTGCCATAAATCCGGCGACAATGGTGGCTAGGGCGCACATTCTTTGCGGTCAGACTCGAACCCTACAAAGGAAAATGTGTAAATCAAGCAACTCCGTACACAGGATTGATGAAAAGAACACAGAGAAAAGGAACCGCTCTCTTTGTCCAGCTAAGAAAATGAAGAAAAGTCGCAAGGAGGATACCTCCCTTCGATTGAGGGTACACCCCTTTTAATCACTAGCACCCATGCTCACACGAATCATTTTAGCCGCTGAGCTCCCCGATCAGTGATCAAACATTGAAGGAAGTCAAGACGTCTCGTTTCTTGCGGCATCGGGATGGCTCGAGCCCGAATCACCTTCATGGAGACGCCCAGTGACCAGGTCTCCAACTGCTCAGGAGCCGTTGCCAAAACTAAGCTCAGCTTGCCCGTAGCCAGCTAGACCTTAGCGCTAAACGAGATTGCCATGTTGAAAAAATAGTGGCTCTTTGAGCTTCCCGGTTAATGAGTGTCGAAGCCGAAAGCTCAAAGCTCTGACCCGATGGTGGACCAGCTGAGAAAAGGTTTTCCCGCAGCAATAACTACTCTGCGAATGCTTCCGTCATGCAAGCCGGTGCATCAAAATGCAACCAATCCTTAATGCTACTTACCCTGGATTACAGCTTTGTTTTGCTGCATAGGAATGATGGACTCCAGGCTCCACTGGTTTAGAAAGCAAACGCATCAGGATTGACTCCTGTTGTCCAAAGTCCAAAACAATAATAGCCGGTGAGGACCAGCAAGTGTCATGCAAATTGTAGCCCCCAATTATGCACTAATCTGGTTTCTCTAGGGGCATCTAGTGTTTAAACGCGACACGGATACAGTATCATCGAAAGGAACCGAAAATTAGGCATTAATATTGTCCTTTCCTCAAATTCAAACCCGAAATATTTTCAATTACATATTGAAGACCAAAAAGCTGGGAAAATGGTAACAATTTTTGAATGCTCAGATATCGCGCACGAGACGTGCGCCCGCCCATACGTAGGGATAGTTTCGTTGATACCAATTGACACTAAATAAACAAACAAGTCAGCAAGCTCAATTCTGGGGCGATCCAGACATCAAAGAAGCCCTGCACTTTGACGAATGACGGGGATTGATACGTACAATGTAGTGCGTCCAGCAATACGAGGATGGGTAGCCCATGAACCTCCAAGGACAATGTTATGTTTCCCGTCGAAAAAATCAGCTACATCATCGGTTAGTTCTCAAATTTAGCGGTAGCCCATGAGTTGGTGGAAACGAATACTGAGGGTTCGTACCCGTGTATGCAGGATATAAATCCATGGCTTTGAAGCCCTCATGGGCCTCTAATGTTGAGCTTGTCCATTCCCAAGCGCCACCCATGCCACCTTGTCCGGAAAGCTTGTTTCCGTTCTGTGTGACTGGGGTGGGATGCCAGTGTTTGAACCCGACGTTATAACCGTCGAGATCAACGTTCACTGGCATCTGGGTTGAGGGAGGTTGTGAAACCGGCTGGTGATCCGGTGCTCGAGGTCTGCCATTTCGATGCTCCACAAAGCCATTGAGGTCTCTGGGCGGCCCTTCCATATCATTGCTGCGCAGTATTAGCAAAAATTGATTTTCTCGTAAAACATGTCTTACGCTACGTACCTGGACGCGTCTATGAGAGAAGATTGCACTCCAATCTCCTGATCTTTCAGGAACACCGAGTACTGATAAATACTTCTAGCTTCCTCAAAAGTAGGGATTCTGCAGTTCACCCAATTTGCATAGCGTTCAAGTTCGTTATACGACGCAATAACAGGCCAGTCGAGTGCAAAGCGCAGTGGCACAGGCCCAAAAACTGTCCGCACATGATACTTGCTGAGGAGATGTGAGAAGGCACTGGCCTCACTTGTCTCGCGACCATTGGTTCCATTGGTATGGGATGCAGCATGGCCGTTAGGTTCGGATAATCCACTGGACGAATTTGTCCAGGAAGCGGGAACGGTAGCTAGTTTATTCGCTTCCAGATATCTGCAATACTCGCCATTGGTAATCGGCCTACCTTTGGCTTCAAATGAGGACACCTTGGCGGTACGCTGCGGCTTCTCATTATCCCAGCCAAAGGACCGAAATGGAATCCGCGTCGGATCCGGGTCATCCAACCCGATCCATATCGTTTGTTCGGGCACAATGAACCATTCATTAGGGACGCTCTCCTGGGCAGATCTCATTGCTAGGTATTCAAAATCTGGCGTAGGAATCTCTGGAGGAGGGCAAACCTTGTCGCTTTGTAGCAACATATACAAGAATGTTTCCAGGTGCATTGCTTCGTGCTCAAATCCAATCCATAAAGCTTCGTGGATCCGTCTGTTGGTCGTATTTTGAGATTTTTGCAGTAATGAACGGGCTCTGTTTCTGACGGTTGTCTGGAATTGGAGAATCTCTTCAACAGGAGGCCATGCATCGGGAATTTCACTATGATCATGGCACTTCCGCGGATCATCCACATCTGGATCGATGCCACGCTCAAAGATAGACCAGTACGATTTGGGTTCTGTGGGCTGGCCATCAGTGGCTCTAGTAATGTGCATATCTGAGACATGTCAGCATGCAGCCATTTAGCAGTTGATATAACGTACCTAAAAATGTCGGAATATGCCCTAGGTAAAATATCAATGCATTCCGCAGGTTTATCGGCTTAGATAGCAATTCATTTCGAGGAAGCATGCCAGTAGTGACTGTATCCCATAGCTTCCAAAGCGCTTCAAACTCCTTCAGAGACGGCGTCAGGGTCGCAGCATACTCCGCTGGCTGAGTGGGAAGAATGTACGGCGATGATGAGAGGAGATGAATATCTCAAAAATAATCAACGTATCATCAAATTAGCAATCTTAAAAAAAAAAAAAAAAAAGGAGAGAAAAAAACACGCCGAGGTTTCTAAACCCGTGAGAAATGAAGAGTGGAATTCTAACTCACTGTGATCGCCTGTGCTGCTTGTAAACCGGGCTGTCGACGTAAGGCCCGCCTGCTGCCACAGAGTTTGGTATTCCTTTTCCGCATACTTAAAGGCTTGCTCGAAGAAGATTCGTTCTCCTTTCGTAAAAGACCACGCCTCAATAGTGACATCTCTCGTAGGAGTGTAATACGCTTTATGACAACCATCCACTTCATCGTATATTCCAACAACATCCCAGTCCTCGCGTTTGAATGCCTCAAACCCGAGGATAGAATTTGCGTTTGCCAACCCGTTAAGGTAGAATTCCCGTGTTACATTCTTACTATCATTGTAAGCGCGAAAGACCTTCTGGGGATCCTTACAGGAATCAAGCCCGATCAGTAAAGCGTCGTCCGCTCCTAACGTTCTCGCAAAGCCACCCAGAAACTGCGCCGCCTCGGACCGGGTAAAATTGCCGATGGAAGAGCCCATCGACATTACCCACGTCGGCTTGCGCCTGTTCTCAGAACGTTTGAGCCAGGATAGCGCATCGTCATATGTACCTAGGAGCCCGCCGCATTTGACATATTTGTAACTTTTTGACGGGAGTTCTGCAAAAGTGCGATCCAATTCTTCCAACGAAACATCCAATGCTAAATATTCCACTAGTTTCTTTGTCCGTTCAAACTCATTTAGTAGTATCTCGACTTTTCGCAGATTCCTATAGTTCGGTCAAAAGACAATTCCGGCTACAAGGATAGCACACCGAAGGTGATTTGCGATGCTTTGGCATTAGGTGAGAGAAGACAAACCCGCTGCCTAACTCCACCAGTTGTGAATTTTCGGGAACCCGCTCCACGATGCTGACAGCATGTGTGGTCAGGACTTCGATCTCGGCATTTGTTAAGTAATATTCGTCCAAGTATGTAATTTCTTCAAACAAACGAAGTCCCTCGGTATTGTACAGAAGCAAAGTTGGCAAAGACCGCTGGGTACCGTTCTTTGGATCGAGCCCGCGAGTGACTTCTTTAGCCAACGAATTGTTGAGGTTATTGCGACGGATGTCGATGATATTGACTCCTCCCATCGCGAGACCCATGATGAATCGATCGGTAAGATTTATCACGAGTTTAAGTGTACAATCAAAATGATAATTGACGCGTAGCCGTCAGGGAAGTAGACTCGATATCTGCAGTACTTCACAGAATCCAATTGCTAGGAACCGACCGAGACTTTCAACCTCTAGGGGGGGTCGATTATATATGCATATGCCTGCAACAGAACAGCAATGGGTGCGGAGTTTAACCTTTGGAAGTGCAGGAAGCCTGTAAGAATCGTTTGGAATCAGGACATTCTAGCCGACATATGCTCCTTAGCTCGTTCCTGACAACCTTGCGGTGGGGAGCATTGCACATCGGACTTTGCGTACGAAGTCCCTAGTACTGCGTAGGTATTTCACCGCCTAGTCGGTAACGGACTCCCTAATCCACATCTCTATTGTACGTATAGTACAAAGGTGTCGAGGTACTCCAAGTCAACCGATATCACCCGCGATTGAGGGATGAGGAGAAATACCTGACGTCAGGGGTCATGGCCAGTTAGGGTTGAGCCTGGACGGAGTATATCCATCCATGCAGACTGGTAGCTTCGAAAGGATCCAAGGTTCTCCACCAACCAGAGAAACATGCTCCTGCTCTGCCGATGTGACCCTGTGTGGTTTCGACTTCTGCTTTGAACTGAGAGGTGGGTTGGTGTATTGACTTTCAAGTTTCTGGGGGTGTTCGAGTTCTCCACTGAGCCAGCGCTGGAGTCGAACCCTGGCTAGCGGCAAAGGTACGACGGACCGGGTTGTCAGAACGCCCCACAAGCATGACGTACATATTACCAAGCAGTATGAATTTGGATGCTCGCAAGCGTCAATTCGGGCCTCTGGAAAACGGCAAACTTTGCCGTCTCGCACTCGATTGCTGAAGGGCGTCATCCAGGTCAGCCTCAACACGAGAGCCAGCCGTGGGGTTTGTTCGTTCTGCGGCATGTTCGCGGAGTTTGCTGAGTTTGCATTGTTTGTTATCCAATCTTTACTAGCCAGCCGGGATAGGGTGGGGTTGTTTGCAGCGTTTGGAAGGTTTGTATTGGCTCCACTCCGAGAGGCAGGTAAACAATGCAAACAGACCAAAGTCTCTGGATATCTGCACACGTTGATCCCGGAATATCCACGACCTGCCAGAGGATTCAAGGCGCGCTGGCACTTCAAGACCCAGCTCCCATTCAGGCAAGGTTGAATAATCATTGTGTTATCCTCGTCCGGAATTGTGGGCCTTGTCCAGTAGTCGACTGGGAAAAACCGCAGTTTCAAACGGGTGTCGATATTTCGACGATTTTCCGGTTTTCTAAACCTGGATACTCAGTCTTCCACAGAGCAAAGGATATGCCATAGATTTTCGTGAATATGGGTTATGAAGAGCTCTTGAAATATCTTTGTTCAAAAAGGACTTACCGCTGAATGCTGATGAGCGAGCGATATGCTAGGATCCGAAGTCAAAGTGAACAGAGTGCATGTCCGGTTAAGAACTCATCAACTGAGTCGGGCCGCGAGGCTCCTTGCCGTTGGATTTGGAACCGAGCTAACCCCTTGCAATGATTTTGATTTAGCTGTCAAGTCGAAAGTTTGAGGTCCATGCGCCAAAGGCCCGAAATTTAATGTACCTGGAACATGCCGATTCCTGCTAAAGGCCATTGCCGCGCTTGCTTATCCCACATTTCGGCATCAATATGCGAGGTTTCGTGCATGGTTAGGTTTCATCGACGCCAATATCGGGCCTAGCATGATAGACCGAAAACGTGGGGTGTCTTTTGCAGGGGAATTATGATGATTTATATGCCATATTCATGCTTGGTATTAGTCCCAGTTCCCGCAGAAGAGGATCCCGGTTGCCGTCCTTTAAGAAGGAAGGGTTCAACGTCCTTTTGGTATAATTTCCCTAATCAGCTTCCTCATATTCTTCAATAGACCAGGTTGCTTGATGTTTCGGGTACTCTTTATTGTTCTTTGATAAATGCTCAGCACAATACGCCCGGTGGGCCGATTTTCAAAAATGCACCATTGTTCGACTATGCTGGTCGGTTCAAGAGGTCGGACCTCATAAAGAGTGACTCGCGCTCAAACAAAAGCTTCAAAGCGAGGCTGAAATAAAGGACGCCTGAGGTATATAAATGGATACAACCGCTTCCTACCTTAGTGGTTTAACTCCAACTTTATCTAGATTCCGCCGAGTCTCTTCCAAACCTGTGGATGCCATGATTCCCGAGGAGATACGTCTGATATAGAGGTCAGGTGACCTTTCTACGAATTACCGAAAATGCCAGTCGGTTTGCAACCTCGCCTTGATCCTACAGCCCTGCTCTCTCCCAACCTGCAGAGCTCCCATGGCCAGATGGACATGGAGTCAGAATGGGTTTCCTTGTTTGGTGGTATCGTTGCGAATGAAAACGTCCCAAATGATGCAACTAGTAGTGTTGTGGGAACTGCCTCATCGTTGGGGAGTCCTACAAAATTCGAAGAGAATGGTGGTCATGATAGTGATAGCGATGTCGATTCTCTCCCTCACGGCCTCGGGCGAACATGGGTAAGCAAGGTCTCAGGTTCGGGTTGAGAAGAGGATTTTGTGAAGATAAAAAATAGCACTGACAAGAAACGAATGTGCAGCAGCCCCCTTCATTCCCTAGCAGCTTACGTTCTAGCTTAACAAATTTGGATCAATATATTCTCAGAATTAGCTCCCGTTTGAAACACAATCTATCCACAATCCGGGAGGAAAGAGATCAGGCCCTGCAACGCTGGGAACAAGCGAAGGAGACGAATGCCCGCCTCGCCGAAGCTCTACAAGTCGAAAAGGCACGACGAGCAAAGCTGGAAGAATTCTTCATGCAATACAAATCAACGGAAATTGTTCATATCCCTGTATGGCCTCCGCATACTCGCTTCAGCCCTCCACTTTCAGACGGCGGTGAAGAAGTCATAAAGGAAGATCCGCCATTTCAGTTTCTCTATGATAATCCGCTTTACCAAGGCTACGAGCTCAATATCAACCTTATCACTTTGCGAGTAAAAGGCCTAATTTCACATAGATTCCCGGGCAAGGCGGCTGTGCTTGTGGAAGAAGCACTGGAAAAGGCAGAGAAATTAAAGTACATTCCAATTTATGCAAAGTGTTTGTACTGGAAGGGAAGAATTCTAGATTTACAAGGCCAACGGCAGGAAGCCGCCAAGGCGTTCCTGGATGCGAGACCATGTATTGGAAAATATAAAGAGGGAGAGGATCTCATTCAGTGGCTGATGGAGTATGAAGAAGATATTGAAGAACTACACTATGACCAGCAGCATAACTATCGTGGGTCGAACTTTGGCGTTACTCGAAGGAGACCACCGAGACGCCTGTGTGTCCCTGCTGCTGAGCTGCCACCAACTCCTTGACAACCCAGGCGAGGCTATCCGTGGAATAAAATGCATACACCTAGAATTGATCAAGTGCGAGATTATCGAAATATTGTGAATTTTTATTTCATGCGGCCAACGTCATATCCAGATTTATACATGACTAAAACTTAGCAACGCATTTCCACAAACAAAGGCAGGCGACCGTAGAAGAACTATCATAAAATATTACTTTGCGTCAACGCAGCATGCTCTGGAAAGGTACACCCCATACATAGCCGGCGACAGCCATTGCCCCCACGCTCATGGTTGCTGCCATTAGCACATTAATAGCGTTGTTATCTAGAATATCATGTCCTGTTTCAATCTTCCTACTTTCGTGCTCGACATCGGCCGGATCACCGATAGATTGGTCCGATACTTTCATTTCATGCCTCAGCCGTCGGGGCGTAACCGCATTGACGATATCTTCAGTTATTCGTAATTGACTGCCTTGTCGAATAGGTGTGTCGTTGAGTCCCGTGGGAATCACGGCTCCAGGATGAACAAGGACCTAGCGGTAATGAAGAAAGGTAATCAGTTCGGCATGACAACACACCATATCTTCAAAAAATGGTGTTCGGATATGACACAGTAATTTCCACTTACTTTGCTTCCGCCCTCTCCCTCCACCACCTTGCCCGACCGTTTGTCGACAACCGTGGCTTGCAAGAGGCCACCCAGAACGCTATCCAGTACACTGCCTAGCGTTCCCCAAACAGTCACAGCGACCACCCAAGCTATCTTTTCCCTTGGACCCCACGCGCGACCACCATCGAAGCCGGTTTTTGTAAATTCCGGTAGAGGGCCCGAAGGGCAAAAGGGGAGCAATAGCAAGGAGGTTATAGCAATTGTGAAAGCTCCTAGAGCCCCAGCACCAAGGCCAACTAGTGTGACGCCACCATTTGTTCCGCGAGGTACTTTGCGGAGCGTGAGAGAAGTTATCAGTCGCGGCGGAGACTTGGAGAGGATGCCGAGTTCACTCGAGTAGGTATCTGCGGCCACGGCGGCGTAGTTCCTATTGAAAGCGAAGGAAGATACCATTTAGCTCGGCGTGCCATCAAGTGAATGGAGGGTCTCAAGAAGTATTGCAGCTCATCGGTGTCGGGTGGTTAAACAAGGCCTATGGCTGCATGATTCATAAATTGGACTCACGCAACAATCCCCACCATCAAGAGATCTCCCCCGTAAGCAAAGCACTGGGGGCCGTGCCCTCTATTCTGGTAGAGCTGGTAAGTGTGCAATAGAATTAGAATCGAGGCGACCACCGAGTTCGCCAGGACCTGTATGTGTGTTCTGGGGCCTTCGCCGCCGGCAGATCCGGAAGCCGAAACTGTCAATTTCGCTTTCACATCGTGTTTTATCTGGAAATCAGTGATTTATGGTTAGCGACTCTCTGCCTGCAAGCGGAGACGGAGAGCTACATGTTTGGAAAACAGCCCCAACCTTTGTCATGGACGTCCCGCCCAGATAGAAAACCCCCAAGAATGCGAACGGCGCCGGTGAAGGATGAAATGAGTGTACAATGGCTGTGAGCGTAGCAAAAATGATTCCCAGTGGAGTCAAAGACTTTCTGGACCAGGCGCGGTAGACGAGTAATAGCGTCGCCGGAACCGCAACTATCGGCTTCATCTTGCCAGTCGGGAGAATACCTGTTGAGAATGACTGTAACTATGTATTGAAGGGCCTCTCCGTGATAACCTAGCCGATACGGAGTAAACCTGAATCAACGCGAAGAAGACAGTGTCTCATCATATTATGCACCAACAGATGTATTTAACTATGTGAAGGCTGGATTGTTTTCTTGGACTACGACCGGAACTAAAAGCAACACCTCTGTTCACACACATTACGGAGTGCGATGGGCCCAAAGCAAACTATGAATAAAACAGTCACAAAACACGGACACGCTTTGATGGAAAGTATTTTTAATAGCTGATGTTTATACGGAGGACTCCAGATACCCATAGTTACATATGCGAGAACCTATCTTTTGAAGGCTACTTAACACATCTATTGGCACTTTTAGCTGCAGTAATCCGCACTTGGGGCCCAGGCTCCAAGCTCCAAGCCATTTGTCGATTGCCAGAGCACATGGGGACTTCATGTCAAAGCCTATGTATTCAAAAAAACTTCACCCTCCTGTTTCTTGGCCTTGCAGCCTGCCGATCAGGCTTCGACTGTGTTCCGTCAAGAACAGCTTGTCGAAACTTGCCTAACTCAATTTCATCCAACATTTATTCAAACGCCGGTCTTTCTCACGAGTCTGAATCTTCTCATGCATAATCCCTAGGAGATATGAAATTGATGGAAGTCATCTCTTGAGCGCTCAATATCAACCGCCTACCTCTCTCTGACTGGCCTCCTTGATCGAGGAATCGGGTATTGGCGTAATGCGCAGCATATCAGGTAGCGGCGAGTTTTATCAGGCAACTATCTGCTCCCTCCTAGAGGTGAAAACCACCATGCTCAGCAGGCTCACAGAGCCTCCACAGCCCTGCTGCCCTCGCCGCACTTTGAACGGCTCCAACTTCCTGCATCTCGACATGCCGATTTATATCGGCATATCGGATCTGTTGCTTCTCATTGTTTCTATTTCCAGTGGCACGTCGCGGTTTCCCAACGTGCGCGTCTGGGTGATACTGCTCCATAATATGCACATAAATATCTTTTGAAACGTTCTGTGCTAACCAGCGCATAATTTCCTTTCCCTCCTCTTCCATCCCAGGCATAACGAGATGTCTAACCAGTACGCCACTCTTTGCGATACCGTCAGCTGTGAAGCATAGATCGCCAACCTGGGCATACATAGCCTTTATACTTTCCATCGCTGTCTCAGTGTAGTTATCTGCCTTTAATAATCTTTTCGAGGAGCTGCTTTTCCAAACTTTGAAGTCTGGTAAGTATATATCGACCAGACCATCTAGGAGTTCGAGGGATTCGCGGGAATCGAATGCGGAAGTATTGTAGATTATGGGTAGTTTCAGGCCCAAGTCCCGTGCATGGAGAATAGATAGGGCAACCTGGGGAACAACGTGTTCCGGTGTGATAAGATTGATATTATGAACGTTACCAACATCCTGCAGCTTCATATACCACTCCGCAAGCTCCTCAGGGGTCAAATCGAAGCCATTCCGCTGATGCGCGATGTCCTGCCCGGAAACGGTAATAAATTAGCCAATATGCCCACCCATCTCCGATCTGCAATAGTGACTGAACACAAAGCTCACGTGGTTTTGACAAAATACACATCGCAGATTACATCCGGAGAAGAACACGGATCCGCTTCCGTTAATTCCCTGTACGCATGGCTCTTCACCAAAGTGCGGCGCAATCACATTGACCTTGACTTTCTCAGCACCAATCAGACAATGGCCTGTCCTCTCATAGCGATTCACACCACACAAGCGTGGGCACAGGTTGCAGTTGGCTAGATGGGTGTGTGCAAGTGAGCGTTTTTTCGATGCATCGGCGGAGGAAAGGAGGTGGTAGCGCGGAATATAAGAATCTAGCAGAAACGGAGGGGCGAGATGAACACCACGAGTTTGCCGCCCCGTTGCTCGGATAATCGAATCCAAGCCAGGCTTTGGGGTTCTTCGTGCCAGAGATTTGAGGGTGAACATCTTGGATGCTCGGAACTAACTAACGGCTACCGGGAAATTTAACTTCTCCACCGTCGGGGCCAGCCAAGCCGCGCCAGAGCCTTCAACTGTCGCCCGAAGTTAACTCCTCTGCGAAAAACAGAGATACTGTATCGTTTAGAAAGCATGAGGGAATAAGGCATATTATTATTCACCTGCATTGAATATAAGTGATATCTATGGTACATGTATTTAAACTGGACAAAATGTGCGACATCCCGTATACATGTTAAAAAATCCTGCAACATCCAAATCTTCAACTCCAAACAGCCGCCTGAAAATCCACTTTTCTTCTGTTCTTAGCGGACAGAATACATCAAAATCCCCCTTGGAAAAGTCGCCAGCTTGAGACTTGTGGGAGGGATGAATGGAATATAACCAGACACTCCGCAAATGGGATAAACATGAAGATGGAGGAGAGTGGGCGTGAAAGAATCAGGGAGGGATATTTTCAAACAACATAATGTACAGAGAATCAAACCGCGGACTCCGGGTGGATGGAATCCATTTCCCGAAGAACACCACTAATATCCCTTTGAACGCCACGTTGAGCCCAAGCTTATCAAAAATCGGGGATAGAACGGGACACGCAAACTCCTTTCACCTTATTTTTTAAACGCCCGCTATAATGCATTGGAAGAGAAACCATAACTTTGAAACATGCACATCGAGACGATAAAATGTAGAGAACATGGCAGGCCAGGAGCCAACGCTGCTCTAAGAGAAGAAGTATTGACTGTTTTTGAGCCTCTTAACATCGAATTCGCCCTATATACAAGTTAGCATCTTGAAGCCAAGCATGTGAGATCAAAGCAAGCAGTGAAACTTACCTTTGAAGGAATGGGACGGAATGTCACCGGCAGCCAAACCCAGACAGCCGCGGAAGTCTTCTTTCTCTCGGATTTAAAACTAGGTTCTTCTGGGCCTTCCGCAGCCGTGTCAAGAGGGTCATCCGCCGTAAACATTTCGCTGGAGGAATTCGAGTCCTCCTCCGCATCGAGCATAGAATCGACACTCGCTGCTTCGTCTTCTGGTGAGATGTGTCCCATAGCAGCAACACCGAGAGATTGGACAGAGACCAGAGATTCTTCCGCATTTTGACAGCTTGCGAAGATGCTCCCAGGAGTAACCATTGCTTCGCCCTTTATTCTTTCCAGCTCGTCGGTCGACCGAAGTAGTTGAAGGCGCTTGTATTCGAGCAGAAGCTCATCAGTTTGATGTTCTCTTGATTTCCCCTTTCCGTTCTGTTTGCGCCATGCAGAAATCTTTTGCGCTACTGTAGATTTTGGTCGCAGTTTAGCAAGATACACGTGTTTCGAATATCGAGCTTTAAATTCCGAAGCTAGTCTTCCAACAATATCCTCGGAATGCATGCGAACAAAAGCATCGCGCAAGACCCGGTTCATGGTATCAATGTCACCAGCGTGTGTCCAGAATGAATCGTGCACTGCGGAGAAGGAGAGGCCCAGCTCATCACATTTAATTGCCGAAAGCATCATGTGAGTGGCATCTAAAGAATGAATAAAGTTAGGTGGAAATGCTTGAAGTTGCTTGCGTCGATTGACAACATCCGAAGAGTGAGGATCTTTGATACTGAGGGTCTGGAGAGTAGTAACAACACGGCGAGTTTTAGCTTCTCGGTACGGCTGGACAACCGGCAGCTTCAATGGAGTAGTCCAAATGACTGTGGATAGGAATCTTTTTGACAAGTCATCTATGATGGCTTTCTTCTTGGCCTTACTGGTACCAGAAATAGGAACGTGCCTAGCTGCCTCGAGAGCCTCGATCTGTTCGGGGCCCAAAGATTGGGTTATTCGGTTGGCGCAATCACCAAGCCAAAACTGAATCTCGTGGGCACCGGTAAACATTGAGCTCAAGGCGGCAAAAATCTTTCGTGTGATGTAAGTGGCACACTTTCCAACAACGTTCCGCTCACTCAACTCGGGGAAGAATGCATTTAGCTGCTTCTGGACCTGTCTTATAGCCCCAAGGAAAGTAACGCCATACACATTTGTCATCACCGTCTGCTTGACAATCTTTCGGTTGACCTTGTCCTCAAGTATTTTTGCAAGCTGGTTACCGGCAGCGGCCTCTTGAGCGATGGATTGACGAACGTGGTCCGCCACAGCCGAGTAGATATCTGATGGACGATCGGACGGTTCGAGGTTCACCTGGCGGGCACCGATAATGTCGCCGCCAAGAGCGGCGTAGTGCTGTAGCCCGTTACAAGAACCATCCTGGTGAATGGGCAAATGAGATATGTATTTGGTGGGATCAGGGCAAGCAAGTGCATTTTTAAGTTCGATACAAGCTGCCAGGCACTGGAAAGGGTCAGAAGCTTCAAGCCACCACCGTCGTCCGTTTAACCCTTTCTCTGCAGAATCAATCACATCATCCAAATGGTCCATGGCAAACTGAGCCCGCTCGTCGAAGCTGGCTTTATCATACCCATAGACGTTGGCAATGTGAATTTTAAGCCACCTCAAGCCACGTTCACCTAACTCTCTGCCTTTGCTGAAGAGCAGCAGTCCACGACACATGTCTGGACCCATCTGGTTGAAATAGGGAGGTAGCGGATACGCCCTGCCACGGAAATCCATATTATGGGGTAGGTAAAACGTCTCACCGACGTACGCGCGTGCAATCTCCAGTTGGAGGTTTTGGAAACATCTTTGAGAGTGCAATCCAGACCGTTTATTATCAACGAGAGTCTTGGAACGATAATACGCCCGGAGCTGCACCGGATCGTCGGTTTCAGGTTTCGTAGGTTCTGGAAGATTTGGGTCCACGGGAGCGATATCGGCCAGCTCGTCACCAGAGTTCCAGGCTTCGAGCATCACATCGAATACTGGTTTATTGATCCGCCAACCAGTCTTTCCTAGAACATTTAACCCTGCAAAAATCTCGTCTAAGTCACCACGACTCGCGGCAGCTCTGACATATTGCCTTTGCAAACACTGAGAGTCATTTGATCGGGCCCGCATAATGATTGTCGGTTGGTTTAGGAAGCCACCGTAACGGTATGAAGTCCAAGGCTGTGGGGGGGACACCATTGGTAAATGTTTCGCAAGTAATGAACTCGCAGGTTCCCTTCGAAATCTGTCCACAACGCTATCATGTATATGGACAAATCCGACACTGTGCCCTTTTTCTAGTTGGTAGACGTGGCGAAAGGCAGGCTGTTTAACGAACGTGATCTCGCCCGTCTCGGTGTTCTGTTGTTTAACAACAACTTTCGTCGAAGAGAAGAGCATCGATGCTAAAAGAGATCCAATTTTAGCTTCCACCGCCGCACTCCACTTGATGGGCTCGTGAATTTCATTATATTTTTCAATCAAAGACTCCCGGACTCCCTTCCTACCACGATTCGATGGTATAAGGTCTTGCACCAATTTTGCACGTCTGCCGCTGTCGAGCGGCGCAGATTTAGAGGGGGTTTCCTGGATCCGATCAGTTACATATTCCTCCTGGACAGCCCTTCCCAAAAGCATGATGAGCCGAGTCAGTCGTATTCCCTTATTCATTCCAGTCTTGCCCAAAGCGTTCATTGTTGCCAGGATTGTAATGGCAGCAAGCCTATCCGGGCCAATGGAATTCATGAAAGGAGCATATTCGCATCGATCATTGTCTTCTGATGTTTTTCGTTTTTTCTCTTGGGCTTTGAGAATGGACTGAATCTCTCCTTCAATACTCGTGAGAAGGCTTTGGTGCCAATCCCACAACACACCTCCGAGTTTGTCGCCTCCGGTGGGGTTCGAGGGCCTAGAGTTTCGCTGCGCGCTCTCCTTCCGCCAGCGCTCCATAGCCGCGATGACAGAATCCTGCTCTAAGCGAAGTTGCCTTTCTCGGATGGACTCCGAGCTTACCGCTTCGGGTTCCGTGGTGGTTTTAGATTGATTAAATAGCGACAGCGTTTCCTTTAGAGAGGTGAGTCCAAAACCCTTTTGCAACGTAGCCCTAACCTCAGGCATCGCAGGTAGATCTTCTAGCGGAGAAACTAGCTCTGAAGGCTTGGGTGGAGTCGAGTCTGGTAACTCGCTGACATCACCAAGAGCCGCCCCTTGGAAGTCCGAGGAACATATTTCTGATAGAAGGCCAAGGTCTGCTTCGGAAAGGACTGGAAGGCCTAACACTTCTTCTTCCACATTGGCTTCCTTCGCCATTTTCCAGTATCGACGAACTGAACGATCCCGTCTTGGACCAAGCAGCATGCGCAGAGTCATCCTTAACATCAAGGCATATGTGGTAGCATCTGGTTCCACTTTGGCCAGCTGTAACATTTGAACTTCGAACCACTTTTGTACGTCCCATACCAAAGATGGTCGACGATTCAAAATCATATGCGATACCATCATTCGTATATACTTATTATGCAGGTCGACAATCTCGGGGGAGCCATGAGGGTATAGAGTGGATAGGCGATGAACGAGCTGAGCGGCGCGGTCGAACATGCCAACGGTCAAGCTAACGTCTAAATTTGCAAGCATCTCATTGGTATCGCCCCCAATGCTTTTCTCTCTGCGTAAAGCCTTTGGCCTCGTTGCCAAGTAGTCTCTGATAACGATAAGCGGAGATGCATCCTGTTCGGTTGGGTCTGAGGGATCTGAGAAGGGCAGAGGTGTTTGGAGCGGCGTTGTGAACGAGGTTTCCGAACCAAGTTTATTATATGGCTCAAGTTTGTGGTATGATTCAAGGCCTTCGAACGGTACATAAACATCTGAGGTCGCAGTTGCGAAAGCACGGAAAGATTGTAATGCGGTGACACGAGGCGGTGGGACGGGAAACGATGTTTTGGACGGAGGCCCGATCGAAGGGGTCCTGGCAGATGCAGATTCGCATCTTGCAAGTGCTGGATATAGCCAAGGTAAGGTCAGTTGTTTGCAGGACCTCTGTAGGGAATAAAAGGCATGTTTTCTGTGGGCGGCGCGAGATAACATCGCTGCGACTGGCGAATGTCTTGAAAATGAATGGATTTGAGAACAAGGGATTAAAAGAAATACAAAGCACACAAACAAATATACAAAAGAAAAGAAAAAGGCAAAGGTAGAACTGAGGAGGGAGAGGACGGAGAATTGAATTAAAAACCGATCCCTTTCCCCCTTGACCTTTGTTGCAATCAAATCGGAGTAGAGAGAAAGTCGAAGCTGGAGAAGAAAAAAAGCTTCGTCGCAGCGTCGAAATCATAGCTGGCTGAGTAAGCGGTGATCACCGAAATTTTTTTTCGGCGTTAACTCACGTGATGCACTCAACGGTTAGGGACTAGTGGCAAACTAAAATCAGCCAATAAAACGCGTGGATGGCGCGATTAATCATCCGATGCTAGTTAGTTACATAATCAGCAAGAGTGGCCTAAGCCGAGAGGATATCAGCCAGCACTCCGTATATGCTCTCAATACTCCATACTCCGTACCCGCTATGATGTCTCAGCTCGCCGCCATAGCTACGTCCACATCGCCGTCGCCTATTCCTGATGCATGCAAAGCATTGCTTGACGATCTTCTCTTCTTTCGTCTCATCTTCATGGCCCATCCAGTCATATCCGGTCGCGTGGGGTCTACCCGAGGCGCGCTCATGCCATCAACGTAATCATCCGCTTCGATAGCCGATTCTAATTGTGGAGGCTCCTCTATCGTCCGATTGAACATGTATTCTTCGTATTTATCCCATGACTCCTCGTCCTGTATCGCGTATTAGGGTCGGTAAAAGGAGCAAATTAAGATGTGCAAGGGTAAAGGAAGAAATAACTCACGTTCTCGTCAATCCACGTATACTTTTCCCATTTTTCATCTTGCATTTGTTTTAACAGCTCATTATTCCGTTGTCCGCCAGTCTGTTCCGATTCCGCAGATTTAACTTTAACATCGATCGCTCGTGCTTCCGTGGGACGCGATGCACCCTCTTCATCTCCATCTTTCCTTCCTTTCACTGTCGTTTTGTTTTTAACTAGGGCTTCATCATACGCATCCAGGTGGTGTAGCTGAGGGCGGAGTGGTACAATGGCTGACAGGGGAGCAAGGTGAAGCTCATCTGCAAGCGCAACAGATATCAGTATCCTGCTCATGACATCACTCGGGTCTTTCCCATCAGACTCACTATCCTTGAAAGCACCGAGCATGTAAACCGGATCCCCCTCTATTGCCTCTTTTATCCTCCCTCCCAGCGTTTGTGTTGTCATAATATGACCGGCTTTAAGCTCCTCATCCTCCAGGTCTCTATATCCACCACCATCTTCATCATCCCAATAGTCCTTGGCCACGGAATCACCCTCCAGCTTCGTCTTTCCAGTTACCACCCCTCCCGTATTAAATCCTCCAGCTATGCCATGTGTCCCTCCCTCTTGAATAATCCGGCTCTTCTTCAATGCATTTCCGTAACGCAGCCCCTTCCGCTCGTCATAGTTGACACGTGTGTTAATTGGGATATCAACTTCAACAAGTCCAGTTTTAGGTTTTAGTCGTAGTTCGGTAGGCTTCTGCAGAGTGAGGTCGCTGTAAGGTTGCGTGGAGGAGCGATCGGGATATTGGAGAAGAAAGCGGCGGACTTGAGCATCGGTAATGAAAATGTCGTAGGATGCGATAACTGGATCGTCGGCAGGGTCATCGTCAGAGGCAGTGTCTTTGCACTGTGGTCAGCTTTGGAGAATTGAGGGGTGTGCAAAGAGTTTCTTGCTCACAGGGCATCATGATAGCTCAGAATGACAGTTAAGGAATTCTACGCGCTCGAGATTGGTGACCAGAGTCAACATCCCATTACCTGCAAAAGCACGTCCGTCGGCAGCATGGGTCGTAAGATGAGTTTTGAGCTTTGGGGATCAGGTGTACTCCGTAGTGTCCTAATTTTTACATTTGCTTATCGATAAGATGCTCCAACTTTAAATTAACCAACTCAACGAACTTGTGCACTTCGTTCTGGGGCCGAATTTACCATAATCATCCCAACACCAGCCCTTCTTGTCTGTGCAAGTCATCTCAATGGTTCATACAGAATACTTGTCGAGAAAATCTTTACCAGGCATTCAATCACAGTGGATACACAGAATTAATACATAACTACTGCTTTTGGAGTCCATCCTTATAACGAAGAACAAGCCCCACACCAGACCAACTCATGCCTCTGGAAGACACGAGCGACATAGTCAGAAAGGTATCAACTAGGTTAAAAGGTCGGGAGATATGATATCAAACGTTAAAAATGCAAAATTCAAGGTATGCACAGCGCATGCAAGAAAGAGGAATTTCCACTGGTCCATTCATTCTTCGCCTTCATCTTCCGCGACCTGCATTGTAGTCTGTTAGCGATACCTACAGCTGAAAAACTTCTCGAATGCGAACAAATTAGAGTCAACTTACCCCTTCGTGGAAATTTTTCCCCTCAGTTGTCTCCTTGATAACTCCTGCGCGAACACACCAGTCCCCAAACCTCTCTGGAAGGGCCCCATCCACGTTCCTCTCCAGCGCATACCGTTTCAACAACCCTTTCATAATGTCCAAAATTTCCTCCTCTTTGATTGAAGCACGGTACAGCTTATTCAGTCGCTGCCCATGATATCCACCGCCGAGATACATATTATAAGCACCATACGCTTTGCCAACAAATGCCACTTCAGCAAGCCAGGGACGGGCACAGCCATTGGGGCATCCAGTCATGCGCATGACAATGCTATCTCGTCCAAGGCCGTTCTCTTCAAGTGTTGACTCCAACTTTGTTATAAGGACCGGAAGGTAGCGCTCAGATTCGGCCATCGCAAGACCACATGTAGGGAAGGCGACACAGGCGGATGAGGAGAGGCGGAGACCACTGAATGCAGTGTTGTCAAGTTTATATTTAGCCATCAGTTGTTTGATGGCTGGAAGGTCCGCATCCTCGACATTGGACAGGATTAAATGCTGATTACCGGTAAGACGGAATTCTCCCTTGCCGAGCTCAGCAAGCTCTCGCAAGCCGGTTCTCATTTGGAAGTCCGCGGTATCTTCCACACGGCCGTTTTCAATGAAGAATGTGAAGTGGTTAAGCCCCTTCTCGTCTTTCTGCCAGCCGAAAGTATCGACGTTGGAATCAAATTTGAACGGACGAGGTGGTGCGAAACGAAGTCCGTTGGGAAGGATCTCCTCGACCTTGTCCTTGAAGACGTCGACGCCCATATCGTCAATTGTGTACTTTAGACGAGCATGCTTACGGTTCTTTCGATCGCCATGGTCTCGTTGCACCAACATAATCTTCTCACAAACGATGTGTGCCTGATTGGCCGGAACGTAGCCCAACATGCTGCCTGTACGAGGATATGTCTTCTTGTTGTTATGTGACATACCCATTCCACCACCAGCGAGGATATTAAACCCTTCGAGATGTCCGTCAGCTCCCTTGATAGCGATCAGACCGATATCATGAGCGTAAACATCTGTATCGTTGTGAGGAGGAATAGCGATGGTGATTTTGAACTTGCGAGGAAGATATGTTGGGCCATAGAGCGGTTCATGATCAACGATCGCGTCGCCAGCAACTTGGATCTTCTTGTCATTTTCGTCCTTTAGCCAGATTTCGTGATATGCGGTGGTGGCAGGTAAAAGATGGTCACTGATCTTTTTCGAAACCTGGTGGACCTCACGATGGTAAGTCGAAAGCTCCGGGAGACTGCTGCACATGACGTTTCGGTTGACATCACCACATGCAGCGATAGTGGTCATCAAAGCCTTGTTGATCGCCTGCATGGCTGGCCGAAGCTTGCCTTTGACGACACCGTGGAATTGAAACGTTTGTCGTGTCGTGAGCTTCATAGTCTCGTTACCATATGCGCTGCTAATTGCATCCATTTGCAGCCATTGTTGCGGAGTGGCGACGCCGCCTGGTAAACGGCAACGAATCATAAAACTGTATGCGGGCTCGAGGCCCTGAGCCTTGCGCTCGTCTCTGACATCGCGATCATCTTGCATATAAGTACCGTGAAACTTCGTGAGTTGCTGATCAGAGGCGGAAATTGCACCAGTCGAGGTATCCCGGAGCCCTTCAGCGATAGTTCCACGGAGATAATTCGATTGAATTTTAATATCTTCGTTCGTCAATGGCGGTGGTTCCTCTGGCAAGCCTTCAACCTTATCAACACCGAGAGCCTGCCATAATCTGGGCTCCCATTCTTGGTAGCTTGTCTGGTAACCATCTGGATCTTGATCGTCACCCAATCCAATATCTGCAAGTTTCTTTGCGCCGAGGAATGAGAGACGGCTATCCAAGTCCTTGCCAGGCTTGTTATAGTAGATCTTGTCTTCCTTTCGCGGCCAATAATGGCTATCACCAAGGCCAAATACGGAGTAATGGACAGAACTAAGGTCAAGATCTGCAGAATTCTTAACGGTTTCCCAGAAATTGCGCCCGTTTTGAGGGAGCTCTCCCTGGCCAGCCGTGCTGGAGATAAAAACGATATTCTCCTCGGTCGGCAGATCTTCAATTGGGTAATCATCCATGGCCATAACAGCGGTCTTCAAACCTCGGGCTTTACCCCGATTGCCCAATCTCTTCGCCAAATTCTCTGCGTTTCCATTGTCCGATGCGAACAAGATGGTGAGAGGAGCCCCAAACAGGCCTTCTAATAGTTTATCATATGCATCTTTTGCAGCACGCTTCTGCAAAGCACGTACCTCGGAGCCGTATGACTCCGACAAAGCCGCAGAGAACCTAGGATTGCGCTTCATGATCTGGGTAAGCTGGTTATCTCTCCGCAAAAATTCCTCTAATTCTCTCTTGATACGCTCAGAATCCAATGCAAAATTCGGTTCTCCTTTCTCAGCGTTGTTCGGATTCCATCTATATAATGGCCAGTATCCCAAGTCGACAGCTTTCTTGGTCTCTTGCAGCACGGTCAACGGAGAGTCATCCTCTTTGTTGTACGGAAGATAAGCAACAACTACGGATGGACCCTTGAATTGGTCTGCCTCCGTGATCGCTTGCAATACCTGGGTATATGAGCTGTAGACGGCAACAGAGGCGACATAGGCATTGCCATAATTCATGGCGTATAAACCAATGTCCTTTTTTCTTCTAGTCGGATCAGCCGCAACACGTTCTGAATAAGGCTGGGAGTCGATAATGAGCATATTCACATTTGCACCGGAAGCAAGAACGTGATGCACACCAGAGTTGCCAAGGTCATAGGCCCAAGCATCGGACCCGATGAGCCATTGAGACTCTGCGAAGAAAAACTGCTTCGAAGCGAGGAGCTCCCTGGACAGGCTAGAGCCGTCAACTAACAAACGCGCGATTACATCAGGGGCAATCTGGTTAATTTTCTTGGGCTCGGCGGCATTTAATGCCCATTTAGACAACCAGTTCCTCGGAATATCTGTAGCGAACTCGTTGGACTTGACAGCCTCCTGGACCTCGCCGACAAATCGTTCCCTTCGTTCCATCCGCGCAATCAGCGAACCAAAGCCATATTCCGGGCTGGTGGAAACCGTCGCCGAAATTCCAGCGTGCTGGGAGCCAAGTTGGTTTGCAACATGCAAACGGCCATCGAAGAGTTGGTTGAGGATCTTTACATATGCATTCTCGTTTGCAGGTTGCTCCAATTGCAACTTGCTCGCTACCTCGGATGGTTCTTTCTGCGTGCCGACATCAAGATTCTGAATTGGAGAAGAAGCGGTTAAATTCTGGAAGATGCCACGCAGAGCCTGTCGTACGGTTGAAGGCTCAACATATCCCAGTCTGTAGCCGACAAGGAGAGGACTATTTCCGCCGCCCTGCCGGGCTAAACTGGATAAAAGATCTAAAAATGACGGGCCCCATTTCGTGGTCTTGCGGACTTGTTCCAGCACGGCTATCCGCTCTACCGATGTTGGGATTGTTCGTGATATTTGACTGCCCACCCAAGGACGGTATAAGCGAGCCGTAATGATGCCGATACCCGGAAAATCTCCCTTGCTACTAGGGTCGCTGAGAATGTCGACGAAAATGCGAGTGGATCCGAAGATAAAAAGCGCATTTTTCGCATTTTCGGGACCAACGTACTCGATGGCATGATAAGTTCTCCCCGTTCGAGCTGCTAGGGAGTCCCAGATATGGGCTGCGATTTGGAAAATATCCGATGCATCCACCGGTCTCCGAGTTGGAGCCTCGACTGTTGTTGCGGCGGAGCTGGGAACGGCACTCCCGGAAATGCTATCCCCCTGTGAAGAAGCAATAGATGAGGCCTCTGTGCTTGAAAGATCCTTGGATAAAGCTGGAAGTTCTGAAGTTGCCACCGCTTGACTTTGCGCAGCGGCCAAGCCTTGCTCTTCAACTGTCGCGATCCGCCCAGAATTTGCATAAATGGTTTGAGAGGTTCCATTGGATTGATGGAGAGCCCTTGCGCTGTTCAAATCAAGTATTTCGGTAACAAGTTCCGGGTCTTCTTCCGCAATTGGAACGTCACCACTAGCATTGCTGCTGTCGAAGAAATGAATGACACCCTTTCCAGACTTAATTGCCAAAGCATGGGCTGTCAAGGCAATATCTTGTGCTTCTTGGGGAGTCTCAGAATGAAGAAATGAAAAGCCACATTGCCTAATGGAACTGATAACAGAGAAGTCCGGGAAGGCAGCCGGCTCCAGAGAAACGTGGAGGACGATGGGATACTGTGCAAGTCGATAAAGATGCGGGATTGAGGAAAGCAGGATAGATGAAGAAGTGGTCACAGATACATATTTCCCATTTTGCAATGGATGAAACGCCGAAAGCAGAGGGTCTTCATTTTGGCGTACTGCGCGAACCTGATAGGATTTGGTCAGCACACTTCACTAGCGCCAGAGCTGTCCGTGACAATTGGGCATGATAAATCGTGAGAGATGGAGACACCAACTTCTGGCACTTCATGTGACACTATTCCCTGCACATTCTTTGCAGAGAGCTGCTTCAATTGCTGAGAGAACTCCGAATCTCCCTGGAGTGATGGCTGCACCGATAGCACCAGGTCGCTGGAGAGATATGCAACCCTAGCAGCTAAACAAAGCACATATTAGAAAAGTGACCAGCTTCATACCAGGACAATCTCATGAATGGTAAAAATTTTCTCACCTGCTTCAGCCGCTGTGTTGACACCCATCTCAGAGAAATTTGCAGGGGCGGACGCCAGATCTATACGATTCGCGAGGCACGGAGGAGTGATATTACGCGCGAATGCCACCACATCCAGCGAACACGAAGAAGAAAATTCAAAAGATCAAGGCAAAGAAATGTCTAGCTTTGCTAATGACTTTATAAAGAAAAAAAAAAAAAAAATAATCACGAACTGAGAAATAAATTCCCATTCCCCTTTTCACAAGTCCGCTGGCAGCTCATACATGCCGACCGAACAGCGGGGCGCTGATTGGCCAGAGATCACGACATCGATGCAAATAAAGGGTGCTATCACAGCAAACAGCGCAAACGGTGCAAACAGTCGACCGCCGCGGGTTAACTATCTCCCGAGTGCGGCCAGCGGGCTCTCCAGCATTTTGATGCTATGATTAAGGAGCTCAGGCCTACGCTATTTTGTGAGCAATTTTGACCATGGGAATCTATATTCTACTGGGCAATGTATACAGATACTATGGTGGAAAGGCCATCGAATGTACTGCTATACATCCTTCCCATGAAGCCACCATGCGCTGATGCCTAGGGAAAAATCGTGGAGAGTTGCGCGAATTGCGTGATCAGCCAGGTAAATGCCGCCAAATCCGGGGAAAGGATTTGCGGCTCCAATCTGTGACAAGGGTAAACCCATGTGGGCGACTGCAAGGCGCAGAGTAACAATAGAGGGGTATTAGTAATTCATCTACTCCGTAGTTATCTAGATTGTAATCCGTAGAATACGTCTCAGAGCATTTCCCAAAGCACTCCACATCTTCCGAGACATCTCATTAAGGCGGGTTCAACCGAACCGCAAATTCAACAACATATTATTCAATCAACCCAGAAAACAGCCGTGGCCCATGTCACACTCCCCTAAGTAACGCACGGTATATGCCTCAACCCCCGGACCAACGCCAGGTGCCACGCCAACGTCCATCATAACCACTTCGAATTCAACACAAGAACCCAGGAATAATATGTATCAATCTGATTGGGGGAAAGGAGAAAAAAAAAAAAAAAAAGAGCCACAACCGTTTATAGACCACTCCCGCTGAGCAGGGGCATTGAAGGCGCCGCCGGGCCGCCCTGTTTCATTCGAAATTGCCAGCTTTTTCTTTTCAGTTTATCGCACGAAACTAGATTTCGACGACCAGCGCTGTTGAAATTGAAAAACACTTAAAGTGGTATGCACCCAATAAATCACATAAAATCACTCCACCGGTTGTTGCAGTCGTTTCACATAGGAGGGTAAAGCCACCATGTATGTACGCACGTACGCAGATATATGCAGAACGATCATGCCAAATGCCAATAGTACCAGACCAAAAGAGTTCATCCGGGATGTTTTGAAATCCGCAACATCCATCACATTCAATAACGTATCACAGCTAATATATCAAAAGGCTACCAAGGGTTGCCTTCCGGTGCATTTTGTGATTTCGGTACTTGTGGGTTCCCCGGCGGCGGGAGCTTGTTGGCATCCTGGGCCGCTGCACCCTGGTGCAGGGCGATGTGTTGCAGCACGGACTGAGATGGAACTGGAGGGCCAGTCCCTGACCGTCGCCGCCGCTCACGCTCGCTGAGCCCGCCATCCGCAGAATTGAAAAATCCACGGTTCCGATGGAATTTTCGGTTTAGACCAAACATCCAACCATCGTCATCGTCTCCATCGAGCCAGTACCTCCGACCAACGGAAATCATAGCACGGCCTAGCTTGCCTTTCCATCCTTGTCCATCTGGCAGTCGAGCAGAGAATGGATTCGGCTCCAGTTCGATATTACTCACAGTGGATGGGTTGCGACTATGAGCAGCTGAACCGTGGCGAGAAAGTGGAGATCTGGGGCTGAAAGCATGCTGTCGGAGGCATTGTCTCGCAAAAGCCATCATCACCAGGACGAAGTAGACGCGGATTGTCCACAGCGTGCAAATAACCCCAATGCTCTGAAGGCCCTCCGGTTGAAGGACACCATTCCCTAGGCTTGGCTTCCCATCGAGTCCATCGACGGCTCCGGCGGGGGCGGATGCAGGCTCCGTAGAAGCAAAGGTACCGTCTCCAGGTGCGACGTGAACGGACGAGACGTTGAATTTCGGATTGGTGAACCCAGCCGTATCGCCCATGGTCGAGCTACCCGGACCAGACGTTGGCGCAGAATGGTGGTGCTGTGAGATAACAAGGAACCATGTCACCGCAAAGGCAGCTGTGTACGCGGCATTGATCAGACTGTCCAGGAGATAAAACCATGCCAGGGCCAGGCAGTAGAAAGGCGTCTGTTTCCGAATGTGCGGCGCCAAAAATGCGGTTAGAACGAGGGCAAGGATGGAGTATATGTACATCGATAGTTGGAAAGGAGAAAGGCGGAAACCGGTAAGAATGGCGAGGAGGCCGTACAGTCCGCTGACTTTGTTAAGGAGGAGGGAAAGGGTAATAAGCGACGCGCCCGTCTGTAGGCTCATAACATAGAGAAATGTCTGCGACATCCTGACGGTTAGTTTTCAAATAAAATTCCCATAGTTTTCCAAATGCTCGAGTCTTTGGATACAAGGCTGGATTAAGCTTGAAACATTATACCTGTGGCCGCGGAAAGCGGAGAAATCGAAACGAGCGGCCCATCTTGCGCTGTCATACAACAGCAAGGGGGATTAGACGTTGCACAAGATCGCAGATTCTCAAGCAATGCAATAATGTTTTATTTTATTTTAATTTTTTTCTTTTTTCCCTGAATAACACCGTGCCAGGACTGGAGGTCAAAGAAAGAATGCTGCTGTTTTTCCAGGCTGCGGTGGAGATAAAACAGTGCATAATCCTGTAGAATAATAAAGTCCTGTTTAAAGTCTCCGTTCGATCCGCAAAGGCAATTGATTGGCTGCCGGCTTGGCATGTGGTTGGGCAGCGTGTCGGCCACAGAGTTGATCCGGTTCCGGAATATCAACCTGGCCTGCGGATTGCCTTCAGCACCCAAACAAAAGGGCGCTGAACTCACGGACGTGGCGCGCGTGTCCTCTGGAGCAGATGCGCGATAGCCCCCGGACCAGTGCGCGGTGACCCCCGCGAACTCAAAGCTCACCTCCCTTCAAGATCATTTACGCTTGCCTTTTTACGCGGACGAGGGATGGACCCGCGACGACCTGGGAAGGGTGCCGGCCCCGTAGATGAGCACCGGGACATCCGTGTGTGCCCTTGCTACGAACCTGAGCACGTAGTAGTGCGTGGTCTCTGTGGGCCGCGCGGTGGTGTAACCCGTTCAGATGAAAACTTACGCCCATCGGCAAAATGTGAACGTACCATCGTACACGGCGCAGTACGGAGGCCCTAAGCTTGAAATCTACCAAAACTTCTCCTCAATTCTATCGATGAAATGCGTCTTGATGGGTCTAGATCAAACCCCCATAAGGACACAGATGCCAGATTCATGCCATTCTGCCCGAGCAAGATTCGACTTGGGGAAGTGAATCGACCATTTCGTGGCGATATCAGTCAAACAATGCCAAAATTAAAAGGCCGTGAAGGAAAATGCTATGCAAAACAGGCGTGAAAGAAGACAAGAAAAGAAAGAGAAGAAATAAAATATAGCGAGCAGAAAATTGAGCCGAATGAGACGTAACAAACCCGTCTAGACGCCACCCAAGCTGGAACGAGGAGAAAAAAGGTAATAAGATTATACACGATATTAAGTGCGACCGTAGGATATGCTGGCGAGGAGGGTCAGAAGACGGTGGTCCTTAGCAGGCGCAGCCTTCGTTGCTGACGGGTTGGGTGGGGTTGATGTTCACATCGATCACTGCACGACACAAGGTGAGCTCGACGGTCTGATGCCATAGGATTCCCATGGAAACAAGGGGCGTGGGTAACACGTACTCTGGTTGTCTCCTCTCCCTGCCTCACCCTCCATCCCTGGCAATGCCTGGGCTATTCTTCGAAACAACTGCTTGACGTTATAGCCCACTTTTGCGCTAGTCTCGATGAACATCAAGCCATTCTTCTTGGCCTCTTCTTCGCCTTGCGCCGTCGTCACTTCCCGCTTGTCGTTCAAATCTGTCTTGTTCCCGACCAAGACAATGATGACGTCGTTCCCCCGTTCCCCTCGCACATCATCAACCCATTTCCGCGTATTTTGAAAAGACTTGGCATTCGAGATGTCGTAAACAACAACGGCTACACTGGAGTCACGGATGTAAGAAGGGATGAGAGATCGGAATCGTTCTTGGCCAGCAGTATCCCAGAGCTGCAGTCGAACTGTACGGTCCTCCAAATACATTGTCTTCAGAATATAAAAACGTCAGCGATTTTCATTACCGCGAGGTCAGGAGATACTCGTGCACGGTTTGAGCGTTGCAAGCGGATGAAAACTTCCGGCTTCGAGAGGGTCTGCGCACCTTCGACAGGAAATCAATGCCAATAGTGGCTTGGTATGTGTTGTCGAATGAATCATACATAAACCTCGTAATCAACGATGTTTTACCGACTGGTGAGCAGCCAAAGAAATGTGAGTCAACGGCCGTTTACATGTAGGGTTGCATGCTCGCGATGGATGCCTACCACTTTGCTCTCCGAGAAAAACGAGTCTGTTGGGTGATGGTTAGAATATTGCCACAGATCAATCGGCGCAAAGTGAGGAAACGTACTTGAACTTCTTTAAAGGGTTCGAATAGGACCCGACTGCCGATTGGGACGCCATGGGGAACGAGATGAGGAAGGGGATCGACTTAAGGGGCGAGTAAGTTTTTGGAGCAAAGCAGGGGGTTTAAAGCGATGCTATGGAAGCCAGAAACCAGTCATAAAGTCATAACAAGAATCAATCCTAACGAAAACAACAGAGCAATCAAAGAAGCGCAGGGAGAAATTGCCAGCGTGAATGTGGTTAAACAGTCGCTCGAGATGCCAGGGTGAACGGCGGAGTGCGGCGCTAAAGACCAAAACTCCAAGATCGTTCTGCCCGCAAACCAAGCCTCGCCGCCTTCCGTTGACACCTTCACCAACCGAGCACCAAAAAACACAACCACGGGAAGCCGGCCCGTAATCAGTTTTCTTGAACCCCAACACCCGTTGCTTGTCGTGTCTCCGGAGCAGAGGCAGGCTGCTCCATCATTCACTGCTTGTGGATACGCCTCGTTTAATGCAAGGATGGGCCTCTACTATCCCGCAGGAGGCACGCTGGTCGCCCTCACCGTGGTTGGAGCTTGTACGTCACTCATGTCCATGCTTGAAAGACCTCCAGACTAACTCTATCTAGACATGCTCTTTAACGGCGAGGGAGAGGCTTTTAATGTATGTTTCCCCCCCACCTCTCCCCGACGCCGAAAGTTGTCTCACTGCACGAATAGGTCGGTCAATTCCTCGAAGCGGTATCTCCATACGCTTGGGCCAACATTGGCATCGGACTCTGTGTCGGCTTGTCGGTAGTGGGAGCGGCATGGTTAGCCTAGCTTTGATTGATAACGATACACAACTCGGATAAGTCTGACACGATTGCTTTGTAGGGGAATATTCATCACTGGTTCCTCCATCATCGGCGGTGGCGTGAAAGCACCAAGAATACGAACAAAGAACCTGATCTCGATTATTTTCTGCGAAGTCGTCGCTATCTATGGTGTCATCATGTCCATTGTATTTTCTTCGAAGGTCTTCTACGTTCCCGGTGAAACTCTATATTCAGGAGATAACTACTACACGGGTTATGCTCTGTTTTGGGGAGGGTTGACGGTCGGGATGTGCAATCTGATCTGCGGCGTTGCAGTCGGCATCAACGGAAGCAGTGCAGCCCTGGCAGACGCTTCTGACCCTAGCTTGTACGCCAGCCAAATATGACCTGTTTCTTGACGCGGCTAACCATCTGATATATTAGGTTCGTTAAAATTCTGGTCATTGAAATCTTCAGTTCTATTCTCGGTCTTTTCGGCTTGATCGTCGGACTCCTTATACAAGGAAAGGCAAAGGATTTCTCCTGAAAACATGACTATTTCTCGGATATTCCAGAACGGCATCAATGCATCACGGTGGCATCTGCAATCGTCCCCTTAAGGGCATCTTCTTCTTTTTTTTCCCCATCTTAATTTGGATGTATGTACAAACGGCCTGGGCGTCTAGGTTTGATTTCATCATCTTCATAGAGAGCTCTCGGTCTGTTATGCGAGAAGTTTTATATTTCTACTTGGTCCATTTGCGCTGTATATTAAACGCGGACAGTAAACGGGGTCGATTTTAGCTAGGATGGTTTCTTTTACACTCATAATGGGAAGATTAATCGCGTTATAAAGCCCATCACTCTCTCAATTTTTAAATTGGAAGTTCGGGAACTTCTTTGTGTTTGTTTGCTATCTTCCTAGTAGCAGCCGGCATCCCGGCGACCCCTCAACATGGCCACTGACATAAGTAATTATGGGTTAACCTCGTAGCTTGTTACGTAGCTTAACTCCCCGCCAGCTTCTACCAACATCGTTCCAGCCGACATCGAGCTGCTACAAAGCATACCCAGTCTAATTATAACCCAAAGCCATAGTGCAACCATAGTTTTCCCCGTGTAACTTATTTGATGTATTAGTGATGGCCCAGCTGAAGTTAAAGCCCGCCATCTTGGTGGTTTCGGACACCGCATCGAAGGATCCATCCACCGATAGAGCCGGAGCAGTACTTTCTCAAGTCTTTGCAGCAGAGGAAGAAAGATGGGCTGCACCCGTTATCGAGATTGTGTCGGATGAGAAAGCTCATATCGAGCGACAGATCCGCAAATGGTCCGATCCAGACGACAGTGACATTAATCTTATTGTTACTGCCGGCGGGACCGGGTTCGCGGTGAGGGATGAGACGCCAGAGGTAGGTAAAGAGGAATAGCATTTTTTTCCCACTCATGTTTCCTGTGTTAGTTTATACACAAATCGCGCCTTTGCCGTCTATTTGTTCTACGGATGAACATGGCTGACGATGGAATGTACAGGCGGTTCTGCCTCTGATCCATCGTCATGCTCCCGGGCTTGTGTAAGTTCCGCAAGCGTTGCCTGGAAAAAATAGAGAGACGCTAACCGGTTTCCAGACACGGGATGCTTACTGCCTCTCTAGAGGTAACACCATGTATGGATGCCTCTCAGGTTCTGCTTAGTTCCAAATGCTAAGAAGAGGAATAGTTGCGATGATGGCACGTCCGGTCGCGGGGGTACGGTACAGGACTCTGATACTGACCCTTCCAGGATCACCAAAGGGCGCAAAAGAAAATCTGGAGGCCGTCATCAAGCTTATTCCTCACGCTTGTATCCAAGCGGCCGGAGCCGATTCACGCTCAATTCATGAGGGAGGTGTGAAGAAGCTTGAGAAGGAAGCCAAAATAGGACATGAGCACGGCCATTGCCATCATCCCCTTCCTATCCACGGTCATTCCCCTCAGCATGATCATACTCATGCTCATACTCATGGGCATGGACATGGCCATAATCCTCCCAAGCCTCACACATCCAATGACCCAACCGCGGGAGCAAGTCGACGCCACCGTACATCTCCTTATCCTATGATTTCGGTAGACGAAGCTCTTGGGTTAATCTACGACCATACGCCTAAACCAGAAGTTATAGAGATGCCTGTGGGCCCATCACTTGTTGGCTCTATACTCGCTGAAGATATCTACGCGAGTGAAGCAGTTCCGGCATATCGGGCGAGTATCGTGGATGGTTATGCAATTATTGCCCCCAAATCAGCGTCTGAAGGAACCACCAAAGGGCAGTTCCCAGTCGCTTCAGTATCTCATGCACAGGCTGTATCAATGCCTCCACCGTTGGAACCTGGAGCCATTGCCCGCATAACAACTGGAGCACCGTTGCCACCCAACGCTAACGCTGTTGTCATGGTTGAAGATACGGTTCTCATTTCTTCAACTCCTGATGGCGAAGAAGAAGCAATTGTGGAGATAATGGCTGAAGACATTAAACCAGGAGAGAATATCCGTGAGCCCGGTAGCGATGTTACATTGGGTTCCAAGATCCTTCAGAAAGGTCAACTAATCACCGCAGTCGGAGGAGAAATTGGTCTGCTCTCATCAACTGGGACTCAAAAAGTCAAGATATTCAGAAAACCGCGAGTCGGGGTCATGAGCACTGGAGATGAACTTATTGAGCATACAGCCAACGTAACCTTGACTGGTGGGCAAATCCGCGACTCAAATCGCCCGTCGCTCATCTCTTGCCTTACTGCATGGGGATTCCCTACTGTCGACCTAGGCATCGCCCATGATACCTCCGACGATCTTGAACTACGTCTTCGCAACGCATTAAGAGACGGAATTCACATAATCATAACCACAGGGGGTGTATCAATGGGAGAACTCGATCTCCTCAAACCAACAATAGAGCGCAAACTGGGTGGAACAATCCACTTTGGCCGAGTGACCATGAAGCCCGGCAAGCCCACAACTTTTGCAAGTATCCCATTCAAGCCGTCCGGCTCAACACCCACAGGCCAGTCCGAAAGGGAGACTCGCCTCATGTTCTCTCTCCCAGGTAACCCAGCCTCCGCCCTCGTCACTTTGAATCTCTTCGTTCTCCCATCGCTCCATAAATACATGGGCCTTGCCTCCCACTCCACAGCCCCCGCATCGGCTGTCTCGCCTCACAGCCTTGGTTTAGGTCTTCCCCTCGTGCACGCAACACTGACGCACACTATCCGTGGCGATCCTAAACGGACAGAATACCATCGCGCAATAGTCTTTTGTTCCGGGCAAGATGGGCGGTTATTAGCGACAAGCACAGGGACGAGTAGTACGGGTCAACGGAGTTCGAGAGTTGGCAGTTTGGCCGGGGCAAATGCCTTGCTGGTCCTGGAAACAAGGGAGCGAAATTTCGAAAAGGGTGAGATAGTCAAGGCACTATTGATGAGCCAAATAGAAGGCATATGATTGGCTATACAGTATGTTAAACAATGTGAGCACGCCTGGAATCTCTTGTCGATGCTGAGACAGACGATAAATTTGTTCTAAAAATCCAAAATTTTGTCTAGCCGCTCTACAGCAATCACGATCTCAAGTTTCCTAACCAAGTTGGCTTCCGTAATGACTTTAAAAGCCAGATTTCATCAAACAAAGCAGGCCACCAGGCAAGCTGACGCTCAAGTATCAAGTTCCTAGACCCATATGTTATTGTCCGCCCGGAATATATCAGATATCACAGTAACTGCATAAAATACCTTAAAAGCCCGTGCGTATTCCAAAGAAAAGCCCGACAGGTATTGTTCAGGTATCAAACTTCCGGACTCCAGTTTACGGAAACACCAAAAGATTCGTGAAATTCGTTACTTCCGCTTCCATCCCTTCTTCTTCTCTGCCCTCAAAGCAAGCAATGTACCACTTCTGCCCACTCTCCTTCCGATCTCAACGACTATAAACCTCACAAAGTCGGGCAGGATCCAATAACTGCTGTGTGCACTCAACATATTCAAATATTGAATATTCAACGGGCCGCCGCCACCGGAGATATAGTAATCAATCTGCCCATTGTCATTGAGGAGAAGCATGCGTTTTTCGGCAATCTCTTCGCGGGTAAAATCATGGGTCTCCATTTCAATCGTAGACGGTAGTTTGGTAAATATGCCGGGTCGCTGCTGGGCTGCAGTGGAAGAGCCGGCAACAGAATGGGCAGGAATCTCGAGTCGAGAAGATTGAGGTTTGGAGTTCCATCGGAAGACGCTGCTTATCGTTTGGAAAAAGGACGTTGAGGAAGTGGGAACTGAGGCGGGTTTAAGAGAGTTCGCAAGATCACTGTCAACTGCTGCATTCAGCCGATAGGCAATTGCTAGGAAGGGGCTGATTAGCGGTATGGTAAATAGGAGAAGATCGTCATTTACTTACGATCGGTTTCATGCATTACATTATAGAGATTGTCAATCGCGAAGCACCCATATGTCCCTGCTTCACCGGTGAGACCAGGATCCGAAACATCGTACTCATCACAGCCGGGTTTGTTTCGGTATCTTCGAGGCAGTAGACTTGCTAGTTCAGGTTAGCATAAATTAAGCTCTTGATTGCAGCGTGCGGGTCGACGAACACTTATGGAGCAATAAGAAAAACCCGGCTGGGCTACCACAGAAAAAAACGTTTCTGGTATCGAATTCAAAAATACTCTCGCTAATGTCAGTCTTAGAAAAGTCAATATGGGGTAGTATTGTTGGCTGTTGGCTGAGGATGTCCATTGCCATGATACTTCCAAGCGAATGAGCTATGATATGCACTTTGCCACTCTGCTGGAAGCCTGGATTATTTTGACACCAGAGCCGGTATATCCTATTAGCCTCTTTAATTACTGCACGAACCATCTTCTGTTTATGATGGGAAAGATAATACGGAATATCAAGCATCACATCACTGATTAGATTCCGAACAGCCGGTATCGTTTCGGGGGTAATATCCTTCAACACAAAGCGGTTCGCATTATGCTGATCTTCGATAGCCTCCTCGACATCCGTATCTTCAAGGGAAAGTGTTGATCGCCAATTCACAGGGAGCACCATGATATTTTCCAAGTCAGGACGCATGTTCGGCCAGACGGAATTGCTGCTGAGCTCGATATTAACCTGTCTTCGAAAGGAATTCATAGCATGAGTAAAATGGAAGCTCTCAACACGCTCTGATAACTTTTGGCCGATCCCATGAATAACAAAGACCAAATCGCTGACTTCGGGCTTTTTTTCCTCCATCTGGCAAGCATAACATATTTGACGGCGAGAAGCTGCCTCTCTTGTTGCCGCCTCCTGCATCTTCATAAAGTTTCTTACATTGGGTGAAACGAGCTTTGGGGGGTGAACTTTCTCCCATTCTCGGCGATTAAATCCTCGTACAACGGCAATTCCAATCTGCCTTCCCTTTCGGATGGCACTTAGTGGCCGTCGGCCACCAGCTACTGATGGCAGCAGACTTGGTCTGAGTATCTGAGCATCTTTGGAATCAACGTACATCACGCTCGAATTCTTGAACAACTTCGCACTGGCAGCAGAAGTGGCTGTGGCACCTGCCGCATAATTTCCTTGAAAAGCATGATCGCCAACCTCTCTGCTACTAGACACAGAAGCCGAGGCCTCAGAACCCGGACGGCTTCCTGGTCTAATAGGCAATTTGGTATCTTCAGGCGGCCAGAGCTTATACACAACCTTCATCTCTGCTTCAGCTCCGTTTTCAACGCAACTGTTGAGTTCGTCCTGCCAGGTTTCCGTCCATGGTTTAAGGTACATATAGCCAGCTTCAAGTCGATTTGCAACTTCCGGTTCGACGGGGAGCATCGAATTTTTATAAAACCAAGTAGCTCTAATGACGGGAGATATGTCATGGACCGGGCTCCAATAGATGGGTTTCATCTAATCCACGAATTAGAATATAACATGGGAAGATTCTCAAAAGAAAATAGACTACCTGCAGCCTCGGAAATTCAACAAGGTGAAGCCGTGAAGCTCCTACTGTCACAGTCGCCTCTGGCTCATCGTTTTCCAGACGCTCGCTCTGAGTATCCCCTTGAAGTTTATCGACGTCTGCGCTTGGTGAGGCAGTTACTTGGGCGGTGGAAGGGCTCGTGTCCACAGAATCTTTACTTAACCTCAATGTTGGAGTTGACCGTCGAATTTCGCGGTCTCGGATGGGAGCTCTGATGAATGGAGATCCGCTAATATTTGTATCATCAGAAGGCCGAATAATGTGAGGAGTCGAATGCCCGCTTGCTTCTTCAGAGACATCTTCCTCAAGGCCCGGGGAAGAGTCCCTATTTCGCCGTGCGGCCTTTGACCTCCGTTCAATGGGAATACTGTGCCTCTTCCGAATATTCCCAATCTCGGACGCTCCGGAGGAACCCCGGTCCCGTGTCACTCGTCTCTGGGCATGGGACTCAACACTACTCCCTCGAAATATATGGGAGGGAGAAGTAGAGTCGCGTGTTTCATGGATATCAACGATTCCATCGTTACTGTGGTGCAGTGGAGTCCTCGAACTCAACTCAGACAGCGTTACGGTAGTCCGTCTGACATCAACATCCTGGCTAGCTGCCTCACCCCTCTTCTTTCCTTGAGCAGTTACTCCGCGCCTCAAACGAACCTGGCCTTCCGTCTCATCTGGATTCTTATCGGGCTGCTCCTCAACGGCACTTTTTAACCTCTGCCATGCTTCCTCGAGGGCAATATTATCGTGCACCGAAAACGGTCGAGGGGGCAGTTTCGTGACATCGGGATTGCTCGAGGGAGCCGGAATCGCTGTAAGAGGATCATCTATTGGCAATGATGACAGGTAAAAGTATTGCGACTGTATTTTTGGAGGTTCGGGAATCCCCAGAGTTGGATCCAAAATCGGTCGCCTTTGCTCTGGAGGCTCGTAAAGAAGGCAGGCCGGGCCGTATGTATGCGCCGGAGTTGCCATTCTCACATTATTTTCACTCAATCCCGCTCAAAATCGTACGAAAACAAATTTCATCTAGGGAGACACGTCAACAGAGTCCGCACTGGCAAAACTAGCGGTTGGTTCGGATTAGCGACAGGCAGCGGCATTATCGGGATGGTGGCATTTGCGCGAGGCAGCAAGAAGCTTTGGATTTAGAGCACATGTATCTTTTAACTAGCCATGAAATAGCATAGGTAAATGGTGGATAATATATTTATAAACAAGAATGAGCACAGAAAATGAATTATATAAATGCAAAGCATCAACAAGTGCGTGTGTGAGATGAAGCTTCAAACGAGGACAGCGAGACGCCAGCACGCCCCCAACGTTGAGTTCGAGCTTCTGGAGTGAGGTAAGGTTAAGCTTGGGCTTGGCGTGCTTGGCAATGATGTCACCGGCAGCCTCTCCCGCTTGACTAACCGTAATGGGCAGATCGAAGAATCCACCCACACGCCGGTCTGCTTGATGCCGGGGGCTAGTGATTTAGTATTGGATCTGGACAGAGGGCAAAATGAGAGATCCGACCGTAAGATACACACGCTCCTTTGATTAATTCCATGTCCAGTGCTTAGGACGCGGAGAGATGGGGATCAACAGCTTAAACACTCATGAAAGCACATGCGCTCACAAGAGATTCCGCCCTGCGTTTGCACAAGACACGACATCATAACTACTTACTTTTATCGAATGACCCCCGGGGGCATTTAATACATCACAACCCTCCTGAAGAAAAGAGAAACAAATACAGGGATACTGAACATCAGCTGCGAAGGTTGGAATTCCCACCCCGGCAGTGGAATTCCTTGCCAGTGCTACTCGTCCTTCGAGAGGGTAGGAGGGTGATACTCCTTTGTAACGCCATGATCCCTACTAAAATTGATTCTTCTTTCCTGTTCCTGCTTCATCAAGGCAAGCGCATTCACCTGAAGCTCCTGGAAAGCAAGAAAGGTGACACACGGCGCTCCCAGCATTTCCAATATCTTGTGAGTATCGTGCATATGTTTTCGAATCACGCTATCCGGGTAGCAGAATGTGCGGACGTTCATCTCTTTAGTGATAATTTTCCAATTGTAGAGAGTGGCATTTAGGAGAACTGAGTTTGCAGCACACTCTCCGTGAAAGGCAAAGTTCTTGATATTGTAAAGAATTAAATCCCGCTGCGTTGCTTGGTCGAATTGGAATTGGACCACTTGCGGCCTGTTTTTAGAGGTCCAGAAATTGATTATCTTCGTCACCGATTCTGCTGACATACGCCCTTCGCGATATTGGTCCATAAGAAACTTGTTTGCGGTCACACAGATCATCAGCTCCATTTCGGAATAGAGCTTAGCCTGGGTCGGAGGATCGAGTGATATGGGGCACTTTGATATTGCCGGTGTCGATGATTTCGATTGGAATGCTATAGAAGTGGTTTTCATGACATCTCCAGTCTGTATTTCGTCCCGCAGCAGTTAGGTAACCCTGAAATCACAGCATATGAAAAGGAGAGTTCCATACCATATCCTCGACGCGTTGTTTGATCTTCTCTCCAAACGCCTTGAAACCCGGCCTTTTCTGCTTTTCAATTGTTGGTGACTTACCCAGCCAACCGTTTTCGCCAAAAAGCTTTTTGTGTGGAGAACGTGGTCGACGCGAGGGTGTCGATAGATAAGCAATTTCTTCGTATTCGTCAAGGTCTTCTAGAACTTTCACAGGAGATCGCGATCTCTGTCGAACTTTTGTTCTGTCCGGTAATTCAGAACGATCTTTGCGCTGCTCTGGATAGTAGCTCGCGCTTGGATACCACTGATGAAAATAATTACCTGAAAACCCGGCGGAGTCGCAACCAGAATGGTCAAAGGACCTGACGTTGCCCTCCGATCGGGATTGAGGAAGTCGCATCGAAGAATGATTGAGCTCCGCTTGGTTGCGAAACGCATTAGGTCCGGGAATGGCAACCATTTCGGGAGCATGCTGCCACAAGGTATGACGCCCCAAAGACCCGCTTGAGTCGGTATGGCTGCTGAGGGAAGAATGGCCACTGCATACTTAGCTAAGATCACGAAAGATGTATTCGGGTCAACGAACTCACGCGTTATACATGATCGGTACTTCCATAGATAAAGGATCAAACTTCACAGGATCAAGTTCTAATACTAGATTTTCGATGCGACTCGTAGGCTGCTCTATTAAGTTCGGGGGCCAGAGGAAGAAGATGAAGAATATGAAGAAAGAAATGAAGTATTTGATATTGTTATTGATGAATTTGTGTGGTGTGGCTCCTATTGTGGTTGATGAGCTTCTGTTGCTAGGCAATGTCCGTAGTGTAAACATTTCCAAAGAAAATGAAGGGTACCTCGACGTCATCCTCAATTGCAGTTGGAACTTTGTTAAAGAAACCACCATTGTAAGTACTGATCATATCCAGTGAATTACTCACTGAATAGAGATATAAGAACTTAAACTTAGCAGTATACACCTATTGTCTAAACAGGAATGGCTTCCAGTTAGAAAAAAATAAAAATGAAAATAAAACAGCAAGAGCATCCAGTTTATCCAAGTTAACATACAGGGAATTAGGGGCCGGGCCCCTAAAAAAGGCATGAAAGCAGAGTATCTGGAAAAAGGATTCCTCATCAGGAAAAGAAGCTGGCGGTTTTCGAGAATTGATAGTGTAACAGAAAGGGAGAGACTTCCCGAGGAGTATTGCTTGAGGGCAGTCTCTAAGCATTGATATAAACAGCTCCCAGTGCTGAGCCAAGGGCGGCGTTAAAGTTTAAAAAAAAAAAAAAAAAAAGGACAGAACATAAGAAAACAATCCTTCACAGGATCGGTTGGATAGTCCCATGAATGTGTGTGTCCTCATGGAAAAGATGCCAAGGACAGGACTCCCGGCGAATGCCGTCTATCTGGTACTGATGAGATATTCCAGAATTATCCAAGATTGACAATCAAGATCATAGAAAGCCAATGTATTATATGCGAACAAAGCATACTGAAGCAAGGTATTGACCGTCGAGTCCGTTTTATTTGAAAATAGAATCATCTCTGATTGTTGATGTCCTCTTTGCACATCACAGTTTCAAAGGGTGGGATTCGATTCAGGCTTCGAGGTTTCTTCGGCTCGAGGCCAAACAATATTTCGCGTTTTCGGTATTAAAATTCCGTACGTCAGTCAGAACGAAGTGTTGTGAATGCCCCTGGAAAACAACGGTGAGGGAGGCGCTTCAGTCCATCATCGAGTCAGCATGAGCTGTTGCCCACAACCCTCGAACATCTGAGTAGTGCGTTGAGCGATTAGAAGAGTTTCATCGAACTCCAGAACTGCCGGCAGTAGCTCCGCTGCAGAGGAGGTGAGGAGGGGCGAGCGGGAAACTTTAATATCTACCGAAATTTTGGGAACGGCGCGCGGAGTGGGATTCCGGAACCCCCACGTGACCGGGCTCGGCGGGACCTCACAGGCCAGTGCGCGGCGGGAAAGGATTTATCCCCCGCTGCCCGGTGTGCTTGGCGCTGTGAAGCGCTACCGCATCGGGCCTAGCAGCCTACCCCAGAGAGGCACTGCGGTAGAGGGCAAGCATCGTGACTAATCGGCTCGCCATTGCACTGTCACCGAGTTTGAATCCGAAGCGACCTGCAACCCCGTCGATCCCCACTCGATGGCTGCTATCTGGCCCCCGGTCAGTACCGACTTTCGTTGGAGAATGCGCCGACGGTACCAGTCTCGAGCAAAAATGCTGTTGTTGCATACCCAGTCATGGAGCCTGGAATTGGCCGCTATCACTGCCGTGTCTTCCAGGACACACGATTCTCTTCCCAAAGAGTGTTTCCATCACGGCTCTGCTATATTTATTATGGCGCTCTGTCCTCAATAAGGAGTGAGCCTTGTTATTCCCTTCTCCCTCCCTGATACTTCGTTACAGTAAGACGTTAGGCGGAAGAGCCATCCTTTCACTTCCTCTCCATCACTCACTCTCCGCCGCACGCCGAGACACGGCAGTCCTACATCATGTCGCAAGAGAAATACGACATCGTTATCGTCGGGGCCGGCCCCGTCGGCCTCCTCCTCTCCCTTTGTCTTTCTAGATGGGGTTACAAGGTGAAGCACATCGACAACCGACCGGTGCCCACCAAAACCGGTCGCGCGGATGGAATCCAGCCGCGTTCCATTGAAATTTTGCGCAACCTCGGCCTGAAGCGCAAGATAATGGCATACGAACCTGCAAAGGTATACAACGTCGCGTTCTGGGACCCGCTGCCCGATGGGAAGGGAATTTGCCGCACCGGTAACTGGCCCAGCTGCCCCGACTTTATCGACACTCGGTATCCGTTCACAGCTCTCCTCCACCAGGGCAAGATTGAACGAGTCTTCCTAGAGGAAATCGAAAAGACTGGAACAGTGGTCGAACGTCCTTCCACCGTCGTTGGGTTCAAAAATGACGGAAAGGATCCCGAATACCCGGTTGAGGTGAACTTGAAGGATTTAGATACCAATGTCCACACAACCGTGCGCGCAAAGTACCTCTTCGGAGGCGAAGGAGCTCGCAGTTTCATCAGAGAGCAACAAAACATCGGCATTCGGCACAAAGACCCCATTGCCCACGTATGGGGTGTCATGGATGGCGTTGTGAGAACGAACTTCCCAGATATTAAGGTAGGACTCCAGTCCCCGTTTGAAATAAGAAGCTTCTCTAACAGGATGTCTAGACCAAATGCACAATTCACTCTGACCATGGCTCTATTATGGTTATCCCTCGAGAAGATGACATGGTCCGTCTATACGTCCAACTGGCGTCATCGACCGACAAGGACTGGAACCCAAGAATGACTGCAACGGTCGACCAAGTTAAAGAAGCTGCAGCCAAGGTCTTCAAGCCATTTGATATCACCTGGGATCGCATCGAATGGTACTCAGTATATCCCATCGGCCAAGGTATCTCGGAAAAGTATACTTTGGACCACCGAGTATTCATTGGTGGTGACGCTTGCCATACTCACAGTGTAGGTTCCACTCACAATGAAAAATCATTCCTAGCTAACACCTTCACAGCCTAAAGCCGGTCAGGGTATGAACACAGCCTTCCATGATGCATTGAACCTTGCCTGGAAGATCCACCTCGTAGAGGGAGGAATGGCTAAGCGTGATATCCTAACCACATATGAATCTGAGCGAAAGATGATCGCCGAGACCCTCCTCGACTTTGATGCTAAATACGCGAAACTCTTCTCCACTCGCATTCCCTCCGTGAGCGAAGTTGATTCTGCTCTCGGCCGCTCCAAGTCAGACGAGACCAACGAGTTCGTCAAGGCTTTCAAATCTGCCTGCGAGTTCACCAGCGGCTACGGCGTCGTCTACACACCAAATATTTTCACATGGTCACCCTCACATCCTGCTCAGTCCCCACTCTTCAACCCCAAGGGCGTGAAACTCGTCCCCGGCCGCGCTCTTCCGACATGCACCGTGACCCGTGTCCTCGATGCCAACCGTGTCGCCTTAGAACAAGAAGTCCCGGCCAATGGCTCCTTCAGAGTTTTTGTCCTCGCCGGCGATATCAACAAAAACAAGACCGCTCTCGCTGACTTCAACTCCAATCTCCTAAAATCCCGCTCTTTCTATTCCACATACTCCCGTCCCGCCGACCAAGCCGTGTCCTACTTTGAGCGCCATAATCCACACTCACGCTTCTTCAGTCTCCTACTTGTCTTCGCTAATCTGAGGGATGAGGTCGAAATATCTTCGCTCCCAAGCACGTTCCAGGCATACTCTCACCATATTTATACGGATGATCTGAGCGACCGATTCGTTCCGGATGCCAAGGCACCAGCACATGAGAAGATGGGTCTGGAGAAGGGTGGCGTAGTTGTGGTAAGGCCTGATGGACATATTGCCTGCTCGGTGGAGTTGGTGGAAGGATCAGGAACCGTGGACGCATTGAATCAGTTCTTTGGATCGTTTTCTGAGAAACCCCTCGGTGGAGAGGCTGGGCAGTCGAGGCTGTGAGAGTAAGAATAGAGTAAGAAGTTGTTCATGCCATGATTTCTAGATATACCTTCGAAGTGTACAGACCACGTTAGTTAAAATGATAATCCATGTTATGTCCTGATAAACTCCTATTATCTTAGCTTCATACGGTTGCGCAGCTTGTGAAGGACAATATTATAACTCCCCTACAGCCCTATGACGTTAGACCACACCGCTTCGTAGATAGCACCGCCATTTCCAAAGCTGAGCTTCAAATTCACCTTTCGCCCAAGATTGCGTTCTGTACTCCACACGTACAGGTTCGTACCTTGCCTTGCCGTGTGGCAAAGATGACTCCCAAATGATAAGTCTGTCGGGGTTAATTACATCTCATGCATTATTTCTCTCCAGTTCTTTACAACTTCCGTAGTCATGCGTAGAAACACTCCGAATAAAATATACAAGACGTCCACGCCTATACATGGACTCCATCTCAGCCTTCTGCATTGAGGTTCATACGCGCTTGATCTCCCATTTCAGCCCCGTAACACTAACTTCTTCACCCGCCTTCTCATCATAATCGTACCATTCTCCTTCCTGCAAATCAATCCCCGTAAAGGGATAATTCGACTCTGCACCTTTGGCTTGCCATTCACCCTGAAAGGCCGCACTCACAGTTTGCCATATTAGAATCTAAAACTCGTGGTCCCGAACAAGGAGTGGAAAAGGTAACTTACATCCGGTATGAATTCCGTAAACTCAAGACCTCGACAGTCGAATTGGATAATCTGCTGTTGGGCTTGGGATTCGGTGTATGCGGATGGGTTGTTGGTGAAGGAGGCAGAGTTTTCGCGCTGCAGAGTTATATCCTTAGCCATGCTGCCAACGGTAGCAATAGTAAATATGTAAACCACAACCGAGCGTGGAAAATAAAAGAAAAAGGAAAGCAAAAGAAGAAAAGAAAAGAAAAGGGATGACGAAATCACTCAAAGCATGCACAGCTGAACACCACTGCGTCATTCAACCTCAATAGAAACAGCAAAAGGGATATCATTCGGGTCTTATATCGGAAAGCAAAGAGCAAACTTTCCACCATTGGCTTATAGAATCCTTATGCTCACTATAGGATGGTAGAGAGAATAGATATCATCTCTGATTCAACAAACTCCCACGACTTACATTGCAGAATCCGCATTTCCAGACGAAATTCGCATCGCCCCTGCTCCCCGATAGGCTGTGTTTCTCCTACATTCATATTAGCTGATATTGTCCCTTCATATGCGTTGATGCATGCGCCAAAAAAGCGAATAGTAACGGGCCGATAAGACTCACCCATCTGTTAAAGCTCACCAGTTTCGGGTGTACCTCCCGACATGATGTGCACTGGACTCTGAAGGAGTAGTGATATGGTGAGTCCTCAGTGTCAGTGGGCTGAAGATCAGTGACTCTAGAAGGCTTGTCAGCTAGGTGATCTGCTTGGTCTCCTTGGTCCTCTCAGTGACATATATATAAATATCCCGGGCATGTTTTATGGTGCGGGCTAACGTACCCTGCGAGAACTGCGGAGACGGTAAGGGCATACATCGCGCCAAGATTAAGAAATCTCTAATTTTACGCAGGATCTGATAGGTTTTCTCGACGTAGATAAACTCAACAATGCCTGCTTGATATTTGAATAGGTGTACGGAGGCTGTATTGAATGCCGCTTGTTGATGGCGGGGGGTTTGGTTAGCTGGCGAATAAATTGAGGCTTTGGCGGGGTGGGAGAATTCTGAACTCATGCTCATCTCACAACCACCAGGGGGTTTTCCAAAAGAAAATAAAAACCACTGCACATTATCAAATTATGATGAAAGCTGTAATAAACGGTAGCTGGCCATACAATTCCTTCAGAAGTTACTGCATTGAAGTATAGTTTTATACGCCCTACCAATGCTTTTGGTTGACTCTACCTGCGTATGGCCAATTCCAAACTCCATCGCGGAATGTGTTACTGGGAGAATGGGTAGAGCGTTATTCAATTTCAACCAACTGAAATTGTACGTAGCTGCGCGGACTATGCTAAAGAACAAAACCTGCCCAGTAAAACAGTTCCAAATCGTACGTAAAGAAGCCACCAAATATATGACGCCATTACTCCAGGGGACTTTTGGACCGGCTTCCGGGCTTACGGTGATAGACACGTGAAGGAATATCATAAAGGAGAGGGGGTATCATCGCAAAAACAAATACAGAGTGAAAATAGACAAGAGCTGCAGATCTAAGGGTATCGGGTAAAAAGGGCGCAACATGCTCAGAACATGACCTGCTGGCCAACGGAAAGATAGAGAAAAGGTAGGCTGCGTGCTCTGGACATAAAGTTATTGGGGTGTAAGGAAACAGGAGATGCTGTGCATAAAATGTGCTAGGTGATGAAATAGCGTCAAAATATGTGCGCAAGAATCATGTAAGGATTTTGAGAGATGGAGTTCGTGGTCGTTGGTTTGCTCGTTAGAAATGCATCGCTCATTCATAATCGTAACTTTGTCGCCGAATATGATTAACCAAAGAAGTATTGAATCATCGCCCAAATTGCGGGATCTTGATCTTCTTTTTCCATGTGGATTTCTTCTTGCGGGCTTCTGATCGCTCCTTGTCCATGCTCTCTTTGCCCGAAGAGTTTGTCGACGAGCCGGAGCTGTGTACACGACCATACTCCTCGGCAAGAATCTCTTCGAGCCGTACATCTGCTTCCGAGGATGCGCGTGGCTCTCCGGGACCGAGATGCTCGATAAACCTCGACGTTAATCCCGGCATTTTGGACAGTGACGCGTGTATTTAACAGGCAGTCTGAGGTGGAGTTGGGAGAACTATTAATAGGGATGCTGCAACAGCTTGATGATGGAAAAGCTTCAGATATTGGGAGCAAGCAACAAATCGATATGTTTGTGGTTCTTCTGCAAGTATCTTCGTTCTCGTGACGACGTTTCGACTATTTTCGAACCTGGGAACCTGGCTAAACGGCCAGCCCCGTGACGAATAGCTCTGGTGTTATAGCAAAGAGCGGTGGGCTTCCCGGCGAACGGGATTCTTCAGGCTGCCGAGATATTCAACGTCCCTTTTTGGTGCTAATGCCCGATAGTCACTGACAACTCGGCGTTCTCCTCACATGTGGTAAATAAACAGCAGAGCAATGCGCAACAGATGCTTGCATTATTGGGATATTGCAGAAAAGACTAAAAACAAAGTTGCGAGAGCTGGGGGTGTTCGTATGTTTATTATTATATGCATCAAAGGACGTTTGAAATTGATCCTTTAGTCGCTAATATTAACTGTCGGCACCCCTTGGAGATGGTGAAATGGACCATGGCTCTGACATGTTGAAGCAGCGGCTGCAATATAAAAATAAATGCATGCAGTTCTTAGTGGAATTCCGAGGGGGTTTGGAGTCGCTTTTGTATGGGCGGGCTCCATCCTCCGAGTGGAAGCGTCAGCTAGCGCCCTTTGCTGAGGGGTTGGTGCAGATTGCACAGAATTCTCCAGTCGGTCGTGAAGAGATAGAGGACCCGGCGCCCTTACGCATCAATAAGGGGCCCTTACCCTTGTGATGTCCTCCCATATTGGTTAAAACGTCGACTGAAGGTTTTGCCCCAGCGCTCGGGGTGATGAAGACGAGCGGATCGACACGTTTAGCGTCCTTCACGCCAAGGGATAAACCCGAGCACACCCTAGTCCCGATGATGATGTTTGTCCGTGGAAAATGAGTTCATCGCGGGGCAGTGTATATTGTCCACCGATGAATCGACTGCTGGAGGATGGCGGGAAGGTTCATGTGTGGCGTCCTGGCCACCCTCCATCGCCTGGACTTGTCGTCCGATGCTGGTGATCAAGTCACACGGGCGCACTCTTTTTCCAGGGCAAAAAGACGCACGGCTGGAAAATCAGAATTTCATCCTACCTACGAAACGGATTTCTACTGGACCTGTCTCATCCTAGGGGCGATTTATCGACAGCCTCTTCTCTGCTGCCTTGGCTGCAGACGCTGTGGTGGCGGTTCCCAAGCACCAAAGGCTTCGATCTCAGCTTTCTCACAGCCTTGGTGATGTCAGTCGCCAGCTAGTTCACTAGCTAATTGCGTACTTAGAGGAGTGAACTCATCACTCAAGCCACAAGAGCAATTGGAGTCTCGATCCAGTCACTAGTTATTTCACCGCTAGCTTCAACGAGACCGCCATTCCCAATCCTTGATGACTTCCAGACGAGGACTCAAACCAAGAGTGAATGTAGTTGATTTACGCACCCCGTTACCCTTCCCGCGTCCAATGAACCCGTCGGGTTCATGGCATTCCCACGAGATCCATGATTTTCTAGAGCGTCGATCTCCAATCATCCCAGATACCGGACGGGGGCCTCTTTCAAGGCACTAGGTCTTGTTTCAGGCCGGGATGATGCTCCTTGAAACCGCAAGGTTTCTGATTGGCACACAATGACACACTTTGTCCGCAGAAAGATACAAACTCTGACACATCGAAGCCACTGGAGAATCGAGATCATGAATACTAGGCATATACAAAACAACACGGACTACCAGGTCGCCGCTCCAGATCTTAAATGGAATATGATGCAAAATGAGGCAAAAGAGGCTCAGAGAAGACGTAGTCGCTGACCTACTCCCAGCGGACGTTTCGCACAACTTCATCGTATACGCAATGAGCTGAAAACCCTTTGATAACCGTACGGAGTATTTTCAAATAAATTCTTCTCTTTAAAGTGCGCGTGAGTTAATTTGATCGAGCGCAGCATCCGAAATCGCTTCAACTTCCAAACCCGCCCAATCCACAAGTTCGGGGTGCCAATGAAGAGACAGGAAGCGCTCGCGATGCGATCAGCCCTTCCCGATATGTATAGATCCTAAGTTGCGTGTTCCAAGCACTTTTCCTGAGCTCCCTTTTAAATATATGGAGGTCCACAGGACGCGTCTCGCAATCAGCCTCATTAGTCAAAGGTCTTTATTCATCCCGATAACGCCGTTCCCATGTATAAAAACTCATGATTGCTTCGATACGCTCAGCCCGCCATCTCTACGTCCTTCATCTCCACCCCCTTCGCGGCTGATATCCAGAGAACGTTATTACACCTAAGGACATTGAAGTCAGTTAGGACACAGTGAATTACACCGAGGAGAGACACTAAAATTCGACGAGAACTCTCCCATTGGAAAATGTAGCCAGAAGCGCCTACGTACCGTATCAAAACTTGACCCAAAGTCCCCGTATTCTTTCCATCGATAAATTCTTCCGTATTGGACAGCTGGATATTCATATATGAATCCACACTGACTAATTGACCCTTATATTCGGTCTGACCCCATTTCAGGCGAACGATAACATCTTCATTGACCCTGCAAATGGAAAAAAGCACCCATGCATTAGCAATTTGTTGTTTAAAACCAAAAGGCCGGCACATGAGATCGCTCGGTTAAGAGCAGGCTTGAATAGGAAACACACAGAGACTGCAGCATAGGCCGCGGGTTGAGAGGAACAAACTATAATGCAGGAAGGAGTTAGTACATAGAGAGCAAATTCGCGCGGGATCGCAGGGACAAACATACACTCATTTTTTGTGGGAAGAGATTAGGATAGTATTAGCTAGATCCCAAGAGAGCAATGCGCGCGAAATAGAGGACAGGCGGAAGAACAATATGGATTGATACGCCGAACCTCCTCTAGCTTCACTCACCTTGACGCTCCAAAGTGAAAGCCTCAACGCGACGAGCTGGACGGATTTGGCTAGTCTGCATCGCCGCTCTAAGTAGAGATTATGTCATCGCTGGGTACAGGTGGTTCAACCCCCAAACAGGCAGAGATACCTAGCGTGGAGGATGTGAAGATATCCTTGAACATGTATTAACGGAATTGAAATTTGGGAAATAGATTGTGTGTTGTGAGTGAATTGGGGGATGTGTAGTTAGAGTGTCCGTTGCCCACGGTTTCTCCACGCTCACTTCAACGAGACGGGATATTGATTATCGCGCATGCCAAGTCCATGAACTGTATCAACATTTTATACTCCCTACGCTCTCTCTGAATTGATTGTATGCGTTGCATACTTAAGATCCTTCGGAGCTCTGGTATTTGCTCCTCTCTGCAGACCAAGTCCTAGTATAGAATGTTAACTTGATCATAGGAACGAAGACATTGGATCCAGCCCCATGTTTTCCGCCAGCAGTACGATTATATCAAGATTGAAGAATAATATAGAGAAGCTACCGGTAACATTAAAGCTTTTTTCTTTTCTTATCTGGCTATCCTAGTCTTTCAAAATTTACCTATACCCGCCGACCAAACATGTCTTCATCCCAATCGCCTGGTTCAACATCATACTTTGAACAGCAGCGCGCGGAGCTGCTGAGAGAAATTTCACTGGTGAGATTTCACCCTGTCCTTTTCGGTTTACATGGCTGGGAACCGCCTGAGAAATGGCTGTGCATATTGCCTTGATTAGCAGCTATGTTTCAAGGCACCGCAACCATGTCTCTGCACTCGGCCATTCTTTTCAATTGCGAGAGTTTTCAAGGCCTCGCCCTTTTCACCTGTCCAGACCATTCTAATCACATCCTCTCCCGACTTCCCAGAGTTTTGAACAAGTCCTCCAAAATATAAACCGATTAAATCGAAATCTGGAAAGCGTCATCGCAGTATGTCACCCAACCCGTTCCTCTCCCAAACCAACAACACGCTATTAGTACGCATTTCTTACCCAGGTTTAGGTTGGAAATGAATTTTCCTCCGTAGAAGCTTTATGGTCTCAATTCGAAAACGTCATGGCCAAAGATGGCGAGGGCAGTGGGGAAAAGGAACATGATGACGAGCGTGCGAGAGAACGGGAAGATTCAGAAAGAACTCCAAAGGGGGACGGAAGTCAGAGCCCGGGTGCGGATGAGGTAAAACAGGAAGGTGATGATGAAACAATGAGATGATGGCGCTTAATGATGACAGTGGAGGTCCCCGTTGAATTCTTTTGCTCCTTTGGCATTTAACGGAGGAGATGGCTACTTCATTTGTCTGATCGTCTACGGATGCAATACCTATCAAGGTGTGTTGGCGTCTCATGTATATAGAACTAGTTAAGTTCGCTCCAACCCGAAGAGAATTGAATAGTTTTGTCTAATCAATGTCGTACACATGCTGCATTAATCTGGTTCCCCGACGTACAAAAAAGCTAGCCTCAATAAACACCGAACCCATGCATAATATCCTCCAGAAAGCCTACCAGATAAGCTTTCGTAGCAAAACAGGTAAGTGATATAACAGGATGAGTAAAAGGAAAATATTTTTAGAGTTGACAGACATAATCCGCTAGGGGAATGATACACATCATGAGGAGCAGAAGTGAAAATGGACAAATGGACAAGAGTTGTAGTTTAAGGGGCCAAAGATAAGGATGGGATCATAGCGTCACCGGTGAAAATAAAAGAAACGGCACGCCAGAGAGAAAGAAATAATAGGGAAGCGGATGTCCCATGGCAACAGGACATGCCATATCATCCTGTTGCTCATCATACATCATCGACAAACTGAAATATTCGCATGTCGCTCGCTCGAATACCGAAAATCGTCTCGCAGGCATAAAACATAAGCTCGTGGCCTAAAAAGCTGTTGCTCGTTATGTTTTGTTTACGAATCGCCTAAAGAATCTTGCAAGATCGCTTCTTGATCTTCTTGCCACCACCTTGATGGCCACCTCCGTGGGAATTCCAGCTGCTTTCTTGTATGCCCACCGCTGTGTTGACTGCAAGCTCAAACACCTCATCGACACCTCTCATCTCCTTGCTGCTGCATTCCACATACAAGGCGCCCATCCGTTGAGCCACAGCTTGGCCCTGTTCAGGCGTGACTGGCGTTAATCCTTGACTCTTGAGAAGTTCGATGCAAGTGCGCTTCGTTCGTAGATCGGATTTGAGGCCAACTAAGATGAGCGGGGTGGTGGGGCAGAAATGGAGGACTTCAGGGTACCACTACAAACAGAGATGAGCTCTTTGTTTGATTCTCGATTTCTAGGCAAATTAAGAGAGAAGTTCGAAAATCGCGTACCTTGTCCATTACATTTTCCAGTGAGACCGGACAGTCAATAGCGAAACATACAAAGAGAAGGTCTGTTTCCGGATACGAGAGCGGCCGAAGTCTGTCGTATTCTTCTTGTCCTGCAGTATCCCAAAGGGCTAGCTCAACAGTCTTGCCCGACGGGGTATGCGTAGTTTGGGTGATATAATTTTCAAAAACTGTAGGAACGTATTTCTGCAATGCGATTAGCTTCCGTGTCCGCTCGAAGATCTCATGCACTTTATCGGGCGCCAACTCACCTCGGGAAAGTAGCCTTGGGAATAGCTGATTAGCAGGCAAGTCTTGCCGCAGCCCCCATCGCCGACAACGACAAACTTTTTCGAGTACGATGGAGGTTGTGTGATGTTTGTTGCTTGAGACATTCTTCCTGTCGATACACTCATGGTGGTGCTAACTGTGCCATTGCTTGCGCGCGTACTCTGGCTTCTGACTGGCTTGCGGCGAGGCGATAAGGAAGAAGGGCCTTTCTCGTTCACTACCGATGAGTGACGTCGGATATGTCCACCGTAGGTGTGTTGTTCTTCGTAGGCGCGACCTGACATTGCTGAGACGGATGTGAAAGAAAGAGGGAGTGATCCGAAGGAGGAAAAAAAAAAAAAAAAGGAAAAGGAATCAAAGACCCTCTACGAGCTATTCGTTCAGTGTTTGATAGAGGACTTAATAACGACAATGCGGTTTGCAAGGATAGAGGTCTAAACAATAGCGGCTCACAGAATGGAGAGGGAAGAGAGAAATGTTGCTGCGGGAGGAGGATTTCTGTTTGTGATCAAGTGAAGAACTTCTGGGGAGCGATGCGACTCCCATCAAGAAAAAGAGGTCGTATAAAAGAACACGCACAGCGACGCCAATTGAATCTGCCCTGTAAGGCACGGAACGGAAGCCCACTGTTTACCCCAAGACGCTGCCATGGCAACGGGGCGTTTGGGCACGGTTGCAGCCACGCTATTGGTGCCAACCCCTGGCGAACCCTCCGATCTGCATGCTCACTACATCATCAGACCGGGCGAGATTGCAACCCGTCGCGGTCTCAGGAGCTTGAGGAGGATGTCAAGATGCGATATTTTTGGGCGATGGGCCCTTGCTGGAGACGGAGAATCGCTCTGGAAAGGGGAAGAAAGGACCAGCCATCGGCAGTCCGTGAATCAGCTCGGCTCTATTTCGTACTACTGGTGGATCATGGGGGAGATTTCGACATCAGTGGAATCCACCTGTGGAGTCTGTTCAGTTCGCTGCAAAGCTGGTTTGTACGGAAGACGCATCCTACGCAACTCTCCTCCGTGCATCGGAGGGGTTGCTTCGACCCGTTACGGTTACATAAATAAAGGCTGACTGAAGATGGGGAATACGGAAAAGTTGGCATGAACCTTAACTCAAGTCTCCAAAAAACTGTCAATATCCTGGAATGTGGCAGAGTCATACTGTCTTGGAGAGCAAGATACTACAAGAGACAACCGCATTCACAGGATAGAGTATTTTCTGGCTCTTGATGTGTCCATGCATGTCCATTAGGAAAAACGGTTGCACAGATACGGGAGTTCTTCCGGAGTAACACACACTAACTAATCGTATTTTGGATGGATGACCGTTGTGGGCTTTGCTGTTTGGGCTGCCGTTCTTCGGCTAAACATACTGGGCAGTGCTGGGGTGCAGGGTCGGCTATTCTTGCACCCAGCTGGGCCTTGGCGCACACACACCTTCCGTCATCTCCCAAGGGAACTGTTTGAAACAGCCAGAAGCTGCTCGGAGAATTACCTCACGTGCTTGAGGAGAGATAAGGATGGCACTGGATCTCTCCGAGGCTGTCTTGTAAACTCTTATGGACAACAATTGCTCTCGCCTCTCCACTCTGTGCAAGTTTTTTGCAGAATCACTTTCCCCCATGATGCACCGTTGTTGAACAAAGCCTTTGAAGTTGAGGGCTGCTTGCTCTTATGGCCGGGCCGGCTTATCCAGGGAACAAAAGTATCAAAGCTCTTCTGAGACCTGATAATCTTAAAATATGAACAAGGACAAATCACAACCAGACGCAGGCCTGAGAAGTCTGACCCATTGTATGTGCCGTACATTCCCAGTAAACACAGGCACCGTACACCCGGAGTATCAAGGAAACACATTGCCGAATCTGCTGCTGATTGCTTGATTCATCCTATCCCAGATCAGCGAAGGCTCCCAGCATGGCGGCACTGGATGCGACAGAAGACCCTCCCTCTGGTTCGATGGGAGACACCATATCTCGCGTGGCTGCAGGAACGCATGCGCACTCCCACCCTTGATACATGGTTTGCCATCAGTGCAAATCTCGGCACTCACACATTCTACATGGTCATGCTACCCATCCTCTTCTGGTGCGGGCATTCTCAATTCGGCCGCGCGTCAGTGCACACAACCCTCGCGGGATCATGCAAAATGTTGACAATCTGGATAGCACCGTTCATCTTCTTGCATCTGGCGTCTTCTTTAGTGGGTTCATCAAAGACTTACTATGCCTTCCTCGACCGCTTTCACCTCCTCTGCAGCGAATTACCATGTCCGGCTCTGCAGCACTGGAGTACGGATTCCCCTCGACCCATTCCACGAACGCCGTTTCTGTGGTGGTCTACGCGATGCATAATTTGAATTCCGCCGCATCTGCCTTCTCACCCACGTCGAAGGCAGCTCTTCAGTTCCTTCTGTTCATATACGGGACATCTATTGTTCTGGGACGGTTATACTGTGGCATGCATGGGTTCTTGGATGTGGTTGCAGGCTGTCTACTGGGAGCTCTTTTGGGATTTATACAGTGTTCGTATGGCGCTGCGATCGACGCTTATGTTCTTTCGGGAGGCATTCAGGGACCACTTCTCGTGGCTTTGGTGGTTCTTGTGCTAGTTCGGATTCATCCGGAACCGGCGGATTCTTGTCCATGTTTCGATGATAGCGTTGCTTTCGCAGGCGTGATGATTGGGGTCGAGCTAGGCGGGTGGCATTTTGGAAAGACGAGATTTGGGCTACCGGATCCTATCCCAGGCAGTATCGTATTTGATCTTGAAAAGATCGGTTGGGTTAAGGCGGTGTTGCGGATTATCCTTGGCGTTGCCACCGTCTTTGTATGGAGAGAGGTCATGAAGCCGTCCCTCCTCCGAGTTCTTCCCCCGCTGTTTAGACTTATCGAGAAGTCGGGCTTTAGTTTGCCGAGACGATTTTTTACACAAGCTTCGTACGGCCACCCTTGTTTTTTGTTTTCTATGCGAAATCTAGCGCAAGGGTGGATGGCTAACTGGTTCCTTGGTGTAGTGAGTATAAACGAGTCCCTGATCACCTTAAAGACGACCATGTTATCCCCAACGTCGCGGAGATACCATCCATGCTCACATCCATCCGCCATCCACGCCGGCGCGCGATCTCCATTGGACCGCAGTCGGAAGCCGACGCTTACGAGACCCTCGCCTATCGCGAGCATCGAAGGCGCCTAAGCACGTCCTCTCCGGATCTGATACGAAGTGCTGGACCGTCGCCCTCCGCCGCTGGGGACGACCATAGTAATATCCCCACCCCAACCTCCAACCCGATACGCCAACAGTCACAAAGATCGGCCAACAGAAGTCCACTGAGGCTCGATGAATACAAAAACATGATGGGAACCGGGTCTCCAACCTGTGAGAAGAATGGGATTAATGCGTTCCCCGGCGTGGCGGCGCACTCACTGGACTATCCATACAAGTCCCAGAATGAAGAAGAGATGTTCTCGATGATAACTAAGCCACGGGTTCGCTACGACGTTGAAGTTGTCACGAAATTGATAGTGTATTCTGGTTCGCACTGCCGCCCTTCGTTCAACTTGGTCTTCTCTCTCATGCAGCAGAGTTTTTGCTAACTCGCACACTCAGGGATCGCATGGCTAGCGGTTGAAGTGAACCCAATTTTGTTTCACTTTCTCGGACTCGACCGATAGAGGCTGCACGTTGGTTTCATTGCCAGCCGGATGTCGCCAAATTATTTTCAATTCTCCATTTTCGGCGCCCTTTTTTGCTGTTACGTCAAATAAGAACGGAGAAATTAGAATGGTCCTAGATTTCCTGGTGGGCTTTCAATTCCATAATCATGGTTGCTTGAATATTTGCATATTAGAAGCAGGCTCCTAGATACACGTTTAATGATGATGCGAGTACGGAATTTTGCAACCAGTCCGGGGTATAGGAGGCCACCTTCTAGTCTATTCACACAGCAAATTGAATGAAGTGACTGTCCCTAGTTAATGAACTTCCACTTCACCAAAAAGAACCATCGCTACTCTGTATATAAACTGCCAGTTAAACATTGCAGCTCTGAATCGCGGCAAAGCCACCAGTCTCTCTGCGCCACCGTCAGTGTCATCAACCCCGTAAACGGCTGCAGATGTCAGTTTTAAGCTCGGAAAGATCTACCCAGCATCATGATAATGAAATTCTCGATTTTTCGGTTAGCGTCCCTCGGGGGTTTGCGAACCACCCATCATCATGATCTGCCAACCCGTTTCCACCGATGGCCCGTGCGCCCGTCGCCTCGGCCTCAGCGCGCTAAGCCCCAAGCGGCAAGGGCGTCTGTTTATCACGTGACAGCGCGCCAAAAGTCGTGATGGGCGGCAGCCGCCGACCAGCAGAGCGCAACTCCAGCGGGCCTGGCGAGGGTGAACTGCGCTGGATTTCCCTATCAAGTAACCTTGACGTCGCCTCTGTCGCCCCGGACTACATGTCTGTCCCCAGTCTCCGTCCCTACCTTCGCCCTTTTCCTTTCCCTTCCCTCTCTTCCCTCTCCTCCTCTTCCTCCTCTCTTCTTGCAATCTTCCTCCTCCTCATCCTCACCACTACTACAAACCTTTCCATCCGCAACCTTCATTCATTGTTCCAGCTTCATTTACTCACTGCATTTCATTCTACTCCATCTATCTACAAGGAACTCCTTTTCATCTTTGCATACCCTACATTGCAGCTGCCAGCATTTGATACCCTTGAAGCTGTAGCAAATCAATCCCTCACACCTTACTTTTTTGTTTGGACTCTCACAAGCAATCTGTTCTCTACTGCCTTTTGTGATTGAGTCCATATCTGATATCTTGCATCCTTGCTTGACAGAGCCTGGACATATCTTGTCAATCCAGCCTCTATTTCAACTTGAGCTCATCCTTCTCTATTGTGCTATCACAATTTTTTTTTTTTTTCTCCCACACCTATCTTACTCCTCGATTACTCTCTCTTGCGAGCATTTTCGCCAATTGCAAGCTAAAAGGCCTCTTGGAGCTGCTTCTTGCACGTATCGTCTTCATAATATCTCACTTTTCCGTCCTCCTTCGCACCTAGCAACGCGCATCCTTGTCGATTTTTAATTGCCAGTTTACCTCTTGGGGGGACACGATTCTACGTGCGGCGACGCGGTGCTATATCCTCTCAATTTCCTCACTTTCGAAGCTCTATCCTCACTACGCGACTGAAGTGAGACTCTCTGTTGTGTTCCTCGGCCAGAATCGCGTTGACACTGAAAAAAATTTTCAAAACAAGGAACACAACATTCTAATTCGGTAATAGTCACGCTTTGTTTACAAACTTGACGGGACTCTCCTGACCTCGCTTCACTTTTTATCAAATTTTTACCTGTCCCACAGATCCTCTACCACGGCAACTTATTTTCTATCCTGCTGCCACCGTCTCTCCTCTTACTACCTCACTCTCCATCACTACCTTACATCTTAACGCTTCTCGATCAGGCTTTACGCTTGCCATTTACTTCTTCTTTACCATTGCCAAAAAGCCTTTCGCAAATCACATTTCTCGTACATACACCACCAACGCGTCATATCCTCCTCCTCGCTTGTGTCCACAACCTCTCATCTCCTTCCTCCTTCATCTCCTATTCTTCTTTTGGCCTTTGCCACCTTCCCAAACCTAGCCCGTTCTTGTATCCAGTTCCAACGGCAGCTTTTAACATGGACTCGCAAAGCAAGGACCAAGGCCAGAATAACGAACAGCAGATTCCCCGAACGCCACCACGACGTATTGTCTCAGGGCTACAGTGCCTGAACTTAGTCTACGCTCCCCAGCCTGCGACCTCGAGTGCTAATATGGAGCAACAACCGCCCCAAGCGTCACATGAACGTATCCTCCCCGGACTTGGGAGCTTGAGCTTAGACTCGCCGTCCCAGCAGAAGGCGTCTGAGAGCCCAAAAAAGACCAAGCGGGAGCCTTATCATGTTCCTGGCTTCATTGTAGAAGACTACAGTGATGGCGAGCAAGAGACTCGAAAAAGTGCAGCAACAACAAAGGAGCCTACCGACCCTTTGGCCTTCTTCACTGAATCTCTTGGTCGCCAGCGAGAGGGCGAGTCTAACAAACCAATAGGCCATGATAGCGATGACGAGCTTGATCGGATTCTATTCGGAGGAACACCACCCAAGCCCAAGGAAAGTCGTCAGAACGTGCCACGCCAAAGCACGCCCCCAAGTGGATACGACTTTGATATCGACCTTTTGGCCGAGCAAGCAGCCCCTGACGGTGTAGAAATGCAGCCGGACGCCCAGGAGTCGCGTCAAGCCACATGTCCAGGTGGGTATGAAACTCCTGTGGACTCTAACCCTTCCGGCCAGGCCCAGGGAGAAGATTTTGGCGACGTGGAAATGAGCGAGGACGACCAGCAACCTCGTCAAAGCGCACCTTCAAGCGGACATGTAGATCCTGCGTGCTTCGACACCTCGGTTTATACGCAGCTTGCACCTCCTGACGATGTGCAAATGAGCGAAGGCGAAAGCCAGGATTGCCAGCAGCAGGTTCCGCAAAACCCAGCACCGGCTGGCTTCTCGGCTGCCCAAGGTTTCAATGTATGCCTGCCCCAAGAAACTCATGGTGATGTGACAATGAGTGACGTCGATCAGGAGGTTTTTCAAAACCTCTCGCAGAGCGACCATTCATATCCCCCGTCGCTAAACGGCGCCTTTCTGGCTCAGCAAGCAACCTCCGTCGAAATCACAATGGGCGAGAGCGAAAGTCAGGATTCCAGGCAGGTTCTTCAAAGCCCATACCCGCCTGTCGTGTCACAGCCTCCGAATTTTACGACCGCGCCCCTGTTCCAGCCTGCTCCTAACGTCGGAGTACAATTTAATGCTTGCACTCAGACAACTGGGGCCCTGGACACAAATCAGGGTCAGGCTGTTGGACTGCAAACATTGCCGTTGTCGCTTGCTAACCCGCCGCTCCCTCCAGTCTCGCCTTTCGACAACGGGTATGTTTCGGGCCCGGGACAGGTCCAAGCCCAAGTTGGGCCAAATGGTATGCCCTTCAGAGTTGCTGATCTACTGGACAGTAATCCTTATTGCCCTGGATTCGACATTAGCCGGCCGTTCGTCTCTGCGTACGCGAAACCCGCGCCTCCCAAGCCCGAGTCCCAGCCCCTGGCAATCCCAATATCCAAGCCGAAGCCCAAGTTCGTGCCAGCACGGCCCAGCTGGCAAAACCATTCGGTCTATGGATATCTCGGTGGTGGTTTCAGTGCTGCACTTCCAAAGGTATTCAACCCGGCTTTGCCTTACCACATGCAGCTCCGCCCAAGATACCATCCCTATCAGATCCCTTCCCGTTCTATGGTTAAGTTCCCGGATCCTTGGAATACATTGAGGCCAAATCCTCGGAGAAACCTGCCAAAAGTTGCTAAGCTCTCTGAGCCTATCCTAAACTTTGGCGCCGTTGCCTCCCGTTCTTCTCTTTCAGTTCCCAAACCGCAGGCTGTTCCGTCAACACAGCAGGATGACAAGTCGCTAACAGAACGCCAGGAAGCTAGCACGGACGCATCGCGTAACGACGTATCGGCGTCACAGCCGCTCGTGCCGACCCCGGACTCTGATCCCCAAAGCGACGAATCAAAACGCCAACAAGGATGTGACGGAGACACTGTTGTGTCTGGCAAGACACAAAAGCTCTCTCCGGTCAAGCGGAAGATCGATGAGGTTGAGGATCCAATGCAGAACGAGATCGACACAGGGCGGGCAAGTCGATCCCCATTGGTAAGTCAATGTTTCCCGGTTAAACGCACAACGGCAATATGATGATCCTAACTGATGCAGGTGGAGCTCAAGCTGGCGAATACCGTCTCTCTTGGAACTGTTGCGAAGTGTGCTTGTCAGCTTTCAGGGTCTGAAGGATCTAAAGCCGACGCAGGAGATGTAATATCTCCCGTAACTGAGAAACTGAACGATTTTGGGCTGACTTTTCTTTCAGTTTGTGATGCAGCCAATTCCCGGAAGCTGGCCGCGTACCCCAACGCGTCCATCTCCCATCAATCACGATCTCTCCAAGGAAGCTTCTGGCAATGCGTCCGGCGTATGTGCCAAGTGCAAACATGGTATGTTATTCGAATGTATCACATTGATACATCCTCCCCCCACCGAAAAAAAAAAAAAAAAAAAAAAAAAAAAGGAGCTGCTCTGACGTTAAGAACAATAGGCAATGCCATGTCGAGTTCGTCCTTTGTGCCCTCGCCAATTCCTGCACAAAATCAACCAACCTGGGTGGTGTACGCCAAGAGAATCCTCGGAACCGTCAAACGCCAGGTCAGCGAATTCTGCAAAGCCTGTCCCCCGGCTCGCAAATTCATGACCTGGTGCGAATACAGAAAGAGACAGCGAGAGGAGCAACGGAACCAGCGCCAATCCCAAGTTCCAGTTGTTCACGTAACCCCGGCCTCGCTCCCAACGGTTACACCACCCGGTGTTGTCACGCCGCCGACTCATGTCTCGAGTCGTCGATCTACCGAGCCGCGTCCAACGAGCAAGGCTGTCCGAAAGGACAAGGCGCCGTCCCAGCGTGCCAAATCCAAAGATTCCGTCCAGGGAATCTCCAGCGGACGCGTCATGAAAAGCGAAGCTAGTTGGAGAGGTAGTAGATCGATCCAGAGCACCAGCGAGCCCGGCCCTAGGCGCCAGCCAAACAACCGAACACCCTTTAGGGGCTTCGGTCGGTCTAGGGCAGCGAGAGAGCAGGTGCGTCAAGAGCTCGAGACAAAGATGGCGGCATGGTTCACCTCGTCCCCCCGCCCGAATCTTCCATCTCTCCAGGAAGAGATGTTGCCAGTTCAGCCTGAGACACCGGCCGGAACCCCTCTGACTATTGTCGAGGCCCAAGGTGTTGCCTCTGCTGAACCAACAGCAATATCTCAACCTGCGTCTCCCGTCGCCGAGCCGGTCCGCCCCAGTGAAGAACCGCGGACCAAACAGAAGTCTGTCCATTGGTTGCCATCCACGACCCCGCGTGGACGTCCAATCTCGTCAGTCAGGGTTTTTGACCCACAGGCTTCTGTTTTCTCGGTGGCAGCCAAAAGGGAAGATTCGAAACGCCCAGCCGGTCGACCAACCCCCCGAATCCGTCAAGGCCCGATCATCCGACCACTCCCGGCCAAGTGGGAGTCGAAAGTCGATACGGCACTGTCCCAACCCGACAGTCGTCAGCTCGGCACCACACTCAGTGGAGATGCCCTGACACGCCGTGACTTTGCGACGTGCGCAACACCGTTGGCTTGGCTCAACGATGAAATCATCAATGCGTACCTCGCATTAATTATCGACTACGCTCGTCGGTCATCGGGTAATTTGGGAAGGCACCACCAGCCAAAGCACCACGCCTTCAATACCTTTTTCTACTCTAGCCTTCGTGACAAAGGCTACGAGTCCGTACGGCGTTGGGCATCTCGTGCCAAAATTGGGGGTCCATCATTGTTGAGAGTGGAGTCAGTTTTCGTGCCCATTCATAACCATGCGCATTGGACTCTCATGGTGGTCAAACCGGCTGTTCGAACGATCGAACATTTTGATTCCCTCGGCGGCAGCTCTTCCGCCTACGTCGCCAAGATCAAAGAGTGGCTCCGAGGTGAATTGGGCAATCTCTTCGTCGAAGAAGAGTGGCGGGTTCTCCCATCGACCTCCCCGCAGCAGAATAACGGCAGCGACTGCGGTGTGTTCCTTTTGACGACCGCCAAGTTGGTGGCGTTAGAGCAGCCCCTGTCCTACGGGCCAAGAGACATACCCGCGATCCGCAAGAGGATAGTTGCCGAGCTGATGAACGGGGGTCTAGATGGAGATTTCGACCCGAAACGAGAGTTCGATGTTAGATCGTTGCTGTAATGGCTTCGTGATAGCACGGCTCTCTCCTCGCCAATTTGATTTCGGGTTGGATGGGATGAGGTTAAACCATAAGAGCGGGTATGTGCAGTCAAATTCTAACTTTTCTAACAGGGGAATGAGGGATCAGTTCTGTATATAGCGTTCGTTCCGGGCGTCGTTGGGCAACCTGCGATGTTTCTGGGATGTTACTCTTTTTTTTTTTTTTTCCAGTCCCATGTAATACGCCTGCCGGACCTGCTCACAGGGTAACCTGCTGTAGTATTGGGCTGGGGGTGTTTCGCTTTTGTTTATAGTAATTCGCTCATCTTGTCCGCCTGGCTGGGGTAACCTGGCTCAGTTGACGGTGAGAAGCGTCTTACGCATTGCAATGCGCCCTCGTTGGCTGCTGGCGGTTTTATTTCGTTGTTGTCTCTTCGCACAGTCATGTAGTCCCTCATTCCCCTGTTCACGATGCACTTACTTGCTCTCAAGGTCGAACTCGCTGGCAGTATTACGGACAACCATCGGCAAAATCAAAAGGATCGATCGATCTCGAAAGGGTCTCTCTCTGTGGCGGGCAGAAAAAGATATTAGCTGGGCATTATTCGCTGACTTCGCGCATCTTCCAAAATCGATAACAACGGGACTTCTATGGCGTTGATTCGGTGTTTCGACGATGACTCTTTTACCCTGACTTTATATTTCCCTCCGTCGGACGCTGAAATCTTGACATGAGCTTGGGTTGGGGCTCTTAAATATTTATTTCGAACAGGCGTCCAGTCGGCTTGTACCTCCATTTTGGCATATGATAATGGCGTTTTGCGGCCTTTACTACAACTTTTGATACAAAAAGACCTGGTCTTGGGTGGTTTACTTGGAGTTCATGAACGATAAGGGTTGGATCTGGTGTTTGGTTTGCTGGGATCGTGCTATAATGAGTGTCTGCTTCTGTTGTTTTTTGACTGGTTTTGCATTCTGGCATAGCTTGGTGCTTTGGTTGGGGCTTTTTTACTTGAAGAGCATTTTACGGATGGATACCCCCCTTTTTGCCTACCTTCTGCGTTGTCTTATTTTGCGAAGGGGTCGGTTGAATTGCTTGAAATGATCGAACTGAAACGAATGGTTTGGGAAGCCCGTCGCATCTTTGGTACTTGGGAATGTTCAAGGGGCAAAAAAAAATAAAAATAAAAATAAAAAAAAATGTACAATATGTATTATTATGCAAGACCGGAAGGCGACGCTCCCCCATGAAGGGTGATTGATAGCGTCTAAAAAATTTGAAGACCTTTTTTTATCATTTGGTATCGTTGTATCTTTAATTATGGCTTATTGTCTGGCTGACTTCGCTTTTTTTTTTTTTGATCCCTATCCTCTGGAGGGATAGATCTGAGAAAAAAGGGTTTCCAGGTGCATAGTTATGTAAAGCTTAAGAAGGCTGAAGCTCACTAAGTGTTGTATTTGTGAACTTGGTCCAGGTAATCATCAATTTTTGGGCTATGTATGCTGGCATATCGTCTAGCTACTTGCTACAGAGCAATTAGAGGTAAATAGACATTTGGCCGTCCTGAACGCTACACATTCTTGATTCCGGTCGTTGGCGTCTCAGTGTTGCTCCCAAGATGCGTCCCACACAACCTCAGGGACGCCGGTCATACCTACGTCGTCAATCTGACAGACAACAGCGCATTCGAGTTTCTTGGAAGGATTCCCACCATCACGATCACCGCTGTGACTATCTTCGTGATCATAATCAGAAGCATACTCGCCCTGGTCGTAGTCGTAATCGCGGTCTCGGTCTTCCTGTTGAACCGGACGTCCATCACGATTGCCATCATTGCCTTCAGGATTCTTCTCTGGCTCCCCTGCTGCAGGTTTCATCCTGCCCAAGTTGAACCTATGACGCCAACGACTCCTCCAGAAATAGCTACGAAACCGCTCTCCCCAGCGATTGCCATGGTCCACATACTGGGTGTGGGGGTCATGTGTCTCTCCAACGTGCTGAGTGGAGGTATTGTATGCGATTTGAATCCATTCAACCCCCATATATACCGATTGGCCTACAGACATATTTCCCGACCACATGCCGCCGTCACTCCACAAGTTTAGAACGAGAGCGCTCGGAGACGAAGGCACGCCATAGCCCTTTTCAAGTACTAGGTCGTTATTGAGAAACCAGCGACTTTGCATCGGAAGCCAGTCAAGACGATGATCAGCCCAGTCCGTCCAAGGAACTTCAATATCGATATCGTCACTGGCCTCGGGGATCATTTCATCGGTGGTCGGGTCCCAATCCGGCTGGTTGGAGTAGTGCACACGATTAGGAGGGTCGATGGTAAGAATTTCAATGTCCGATTCGCTGTTTCGGGAGTGATAGGTGAATATCCCGGCAACGGCACCGCCGGGGGGAGGTAGTATCTTGCCCGACCCACCCTGGGAAGTTGAGTAGAGCCGCATGCGGACGCGGTAGGAACAGTGGAGAATATTCTCCGCCGAGGTCTGGACTTCTGCAGTTGAAGTGTAGTCCTCATGTCTGGTTGAGCGGAGTACCAAATGGTATGATCCGTCGGAACTGCTTGCCTTGCCTTCGGTGATGTAGACGTTGTCATAGGAGTGGACGATGCTGATGGGGAACAGCGTAGACCCGACACGGTGCCAGCTCTGGATGTTCCATTCCTTAAAGAAGACGTGTCCATTCAGGGCGTGATGACGACTGTTGATCCCCGTGGGTCCCATATTCTCCTTATCTTTCTCCCTTTTGTCATTTTTCTTCTTCATGCCCTTTTTCGGGGTGTCTCTCGCGGGAGCAGGCCGGAAATCATAGAAGCGGTAATGCTGGAAGTAGCCTGGCTCCGGCCCGGAGACCACGTAACAGTCACACTTGGGTGCGACAATATGTTGCTCGACCCGCTCGGTAGTGCTGTTAGAAGTGGAAACATCGCTCTGCAAATCTGTCTGTGACGACAAAGAGACGAGAGATCCCCCAAGGAGGATGATGAAAAGGAGAGAACTCATGCCTGCGACAGTCTCTATTTTTGAGAGAGGAAAGACGAAAGAGACAGCGGAGAATATGTATACGTTCTCTGTATGAAATTACGAGTACTGACTATGGGTATAGATATGGAGCAAGCAAGGTCTGCTTTGAGGAGGAAATTTCTGGCCGCCAGGTTCCCCTATATCGAGGGAAGCAGATGCCCACCAAGGTGAACGCACGGTGGAAGGTGCTCGCTGGAAAGACATGCTTTTCCATGTTTCCGTGGTCCAGCGCAGTTAATGGCGAGGAGCGGCATCCGGTGGCCTCAGGGGTATGGACGAGGTCATCGTCCCTTCTGTTGAAAAATGCCCATGATACACCGTTTTTAACTGCATTTCTCGCCAACAAAGATAGAGAGGCTGTATTTGCAAGACATCTCATCATCATAATCATCATCATCATCATAATATGGACTACAAGATCGACAAGAACCTCGTCTTATAGGCACAGAATATACGGTTCCATCAAGGAAGGGAGACGTAGACTTCGTTATCAGGGGCTGGCTCGCTGTGGCCCCCTTTTTCTGAGCGCCGGATTGTTTGGTGGATTCTCGTCAGGGAACCAATCACATCGAAATCAGCCTCATGATTAGTCAACCTTCATCGGAATGGAATATCATTTATCCATTCAGCTTGATGGAGGACTTGTATGCTTGTCATTCGCTAAGCTACCTAAAGGGGAATCTCGGCTAATCTATGTGGGTCACGTGAGCGAGGTGCTAGTTGGATTACCTAACACCCCCCCATGCAATGAGCTCCAGCAGTGAGTGAGAGCCACAAAGATCCAAAGCTTCCAAATCTCTCAAATCTGTAATAAAAATTAATTACAAAATCCAGATTTATTTCTTCTTTAGACTTAGCTCTGTTCACTGCAATATGGTATTTTTGCTGGCTTTACTGATAAACCTCCATATTTTCCTGTATTAATCCATCACCCCTATTGTGCTCATGAATTGAGTGTAGGGATTCATTATGAGAGCCTTCATAAGCCCATCAGCTTTATTTGCATTGCTTTCAATGTACTTGATTGAGATTTTGTCCTTTTGCATCCAGTCTCTTAGCATATAATGCCAAATCTTAATATAACATGCTCTTTGTGTTATAGCTTCAGCTTTGGCTAAGTTAATGGCTCTCTTGTTGTCAACACTTAATTTTGAGCTTCTTAGCCTTGCTGAGCCTTCACTAATTACCCCAGCATCTATTAACAGGTTGTTGATCCAAACCAGTTCACAAGCAGCTTCACTAGCTGCCAAATACTCTGCTTTAGTTGTAGATTTTGAGATGAATGTCTGGTGCTGTAATCTTCATGATATTGGAGCTCTGTTCATGGTAATAATATAGCTGCTGGTGGATTTGTATGCAGGGTTGGCTCCAGCCCAGTCAGAATCTGAACTGGCTGCTGGTTTCAAGCCTTCAGAATCCATATCCCTTTTGAAGACTATTCCTTTTGATTTTGTGCTCTTAAGATAGTGTAGAATCTGCTTGAATGCTGTCCAGCTCTCTCTATTGGGCCTGCTGTTGAATCTTGCCAGATAATTGACTGTGAATGCAATATCTGGCCTCATACATGTAACTAGAAACTGTAGAGAGCCCAGGCCTTTTCTGTAATTCATAGGTATAACCTGCTTGTCAACTTCATCTTTAAGAGTCTGATCTGATGTAAATTTGATGCTTATTTCTTTCTTCATTAGTGTTTTGGAAGATTTGCAGTCTTCCATTCCATATTTAGTCAGTAGATTCTTGATATACTGTTTCTAGTTCATAAAAAGATCTCCATTTGGCTGCTTTTGAATCTGCATGCCTAGATAATGGCTCTGTTCTGTAATCTTCTTGATCTTGAAGTGTTTCTGAAGCTTCTTGATAAGTCATTCTGTTTTGGCTTTGTTGGGTCTCATTATACAGCAGTTGTTAACATGTAGGGTTAGGTAGATTTACTTTCTCTTGTGGTAGAGTAGGCCTGCATTGTATGGAGAGATCTGGAATTCTAGAGATTTCAGATAGTCAGTAGCTGCTTGATACCAAAGTCTAGCAGCTTGCTTTAACCTGTAGAGTCTCTGGTGTAAGACCTCTACTAGATTATTCCACCTGTGCTTGAATCCAGTAGGTAGTTGAATGTATACACATTTGTCCTCTGGAAGAGTTCCATTTAGAAAGACTGTTATGAAGTTAAAGACTCTGATCTTCCAGTTCTTGGCTGTTGAGATAGCAAAGAAGGCTCTTGTTGTAGATCCACTAATAACTGCTGTATAGGTCTTCTTGTAGTAAATGCCTTCTTGCTGTTCAAATTCATATATGACTCAATGGACTTTGAATCATACTGTGCCATCTGTATTATTGAGCTTTCTATTGAATACCCATTTGCCAGAGAGAATCTGCATTTGAGGTTTCTTCTTGACTAGAATTCAGATGTCTTTCTCTTGTAATTTGGAGACTTCAACATCTAGAGCCTCCTTTCAATAAAGCTACTCTTCAGAGTATTTGGCTTTGGTGATGGATTTTGGTATATCTGTATGCATACTGAGCACTGGAAGCTCAGCTCTATTTGTCTCTTCTTTCTCTGTAGCATCTGAGAGAATTTCTTGCTCTTCACCCAGGTATGTGGGCTCTAAAGCCTCTAATTTGCTGTCTGCAAGCTTCTTTATGATTTCTGGCTTCTCCTTCACAAGATAAGCTAGTAGCTTGTGTTGCCAGCCATTCAATGGATCTATGTAATTGTACTCCTCTGGAAGTTCAACATATTTGGCTTCAGTTAGTGAATTTTTAGGGATTTGATTCAATTTCTTGTTGAATATAACATCTCACAAGATCATTATACTGTTTGTTTCTGAATCCCAAAGTCTGAGCTTGTAAATCAACCTTATACACTTGCTCTTCAGTGCAAAGGGCTATAACCTGATGGAGGACTTGTATGCTTGTCATTCACTAAGCTACCTAAAGGGGAATCTCGGCTAATCTATGTGGGTCACGTGAGCGAGGTGCTAGTTGGATTACCTAACACAGCTGCCTATTTGAGCCATGTCCAAAAAAGGAAAGTGACTCTTTCCACGTCTGATCATAGGGCGGAGGGGAAGGAACAATCCAGCAGATTCCTTCCGATTCCACCTTTGATGCTGTGTTGAGTCAGCTGAGAGTGGACTGTCAGCGAGTGAGACGGAGAGCGTGAGTGAGAGAGGGAAACGCCACTACATACAGAGTACATACATAATGCTTGGTTAAGTCCACTTCATCTCTTGACAAGAGAGCATCGACCTTGGCTGCCATTCATATACTGCTGTTTATAACAGATATTAACCCACTGCGTCTGCTCTTCCTCGCATCCCTGTGTTGCTGCTCCACAACCATGTCCCCCTGATGAAGCTGGGTATTCATTACTGAATCCAAAGACGAGCCAACTACAAACGGCCAACCTTTGCCAGAACCTTCAAGGACTCTACTTTAACCTGGGAAGCCCCCGTGGATTTGTCTGGGCCCGGTACCTAACCCTCCTGATCTTTGAGGGTTTCACATCTGGTGGAATAGAAACGTACTGCTCTAGATATGTGCCTGTGAGGCAAAACGCTTGTCAATCGATGTTTGGCTCCCTCTGTGATGGGTGCCTAGCTTATCATTCCAGTGATGATGTGAGGACGACAGACCCTGGACTGAAAAAGCCTGCAAGCGCGTGTTTTGAAATCCGCCTACGCCCTTCATTGAAGGATAGGCTAACAGACCCTCTGTAGGCTGCTCCCATGAATGTCATACCCGCGAATCTATTGTGACATCTTTGAAAAAAGTTGACTACAACTCTTCACGGGGTACTCCGCTCGTGGACACTTGATTTCGTTGATTTGCCCTTGGCTCTTTCTTGTCAGTATTTCGGGACAAGGAGACTGCCAATCGGGACGTCTGCCCTGCCGTCTCAAGGAGGAAGCCTGGCGAGCACAGTCGCCACCAATGCCAATACCACTGACTCAAGATTTCGGGGAAGATGAAGAAGTTTTGTAGACAACCGCAGTCGTTGCAGAATACGCCCAGCTATTTGCGGATGATTTGGAATGCCGCAGACGAAATTATGCCTGTATTCCGCAGCGGGCTCCCAGCAACCCTGGGCACACCCGCCTCAGAAATCCTGCGGCCACAGGTTAAATGATTATTTTTGAATCCAGAATACTCGGATCAGGTAATTTGCTCTGGTATGTTCAGGGTACTGCAATGATTCACCCCAGACTTTCCAATGATGGTCAGTTCAATAGGACGAGGATAACAATCCAGGAATGAGCGATGCCGCAGACCGGCGGCTGGTCGTCAGAATGAATCATTGCCTATTGTCTCTGATTCCAACAGTCGCCCATCGCTGTCCGCATCCTGTCACGTCACAGGACCTGTGAATGGCATTTGGACGGACAGCGCCGCAACGCGAGAATCACACGAAGTCATCTGCCCATCATGTCAGCCAGGGTTTGCCGCCCATAGGCAGAACATCAATTTTTTGTCGCAGTTTGTTCTCACACCACCTCTCTGTCTGATTCTGAGGTTTATTAATTACGGAGCAACAGGCACCAAGCCGCTAGCGTCATACGCCCTTCTTACCTTTGTTACACGACCCTGGAACAGACAAGCAAACTGGATCAACGCCACGCGCACAGACAATGATCGCAACAATTTGCTCCTGGCCAATCACCCAGCAACCGGTTGTCCCTTTGAGGCCCGGGCGGAGCTGGTCAGCCAATCACTGGTGGCTGCCAATGGCTTTTACGAAGCCGACACTGCCTTGGTTTTGAGCTTAACTGTTTTAAGAATAGTTAAGTTTCTTCCGCACATGAAAGGAACTGGTCACAGGTTGTTTGGTCACAAATGGCACAGTTCTGGTCTTTCACCTCTAAAAGCCCGGAAGGGTTGTCCTCGCCCTGCTCAGGTTCACTCTTTGTCTTTATGACTGTTTGGGCTCCTTTGCTGCTTTCCCCAGTCGCTGACACTTCTGACTTGTTGCCTTGCCTTCTTTTGCCACGTCCGCAGGGCCTTGGGTTGGACGAAGTGCAAAATTCTCAGCCCAACAGCGGCTGGGCACGCTGCCGTTCTTGGCACGGAATCAGTACCGCATTGGGCCTAGTCGGGTTTCGAATACGAGGCCAACGCATGCAAGCGAGCGCCGAGCCTGCTGAGCTTCCTGATCCGGCATAGTGCTTTGGTGTTGTGCATCATCCGCTCATGTCCGGGCGGTTTGACTTTATATCGCCAACTTGTCGGTGTTCCCGCGACTCCTTTCGCCCTGTCTGCCAAAATTGGTCATTGTCTTGTCTGTTTGATCCCAAGTGCCGCTTCTCCTTTGAATTCCATCCCCATTTCCTCCCTACCGATGCCGATAAGATAATCCAGATGATACCGATACAGTACCACACCAGCATCTCCTAAATCAACTTCCAACTCTATGTCTTTCAAAATGGACACTGCGTTGTGTTAGGGACGATTCCACGGTGATTCCCGTTCGCTGAAAGATGATGTCCACCGTGGAGAGAGGGAGCACCCTTCTCAGCAGATCCTCAAGCATGACAAGCACTATTTCAGTGAAGCGAGAAATTACACCCCAATCCTCCGTATCCGATCCTGCTCTTCATCATATCCACGACCGCCTTGACCAGCTCGACTGCAAAGTGCGAGAACTCCATTCCACCGTTCTGACAAAGAACGGTTATGTTGACCGACGAAACAAAGAAGATGAATCAATACTACGAGAATTTGACGCCCAAAGATCCCTCACATCCAAAATTGAACATGCAGTTGGCAAAACAAAAACCGACGTTAATCAGATCCGAATCGACGCCTCCCATTTGAGGACTGAAATCCTCCAGCTCAGAACCCATGTTGATGAACTCGGATCAAACGATGCACTTCTGCATAGCAATGTCAGTCGCGTACAGAACGCTGTCAACCAACTCCAACTCGATGTCCAACGGCTTCACACAAACGTGTGCACAACAGGAGCCGATGTGTGTCAAGTTCAGGCTATCGTTAGCCAGCTTCGGACGAGAATGAACCACACAGAACGGGTTCGTTTTAACTCTCTTGCACACACAGTCCACGCTCCAATCACCCCTGTACCGTTTGTTGAAGAGGATGGAACCGTTCGATGGCCAGAATTCTTCCCTAGAACTGTCTGGAAATTTTGGTGTTTAAAACGACGAAATCGGGGTGAGCATTACCTCTAAAAAAAACGCAAATGAAGTACTGATCTCCCTTCCCCCTGACTCCAGTTCACCGACTTGTTGAATTAGCGGAGTTTTACCAGTTGGAGGGATACCAATACTGGGGACGCATGCCACACCCCCATGGTTCAATATTTCCAGGAGACGGCTATTTGAGTGATTCCAGTGACTCCAGTGACCTACCATCCGATCTGACTCGCGCCGAAGCTGCCCGGCTTTATCCAGAGGCTTGCCATCAGGCTTTGGCTGCCACATTAGGTTTGGTCTATTATAAAATTCGAAATGAAGTGGGCGAAGGCCCGAATCAGCACATCATCACAACTACCCACAAACGGGCCCACGACGAAATTGGATCGATAGCCTCGGGGAAACCGAAACCAGCGAAGCTCTCTCGACGATCGAACGAAATCTCTCCAGCGGCCCTCCACAAAATCGTACCGCCAGGCTCTGCTGTTGATACTAAGTCCATTGTTTCAGAAGGCTTGGACAAGCTCGGCTGGAATGCATATGGCTCTCAAGTATCCGACGAAGCAATGAATAAACTCAAAGACATTGTTACAGACGAAGTCAATTCCCTCCTTCTCCAGGCCTTGGAACGTGGTCGTATTAAGATTCAACCAAGCCGAATGGAACGAAATCAAGCCTCACCAACAGGCTCCGCGAAGCTCAGTGCCCTATCAAGATCGCCTGGCGCGGATGGCGCTGCAAGCTCGGGTGATGAGGATATGCGAACAGTTGCTACGGAGATAATATCCCCTGTCTCTTATTCTGAAGATGGCCGTTGGGCTAAAGAATAGGAATTCGACTACCAGAGTCCCTTTCCTTCGGTATATATATTATTTTTTTTCGGTGTTTGGCGGCGTTTATCAGGCATGCTTGCTCAAGCTTTTAACACAACCATACGAGTATTTGATATGGTTCAGGAGTCTTATGGGCTACGGAGTTCATACTCTTCCTCTTCCTCGACCTTTACAATATTGGCGTCCGGCGGAAATTAGATCACGTTGATATTGTACCATAGCATGCATGATACCCCCAAGATCGCCTTATGACGGATATGACCTACTGTTCATCGACAATGGCCGGATTGGCGTCGGAGTTTCCAACCACTAGCTTCGTCTTCTCTATATCCGGCGTTTTCAATTTGCGTTCCAAGGTACCGAATACCGACATACCTATGACCTTGCTCTCTATTATCTAGTGAGATGTTCTGTTTGAATCGCGCATTTTTTTTATGGAGTTTTGTTTTGGAGTATTCTATTGTTTATGCTTTAGCTTGTTTTGTCTCATCCCACTATATACCCTCCTCGTCTATTATTCTACACCTTGGTAAAAGAAGACGGTTGCTCAGTATAGCCACATTGCTCCCAGCAAGATGGGTCATTGGCTGTGCGCGTATAGTCTTGTACTCTGGGCGTTGTTGTGTCTGATAACACCCTTAGCTACTTCGTAGATTAGTGACCGTGGGTAAATATGCTTATTAGCATATTTAACAATCCTACTCTGTGCCTTTCTAGATAACTATCATGACGCATGTAAACACAAAGCTGCCTTTGAATTTCGCCGCGACACGATGTCGTAAATTGAAGTAACCCTTGTCTGTTGTTGGATCACGCGCTCTCAGCCTCCATCTCGGATCCTTGACCTTACGACATGTTTACAGGGGCCAGGAGGGGTTTTCGGATCGTGTCGGAACATCCTTCTAAAACGGCCCTGAGCGCCTGAAACTGCGAAGTACGGATTCATGAATCCAGAAATTAAAAATGGAATAATATTTTTCAACCCTCCTAAAACTACTACATACCAATCCATATCTGACCAGAGGTCCCAAGGTTGCCCGGAGTGAAATATACCCTGACTGGCGCGTCAGGTTTCAAAAGTAAGGTACTCCGTACAAAGAGGAGAGTACAGGCTTCCCCTCGTATTATCGACAGAAGAGGAAGAGGGAAATTCGGAGAGGAACCTTGGGAGGAAGGGGAAAATCTGTACGTCGACAACCTGAAGGAAAAGAGAGGAAGAAATAAAAAGTTACAAGGTATACACGCACACACATACACACCCCCTGAAATACATACGAAGAAGGGAATCTAAACAAAGGAAAGAAAAACAGAACAGAAATACAAACCGTATGTAGGGGACACAAGAGGAAAAGAAAGAGAAAAAAAAAAAAAAAAAACAAAAAAAATAAGTGCCACTGCAAAAATGTATACATCATCCGTTTCCACATTGCGGTTTTATCAGGATAATCTGAGAAGATAATTTATTCACGCAACAACATGTACGGTGCCGGCTCTCATCGTGTCGTGGCTGGCACTCTTGTGAACGGTCTCACTGCTCTGCTGGTCGTCGGCATCAGCCTCGTGCGCACACTCATCATCATCCTCTAGGATCCTAGTTGGCAAATCACCAGGTCCGTATTGCTGACTCGATCGCTCTGGCATCGTGGAGCTGCTCACCATCGACATGGACGTGCTGGAGCGATTGTGCACGAGATCAGGCGTCGGTGGGATGCTGGAAATGCTGGAATTTCGACCGTCCGGGGTAAGGAGGTTATCACCATGTTCGCTCCCTGGACGGGAAGATGGCTCCTGGCTACCGTCTTCGTTAGGGTGGAGCTTGTTGTTTCGTTGCTCCCTCTCTTGTTTATTGGCCTCATCCTCGAGCTCAGCGTCTTGCGCGAGGTGGAGGCCTTCGACGGCAGCGGCACACTGTTCGCTGATGTTGCGGATAATGTCGGCAATAGCATCAGTCTTGGCCCGGAGATGGCGGTCTGCGACGTCGGTGATGCTAAGCTGGGAATACCGCTTGTGTTTTCCGAGGCCGAGGAGTTGGCTTTCCATCTCTGGGCTCACATCGTCGCCATCAACACTGCCGGCACGGCTTGATGCACCAAGTCTAGCGATGGATCTGCGAGCAGAAGGGGTCTTGGATCGATCACCATCGCATTCTTCGTCTTCTGGAAGATCTTCGAAGCTCTCATCAGCATATTCAGATAATTCTGGTACATCGCTGATAGACCGGATAATGTGCTCCATATGGTGATTCTGAGCGTTGATAAGGCTCCGAAGATGAAGGACCACGCGCTGGGCTTCATCGCGCTGGCGGGTAAGGGTTGTATTGGTGTGTTGAAGGGCAGAAATTTCTTTCTGGTTGCGTTGCCTCTCTCGCTCCAACTCTTCTGCAATTTCTTGCTGCAGAACAAGAGCTTCCAAGGCGTCATCGCGCTGTTTCTCAGTACCCGAAAGACGCATGGTGAGACGTGCGGCGTCGTCCTTCTGCTGGTCAATAAGTGCAGTAAGCCGACGATTCTCGCGCTTATGGCTTTCAATCTTGACTTTGAGTTCTGAGGTTTCTTTGGTGAGTTGCTCAGCGAATGCTTGGAATTTGAGGAACTGGATGGCCATGTTAGATAAATTTGTAGAGGAAATAAACGGCATTCAACCGGCGGGGGGTTTAGCGACTGACCTGCTGCTTCCACGTCTCGAGCTCTTCAACCAAGAAGTTGTTTCGTTTGTTGACCTTGGACAGTTCAGTATCCATTCTTCCTTTGAGGTTAATGAAGTCCTGCCAAGCCTCAAGAGCGTCTCTCGAGTACTGATTCCGCTCTCGAACAATTTCATTAAGATGTCTCATGGAAATCTTGGTCATCAATGGCTTCTTCACGGATCCACCAAAGATCGCCTTCACTCCAGTGTTGCGGCCCTGCTCACGGTTAGATGACGAACAACCTGACGTATGAGGGGGATCGAGCTCACCAATTTCTCACAAACATGGTCCATCACAGCCATCACTGCATCCTGGTTCCACCAGCTGGGGTCCTGGATGCTTTCCACTTCGCCTCTCATAACAATAATCTGACCGGCTGGGATCAACTTCCCTCCACCGTAGGCGGTTCGGAGATGTTGAGGCACACCGCTAGGGCTAACATCACCATTGAGCGCCTGCGTCAGGCGGTTAATCATCTTGGTTCTCTGTCCTTGGGTCAAAATATTTGGTGGGCTGGAAGTCAAGACGAAGTTACGATCCAAATCGACGACCAATGCGTCAGAAGGTGCTGCGAAGAGAGTTCGGCACTCAGCGGTAACACCCAAGATATAAGGGCCGGGCTCTTGCACCAGCTCCTTCACATGCCGAGCATGCACGACTGGGTTGTACAAGCCGCTCCATTCGTACACCCGGACGCAGAATCGAATGGTCTCGGCAGCAATTGTCAAAATGGCGGGATAGTGGCTGACAAAAATGATACGGCGCGTTGGAGAAACAGCCGCTTCAACAACACCAACGATGTTCGGGATAGACAAACAGTTGAACAGTGGCCACATGGCAAAGTTCTGGAAGCCAGTTGGCGAAGAGGGGAATTGATAGCATAGAGCATAGTCTTTCATGTCGATACGGACCAAGTCGTTAAGACGTGGCGCGGGGAAGCTCAGAATGCGCGAGACCTCCTCTGCATGGAAAAGATTTGTCGCCTTGTTCCAGTGAATCCACATTCCACGGAGATAGTCTCCCAGCAGGTTGTAGAGTGGATATCGGGACAGGAAGCTTAGACAGTACGGAATCCAGTAGGTCTCCTCTGGATTGTCATAGAAGTCGGGTTCAGTTTTCTTGCGAAGTTCTCTGATGGTCTCGGCGCGCTTCTCATCGGCGCGGGACCAGACACGCAGGGCAATGCCGTAGAGAGTGTGAGTCGAGTCCTGTTGAAGAACGAACGAATGGTGCACGCAATGAGGCTGGCTCTTGCCAGTGCAGATTTCAACGTCGTGAGGGAAACAGGCCTGTTCATCGATCAGTACATGTCTCATAGAGAGAGAAAGAAAAAGTCGCCCCATCACACAGTGCCTGTGGAGTTCCTTTCCTTTCCACTTACCCTCATTGCCGCATGTAATGCCCTTGCAATCTCATTATCCTGTTCCAATCGCGGGCTGCTTCCCAGAATCTCTGGGAGCCAAAACTGGCCGACCGCTCCCTTCATATGGCCGATCTTTCCCTGGGACGGTGGAGGGGCCTTAACCCATTGAGAAGGCTCACGTCCCACCCCACAGACCATGTAGGCGTGGGTGAGGGTCTTGGGAATCCTCTGGGCGGGCTTCATGTTCAGGGTTGAAGGAATGGGCTGCGTGATGCGCGAGTGCAGAGAAGAAGTGCGGCTGGGGATGACCAGCGAGCTGTCTCCCTGGTCGCCACGAGTGAGGGGACGGTCGCGGGTTGAGGGACGAACGAAGGAGGGGTGGTCTCTCAATGAAGGCGCCATTGCTGACAAAAATGGCTGGATGATCGACTGTTAAACAAACGGTGATAGTGCGACTCGGGCACTATGTATGTATGTGTGTGTATATATGTGTTGTGTATGTGTACAAACCTTCAGCCGGTATACCCTTGGGAGACTTTGACCGGATGGGAGAACCTGCACCCAGTTTTCACCTGAAGCTCGAGAAGGACAAAAAACGGTATAAGGAACCAACAAACACAATTGAAATCGAGATAAGAGCTCTCTGCCAGAGTGACAAATGGGGGGGGAGGGAGTTGGAAGAGACGAAGGGTACCTCGACAGGTTAGTCCAAACAAGGCCTGTTAGGGTGTATTCTGTGTCTCTCTCTATCTCTCCCTATTAACGAACGATAGCGACAAGCAGTGAAATGCCTCGCTGCGAGCTCCAGGCTGCGGTTTAGGACACGAGAGGACACCTCATCCGTCACTGCTTCATCGAGATCAATTTAACAGCGGGATTGGCAGAAAGGATTGAACATGCAAGAGGGATAGTAGAAGGAAGACGACGACGACGACGAGGGATGAGAGAGAGGGAGAGGAGAGGAGAGGATATAGATCCGGGATGGGAGGAGAAGGGGGGGCGCCGCAAGAAAAGTGCGGCTTTTTGGGGGGAAGACGGCGAGCGGACAGGGGGCAACAGGGAGAGCTAAGGCTTGACCCGGCCGCACCCACTCCAAGCAAGGGGAAAAAGCAACAAAATGGCCTCGACCGACGGCACTTTAGCAGCCCTCTCGCTCGCATCGCTGCATCCCACGGCCCTGCGCTAGCCACCGACGCGGCCGCAAACCTACGCTCCAAGCAGCCAATGATCCGTGATCGCGAGCCCACTGCTCATCTCCAGCGACATGCTCCACCCGGGCCATCCGCTGCCCTCCAGAAAGGAAGAAGAAAAAAAAAAAGGGCAGCGGGAAAGGCAAAAAAAAAAGTGAGTTTAGAACAAAACCTCCTCGGCCATGGCACCAGGCTAACGACTGCTATCCCCGTTGATTCGTCACATTCTAAGATGAGACTCCGCTCCTGGGCTTTCGTGACATCCGACGTCTGAAACTCTCACATCCCACGATCAGTCGCGGGCGGTTGAAACTCGATCGCTCCAAAACACCATCGTTGAGCTGAGGGTGGCCGATCTGTTTTGGAGTGGTAGTTTCTGAAGGACAGCAAGAGGTGCATCGTTCGTGCGAGTTTTTCTTACGGCCCAGTTCGGCGAGCCGGTGTTTCTCTCCTCTTTTCCTCTCTCTCTCTCTCTCTCTCTCGCTCTCTCGAACGCCGAGAGGAACGATAGATCAGCATTCTTCCCCACCCGCAATCTGCGGCCCTTCGACCCAGAGGAACTTGTTTTCTCGAAATCATAGTTTTTGCTCTATGTTCTGGCGTGGGTCTCCCAAGGTGCCTGGTCGCCCGCCTTTTAACCATGGTTCTTCCCGAACTGCCGGTAAGTCAATTCAAATAATGGGAACGGATCAAGGGACTGGACTGCTGTCAATGCAACTCCGCATTATGTGGATGTTTATCTCGGCTCGGTTCAGGCGTCAACTATCCTCGGGCGGGATCTCGAAAGTACGTACGATAATACGGAGTAAACCCAAGGTGCAACTGCTAGCGACGGAGAGAGGTTCCTGGTTCCTTGAAAAGCGTGGCAGCACCTGGCCAATACCAGTCCGATTATATCGCACTTGACAACCTATCCCTGCTCGACAGAAGAGTCTGCAGCTGCGCAGCTGCCGCTGTATAAAAATGAGGAGTCGATCATCTGATCCTGCTACTCCGTAGCTATGCATTATTATTATTATTATTCATCGAGCAGCTTGTTGCTTTGACCTCTTCCAGCTCCCTGGATTGACTTTGGTTCAAGTAGCCGGGGGTTGGGGAGCGACGATGTGCGGCATTTCGCAACCTTCTCCTCTTCGTCTCTTTATTCCATGGGATCATCGCCAAGCAGGGTTGATTGATCCTTTCCAACTCTAGAAACGTCTCAAGAAACGATCTCTATTCCCTGGCTATGATGGAGGAGAGAAAAATGCTCAAATAACTCCATAAACAAAATATCGCTCCAAACCCCAGTTGGCGGAAATAGCCTTTGGCAAACAAAAATAGGGGGCCGAAACGCAAACAATTTACATACACGAAGTGCAGAGTACTCCGTACATGAGCTTCGAATACAACCTACGATGAGGGCAAGGTTCATTGCCATCTCCTTGGATTATCCTTCGTCCTTTTGGACAGAGTATATATGTCCGTTGGTAGAGTATATGAACCAGAGTGTGAGGTTACTCCATTTACGATCGAGTCGACCGCCGTACCTCAATGGAGTCTCTGAGCCAACCGTGATTCGATATTTGCACACCGCTCCAATTAAAAAAAAAAAAAAAAAACTGCAACCCCAGCTTATTCTCTCTCTCCATAACTAATAGTATCCTGCGGCAATCCTCGTTGGATTGGGGATTCCGGCGACACTCTCAAAGAAAATGGAGATCGGTGAGAATATCGAAAAAATCGATCAGTCTGGAGTAAAATGATCGACCGCGTTTTTGCGACCGAATTCGCGGAAGAGCCGGTATCAGGAATTCACACGACGTAGGCTGCATTTATCTTCAGAATATCAACTATCGAGATACTCTGTACTTAGATGCCATAGAGGTCCCCAAGACGGGATCTTGTTGAATTCCTGAGGCAGATGTGTGGCTGGCTGATCGCACAGTGCCGCCGCTATCGCAGCCTTGTAGCAATTATCGGTCAATCGATCGATCGCATCGAGAGGAAAATGGCAAGATTTGGCTTTTGGTTGGACTCTCATCCACCAAAACTCTGCCGAAACTTAAAAAAGCCCAGCCGAACGAAAATAGCAAAATAATGTCATCGTGAAGTGAACCCATAGTTAATTAACAGTTACAAACTTGAATCAACAAAAATTCACGCTGTGAAGCCCCACACTGTTCAAGTGAATCTAGCTGAACCCGAGACAGGGCAAAAACAAGGTGCATATTTTTCTGCCGTCGCGAATCGGATTCACACCCAAGCTTCGAAAACATGGCCGGGGCATCTCTCTCCGAGCTATGCACGATCTGGTAAGCTCGTCCTTTGTCTGTCTATCGTGGTTTTGTCCATGATCTGACATCCTTGAATACGTGCAGCCACACCAACCTCCCCAAGTACACCTGTCCACGCTGCTCAACCCGCACCTGCTCACTACCTTGCTCCAAGCGCCACAAGCTCTGGTCGCAGTGCTCCGGCGTCCGCGATCCAGCGGCCTATCTCAAGCGCAAAGAACTCGCAACGCCCGCCGCTTTCGACAAGGATTTCAACTTCATCACCGGGATCGAGCGCTGCCTGGAACGCGCGGATCGAGATGCAGAGAATCGAGGGATCATGCTGGAAGATGAAGAGAGGAGCAAGAAGAAGAGACGGACGGGGGAGTTTACAAAGGGAGAGGCATTGCTGAGGCGCATCGAAGAGAGTGGGGTGGATGTGATAAGAGCGCCGAAGGGGATGTCGAGAAGTAGGCAGAATATGTCGCAGTGGCATAAGAAGTACGTCTCGCTCTGGCCCTGGTGCCGACTCCGGCTTGTGCCTTGGAGTTCTGTTGCATGATCTCGTTGTAGCTACTGACAGTCGTGGTTTAGGCATAAGTGCGTGAATTGGACAGTAGAGTGGATCTTCCCGGACGGGCAAAAGACGATTACTAGATGTCTTGAGACGATCACGATTGGGACTGCTTTTTCGAGGACCCCTTACGCGAAGGAGCATGACCTCGTTGAAAAAGAGCAGACAAGCAAAGCCGAGCCCATGCGATCAATTCCAAGTTCAGATTCAAAAGAAGAACCCGAGCCACGACCCGAGCTTGACGCTGGGAAAGAGATCACTGGAGAAGCTTCTCGCGATGGGGGAGAGCGTTCTCGTACCCTCACACCCGAGAAATCTCTACCTCTTACCGGACAATCAAACCCGGAACAACTGTCCACGAAGACTGAGGATCAAAATACCAGTACGAATGAGAAGGGTACACCGAAAATCAGCCCCGAAATTCACCTTTACCTCCACCGGCCCCGAACGCGCGCCAATATACCAGTTCTCGCCCCCCTCCCTGCATCAGTGACTTTATCCGAAGCTCTCAGAGGCAGGAAGGTCCTTGAATTTCCAACACTATACGCCTTATCTCTCCCTCCCGATCAGCTCGCTGGTGGAGAATATATGCTTGAAGCAGACTATCTGGCGCAATACGGAGCGGAGGAGAAAATGGCAGAAGAGCAAGGGAACAGTGACGGTCAAGTGGTCGGCCAATATATGGCGGATGAAGCCCAGAAGCTGGAAAATGTCGACGAGTCCAAGGTCTTGGAAGTTTTGAATAAAGATCTAGGTGGCGAAGAGTGACCATTGTTATGTCGCTGAGTCCATCACTGTCTGATTATGATGGTATGGCTTGCGACATATGATGTTGGCTCTGTGACTACCTCTGCATTCTATACCCTGCTTTTGTCCCATCTTGGCAAAAGGGTTGGATCGGGTAATAGTTCACGAATGCCTAATGGCGAGCTTCCATGAGGGTAAAGAATGCCAAATTTGCAACTTCTGCCCTTTATCTAAAGTTTTACTATTTATAATAGTTATCATAAATTCTCAGCACGTTCGATTGAGGCTCAATGCAATCCAAGGATATATATGATGTAATCCTGTTTACACATCGCGTTTAAACGTTTAATCAATGACCCGAAAGGTATGCTGGATGGGAGTAGGTCTAAGTCATCTATCCCATTGCTCTAAGCCAGCTTCCCTGGAACAAACGGGTGACCGGCACTCAATCCTCCACAGACTGCCCAGGCCTGTCCGTTCACGTAGCTGCTCTCATCACTGCCTAAAAACAACGCCGCTCTTGCAATTTCATCCGCAACAGCACCTCTCCGCAGAGGGTTCAATTGGCCGATCTTCTTCTCCGTACCCCTTGCCCGCGCCATGTCGTACATGCCTTTCGTCATACCTGTCTCAACCACGCCTGGGCAGAGGGCGTTTACACGGATTCCAGTACCGGCGAGCTGGAAGGCGCAGGTTTGTGCGAGCGAGACAACGGCGGCTTTGGATGCGGAGTAGTCTGTTGAGCCGGCGTTGGAGCGAAGACCGGCGACGGAGGCGGTGAGGATGATGCTACCTGACGGGTAGGGTTTGGAGGCAGAGGTGGTCTGCATTGCGAGAGCGGCGTATTTGGTTGCGAGGAAGGGGCTGGATAAAATGTGAGTTTGGCATTGACCAAAAAAAACAAAAAAAAAAACTAATTCTTTGTTTTATTTGGTTATGAGATGTTTGGATACGCACCCCTTGGCATTTGTTTCCATTGTCTTCATGAAATCATCTCCGGTGATTTCGGTGAAGATCTTGGGCTGGCCGACGATGCCTGCGTTGGCGAACATGATATCCAGCCGACCGTATCTCTGCATGGCCTCGTCGACGACGGCTTTAACCTGCTCTTCATTTCCTGCGTCGAATTGGCGAGCGTGGATGTCGACGTTTGGATAGAGGGATTCGAGCTCCCGCTTGTGCACGTCGAGATAGGTGGAGGAGAAGTCGCAGATGAAGACCGCTTTGGCGCCATTACGGGCAAATTGGTGGGCAGAGGCGCGGCCAATGCCGATGGGCGAGTTGGTCCCGGTGACGATGACGACTTTGCCTTTGCAGCGACTGTTATTATCATATCAGTGAGTGTAAGATGTCAAGGCCGTTGCAGAAGTGTATACGTACGGTCCCACGGAATCGGGAGCAACCTCCCTGATGCGAGGAATGTTTTCGAAGGTGCCGGCGTCGGGTATGCCCTCGACGAGCTGCTGGCTCAAGGCCTGTAGCCTCCTTTTCGCAACGGCAGTCATATCGAAGAAGCCTGGAAAGTTACAGGGCAGAAGTGGGACAGCACCGGGAAACGAGAGAAAATGACCAAAAGGAAGGGCTATGAATCCTCAACCGGAATCTTTCCAATGGCTATATGAACAGAAGACGGTTGCCGGCAGCATGGAGGGCGCGCCAGTTCGGTGCTGCTGACGAGTGACACGGAGAGCTGCGTCCGCTCGTTTCGCCGCGCTTGAACGGCTGAACTGCGCTCGAACTTCCGAGGTTCAACGAGCAGAAGACGAACCTTAATAAACATAATCACGCTAGTCCTAGTCTGGCTAGCGCAGAATATTGTTATATAATCTCGGATAAATATAGATCCATTTCTTGGCGTTTCAGCCCACGTGTCACGTCATCGCCCGAAGCGGAAAGGCGGCTGATCAGTCAGCAGCGGTCGCCCGCGATGACGAGATGATACATGATGCGTCAAGGACTGCCAGTTCATTGTTGCTGTGATCCTTTTTGCTCGCTGTGTCTCCAGGCCTGTGTCACTCTCTTCCTCGACGGTTTGCGTCCAGGTGGCCTCAAAGGACTTTCCGCCAGCAGAGTGAGCAAGCGTTGACTGGCCCTTCAATGATTCTAAAATTGCTTTCAGAAGCAGGGTTTCTTACGGACCACCCCCCTAAAATTGCGCTCTAGACCTTTTTTTTTTTTTTCCCACATCCTCGCCAGCTTTTTGCAGGAAGATATATCGGATAGAAAAAGGCATAAGGATGCTTACAATCTCAGGAAGACAGGGACTTGACTGATACACCAGTTCTTTTCCGTCTCGCCCCTCTTCACAGCACCATTCATGCATAGCAGAGGAAATCCTACTCGCTTCTCCTCTTGAGAGCAATTATGGCCGAGCCAATCGTCCGCCCTGCTAACAGCCAAAAGCGATCGTCTTCACAGACCTCTACATCGTCTCGGAGGAGCCAGAAAGCGAAAACTCTTCGGGGAAAACCACCGCAACGACTTTCGACATGTTCCTCTACCCAGTCGACTGACCTTACCTCTTTCCCTTCCTTATCTCCAGATAGATCACCGGCGGGTTTCTACGGCGAGCCTGCAATAAATCACGCCCTGAGCCAGGCATTATTGCTAGAGGATGATACACGGACCCAAGGAGCAGAGCGTGGACGCAAAGCTACCCTTGCTGGCCTCACAACGAGCCTGCCTCAGGTTGCCGGTCGGGCTGCCTTGTTCAGCGACTCTGTCCCGTTTCAAGACGTGCCGGGCTCGCTCCACCTTGCCGGTGACGACCATATTGAACGGCTCATTGCTCGTACAGGTGCCATAAAACTGGTGAGACAGTTTGCGAGGGATCTCGCCCTGCGGGATGCTGAAATATCGGCACTGCGGCTCCGCGCCGACGAAAGGGAGCGTGAACTGAAAAAGATGCTTCGTGAAATGGAAGTTTCGAATCAAGATATTGAACGTCGCCTCTATGTGCTTGAGAACCCGGCGGGCAAACAGGAAGCTGACCGTGGGTCTGATCAAAAAGCCTCGTCGACTGAGCAGCGGAGTCATACCGTCACTATCGACCACATGATGAACCAAGCTATGCTCGATGATGTTGGTGGCCTGATTCTTGATGCTACAGCATATGATAAGGGAAAGGACGATTTACAGGCGACTATCCGTCCCAACCGCGTTGACGGCGATACACGATCTCGCAATTCGAGCCTACGATCTGTCAAGAAGCCAGTCGTTGCCACGCGTGGATGGCAGGACTACATTTGGGGAAGTAGGGCTCCTAGCCGCAAGACTAGTGGAGCAAGTAGCGTGATCAGTGACACTGGGGAGAGAGACGATGAACCGGCGATTCGCGTGCCACAATCCCGTGTGCCTAGCGGTCCGGGTCGTCGTAAGGCTTTGGATTCGGATTTGTTTCTACCGCCTGAGGCTGACTCCACGCCCACTATACTTACGGAGCCAGATAACTTGAAGCCGGGTGATGGTGACGATAGCAGCATCCGTTCAAAGCGGTCAGCAAGGTCCGTAACTTCTTGGACTGTGAAGCTGTTCGCAGGAAACCACCAAGCGAGCAAAGATGGCGGGACAGTTCGTAGTCGAGCAAGATCTGATACTCCAGACTCTTTGAACCGGAGCTCATCACCCGCAATGCCGCCAAAGGCAGCTGGTTCTGCTGTGGCGGCTTTAAAACGTATAAACGGCGGTACCGGTGTCCAGTCACTGTCCGGAAGGTCCTCTGCGGCGTCCAGCATTCGTGGCTCGAACAAAAGTGCTATTATTACTACTACTTCTTCAGCTTCACGACGAAATACTGTTCAAACGGTCGCTCTAGAACAGAGAAGTGCGAAGGGCGATTCGACACATCTTGGCCCAGTTGAAATGGACGCCATCCTTCCGATGGAGTCTCGCCCCCCAACACTCACTCATATCTACAACGATTACAATCCGGGGGAACTGCTCACCGATCGTTTTGGGTTTATCTATGACCAACGAAGGAATAGACGACAAAAGGAGGCTAGCAGCGAATGTATAAAGCAGGTTAATAATAAAGACGTCAGTGGCTCTCAAAAAGGGAACCAGAAAAGCTCGGAAGATGCTGAAGGTGAGAGTACAGCTGCCAATGAATGGCAGGATTATCTCAAGGTTGCCACGAAACCAACTGAACTCCTCTCTCACACCCCCGCCGCTGGTCTGATTATTGTAGTAGAACCTACAAAACCTCGCTCTTCGTCAGTCACCATTGGAAAAGATGGATCTCTCTCGGTGGTTCACTCAAGCCCTCAACTTTCTACCCTTACATCAACGGTCGTAGAAACATATGGTGAATTTGCAGGAACGCCCACTGAATCTCAAGCTTTAGAACCAGCAACATCAGAGCAAGAGCCGGTGAGACTGCTGCTCCAGCGTTTGACAGATCTTCACGATTCTTCTCAGCGAGAACGGACCGTCAAATGGAATGAGTTCATGCGCAAAGTTCGTGCCGAGCGACGGAAAGAAGGTGAAGCTGCGGCTGCTTCGGCAGCCCAAGACCGCTCCAATATTTCTCTTGACATGCCCGAAGTTGCCATTGCGGATGGAGAGGTAGTTGGCATATCAGGTTTGGGAAATAAAGGCAAGGTCGGTCGCGCAAAGTGGCGGGAATTCAGAACGCTTGTCCTTGGGGGTATTCCAGTTGCATATCGTGCCAAAATTTGGGCCGAATGTAGTGGAGCCTCTGCAATGCGAGTTCCTGGATATTACGAAGATCTTGTCAAAGAAAGCTCAAACCACGATGCAGACCCGAGCATCATTGCACAAATTGACATGGACATCAATCGGACCTTGACAGACAATGTATTTTTCCGAAAGGGCCCAGGTGTTGCGAAGTTGAAGGAGGTTCTCCTTGCGTACTCGCGACGCAATCCGGAAGTGGGATATTGCCAGGGGATGAACTTAATTGCTGGCTCTTTGCTGTTGATTATGCCTACTGCGGAAGATGCGTTTTGGGTTCTGACTTCTATTATTGAGAAGATATTCCCTCCCCATTACTATGACCACGGTTTGGTTGCCTCCCGCGCAGACCAGCAGGTGCTTCGACAATATGTGGCCGAAATTCTACCTAAATTATCCTTGCACTTGGATGACCTGGGCATAGAACTTGAGGCTCTGACGTTTCAATGGTTCCTTTCTGTTTTCACGGACTGCTTGTCTGCCGAAGCATTGTATCGTGTTTGGGACGTGGTGCTGTGCCTTAGTGCCCCAGCGATGTATATCCCTCCCACTGCACCACAGCCTCAGAAACTCTCTACCGCGGATTCCAGCAACGGCAATGCCTTATCCGCGCCCGGTACACTTACCAATCCGACACCCACCTCAACGGCACCGTCTGTCTCCGAAAACGAAGTGTCCAACAACACCGGTGGTGGTAGCACATTCTTATTTCAAGTCGCATTGGCTCTTCTCAAGCTCAATGAGCAGCAGTTACTGAGTACCTGTTCCACTCCCGCTGCAATCTATACGTACATCAATCACCAGATGACAAATCACGCGATTAGCATCGACGGCCTTATTGAGGCCAGCGATGCTCTACGGAATGTCGTCAGGAGGGAAGACGTACTTGCACGACGAGCTGCTGCCATGAAAGCCATGATTGCAGCCAAGCCATCGCCAGGGTCAAATAGTCAACGCTCCGTTGACGGCGATGACTCGACAAAGGTATCAGACTGTGGAAATGTTTAGATATAAATTCGCTCCTTAAGATGTTTTTCTATTTATATATTTTCCTTTGTTGTGTTGCATTTGACGGGTGTTCATTCCATAGCATTAGCCATACAAGATACCCACTCCTTTGGCTTCAATTTGTGTGATAACATGGTGATTCCTTCCTGTACTTTCTTCAAGGCTTTCGCTCCGATGTTTATATATATTCACCTCTCTGAATTTGGGTGGCAGTACATACTCGACTTAATACACATTCCTTTATCCCTCACATCTACTATAACACTCTTCTTGCGAGCTGCATTCTCTTGGGTGACTAGGCAACGATGTCTTGAAACCTACGCGATTCTTGACTAACCCATGCCTTGAATGACCTCCTTTCTCCCAGGCGACAAGGCGCACAGCACTTTCTAACTGATCTTTGGGTTCACTTAGAGTGGACGAGGAATCACACGGCGTCCAGGATTCCACGGCAGCCTACTTTCATGTATCCAAAGCAAGGCGGAATTCCCTGCTTGTTGCCATGGACAACACCTGCTAAAGTTCCTTCCCCATTCCTGGAGATACGGGCATGGGATTTGATTTCCCAAACACCCTAAAACTAACCCAAATATTTCATTACCCAACTGATTCTACCGCAGGTACAAAAAGCTGCGCTATTATTACTTCTGGCCCTTTTCTTCCTCGCTCTAGTTTCATTCTCTTTTAAGTTTTAGAAGCTATTCGGTTATTGGGAATCATTTTATCACGGGATTACATTTAACTACATTCATATCTTTACTTGCATTCTTGGTCCAAAAGACATTCTTTCATCCTCATGAACGGGCATGCCGAATCTCGTGTCTCTGCCGGTGGAGATTATCCTATGTATTTCGGACAACATTGGCATATCCAATCTCAACAGCCTCGTTCAGTCTTGTGTCAGATTCTATTACATCCTCAATAAGGATCTATACAAGCTCGGCTCACTCAAAGGACTCGGCCTCCACCACGTTGCAAAAGAAGGTCAGATCTCAGGAGCCATGAAGCTCCTATCCACAGGCTCAGACATCGACCTGATGATTTTGGTCCCCTTAAGGCTTGTTCCTCTCACCGAAATGACAACGGCCCCATCTGTTTCATCTGTCAGAGCCGCAAGTATAGAAAGGGCCGGCTACACATGACTCCACTGCACTGTGCTGCCATGTACGGTCAACTAGAAATGGTGCGATTCCTCATTGACCACGGTGCCAACATCGACAAGTCATGGGCTAGTAGGGCATCACCCGTCTACTTAGCGGCCTTATATGCCTACCCGAATATCACAAAAATGCTTTTGGATGCTGGCGCTTCCATGGCTACTAAAGGCCCGGGCGTTGCCTCGCTTCTTTCCTGCGCTGCCACAGGAAAGTCAGAGTCAGAAGCCATCATGCGACGCAGAGCGCACACGGTTAAAGTTGTGCTTGATGCCGGTGCGCCGTTTGAGGCTTTTCAAAACGAAATACCACTTCGCGAAAGGTTCCTATTTATATCTTCTGATAACGAGCTGGTTAACGCCCAGGTGCGCCCTGATAGCGACTCTCATGCCCTTCTGGGATCCGCGGATATGTATGATGACAAGACCCGCGATCGTTTGCAGAAGATTGAATCCGAGGTATACGCAAGCGAGGTGGCGAGTAATCGTTCGAAAGAGGCCCCTCGGCGGATAAAACCGTCGGAATGTGTGTTTCCAGATTCGATTTGGGACCTTGATAAGGAGTTGGAAATGCCGTCATTGGCAGATCCCGGAGAATTTTCGGAACCCGATGAGACGCTGCTGGATGAAATGGCACTTAGCCCTGGTAGTACTGGAGAAACACAGTCCCAAGACAGTGGTCGATTCATGCAACATACAGTAGGGAGCGACGAGGACTTGGGGTCAGATTGGGGCACGAGACTGCCATCATACTTAAGCCGAAATTGAAAAACTTGCTGTCAAACCTGAAATCTAGGCCATATTTGTTCGTTGGTGGGTGGCTGGTGTTACAAGGCGTGTTATGTTGCGATTCATGTATTTTTATGGTATCCCTTTAATCGGATTAAATTTGACATTGAGATTCGCTTAATCCTAAGTAACTAATGTGAATGGTACAGATCATCTGAAAGGAGCCAAAAACAACGCTACATCATTGAAAGACATATATCATCCCTCCCCGATCCACACTTACTGTCATCCCGTATGGCACCTCCAAAACCGCTATGTCAAGAATGATATCTAAATGGCTCTTTAACAACTGCTGCTGCTGCAAACTGATCACCGTACTTCGTGGTGGTCGTCCTGCACCGCCCCCCGTCGCACCAGCACCGCTTTTCTTCGAGCCGGGACCGGCTCGTCCTGCCGCAGATGTCGACGCGCCAGAACTCGGCAGCCACTCTGTCGTAATCGTCAACGACGGCGTTGGATTTGTAATCTCATATCTCGGCTTAGCGGATAAACTTGCCCCATCGGATATCATATCAGGAGAGCATATTATCGTCGACGCGTCTGGATGGGAGACGTCCCAGAAACGAATTTTGCGGTCAGAGCCGCCGGAAATGAGGAAGCCACACTTCGATGAGAAGTTGTTGTCGGTCTGATTCCCAGTTGGGGCACTTGGGTCAGGGACATCAAGGCCAACGGCGATGGCGCGGATGCCATTTCGATCGTTAGTGACGCTCTTTGAAGACGAATCGGGCGAGGACGCCATTGCGAAGCGGGAAAGGAGAGATTCGGGCTTTTCGTCGTCCACTCGCCATGGATCATAGGCCTTCCAAGTTGTGTCAGGAGTAAAATGGATGTTTCGGTGTGTTTGCGCGGCGGCAGCGGCGGGCTTGCCGTTGTCATCGGATGCACTACTAATGACAGCGGTGCGATATACCTCTCGGCATTGCATTTTGTCGATATCCCAAACCATTACTTCTGAACCGCTTTTGCCCCCGCCAGTGACGCAAACCCATCGGCCCCGTCCCTTTAGTGGATGTATGAGGAGCCGATTAATTGGCGTACCGCCAGGAAGACCCCATGATTTTACTAACACGCAGAATCGAAGATCCCATAAGTTGAGTATACCGTGCATGGTGCCGATGAGCAGCCAGTTTCGCTTTCTATCGACGCAAAATGTTGTTGGCATTCCGTAGTGGACTGGGTTTCGGAGAATGAACACCTCATTCATTGATTTCAAGTCAAGACCGATAATTTTGGATCGATTGGTGGCCATTAGGAGTAGAGAATGCACGTCTGTACGGTAATGTTCCATCCAAACAGCATACTCATTTTCTCCCCCGGATGGGGTTATCTGATATTGCCGAACAATATGTGGCTTGCCATATCGAACTGTGTCATTATAATTTTGATAATCGATTCGGACTGCGTGAACGCTCCCGTCTGTGGCAGCACTTATGAAGGTGTAAGTGTTTTCCACAAAAGTGACACATTTAACTTTCGTTCCTGCGGCATGACGGTGCGTTTGGCGGGATCGTGGAGTCAAGTTCTTTTCCAGGCGAGTCGTATCCCACACCTTAACAGTACCATCGTCCGAAGCAGTGACGAAAAAGGCATGATTAGGTGCTACAGCAACTCTATTGATAGGACCTGTGTGTTCGCCAAAGAGTGCAACCAAATTTCCCTGTGGTCTCCAAGGTGTATTTGTTGATTGCCCGCTGGCTTTCTTGATCGGACTTCGACTAGAAACCGGAGCAACAACTGGCCCAAAATCAAATAGATCGGTGGGGTAATTTTCTGCAAAAACTGCATCGAGGAGCTTCAAGATCGTTGGGTCGTTACCACGGTACGTATGGTTTGCTCGATATTGTCGAACGGGCTCTACTGCATTTCCACTATTTGAAGCTGCAATAGTCGGTGTTTGAGGTGAGCTTTTAGGGAGGGGAGTATCAACCTCCCCGAGCACATTTGTAGAGGTGGTCCCAGTTTCGGCATAGGCTTTGTAGTTCTCTTGGCGATTAAGAAGGTGGATTGGGCTGGATCGGCGCCTGATATCGTCGCCTCTGGCTCTTAGATATGAACTCTCTGATCCTTGTGCTGATGAATCGGACCTGACGAGTGCCTTCCCTTGCCTCATCCGATCGCCAGTATCTCTTCGCTCAGCATCTGAAGTTGCTGCAGAGGAGCTCACGGATTCCGGCTGAACATGTGGAGGAGAGGTAGCTGTTGAAGAGTCGCATTTCAGAGATTCTAACGTGCGTTGTCGAGATAGAGTCGACACAACTTCGGTACTGTGTTGTCTACCGCTGCGACCGATACCATGCCTTCGCAAAGGATCGTTCCCATCAATTGTGCTCGAAGCGTCCAATAAGGCGTCTGCAATTGTATGGGTCTTTCTCTCGCCGTCTGGCGGGTAGGTTCCCCTTGCAGGTGGCTGTGAATGTTGTTGCCTTGGTCCTTGCTTCTTATCAAAAAAAACCGTTTGTGGTGTTATGTCGTATTGACTCAAGGGAACAATATCCGGTACGACCGCTTTCTGAGTCCCTGAAGGTCGTTTGAGCCTTCTTGTAGCTATGCGCCAGATGTACTCCTTTAGAGCAAGTAGTTTAAATTCGTCTTCCGGACCCATGCCTAAGTTTCTGAGGCGGCCGATCCACTGTTGATCTTCTTCGTTTTTCGCTATATTAGTCAACGCTGATCGGCGTAATTTCCCAAAGTTCGTAGCTGCGGCACCACCTAAGATGAATGTGCCATCTTGGGCCGCCGATTCCCAGAAGACCCCCTTTTCCGCCTTTATAGCCCAAACCTGGGACATATCATATACGTTTTTGGGGAGCGGCCTTTTGAGGGCATCCAATAACTGAGATGTCGAGATATCCGTCGTATTAGCCTTGAGAAACGGGCGAACAAGAGGCGATACAATACAGTATTTATCTGCCACGGACAAAAAGGATGTGGAGGCAACCACAAAATTCACAGCAGCCTCCCGAATCCAAATGCTCGGATGTACAAAAAACCGAACAATAATGTAGAGAAGATCCCAGGTGGTTGACCTCTGGAAAAGACCTAAGCGAGCTATGCTGGCAAGTGATCTGAGGGCTCTCTCGACAACAAACTCTTCGGGATCAGCCATGGATTGAACCATGAGTGGAAGAATGAATTCTTCAAGACTGATACTACCAACGTACGTAGCAACCCCAACCACCGCCTCGAAAAAGGCACATTTGAGAATCCAGTCCTCGTCGTTCAGATATGTATTCAAATGGCTTAAAATAACCTCACTCGCTTTAGGGCTGCCAAAGAACACGCAGAGACTGGAAACAGAGCCTAGAAAGGCGCGGCGAACGGAGACATCGGGATCGGTTAGAAGTGCTTTTGCATGAGCTTCAAAGAATTCTAACAAATCCACGCGAGCAACATCATAAAGATTGTGGTACGAAGCATCTTCCGTCCAGCCTGTTTCAGACCCAGCTGGGATTAGAGCCATTAGACGGACATCAGATCGCAGTGCTTGTACCATATCTAAAATTCGAAGAGATGTGTGAGCAAGCGAGGCAATACAAGAGGCATATGCTGCTCTGACCGTGGGGCTGGGATTGCCATTCGATCCTAGTATAAACGGTTGAAGCCTTGGAAACAGATACTCCGGGAAAATGTAGGCATTAACCGGCGATACGACTTTCACCATAGCTAAAAGCTGAGTCAGTGTGCGGATGGCTGCAACCTTGACAACGTCTGAACGGTCGTTCAACAACAACATGACGAAAGGTAGAATTCTGTCCAGTTTTGCTTCGTCGGGTACCCTCTCAGCAAAAGCTAGGAGGATATCGCATGCTTTCACTCTACCGGACGACTTGGCGGTATTTCGCAAGCTCGACACGACCAATGTGAGGAATATCAAGATGCCATCTACCTCGTTCGGTGGAGATTTAGCAGGCTGGCTATCGGATGTGGGTAAATCCAGTTGCATAATATCAGCTTGATGAGTTAATAGTGGAGTGGTCTCCCTCGTCCCACCTAGGGCAGTTTGAGGGTTCGAGCCCAAAAAATAGGATATTTTGTCAAAATCAAGAAAGACCCTCTCGATCCTATCATCCGCTTCATGTAAATCTGCGGCATTGACATCCATTCGCATACGGCCCGACGTCGGGTCCGTGATTAATCCCATGTATTGGTGAAGAAAACTATAAAAGTATTCAGGAAATGTCTTCTTGCGCCAGAAGTTCAGGCATTCCTCCGCTGAGTAACGCGATTCCGGATCGATGCTTATCATATGTAGGATTAGCTCCCTGACATCTGGATCTCGAATCTCTGCTAGTGGGCCTTGCTCTGGACTGTATTCGCCTTTGCGATATTTGTAAAGTTGGCTTAACGTGAAGATGGGCGATTCTAGGAAGAGTTCTGCAATAACACATCCAGCGCTAAAGACATCCATAGCCCAATTGACCTGGCGGTCTCCTGGGTCTTCTCCAGCACTTAAAAATCGTTCCGGTGCAAGATAGCAAGTCCTGCGGCCAGAGGTGTCGAAGTAGAATGAAAAGTCGGCAGGATTATCTTCAGGAAGAAAAGTTGGTTTAAAAGACGAAGAGAAGTCGGACAGGTACACCCAGTTCCACGAAGTAACCAGGACATTTTCAGTTTTTATATCTCCGTGGAAGATATTTTGGGAGTGGCACTCACGAAGAGCACACAGAAGCTGAAAAGTTATCCACTTCTTTTCCATATCCTCTAAGAAAGGTCGAGTGCTACACATAACGTTAGATGGCTTTATCTTCCTTGATACTCAGAATGCGACGGGAACATACCTCATTCGATCATACAGGGAGCTATGTATGTATTGCCGAACCAGATACCCTCCAGTTCCAGTCTCGACAATCCGCTGATATGAGAGGACATTCGGGATATCCCTCAATATGTTGCGTTCGCCTGAGAAGCTGTCAGATGGTTGTCACCATATAGTGGAAGATAATACCGGTGGGACAGACGCCTGATAGCTTTTTCATATGGGTCTAACTGCAAGCTTGGATATGGTTTCATGATCGCTTTAACAAAGACCAGGCCATTATGCTGTCGAGCTCGTATACTTTTCATAAACCTCGCAGTTCCCAGAGATTTCTCATACACAAGATCGGCAAGCTCTGGGATATCGATACCCGCAGACCCTGCCGAGAGGGTGGTGATGGAGTATCCTTGGCCCATGGCGATCGTGCCTGTGTCATCAACAGAGCAGGAAGGAGACGGTTATTAGAAGCATTCACTGCTATCTTTTAAATTCTCAACTCGATTGGATTCGGTAATATATGGCCTCTGCCGTCCATTGTTTCATCGAATGGAGTCAGCTGCAGCACATGGCGCCGCAACCAGTATCGGGTGAATTGCACTGTGATTCTGAAATCCAGCCACGGGCACAATTTTGCGACACCCAAGTCACGGTTCAGTTGTGGCAGCAAGCCCTAGAACCGACAGTGCCCATTCACCGTGAGATAGGAATGGTTGATACCAAAAGCAGAGCTGCCTCTCCCTGCGCACGTTCGTTCAATCAGCCGCAAGGCGTCGGTGACGTTGCCTGAATGCCAAGCCCGATGACATAAGCGAGGCTGGGCAGGAGAGCGACGGGGCTAACCGCATTCGTCCATCCACTGCGTTTCCTTTTTCTGCCGTTTTTGCGACCTCCAACTTCCAACCTCCTCAGCAGCAAACACGTCCAGCGGAGCCCGCCACCAGACAGCCGGCCAGAAGGCTGGCTTGTGGACAATGGGCTGTGTTGAGGACAGGAGGCTGACATGTTGGGATAACATTCGTTTCATGCTCCTGCAGCCCTCCCCAATCAGAATCCATAGACAAGGGTTGATGAAATAGCGGGAAGCCTTCAGCCGCGCTTAAATGTATTCTTCACGGATGGTTAAATATCATGGGGTCGCCTCTTGCTCCAAATTTAATAGCCATTTTCTTTTGTTTCCATTTTCTTCTCTCCGTCTCCTTCTCCTTATCCTCCGGACATTTGACCCAAGGGGTTCTAACTAGGTGGTGGTTACCAGGCTACCAACTGAATGAGGCGGCCTGTCATTCTTTAGGTGTCTTGCAGCAGCCGGTCTTCTTGCCCTTCTCGAGCGTCTCCAGGCTGGAGAGCTTCCGTCCTTTCGATTTCGAAGCCGCTGTACCATCAATTGCTCTTCCAACCTCTATGCATATATATATATATATATATATATCGGTTAAGGGTTGGTCAGTATAGTGATGGAACGTTTTTCTGCCCCGCATATTCGGAATATTTCAGAGCGTTGCAAAACAAGGTGATTGTTAACGTCGTTGAGAATTATCCTTAGTCTATGCGGCTAACCGCTCGTTCGTCTTTGGGAGCAGCACGTTTCAGGCGCAAAAGGGCCGTTTTCATCTGCCACTGTCAGCAACGCTGGTGCTTGCACCCTATGATACCAAGGGTGATGCCCACTAGAACCTGACGAAATGGCAGACGAGATTAACCTTCATGACAAGTGATGGAAATTTTCTTTTTTCCACTGAATCGTCAGCAACACAAAATGGGAAAGCTGCTCAAGGAATAGCGTTAGGAACAAGAAGCTCGAAGCTAATCCTTGAGAAGCCTCTGTGGCCATATCTACCGCTTTATTTCGGGTGAATTAGCCTCACTTATGACACATGGGACTCATTACCGGGCTTTACTAAGGCCTATGTCTCCCCGGTTGTATTCTGATCCAGTTACAACTAGAAAATAACCTCGAGAAGTTGCCCATGCACCTTCCAGAGGAACAGACCTTCGGGGAAAGATACCCTATTTCATAGCCTCATGCACGAGAGCATCACTCAGGCGCGTTCAGCTCTGGACCTGCACCCTGCTTTTTAGCCTCGTGGATTCCCAGTCGATTCTGAGACATCGGAATTAGATGCAGGCTTCGAGGGACGCAGATTTAGCCTTGGGTAGTGGTTTGTGCGGCAGTCAAGGAACCCCGTTTCTGGTTTGAAATACGGGAGGGCGTTCATGTATCATTCAGAAGATTGTTTCACAATCTCCTAACTGCCAATGGTCATTCCCTGTTGCGTCAGGCGGAGGTCGCTAACGGAGGCCGCCGATGGGCCTCAACTGCCCTGGAACGAATATTTCGGGTACTGACATTGGCCGGTTAGCGCTTCCAAGAGCCTCACCTGCGAATATTCCTTGTTAAAGCTTTGCACTGCCCCGAGACATAACAGGACGGTACCTGACTTATTAATAAGATCTACGATCAATTACGGACCATAGGTGACATCGTTCGGGCTCGAATGTGATTGGGATGCACCTTTCTTTTTCCCCAAACAACCCTTTCCTGTCCAGAAGATATGCATGACGCCGGTCACGGCTCCAGCCTCAGCGGCCTCACGTCACAGACCTATTTGGTTCGTATGCGGGGTGTTTACGGCCAGGTTAGGCCTTGTAACCGAGGCTAGACACTGCTTGTACTAGGTCCTTTGGCGCATCTCCACCTAAAATTTCTGCTAAGGGTGTGCTACGAAACGGAATGTGCACCGGCAAGAGGTTTGCGATGGAATTCTCCTTGAAACTGCAGGCAAATACGATCACTCCGCCGCCCTCTTTCAGGATTTTCAGAAGCAGACGCGACAGAACCTGATCCAAATATGATGTTCTTCGTGCGGAAAGCTAATCAACGACCTCCGACACGTTTAAGGTTTAGCGCCATGCAAGATTTCTCGGTGGCTGAATTGATTGGATATCAGGCAATATTTTTTCCAACGCGCTAAAAGACCCTTGAACAATGCACGCGGTTGCGCTCAGTTTTATTTTAAACGACAGGGTATGTTGAGAGAATCGATTGGCTCTGGTGCTACGATTGAAAAAGTTCCCCTACCACCCCAACCAGTAAAATCCTCGTCGCATCTGCAGAAGATCACGGTACCATACTATGTTGACCTCATTATTTACCACGTCAATTGGGAACGCTCACCAAAAATGGGCATCATTCACCTTGAATTTGTCCATGTTCCTTGATGTTGATTTGACCTCTCTTTCCTACCGTTTGTTCTCATTGCATTTCTTCTTCAATTAGTTATGGAGGGGCGGCTGGCAGTTTTATGGGCTGGGGCCGCCCATATGATGGCATCCGAGTAACACCCAACTTCCACATCTGGGTAACCCCATCTAGCCGCTGGAGACTATCAATGATAGTTGGTGTCTGCATACAGACACGCAGCTCTTGTGATTGGTCTGTCCGCCTAAGCCCAATGCCTGACATTCTCGATCCCCGGGATCCTCAGCTTCTCGACGGGCTTTAAAACGAAGATAAATATGCCTTGAGATAAACAGCACTGCCCCTCCTTGCTTTGCTTCCTTCGCCAAACCGTCAAATTCGGATCCTTGCATTGTCCTAAGCGTGATGGTTGACTGGGGTGGTGTAGCTCTACCGGATATTGCTTCCCGCTCTGCCTCTGGGTGAGCCCCGCGCTGCTTGCTGCCTGCATTATTCTTTTGGTTTCTGTTTTCTTTTGTGTGTGTGTGTGTGTGTGTGTGTGTGTGTGTGTGTTTGTGTGTCTCTAAGGCATACTAATGCACTTGATGGCGAGTAGGGGCAGTGACATTGCACGAGCATAACGCTGCGTATGCCAATGCATCAATTCTTGGTTCCAGCAATTGCACAAGCTGCTGCGCATTTGGCTGAGCCTGCAGTTCCGGAGGGCCTCGGTCTGAATGATCTGACGCAAAGACATCTGTAACCACAGCTATGATTGACCGGCCCCGCTTGCCAGCTCAGATTCAGCACAGGTGGAAACCATGCAGGGAAATTGGATAGGACTGGAGGCAGATCAGGGTGAACGCTAGGCAGGCAATGAAAACCCAAGGCTTCCGGAAGTGTTCTAGGTGTATCATCGGGCGATCTCTCCGGATCATTGGTGCCTGTTAACAGTGGTGTTAAACGCCTCGCGCCTCAAGACAGCAAAAAATACCCTTGTCCAGTAGATGTCTCGGAAATACCTCGCCTCGGCAGAATGTTACGAAGAATGGTTGATTCATACTTTGCGAAGATGAGCAGTATTGATCTTTGAGAGTAAAGAAGAAGGCGGCGCTGGTGTGCGCGCAGTCATTCTGGAATTGTTATGCCAATCCTTAGGTAACCGTGAGACCCTTGCGGCGGCTAGTCAACGAAAGTGCAATGTTTGGTATGCGTGAAGCCAATTCTTTTCTTTTCTTTTTTTTATTTTTTTCCCTCTCTTTTCGGGCATTTCACCCCCGCCGCAATGCTTTCTTTGGTTTTTCTTTTTCTTTTCTTCTTTTTTTTTTTTTTTTTTTTTTTTTTTTGTTTTTTCTCCCCCGTTTTGGATGTTTGCTCTCTGGATTGCCGTTGTGATGTACGGAGTACCCGGTACACACACAAAGGTATTGTGTATCGGGATTACACCGTATGCGCTGCAGGCGGTTTGGTTTGGGGGCAAAGTACACCGTATGGAGTATCGCTATCTGCGGAGTAACCAGTCGACGGGCTGTGTGGCATCGAACGGGCGAATCAAGGGCGCGAACCAGACTGTCGGGTCGCAGGGGCTTTTTCATTGATCGCATCCTCGATTCCTCCCTTTCTCCGTCCGCCCTCTTGCGCTCGCCCTCCCTCGCCAATGACGATCGGCGGCATTTTGGATCTCCTGCCTGAGTTAAAACGGGTGTGGCTTTTCCGTTTCTCTCATCGCCATACTAGCTGGTTACGATTCACTCCATTCCTCCATGCTATTGTCTCCGATCCTGCCCTAAACACGACCCATGTCATCGCCAACGCCGAATACCTGACTGCACCTTGTTGCCTTTTTTTTTTTTTTGGGCCATGGGCCTCGCGGCTATCTAGCCTCTAGAACGATGCCTAATGCATTCATTTGCCCTTCCCAAGGCAGTGTATGCCTTGCGGACACTGTACCCTGTCTTTCCTCGAGAACAGGTTCTGCATCCCGCTGGTCAATGCAGATGAGCCCTACTTTATTTCTTGCATCGCCAATCGAAAATCTTCCCGTCTTCTACCTTGCAGTGACCCAAACTCATTCATATACCTTCCTCTCTGCCAACCCTTTTTTTCCCCCTTTTCTCTTCTCTTATTCCGTCGGTCTTATATACTTAACGTCTCCTCTCCCCAGCTAGCTCAAACTTCCCTTCTGTCTGCCTAGGAGTCAAGTGCCTCGATTTTTCCTAGTCGCCTCCTTGGATGATTCAAAACTCGCAAAGCTATGGATCTCAACCCAAGGACTTTCTCTGCTGCTCCTCAGCAATACTGTCCTTCCTATAGATCACCAATGTCAACCTCTCCCTATCCAACTCCTCCTCAGACCGATATTCACAGCCAGACACTGTCCGCTCATACGTCGGCGATGGGTGGGCTTGATCTGCTGGGCTGCCTTCCGAGCCAGCAGCTCCCCATCTGTGCACCAGGACATTCTCTCCTTCCGTCCGCAATCAGCTGGTCAACCGACCCCAGCGCTGCGCATTGCTATTCCAATCCATCTCCAAACCTGGGTGAATACCAGGGTTTAGGAATCTATGAAAGCTTCAACACAATTGCGACGACGAATTCACCTTTCATTGCTCCTAACACCCATGCGACCATTCCTAATGCCTTCCTCAGCCCTCCTTCTCTACCTCGAAAACCAACCCACGTTATGTATCAACGTACACCGATACTGGAAGACATGGGCCTACATTACCAGTCGATCCCGGCGACCAGGCAATCTACAACACCAAGTAAGAAGGTGAAGATCAGCCATGATGGTGAAGCAAGCCAGATCAATGTTCAGAGGACTTCTATCCAAGAAGATCCTTTGCCATACCAATACGAAACATACTCGGACCCTGCGGAGTGCAATGAGGATCCGACCACCACATTACTCGAATTGGACAACAACATCAAGAGGCCTGTGCCTGATAACAGGATTACGGGGGAGCCCCGCCGTTTGCAGAACGAGGCGACGAACACCGCCCAAGCCAGCTGTCCAACTGCTGTTTCAACTAGCAGGAAAAGGAAGCAGGCGCGGAAGGCTAGAACCGCGAAGAAAGGCAAATTTGAATGCCCGAAATGCGGCATGCAGTTTACGAGAAATTCCAATTGCAAGTCGCATATGAAGATACACGACCCGGATCGAAAATACCCCCATAAGTGCACTTTTGGACAGTGTACGAAGCAGTTTAGTCGCAAGACTGACCTGACTCGACATGTCGATAGTGTAAGTTCTCACTGCTTGTGTGCCTAAATCATATTGTTCCCTTATTGATTGGATTGCTAGGTGCATGAAAAGCTCCGTAGATTTGGCTGCTCTGAGTGCGGACATCGTTTTGCGCGACAAGATACGCTACGACGGTAAGTAGATGCGTCCAGTACTATCTGTTATTCCATCTGACTGAATCATCTCCATAATAGACATTGTGAAGATGGATGCAGGAAACAACAGCGTCAGGCCCAGCGCGCTGCTGCGGCAGCTGCAGCTGTAACGTCTGTTTCATCCGCGCTGTCCTACCATGTTACTCCAGTCTCATACCAGCAACCTGCATCGCCCTCTCCATGCCGAGAGCTAAATTCAGAACACCATCAACATCCCCATTCCCACCAACCGCAGATCAGCAACGCCCTTATGCGATCAGCGTTATTTGACAATGCACACAATGCTTTTTCACAATATACATGACAGCTATGGAGTATGGAAATGAAGTTACAACCCCTAATCATGACTTATGCGCGGAGTGGATATCTGGATGCTTTTTCTCATTGGACAGAGTTTCTATATAATATAGATTTTTGTTTTTCTTTTTTTGTCAAATACAAACATAGATACATATTCCCCTTGATGCACGAGTAAAGTTATATTTATTTGTTTTTATTTGTACCTTATTTTGGGCACTTTGATGCAAGGCTCCGTAAAGGTTTGCGAATTCCATGGGTCGACATCGGGGAAAAACTCCAGAAGCAAAGATTTGCAATATGAGAGGAGGAGGCTAATCTTGTTCCCAAAGAAATTGCTTGTGTTTTTCGCATAGAAGTTTTGTCGAAACTTGGATTGCGCTTCCATTTTGCTTCCGCTGCACCGTGGCTTGTGCTTCTTGCTTTTTCTTCCACCCTTGGCGCCCGTTGATGGACGAGGATTGTTGCAGCAAACCATTTCTTTCCCCCCTCCTCCATTCCCAGCCCCACTCCTTTCTTCAGGATGTGATAGGTACACATCTTCTGCACTCCAGACGGGATCGATATTGTATTTCTTTGTCTGTTCCGTTTTTTGTCTTTTACAATTGTTGTGGTTCTGCTTTGTGTCTTTGGCTTTTTCTTTTTTTTTTACCTGGCTTTGGAACAGGAAGGATAGCTACATGCTTGAACATACCCCACATTTGCACCAGTATCTTTGGCTGCTCTTGATGCATTGGATCAGATTCAGGAATTGAAATGACAAGGATTAAAACTAGACTGCAGAGCCGTCGCGTCCTTTAATTTTATTTTTAACCGCTTTTTTTAATTCGCGACGGCAGTTCATGAATCAGGAGAAGCGAAACCCTGCGCTAATTCTTTCTAGAATCCTTTTCAAGTTCGATTCTTCAACACAACTCGCCCGTCGCCCGTTTACTAAGTGATTGGGCTTGTCATCTCAGCCCTATCTGATTGGGACATGTTTTGGGTTTAGTGTAAGTTAGTGGATGTTCGGGTGAAACCTAAATTTTACGGCTGCGGGTGGTCGTTTGCAAGGATGATCACGGAGGTGTGTTCAGCGGGGGATAGAGAACCGACCCTGGGCGATCCGGCGCTTCGCTGCAGAGATACAGACTTGGGATTGTCTTCTTGACTGGACCCTTGGTTCTGTTCTTCAGTGTTTGTTCTGGAACATTTCTAGAATTGGGCAGCAATCCCCGAGATCTACTAGAGGCACATCCACGGGCCTTGGGCGGTACGTTACATGTGTCGATCTTAAATAGAAGGTGGAGAGATATTCGGATCTTCCACCAAAGTGATGGACGTGCATGTACTCCGTATGTTCCTCTGTGCAGAACGTAGACATGATGGCGGTTGGTACTGAGGGATCGCCGGACTTGGACTAGCAGTCAATTTGTCCTCAGCATTTAGCTCCCGGAGGCCGCCTGCGCGGGTGCCAGTTATCTTTTGTTAGATGAAAGATTTGAGTCCGTCCTGATAATGATAGGTTAACCTCGCAAGCCAACGTAAGAAATCGATAGAAACAATAATAAGCCACGTCTCAAAGGCCTATTCAGCATTCTGCAAGCTGCAAGCCATATGCTGCTCTCGCCAATCACTCCACAGGGATTGTTTTCGGGGGCCGATCCCTGAGCATGTTCGATGCCTTCGATGATTGTTCCATGCATGTTCCCCCTTAGGAAAAGGATCGCCGTACGTTGGGACGAATTTTCTTTTACTGTTTGTCTTTTCTTTTTTTTCTTTTTTTCTTTTTCTTTTTTTTTTTTTTTCCAAACCATATCAAAATATGCTTTGACTTGATCTTCAGTTAACTAGCGTTTGAGGTGTTCTGTTATACCCAACTTCCATCCGAGATCCCATCTCCTCCATGATTTAGCATGGTCAGTTCACTGCTATGGAGCAAACAAGACCCTGGTTTCACTAAGCGCTGACATCACCACAAGCCCCTTCTCATTGAGCACCGCTTTCGGAAAGGTCAACATCTAAAAATTAACCCTCGAAACAATGTGCTTTATTCCCATCTACAGTACGGAGCATGTTGAAAAGTTCAGAACCTTTCGTCCCGCCCCACGGGGGATGACCTAGGCCGGTTTGAAAAGCGCCCTGTTGTGTCTCCGTGGTTGATTCTCTTTCACTCTTGATGCAGCCAGTGTGACTTGAACGCAGCAGGCCCTGTTTTAGTTTATTTTTATCTTTTATTTTATGCACTTCTCCGGGACAGCAGCTGATCAAAGACACGTACATATCCAAACAGCAGGTTTCTACTGTACCCCTTGCAGATAGGCAATGCAAGTTCCAAATCTTGCTGCCATTGTCAAGGACTTGGAGGGAAGAACCCCCAGATTCTGCGGCCCGTGTTTCTGATTAAGACTTAGCGCAACGACAGATGGGGTTCGGGTTTGCGAATGCATCGGCCTGTGCCTTACGGGCACTTGCTTGTAAGATCCCGTAAGTGCGTGTGTATGAGTAGAAGTATAGGTACATTGCCTGGGGCTGTATCGTTTTGAAAAGAGTATGCCCTTGATTGATTGCTCGTGGTGTGTAAACTACGGCGCAGGCCCTCTGGGGAGAATCTGCCCATCTCGGCGCCTGTTCTGTGGCAACGTACCCTAGGCATAGGGCTGAGAATACCTTCGTTGATGTATGGTGTTTCATGCTTCCCTCTTCTTGGCTGATCTTGCTGGTCGACAACATCACGCTTCAACTCAATAGAGATGGCTGGGGGGGAAGGCAACTCTCACATGGTAAAGGATTTTCCCGATCCATTTTGAGTGCGCCGCCAGGAAGAACAGTGTCTCGATGGCGCGCGCCGGTATTTCAAGGAGGCTCATCAATTGTTACGGCCCATCCACTGTTGCAACTTCCGTGAATAATTGCCCTATGATGTCAAAGGGAACCTGGAGAGGGCGAGGAGTGGCTAGAGGGCCGCAAAAATCAGACTCCGGCACGGCAGGCGATGCGATTTCTCCCATTTTCCTAGGCAGAATGGCGATGACAACAAGTTGGTTTCTCCTGCATGCCTCGTGCTAGAGAGCAGGGCAGACAACGGCGTCAAACCCGTTCCTAGGCTGCAAGCCCCGGAAGATGGGCCGCTGACGTTCTCTCGTTCCTTGATTCGCCATCCTCCTGACGAAGTTCTCGAGCAAAGGTGGGAAAATCCATGGCTTAGACGTTGGTCATGAGGGAAATGCACTTCATCACAAGGGATAATAGAGATCCCAGGAGACTCTTGGAACATACCCTCATCGACGCGAGACAAGAAGCTCCCTCCGCTGCCTAGCGATGAGTTCGTCGTCGGCAAAAAAAAAGGTGGCGGGCTGGTCACCGCTATCCCGTAAATGGACTGGCAAAACACTGCAAATATCATTTAGCCCACCTCAAGCTGCGGATCAATGAGGTGGTGAAAGCCATTTCGCTGTCTTCGAATCGTTGTCGGCTGATCAGAAAATCTGTCAGCGCCAGCCCAGATCGCGATGTTTCCCCGCTCCAACCAACCAGCGAAACCCCACTCTCCTCCAGAACGGCCTCAAATTCATCCCTCTCCACCCACGTTCATTCAATAGCATTGTCGCTCATTGTCACCCATTGACATAGCAATCTTTACTATTTTCTTCCTGGCCTGCCTCTGGTTCCTGTATTGCTTTCCCATCCTTTCGGGACGCGTGCGCAAAGCCCCTGATCGACCTTGTAAATACCGCAATTCGCGTCGATTTTTTTGAAAGGGGGAAAAACCGAAAAAAACCAAAAAAGGATGTCGACAACCACCCCAATTACGAGCGAGAATGTGTCTTCATTTTTCTCGGAAGTAGACACACGTCTCGTCCTTGATTTGAACGAACTAAAATCAAAACAGTCGGCAAGAGAGGGGGGCGAGTTGGAGGGCTACGATGAGGAACAGATTAAGCTGATGGATGAGCGATGTATAGTCGTAGATGAGAATGACCAGCCGATTGGTAGCGGTACCAAGAAGACCTGTGAGTTTTTCTTTTTTCTTTTTTCCCTTTTTTTTTTTTTTCCACCATGCGTCTACTCGGGATTCAGCAGGAGGGGAGAGACGAGTTTTGGGCCAGGTTAACATGAGTGCGCTCTAGGTCACTTGATGAGCAACATCGATCGCGGACTGCTCCATCGCGCGTTCTCCGTCTTCTTGTTCGATTCCAAGAAGCGCCTTCTCCTTCAACAACGTGCCACGGAGAAAATTACTTTCCCTGACCTTTGGACGAATACCTGCTGCTCTCACCCTCTGGGCATCCCCGGCGAGACCGGTGTGGGATTGGACGCCTCTGTGCAGGGAGTGCGCAGGGCCGCGCAGAGAAAACTGGAGCACGAGCTGGGGATTAAGCCTGAGCAGGTTCCTCTTGATAAATTTGAGTTTCTGACAAGAATTCACTATAAGGCACCGAGCAATGGCAAGTGGGGAGAACATGAGAGTAAGTTGCTTGAACCGCCTTTGGGCTTCCCCCTTTTGTTATGGGATGCATCTGACCTTTTGAATTAGTTGATTACATCCTGTTTGTCCAGGCCGATGTCGATCTCGATGTCAGTCCAAACGAAGTCCGTGACACGAGATATGTGACGGCGGACGAGCTGAAGGATATGTTTAACCAGCCGGACTTGAAGTTTACGCCGTGGTTCAAGCTCATTTGCAACTCGATGCTGTTTGAGTGGTGGGAGAACTATGGCACCGATTCGTTCAAGAAATACCTCAACAGCACGCAGCTGCATAAAATGGTGTGAATCGATGTCGAAAAGCCTTTTTGATGCGGGGTTTTCGAGGTCAATAAAATACTTTGCTAAGATGGAGCTGTACGGAACATTCAAAAGCAGGCATTTCGGGCATGGGAAGGTGGCGAGGTCACCGTTATTTCATTCTAACCCATGAATAGAAGAATAGTAATAATGAATTATACCGTTTTGAAACAAATGCTTTCCTTCTTCCCAAGTAACACGCGCTGTAGCCCTGGCGAAGGTAAAGTCGCCGCAAAAAGAATAACATCCACAAAATGTGCAGAACTCCCAGATATGCGAGGAAGATAGCAACACCAAAAGTCAAGACCCGAAACCAATTACGTGTCCAGTAAAAGAATTCGCCGTACAAATACAGGGCACCGTTGTATGTAGCACAACACCAAAGTATCACGAAAGACGGGCCGGGTATACGAAACGAGCTTGCCTAGAAAGCACAAAGCCGACTAATTATGAAAATTAAGAGCTAAAGAGGGCAAAGGGGAATTTTCCGTTTGATTTAGAGGTATGCAGCCACCCCTTCTCACGATGTACGATTGACACTCAAGAGAATCACACACGTGCCGATTATGGCAATTGCCACAATCACGAAGACGGCGTGGGAACCCCAGCCGCTTTGTACGAGGGCCTTGTGACGGCTGTATTTCGTCAATGTCCGTACGTATATCGTAAAGCCGTTCGATAAGCACACGAGCGAGAGCACCCAGAAGACGATCCCCATGGGCAAGGCCATGCGGCGTTCCAGCCGGGATGGTTCAGCACGGAGGTGAAAAGAGAGCACGATGGCGCCGGAGACGATGCAGAGATACATAGAGAGACGGAGCCATGAGAGAAAGGTGCGCTCGTTGGCGCAATGGTCACGGCAGTCTGAGGCCTTGTTGTCGAGGACGAGGGTGCCCAGGAGAGGGCGGGAGAGGAAGAGAGGACGGTCAGAGGCGAGGAGGTTGCTGCGGAAGTGGACGTGTGGCTCTGTTAGTGAATGGGAGGGTTCCTGGAGAAAGGAAAGATTGGTCAGAGTACAAATGAAATGTGGTTAATACCCAGTGACGTGCACTGGCTTGACATTCAGAGGGTTGGCCAGCGGGTTATAGGTTCCCTGGAGGGCATCATCCTCGATATCGGGGCTTGGTTCTCGGGGCATGGTGGAGCACCTCAGATGCCTATGTAGAGAGGCGTTGAGTTAAGAATACAGAGATAGAGGTAGGCGGGATTCTCGTATCAGTTCCACTCCCCCAAGTGAAGACAGCAGAGGGCGGGCGTTGAGGAGAGCAAGCACAAGGTTGCTTTGCTGCACTGGAGGTTCGTCATCCGGCCGGCTGACCATAAACGGAACATCTTTCTCCCGAAATAGAAAACGGTTTGGTCCCACGTGACCTGTCAAATAGGGTTTACGCTAGGAAAATTTATTATTTAATCGTTCACGTGGTCTCGGCTCGGCGACTGGAGAAAGGCGGTGAAGGGCGGCGTTAATCAGGGCTCGGCGCAGCGTTGCGCGGTGGCGACAGTCGCGCAGTGGGAAAATTCTCTGGGCCCAGGAGGCTGACTTTGCTGGGAGCAGCGAGTTCTTGCGCATCCAGAGTTGCGTGTAGACAAAAGAAGTACACATTGGTCTGGAGAACAGAGTCCTGTTGAAAGCGTAGTTGGACTTGGGTTCAGCCAGCTCGGCATCAGTGTGAGCTGATTTTCTATCCACCCCCCCGGTGTTTGCCAGTTCGCTACCCATAAGTTCGTACTCACTTGTTCTTGGCTACCAACACACTAACTATATGCCGCTTGTTTCCAAGCCTCTCTCTCATCTCCGTGTCGATTATGGTGTGTGATTCTGACTCAGTTGATCGTCGTAGTCGTTGCATGTCTTTCGGATAGTACAGTACATACTCCGTCGCAATGCCGTCTCACTCTACGCCCTACGACAACCGCGGTGATGTCGATGCCCACGACTCTGCGGATGACGGCCTTCCTGGTATTGAGGACGATGGCCTGCTGGGATCGTCTCCTTTAAGGCGAACAACAAGCGCCACCTCACACTCTCTTGCCGGTTCGTATCGCAGGCCAAGCTTCTTTACAATGGGTGCTCGAGGAACCGTCGTCCCACACGCTATAGACCACGACCTTTTGACGCAACAGGAGTGGGAGCAGGCAGTCGATGAAGAGAGGGACTTGTTGATTGACAATAACGTGCTCGACACGAGCACGGTTCCTCCCGAACACCGGAGCTTGCAACGAACGATAAGCGGACTGCTGTCTCAATCCCTAAGACAACCCCGCGGCGAGCCGCCACAGGTGAGCATGGCTCATCCAACCGGCCTCCCGGTTGCTCCTGGTGCTATCGAAACGACAGCTTTGTTGGGCCCCTCAGCAGAAGGTGCCGTGACGTGTCGCAGTGCCGAAGCGATTGATAAGACTTGGGAGGAGGCAGTGGAAGCTGGCTTGATCCAAACTACTTGGAAGCGCGAAGCAAAGGTACTAGCCAAGTACACGGCACCGTTGATGGTTACGTTCCTTCTTCAATACTCTCTCACCGTCGCCAGTATATTCACGGTCGGCCACTTGGGAAAAATCCAACTTGGCGCTGTGAGCTTGGCTAGTATGACTGCTAATATCACGGGTTATGCGATTTACCAAGGCCTTGCAACCAGTTTGGACACCCTCTGTGCACAAGCGTATGGTTCGGGGCGAAAGGACTTGGTTGGCCTACAGATGCAAAGGATGATATGGTTCCTGTGGACGATAACAATCCCGATTGGATTTGTGTGGTTCTTTGCAGACAAGATTCTCATGGCCATTGTCCCGGAAAAAGAGGTTGCAATCTTGGCCGGCCAATACCTGAAGGTGGTTCTCCTGGGCGCTCCGGGTTACGCCTGTTTTGAGGCCGGAAAGCGCTTCGTTCAAGCTCAAGGTCTTTTCTCAGCATCGCTCTTCGTCCTTCTTTTTTGTGCACCGCTCAATGCATTCATGAACTGGCTTTTTGTCTGGGTAAGAGATTCTTCCGGTCTCTTTGTATGTGTTATGCAGGCTAACATGACACTAGCATTTCGGACTTGGCTTTGTCGGTGCCCCTTTGGCTGTCGCTATCACTGATAATCTTCTACCACTCCTTCTTTTCCTTTACGTGTACTTCATTGGAGGCCGTGAGTGCTGGAATGGATTTACCCGCCGAGCTTTTTCCAACTGGGGCCCCATGGTCCGCCTCGCTCTCCCAGGATTCCTGATGGTTGAAGCCGAAGTTCTGGCATTCGAGTTGCTCACTCTTGCCTCATCATATTTTGGAACCACTGCCCTGGCCGCTCAGTCTGTGCTCGCCACTATCTCCAGTATCGCATTCCAAATTCCCTTCCCCCTTTCTATTGCTGGCAGCACACGCATTGCCAATCTGATCGGCGCGACGTTGACGGACGCTGCACGCACCTCCGCCAAGGTTAATATGGTGGGTGCTGTGATCCTCGGTGTGGGCAACATAACCTTGTTATCATCCCTTCGAAATTATATCCCTTTCTTATTCACTTCTGATCCTGAAGTTGCCGGTCTTGTTGCCCAGGTTCTCCCTCTCTGCGCGTCATTCCAGCTTTTTGATGCCCTCGCCACGAACTGCAACGGTATTTTGCGTGGTCTCGGCAGGCAGTCGTTTGGCGGTTACGTCCAGCTGTTTTGTTACTATGGCGTTGCCCTTCCGATAAGTTTCGGGACCGCCTTTGGTCTAGAGTGGCATCTCTGGGGTCTTTGGGGTGGCGTGGCTGTGGGATTGCTTCTTGTGGGAGTTGTTGAAGGTATATATCTGACCAAGGCCGATTGGGAACGGTCGGTCGACGATGCGAGAAAGCGCAACGCCATGGCGTAATAGTCCCGATTTGGGTCTTTATGGATATCGTCACTTACATAAAAGTTTAATTTTGGATAACTAGCAATTACTGTTTGATACCAGGACTGCACGGATGGTGGTATTTTGTCTTACAACATCCCCGTTGTTATTACTGGATAGACCTGGCTTGTTGTGGCATGACGTTGCGACTGTTTTGTCTTTCCTGAATACCTGTTTCTTGTTAATGATTCTTTCATTGTCTATGAAGTACTGGCTTACGATAATGTATATAAAAATAATACGTAGAGATAGGAATAATAATATGATGTCTGGGACTGATGTATGCATTCTATACATACCGTTTCAATGCTGTGCAATACCCGTAAGGAGGAATTTGTAGCTTTGAATTAGTTATAATGCAGAACCGGCCTTTTCAAAGCGTTAAACTTCAAACTGCAGCCGAGCCGCCTGGAAGCCATGCACCGAAGATCACTGAGACATTGCAACAACCCGCTCTTCGCCAGCGCCACCCATATATCAAACGCCGAATAAACCCAACCAAGTAACAAATTGTATACCAATCGAACTCCCAGTTCCCGGTCAATCAACCCAGGACCTTCATTTTCTTCTTCTTCTTTCCACCCTCCTTATCCCCCTTGCCCTTCTTAGTCTTCTGCCAGTCCCTCCAGCTCCCAATCCTATCATCCCTGCTTTCTTCCCATGCCTTCTCCTCCTCTCTCTTCCTCTTCCTCGCCTCGATCTCCTCCTCCTCCTTCCTCTTCTCCCTGCCTTCCTCCTGCAATTTTGCCTTCAACTGCCTCCTCCGCCTCGCCTCGTCCTCCAGCAGCACCTGAACGGTCTTTTTACGCCATTCCTTTTTGAACTCTTCCGTCTTCAGCTCCGGAGAATCCAGATCGTACTTCTTTTCGCGGATGAGAAGGCGTCGCGCGTCGGCTATGCATTCGTCAAGCTGGGCGCGGGCTTTTTCGTCTAGGAGGGCGGTTTGGGCTTTTTTGAGACGGTCGAAGGCATCGGGGGCGAGGGGATTGGAGGTTTTGTCCGGGTGTATGAGCAGGGATTTCTTGCGGTACTGGATCTTGATGTCGGAGTCTGGGACGCCGGGTTGGAGGTCGAGGACGGAATATCTAGAGAGCGGGTTAGAATGTCGGGGCTCTTAAAGTTTTAGAGAGAGGTAAAATAGACGAAATGGTACGTACGCATCTAATTGGAATGCATTTCTTATGCGATCGATCTCTGCGTCCTGGAGAGAACATATCAGTTAGCCCACCAAGTACGAAGAGTGGGTTGGGAGGCGTTACTTGCCTTTGTAAACTCGGATGCCTCCTTTTCCAGAGAGTTGAGAGCTTCCAGATCTTCATCAACAGCCATCTTGCAGCGTAGCTCCTATTTTATAAACTGCAGATCTGAAGTTGTGTAAGCCTTGAGCTCAAGGTGGAAGATGAGGCTCGGGACGCCGCTTATCGATGTGGCTGACTAAGCGATACGATGCCTCAAAAAAAAAAGTTGAGAATATCGGACGTGACAGGTTGATGCAAGAGGCATTGCTCCAGAGCTCGCCATGGCTCCAGCACATTCGCGCACCGGGAAGCCCCAGAAGCCTTTCCGTCAAAACAATAGAAGCTTAAAGCGAAAGCGAAATGAAGACGACCTCAGCAGCCTGACACAGCGAGTCGGAGAGCTCGACCCAAAGTCCCTCGCCGAGTCATTTTCAGAACTCCCGCTTTCAGATGCGACGTTACAAGGTTTGTCGGCGTCGCATTTCAAGACGTTGACGGACATACAGTCTCGTGCGGTCCCTCATGCGATCAAGGGACGAGATATTCTCGGCGCGGCGAAGACAGGCAGCGGCAAAACACTCGCATTCCTAGTTCCTGTCTTGGAGAATCTGTATAGGAAACAATGGACCGAATACGATGGGCTAGGCGCCCTAATCCTCTCCCCGACCCGCGAATTGGCGATTCAAATCTTCGAAGTTCTCCGCAAGATCGGTCGGTATCATACATTCTCGGCCGGGCTGGTCATCGGAGGAAAAAGTCTACAGGAAGAACAAGAGCGCTTGGGAAGGATGAATATTCTCGTTTGCACACCGGGGCGCATGCTGCAGCACATGGACCAGACGGCGGCATTTGATACGGCTCATATTCAGATGCTTGTTCTCGACGAGGCGGACCGGATCATGGATATGGGATTCCAGAGCACCGTGGACGCGATTGTTGAACATCTACCCAAAGAGCGACAGACGATGCTATTCAGTGCTACGCAAACAAAGAAAGTGTCTGACTTGGCTAGACTGAGCTTGAGAGATCCAGAGTATATTTCTGTGCACGAGGCGGCGAGCAGTGCGACACCTGCGAGTTTGCAGCAGCACTACGTGGTCACGCCGTTACCGGAGAAATTAGATACGTTATGGAGTTTTATTCGGAATACGTTGAAATCTAAAATACTGGTGTTCTTCTCCTCCAGCAAGCAGGTGCGATTCGTTTACGAAGCGTTTAGGCATATGCAGCCTGGTATACCGTTGTTGCATCTTCATGGGAGGCAGAAGCAAAGCGCGAGAATAGATATCACGAGCAAATTTTCGAGGGCGAAGTATTCGTGTTTATTCTCCACCGACGTTGCAGCCAGAGGGCTGGATTTCCCCGCGGTTGACTGGGTCATTCAGCTGGATTGCCCAGAGGATGCTGACACTTATATCCATCGGGTTGGTCGAACAGCGAGATATGAACGGGATGGGAGAGCAGTGTTGTTTCTAGATCCAAGTGAAGAGGAAGGTATGCTGAAACGCTTGGAGCAAAAGAAAATACCCATTGAACGGATCAATATCAAAGCGAAGAAACAACAGAGTATAATGAACCAGCTGCAGAATATGTGTTTCAAAGATCCTGCGCTGAAATATCTGGGACAGAAAGCGTTTACATCCTATGTCAAATCAGTACATATCCAAAAAGATAAGGACGTGTTTAACGTGAAAAGTTTGCCGCTGGAAGAGTTTGCATCAAGCTTAGGGCTTCCTGGAGCCCCGAGAATCAAATTCATCAAGGGAGAAGATACAAAATCGCGGAAGAATGCGCCTAGACACCTTGCGGTGGTTCCTAGCAGTGACGAAGATTCAGACGAAGAAGGACTCACAAAAAAGAAGAAAGAGAACGAAGTACGGACGAAATATGATCGTATGTTTGAGCGGCGAAACCAGGATGTGTTAACGGAGCACTACACTAAATTGATCAGGGATGAGGACGAGATTGATCCGGATGAAAAGGACAATCCCGCCGCTGATGCAGACGAAGACGACGGGTTCCTTTCTGTCAAACGACGCTTTGATGCTGGGGATGAAAATCTCGGTGAAGGCTTAGGATCCGAGGCCGAAATTGATGGCATAAAGAAAGGCAAAGCTGTGCAGATCGACGGCAAAGAACCTCTAATTATCGACTCTAAGCGACGAGAAAAGCTTCTTAAATCCAAGAAGAAATTGCTGAAATATAAAGGCAAAGGGACGAAACTAGTGTACGATGACGAGGGTAATGCGCACGAAATCTACGAGATGGAGGACGAGCAGCAATTCAAAGCCCAAGGTGATGCGGACGCTCAGCGTGCTAAGTATTTGGAGCTGGAGGCAGAACGAACCAGGTTGGCGGATATCCGTGACAAGGAGATCGCGAAACAGAAGAAGAGAGAGAAGAAGGAGAAACGAAGAGCAAGGGCGCGCGCCGAGCGGGAGGCCGAAGATGGTCCCGTGGCTGTACTTGCTCCGTATGAAGAAGACGAGGGGTTGAGGGAGGACGATTTCTCTGCTGAAGACAGAGGATCCGAGGATGGTCGGGCACCACCGAGTAAGAAGCAGAAGAAATGGTTCCAGAGCGATTCCGATGTGGACGGGGAAGACGGCGGGAAGAAGAGGAAACGGCCTCGTGCACAAAGCCCGGCACAGGTTGAGACGCTTGAAGACCTGGAAGCTCTTGCTGCTGAATTATTGGAGTAGGACGCTGCCGGCCATTAGCTAGTGTATTTGATTATTCTCTTGGACAATCTGTACATCTCCACGGATTCTCGACTTGAACTTTTAGGAAACGTAATTGATTGTGATAGCCCGCTCTGCGGGAGCTCATCTCGAGGCGGACGAGCGTGGATTTGTCACTTTGGACTCTTGGTGGTCTTATTTTTGCTTTTGGCAGCGCTTCTGGACTGACAGCCATTATTAAACTTCTGGTTGTCTCAGCCGTGAAGCATCGCCTGTTCGTGCCAGTGCCAGCGCCCTCGCAGCGCACTTATTCCGTACTTGCGAAACCTTTAATTGCTTTTCTGCCAGCGGGCGATCCGGGGAAACGCCAAGCTTCTAGCTCTGCGACCCTCAACCAACAACCAAGACTTTGCGGCAGCGATCAGCATGCGCTCGGAGGTTAAGCGTCCACCCTGTCCTTGGATCCTGGGTCGACAGGACCGCTCTGTGCTCCACTGGTCGAATGCCGCAATTACGGTGGCGGATTGCTTCATTTTCTTTTTTATTTTGAAACCGTCTCACGCAAGCCCTTTCTGCGCTGACAGGTACGAGGCCGATGGCGTGGTATCTGATAATCACCGAGAAGAGACCGTTGGGGGGGGGTGGCCTCACAATTTTGCCATCTGGTCGTTGAAAGCTTAACTGGCTTTTGGGTGACATTGATGGCGAGGATGCCGCTGGATCTCAAGAATTTTTCTGCCGCCCAGTGCTCCGTATCCTAGTGAGCTTCCCATATATTAGGACGGGATCGAGTGCTTCAGGGCTCCATCACAAGCGAACTGTGCCCAGCTAATCCCTACATCCGGACACGACCTGGCCAGTGAGGGGAAGCTGGGATTGTAGTTAACGGGGGAGAGAAATAAATATACCTATCGCCCTGTTCCCTAGCTCGGTCATTTCCTTTGCCAGAGCTTGCTTCCAGGATAGCTTTACCTGCCCAATTTCGATCTGAGAGCGCTTGTGTGTCTGGATCAACGCTCTCGTGGGCCCGATCAATTTTTCTTTTCTTTTTTTTTGGTTTCCATTGACTCTCAGAATGATCGCAATTAAGAACTAGAGGGACCAGGGTTCTTCGCGGCAGATTTCTTTCCTTTTTTTTTTTTTTTCTTTCTTTTTACTATTATTTTTTATACCTCTGGTTGCGCTTCCGGCTCGCTGCTCTTCACCGAGCACCTCCGATTCCACTCCCTGCGACGCATCGTTCCGTACCTCCCAGAATTCCAAAGCAGCGTCATCGCAAAGGCCCTTGAATGAAGGAAGGATCTTCACCGGGATACGGGAAAGGGGGAAAAAAAAAGTTCTGTTGAATGCGTACGGGTGTGAAGCAGTTTGAATATACATATATCGCCTAAGATGGCGTCTAGCGGCGACGCAATAAAACCCAACTGCCATTTAGATGAAAAATCCGATGATATCGAAAAATCGGCCCCGCCGGATACCCGGCAGCTCGAAACTGAACATGGGCCCGTTATAGCCGACAATCTCGCGCGCAAGTTGTCCGCGCGCCAGGTTCAAATGATTGCAATTGCAGGTACCATTGGCACGGGTTTGTTTTTGGGAACGGGAAAGACGCTGGCAACCGGTGGTCCGGCTTCAATGCTCATCTCCTATGCGATTGTGGGAGCGATTGTTTTTACCACGATGTTGGCGCTGGGAGAAATGGCGGCGTTTATGCCCATCGCCGGGTCTTTCTGCACTTATGCAGGGTGAGGCATTCTCCAATACTCATCTGAGAGCTCTGTGAAAAGTCTTCTGAATATATCCCTAATGGCATCCTATGTAGGCGATTTGTTGATGATGGACTTGGATTCGCGATCACTTGGGTCTATTGGTTCAATGATGCGGTAGCAACTGCTGCGGATTTGGTTGCATTACAGTTGCTTTTGGCCTATTGGGACGAGAATTTCCCTGCATGGGCGTTTAGTTTAATCTTCCTCGTGGTGCTGATTGGACTGAATATTGTCAGTGTGAGAGTCTACGGTGAAGTACGTATCCGATATGTTAATTCTTTCAGGTTACATTGGATTAAAGATACTAATGTGCACGATAACAGATGGAATACTGGCTAAGTATTCTGAAAGTAGCCACGGTGATTGTAAGTTGCTGTGTTGAACTTGCCTCTGCTTGCACTGTTTTAAGCTAACGGTTTGATAGATCTTCATTATTCTCGGTATCGCAGTCAACTGCGGTGCGAATACGGATAGGGAGTATATTGGCGGAAGGTACTGGCATATTGGAGACGCTCCCTTCGTTGGTGGTATCGGTGGCTTTGCGTCTGTCTTCGTCACTGCTTCCTTCGCATAGTATGTATCCGTCATGGCCAGTGCTCTCTGAAACCAAGGCAATGCTAACACATTCCCAGTGGCGGGACTGAGTCCATCGCGATCACCGCCGGTGAAACTCGCAATCCAACCCGCAATCTTCCTCGCGTCATCCGTAACGTCTTCTGGCGCATTCTCATTTTCTACATACTCGCAGTCCTTATCATCGGCCTTAATGTTCCCTACGACTATCCCGACCTCTCCACCAGCACCTCCACAACAAGTCCCTTCACTATCGTCTTCCACAAGGTTGGAAGTAGAGTTGCCGGAAGCTTTATCAATGCGGTCATTATGACTAGTGTTATCTCAGCGGGAAACCATGCGTTGTTCGCCGGCGCGAGATTAATGTATACCCTTGCCGTCGACCGTCATGCGCCGGCCTTTCTTGGCCGGTTAACTGGACGGAAGGTTCCGTGGGTAGCCGTGCTGGCAACCTCCGCAGTGAGTGGCCTGTGCTTCGGTGCCAGTTACATTGGCGCCGGCCAGTTGTGGACTTGGCTTCAAAAGTGAGTTTGTTCTCATTAATATCCATATTATTTTCTCGTTTCCCCGCGCAAACAAAGACAACAAAAAAAGAAAAAAAAAAGCAAGAAACAGAAGTCTCCAAGCAAAATATTCCCCACAAAATCGCTGCAACAAACAACGCCAAGCTAACTCTTTTACTTCCCCAGCATTGTTGGTGTCTCTAATCAGTTATCTTGGCTCTGCATCGGAATTGCCTCCCTGCGCTTCCGCCGTGCCGTCGACATCCAGGGACTCACCCACCTTCTCCCCTTCAAAAATTGGACCTATCCCTACGGGCCTGTCCTCGCCATCCTCCTCAACTCCGTCCTCATCCTTGTCCAGGGTTGGTCGTGCTTCTCTCCATACTTCAAAGCCGTAGATTTTGTCAGCTTTTACGTCCAATTACCCATCCTAGGCGGATTGTTCGTGCTATGGAAACTTTTGAAGAGAACAAAATGGGTGAGACTTGAAGAGATGGATCTGGTCACAGACCGATGGGATGGAGGACGATTTGGGCCCGGCACCGGTGCTGGTGCTGCCGCTGCAGCCAGGAGAGGAGAAGATTGGCGTGATGAGAGGACATGGAATGGCCCGCAGGGGGAGAAGTCGTTCTGGGAGTTGTCCTGGAAGAGTAAGATGAAGCATGCTGGCCAGTGGCTGTTCTTTTAATCTGGGAATTCTTGATGGTAATGCACAGTGTTCGGCATTTGGTGTGCTTTTTGTCTTTTACCCTATTGAAGATTCCCCGAATTGCTCCCTTGTCTTCGTTTCTGGTAGATGATGTCAGGGTAATGCATCCCAGAAAATGTTGATTTTCCCTTTCAAAGTACGGAATACATATACCTAAAATTTCCCATCATCACTTTCGCTATCATATATAAAGCCTTTCTATGGTGGTTAAACTCCTGTCTGGTTGAAGCACCCCATCGTCCTCACCTTCGTCACCTAAAACAACTCCTACCTACATTCCGCAGGACCCTTCCTGTATTTATGATTATTATTATTGAGCTCTCGAATTATCTGATGTTAAGATGACTCTCCTAGCGAAGTGGAGCTCACGGAGAAAGTTAACCATGAACATTGAAATCATGTCCAACAAAGACATGTTTAAATGAATAGAAACATAGGTATGCAAAGAAACTCTAATGAAGCGCGCATTCAATACATAAGTTTCTTCAGATTCTTCCAAAACCAACTTATTATTATATTGACTGACAATTTCACTGTTCCATCAAACTTATCCATTCATAGCAACTAATGAAATAGCAACCCCCACGCAGATGACTTGTGGTATCTCAACTAGAAACTGATAAAGAAGATGTCTTTGCATCATTATCGAAGGAAACAACAGAATATTAATTATTCACCATTTCCCCAAGCTCCATCTTCCTACGTTTCACTGGCTGGATGTCCACACTCGCACCTTCGCTCACTGTTGGGGAGTTCAATATATCCCGATGTCCTGATGTAATCATTGCCGAAGCGCTGAAACACCTTTGCCGTTGGAACGACGAATCGGGTTGCCGGATAGGAGGGAGGGAGTACGAAGATGATATAAGGGAATGTTCGTGGCTCCACCTCCGCTCAATCAATCCGGATTCATCCTGTGTCAAAGGCGAAATTGGGTTGCTAGCAGGGTCAATCACCCTATCTGCTACGCGCGGAAGCTCTGTCCTCGCCGACCAGGGGGAGGAGGTGTTGCTTCCAGTTTGTTGACTATCAATGGAAAAATCAACCTTCAGTTTGGGAAGTGGCGGGGGTATCGGCGGCAGTCGGATTGCTGAATTTACTGGGTGTGTCGTTGGCCCTGAAATAGAGGAGAATGGCGGTGCAGATGAGCCCTGTTTGTACTGGTGAGGTGAGCGAGGTGGTGGTAGCCGATCTCGAGAAAAAGGAGGACGATGCGCAAGATCGTTCAGGGACTGAGGTGGAACGGGCGGTGGAAGGCTTGGGCTAGGGATGGAACCGTGCCTATCTGACCGCGATGGGTTTCCGCTCGACAAAGGTCGTTGCAATGGTACACTGCTTAGAGGAGACGACGGCGGTAATGTCGACGATGGGGAAGGCAGCATCGAGGGTCCCCATGACGATGTGTTCGCGGGAATTGGAGGACTTAATCTTAGCTTCTGGTCTCGTCCAGCTTCGACTGCAGGGGCAGAACGACATTCTGTGTTTGGACGAATTTTTCTCGAGGAAGGCATCCGCTGATGATGAGCCGGCTGTTGATGAGAAACGCGCAGTGTTCCAGACTGGCCGAACGCTGACTCGTAAGTTCGTATAGGACCTTCCTCGGCCTTCAAAGGCGGTCGTCCCCTTCGTTTGTGTGTTACATCGACGCAAGACGACTATAAAGAACATTAGACCATTTGGTAAAAGAGACGACAGATATCTATGATAGCTGTCAAGGAAGCGATATTGATGAAATATGGCAGCAATTTACTCACCTCTTTGCCAGCTACTACACATCTTCGACAAGGCCGTGCAGAATCACAGCCTAGATGCTTGCGCTTGCAGTTTACACATGCGGAAGCTACATGTGCTTTAGCACGGCGAGTTGATCTCGGAGGTAACGCCGTCGTTCGAGGTGGGACTGGCGCTGCTGAACCCAGAGCAGGGAGTATGTGTGGCTGTTCAGTTGTTGCTGAGAGAGATATCATTGAACCGTTCGGCTGGCCGACTGTAGACTGCCGAGTCTCGCTAATAGAGCCGCTCGTACTGCGATCTTTCGGAGGATAACCTCCATATGTAGCGGGTTGCTCAGATACTTGTTGTGAGCCATGCGGCGCAGGGGAATTCGAGCGCTTGCGCTTTTCTCCCTGAAACGAATGCAACTGGTCCTGAGGAGACGGAGAGCCGGACATAGGCGGAGAGGGATATGGAGCAGGACAGCTGCTGTAGGCGCACGATTCCGGGCCGCTTCGATGTAATGAGAACCTTAAAGGATCAGAGCCAGATCCGTAGACCTGTCGGAAAGCCGTAAAGGGGAATGGTTCGACAGGGCGTAGGGACTGCATCAGGGTGGTTTTGTCCAGGCAGACTTCTAAAATCGAAAAGAGAGGGAGATGCTTAAAATCAGTACAAAAGGTAGGTGTGCGTTCGAACTTGAGTCGTCAAATAATATCCAGAGAGCAAGTCACTGAATCATGCCGGTCGTAAAATCAATCGTAAACAAGAAAATTTTCGAAGTATAGGATATTCAGCCACCGAATCCAAACCAGCCCGCCAGCCGTTTATATGGATATTTTCCGATGTCGGCGGTTGTGGTTTAAAGGCCCAACACAGCAGTTGTGATCCGAGCCACCTGTATCAATGAGAGCAGAGAACCCGCCGCGCTCGATAAGCGTTTGGCTGGACAAATTGCTGGGCCGTAGTTTGGACGAAGAGCCGAAACAAAGAATGGAAAAACAAGTCCGCGACAACGAACCCGGGTATGTCACTTTCCAAATTGAAAGAAAAGGAACTGCGGGTGGGTCAGAGGAAGGTCGTGCAAGTGCGGGCCGTGCGATGTGACAGGTTAATTCCCAAACAGTTCAATAGCCTACACGATTCTTTGCAGCTGGACTCCGACCGTTATCGAATAAAGTTGAAGATCACCCAACGACTCCAGTTCGACGATCGGCGCATCGGCTGACGGTATCCGTAAGAAGTACAGTGAGGCACAACAGATGCTTTGTGAGTATGTAGGTGCGTGTGTGTTTTGGGGGGGGGGAAGGAGGGTAGAACCCAAAATATGAATTGAGGGTAACTAGTCGCAGAGAGCGACGGAGAAAGAACTTCGACGAGGCAGGGTCAGCGAGATGAACAGGTGATGATTGAGGGGAGAACCATTCGCACGAGAAATAGGGACAGGAAATCAGTGAAATAAATAAATAAATAGACAACAGCGGGTACAGAGTCGTACTCGGCAGAGTAGTAACCGCAGTCTATATCGCCAGGGATGCGTTGAGTTACGAGAGGCCTGAAGGTTTGAGCGTTGCTACATAAACTTTGGTGCAATGAATCAAGCCAATTTATGATCATCTTCGTTCACAGTCTCATAGATAATACCTTAATATAATATTATCCCAGACGCGGGTGATGACTTGTCTCAACGTTGAAGATGGAGAAACGACCTAGAAGGTGCCAGGGGAGTTTCGAAATTCTGGAACAAGCATGCTGCTGTCCATCGGGAGCCCACTGTTGCGTTATGATCACATATCCAGTAGTGACCTACCGAGGCAGCAGAAATTATTGTTTGATTCAACAAAGGATGTTCTTGTGGTAAGTCAGGACGGAAGCGGCACATTTTCGCGTTGGAGCGCCACCGCCGACGGTGCTTGTCTCGACTCCTGAGATTTTCAGCCCTGCTAAGCATGGGGAAATCATCGTAAGGTGGATCACCGCTGTTTTCGAGAATGCATTCTCCGTACTCCGTACTGTTCGTGTTTGTTGAAATAACCAAGATAATAACGGGGGTAATATAGTAATAAAAGGGTCAAACTATTAATGTCACTGGTCCCCAGAATGTCGTATCTGGCCGCAAAGAGCATGGCCTGTGCAGCGGACAAGGGGCAGGAGTCGAAGATAAGTCCGTTTAAGCAGCAGTGCGCGCTGATTATTGGAGAGATGCCGTTAGACGGTTTTGGAGTGACGATTCGAGACTGGGGGTCAGGTTTGTACCGTTGTCACCAGGTGGTATTCCCTGATTTCGCATGTTTATCTTAATTGCGGAGTTCAAACAGGGTTGATCATTGTTCGTTAGTTGCCCTGATCTCCATCATGTCACGTCGATCATTTCAGGTACAACCCGTGGACCAATCACGGTGACCGGATCCAGTTTATCGTCGTGTCCATTATTCTTGACTTGTGTTTGAATAATTCGAAAGGACGGGCAAATTTGCAGGGACAGCCAATCGGACGTTTTTTCAGTTGCGGTGGAGAAGTGGGCTTGCACAGCGTTTTTCTCCTCTGGGCAAACGGGCCCCCTTGGGGGTTACTCCGTTTTCTCTGTGCTACGGCACTACTAAGTCAGTAGCCGCTGGCACACGAATTCCGAGCGGGTCAGCGATGCACTCCCGCAGAGCAAAGCAACAACAGCAAAACAAACGGATGAGCCAAAAGAAGACGAGTGAGATATAGAGGGTGAGTGGGCGAGTCAAGCAGAGAGATGACGAGCGACGTTGGGAGATTTTGACGAGCGGCGTCGAGCGAAACTTGTTTCCGCTTTGGGCAGCGTCTGACTAAGGAATTACGTGTGCGGGAGGTCGTGCACCCAGCAGCCTGGTGGCTCTTTGTGTCAACGACATCTCTACAGCTCGCAACGAGACTTTGTGACTATGACTGTGGTGGTGGTGATGATGATGATGATGATGATGATGATGATGATGATGATGATGGAGGAGTACCTTGCGCTAAAGATTGCCCTCAATTGTGTCGTTTGGAGCAGTCGTTAGAAGTGGATCGACGGGCCAAACCGTCAGGAAATCCAATCAGACACCTTGCAATCCGAGCAGAGTGGTAATACTGATAGCAGGGGTCTGCGAAAAAGCGCCCAGGGCTCGAGACCTGTACCTTGAATCACCGATTCACGGTAGTTTGGGCCGAGCGAAGGGAGAAAGACTGTGCTCTCCCCGCATTCCTGCGCAACAAGGGGCATTATTTCAACTGCTTGCTGCATATCAACCGGCATTGCGAGAAGGAACCTGCGTATTGTCCCTTTTCGGCGTTGCCATAGCATGTGGACTCCTGGCGAACCTTGGTTTAGCCTGGCCAGTTTCGCACGCCAGAAACAAGACTTGCACAGCAAGAGGGCCCGGATCGGCGTGATTTTCTGGCATCTGGGGTGTAGCACATTCACCGGACGCTGCGAACTTCAAAGGAGGAGAAAAGTCAATTCTGCATAACTCGAGCACTTTGTTGCGTCCGAATCAGATAAAGGCACTACTTTGCATGATCCATGCAGGTTCACGTTTTGGTCCGCTCGGCAAGCCTAGAGACCAACACACTTTGACAAATGTTATTAAAGAAAAGCCAGAGGAAAAAGTCTTGGGTAATCGAAATCGACTGGGCTTGTCACACTCGGTTTGCGATTCAACTCCACAGGTCAATTTTCCCGCGTTGAATTCGAGGCTTGCTCACAAAGCATTTCTTATCGTGCTTCGCGGATAGTTCTTCCATTGGCAGTGATATGAGCGGGTGGAGAGAGCAGGGCGGGAAGCCTGGCTCTTCATGGAGCTTCCCGCACTCACGGTCGATCTCCAGCCAATTGAACCTGATTACTTGAAAATGTCGAGCGTTTGATCCTCGAATAATATCTGACTTATTATGATTATTATTTGAACCAGGAGCTTCACAATTCTCCCAAACCCCGCATTCCGAAACGGCAATCGCTCCAATTGTACAGTACAAAGCATCTTCGTGAATGGACGGACGGAGAACAATTCGGACATACACACCACACAGTTTGCTCTGTCTCTTTGGACGTAACTTGGTCCCAGATACGAGGGTGCACTGACAGCCGTGCACCAAAAAGACCGGTAGTCAAGCAGGCAGCCCAGACTCGGAGACCCTCATTTTGAGGGCCGAACATGACCCTGTTTCACAACTGGCTTCCTAGGCATCAAAACATGTCTTGCAGGCATGCTTTCCAAGGATAAGGGTCAATTTTGCTCGCCTCTCGCGTGTTGGAAAGGGTTACATGGAAACTTCTGCAAAGAGGTCTTGGGAGGGGGATTTCTTGCCGCCTTTCTTTCCCAGCCCAGCACGCCTTTAAAGTTTTGACTCCCTCGGAATGTTGCCATGAGGGTAAAGGCACGAGACCTAGGGCCAGCCCCCCCCCAGGTTGAAGTGGAGAAAAACAGGCCACCTAGCCAGATGATCGACACTAGCCATACTCTGTTTCGTTCCAACCTAGCAGTAGGGACATCGAGTACCTTACTTCACGCATGATTCGGTCAGTTGTGGACGGCGGCGAGAGGCAAAATGTCGCTGAGGGTAGCATTGACCATCTGCACAGTCGAGCGGATCTTAAGGGCAGGAACCTTGCCACCCTCCTTCAACCATGCTGAGCATGGCGAACAAGGCCTAACTGACGTGAATCAGCGGGGCTAATTGGCAGCAATATAATTTCCAAGTGGTGGATAGGGTAATAATAATACCAATAACGGCAGCGTTACTGGCGCTCCCGCCCACATTGATCACACAGATATCGAACAAGCGCCGAGGGCGAACCCACCATTCCCATTTCAATTTCTTCAGACTGTCTGGAAGATCGGCGGACGTCCTCCTATCAGCATGAGTGTTATTTTCCTGGAACGTTCTTAAGATGCTTCTAGGCTCCAAATAATGGCCATAAGCTCACCCTTAATGCAGGAGTATTATGCCTGACCAACTCGAAAAGGCAGGTAAATTGGCACTCAGTCTGCCTGATTCATGTTCTTGGTACTCCGTACTCTGTTGATTCCAAAGCAAGTCAAGACTCAAACCAGATTATTCTGTAGTTGTCATACCCAATGGATGGTGGTTTCGGCGCCTCCGTGGGGGGAATATGTCTTTTATGCAAAGACAGATGAACGCCCTTCATACTGGACCCTGGACGGACACTACATGAAAGGAGTCCCCTCCGGATTTGTTTCGGAAAAGTACTCCGTAGCTTCGTATGTCTGGGAGGGTTAAAAACAAAAAGAAAAGAAGAACCCGTTGGATCGACACCGGCTGGATTCGAACCAGCGCTCCCGAAGGAACCAGATTTCTAGTCTGGCGCGTTAGACCGCTCCGCCACAGTGCCTTGGCTGGTGTTGGGGGCGCCTCTTGGCGTGAGAAGGGAATAGCCAATTACAACTTGGAGAGGGACAAACATTCCGCTGAATAAACTCCGCCAAACCGTACACAACCCTGGCCGACGGCACATCCTGACTCTGGACGGAGGACGGAGTCGTCTCAGAGGGAATAGCTACATATGCTCTGAACGCTATCTGGTTATGCAAATCGGACTCTGAGTACGAATACTCGAGCATTGACCATCCCCTCCATCCACCTGCACTTCAGTACGGAGTATGGGGTACAGCATTACCCAGAGAGATGACTTGCGCCTCTTGCAGGCCGCCGGGATATCCACCATTACTTCTTTCCCTTTTTCCTCCTCTTCTTCTCCCCGTTGGTTGGAAAGGCCGAACCAGCCAAAAGGCGTTGAGACGTTGCTCTTCTCACTTTGACCCTGCCGTGAAGTGGCACTAGCGTGAGAAAAGAAGGGGAAAAAAAAAAAATTTTATCGTACCGCGCTTCATCTTTTTTCAGGTCAAGCCCGGAGGAGCGCCAGCAACTGGCACGTTCTTCTCCGCTGCACGACCCCTAAATCCCTGTCTATGCACCGTTTAATGAGCACGGATGACTTGCATATACATCCATATGGTCAGGTCTCCATACATCGCAGGCCCGTAGATCCTTGTTCCATGTCCGCTAGTTATATGTGCCCCATGGTATTACCTATGTGGCTGAAAGTAAGAGGATTAATCTCCGCGCCAACCCTTCGCACTGCAGCATGCCCGCTGTTCCCACTTGCTTAAAAAGCTAAAACTAGCTCTTACATACAAGATATATGCGATGAACGTGCGGGTTGCAGCGTGGGGAAACAAAGTTGCGTGTGTGAGTTTGGTGTCTTCGGCTGTGAAGGGTTTTCCCGCCTCCATAGGGGGAGCTTAATTGTTCCTCAGCTTTCCCTTTCCGGTACGGAGCATTGGGAATTGCTGGCGAGGCGCATGCTGGGTTTAGGTTTGCCTGTGCAGATTGGCTGTTACATTGGGTGCCCACGGCATACATGCTGCACACGTGTGTTGCCTATCACTGATAACAGGAAAATGAAAACAGAAAAAAAAATTAAAAAAAAAAAAAAAAAAAAAAATCCTCCGTATGCGGACGAACCGTTGAGCATTCCCCGCGATTTTCCATGCCTGACTGAATATCCCAAAGCTCACATGGGGAGTCCCTTGCTTTCGTGATCATGGGTCCTGCCTGGAATATGTGGGTTCGTGGCAATTGAAACTTGCTCATCACCGTCAAGCTCCAGGGTACAGCTCCTACGGCTGAATGCCACAAAGTTTGCGGGCATTGGACGGAGTACGAAGTCCGCCTATGAAAAAGCGAGACGGGAAACTTTAGCCTCTGCGAGGGTCCTTAAGAGTGGTATGCATAATAAAATTCCTCAACAAACTTGAGAGTTAGATGTTATATGCAGCTCTAAGGCAGCAACCTTTCGAAAATTTAGCAAACTCTCAGCGAGGAGGTCCAAGATCAACCCCAAGGACGGATCGCCGGTATGTGTTGCGAAACCAAGGACAACCAATCTCCTGTACCATCTCCATGCCTGCATTCGTGGGAAGCACTTCTCTGTGCAGGAAGAATGTTGACAATCGCAAGGGTTTTTTGAAAAGAAAACTCGAACCCTGCTCATTCGGGGAATTCATCTCATTCAGATCCCCCCACAGAATTTTACTTTGAGGAGCGAGGACAAAACCGCGCTTCTGCGACAATCCAATTTGAACGGCCCAGTCTGGCTTGCAGAATGTTAACCACGGCAGGACAGGCTTTCCGGGGCTATCCTCGTGGGTTCCAAGAGCTCTCCTCGGGACAAGGCGAGAAAAAAAGGAAAAAAAAAAAAAGAAAAGGGAAATGGAATCAATGTTCCGGAAAAATAAAAAAATTAAAAATTAAAAAAAAAAAAAAAAAAAAAAAAAAAAGGGAAAAATTAAAAGCGAAACAAAGCTTCCACGATCGTCTCTCGCGGAGAATGGGGAAGAGTACCCTGCAGATCTGCGTATTCCCTCCAACAGGGCGCGTAATGTACGGTGCTATATTCAGTGGAAAAACATGCCTTGTCGTCAAACCAAGAAGAGCGCGCCAATGGCTAACGTAGTCCCGTTTGCAATCTATCGGCCTGCTGACCCAACTGGCCGGCGATTCCAACCGGTTTGGATTGCAAACTGGACTCTCGCCGCCGTGCACGAGCACGAGCACGAACCGCCCCTGACAACTTTTTAGGGTATGCTTTTCTATCCGGGAAACGGGCACCTTTGTTCGAGTTTGGATCCGACGAACCGATCTTTTAAAGAGGACTGAAGAATTGACTGGTGAATTGGATATTACTTAAAACTGCACTCTGATGTCATGGGGTATGAATACCTATATATCCCTACAAGAACACCCTTCCCCTCCTGTGTATGGAGGGGGTCAGAATTGCCTACACTCCCACGTGCTGTTTCCAGGCTGCACATGCGGTCTGCCAGTGCCCTTGTCTTGCGGAGCGCGGAGGGGTTTGGGTAATCCTTTTTTTTTTTTTTTTTTTTTTTTTTTTTTGTTTGGTCTGGAGAGATATTTTGGCGGAATACCGCTTGGCCGTGCATTTTAAGCGGAGTTGGAAGCGTGTCCACATGCATGTATAATACGGAGTTCATAACATCCATACGTCCACCAAAAGGTAGCAGACGGGGAAAGGAAATCGTATTCTGCCGGAGATATTTTTCCCTTCGCCAGATATTGAGAATTGTGATACGAGCGGTTGTATCGAAAATCTCAACAAAGCCCGGGGTCTCATCGTATTAGGTACTCGCTCCCAACCAAACTTCGTCGCTACAAGAGAGTTTATCCCCCCAGTGAATCCTGCATGTTGGTTTGCTTTCCCCAGAAATTGAAGAGGGGGAACTCCGTTGTCGGCATTGGAGTTGGAAATCAGACTGCGAGACTCCACGGCGGGGGGAGTTTAGCCTCATCACTTCTTGCATAATCGAGCAAACAAGAGAACCATGTGTATCCATGTCTTGGGTAGTGTATAAGTAGGTGATCTTCGCTGACATCACGCGGCAACAAAATTGCAGGGTCGGACCTGACATGGGGGACCGGAGTGTCCAGGGAGGAGAATAAATTATGTATATTTTGTCTTTATCCTTTTTTTTAATTGAAATGAGCCAGTTCCACAACTAATCAAAAAGGAACGTGATGCTCAAACTGGATCAGAGACATGAAAGTGAATGATGGGAGTCGATGAAACCACAGTGGGCCTTCTCCTGGCCGCAAAAATCGAAACAAAAAAGCAAAGTCCTCGTAAAGCTCCGGAAAAAGCAATGTTTCTTTCTCGATCACTAGGTACCGATCATCCGCCGCCTTCCCTGTGGAGGGCAGAGGCTCTAACGTTCGCCAAACGCCATCAACGCCACGGGCTCGTATGTCGGTAAGGCCCCTGGTCAAAGGATGGTATGGAGTAGCATCGGAGATACGCAGTGCGGAATACATTGAACAGATTTTGGAGTTAATTAACAGGCCAAGGAAGGGTCTGCATGTTTTCCGGGCAATGCAAGGATACTCCAGAAAACGTGCTGTCATAGTTATGGGTTCTCCGAATTTCTGTACAGTCGTCGAGTCCTATGCGATATTACGGTCAGACCGCTTCCTGGCCACAGGGATTGAGACCTTGACCGGAACAATTGAGGGGATATTCGAAAAGAAAATGATGTATATCAAAAGTTGCTCCCCAACATCATCAACAACAGACGAGCTGCAACTCCAGGAGACCAACAAGGACCAACGACGAAGTCACATGGGCACTGCGCCAAGGATGACGGCGAGCTGCGAACTCCGAAGGTGCCTGGTCGATCAGCCGAGGCTCGCTGGTTGGATTTGAGACATCGCCCATGCATCTTCCCAAAATGGTCGTGATGAAATCCTTCAGACTGCAAGATTTCGAGCTTGACCTCAACAAGGCGGACAAGAAAACTTACCCCACGGATCAGCCAAATGCTAACCGGTCTGGAGAAGGGAGACCCGCCTCTTGACGGTACGGATTCAGCATGATCCGCCAGGATCCGGCTCCTTCACCGCCCTTGTCCTATGTCTGGGCGCACTACTCCATAGAGCTGCTGTGATAAGCTCTTCTTAGGGACAAAGCTTGCGGAAATTTTTAAAAGGAGGGAGCCTGGATAAGATAGTTCTTATTCGCCAGGGGAGACATTATTTTTCTTCGTGGTCTTGGGCCTGGAGACGGCGTGTTCGAAGCTGGAACATTTAACAAGGTAAACCTGGGATGAGAGAGCAGCGATCAAAAGTCAAATCGTCGGATGGCAAGACTGAGATAAGTGCGAAGTTATCGCCTCGAAACTGTCCCTCCCCAAAGCAAAAATCATGAAAGTCAAAGAGGCAAAAAGGGTTACGCGACCGAACTTTGAAGGGGGGTCGAGAGCACACTCATAATGATATTCCGTGATAATATGCGATCAGCCACGCAGCTATCATCATAATAGCTTCAATAATTTAGGCCATATCAGTTTGTAATTTAATACTGGCGATCACTTGGTCTCGATTCTCCATTGCAATCATTAACTATCTGATAAGCGAAGAGAGCTCTTGAAGGCGAGTGTCGATGGCATCAAAACACCCTCCTGTATTCGCGACCTTGGATGATTCAGTCCTGACCTGATATTTGGGTTTGAATGGTGATCTCTGACGCAAGGGGATATCAACGTATTATTGCATTTCTGTCTCTGGACCAAGCCCCAAAAGACTGTAGTCATGTAACTCCAAAAAATCAGACACAATCCAAGACTCGTCAGTTCCATGGTCAAAGGGAGGATCATCTCGCCTTTCCCTTTTTCGAGGGCCGGGCATTCTTTTCTCTCCGTTTTTCCTTCAGCTTTCTTGCCTTCCTCACATCGTCCACGCTCCTGATCTCGCTCTTCACCTTCTTCGTTCCACCCTTTGATCCAAACTGCAACATTCCCGTCTCAGCCTGTCGCTTCTGCAGTTCCTGCTCCTTCTTTCTCCTCTTCTCATAATCACCTCTATACTTATCAGCTGCCTTGGGTGCCTGTTCTTTGTTATGTCTGAACTTTTGTCCCCTCGCGGGAACTGTAGAACCGAGGCCGGGATTCTCTGTCTCGCCTACACGAGGCATACGTCCCAGCCGTTTAGATTTCTTCCACGCATCGAAGCGACCGCTCCGGAAGCTTGCAGCGATCTTGGCGCCGCTCTCCCCTTTGACAAGAAGAGCCCCCTTGGAGCCATCCTCGTCATTTCGCCGTGAAACGTATTTCTTGTGACGTTTGTCCCATCGCATGATGGAACGAGGCTCTGCGAAACCGCGATTGGCCTCGTCGCGTGACAAATCCATTGTTGCGTCTCTGGAAGCTTCAACAAAGTTGCTGTTGGAACCGGAATGGACCCCGTAACCACGCTCCTCAGCGAAAGAATGAGCCGCTGGTGTATAGGACATAAAATATTCTGGATTTTGAAACGTGCCAGAAGACTGCTTGTCACCGCTCTTCTTTTTGGACTTGGATTTATCCGATTGGTAAGAGAATGTGACTTCAAGTTCGGAATCAGATGCCATGGACATGTCGGCAACATCGTCTTGATCCATGTCATCCCCAAGACCGTTATCTTTGTCATCCCCCAATGTAGTTGCCAGGGCAGACGCTGGAACCTCTGCATCAGTCGTTGGCTGGTTAGCATCTTGCTTCTTTGCCCTCTTATTCTCCATCGTCGAGCGAATCTTTCTCATCATATCAATAGCCTCATCATCTCCAGCTTTTCCACCGCGCCGACCGCTAATCTCAAAGATTGTCTCCTGCGGTTTATAGCCCCCTATACGCGCCAACATTTTCTCCCTCTCAACCTCCATTTGACTCGCTTCGTTATTAAACAGCGGGTGTAGCATAGTCCATCCATCCGAAGCGACAACGTCCTTGGCTCGTTTTGCACTTTCTGCAGATGCCGAATTTCGTGTTCTTATATAGAGCTTTTCTCCCTTCATCGCAACTTCACGCTGGTTTTGAATGTCAATATCTTCATCCAACAATTTGGAAACCCATTCGCAACTTCGTGCTATGGACTCCCTAGCCATTCCTCCAACGACAACATCCTCCGCAAAATTCGCACTCTCTTGCTGGCCCCTTCCCATAACAAGTCGCCGACCAAGGAAGAGTTGTAGATCAAGCAGGTAAGGCGCGTCAGCATCTCGAACCAAGCTATAGCTCCAGCCTTTACGGCCTGCTCGAGCAGTTCGTCCAACACGATGAACAAAAATTTTGGCCTGAGAAGGAAAGTCATAATTGATAACATTTTCCAGGATGGGGATATCAATTCCACGCGCGGCGACATCGGTGACAACCAAGATATTTGAAATGCCGGTTCGGAAGTTGCTCACTTGAATCTTACGAGCCGTTTGATCGAGAGAGCCATAAGCATATGAAACTGCGAAACCCGACTCTCGAAGCAGGGAGGCTATGTAGTCGACGTGGTGTTTCGTTGCCACAAAAATAATTGTGGAGTGCTCTGTCGGCGACTCTTGTGGGTTGGGGTTATTTTGCTCTGATCGTTTACGTTTCTTTGAAGATTTCCCGGAGATCGCTTGTTCCCTCGCGTGCTTTCCAGCCTCTGTTTCACCAGTAGGAACTTTGATAACATCGTGCAGGATGTGGAGAAGGGCTCCTTCTTTCTCAGCGGATTTCACGGTAAAGAAAACGCTCTGAAGGTCCGGAGATATTTTGCTTTCTGTATCCAAGCGTACGAGAGTTGGTTCCTGCAGGCCAGCTCGTGCGAATTCAACCAGGGACTTCGGGAGTGTGGCGGAAAATAGAAGCGTCTGGCGAGACTGTGGGAGACCATGAAGAATTTCGGTAAGCTGAGCTGCGAAACCCATCTCAAAGAGTCTGTCGGCTTCATCAAATACGACGTATTTGATACTCGAGAGGTCCAGGTTCATTTCGACCTTAAGATGGAGGAAGCGACCTGGTGTAGCGATGATGATGTCCGGGTTTCCCGCCATGTATCCGAACTGCTCCTCCAAGCTATCACCGCCAACCAAGAGCACACATTTTAGATCCGTCCCTCGTCCCAACTCTTTCACCACTTTCAGCGTCTGTAACGCCAGTTCTCTGGAGGGAGACAGGATCAAACCTCTCGATCCAACCTTCGTACTGTGGCTCTTTAACTTCTCAATCATCGGGATCACAAATGCAGCAGTTTTCCCTGAACCTGTACGCGCCATACCCACAACGTCCTGATCGTCCAAAACTAGAGGAATGGTCTTTCGCTGGATCGGTGTCGGAACCGAAAATCCCTTGCGTGTGATAGCCTTGAGTAGGTTGGCATTGAGGCCCATGGCTTGAAACCCACCACCCTTCTTTACCGTCCGACCCTTTAGATTGGATGCTTTTCGGTTCATCGACGCCTGGTGGGCGGCGATAAAAGCGGCGTCGTCATCGGAGCCTCCATCGTCTCCATCGCCGTTGTCGTCGGCCATAACATCGAGGTTCAGCGAAGTCGGTGCCTTTCGCTTTCGGGGCCGGGTATCAATGTCAGAATCAGCTTCATCTTGGAAAAGACTTTTTGCTATGTCAAATTCATTCTCTGACATGGCCGGAGAAGCTGCGCGGTGCAGCATCTTCGTCTGGACTCGAATGGAGTTCGGAGCTTCGTCCCGGTGAAGTGCAGTGCTGCGGCCACCGGCAGGTTTGAGTTCGAAATTGATAAATCTGCCGTCAGACCATACTCCAGCCAAAAAAAAAAAAAGGAGAAAAGAAAAGAAAAGAAAAGAAAAAAGGGCGATCTCCCTCGACGCTGTTTCACCCCAAGCAAGCTCACGCTGTGTCCCACGTCTCTCGTCTTCACTTTTGCGATTGTCGAAAAATGAAGCCGGATCAACCATTTGCCGACATCCCGTCGTGCTTATGTAATAAATAGGCTTTGACGCGCCGAAAAACACGTCGAGACGCGGGGCTGCCAAAGGCCGCAGGACGGCGAGGGAGTGTCTTTGGAGCTATTTCGTCGTCGGTTCCTCGAGGATAAGTTAGGCCTGGTGGGCACAGATCAGATTATCACAATGGGTATGTTGGGCTCCTGTTTGCAGACAGACTCAGTAGGGCTTACGTGCTTACAGAGTACGGATACGGCGACCAGTTCCCCTCTGGCTCATATGGCCAAGGTGGTGGTGGTGGTGGTGGTGGTGGTGAAGGAGGATTTATGAGTGAGGTGGGAGCTAGTCAAAGCGGAAAGGTATGCAGAGAATCGTTCGCAGGCCCCCTCTCTTGTGACTATGAGCTAGGGACTAACTTCAATTCCATTCCAGACATACAACAAGAGTTCGCTTCGACCGGTCACGATCAAGCAACTAAATGATGCGACGCAAGCCTATTCGGACGCAGATTTTAAAATCGACGATACTGAAGTCGCCCAGGTCTCATTTGTAGGCCAGATCCGCAACATATCCCAGTTATCAACATTCATGACATACAAACTGGACGACGGAACGGGGGAAATCGAAGTGAAAAAATGGCTGGACAACGAAGAGCGACACGAGGGTGATGCTATGGACACAAGCGACCCTACAACAGGCCGTACGGGGAAAAAGGAACTCGTGGTGAATGGGTACGCAAAAGTATGGGGAAAACTGGGCTCGTTCAGCAACAATCGTCGTTCAGTTACTGCACATGTAATTCGGACGCTGACGAATATGGATGAATACCACTGCCACTTCCTTGAAGCTACAGCGATACATCTCTACTTTAAACATGGCCCGCCACCAAGTAAAGACGCAGCCGACGCTTCAAAGGCCCAGACCTCTGGCTCCGGAGGGGCGATGCGCTCAGATAACAGTATGGCCGCGGGCGAGAGGACTCTTCCGCCAATGTCTCCCATGGCTAGGAAATTGTTCAACACCTTGAATAACACTCCACAGAGCAGAGAGGGGCTGCATCTACAGCACCTGGCGTCTCTCATGCAGGCACCGGTCGATAATGTGGAAAAGGCTGCGCGGGAGCTGAACGACTTGAGTTTGATCTATCCGACTGTGGATGATTATACTTGGACCATAATGGATTTTAAGGTCGATATGCAGTAATTAATACAAATTATATTTTGAACAGGACATTGGAAAAAAAAATTTTATCCTTCATTGTCATTAGCCAAGACGATGGATTTGTTCGGCACGTCCGGGATTTTTGTTCGCCGTCATAACCACGTAGCGCCGTTGGAGTCATCAGAGGCGGACAAGCCTGCGGTCAAGCGAAAGGCGGTGTCCCTCGGCCGTCGGCTTCAAAGAGAGTTTCGTCTCAGCTCGGGCTGCACCTCTTCCCTCAGAACCGCATCTCAGAATTGTTGGTTTGGCCAACGGAGGACATACGGGTTGCTCTGCGATCATTTCTTTTTCCACTACTCTGTAGTCGCTGTCTCAAACCCACTAAACCCCACATTCCGCTGAATCGCGAAAAAGTTACCGTCAACCGTCGCCGGCGGGGGTGAAAGGGAAAAAAAATCTCCTAGAGCCAAACAACAATATTGGCCGGAAGGTTTTCGCAAAAGGCACTGTCAACCCGAAAGGAAAAGAAAAGAAGATAACCCCACAGGAAGCAAGCTGAATTGGCCACAGGCGATATTGTATATTTTTTTTCTTTTTTGGAAGCGCCAGAAGGAAAGAAAGAATAGACCAGCGACTACCGTCATTCTAACGATGGCCGGTTTGGCGACCGCATCGCCCCTTTTACCAAACGGCGACAGCGCGCATGGCGAGACCAAGGCACTACGGCAAGGACAGGCTTCTCTCTCAGAACGGCTGTCTTCAGAATTGGTAACCTGCTATCCCGACACCCATGAGCATGCCGGCGACTCGACTTCTCTCCCTTCCCTCTCCTCCGTCTCCGCAACCCTCCACGCGAAGATCCAAGCCTTCCTCTCTGAACCGCACGACCCATCCTCCCTCCTCTACCGGGTCCAGCAACAGACTCGAATCTCTCTCTCCGTCGTCCGCGAAGCTCTCTCACGCTACAAGCTGCGCGAGCTGTCCCTCTCCTACAATGGCGGAAAGGACTGCCTCGTCCTCCTGATCCTCTTCCTCTCCAGCCTCCATCCCCTCCCGGAACCCTCTTCAACAAAACAGAAGACCCAAGCCCAAAAGTGCACGTTCAAAGACAAGCCTGAAGCCCCTAAATCCCAAAATGCAAACCCCAACCTCCTCGAAGATCCCGATGACGAACCCCCCACCTCCATCCCGGCCATGTACGCCCGCCCATCGCATCCGTTTCCATCCGTGGAAACCTTCGTCGACTCCTCCTCCCTAGCATATCACCTCTCTCTAACCCGCTACACAACCGACCCACCCCACACAACCCTCCGCGACACCTTCGCTTCCTACCTACAAAAATACCCTGGCATAAAAGCTATATTCGTCGGAACCCGCCGCACCGACCCACACGGGGAGAAACTCACCCACTTCGACCGCACCGACCACGGATGGCCCGATTTCATGCGCATCCATCCTGTCATCGACTGGCACTATGTCGAGATCTGGGCTTTTATCCGCCATCTGGGCGTCGAGTACTGTCAGCTATATGATCAGGGCTATACTAGTTTGGGAGGCACAAACGATACACACCCGAACCCGAAATTGCAGATTAATAAAGCTAGCCCTGTGGAAGCAAGTAAACCCAGCAACGCTGGTCAGGAAACCCCGAAATTCAGGCCTGCCTATGAGTTGGTTGAGGACGAAGAGGAGAGGCTGGGAAGATACTGAACCGGGTTACCAATCGTGCATTTACAGCTTCTCGCGACATATCGCGCTACCATTCACCGTAGAATTTTGAGGATATTTAGACAAGATAGGTCGGTATGCAGCATCCTGCGGACATCCTTCATAGATTTCTTTGTTTTAGACGATATATTTTAAGATAAAGGCTCAATTGAATCTCGGTCCCACTGCATATTTATCGAAAAGGAATCCAGTAAAGTATTTGAGCAACTGCGTTTATTTCTACTGTCGCTATGGACTAGAAGTTAGAGACCTGGTCATTGATTCCGCAACCCAGCCGCCTGAGTTGAGCGAAGCATACTGTAAGTCGTAACCATATCACCACCGCGGTAGTAACGTCTTTTTCACCTTTGATTTCCATATTTCCCAGATACAATAGTGCATATGAATAGTCATAGATGGACTAAATAAGTTCGTCTTTAACATTGATAACATCATGCAGCGGAATGCGTCGTGATTCGAGAAAACCATGCAAATTCTAGAAAATGCGCAATTGAATATAATAACAGCGTCATGTACGCCTGTTTTATCGTCGGTGTGGCAATCGGACGGACGCTGTCGATCCTCCGCACAATTTAAGAAACCGGGCTTAGAAGTGATGGGCAGATATCGTATCGCGCCCTACACGCGTTCCTAGTTACAGGATTTGGGGAGTTGAAAACCGGATTTCTTTCGCAGAGGGAGTTGGCGAATTAACGTCAACCATGCTCTTTCCCTTTTTCGGGCTACAATTCTCGGATTTGCTGCCCTGGAGGGATGGCACGGGCATAACGGTTTTCGTGGACCCTGCGGAGAGGGAGCCTTGGCTCGAAGCAACAAGTCGTCCTCGAGCACTGGGCGTGTTATCAATATTTGCGAGCACAGCGCGTCCTGGCCATGAGCTAACGCGCATGCTGTTCACAGACCTATTTAGCATAGGGCCTCTAGATCTCAGGTTAGCTTCATGAGCTATAATTTCAGCTAAGAAAAACTTACGGTGGGGAGATCGAAGTCGCGGGAGTCCAGACTTGTCCGACTCCAGCTGGAGAAGGATAGCTGCCCTGTGAATTGGGACTGAAATGGGACGCTGCTTGCTGCAAACGGTGGAGGCTCGGTGACGGAGTGGAGCCCTGGACCATTTCAACAGAATAGCTGTACTCACCAGCACGATAAGCGCGTCGTTCATTACTCTGATGTTTAAGCTGCTTTTGCGCCTTCGTGTCGGCGAAGCGAAGCATGAGCTTTACACCATCCTTAGAGGTGACATTATGGAACTCGGCGAGGACTTTCTCAGCTATGTCGCGAGTCTCAAACCTGTTTATTACACCATGTTAGCAGTGAACTTATTTAACTATAGCTTATCTCATTTCCTCACCTTGCAAAACCAACCTCCTTGCTAATTCCAGTGTTTTCTTCACGGCTGATCTTCTCAGATACAACACGGTAAGGCTCAAAATGGCGACGCAGATCCTAACATACCTTTATTAGAGGAAATGCATCGCAGTAAAAGTACAAAAGCAGAAGTGCCATGGCAGAAACAGAAGCAGGCTACCCACAGCTTCCACCCATTCAATTGGAACATTAGTACAATAAATATTAGTGGATGTCTTATCCTCCAGGTCTTTGAGGCGAGAGTTACGAGATTTCTGCCGGAGTTAGCTGACGGTCGAATAGACAATAGCGTTGAGAAGCGCACCTGTGCGAAGCTAGCTTGATACCCGAGATGAAAGAACCCCCGAATACAATTTTCACAAGCTTCAAAACTGAAGAACTGAACAAATCCAAACCTGCTCAAGATTAGGATGTACTTTGTGGGAATAATAGGACTTTTAATTGTTCACTCACCCCTTACAGAGCCCGGTGTCGAGGTCAACAATCGCCTTGCATCGATCGATCTTCCCGAAGCGAGAAGCATACGCATATAGCATTTCATCCGTGATTTCTGGGAGAAAGCCGCGAATGTAGACATTGGTAATCCCTTCGCGATTCTCCAAACATTTCGCAAGGGTAAGTTCAGTCGGGTTGGTCCACATCGCAGGTACCGCAGGTGGAATAGGAGGATCCTGTTTTACGAGCGAATCTAGGTCCTGAAGGACATAACCTCCAGCAGCCCTCATCATTTGGTAGGGCATACAGGATCCCGGAGTTTGGGGCGAAGCATTATAAACCGGGGCGCTCACCGGTGAGCGATCGCCTTGAGCGATAACAGGATAATATTCTGGTTGTCCGTGCTGCCCATCGTTTGCCGAAGCCTTTTCATCAACTAGAGTACAATCACGATGTGACTTTGCATGATCATGGTCAGGATTCACCGCGTAGGGCCAAGAATACCCAGGATAAGACGCAGGCGGATAAGGAGCGCTGGTAACGAAGTTAGGGTAAATACCGGGAGGAACATATTGGAACGCGCCACCTTGCTCGGGTGGCATCTGTCCTACATGAGGAGCGTGTGGAACATTACCCTGAAACATCGGTGGGCTTGATACAACAACAAATGGTCCATGTTGAGATAGATGCATGCCGGGTACGTCGCCATTAACACCAGAGGTAGTTGGAATGCTGCCCTTGACTGGAATATAGTTTGGACGGTGACCATGGATATTCACGTTAGAAAAGGCTGAAGCAAGATTGCCATTCACATCGCTTGCATTGTTACCAGGGTTCAGGGGCTGGCCGTAGCATTGAGGAGGCATATATGGATAGCCCATTTGTGTGTCCTGTTTATAAACGGGGACCTGACCCTGTTGCTGGGAGCATTCGCTAGTACTATTTTGCGTTTTATCCTGGTGACTCATGGCTGTGGCCGTTTTCTGTGCCAAAAGCATCGAGTTAGCATATTTAACCAATCTCAACTTCAGTGAAAAAGAGAGTAGCATTAGATTGGTTGTATTGGAGTGTTCGTAAAAGCATAGAAGCAGGCCTAAAAGCGTATCATGCAAAGTCAAGAGTAACGAAATATTGAGCCCACGTACGTCAGATTCTTTGGGCAGGTAGTCTTCGGGAATTGAACCCCGGACCAGCTCCGCGAGCTTCTCAAAGGAGCCCATGTCAGCCTGGAAGCCTCTGCTTCGGTTAGACTACAGAAGGTTACAACACAATGAACGTACAAATATCCTTTTGATAATGAGCGGGATGTGATAGAAAGCGAAACGGTCGTGAGAGAAAAGGTCTAGACAGGATGGGCTTTCGAGGGAGAATGGGGATCGGGAACAAGCCGAAGTGGGCAGAGATAGATATAAATGGAAGGGGGCACAACTATCAGCGAATGCAGAATAGATGTAGAAAAGGGAGATAAAAACTGAGGTCGATGGGTAGACAGTAGAGGGATAAAGCGAATAGTGGTGTAAATGAAGATGCTAACTCGAAGCTCCGTGAGAAACGAGTGAGATGTTCTGGCGAAGGAGAAAGAAAAGAAAAGAAAAGACAGGGTGGAAGAAGAGGAAGAAGAAATAGACGTTGAGATAAGGCTTTTTTCCGCAATAAGCAGGTAAGAATAACTGTCGAGATGCAGGAAAGAACAACGGGGTGAAGGAAGGAAGAAGCACCCGATCAGACAGGAACACACTGGTCAAGCCGCGGATGGCGAAGAAAGAAGGTGGCCTGGGCTGACAATAGCAATGGCTGAATGGCCGCAGTGTGTTATTCCTGCCATTGACAGCAAGGCCTCTTGCTCGCCGAGACGGACTATCCCTTCCTGTGAGGGAAGTGGGCGACGACTCAGCAGGTGCTGGGTGACATCTTTGTTCTGGATGAAGCTACATTTTCGCTTCACTTCCCGGGTGCAGAAAGAGTTCATTGCAGAGACGAATTTCCTCTCAGATCCCTAATATATGCCTGTCAACTGGCCAGGTCTTGTACAAACAAGCCGAAAACATTATTCCAGATGCGCCGGTGTTCCACTGAGCTCTATCACACAGGTCACTCAAGCGGTTGGCTGCGTATGAATGTTTTTGATGCAACAATATAGAAAAAAATATCAGACTTCCCCAAGCCAGGTGAGGTGGTGTCGTTGTCATTCCTCTGATAGGAATAACTGGCGCTAACATGAGATGTTAAGTTGGCGCCTCAGAGAAGCAACCTGCAGCGTGGCAACAACGTGTGGAGGTCCCTTGAACCAGAGCATTTCGAGAAGTTCTAAGTCCAATATTGTTCAAGGCTTGAAGTGCCTTGAGCGTCTAATTGAGACCTAAGGCCATAACGATAGCCAAGCTCAGATATGAATACTTTTGGAAATTCAATTTATGTGCTCATTGGGACACAGGTTCGTGAAAGAAATCCCTCTGGTTATCCCAATCTAGGTCAAAAGATAGGTACGCGAAAGTTTGGAAACTCGAGATCGCGGATAAATCGGGGCCGGATGGGAAATGGTCTCAGAGCTCAGAACAACCGACGTTAACCGTCGGCGACCGTGAAGTGTCACTTGTGCCAAGCTCAGAAGCACAGCGGAAACGATGCGGAATGGCTGCCTGAGGGGAGACACCTGGTGAACTGCTTCGATTTTCGACTGGCAAGTACGGTGTATAGAGGATTCGGGGATGATGATAAAATTGATCCAGGACAAGCAGCCGTTTACGGAGTACGGAGAACTGAAGGGCTAAATATCACCGAGACACAAGGCAATGAAGCAAAATGGCCACACACGACTAGCAGACTAAATTAAATAACATACATGGCTAAATGAGTTTCTTTACGCTCATCATCAATCGTAGACAATCTAACAAACACGAAGTTAGAAAAAAGCACCAACAATAGTCAGCAATATGCAACAGGCCTATATTTTCACCAAATAAGACCAGAAGAAAGAGCGTAAACCTCCCAGCGGTCCAACATGTCCGCGAGAGACGTAAGCAAACAGAAAGAGCTGTAGGCAAGTAACTGAAACCGCATACCAATGCCAAAGGTCTATATAAAGCCCACAGGGTTGCTGGGTCGAAGCGAACTCACGCTCTCTAATCAGCGCAAATATAGTAATATCAGACTAAAAAGGAAAAGGGGGACGGGGGGATATTGAAATGGAATACAAAGTATAAAATGAGAAAGTGAGATCTGGGTAAGACGTCTTTACTTCTCTTTCCATCATGACCACACATCCTCTTGATACATTCCCATGTTGCGCATGTTCTTGACGAACTCCTCTCCCTTCTCCAATGGAAGACCCCGTTGTTCAGAGATGATCTGTCCGAGGATGGTGTTCACTTCACGAGCCATGTTGGCGGCATCTCCGCAAACGTAGAAAGTCGCTTTGTTCTTGAGAAGTTCGTTCACTAACACGGCGTTTTCTCGGAGCCGGTGTTGCACGTAAACTTTCTTCTCGCTCTCTCGAGAGAAGGCAGTGAACAGCTTAAAGTTGTCGCCGAGCTTTTCGGATACGGCCTGCGGCAAGGAAGGAAAAAAACTTTTGTTAGCGACTTGGCTCGTCGAAACGAGGGCGGAATTGAGCCTTCTGGGTGGGGACTAGAGTCACGTGTTAACCTACCTCCCACTCATCTTTGTACAGGAAATCTTCGTCGCGGTTTCTGCAGCCAAAGAAAAGAACGGTTGGGCCCACTTTGTCGCCTCGTTCGGCCTGCGCAACTCGTTCCTGGATGAATCCGCGGAACGGGGCGACACCAGTTCCAGGGCCAACCATGATGATCGGCTTGGACGGATCGGAAGGCAGCTTGAAATTCGAGTGACGAACGTGGACCGGAACGTGAATGCCGTCATATTTGTTTCGAGGGCCGGTAATCTCATAGGTCAAACCGTGCGGATCCGGGTTGGTGTCGCCGTGTTGCTTTTGTTTCAAGGCAAGGAGGTAATTTGTGGTGACACCTTTCATGACATGACCGGCACCCGGCACGCGGATGGACTCAACAACAGTCGTAATGCTGATCCTATCTTTTTGGACCATCGATGACGAGGAGATCGAGTAGTAGCGTGGCTGAAGCTTGGAGATACCTTCAATTAGGAGCGAGAAAGGAACGGACGTGAAGGGCTTCGAGGTGATGCTCTGGAGGGCCTGTGCAATGTTGTAGAACTGGGTGGAAATTTGGCTGTGGAAATGGTCTTTATCTTCACCGAGGCGCTTCATCTTCGACTTGGTGTCCTCATCCGGGGCGAACTGGGCCAGAGTTGCAATAAACTGTCGGGAAACAGGTCCGCAAATCTCCATGTAGTATCTAACGGCGGCGTCGTAGGTGGTAGGCGTAGGGAAAGGGACCTTAGCCGTCACATCGATGGGTTTAATCTTGACAACAGTATGGCGCTTATCTTCCAATCCAAAAACCTGCAGGAAACGATCGACCTCCTTGCCAGCATTTGTGGGCCAGACGGCAAGATGGTCGCCAGTTTGATAATTGAGCGTACTTCCCTGGATCCCAATGTCCAGATGCAAGCAGTTACGGTCCTTGACGGTAAACAATTCGCGAGACTCCGTAATTGGGGCAATGAAAGGATTGTGCGCATTGTGGGAGCCGCCCAGGTTTCCTTCAAGATGGTTCTGATTCGGCTCGCCGACGTAAACATTTTCGGACGTTGGTGACATGGTTGGCTCCTCCGTGATGCAGAATGTGGGCTCGTAAACGGCTTCACGCTCCTCCAAGCCCATCTCTTCGGATAACGCTTTCCACATGGGTTCCTTCCAGGCGAGATAATCCTCTTCCATAGTGCCGGAGCCATCATCGCCTTCACCTGCAGTACCGATTCTCTTAGCGCCGAGTTTGGTCAGTGCAGCGTCAACCTGGCGGACCATGGCGTTGTAGTGCTCATAGGTGTTGTTTCCCAGACCGAATGTGACATATCTCAATGATGACAATGGCTTCTCTTCTGCGGAGGCTCCGCCTTCGAAAGAAACGTCTTCTCCCGTCATGAACTGGTAGAAATCCACCGCGTTGTCCGTGGGCTCGCCCTCACCATAAGTGGCCAGGACGAAGAAAGCAACCTTATCCTCGGGGAACTGATCCAGGTTCTCGAAGTCGTAGTCTTCCAGATCAGCGACCATCGTCTTCAAGCCAAACCGTTGGGCTCCTTCCTTTGCGAGCCTTGACGCATAATCTTCCGCCGTTCCCGTCTGAGATCCAAAGAATACAACGCAATTTTTCCCGGTTTCATCCATCTTCTCGATAATGTTTCTCGTCTTGCCTTCTTTGGGCATCCCGTTGGCAGAGCCATAGCTGGCTGCGGCAGCTGCCTTCGGGACGCCCCAGTACGTCCCCTTTGTGAAATACGCAACGCTGCCCACAAGGAGCACTGTCAGGACGACGAGATCAAGGGAGTCAACCTGCGCCATCTTGGGAGACTTGTCGCTCTACGGCGATGGGAGGAATGCAGGGGACAGGGGGACGCAAGGTAAATTGGCGGCAGAGGGAACCAACGGCTCAGCAAATATATAGAAACATGAAGGGTGAAGTAACACAATGAGGAGACCTCTGCGGAAGAGCGTTCGCTACAGGATGACCTGGTCTGATCGAGGATCCCAAAGAGAGGACAGAAATAATAATTCTGGCGGCTGACGGGCAATTCGAGGTTTTGCCGGACATTTTGAGTTTAGTGCGAAAGGCAGGACCGCGCGGGCTGGAGTTTTGCACTTCCGAAGTGGCCTAGTCCCAAAGCAGCTACGGCCGGACCCAACCAAACCTCAACGCGCGGAATTTGGCCTTTGGTGTGCCACTCATGTGAAAGTGTTTCCTGTACTCCGTACTGTTGGAGCTTGGCCGCCGATGTTTCGTCCCGCTGTTTCCAGGTCGTTCCACCCGAACTGGGCGCGCGGCCAGCTTCCTGCCCACCCCCACAACGCCTCCCGACCGTTCGATGGCCTCCTCTCCGGGCTCTTCTCCGCCTGCTCCCATCAGCCTACGCCTAAAGAACGGCAAAGACAACATCCCAATGCGTGGAAAAAGTGCGGGGTGAATTCCATTTCGGAGTCTCGGCTGGGGAGGCGGAGTGGGCGGCCGCTCTCGCAAAGGCGGCCTTGTGCGCGGAGTACGGAGTACGTCACAGTACGGGGTCCACCTGCCCAAAGCCACGCCTCCCACAACTCCAGTGCGTTTGGCTCGTAAAAGATTGCGATCACGATGATGCCGGTTATGATCCTTTAGACAAACGAAGGGACGATATCTTTGTGTGTGCTCGGGATCCAGCAAGCATCTCGACAGTTCCCTCCCCGATGTCAAATGGGAGAGCCTAGATGAATGTTACTACAATACGCACATAAAAGCTAAAACCTACGACGGAAGCCAGGCCGGGGGTACTCCGGAGTTGTTGGCTGTTGCTGATTTTGTAGTAAAATTCAGAAGCCAACAGCAGTTCCAACTAATATGTATGTATGTACGGAGTACTCCGTACGGAGTACATAATTATGGGATTTCAGATGCTACTTATTCGGCACCACGGGATCCTCATGAAGAAATGATGGATAAATTCAATTGCTCGGTAAATACTGAGAACTAACGGCATGTATCGGACGCCGACTTCACAAGTTCGCCTTCCAACGGCCACCGCGAAACTTGTTAAATTCATCTGGGTGCGTTGTTGGGTTTTGGCATGTCAAGATTGGAGTATTAAAACCTCGTTACGAACTTGCGAAGCTAGATCCTCTGCGTATCAGGGGAGATTACATTCTTTGTCCTCCATATTATCAGGTCTAAGTCCTTTGTTTTTTTCTTTTTCTTTTTTTTTTTTTTTTCGCGTACGTGCGGATGTGTGACCTCCGTCCAACCCTGGGGCCCTGCAAACCATACTCAAGCTTACAGTGTTAGTTTAGTATTGGTCCAGGACGCCACAGTCGTACCAAAAACGTCAACATTCCAGGATGTCTACAACATGGCAAAAGTCGATCTTGATAAAAATAGAGACATAGAGACATCCCTGCGGACGTAATCCGTACGTGAGGCAAGGCGCTCTGGAGAAGAATATAAATCAATTCCTCCGTACCGAGTATACTCATCATATAATATGTGGGAGTGAGACAGTCAACTTAGTTATATGGATCGTAAAGGGAAGCACCTGCATTCCCTCACATTCTCATCCAAAGAACTTGTTTCACATTAAGTTGGTGGCGGAGACGGGAAAACTAGATCGGCGCAGAAGCGTAAAGCACTGAGAAAAACATATTGCTGCGTACTCTGTACCTTCAGCATGGGATCTGATCCGCTGCTTTTCGTCTGGACAATCCTGGCTTCTCCCGAGTTGCTCGTTCGTCGCAATGGGCAGAAACTCTTCAGCGGGAGGCTAACGACATCACGTGGTTACACGATCAAGCCTCAGCCATTACATAAGAGACGGGGGCACCGAGCCGCGTGCTAGACCGTGTTAGGCCTAGTGGGAGCCGAGTCTGGCCAGGGGTGTTGGAAGTTGGAGCATGGAAGGAGCTGTGCCTTCATCAGCACCCAAAAAAAAGTCGCGCTCGAGGACATCGAGGCTGACAGAGGCTATGGATGCCAGCTGAGAGAAAGAAAACCCACCGCTTTCTACAGCAGCAATGATTTCAATTGTTTCCAGCTATCGAATCCTCGATGATGAAGAGGAAGGCTAGAGCGTAGTTGTCCCGCATCGTCTGTTAGAAGATGCTACACAATTGTGAGTTCAAGACTCCGACCCATGCGGGGCCCGGTCTCAAGTCTCATCGTGCAGCAAAACGTCTATTGAAGCATCATGATTCTGTCTCTGCCAGGGGAAACCCTTGTGAATCCGAGCAGTTACTAATCTGCTTTACCTCATCCAGCTAGCCCTCACTCGATGCGTGGCCATGGCCAACAACTGCCGCTTATCCCCGACGAAACCGCTATGACCTCGCAACCTCTTACTCAAGCTTCTCCGGATCGAATACATTCTAGGAATCCCCCACAGTCCGGATGCCACAGTCGTGACGTCTCTACGGTTCGAGGCAGGCCCGTCGATTCCACTGGACTTGGCGTCCCTTCACTACAGCCACAGCCCCAGATTAGATCTCAGTCAACATCGAAAAGCCCAGAACCTGGTGCCGCTCGTTCGGGGTCCGCCGCTGATGGGGATATAGTGGAAAAACGGCCGCAGAATTCGTATGGTCATCACCGTCAGGCGTCAGTCGTGCATGGGAGCATACAGCATACCCGAAATCCGAGCCTTGCACCTCCATCCACTACGATGTCGTCGGGCAATTATGGCGTTACGACAACCGCAGAATCGAAATTAAATGGTAAGCGAGAAAACAGTCCCCTGTCTACCGTACAAGATGCAGGCAACGTCGATTTGGGCAGTGAGCAGGGTTTGCATCGAAAGGGCACCCAGTCGGGAAAGTCAAGGCGGGAACATGCCCGTCATCTGTCTCACTCAAAAAGCGGTGCTCATGAGGCGAGAACGGTTGAAGAATATGCTCTTCACCACCTCTTCAACTCGGTTTGTGACCTCGTACGTCGATTTAAGGGTGATAGGCATTTACTGATCTTGCGTTCAGTTTGTTGGACTGGCAGACGAGAAGATTAATCACTGTATTATGAGTATGACCGAACTGGATACGCCGGTCGAACGTATTTGTGGCCCCGGTGCAGATCCTGCATTCGATCAGCTCATTTCTGCACTCGGTCACATAGCAAGGCAAAAGCCGAAGCCACTGATAGATACAATTATGGTTTGGAGGAAATCCAAGGGCGAGGCGGCGGCGCTTGCGAAACAAACGATAGTTCAAGTCAGTTTTCGGCTCACTCCCTAATTAATTATAGAGCTAATATCGCGATCGTAGCCGAAATCGTTGCCCGCGCCGGCCCCTATGCACCGTCGTAACACTGAGCCCACACAGCCAGGGTCCGAGTTTGCTGATAATGCCTCTATACCTACCGCTTCAACCATCCCAGCGACTCCGCGCCAGGAAGATATCGTGCTTGCCGAACGGCGAGCCACTGTATCTGTTTACCTCGTCTGCCGGGTTCTAATTGAAATATTCAACCAAAGCACAATAGACGCTATCACCCGTGAGATGGCCGATCGCCTTGAAGATATAGTGTTTGGACAATTGAAGACTGTCGACCCCGATCAGATTGCAGCATCTCCACTTCGAATAGCAAACTGGCGTATCTATAGCCAGCTTCTTGGAATCATGAGCGAAAACAATTTTGCTAGCGTGACAATTCGATTTCTCACCGAACTTAACCAATACCAAAAGGAAGAAGGGCGCATGTTGTCAATGAAAGACTCAGAGGCTCGAGCTGAACTCCTCATATACGGAATGAGACACTTGCGACTTCAAACATATCCAGAGGAGGCCTGGGACAGAACTTGTGATTTCCTCTTCTCGCTCGCAAAACTTATTGTCGATGCCCATGGTCAACGGCTAAAACAGGCATATTGTCAGATGCTGGAAATATTCCTTTTGCCAATCGCAGCTAACCCCAGTTGCAGTTTATCTTCGCCGAAATGGAAAGAATTTCTAGACCTCATTGGACCACGGATGGCGCAGATACTGGTAAAGCCGCGCCACTGGAACACTGCTTTTCCGCTCCATACCTTGCTCTTATGTGCATCCCCAAGAGAAATGTTTCTGTCTCAATGGATGTCTGTCATCCACAGCCTCCCTCCAAAGTTGAAAGATCGACCAAGTCGGACGACTGCGCTTCAGGCAATCTGCCGCCTTCTGTGGACCTACCTATATCGCCACTCAGACCCTCTCAGCAATCCTCTTCGTAAAATCGAAGATATAATTCGGATTGCGATACCGACTGGTAAAAGGACGTACATAACCTCTGACCCTGCTGTGGTTGATCCTATCACGCAGCTTGTTCGCGTAATCGGATTCAGACACCCTGATTTATGTTTTAAAATGATAATATTCCCCTTGGTTAATTCCGATTTATTCATGTCTGGGAAAGAACTGAGGATCGAACAGATGGAGCCGGAGAAAATGGTCATCGGGATCCGTGCTTTTCTGGCCATCATCGTCGATCTAGATAATGAAGCTCAGCACCCGCCGCCATTCCCGCAGAATTTTGGTGGGCCCGAGACATCTCATTCACCGTTTCCCGAGCGGAGCGTTTGCCAACCGTCCCTCGACTACGTGCGCTACACGTGCCGCCCCGTTAATTCCTCAAAGTTGAATGATAGCACGCGGAAATGTTACTTTAGGTTCTGCGAGGTGCTTGGGAAATTAACGATCCTATGTGACAATACCTTTGGTGGGCAAGCAGCACTCGATGAAAAGTTTGGAGGAGTTACACCCAAAACGCCCATTGCGGATCACTTTAGCTTTGGAAGACGGGAGGATCATGCGACTGCCGTGGATCAAAAACAAGCATTTTATGATCTTCTTCATGTCGCTGTTCAGGCACTTCCACGTTGTCTTTCCGACCACATTCCTTTCAATTCCCTTATCAACCTGTTGTGTACCGGAACAGCGCATGTTCAGTCTAACATTGCAGCATCTTCCGCAGAATCCCTCAAGTCTATCGCCCGCCAGTCTCATGCACAGCATGTTGCCATTGGATTTGCCCGTTTTATTTTCAACTTTGATGCCCGGTATTCGACTATGTCTGATGAAGGAATGCTGGGCCCTGGGCATATTGAATCGACTTTGAAGTTGTACGTGGAGCTAATCCGAATTTGGATCGAAGAAATCAGACAAAAAACCAAAGAAGTATCGGCTGAGCACCCCGATAAAAGTGCTTCGGGGAGCAGAGGACTGCAACTCGACCTTTCGAGCGTGTTAGCCCACGTAGAGGAGATTGAATCCCACGGGCTCTTCTTTTTATGTTCGCAGTCAAGGCGGGTTCGAGCCTTTGCAATCACTGTGCTTCGGCTTGTCACTGAGTTTGATAATGCACTCGGCAAGAAAAATACTAGAATTATCAAATTTCTTGAAGAGGACTCGGAAAAGATCTTAGATTTGAAAGATGATCTTCTGACTGTGGCTGAAAGGAGTAGATTACAAAAGGGGAAGCAAAGCAAAGGTTCACAAAACACGTTGATTGAGCTTTGCAGCAGCGAAGTGTCGTATGACTCGACACTTTGGTTAAAAGTCTTTCCGAATCTGGTTCGATTCAGCTTTGCTACATGTCCGTTTGCGGTCACCTTGGGCCGTGAAATCGTCTGCGCAAGGCTGGTTCAAATGCACAAGTATATCACAGCGATTGCAGAGGGATCGCAAACTCTGCAGTACGGATCGCTGGATTACATTGCTACCCGTCAAGTTGCAAGAAGCCCTAGTATATCTCCGGAAGTCACGATCGAACAGTGGAAGCTATATCTTATCATGGCATGTACTACACTCAACAGCGCTGGTGCTCAGTCACAGAGCCAGCTTGCCAATGCTCAACATGCCCGAAAGACATCTAAAGGAGGGCAACAATCCCACGATAAAATAAGTTCAGCAAGATCGTTGTTTGCATTTGTGATTCCACTACTCTCTGCTAGTCATGATTCGATCCGCAGTGCAATCGTTGTCGCTCTTGGATCCATCAACATCAATCTCTATAGAACGCTCCTAGAGTCGCTACAATACGCCGTGACGACCTGTAACGAGGAAGCTCGAGTGCGTATCGGAAGCCATCACCGCTCACCTAGCAGCCCTAGGAGAAATAGGCAGACAGATCGTCTTCGAACAGAAGTGACGAACGTATACAAGGCTACTTCGCACTTCTTAAAGGAACCCCAGGTGTACAATGACGATTGGATCCTAAACAATATTGTTACCTATACGAGGGATTTGCGGATATTCCTCAGCGATGTGGAGGTCCAAAGTGATTTGGGCTTCCAGAGCCTCCGCTTTCACTACTGTGGTCTAATGGAACAGTTATTCGAGGGTATCAAACGGTCAAAGGACCCACTTCGCTGGATGCCGTTCGAATCCAGGAAATCTGCATTTGCACTCATGGAGGATTGGTGTGGATATTCCCCAAATCAACCTGAGATCAACGTAAGAGAAGAAAACGTGCGTAAATTAGCGCTAGCAAGGCAAATGGATCACGGTGAAGTCCGAAGCACCGCCGCTATGGAGATAGAAAAGAGAAACCTGAGAACTGCTGCATTGAGCGCAATGGCCTCACTCTGCGTACGTTGCACTCGTTTCTATTTTCCAATTGCTAAACTAACACTTCTAATTAGGGCGGTCCAATTCGGATCATGACCGAAAGCAAAGCCTTTCTTCAATTTGATGTCAGGAGAATGCTTGCCTGGATCGACATTATATTGAAGACTGTGAGCGATAAGCTTCACGCCATCGGTCGGCGAGCGCTTAAGAACCTAGTGGTCCATAACAAAGAGCTCCCTTACCTGTTAGAACAGTGCATAGAAATGTGCTATCTATCAGAACGGCCAAAGGCTCTGGAAAGCTACTTTGAAGTGTTTTCAGAGGTCCTGATTGAGCACATCGACTACCCCGTGGCGTTTTGGAGGGTTCTGGGTGCTGTCCTTTTTACCCTCGGAAATGCTAAGCGAGAAATTCGAATGAAATCCGCTCGTTTGTTGAGGACGATTGAAGAGCGGCAACAGAAGAACTCGAGATTACAAGATTTCGATATCAGTATTTCTGACAAAACCACTGCGGTTTACAAATTGGCTCAGTTCGAAACATCAAAACGCCTGGCCCAGCAACACTCCGACCTAGCGTTTGTTATCTTCTCGGAGTTCTCGTTGCACTTTAGGAATATCCGACCTGACACTCAGCGGAATATGGTTGCTGCTATTTTGCCCTGGATTCAAGTGATAGAGCTTCAACTGGACCCGAATGGCGGTCCAACGGGGAAGTCTTACATGCTTCTGGCTAATCTTTTTGAGATTACCATCCAGTCAGGCAATACTCTACCAAATGAGGTTCAGGCCCTATGGCAAGCCCTTGCAACAGGGCCCCATGGTGGCAATGTCCAGCTTGTGCTCGATTTTGTCATTAACCTTTGCCTCGAGCGCAAAGAGCAGAATTTTGTGGATTATGCAAAGCAAATCGTGGTCTTTTTGGCGTCTACTCCCGCAGGATCCAAAGTGATCGACTTTTTCCTGATGCAGATTACCCCGAAGAATATGGTGCATGAGCGCAAAGAACCCCTGGCAGCACCTCCCGAAGTGACCCATCTACCATATGTTGCAGATCTGGGCACGATATTACCCGTTGGCAACAAGCAGGTTCGTCCGCTATAAATTCGGATCTTGAATTATTACTGATTTTTTTCTAGGCTGGATTATCACTAGGGCAGGTATCCATGATATTCCTTGTTGACCTCATGGTTGCTCCCGTTACACTTGGGTTTGAAAATGTTATCAAACTTGTTCATGTGGCACTCATCTTCTGGGATCACTATACCTTAACAGTTCAAGAACAGGCTCGTGAGATGCTGGTACACTTGATTCACGAGCTTGTGGCGTCAAAACTCGACAACGATTCCCACGATAAAAAGAGACAAGACATTGAAGATTTAGTTGAGAATATCCGCCAAGGCGATTCCACTGTGATCTGGGATTATGATGATAACAACGGAAAGGAGGAAGATCAGGACGGCAGCCGTGTTCCGTCGGCCATGTTGCATGTTACTCATAGTGTCGCGGACATGTTTTCCGTCGTTTACGATAATGTGAGCGATATATGTTCCCGGGAAGCGCTGAACTGGGCTACTTCATGTCCTGTGAGACATCTTGCGTGCAGGTCTTTCCAAGTGTTCAGGTGTATCTCTACATCTTTGGATTCAAAGATGCTGGCCGATATGCTAGCCCGACTGTCGAATACGATTGCAGAGGAAGAGACCGATTATCAAACCTTTTCAATGGAGATTTTGACTACGTTGAAAATTATCATTGGCTCTTTGGCACCTCAAGATCTCATGAGGTATCCTCAACTGTTTTGGACTACTTGTGCCTGCTTGAACACTATCCACGAACGCGAATTCGTTGAGAGCATGGCGATGCTTGAAACATACATAGATAAGATTAACTTATCGGATGAGATGATTCTTACGAAATTGAAAGAGAGCAAGCCACCGAAGTGGGAAGGAGATTTCGAAGGCCTTCAAGCTCTGATCTACAAGGGGCTTAAGTCATCTGACTCCCTAGAGAAGACTCTCCGTCTTCTGCACAGATTAACGACGCTGCCAAATAGCGACCTTATGGGTGATGGCAATCGGCTTCTCTTTGCGGTCTGGGCCAACCTACCTGGCTTCCTTCACCAATACGACCACCTAAACAATTCTGGCGAGGTGCAAGGGCGCGCAAAGTTGCTTGCGACTGTTGCAAAGAATCAAGGATGCGCTCAACTTGCAGACTGCCTTTTTGGATTGGTGAAGTGCAAGTATCAGACCAGTCAGAAGTTCCTTAATGATATGGTTAGTTCGATCTCGGCATATTATTTCCCTAACCAGGATGTGCAGAGTCTGGTGTTTATGATGGGCCTCTTGACGAATAACACTCGATGGTTTCGTATACATACCATGAGAATTCTCAGCACACTCATTTCCAGGATCGATATGCGTCGTTCTGATATTGCGTGCCATGGTCCCGACCTGATCTCCCCTCTTTTGCGGCTCCTTCATACAGATTTGTGCCCCCAGGCGCTTGAGGTCCTGGACCATATCATGACTGTTTCTGGCAACCCTATGGAACGGCACCACCTGCGAATGAGCATGGCATCGTCATCTTCGTCCAGGGCAATCAGGAAGGAATTTGAGCGCATTCAGAGCTTGTATGGAATCCCCGAGCCGACTGGCTGGTCCATCGCTGTTCCGGCTGCGCAGTCAGCCCTCACGAGGAATAACGTGCATGCTGTATTTTACACTTGTGCAGAGGCCGAGGAGGTCGAGGGCCAGCCTGCTGCAACCCCGGAGATGGAGTTCCAGATTGAAGACTATGGCGATTCATATTTCCCAACTATTCGTGCAGACACCATGAAGTCATTTGACATGCAAAATGAGAACATGGGGGATCTGTTGCAGAAGTTAGACAGTCTGGATGACTTCTTCGAAGAAAGTGAATTAGGCTCCATAACTTCGATTGGTGGTTCAACGCTGCGGAGTTTCGCTGCGGGCGACTTCCAGGATGCCAGCGCCCACCTGTACGATCAGCAAACAGCTCCACTGTTGCGGAAATCTTTGGCTAGAACTGCGTCCTCTTCATCGTTCCAGAATGGCCTTGCTGAGTCCAGACCGTCAACCGCCCAACGCATGGAACCAGCGCAGCTGCACTCTTCCCCTCTTGCAATTTCCACAAGCGCGCCGACCATTGTGCCTCCACGGTCTTCTCTGCATATGCGATCAGTGACGTCTCCAAATAACTATTTTCCGTCGATAAATACATCCTCTTCGAGCCTTCCGCCCATGCCGCAAGGCAGCGATGCCAAGTCGCCGTATACGCCCGACGATTATTTTGAAGACGCGCTCTCCGACTCAGACGACCGCCTGAGCATGAATCATCCGTCGTCGGCCAGTCCGCGGGTTGGACCGGAAGGTCCGTTCTCGCTTGAAGCTGTAATTCGGAGCAGCGTGCGGCGACTCACCGGCGGTAACGCAGTGGGCCGGGATAGAGAGCGGCAGAGAGAACTGTTGAGGGCTCAACATCGCGCACTGGCTAACTCACCGCGAGTCCCAAAGGTTCCTCCAGAATACCTTGTTGGGAGCGGCAGTATGCCAACATCGCCTGGCCGGCAAGGCCAGTAGATTTCTCATTCGTTTTTCTTTCCTTTTTTCTTTTCCTCTTTCTTATTTTTGTTTGCAAAATTTTATGCTACTTATTGCTTAATCTTCCCATGTTAATGTCGCATGACCTGATACCATTTCTAATATACCCCCCCTGCAAGTGTTTTGTTTGATGGGATACACGTATATCAGCATTTGCATCTTGCTTCTAATTATGAGTTTTTAAATACATATAGCTTACGTTTCCGGATTTTTTCATTTGTTTTCATAATGTAATCGAATATCTCCTATATATATATATATATATACACACGAGTCGCTTCGCTCATGAAGTTTATATATGACGTACATCCGTCCATGTCATGCATTCTACTGGCTCTTTTGGGCGTTTCAACATGTTTAGCATGACTGTCGTCTAAGTCTTGGGAAGTTCAAACATGTGTTTTTGTTTTGGATACCTAAAAAGCCAATATCTGAATAGAAATCAAATAGCAATATGTAGAGTGCACTATTATCTCGGAATCAAGAGGGACCATTGGGGGGGAGTCGTCGTTCCCTTCGACCGCTTCCATTGCTCCGAGTCAGGAGAGGGACACGAAAAGGCGCGCCCGAATGGAATGGCTGGAGGGCTGTCGCGATTATCACCACGTGACCACTGCCGGGCTGGCTGCTTCTGGCTGGCGGGCGGGCGGTTATCTCACCCAGCGCTTCATCTTTCCCCTTTGGTTCTGATGGTCCAAACCCCGCCGGCGGCATTTGGGGTGGCTTGCAGTTCCACGGAACCTCATCTGCAAAAAAAAGAAAAAGTAAAAGAGCAAGAAAGAAAACTTACCCCACAGATTGGCAACCCGGAACCCGGGGCGACATGGGACCAGCTCTACGGAGTACTCCATCACAGTTTGGGGTGGCTCCACGGAGATGGATGGATTATCTTGCACGGCACCAGCCCAAAACGGATCCAAACTTAACCTGATATCTCTTGGCTGACCTTGAATTGATTGCAGCCAGACTGTCCCCTGGTGGTGACTCTCTCTCTCTCTCTCTCTCTCTCTCTTTTCCTCGCGCGACAGCCTGCGCAAAAACCTGCTGGCGGCATTTCGCAGAGTTGCTGTTTGACAGCCAGACAAACAGCATGCGTCCCACCGCCTTGGGCCTGGACCATCGCCGCCTTTCCGCTCCGGGAAAGCCCATGCGAAGGTCCCCGTCGCCCCGGCCAATCGGCTCCGAGAAGCCTCCAGCGGCACACGCTGACATAAGCACATCGGCCACTTTTTGCCCTTTCCGGAAGCCCTAGCGGATCTCCAGCCGAACGTATCGAGCGGCAGCGGATTCATGGGGAAGAACTGAGCGCGCTATCTCGGCTTCGTGTTAAGCTGCGATGCGAGCTCTCCCTCAGGCTCCATCCGCGATGCGGGGTGCTGGCCTCTCCCTTGAGCTGCGTTTCCTGGAGTCTTCAAATACCCCCCATCTTCCCCGTGTCTGCTTCTGCTTTCTTTCCTCACTCTTCTCAAGCATCACGTTGGGAAAGGTCCTACATATATCTTTGTAGTCACTTTTTGCTTCGCTGCTTTTTGCTTTTTGCTCTCTCTTTCTCTCTCTCTCCCCCGAGGACTCTTTGTGCCTTCATCCTTTTTCTACAACCATCATGTCTCTTCATCCTTTCGACCCATTGACCCCCGGCGAAATTCGCGTGGTGGTGAAGATCCTTGAGGCTTCATTCCCTGGTGTCCCTCTCCGACACAAGGTCATCGAGGTCCAAGAGCCCATCAAGAAGGATGTCGTGCCTTATCTTGAAGCAGAGAGATTGGGCCAGCCCCTCCCTGCAAAGCCAGCCCGGATCCTCACCGCTCTGTTCCATCGCATGGATACCAAGGTGTTCATGAAGGCTTTGATCAATGCCGAGAAGAAGAGCTTGCTTCAATGCAGGGAGCTTCCAAAGGGCGTGCAGGTATTGATCTAACCCACGTACATAATTCGTGCGTGCGCAGCTTGGCTAACATTTATCATAGGGCCCTACCGACGTCGACGAGATGATCGAAATGGAAAAGGTCTGCAACGATCATCCCGCAGTCAAGGCTGAGATTGCAAAGATGAACCTGCCACCAAATGTCGTTGTTTGCAACGACCCATGGATCTACGGAACGGACAGCGAGACCGAAGACCGCCGTCTTTTCCAGCACTACATGTACATGTGCGACGTCGACCATCCCCAGACCAACCATTACTCCCTCCCCTGCGCCTTCTCTCCAGTCTTCGATGGCATGACCAAGGAGCTTGTCCGTATGGATTACCTTCCTACCGGCACCGACCACAGCTTCACTTCAACCAAGCCCTGGAAGCCAGTGAAAACCGTGCAGTACGCACACGATCTCTTGGATGAGCCCCTTCGAACCGACCTCAAGCCCTATATCGTCCAGCAGCCAGAGGGCCCATCCTTCAAGGTGGATGGAAACCATGTGTACTGGCAGAAATGGAGATTCCGGGTTGGCTTCAACTACCGTGATGGTCTGGTGATTTACAACGTCAGCTACGACCGTCGCAACGTGTTTTACCGATTGTCTCTTTGCGAGATGACGGTTCCATATGGAGGTAAGCAATCCACCACCGTTCCCTGACGTATCGAGCAGTTTTATTTTCCTTTTTTTTTTTTTTTTCCCCGCAGTAACTGACTAGAACAGACCCACGCGCTCCCTACCACCGCAAGCAAGCTTTCGATGTTGGTGATGTCGGTTTCGGAAACACTGCCAATCAACTCTCCCTTGGCTGCGACTGCCTCGGTCACATCAAGTATTTCGATGGCTTCAGAACCGATTCCAAGGGTAACCCAGTTCTCTTGAAGAACGTCATCTGCTTGCATGAGCAAGACGCCGGCCTCCAGCACAAGCACACTAACTACAGGACCAACGCCGCCACCGTTGTCCGCAACCGCCAGCTGGTTGTGCAGATGATCTGTACAGTTTCCAACTACGAATACATTTTCGCCTGGATCTTCGACCAGGCCGGTGGCATTGAACTCGAGGTCCGCGCTACCGGTATCCTCTCCACTATGCCAATCGACAATGAAGACGGTACCAAGGTGCCATGGGGCACCAACGTCGGACCCGGTGTCATGGCTGCGTACCACCAGCACGTCTTCAGCATGCGTGTAGATCCGGCCATTGACGGACACAACAACACCGTTGTCTACTCAGACAGTGTTGCTCTGCCCGATGAGCCAAACATGAACCCTTACGGCGTTGGATACGCCCAGGAAACCACCGTCCTCAAGAATTCGTGCTCTGCAGACCTGAGCGTCGAAAACGCCCGTGTCTTCAAGATCAGAAACGACAACGTGATCAACCCCACGTCTGGAAACCCTGTGGCCTACAAGCTAGGCGTGATGCCCAGCCAGCTCATGATCATGGCTGAGCGCAGCTTCAATCGTCGCCGTGCGGCATTCGCCACCAAACCGATCTGGGTGACGAAGTACCAGGATGGAGAACTCTACTCCGCCGGTGAATTCACCAACCAGAGCAAGAAGTCATCCGGTGTGGAATTATGGTCTGCACGGAACGACAACACTGAGAACACTGACGTTGTCCTCTGGCACTGTAAGCATCCTCCCCGTCTTCCGTTTCCACAACGCCCCCCCTTCCCCCTTGTTTTTCTAGCCGACTCATACTGACTTCTCTCCAGCTTTCGCACTCACGCATAACCCCCGTCCTGAAGACTTCCCCGTCATGCCTGTCGAGAAGATCAGCGTCACGCTCAAGCCTGATGGTTTCTTCGAGAAGAATCCTGCGCTCGATGTGCCACCATCGGACCAGTCGTTCAACAAGTCATCGCTACACCAGGATGAACCTGCCTGCAGTGGATGCCCTGCGAACTCGAAATTGTAGATTTCGCCGGATGAGGAACGATACATAGTTTATGACTGGTTTTTTGGTCTAATGATTTTCGTGCTGTACAGATGATTGTGGATACATATACTCCCTGGTTTTTTTCTTTTTTAAATGAATTGTAGATATGCTGTTCTTGTTAGATATCAAAATTTTTGAAATTATTCTAAGACGTTATCTTTACTCTTCTCTCTGTCTTGATTAGTTGGTTAACTCTCCCTTTGCTTGTAGCTTATACACTAGCAACCTAATTGCAATGAAGTCCGTTGAGGTATACTACAGTGGTGCCCTGATTTCTTTTTGTTTCAGGGGAGATGTGAAGACGTGGAGGATTAGAGTGCGTTCTGGCAACATGGTTGGTCCATGAACTCAGCAAATGCACCATGCGGAACGGCCGCTTAAATCAGTGGAAAGAGATCACCACAAAGTATGCTTGGATTAGAGAATGAAGAGAATGACAGTGTTTATTCAAGTCCGGCCGGCGTGTGGGAAGATTTAGGGGGGTGAAGAAGGACTGGGATGAAATAACTACCAGGTGAACAAGAGGTCCGGGTGGCCGATAACGTGATTCTCATCATTCATTTGGAATATTGGTTAGCTGACCCTATATGTGCATGGTCTTCCCAAGAGTATACCGTAAGTTTTAATTCAGCCCGTGGCCAGAGGTATCCATTCTCCATGGTGAGATCACCAAGCTTGAATTTTTCTCAGCCAGCCGACAAATCACCTATCGTACTCAAAACAATTATTACAAATTATATACGGTGCTCGATACCACTGCTCCTATTATCATATATAAGCCCTTTCAATTGATCTTGCTCCACTGGCCGGTCTCCGTATTATTCGCAAGATCGGTTCGCTCAGTCTTCCCGCCTTTGAGCCAGCCATTTTCCACAACACCTCCACCAGGCACGCCGGTATCTCCGCGGTGAAGGCGGTTCGCTCCCTCCTTGACTGTGAAGTTCGCCAAAGAGACCTCATTAAAATCGCGCTCCCGGATCTTAGGGGTTCCAAAGAACTTAGCTTCCACCTCTTTTGGAGTGATATGCAACTCGAAATATCCGCGGTAATACATCTCGGACCATTGAAGGACAGAGTTCTTCTCTACCAGCTTCTTTGATCTCTTGTTCGCGGCAGGAATCTTGACTTTTGCTCCAGCTGGTGATGGGGATGTGATCGCGGTTCCACCAAATTCAACACCAATGGCTCCTAATCCAGATTTTTCATCGTAGTCTGCATGGTCTAACCACACGATGTCACTGACCCAGTTCGCGTGAGAATCCCCTGCGATCAAGATAGTGTTGTTGATCTTATTTTCAACGAGAGTCTCAAATGTGCGGTTCCGGTTTGCTTGATATCCATCCCAAGCATCCAGGTTGAAACCAGAGTCGTCGATGTGCGAGAACACTGATATGACTATTAGCAGTGTAGCCCGTAGGGAGAACAGGGACAATCTTACCTATTTGACTGCCGACAAGGCGCCATTTAGCACCACGCTCGGAAGATTTGATCAGATTGCGGTAAAACCAGTTTTCTTGCCGCGAGCCCATCAAAGTGCGACTGGCGTCGTCCTTCAATTTCTTGACATACAAGGTATTGAAGTATAGATCAGTAATTGAACGATCATATTGTCTGGTGTCGAGCATCATGAGATCAACAAGTGATCCGATTTCGAAATTTCTCCAAATGCGAAGATTGTCATCCATATCGACCTGTCTGTAAAAAATATCTGAGCCGAATGCTCTGGAGAAAAGATGAAAAGGCATATTTTACCTGATTGGCATCCATTCAAAGTACGCGCGAACTGCGTTCATCTTTCTTTGATCCACAGAAACACCACCAGATGCCAAGAATGAGAGCTCGATATTCCTCAGCCAAGAGGAGCCATCACGGTAAGTGTTGTCCCCCACCTCTGCCGAGTGCCTGCGGTTAGAACGACAGTAATCAAGCGGGGAAGGCTTTACATACCGTGATCGTCCCATGTTGGGATCCAGGGGAAATTCTGATGATTGGCAAGGAGGTCAATATCAGTTCGGTGAGTTGCAAGGCGTTTACGATAATCGTAGAGAGTGTACAAGGTGCGGTCTGGCAAAGGTACACGCCCGATACCTTTACCTGATCCACTAGACCTAACGGTTAACATTCCCTTCTTCATTTGTGGACACCTTAACTCACTATAATCCATCAGGGAATTCATAGTAATAATCACTGCATTCAAAGTCGAAGTAGTCAGAAGTAAGCTTTGTCATTATGAGAATTGGAGCAGTTTTTACCCAAGGTGGATGACATAGTCAACAGAATCCTTTCGTACGGGATTCCCGTAGGCATTGAAGAAGCCAGAAGCTAAGTAATTTCCTTAGTAAATCGTGCAGACAAGATATGCAAAGAGAAAACGGGGGTCCATACGATAGTTGCTGCAAGAGTACACAGCTAAATTCACCTGGTCAACGGCTTGAGATGCCTCTGGAAGCGTTTTGGTACGACCGATGGGACTTTTCGTGTCGGAATCACACACAGAGAATTGGTAGTAGTATGTGGTGAACGGCTTCAGGTGTTTTGCTTCCACCTATTTTATCGAGGTTAATCAATGCATATATCGTTGCACAACGAAACTTACCTTGACCGTATAGTCAACATCGGAGCCAGTAAAAACCACACCTTCATCCACCACGCACTTCAGTTCCTTATCCTTAGCGATCTTAAACTCAACACACACTGGTGCCTTTGATATCGGTTTGTACTCATCACCAGATTTGTGGATGGGAACAGGATTATATAGTGGGCTTGAGCCAGTGACGGGGCTGTTATCATTCACATCATCCGATGTGGGAGAGCATCGCGTCCAAAGGATAACAGAATTTGCGTATGGATCGCCAGATGCAACTCCATGGGTGAAGTTCAGTTTGGCGGGGTCAAAGGCAGCCGCAGGATCAGATCTCTTAATAACTTTGTTCAGAGAGATTCCTAGGTCAGGGTGGTTGAGCGAAGGGCTACGGTAGTTTAGGTTCCCGGAGTAGGTGGCGGAAGCCGTGGAGGCGGAGAGGGCCAGCAGAGAAAGCGCGCGGTACCGCATGATTGTCAATCCTGCCGGCGCAATGACCCAACGATGCTGGCGTATTCTCCGCAATAACGTGCGGCCATTAAGAACCTTTATATATTTTCCCACGGGATACCTTGAGCTGGCGCTTTTGAGTTAAGATTTTTCGCGCATCGCGTGAACTGTCACTAGCCGTTCTTTTCCATGGATGTCTTGATATCCATCTGGGTAGGATTTTGATCATCATGATTCCAGTGCACCGCGCTTCCCCTGACCTAACGACCCCATGTGCGGGCCCAACGCGCAGAATACGAACCAAATGGAATGCGGAGATAGTGGCATGTGTAGGCAATCCTCCGTGCCAACCTTGGTCTACTACGGAGTATTATTTTTTATTTTTCTTGCAACTCCAGACCCACTCGGCAGACTTCCACATCTCCAGTCGTCGAAAGTCGGAGATCAGGGTTTCTCGGGCGGAAATTGTCACCCACGGTTTTGGCCAGGCGTTTTCCTTTGTTCTACGGAGTACTCCCTACTCCGTATTCTATCGAACGATTCCGGAGCCCATGACGGCAGGGGAAGCCATCACTGGGGTGCTTCGCAGTGATGATATCATGCCCAAAATGTTTCAGTGGGGGGATTGTAGGGGGTGGGAAATTGCATCGAAGAGCAGCGTCCACACGTGTAGTGCTGATTGCAAACAAAGAGCGTGCCGACTGGCAACCTGGCCCGAGTTTCCATGTGATTGTGGTGCCCCCAAGGCTGGTCTGAGGGGAAGGGTCCCGGCTTAGTTCAGGAGAAAGTGGAGCTGCACCAAGGGAAGCATCAAAGTTGTTTCCCATCGCTCAACTGGGGCACTGGATTTAACAATGGCACATCTCACTATCAGCATTCTCAGGGGCCGGCCGGCTGCCACTGACATGAGTCCGGGGTGAAGTGAAGAGGAGATTCTGAGATCATGTCGTCGTGGATTGCGCAGATGCGTCGCTGGAAGATATGCGGAACAACAATGTTCCGGCTAGAATCGCAACGGATGGCATCTTGGCGCAAATTGCGAACGAGTTTAGCGGTTTCTCTCGGGAAGTTCGGCCTGCAGCAATACACACAAGCAGCAGGGCCGGAGGAGCGGCGGACGGCGGACGGGAGCATATGTACTCCGTACTCTTCTGTTTCTCTTTGCACTTCTCTTGTATGTAGCACTAGAAACGAGACGTTTTACTCTGTACCTGAAGATCTTCGGATAGAAGATTTCTGTTACGACAGCCCACGCGTCGTACCAGACAGAATTATGGCCAGAGTTTCTGCGCGACGAAGCTTGGCTTGTTCGTGTATTTGGAACGCTAGAAGGAGAGTTGAGGGACTCCAGTTGGTTCTTGATCAACGCTATTCTAGCTAGTTAATTGGCCTGGGGGATTGCTGTTGAAAGCTACTCCACGCACACTGCGTACAGAGACAAACTTTTCTCAGCGCAAGTTCACTGTGTGTTCCTTTTCACGAGATATAAGGCAGTTTCCCCCGTAATCTGCTCATGTTTTGGTCTATCCGTGGTTGACATAGGAATTGGTGATCAAGTTGGCGTTGTCACGGCCTGGTGTCCCCCATCATGCTATGCCACTCCGGTTTCTTTCCACCAATAAGAGATATTCTGTTTTCGTGAGCGCTTTGGGCTGTCGTGGCTTTGAGTACCCCAATCACGCGCAGAGCCTTCGAAAATAGGGCTGATTGTCGAGGCAGCAGTTGTTATATATAAGGCCAGGGCAAATCCCGCTCGCTGCTGACTCTCTTTTGGAGGCCGCAGAATAGCACCCTGTTTCCTTGATGGTTGAAACGACATTTCGTGGAAACTATGGCTGGGCAGACGACATTCGTATTATTGGAAATAATTATGCTTCCAACGATGTGCCCATACCTGACACATTCCTCACCGTTGCGCCTCTGGACGCCAAACCAATAGCCGTGCATCCCATTGATTTCTCTGCGTCCCCATTGCCTCAATATAAGAACTTTTACGCTGTGATACTTGACAATGTCCTTAGTCCTTCCGAATGCACCCAAATGATTTCTCTAGCAGAGCAAAGTGTCGCAGAGCCTGACCCTGTTACTGGTTCCCCCTGGAAGCCTGCACTGGTGAGCGCTGGCTGTTATTGCTGGAGAGCAACATAGGGGCGTTCTGGGGAAGTTAGCAGTGGATCGCGGACAGAAATGGCGGTTCGTGAAGCTGAATGAACGAATGCGGTTTTTAAGATATATCAAGGCCAGTTTTTCAAACGTAAGAAAGGAGCCGGGTCCGTTCATTGACTGTAGAGCTGACAGGGTTGGGGTGTCAGCGCATTGCGACGGTCCAACAATAAAGGGAAACCAACGCACATTTTACACTCTCCATCTCTATCTCAGTGATTCCACGCAGCCAAATGATGAGCATGGCCAGCTTGTTGAAGGCGCCACTACGTTCTGTTCCTCAGACGAAAAGAAACGATTCGATGTTAACCCCAAAGCTGGCAGCGTCCTGATCTTCCAACATCGCTCTTTATATCACTCCGGGGATCTTGTCTTACAGGGCGTCAAGTACACAATGAGGACTGATATTTACTACGAACCAGATGATCCGATGGAAGAATGAGATTGCCAAAGTATCGACTTTGATTTCGATCTACGTCGGTGACATGGGCGGCAGATCAATCGTCTTCAGTCCACAAATTTATAGAGTCTGTCCAAATGCTCGCCTACACGGCAATAGAGGACCTCTTCCTCGCTTGGCTGCGAAGCTCAGCGCTACGCCTTGATGGCGTTTTAGCTGTGGAGAGGGTTACGGTAAAGCTTGACTCCGTAATCTCAAAGGATATGAAACTACGTACACCTTGAAGCCTAAATAGACAAATCTTGAGCTCACATCTTCCCTTTCCATATATTTCCGAAATGAGTTTTCCTCTCTAAAAACGTCTCTCGACATCTCGCGCCACTCAAATCGATCAATACCCCTCGCTGCGTCTTTGGCTATCATGATATTTCTCGGCTTGAGGGCCGCAATGCACAATCCAGAGAGAATGTAAAAAAGTAGAGTTGTTAACGTCGACTCTGACCCGCAGCAGGAGTGACAGCTGCCTTGTCAAGAGTATAGCTATAGATTTATTCGAGCAATACATCCCCAAACAGGATCTCCTTCAGTATCTGGCATTTGTTGCCATTTAAGAGGCATGAGTATGGAGTAGCTTCTGCTCTAAACAATGCCCCTGGTCTTGAGAGATTTGAGAGCCAGCCATAACAATGAGGCATAGAATCTTTAGAGCGTAAATAGACTCGTCTACTCCGCAGGTGTCCCCTTTTAAGTTGCAGCTGCGGCTAGCGGCTACCACCAGATTCAGAAACTCAAGTCTAGACGAGCGGCGGGCTCCAACAGGGCAGAGCAGAGACGCCTTCTTTAGCCAATGTGACCAGCATGCCCTTGTCTTTGCGCCGCGGGTGGCTGTTGATAACGTTCGTACGGCTTCAGGAAGATCGGTCGATGAGTGGGACCGTTGCTCCTTGCTACTTGGCAGCATTCCTTTCCTCGTGACCGGAGGGGAGCAGGACTGGAGCCAAGAAAGAAGCTAAAAGAAAAAAGATCTGAATGGCTGAAGCCTTGGAAGGATTTTATGCCTGTTCCATCGAGGTTGAATTCTGCAAACATGACAAAACGCCTTTCCAGCCATTGCTCCAGAAATTGATGCGAGACTTCACATCAAGATGCTAGTCACCAACTTGTCGATCTAACAAACTGAGCATGGTTTCGGAATGCGCATCCCATGGCTCACTTCCTCCATTACCAAGTCTTGGTGGATGAGGTTTCTTGTTCTTTTCTATATTTGTTTTCCCAGCAATGATAGATTCCGAAAACTGTGTTGGATGAGAGAGCGCCTGCTCCATGGCTGTTGCAAAACAAATGCTGTTCTCTTCACGCACTGTCTTATGCAGCTTGAAGCCTGTCAATGTTCTGTTCCAGTGTGTTATTTCAATACATTGACCACCACCTGCTTTCAATGATAAGACCCCATTCTTTGAGGGGGCCTCCGAATATAGCCGATTGCTCCTTGTCTGGTCATCCGACCATTCATCCATCTCCGTTTCCTATTCAGCTGCCTCGCTGTGTCAATGTATACTTGTGGTTACGAGCTCTTCAGTAGCTTTGACATATACTCATTGATTCAGATGCCCAGTTTGGGATGTGTTCTGAATTTCAGTCTTCCAAATTATTTCACACTCTCTTGTGGGTTTGAAGTTATATGTTCATATATTCGATTTTTCGACAAGCTTGAAAAGATGCCGTCTCTACTACGATACTTGTCCGCACTCGATCCGGATTTAAATCATAGTATGCGATAGGCATTGTTAAACACATTCAATTCCGGATGAGCAGAAATAGCCAAAAATACAGTAATGGACTGATTTCATACATAAAAATTGCATGGCAATGTTTGCCGGCAACCTTAACACAGACTGCAACACTACAGACTTTGATTACCCCCCCCTCGCTTCGACGAAGCACTTGTTGTTTTGTCAATAAGGCCACGGTCAATGCGATTTGCTTAAGCGGACACGTGTTTATGTTGACCGCACCTTGGAGCTGGTATCGACTATGCTTGGTGAAAATGGCACAGCAACGACGTGCGCCCTGGGTAGGCATGCGGAGGCGCCAGGCGGGACGATTTCCCTGACTGGGCTGGTATCTATCCCTACGCGAGCTTCCCCGCTGAGAACCGCGTCCTAGGTGGCACCAAAGTTTAATGAATGGGATCTCGACCTTCAGCATGAATGACCACGCAGACGGGTTGCGCATTACACAAAGTTTTTCAACACAAGATACCTGCGTATCAGAAGAACAGTTTCAGAGGTAAGGGACCGCCGTAAGCCCAAATTCGAGGTCGAAGAACGTAAGACCCTGGGACGGCAACTAGGCAATCTGGGCGGTGTGCGCAAGCATCCCAAACATATTCGAGCTCTTCGAAGGTCGTCATTTATACACTCCCCCAACAGCGATCTCCAGGATAGCTGGCGCCGCCATCTCGGAGGTCAAGGCCACGACACGCCAATATAATATCCACAGTATCCTTTAGGTCTATTATGTCTATTGATTCTCCATCCCTAGGCTGGTCAACACTGAGTTTCGCATAGTCCGTGCCTTCTGCCTACACGGATGATGGAGTTCTGGGCAACGACCAAGCACCTATTCAGATCGCAGCTATTCCTTGGCTCCGAATCATCCAGGGGTAAACTTTGGGCTGTTTTTTATCCATGTGCTTGCCGCATTTAATATTGATCTACGTGCGACATACCCTCTGGAGACTTACAAAAGTCCTTCTGCCTCCCTTTCTTTTCACATCTACCTGCAGGCCTACCTAGATGATGATAAGTTGTGCAGGATAGGCCAGCATGTGGTTCTGGAGCCCCACATTTTGGCAAATTCTAGAAATCAAGGATTCGCAGGCTGACATCGCCGGATTTGCAGAATCGCGAATCTGTGGAACACAGAGTGGAGTTAACAGAATAGACATCTTATGCTGACGTAGCGAGGCCCCAGCAGAGGGCCCGAATAAGTTCCCGAGAAATGACAGCTTATCAAGCCTCCAATCGGGGTCGCTAGATGAGAAGGGGAAAAAAAAGGGTGTTCCTCTTCATCGAAAAAGGAAAGCCGGATGTGAAAATCATCTGTTCCGCAAATCTGGTTGACATCCTCGGCCTCTGAATCCTTACGGATGTGGCTGACATAACGGCGCTGGTATCAAGGTCACATTGGTTTTGCTGGCGTTATCTTCACGGTGTATGCTGTTGGCACCTCAGCGCACTGTCGCGCGATATAAGATTAGGTTTTGGGGGGAGATATATGTATTATGCACTTGCTCATCGGACCCTATTTTGCTTTCCATCGTATCTAGGTGAATTAGCATCACGCAGAGATATTCCGGTACCAGAGCGGAATTTCCAAAAAATTTCACAATATGGCCTTAGTAACCAAGTCTCAAGCGTAACTATCCAAAAATCTACTGTAGACTAACCGTATCCTTCCAAAGTTATGGTAGATCAACCATGCATCTACTATATCATGTAATATATGTTTAAATCCTTATATATTGATATTTGCTGATATTAAATCTACTAGTTTATCTGTCTTTTAATAGATAGCTAAGTAAGCCTCTCCAACAAAGTTTGAAATCTTTCACTTACCAACAACCTATGGAGTAATGAGGGAAGAATATTTGCACATACGAGTTCACCTAGATTCCTAGGCTCTACATGTTCAATTTGCTTGGGGTTGAGTTTCCCATGGTTTCTTTGTGTTTCTTTGTATATGTCTACTGCATACGGAGGATGTTTCTTTGTATATAGACTCTTGTAATGCATGCTTCTGTGGGATCCCAATGCTGACCCTAACAGATGTTCGAATAGATATCCTCAAGAGTAGTCATCCTAGAATATTCTAAAAGTTGAGAAACAACATCCAAGTTAATAAATGTGTGTCTCAAAGACATGGTACCTTAGAATCTACCATTTATTACCAATATCCTTTGGGAAACGATAACTATACCTGATATAAGCATTGTCAGAACCATAGATCTCTTGGATCCCGCCTCCTTGTATTATCCCGTATACCTTTCCATAGTTTAATTGCTCACCGTGAATTGAGTTTTACGACAGCATAACTAACCTCCCGAGCCACAAGAAGGGCAGCACCGCATTAAGGTGTCGACAGGTGGCATGGTAGTTACGCATTACCATTCTGCAGTGTTACCAACAACAGTGCGATAAAATTTTTGTCCAGCAAATGTCAATGCAGTATGAGAAATATTTGCTGGACTTGTTGCACAATGCTAGGTATAAGAGCTGTCAGCTCAGATTCTCCAGGTTTTCTCGTATACACAGACTCCAATGGTCAGTTATGGCTATACATGCCACGCGCTTTGCAGATACAACCCGGAAATATGCACTATATTCATCAAATTAATAAATAATGCACTAAGCATGCATTAAACCATCTGTGGGATAATTAGATGTATGAATAGATTGTCGTCATTAGGTTTCAGAATCCATCTTACTGCACTGAATTGGAAACAAGCCTGAATGTGGCGCCTGGGCTCGCGCGAACAAGCGAGTTATTGCCGCCATTCATATCTGCAGTTTTACCAATTTTAGGCACCACAGGGGCCGTTTAATAACAATGTGAGAATCACGTCCTACTAATGTTTGTGTGACATGAGATGAGCTGGGGCATCTTTTCCCTTTGTGGATGAGGTTGTTACTACAGATGCATGTGGGCTACCAGAAAGCACAATGAAAATCGCGCAATGAAGGCCCGTGGGAAGTTGAGGCGTAATAATCTGACCCGGTTCTGGTCGATGCTGTATCCATTGGCCATACGCCATGCAATTTAGTTGACTTGGTTCAGAAAGTTGGTTAGGATAAATTGGAGATAGGTTGTGGAAAATATATAAAACTGCAGTCATTATCTCCGATTCCTAGCTATGTGTTAATCGTCCGCTCGCTTCACATACTCACAGCCCAATAGCTATTATACCATAGACTCTCCTGACAACGGCATTAGGCCTCAGCTCTATAAAGACCTTTCCTACAACATGGTGAAGCTCGCGCTCAGTGCCGTGGCCCTTTCTCCCCTGCTTGCCATAGGACGGGCAGTCGCAGTCCCAGTGGAAGATGTGATTGGCCGTGACTTGAGCACGGTATGTGCATTCATATTCCAGGCTCGTGTCGAGATAATACCATAGTAATTCACGAAATCGATGTCCAGGAGACGATCGATAAGTCCACGGACGTTCAAGGTATAGACATCTCTCTTTCTCTCTCCACTCTGGATGCCAGGGCTGGTGCTAATACTCCCCTCGTAGCCAACTCCTCCCTTGATATCCGTGATGCGGCTTTTAAAAACACCTGCTACCACCCAAGTACCGATGTCTCTGTCGGCACTATTGGCGGGGCTGTCGCGTGTTCCAAGTTCCTAAAAGGTCTTGATACTAGACAATGTCATGCCAAGCGAGGCGGCCTCGTGTTGTGTGAGGAGAAAGGGACGGTCATCACGGCTTATGCCAAAGATACTTCAGTCTCATCGTGGTGTAAGCACGTTGCGGCTGGGATCGATTGGATGGTGGAACACTGCGCTACCTGCAAAGGGGATGACTGCAAAATTGCCGGTATGTTGTAGCTCCGTTTTGGATCATATTATGCTTCAACTTGTGCTCTACGCGGCGTGAGATGTAGGGAATACCTAACCGGTTTTCTGGTATTGAAATAGGCATGGCGGCGGCTTATGGGAACGGAGACTATCGCATCAGACTCTCGGGTTAGTAACGCGGCTTGTCTTTTAAGAGGAGGAGTGAGGCGGATTGTGTAATGAGGTACAAGCTGGGCCATTTAAAGTATAGATAGAGGCCGAAGGAGGTAGCAGGATTGACTAAATGGCTGCTATCTCAACCATTTTCTTCCCTTCTTTGGAGAGCAGTCGATGAAAGGTTACATTTAGGCAGTTCAGCCCTGTGGGGTCTCATTTGCCTGTAGTTAAGCTTTTGGTGACAGCAGCCTTGGCTGAGCTTGATGCCGACGATCACTTTGTTACCAGAGCTGGATGCTCGGCTGGCACGTTTTCACACCATCGGCCAATGGCAAAAGAGTACCTTCAGGATCTCACAGGCAACGGGCATCCCAGCGATGCCAAGATTGGATCCCCGAAGGGAAGATTGTTCAACGTGTTGCATGTCCGACGGACCATGCTAAGGCTATTCCACAAGATATGATGTGTCGATATTGTGAATGCATCGTCTCGAATCCGAGTCAGGACAACTTTTCAAAACTTATTGCACCAATAGTTGGCTTACCGACACCACATGGCCCGTGGTCAACTCGATCTGGGTCGCATTTAAATCGAGAACGGCACCAGATAGTCGTGTGCTGAATGTAACAGGGGGTTTCCATAGAAGGGGTTGGCTGCCTTTGGGCCCTTGGACACTTGCACAAAAACAGGAGCCACTTGGATTTCGTCCTCTTCATCAGTTTATTTTTTATTTTTTTTTTCGCCCCTTTCACATGCTGGACTCGTGAGTATCCCCGATTCTTTGCAAAGATGAATGGAACAAACACGGAGCACTTATGATTCCTTTGCTCCATATTAAATCCATGCATCAATCTCAGGCTGTATAAGGGCATAGAGAAATCAAGACGCAATGACACATTCACATCTCCTCCACCTTGATCTCCATCTTCGCCTCCATCCTCCCCTTGGGGCCACTTCCATTCCTCCCCCCTTTAATCTCCGCCCTACACAACCCAGTCCCAGCCAACGCACACTCCCAACACCGTCTCCCAACAGGCAAACACACGGTCTGCCCCAACCCCACCAGCAACCAGTTAATCTCCCTCCACTTCTCCCTCGGCAGCCACGCCTCAAGCAACACCCGCGTCTCCTCTGGTGTCTTGGTCCGCACCCACCCCCACAGATTCGTTATCCGGTGAACGTGCACATCCACACCGATCCCGTCATCCACGCCCCATGCGGAACTCATGCACAGATAGGCCATCTTGGGCCCCACGCCGGGCAGGGCCATTAAGTCAGCTGCCGTGCGTGGGATATCCGAGTTGTAGTGGGACTGGAGGATGGAAGCGGTGGAGCGGAGGTATTTGGTCTTGAGGTTGTGGAAGCCGACCGTTTGGATGAGCTGGTTGAGGCGGGTGGCGGAGACGCGGAGGATGTTGGAGATCGTGAGGGTTGAGTGGCCGGCGGAGTGAGTCGTGGTGTCCCACCGGACCGCGGGCTTTTTACTTGCATCAGCGCCGCCGTCTTCGTTGTTGCCATCATCGTGCTCTCGGTCGAGCTCTGTGTGTAGACGATGCATTGCGACGGCTGTTACGGTGTCTTTTGTTTGGGATGAGAGCATCAGGGCGACCAAGATGTGAAAGCGCCTCTCCTGCTCGGTGGAATTACGCCAGTATAACTCCGCGCAGCCCATGGTGTCAACGGGCGCAGTCGGGTTGCGAAGACGCATATCCTTGATGAGATCGTACATCTTCTCCCAGTTTGGCGGTGGAGCAACGGATCCCGGTGGAGGAGGGGGTTTGCGGGATTTCGTCGCCTTTTTCTTTGGGAGGGAATTCGGCACCTCTACCTTTACATCCTCTTCTTCTTTCACGATGACTTTTCGAGGTTTTCGCGATTGCGATCTGGGAGAAGAACGTTCAGCTTTAGTGGCTACGGCATCTGCTGCAACGAGAGAGGCTCGCTTCCGCTTTCTCGAGCTTGGTGGCGGGCTGGGTTCCGGTTTCAAGAGGTCTTCGATGTCGGTCGTATTTGCTTCAGACAGAACGGAGCTATCGTCGCAGCCATCTTCACTTCCGCTCTCCTGTTTGATGGCTACATTGCTGTCTCCTACTTCGTGTTTCACATGAATTGCGCTTGCAACAGTTTTCGATCTTGTTTGCCTCGAGTTATCAAAGTAACTGGACGTAGCCGCGGTGCGCCGGGTGACTCGACGGGTTGACGATACCGCGTCGACCAGCTTCGACGCCTCCTTTGAGATTAAGGAGGTACGCATTGAGAAGGATATCCCGTCCTGAGCGAAAACATGCGGGAATGTTCTCCACTTGCGTCTCCGTCTTTCGTCTTCCGTCTTCGGTTGCCCCGGGATGTCGTCGCCGTTCGAAAGCTTCAAGGGGGTGAAAACGCACAGCCACACAGAGACGGGGAGTTCCAGCCACACCCCTGCCCGCCCACGTGTGCCAAGACCATACGAGCCTCGGGACCAAACAAACAAAGTACATAGCTCCTTCCCCTCGAGAAAGCGCTTTTTGTTATACCCCGTACCTACCATCTTCGAACGACAACAAAGGAAATAGAAGGAAAACAAAAAACAAACAAAACTTCCCCTTGTGATGGCTTCGGCAAGCACGACCAAGCGGCTCCTCCGCGAGCTGGCCGAGTACCGGGCAAACCCCAACCAGGCGCTGCTGCACCTCGGTCCCGTCACCGACGACGACCTCCTGCGCTGGGAGGCAGTCCTCAAGGGCGTCCCCGGCACTCCCTACGAAAGTACGCGCCCTCCCCACTCCCGCATCCCTCACTCCCCTCTACCCGACTTCCAACACCACCCTTTACTTACTAACCGTTGACAAAAAACAGACGGCCTCTGGTCCCTCTCCATCGCCATCCCACCCACCTACCCTCTCTCCCCGCCCAAGATCTCCTTCACAACGCGCATCTGCCACCCCAACATCTCGTTCTCCACCGGCGAAATCTGCCTGTCCCTGCTCACCTCCGAGCACTGGGCGCCCACGTACACCCTCAGCTCCACCCTCGCCGCCATCCACCAGCTGCTCAGCGATCCGCGCCCGGAGAGCCCGCTGAACGTGGACGTTGCCGCCCTGCTGAGGGAGGGCGATCTGCTGGGCTGGGAGAGCCTGGTCAGGTATTGGACGGGCCAGGAAAGGTGGGAAGGGCATGAGAAGGGGAGGAGTGGGGTGAGGGTGAGGTGATGTCGTGGAGCACAGGTGTGGTTATATTGTCGATATTGGCGAGATCTGTCTTTTTACAGTTGAATAGACGTGTGTGAGAGTTGCGTGTGATGGGGGGTTATTGTGCGCTGGCGTTTTGGGAACATGTTGGGATTGCTCTTCGGATGTAACATCTGATATATACCACCTTTGTTGTACGGAGTAATAATGATATAAATTAGAATCTGTGAAACCTCTTTGCATCCACAGCATCATCTTACAGTTCCAAATGAACGTGTTACTGCGTACAGACTGTTTGATAATGATTGTTAGGGAATAAAAAAAAACTTTCCTCGCAGATTTCATTCTTAGTGTTGTTGTCTAGTCTTGTCTAGGTAGCTTAGTTAACGAGAGAGCATACCCCATTCCCTTTAAAAAAAGAAAAGATGTACATGGAAATAGAGCATAAAAGACAGTCTGCCACCCAACAGTCATTTTCAAGGGAGAAAAGGTCCATAATTATTGCTGCTTGGGCTGTTTGAACCCGAAATAGAGGAAAAAAAAAAGAAACATAACGCCATTGAAATGCACTAACCCCGCTCACATACATAAATCGACTAGTATCACGCTTGATAGCGAGTGAGAGAGGGAAAAGGGAAAGGGTGTAGTTTCAGTTCAATCTCATAATTAGAGGGCAAAGGCAACACCGATGGCTCCAAGCAGTGCGAGCATCTCTTTCTTCATCGTAGCGGGAGCAGAGGCACCGTTCTGCAGAGAAGGGTTGGACTGGCTTGGTTCTGGGGAGTTTCCGTTCGAATTGCTTCGAGTTGGCTGGACTAGGACAACCGAGGTGTAGGTGACAAGGCCACCGTCTTCATTAGTGGTGGTGCCGATGACGGTGGAGCTGATGGGAGGAGCAGAGGTGGTCTCTTCTGGTGGCTGAGTGGTGGTCTGATCCGGGGTCTCACTGGACTTGGTGGACTCAGTTTCCGAAGTGGGCGAAGCAGTCGTCCGGGTCGGGGTGGTTGGGGACGGGGAGGTCTCCGGGGGGGATGAAGTGTCGGGAATCTCGGTGGACGGAGTTTCCGAGCTGGGAGGAGGGGTGGATGCATCGGAGGTTGTCTCCGGGGAAGAGGATGGCGGCGGAGTAGTCGGAGTCACAGATGGGGTGGAATTGGTGACAGCTCCGCTGCCTCCCTGTCGCTTGATCAATTGATATCGAGGGTCGTTCTGAGGAGGAACACCGAGATCGTGTTTGATGTCGACGGACCGCTCGGAGACAGAATTCCAGAATTTGAAGGAGAGAGCGTGGAAGGCAGCTGCCACAGTGCGGTCGTCATAGCTGTCTCGTTCCTGGTGGAATGGACGTCGATGGATGGGCTCAGATTGGACGTGGATGGAGCAGGCAAGGATGAGCAGGACGCAGATCGCGCGACGACCGAGAGAATGGAGCATTGTGGGCGTCTTTGATGGCTAGGCGGCCCAAAATAGGGATAGAGACGCTCGATGGAGGGTGTGTGAGAGAGAGCGAGAGAGAGAGAGAGCGGCAGAGCGAGGGAACTGCAGCCAAAGGACAGGCGAGAAAAGTCCTCTCCAGAAGGCGAAAAGTGAAGTTGGAGAGAGGGGACGGAGAGGGCGAAGCAGAATGAAGTGAATTGAAGTGCGTGAAGGCAGCAAGCCGCACAGAATAAATACAGCGGATTACGTGAAACCAGCAAGAGCCGCAGCGGTACAATGCGTGACAACGTCCCCGTAAAGTACCTTCCACTGGCACTGTGTTCCGGGCGTGCAGGTACGCTCTCCCAGGCGATGGCGGGCCTTTTGAAACCCCCCTTGGTGGAGCCGCCGCAAAAGGGCCGGCGTCGTCAGCATCTTACACCGGCCCGTATTACGGTAAGATACGCCGTAAACACTCGTTTCGTAAGGCTGAAGGCGGGTCTCGGTTATTCTTAGCCAGCCAATCGCCAGACGCCGGATCGCGTGGTCGCCGCTGGTTGGCTGTGTCCGTTTCAAGCCCCACGGCCCTTTTTGGGAGCTGCACCGCCTCACGAGCAAACTCCAATTCCGACCAGGAACAAAGAGCTTCAGGCACCGTGCTTCAATTGCAGGACTCGCAAGCCATCCCGCTGCTAAAGGCTGGGTTTTATCAGCTTAGCTACGGGCTCTTTCTCCAGGAAGGGCGCAACGCCTAATTTTGGGAGTGAAATTCCCGCAAAAAAGACAAAAGGCATCGCTGCGAGACATCGAGTTGCAAGGATGCAGAATTCGTGGTTCTGATGAAAATGGAAGAAAATCTCCGCAATGATGCAATCCCCGCGAGAGAGATGCCGGTCGAAGCTTCAGCTGGAAGGGAAGAGAAAGCAGGGAAAGCAGGGAACCAAGAAAGAATCGGCAAAAAAAAAAGCAAACCAAATTTACGGTCAATTGTTGGCCAAAGTGGAGTCGTACTATCGCTAGTTCTTATCTCGTTATTTATCCTCTCGGGGAAAATCGTGTCCGACTCTCCCTTTTATGTGTGCTCCGGACCGGCTCTGCATTCAGGGGCCTTCAAAATCTACGACGGAGGAAGAGCCGGACTTTTTCACCACAGCAACCGTGTCCTTGCCAGACAATGGGAGCTGCATGCCGTGATCCAAGAAAAAAGAAAAAAAAAGAAAAGAAAAGAAAAGAAAAGAAAAAAAAAAAGAACGCAGCCAATTTGGCCTGAGATGTTGCCCTTCGCCGTAATACTGTAAGTTATGCACGAGTAACGTACCTGGGCACTTCCATTGTCCTACGAGGAACAGCGCCTGCAGCCTGCATGTCCGGCCTTCCCAACTACTGCTTCCAAGGACTTTCAAAGGGCACATACATGGATGTAAACGCTTATCACTGTGTATGCTGGACCGATGACATTGAACAACCAACAACATCCAACGTCACCTCACCTACCATGAAAAATCTTTGAGTCCTGTAAAGGTTTGCCATGCCCGAAAACGAGCTCAGCCATGACCTAAATGAGACATTGAAGGAAAGTAATACTCAGCATCAACAGCCAGCCAACTTCAGGGCCGGCCCGCGACATCAGCAACAGGGTGCTACATTCGAATCTCCGCCACTCACATCTTTCAATTTCATCTCGCTTCTCAGCCTCCTCTGTTTCTTGTTCCTTTCGTTCTGCTTTTCCCTTATTTTCTTTTCGCTTCAAATTCCCTGTAGGGGTCGTTGCTGACACTCCGTTCAAGGATGGAGCATGTTAGTGCAGCGTTAGACCAATGGTCGCACACATGGAGATGGGTCCGCGATGATCATCGGCAGCGTTCCTATAAACCATGTGGTTCAAAAGTATTTTTTTTTTTTTTTTTTTTTTTCAAGCTTCATCGAAAATGAAATCTCTTCCCAAGTAGAAGCGCATTGTCGACATGAAAATACAAGTTTGGGTATCTGCCTTGAGAATGATCACATCACATGTTCAACTTTGTCTCAAGAGCCAGAAGCTGATGCGGAAGACACGTCCACTCCGCCTGGTTGTGGGGATCAAAGGGGGCGCATATGAGAGGTGGGAAAGGCAAAAGTCTGGTTGAAACACCTTGATGACAACGGTTAGCCCATACTTCCCTCTTTTCGAGAGAAGTGAACGCTCAGACGCAATACGCGGTGGGAGACGCCGGCCACCTTTGCAGCGGAGGAGGCCTACCTGTTTGACAACGGTCCTCAAACGGTGCAACCGTTTTCTTCCCCAACACGTGCACCAACAAATCGATGGGACGGAAAGACACGTCGAGCGGCAGGATTATGTTGTCGAATATATGTGGTAATCACAATTTGCGGTCTAAAATGAACACCTTCCAACTTGGCAACATTTTTTTGCCACACACGGGATTGGGCCGGAAAATCAATGCCAACTCGACGTCCTGGCGTGGCCGACAACCTCAATAATTATCTTTGCTTTCCCTTGTCTTGGGGCTTTGGGGCGGGGCTTTCAAGCAAGTGAATCTCACTTCCTTGATTTCACGTTTGCCGCACGATGACCAGAAGCGCTTCCAGGGCTGTTTGTTATCAGCGGACCCTACTGTCCAGGTCCAGGCGGCTGGCCAACGAAGGCTAGAACGCACCCTATACGGCGAGTAAATTAAAGTGTACACCGACACTCCTTGGAAACCTCTCGCCGACACAGAAACAAATTTTGCTGACAGCTGTCACGAACATCATCGGAAATGCCGAGCCACCCGGGATTTGTCTCGTCCAGTCGAAAGTTTCACCCAAGAATCTCATGAATCTAAGAGGAGCGTCTGCGTCTTGTGCTGGACGCATGTGCCAACATACCGGCCCGCCGCAGCGACTTGGGATATCCCGCACACTGTAAACAGCCCTCCTTGGACCGGTGTGTAGTCCAACTGCATTAAGCCTTTTGCGTATGTCGGCGGCTTCGCTTGCAGATGAGAGGTATCATAAATACCACAGTCATACGGAGTACATTGCGGGGATTGTCGATTTCTTAATCGGCCGCATCAGGTGCTCACGCTATTAGCGGGTGTTTCCTATGAGCCGGGGCCACCGTGGTATCTGTGGGTGCCTCGTGCAAATTTGCCCGTCTCGCAATTCCAGTTATGTCTGCCTGAATGAAAAGTGTATGCGGACCCGGTTCGTCATGGTCCACGCGCGAATAGGTTTTTCTGCATCATGGGCGCAATTAAAGGAACATGGCGTAATGTAAGTCCAGCATTCCCTGCACGGATGGATACCGTGCGATTCTCCGTGTTATCGTTAATTCCACCTAGGAGAAATATGAGACTGTGTAGGATCGTCGTCTTATCATTTTATCGTTATTGGTTTGATTTGTCCTTTTAGACTGTTATAGGACTTCTGAAATAGAGTAAGGATCGCTTTGTATGGGAAAGGAGGTATGTTGGAGATGGTAGTCATCGTGGGCCGGCCTGATTTGTTCTGCGTCATGAATACTCCCTTTTACTGAACCTCGGCTCGCTACACAGTGGTTTTTTTTCTTTTTTTTCTTTTTATTGGGGGGGGGGGGGGGGGGGGGGGTATTCTCGTTCTCAAAATGGTTTTCTTAAAGGGGAGTGTCAAATCTGGGTCCACATAAGGCGGTAAGTTAATGCAGTCTCGTGGAAAAGTCAAGCTTCCTGCGCACGCCACGCCCCGAAATAATGCACGCCGGGGACACGGATTCGACGATCAAATGCCAATAGGCGGTCCATGCCTTTCAGCCGGGTCGTCGACCTCCCGTGTGCGCTGGTAGGAAAAAGGAAAACATTAAAGGAACATCACTGTTGGTGGCTTCATAACTTTTTCTCTTCTCTCGCATGGCCCTTCTCAAGGGCCAACCCACTGCAACAGAACACGAGCGAGTTCCTTTCGGTGAATAGGCTTCGCAACGAAGTCGTTCATCCCTTTCGCAAGGTACGTCTCGAAATCTCCCTTGAGAGCGTTACCGGTCACGGCAATAATAGGAACTTCATTTCTCATCTCGCGGATAGCAGCCGTGGCTTCAAGTCCATCCATCACGGGCATACTTACGTCCATAAGGACGGCATGATACGCCAACGGCTTCTTTTTTATAAGATGCACGGCTTCCGCTCCATCCCAAGCAGCATCAACTCGCTCAAAGTTAAGGGACTTCAATATTTTTAGCATGACAACTTGATTTACCATATTATCCTCCACAAGTAAAAGCTGCTTGCGAGGGGCAATTTTCCTGATATCTTCACAAGGATCTGACGACTCAAGCACCCTCGACCTAGGTGAGGCGGCATCGATGCGACCAAGTTTGATTTTTAACCAAAATATGCTGCCTTGGCAGTCCGGGTTTGTTCGATAGCCCACTGCACCGCCCATAAGCTCTGCTAGGCTTTTGCAGATGGAGAGACCAAGGCCGGTTCCTTGGTAACGTTTGGTCGCCGAGTTGGCGGATCGAGTGAACGGTGCGAAAAGAGTGTTCATTGCTTCATCAGCAACGCCAATACCCGAATCGATGACCTCAACGGTCACAGAGTAGTCATCACGCTCGTCCTCTTTAAAGCATGTCCGAACGTGGATGTATCCTTTGTCTGTAAATTTGACAGCATTGCCAACAAGATTCTGGAGGATCTGACGAAAGCGAAGAGGATCGCCTTTGACATGACTCGGGAAATCTGGGTCGATAATACTCTTCACCTCTATCTCTGGATTTCTGGGTGGGCAACTTTGGATCACAGAGTTCACGATGCTTTCGACGCTGAAGACATCGGTGGTGAGAGAAAATGAACCGGATGACAACTTTGAATAATCGAGGATGTCATTGATTAACCGGAGGAGTACCGAAGTCGACTCCTCAATTATTGTGGCGTATTCTCGTTGATTCTGCGATAAGGCGGTGCTGTTGAGCAGGGAAAGGGCCCCGAGGACCCCATTCATTGGAGTCCTAATCTCATGGCTCATGTTTGCGAGGAAATCACTTTTCAGCTTCGAGGTCTCCTCATATGCAGCGATGAGGCGGGTTTCTGCAGCTTTTCGTTCGGTCAAGTCACGAACGACTTTGACAAAGCCGACATGGTGGCCAAACTGATGAACTGGCGTTATGGTGACATTGGCCCAAAATCGGGAGCCATCCTTGCGATAGCGCCAACCCTCATCTTCAACCTTGCCATCGTGCAGCGACAGAACCAACTCCTTCCTTGGCTTGCCCTGCGCGCAGTCATCCTCTCCGTAGAACATGGAGAAATGTTTCCCGAGGACCTCTTCAGCGGTGTAACCTTTCAGGATCGCTGCGCCGGCGTTCCATGTAGTGATATATCCCTTTGTATCCAGCATGAATATAGCATAATCGCTGACTGTGTCAACAAGGACGCGATAAGTTTCTGAGGCATATGCGTTCTCATGTATCTTGGACTTTAAGTAGGGATCGGTAATGTTCAAGGCTTCTAGGACCACGTAAAGGAGCCTGTTTGTCTCGAAGATGGGGGTAGCTCTCATGCGGAAAACCGACTGGGATAAGTAGTCCTCGACATCGTGCATCACTTGGACGTTCTGAGTGGAGATGGCGGTATTGATAACGCTGTCCAAGATAGCGACATCTGGCACAGGAATCTGCGATGGCTCCATGTCGAAGATCCGTCGACCTAAACACTCATGTAGGTCCAGCTTGAAAAGCTCAAGGTGGCTGTTGGAAATATCGATAATGCGAAGGTCAGAATCAAGAATGATCGTCGGGATCGGTGTAAGAGCAAAGACTTTGCACAGATTCCGATAAGAATCTTTGGGGCGAGGTTTAGCTTCAGCTGTTTCCGGGGCAGCGGTAAACGTGCTGTGGGATTCGACTTTGTCCTCGGCGGGGTTTTCTTGGGAGAGGGGTTCACTTCCCGGAGTTAACGGCTTCTGGACTCCGGAAATCTGCAGGTCTGAAATCTGCTCATTAAGGGTCGCTTGGGACCTGCATCTTGTGTCATTACCAGTGAACTCTGCAGGCCACTGTTGCTGTTGTTGGCTCTGCTGCAGCTCTTCTGCAGCCGGGTCGACGGGAGGTTGGATCACAACAAAACCGCCAATTTGCTTGCCATCAGCCATGTCACCCTTGTTATTCAACTGGGCAGGTTGGCGCGCTTCAGGCATTTTAGCATTGTTCATCGGGTTTGTAGCTAGTGGAAGACGGTCGAGCCTAGGGCAGGGTTTTATATTCAACGGCTCTGGGAAGTGCGAAGGGCGAAAAGATTCAAACCCGCCAGCTTCTCGCCCCGCGACGTGTTTGGTTGGTGCTGACTAATGCTTCTAGACCGCGGCCAAAGGGATCAACGTACTTCCGGATTGTTTGTTTTTGAGGTAGTCGATGCGGTTGGCTAAGTGCGCACAGCGGAATAGAGGGGGGCGATATATGAGGAGGCAAACGCCAGCCGTCTTCGATTCTCCGAAAGACGTCTTTGCCGGATTCCCACGCTGTCTATGTGGAGGAAGACTCGGCGATCAAAGTTCCGCTGGAACACCTTGCATGGATAGGTCGGCACGACGCCAACGGCGTGTTTCGGGACATTGAGGCCAACCAGGTTATTTAGCAGCAACAGAATCAATATTTGCAGGCCACTAACTAGCATCCGGCCTGTTTGACAGCCTCTGCTCGCCCCAGTTGCCGCTCGCAACGCTTTCGTGGCGCTTGCAGGCATGCATGTTAACTAGCGTGCTTCTGGTGAAAGCTTCCTCGGGGCTGGGTTTGATGCCAAGATCCTAAGGATTTATATAACTCCGGGATACGCTTTAGGTAAGGTTGCCCCAGCCCAAAGAGGGCCATCGGCTAGTGACAGGCGCCAAGCCTATCGCTGGTATCATCACCACCCGGCGCTGTGCTGCGCGGTATTATGTCGGACCTGGCTGTTCAATCGAAGGGGCTCGTTGGAGTCTACGGGAAAAGTTTTCAGGCCAGGAACCTTTGACGAACAGGCATCGGTCGCCCTAGCATATAGCCTGCCATGCCCGCCATCTCCATCTCCACCTTTGCCCAGTCCCAGCAACACCTTCTCCTCCTCGAGCACGAAGCAGAGATAGCCTCTTCAGCGCTCGCCTCGTCTGCAGGCAGCACTAACTCGAGCTTATCTTTTGTGTCCCCCGCGACACGGCGCGCTCTGCAGGCTGCCGGGCATGCCTTGACGGCCTTGGTGCTTGTGAATTGTCGGACGGGGATGGGCGGGAGAGAGGTTGGTGAATTCGGCGTTGATGCGGCGCTGAAGAGTGCAAAGGGAAAGAAGACAGGTGAAGGTGCTCTCCCTACTGGTAATGGCGATGGCGCAAGAGAGAGTCTGCCGGCCCATGGAATCCGAGTCGGAGATGTAGTGAGGGTAGAGCCCATTGTCTCCGGCGCACGAGGTGGCTCTGGGAGCAAGGCTGGAAAAGGGAAGGTAGGGAAGGACGATGCAGATGTTACGAAGGGCCTAGAGGGTGTGGTCACCAAGATTGGAGAGAGGAGCGTCTGGGTGGCATTTGATGAGCGTGGTCGACCAGGAAAGCAAGATGATGACGGCGCTGCTGGCCTGTGGGGGCAGAAACTTTGGCTGTGAGATGCGTCTTTTTTGTGGTTGTTGAGCACATACGTGGAAACAATATGTGGAATGGGCACTGACGCTCCCTTCAGGGTAAAATTGGCAAATGACATTACATACCGCCGGTGCGTTTGCTCAATGACAAGACCAACTGGTCCGCCCTTTTAATGCTAACTTAGAAACAAAGGATGAAGCAGACAATGGTCAGGATGGAAAAGATGGCTGAATCAGAACACAGTTCTTTCATGCGAGTTCTCTTCGGCCACACCACGCCCTCGCCTCCCGACTGGTCATCCGCTTCCTCCCTTGACTTCATAGACCCAAGCCTGAACGATTCGCAAAAAGAGGCAATCCGCTTTGCCCTGGCGTCCCGCGAAATCGCGCTCATACACGGTCCTCCCGGAACTGGTAAGACGCACACCCTAATTGAATTAATCCTCCAACTCCTCCGCCGAAACTTGCGTATCCTCGTTTGCGGGCCGTCAAATATATCGGTGGACAACATCGTTGAGCGTTTGGCACCGCATAAAATTCCTCTGGTGCGGATCGGACATCCTGCGCGGTTGTTATCATCGGTTGTGGATCATTCGCTGGAAGCCCTCACGCAGACTTCCGACGCTGCGGCTATTGTGAAGGATGTACGACGGGAGATCGACGAGAAGCAAGCCAGTATTCGGAAGACAAGGAGCGGGAGGGAGAGGAGGGAGATTTATAAGGATCTAAAGGAACTGCGAAAAGAATTTCGAGAACGAGAGGCCAGATGTGTTGACCATCTTGTTACGGAGAGCAAGGTGGTATTAGCCACATTGCACGGAGCCGGTGGGCATCAGCTGAAAAACCAGAAGTTCGACGTTGTGCTCATTGATGAGGCTAGTCAGGCCCTGGAGGCGCAGTGTTGGGTGCCTCTGCTGTCAGCTTCAAAGGCGATACTTGCTGGTGATCACCTGCAGCTCCCTCCGACAATTAAATCAACAACGACAAATACGCCGTCGGGTTCTTCTAGGAAACTTAAATCATCCAACGCAATCCAAAGCGGGGCAGACGATCTAACAATCTCAAGCCTCTCAATAACCTCGCTTGAAACCACTCTCTTCGATCGCCTCCTTTCCCTCCACGGTCCTACTATCAAGCGCATGCTCACCACTCAATATCGCATGCACGAGAAGATCATGTCATTCCCCTCATGCGAGCTCTACGAGTCTAAACTCATCGCCGCAGACCATGTCAAAGCTCGACTTCTCAAAGACCTACCGTGCGACATCCAAGATACGGACGATACCTGCGAACCACTTGTCTTCTATGACACGCAGGGCGGGGAATTTCCCGAGCGCATTGAAGACGGCGAGCTTCTGCTAGCAGACAGCAAGAGCAATGATCTTGAAGCTGCAGTTGTGGCGAGGCACGTTCAAAACCTAATCGCCGCTGGCTTGCGAGAGGAGGATATCGCAGTGATCACACCGTATAATGCGCAAGTAGCGCTCTTGGCACAACTTTTAAGAGAGAGGCATCCTGGATTGGAGATTGGGAGTGTCGATGGATTTCAAGGTCGGGAGAAAGAAGCGGTGGTTGTGAGCCTTGTGAGAAGCAACGCAGAGCGGGAGGTCGGGTTCTTGGGCGAGAAGAGAAGGCTGAACGGTACGACGCTGGTCCCTGATTTTGGGCTGAAAAATTCTTGCCGTGTGCTGACAGGCATGACCACGATAGTTGCTATGACTCGTCCACGAAAACATTTGTGCGTGTGTGGGGATTCTGAGACTATCAGCCGGTAAGTGGACCTCTTCCCTGTCTCTGCTCCACACATGCAAAACACGCGGGAAGCGAGCTGTGGGATTCGCGAGCCCGACGATCAGCCCGTGTGGTGCACCCTATTTGCTGTGTGCTCGCATAATTTCTTGACACTGAAACTTGCGACAGCGGGAGTCCATTCCTCAAACGGTGGATGGATTATTTAGAAGAAAATTCCGATCTGCGGTATCCCGATGCTGCCGAATACATGCAAACGGCTTGAGCTACATGTCAGAAAATGGCGGTCTAGGATTGGCATGATGGCCGGTTGCTCCAACCAGGCTGCAGTCGTCTTCAGAAAGAAAAGAAGAAAATCCGTACGCAGTCGTAATCAAGCACCACCGTTCCTCCTTTTGGCCTTTTTTCCTTAAGAAAGAAATAACTGCTCGGGTTAGCCGCTATTTATGCCCGTTTCAGAGCTGTTTAATCGGGGCGGGATGGCCAGAGGCTCATTACGTTTGGGGATAAGCCGATTGTGTAGAAAGTTTGATAGTCTTAAAGTTCTGGGACCAGTTCACGAACAGAGACTGGTAACCGTGTTCTCGCTGCCAGAGGACAAGTCGATCGACTACGAGCGTGGACAGCTAGGGGCATATGGGTTAATTAGACGTTGCATGTAACGGTGCAAGCGAGCATCATGTCGCGCAGGTAAATTATCGACAAGTCAAGCCTGTGCGCTCTTGTGTAGAAACAAGTACATACAGATCGCTTTTCACGGATCACTGGGCGCAGGCCAGTTTGTTGCTGAGACAGTTTCAGCTCGACGGCTTCTCTTCCTTGCCGTCGGATGTTGTGCTCCATCAGGCGAACATTCCAGCAGTTCTGTCTGCACGCGAGCACGCCGAAGCCAACACGCGACCATCGTGACACGGCAGCAAGCCAAGTCTTGGCGCAGTCAGCGATCTCAATCCATCGACGAATTTCCTCGTCGTTGTTGATAAGCCTGTCGTTTTGGTGGTTAGTGGTTCGGAGCCTTGCGACTGACCGTCCATGGAGAAAGAAAGTGGGCTCTCCAGCGCGATACGAGCTTCCAGAAGACCTCCACATGGTTTGCCTCGAGCTCAACGCGGCCGACAACAAACGCTTTTCCCACGTCGCCAACGGGTTGATGCTTGCTCTAGCAATTCTACCTTGCAGGGTCTTTATGCTCTCGTTGCTCGTTTATCTTCTTGAAAAGCGATACCGGATGTCTGCATTGAAAAAACAAAGGGGGGATCAAACATCTTTCTTCCTCGCCCAGATTCTGGAACAACAGCCTGGCGGGTTCAGGATCCCAGCCCGGCAGGGATGCCAGGGTGACATGGCTAAGTTTGGGTGCCTCAAGCGGCAGACCAAGTGGAGATTCTACCCCTGGCGCGAAGGAGAAGCCAGCGAGCAGAGAAAGAAAATCCCCGCATTCTATTTGATCGACTACGCCCGCTTTGAGCAAAGCGTCAGTGGTCGGGCCCCTTGCTGGTCCTTTCTGACGCTGCGGTTTCGTTGTCGCCCTGGTGTGTCTCCCAAGGGGAACCATACCAGACATTCGTTCTTCTTCTTCCTTTTCTCCCTCGTCCTGACTCCCTTCTTTCGTCCTTATCTTCTTTTCCTCTTTTTCTTCGCTTTTCGTTCCTTCTTACGGGCCTATGCCGATGCTGTGAGCTTGTCGGCGTGGATCTGACTGCCTGAAGGATTCAACGAACCCACGATCCAACGGCAGTCTGACCGCCCGTTCAGTCCTTGGTTGCGCTGCTTTTCTGAAATCATGACTCTCTCCTTATGAAGACCGAGGATATGGCTGGCTTCTGCTGTCCTCACTTGATGCCTGATCGACGATTTTTTTCATGAGACGACAGCACACTGCCAATCCTTTCGAAGTATATTCTCCGTCCCTGACGGCCTTCACTCTCCTTTTGCACCGGGCTTCTCCGAGCATGTTAGTTATTACCAGAAGATTTGTCACCTTCGTTATCATCTTGCAAGGCTCCACCTTCGGTTGGTTGGCTCAGCATTTTCCACGCTCGTTTGCTCCCCTGCGACATCGTCGCGTTCGCCAATCATTTCCTGCATGTTTAGCGCGCTCACGGCCCGTCCAGCCCAGTCGAGAACTAAACCTCGTTCACATCATCAGTCCAGATCATGATATGCATGCGTTTGGATGCCTGTACTAGGATTGTGAGACACCGTCGTTCCTTGTGAGGGAACGGGGAAAAATAACAAATCATACCATCCGATTGCCCATCTCTCCTTTCTAGAAAGTCCCGCAGTTACCCTTAACCTTATCCCGTTGTGAGTCCATCCAACCAGGACCAAAATCCCCCTTGCGCTCCATATCCGTGCTCCGAGGTGGGCTTGCACGAACAGCCCCAACAAAATGAGCCCTCGTCGAGCAGATCTTAGGATCTCTGCCCCGTTAAGTAACCCGGCGTTAAGAACCGAGAGCAGCCAAGGTCCTAATACCTATCCTCCGCTCACCCCAATTATTGCCTCTGACCCATCCCAGCGCCAGACACATGCATCCTATCCACCCATGCACTCTTCCTTGCCCTTTGACGGCACTGACCGGACATCATATCATAATCGCTTCGCCTCCCATGACCCTCAGAGTTCTGTTTCGATATCAGCGGGCCAGAGCCCTACAATGCATCGTCGCAGGGCCAGCACATTGAGGACAATCATGCGCAAACTATTTGGTCGCAAACGAAAGAGTGATCCTGCCGCTCAGCAGCAGGGTTTTCACGTGAAAGACCATCCTACGACTCCCTCGCAAGGCTCCGTTGGGTTACTGAGCTCTCATAGCCCGTTTGTCACGGTTTCGAGAACTGGTCACTATTCCATCAAGTCACCGTCGTCCCCGGAGCACCTCTCCCGTGTTGCTACTCCAACCGAAGCCATATTTGCTGCACTCCCGTCTCCGCCAGAAGAAACAGAGCAGGCAGAGGACGCATCCCAATTAGTATCACAGCGACGACGCCCACGTCGAAGAGCAACGCTGCCGAGCCTTGTTCTGTCGACGGATGAGGCACGGGAGTTGGCATCAAAGATCGCGCACGAAGGTTCTAAAGACGGGAGTGCACCGCCGTCACCAACAGACGGGAAGAGCACGGTGATTTCTTCACGGAAGACCGATACCCAGCTTAAACGCCGTTCACGGAGTGCATACGGTTTGAGGGAATCAGCTAGAGCACATCGCATGTCGCCGATACAGTGGCGGCGACGGAGTGATGAGATGAAACTTTGGAGGGCCAGTTTTGACAAGAGAATCGAGCCCGACCCCATCCAAGATAGGCCCGAGACTCGAAGTACAGCCGCAGAGGAAAAAGATCCCACTGAAATTCGAGTGGAGAGTCTTGCTCCAAATGGCGAGCTGGGGCAATTCGATTTCGGCAATTTGATGTCTAATATACAAGAGGACAACAGCGCCAGCCTCACGCAACGTGTAGCAACGCTCGAGGTGAAAATGATGGACTTGGAGTTCGCAATCGGGAAGATGCAGGGATCTGATATATCGCCCATCCAGCCACATCCATCCACGCTTTCTTCGAAGGAGTGCAAAACTGAGCCTCATAATCCAGCTTTACAACCGCCACTTCCTCCGCTATCGAGTTTCTTGCGCGTTTCGCCCGGTCATAATCCCGCACCGCCTCGAACTTCACCTACGAATACCGACAGACCCACCAGCACCGCTACCTTACGTCCACACACCGCAACAGCGCACTCATCACCACCGATCACTCCGTCCCCATTCTCTCCGGGGATTAGCGTCGAACAGTACAGCGCTCTCACAACCATTGTCCGCAGGGAACAAGCAGCCCGGAAGCATCTTGAGAAGCAGGTTCTCCAGCTGCAGCGAGAACTGCAAATCCTTCGGGGCGGACTGACTTCTGGACAGGCTAGTTTTCTCCGCCCATCAAGCCCCGATTCTCCATCTACGACGTCATCCCACCCAGATATGGGGCATGATCGCATGGACTCGGGGATGTGGCGGCAGAACAGTGAAAGCAGTGGAGCGAAAAGCGGGAATGTGTCACTCGAGAGTTATCCGATGAAGTCGGAGAGTTCGTTTCATCGGCTGAATCCGTTTGACAAAATTATGGGGAGGAGTTAATAGTTTGCATACGATGGTTTGACGAAAGATTTCTTCCGATTCCTCCGCTTCTCGATTGCAGGTCAAAACCGGATTTTTTTTTTTTTTTTTTTTTTTTTTTTTTTTTTTTTTCCGGCATACATTCCATGTTTATCAGAATTTCCATTTGGCATTGACCATATTGGTCTCCTTTTCCCAGCTACATGCTCCCATGTTATGATACCCTGGCCATGGTCACTGGTGTGATGGTAAAATTCTTTTCTCTTCCGTCATCTCTCGCATTTATCCTCAGGGACAATCAACTTTCCGTCGATATTCCTCCCCCCATTGCATGAAGGATAACCGCATCATTATACTCTTTCGGAGGTCATCATTTTTTTTTTTTTTTTTTTTTTTTTTTTTTTTTTTTTTCACAGTTCTCTGGTACACCACATGATTTTAATCCATTGCATTCCGATCTATTCAGCCAATCTCAGTTGCAGTGTATAGCCATTTTTATTGGTGCAATCTCATTCTCCTCCTTTCCAGAACTGCATGTTCTGTTGTATATAGATGATGCGACTTAACAGCCAATCCAAACGGTTGGGCGGCATCTGAGCCCGAGCAAACCAAACCCCCCTCTACCCATCCTTTATCTCCCGGTGTAGCATGTAAATCTGAGTTGGCGGGCCTACATTGGGCGTCACTTTTCTGCCTAAATAAGGCTCATACCATCGCATTTATCATTGGCAGTGCGGATCATGGACAGCTCAGAATGAACTTGCCCCTCCCACCCGATAACTGCTACAAGAAGGCCGTTCGATCCAACTGTCCATCCCTTACTTTTCCCTTTCTTCAACAACCTAAGAATTGTCCCCTAAAGATTTAGTTTTTGGCGGATGAATCCGAAAAAGCAAAAGCCTCTGTACAGGAGAAAGAAGTTCTCTCCCGAGATGGAGACCGCTGACTGCTCGACGATCATTCATCTGAATGGCGTGAACGAAATATCCTCCGACTACGCTGATATCAAAGAGTACGATCAGCCAGAGGTTTCGTAAGGCTTGCTGTCCTCTTCACCTAGATCAAGATGATTAATCTAATCTAGCCCCTATACAACATCAACCGTCACTCTGCTTATTGGTATCGAAACAACGGAGTACACGATTCCAGAATACTTTATCAGAGAAACACCCATATGGGACGAAGATCCGGGGCCTTTTCGTCACCACTCCGGCCAGAAGTCTATCAGGCTGCCCCTCGTGGATGAGGACGTGGGCCACACGCTTGTGCATTACCTATACACCGGCGAGTACCAGACACTCAAGAAGGGAATCGAGTGGGACCCGATAACTGAATACAAACGGAGCGTCCTCGCTTACTATGCTGCACGGAGATATGGATTAGAGGGTCTGGAGGCACTCGCGAAAAAATGTATGGAGAAGCTCGGGTCTTCCACGTCGGTGTCGATATTTACGGTTTTGAAGACTGCACGGAGCATCTATTCGAAGCTTCCGGGGGACAAGCAATGGTTTTCCGAATATATCAAGAGTAAAATGGAGATGGCCTTTCAAGCGGACGAGAACCTGTTTCGCCAAGACCAATTTTTGGAAAAGATCGGGACTAGCTCTTCATTTGATAAGTTTCTGATGCAAAGTGTGGTGGATATATATTTTAAAAGGGTCTTCGCGTTGGAGACATATATTGAGAATGCCCTGGTGATCCATAGTGAGAGAAATGATAGCGAATGCTGCCATGGAGAAGGGCTTGCTGCCGAAGACCCAGCTATTATTGAAGAAGAAATTAACAAAGAAGGCTCCATCGACGAAGGGCCTGATAACAAACATTTCGACCAGCCGGAGGACGAACCACCACCAATCGATGGTGACGAAGGTGAAGCATCATATCAGGATGACGGCGCGAAAGAACCCGATGAGCACATTGGAATCGCCGAAACGAATCAATATTATGAGCCCGTCAACTCCTGGTTCCCCCCTCCAAGTATAAAGAAGAAGAGCAAAAGAGGCAATCTTCTCAATGCCTCAGTTGAAGCACTCATATCCACGCCTCCGCCAGTGGAACCTGAGTTCTCCAAAGACGAGCCGATCCCTGAGCACTTTGGCAGTACAGGCGGCTGGGACAACTGGAGCACCTGGTCACCACAAAAAACTACCAAAAAGAAAAAGAAAAAAAGCGGATTTGCTGAACTTCCACCTACGGCAAATCTGCCCGAACCTGAACCGTGCACGAAATCCATTGATGTGGTAGCCTGATCACCACCTCGAGACCAAGTTTCAAATTGGCTGATCGATTTCCAAAAGACTGCTTATACTGGCTAGAAGGCAGGCAGGAGGAAAGAAGAATCAACGGTATAATTATTTGTAATGAGCTATAAGTACAAATCCTTGCGGTGGGATATTGGTTCAGAACGTTCTTAACGAGATCCACTAGGTCACCAGTATCCGGTGCTCGTAGCTTATGACTTTTGACCTTTTTGTTTTTGCTTGTGTTTCGGGCTTTGCTGTGATATCTGTTTGCTTCGCGCGTCTTGGGATGGCTCTGGGTTATTCTCCGACGACTGAATCTGCTTCCGATTTTCATTTTCTGTTGAGATATCTTCATCATCTTCTTCTTCGTCAGCGAACTGGATCCGCTTGCCGTAAAATAGTGGCGTTCTCCCCATTGAGGAGCCAAGCGCATAACCTAAATATGCACCCGTGGCGATTGTAATCGGGTATGCTTGCCATGGACGATCCCTGAGTCCATAATTAGCTTTACCTTCTGTCTTGAATTTTTTTTCTCTTTTTTTCCTTTTTCCTTTTCTTTCTTTCTTTTTTTTTTTTTTTTTTTTTTTTTTTTCGGACTCGAAATCCATATAATACTCACCAATCCAACGGAATGGGCACCGCGCCCAGCCATGCGCCCAAGCCCGTTCCAACAGCTGCTCCCCAAACGCTATCTACCGGCCTCGACGCGGCCCAGATTTCCCGCCATACGGCACTGTCAGTCCCGTGGACATAAACGAGGCTGGTCCCCGAGAGTACAGACATGTGCACAGCGCAAAGGAGGGTGTGCGTGATGTGTGTGGTAACGGGAGCGCCAAATAGTACGAGAAGGATGGTAAGAAAAGGTGTACCGAGGAGGAGAGTTAAAAGTAGAGATAGGATTGCTGGCTGTAAATTCACAGTTAGACCAATGTATCGAGTAGAACATGCGATCGAAAGAGAAAGGCAAGAGAGAGAGAGAGAGAGAGAGAGATTACATACCACTATTCTTTCGCCCAGTCTGCTGTCACCATCTCCGCTGCTGCCCGCTGCTCCAGCCCTCCGCTTGTGTCCCGATTTCCCCTTTTCTTTCCCAAGGCCATCCTTTCCGGCGGCAGGTAGACAGATAATCACGTAGGCAGCTTGCACCGCGCATACTGCAGGCAGTAGACCGGCCAATGCAGATACGGGATCATCCACAAGTGCCTGAAACCGGATTGCGAACCCGGAGAGCACGAGCAAGGGGTGAATATGCGCAAATGTTTGCGCGGCCGGAGACGAGAGCATGGACACGGCCTGGGAAGAAGAGGACTGTTGTTTGCGGCGGGAGGGAATGGACGGCGACTGATAAAGAGCTGGGACATCCATGATGTGAGGGTCTCAAAGAATTACGTACGACGTCTGGTCGCCGTCGACAAAGTTGGGAGTGAAGTTGGATTTGCGCACCCTGGTGGTTATTCTGCTCACCCTCACCGCCAAAATCCGATCTCCTCCGTACGCCATATCGATACGGATGTTTTTGACATGTTGATAAAGTATCAATTGTCTCAAGATGTATTGTGTATGAATTTATTTACCTAGAACATTTTCTTTTCTTGTAGTCTCCCTTTTTATTTATTTCTTTCTTCTTTTGTCTTTTTCCTTTTTTTTTTTTTTTGGGAACAGAAGTCCATGCCCACCATTAAAATTTAGTAGTCCGTCTTGCGCAGATCGTGTAAGTCATTAAAAATTGAAGATCAAGTGTCCAGCATAAAGTCGTGTTCGCATTGTCTATCCATAAAACCTGCCCTTCTTTGCTGGCATAGCAGCCTTCGCCTCAGCAAACGCGAGATGTCCGGCTCTATTATCCGTGCCCTGGACATCACCTAGCCTTACCAAGCGATCCTTTAAAATCCTCGATCTCTCCAACCCATCCAGTCTTGAACCTCCATTCGGTAATGGAAAATAAATTGCGTCTCTCGTCAAGCTCGAGACATATCCTAGGACATCCGGGATCGACGTTCTGTGAGCTACAATGGCTGACAGCACCGCGGCAACAAACATAACCAAAGACGAGACGATGAATACGGTCATCCAGCCCCCGGAGACAACGTAGATCCCACCTGCGGGAGTGTTTACGGTGGCGGGAACAGAACGCGTCCACGAGTCGTGGGCATAAGATTGCTCTTGATATACGGGGGTTTGGGAGAGAACGAGAGAAATATTGCCGACTATACCCTCTGGTAGAAGGCTAGGAAGGAAGTATGTGTTTATGATTTGAGTGAGTCGCTGGGAGAAGGCGTTTATTGGTAAGTTATGAAGAGCCATTTCTCTAGCTTCGGCGAGGAGTGGGTTCTCGGTATTGTTCAAGTAGCGTTCGGTGATCGTTGCTATGCCTGCGTGGCCCTGGCCGGCTGACTGGGCGAGACGCGAAGAGAAGTTTATAAACGTTCCCGCAAACAAGAAGGGAGTAATATCTGAAGGCTCATGCGGGCGGAGGCTGTCTCGCGTGGCAGTTACGGCGCACTGGGGCTTGCGGAGGAGCGACGGGTCGCCGACACATGTAACGGCCGATTCGACAAAGACTCGCTTTATTCCGCAATAGGCAACCGTTTTGTTAGAGTGTCTGGCCTGGAAAAGCAACGTTGGCGGCGATGAGAGGATTGTTTCCTCGTTCCCTTTAACCTTACGAAATAATGTGGAATTTCCGCTTGGGTAGCTCCAATCCTTAACGTAATGGCTCATTCCTAGAGAAAACGAGATCTGGCAGTTGTGTTTTGAGCAATCCTCAGTGCCATTTGACCCGATGTACGCGCCGCCCGGGAAGCGAACGACACGAGGTGGTGGAGTGTCCTTGTGGGTCTTAAATGTGATGTTTCGTTCGAGGGACACGGGCTCGGCCTGCGTTAGATTATGGCAGTCGATGTCAAAGTAAGATGTCTCCATGTTGAAGGTGCTGTTTCCTATCTGCGAGAGCCCTATGGTGGGAACACCGATCAGGGAGGAATATAGCACTTCGTGCTGGTTAATGTCGTACCATCCACTAGAATTAGCTTTGATAGAGGAGCCAAAGCTTGACATTAATGGTACTTTCACATTTCCCCAGAGATCCGCGGGAGATACTTTGGAATCGTGTGGAGCCATCAAAGCTGTCAGATATAACCCGTTTAATGTTGGTATCCCTGCTAGTATATCGCCACCAATTTCAAAGAATGAAAGTTTTTCGGTATTGAGAACTGTTATATTAGCCTTGGATATCTCCGGCCGGGCAGCTGTACTAACGATACGTAGTGATGATTGACCGCCTAGAGGCGATAACGCCCATAGGACGAGGAGGCCAATTGTGAGCTTATTAAAGGAGCCAAGTAGAAACTGCGTCGACACGGTGCTAAAGACCGTTGAACTCCAAAACAGTTGCTCTACTTGGCCGAGCTCAACTCCACGTTCAAGTCGCCATGTGGCAGCAGTCCGGGTCATACGGCCCATCACCGCAGAGAAAACGATCGGGAACGAAGTGACAGCCTATCAATGTGAGAGAAGGTCATTGAACTTAGCAAACATTCTCCCTTTCTCTTCGAACAAAAAGGAAGCACATACCACTTTCATGGATTCCTGCAATGTGGCCCATTCCTTCTCGACCACGGGTTTCCCATGCTTCTGCGCTGCATATATCCCAAGTAACAGGAATGGAAACGTTGCTGCCACCGCAAGAATATCGCAGACCAGACGCACAAAATACGCAGCCCCGCTCTTTTTCAACGGTCCAGGCTCTGTCGGCCATCCTTTTACGTCCGCCGGTTTCCTTGGGGTTTCGTTTTCAAAATACAGGGGATCATAGGCCGTTGAGGTAGAGGAAATCCAGCTCTTGACATATTCTGTCGAAGCAGCGAGCGAAAGTCTCAGAGAATCAGCCGTGGGTACACGTTTTGTGAGGGCTTTCATCTTGGTGATAATTCTTCGATTCGTGCGCTCGGTCTCGCTGCGGTCGAGTAGTTTCGCGAGTTCCGATGCGACAAAGACAAGGTCATGCAGGCTGAGATGATACAAGAAGAGTTTGATCAGAGATCAAGCTAGCTCTAGGGTAAGTAAAAGAAGATCAAAAGGGATCTCGATGTTGAATTCATTCAACATCCCACAAAGCGGAAGGGATATTTGTGCTCTCTTCGAGTTTGAGCTGATTCAGCTTCACGACAAGTCACTTGTGCGCAAGAAGATGCAGATCAAAGGGATCACCGTGTACATCCACAGTGAAATTTAGACCGTCCAATGAAGCGACTTTCTCACAGGAATGTTCCCTGACAACCTAGCCCGGCACTCAACAAGGAGGGGGGGTTGACGTGCGTCCTGGCAGCGAGGGCATTCACTGCGTCCGGCCAATTACTGGCCCAGCTAGGCTTACACACGGTGGAGACCAGGTTTCGCAGAGTCCTCTCCAGACTTTTGTTGGTTGCTATGCTTCAAGGCTGTGCACCGCTTGTTGAATACATATGAACCCTCCCACAGGAAGCACTATGCTTTAACATGGCAGCAGGAAGCACCTTGTTAGACTATCTAACAGCAACTTCACTCACACAACCTATCTACATATGTAGGTTGCTTGTGGACAGAGAGAGAAATCCTTCACCGAGCAGGTGTAAGGCTCTGCACCACGAAGTTCTCTCTACTCGTGTGTATGGCCCCAGAAGCCTGAACCTTCCAGCGGTGACACCGAGGTTCGAGACCCACCTCCCAGGGTTTAGTTTTAACTAACGACGGGTTAACTCTGAAGGTTAGTGCATCCCAAGGATTCGGGATCTTCATTCCAAAATCTCCCTTCCCGACGTGGTCCGCTTGCACCCAGCCAACGACGGAATACAGTGCGACGAAAGGGTTATGTGCTGTGGTTACTCCTGAGGCTGAGCCCTGCATGAGGACCAGGGGCTGGATAGAGATGGACCCTTCCCGCCGTGTAAATCAAGGATACCAGCACAAACGAGAGAGTAAAACCCGTGGAGCTTAGACATAAGAAAGACGAAGTAACTAATCGCGCTGGTGACGATTTCGGAGTGACTACCGAGTAACACGGGAGGATATCTTGCATGAAGAGTATTTGCTTCGATCTCTTACTTCCTAAAAATATATAATATCAAGTTTGCCATTTCCCTAGACTTTTATGCGACTGAGTATGCAGTCACGCATTCTATGCTATGAACTCCGTATGGAGCAATTTCTCGAAGTCACAACTGCTATCAGGACACCAAGTTGCAGGCCTCCTTGTAACTGTAACCACACCTCGCTGTCGAAGCATCCCGACCAACCCCCGCAAACGTACCACCACCCCAGTGGAAAAGTGGGACACCAGCTAAATGCTTACACTGTGCCCTGTGCCCTGTACTCTGTAAGTAACAAGGTGGCGCCGTGGTGCATGCCTGAGCAAAAGAAATGAGAGCCACCATTTCTTTCTATGAAGGTCTATGTATGCTATTTGTAGTGCGCCAATGACCTTTCCAGGATTCAGACACACTATGTGCTGGTCTACGCATGCGGGCTAGCTTAGTACGACAAGGCTGATATTTAACTACATAGTTCGATTGTGCCTTTGATGATGAGTTGCATGGAAGGCAAACGGGAGACTAGCAGGGTGGCCGAGAGATATTTATACCTCCAAATCCACTGTTACCACAATGAACACATTGTGATACTGTCTACTCCGTACAGAGTACAGAGCATAGATTTTATTTTATTTTTATTTTTTTTTTCCGCACAAAAAAAAACAGGAGCTGGTTTTAAGTCTCAGTTTAATCACCTTGTCATGACTGACATCACACATGGAGTGTTTTGTTTGCCGAAACCACGACGGCTTATTATGGATTCATCATTTGCTGCGCATCAGAGCTACCTTAGTTGATATGATGATATCTGACAAGAGCAGCTAGTGTATTATATGTACACAGTAATATCTGTGAGGGACCGGCATTAAAATCCCGGGCACAAAGAAAATGACAAGGGGGCGTTACATACATACATACATATATGTATTGAACACTCCGGGGTTCACGAATCCCCAAAAAATTTTACGGGCAATTTTGGCACCGTTGTTTTTGTTTTTTTTGTTCAAGTCCTTGTGTCCACCACGCATCGAATGCAGTCTCCAGCCTTCATTTGCTCAAAAGCGGCGTTGATGTTGGCCAACGGCTCGCGGTGGGTGATAAATTCGTCAACTTTGAGATCACCCTTGAGGTAATCGTCGACGAGGTCGGGGAGCTGCGAGCGGCCCTTGATACCACCAAAAGCGCAACCTTTCCATACACGGCCCGTGACGAGTTGGAATGCTGTAATATCCAGATATTAGTTAGCCTTTTTTTTTTTTGGGTTATGATCCTTATAGAGCGCGCGCGCTCTTGCCAGGTGACAACTTACGTCTGGTGGAGATCTCTTGTCCGGCAGCCGCAACGCCGATGACGATACTCTGACCCCATCCCTTGTGGCATGCCTCGAGAGCGGCGCGCATGACGCCAACGTTGCCAGTGCAGTCGAACGTGTAGTCACATCCGCCATCCGTCATCTCGATGAGGTGCTCCTGGATGCTCTTATTGCCCAGCTTGGTAGGATTGACGAAGTCGGTGGCACCGAACTTTCGAGACCACGATTCTTTGCTGTCGTTGACATCCACAACGATGATCTTGCCGGCTTTGTTCTTCACGGCGCCCTGGATCACGGAGAGACCGACGCATCCGGCGCCGAACACGGCAACGGTAGAGCCCTCTTCGACCTTGGCCGTCACAACCGCGGCGCCATAGCCTGTGGTGATACCACAGCCCAAAAGGCACGTGCGATCCATGGGAGCCTTGTCGGTGACGGCCACGACGGAGATATCGGCGACAACGGTGTATTGAGAAAACGTGGATGTGCCCATGAAGTGTAATAGGTCCTTTCCGCGGCATTTGAACCGGCTAGTTCCATCGGGCATGACGCCTTTGCCTTGAGTGGCTCTGATCTTACCGCAAAGGTTGGTCTTTCCAGATTTGCAGAACTTGCATTCCCGGCACTCTGGGGTGCTGCAGGATGTTAGAAATATCTACACACACAGAGAGACACACAGAGAGAGAGAGACACAGAGAGAGAGAGAGAGAAAGATGAGAGAGAGAGAGAGAGAGAGAGAGAGAGAAAGAGAGAGAGATTCAGGGATTGGGTCAGTAAGTAGACGCAGGAAATGCATACTAGAGAGCGACGACGTGGTCGCCTGGCTTCACGGAAGTGACGCCTTCGCCAACTGATTCCACGATACCTGCACCTTCATGTCCGAGAACAACTGGGAATGCGCCTTCGGGATCCTTGCCGGAAAGAGTGTACGCATCTGCACGCAAGCTCAGCGCCCTGGATCACTTACAGTTGGGAGAAAATAATGGGACCGGAGAACTCCGGGACCGGCCGTACCTGTATGACAAACACCGGTGTAGTAGATTTGAATCCGAACTTCGTGGGCTTTGGGCGGGGCCACCTCGATGTCTTCAATCGACAATGGTTTGGCGGCCTCCCAAGCCACCGCCGCCTGGGTCCGGTCAGCCTTTTTTCGTTCCTTACGTGTATTGTGTGTAATTCGCGCTGAGGTTTGAGGCTTTGACAATAGCCCCCTCTGGACGATCTAGGGTGCCGTTGGAAAAGGGTTCCTGAGGTCTTACTTTGCAAGTGATAGTCTATGAAGTCATCTTGAAATCAGCCAATTGCCCACTCTTAAGGTAAGACAATGATAGATGCAAAGAGTGACTCACTTTTCCTACGGTATCGGCCATTGTGAATTGACTGCTTCAAATCGATCCTTGTGTGTTATGAATTAGTTGACAAAAATGAAGACGAGTTTGACGGTAAGAAGATGACCAGGGAAAAAAGAAGGGGGGTTGTGGATGAGACGGACAAGGGTTGGATCGGGGGAGCTTTTTTATAGGTCTCCTCCGTTGGGGCAGGGAAGGATGAGGAGAAGCCAGCGAAGAGGAGAAGCTGCGGTGCGACTTGGGCGGGCAGACGGGTGGGATCGTACAGGGCAGGATATTTATTCTGTTTCGAGACAATTCGTGAGGAGGGGCAGCGCGGCGGAGGAGGTGGGGTTCTCTCGGAGCTTCACGGTGAGGGGGAAACATCCAACTGGTCCGTGTTTCGCTCTCTTTCGCGTTTTTCTACGGTCCGTCGCCTGTTATCGCCGACCCGGAAGCTGCTTGGGGATTCATAGCTCTATCAACGGATCATCACCCCTGCGTCAATACCGTGATTCGAGCTCTGTATGGAGTATTGACTCTTTCTTTTTCTTTTTTCTTTTTTTTTTTTTCATGTGCGACTACGATCAGCGACAAGATTCCAAGACACGCTACGATGAGGGTTGGGGGAAAAAAAGCAAGCAAGCAAGCAATAACTAGAGCAAGCTCCAGGTGATATTCGAATCTCGACCGCCACAAAAAAGGTGCTTTCCCCGCATATCCACAACCCAAACGCTCCGTCACACGCAACGTTGCGGAGGAGAGTTCCCCAACACCACAAAAAAAAAAAAAAAAAAAAAAAAAGGAGCAAAAATTAAAATTAAAAATAACAAAAGCAGAGTCATGGGGTTTCTAGTTCAAAAGCAGTGTTTCTCGCGGGGGTGGAGTATTCTAACATCATCGCACAGAAGTAGAGGAGGGGCTACGCGTTTTAGACATACATAGGGCATTTCGCCTGGGTTGTCAGCTTTGTCGGCATTTTGAATTGCCCCGGTGCCTAGCCTAGGTTGAATGCTCTCAAATTCCACGTCTTATTAAGAGACGAAGGATCTGGCTCAACAAAACAATCCCCCACCCTATTGCCATCTAAGAATGCACAGTGCATCGAGTTTTGTCAGTTGACGCTCCGCATATTCGAGGAATAGATGAAAAGGGGGTGCAGGTTCGTGCCCATCACGGGAAGAGAGCAGACGAGCGGGTTGATCGTCAGCATTCTCCGGGATGGGTGCGATCAAGCAAGATAACTGGTGAAAGAGGTGCGGTAAGCCCTTGGTCCGGGCAAGTCTCAAGGCGGTGTCGATTGTAGAATGGCGAGCCGTACGGGTGACTAACAGGTTGGTCTGCGCGGGTCGTGGGCAGAGAGATGACAGAAGCAGAACACAAACAGGAGAGCGAACGAGGATTAGAGTCTCTAAATCCCACTTGGGGAAAAAAAAAAAAAAAAAAAAAAAAAAAATTAGGTGACAGTAGTGTACAGTTATAATGCTGCTTTCAGGTAACATATCCCCGTTCATCCGATGAACCCGAACCAAAACCACAGAAGAACACAGGCAACCCAGGGGAAACCAACAAAGATTTTAAAAAAAAAAGAAAAAAGAAAAAAAGAAAAAAGGAAAAAGCGCCCGGAGAATGCAGCAGAGGCCGAACCAAAAGCACGATTGAAGCCGAAAGGGCGAAGAGGGGAAAAAGGGAAGAGGGGATTATCTGCCGGGGATCTGGCCGGACTGCATCATGGCGTTTCCTTGCTCCTGGAAGCGCTGGTTGACGCGCTCGGCGGTCTTCATGAACTTGTCGAAGCAGCGGTTGACGCAGCCCTCTTCGCGCGAGATGAGAGACTTTGTGGTGAAGTCGTTGATGCAGTCGTCGAAGCAGCGGTTGACGATCATGGAATAGGCCTGTTTTTTTTTTTTTTTTTTTTTTTTTTTGGTTAGCCTGGCGGTGTGTCTTTTGCTTGGGATGCTGGTTTTTATTACCCCCATAAACTCTTTGATCTGCTTCTTCTCCATGCGCTTCTGGAGTTCCTGCTGCTCGGCTGCGGTGAGTCTGGAACGAGTAAACAACATCTGTCAGTCAGCGGGAAGGATCAAACTGCAACAACACCAACCCAAAAGAACAGTGAAGGGAAAAGGGAAAGAAGAGGGGGGAGAAATGGTGTCAGGGGAAGGAATTACCCGTCCATGGCTGGTGAGTGAATGACAGTGGTGCTTTCCCTCTTCTTATATATATAAATATATATATATATATCTCTTTTTCGCTCTTTCTCTCCTTCTTGGTTCTTTCTCACTCTCTCTCTTTCTTTCTCTTTTTTGGTTTTTTTTGTTTTAGTTCTCTTGCTGGTTTGCTCTTTCCACGAAAGTTTTACCCGGCGTAAAGTTTTTCCATCTCATCGCCACGTGACTAAACCAGAGTCGCCTTACCAGAAGAGGCAAGACACGACAGCAAAACGGCGCACGCTGATTGGCCAGGGCTCGTTCTCCCCGTCGAAAGGTTGCTTGTTCCGCTTTCTCTCCTCTGCTTCTCTTTCAAATCTCTCTTGTTTTTTTTTTCATTTCCTCGCTCAACCGTTCTTCTTGTCTCTCTCACTGCCCCGTCATCCTCCGCCCCCCCCTTTTTTTTTTCTTTTTTCCTTTTTCAATAAACGTCTTCCTCTCTCACTGCTCGTCTCCCTTCGCTCCACAGCCTGACCTTCCCCCCCGCGCCACCTCCAACAACAGCCCCGTTCCGTCATGCTCCGTCGCTGTCGCGTCTAGTTCTTCTCTCTTCATCTTGGTTCCCTTCGTTTCATCCCAGTCTCCACCTCGTCCTTGTGGGCTGGGGAACTAACCGCGCCGTTCGTTCGTTCTGGAACTTCACCTCCGTCCCCGACCGTTTCGAACCCTCACTGAACACTCCCCTAACAACAACTCCTCTCCTCTCTCCTCTACTGTCGCTGGCCTAGTGGTGCGCTTCATCGTCCATGCTCTCGATGCCAAGCCATCCTCGTCCATGATCCCCGAGCAGCGGAAATTCGCATCACGAACGGGCTTCGATCCTGTCGACTCTCATTGTGATAGCTTCAAGAACATCCCGCATTTTATTTTGTTTTTATCTTAGCCCTTATCTTTTTATCTTTTTATATTTTATATTTTTTTTTTTTACTTTTTCTCTCTTTTTCCTTTTCTTTCCCCTTTGTCCCCAAATCTCGACCCGGAAAAACCGGCCAGCCCACATTAAACACCGCTCAGCCTTATTTAACGTTTTGTGGTTCCTGTTCTTTTGAACTTCTAGTCCCCATCCGTCCATCCACCCTGTTTCAGGCAGGACGGTCCGGACCTCCTCTGTTTCTTGGCTTTCCTCTCTCTCTCCCTCTCTCTCTCTTTCTCTCTCTCTTGCTTTCATCCCAGCTTTGACCGCTCACAACTTCGCGGAACGTTAGCACTCGTGCACACACCACCAACCCCTCCTCTGCTGGGGGAACTTCCCTCTCCTTATCTAGAGAAGCTTGTTTTGCCGCCATGGCAAACAGTCAGCAGAGCTCCGGGTCGCCGTCTGCACGCGCTCCTCCTGCAGCTTCGGGGGCTGCATCGTCATCATCCCCAGATGTTCCCTCTGCTCCGTCAAGGCGGGATCTAGCTTCCTGGTGGAAACAATTCAAGCGGAACACAAAGAAGGACGAGACTGGTATTTCTCTACCCCCCCCCCCCCCCCCAAAAAAAAAAAAAAAAAAGAAAAAAAAAAAGAAAAAAAGCCCTTTCTCCCTTCGATCTCTTCTCCATCTTGCCATCGCTCCCGCACAGCTGCATAATGCACGTGCTGCCACTGCTCCCTACATCATTTATAAGAAGCAGGGCTCTCCTTACTTATTTGTGAAGCTAAGCTGATTGGTCTTTTTGGTATATAGCCCCGCAGTCTGCCGGCATCTTCGGCGTTCCTCTCAACGTCAGCATCAAATACGCAAATGTCGCCATATCTCTTACCGGCGATGATGGCAAGAGCTTCGTATATGGCTACGTTCCCATAGTGGTGGCCAAATGTGGGGTATTCTTAAAAGAAAAGGGTAGGGTCTTCTCTGCGTCTTCTAGCCTAAGGGGGGTCATATCGTCTGATGTCTTTCTTCTTCCGTTATAGCCACGGACGTCGAGGGTATTTTTCGCCTGAGCGGTTCCGCCAAGAGAATCAAGGATCTACAGGAAATTTTTAACTCTCCAGATCGATATGGGAAAGGTCTTGATTGGACTGGATACACTGTGCACGACGCTGCTAACATCCTACGCCGATACCTGAACCAGCTCCCCGAGCCGATCGTCCCGCTTGATTTCTATGAACGGTTCCGTGACCCTTTGCGCCGCGGCCACCCCCAAACCCAGGTTGACGGGGAAGATGAACAGTCGGACAACACAGCTGCCCTTACCAGAGAAGAAGCTGTGCTGACATACCAGCGGCTGATCAAAGAGCTGCCTCCATTGAACCGACAGCTTCTTCTTTACATACTAGATCTGCTAACTGTCTTCGCGTCCAAGTCCGATCTTAATCGAATGACGGCAGGCAATCTTGCGGCAATATTCCAGCCTGGTTTACTATCCCATCCCAATCATGACATGTCGCCACAAGAATATAAATTGAGCCAAGACGTTCTTGTTTTCCTCATCGAGAACCAGGACAACTTTTTGTTCGGCATGACGGGCACTGCGGCAGACGAACAGACCGTCAAAGAGATGCAAGAAGGTATATATGCGCATCCAGCAAAATCCGGCATACGTCGTTCAGCATCCAACGCCAGTGGCGGTGCGGATAGCCTTCGCAAATATGAAACTTTGCGTAGGAACGTATCTGTATCTTCCAAGACTTCCAAACAATCTGGAGGGAACGTTACGAGTCCAGCAACTCCAAGGTCGGTTAGCAGCTTTGGTGTCCATCGAAGCAATACCGTTCCTTCAAAGCGGCCACCTGGTCTGTCGCCGACTGCCTTCAATCGGTCACCCCACCCGTCAAACCCTCCGACCGGTGGACTGTCACCATCCGCCTCCCCACTCCTAGCATCACGATCTCAGAGCCGTGTGTCATCAATAGAAGCCATGAACGAAGCCAAAAATACGAGACCGGACCTCAGTCTTGATACTAATCCTCCCGCGGCGAAAGCAGACGCTGAGGCCCGGCCTCAACAGAATGTTCCAGGACCCATTATTTCAAAACCGGTGGTAACTCCAAACAAGGAACGGAAACTGTCATCGCTCTTTGCATGGTCTAGCCCTCCTGAAGATGGTAGGCAGCCTAACAGACTAAGGAAAAAACGTCGGATACCAGGTAGTGCCAGCGAAAGTGCACAAAGCTCAACGCAGTCACTTCACGACAATTCATACGATGTTGGCTCGTCGCCTCCACCTTTGGTGCGGGGATTATCCGACACGGATCTGGATCAATCACACGTCTCGACGCCGAGGATCCTTACTACAAGCAGCCTGGCCACCGCGATGACGCCGCTCGCGAGCCAGAGCGGTTCCGAGGAGAGATCCGGTCCTCAAGTGGCCACGGAGAGTATCCTAAAGTCAACTCTATCTCGAACACCTTCCCCTTCCCTGCACTATGTAACGGACCAATCAGATCTGGAACATACTGAGGAGAATACTGATAAGAAGGAAAAGAGGCGGAGCTGGAGGTTCCATCGGTCGTCAAGACGGGCCGGTGAACCAGTTTCACTCAGCATCTCCCCACCAGCGCCACTTGGGTCTCATGCAGGTGCCGGCTTTAGCACTTCATCACTCGCAAGTTCGAATATACATAACCAGATTATGGCGAATGACACAACGCGGGTCAATAAGGAAAGCTCGACTTCGACCCTGCTCTCTCAGTCATCCGATGTGGTCAGTGGCACCAGCGTTACAAGCCCACCTGTAACCAAGGATAATGGCGACGAAGAGCGTAAGAGCTTTTTCAGTAAATTTAAGGCCAAGGTCTCCCACGTAAAAGATGGCATGAAGGACAAGGAGTCGGATCTCGGACGATCTCAAAGTCCTCCCACCTCCGATCATGAGAGATCATCTTCCCGAACAAGTTTGTCCTTTTTCAATAGGGACGCTAAGGCCAACCGTGCTCCTCCCGCTGATGCTACAAGGGATCAACGCCATTCCGAAGCCCAAGATAAACCGACTGCACCCACGACCATGTCTCCACCATCATCTCTGCCGCCTGGGCCATCTCAGATACAGATAGCCTCTCCACCATCAACAATGCCTCAGGACCCTACTACCCCAGATGTGGTCACAGTTTTGCCAAAGGTTGAAGAGGAGCCGTCGTTGCCGGATACAATTACAGACCAGGGAGTGGAATCAAAGCAACCATGCCATCCGCCAACTCAAGCTCCTGTTCAAGAGTCAACCCAGGATACTCCTGAAGTGCCAACCGGCAACACGCCCCTCCCTCTTGACCCAGTCAAGGCGACCTCGGAAGTCCCGCTTGAATCACCCTCGCAGGGAGTCACCGGGACATCTGGAGAAGTAGCCCCTGAACAACACATCAATGTACAAATCGAGTCTTCAGTCGAGGCCCCAACCGGAGAATCAGCTGAACTAGTCTCGAAGCAAACTACTGAAACACCGGCAGAAGCGCCACCAAAGTGTTCTACAGCCGCTCCAACACAATCTACCGCCGAAACCAAAATGGAGTTACCCTCCACGACGCCAACTAGAATTCCCATAGAAACATCGCTTGAACGCTCAACTGATGTGTCAACCCAGCCTACCACTGAAGGCAAAACCAGAGTATCCTCGACGATGACCACTGAATTGCCCATGGAAAAATTACCTGAACCCTCAACTGATGCGCCATTACAGCCTCCTGCTCGAGTGTTAGCTGAGGTAGCTGCCAAAATAGCGTTACGAGATGCATCGAATCAAGCCACGTCAATCCAAGCAGCGCCACCGCAGTCACAAGATGAGTCCGAGACCAAGACTCAGCCGGAAACCAAGTCACAACCGGGATCGTCTTAGATTATACTTTAAAATACCCTATTTTCTTGTTTCTTTCATCGGGTTTGGAGCATCGGTTGAAGGGTTTTATATGGGCAAGGCAGGACTTATGCATCTTCGATACCTGTGCTTGCAGGACGGGATTATTGGATCAATACTCATTTATTACCATGGGCGGAGAAATTCACTAAAGTTTTACAAAGGTTGGCTTTATGGGGAAATTTTCATAAATCCAAGGGAGGGCCTTCTTTTTTATTTTTTTGGTCATCTTCTCTTTGGCTTCACTCTCTTCTTTTGTTTTTCCCCTCCCCCGTTTTCCCTCTCGAAACGCTTGGTTGAATTGGGGACTACTCTGGATTTTGCATGTATTTTACAACTACTCATGAACATTGACCAAAGTGTTTAATTATACGATGATGGACTTAGGATCTGGAGGATGGGCGCAAGTTCTTTATTCTTTTGTAATTATTGTGAGATTAAATTTTCTTTCCTTCTGTTTTCGATGATAATATTATTTGACGTCCGTCCAGACTAGAACTATCTATGTCGCCGTCTATGTAAGGGTAAATGTGTCCCTCCAAAGACGGAGAAAAAGACTAATAATTGCTCCTGAACACACCGATCACCTTTTCCACCGAAAACGGCGATGAGGAAACAGGGCGAGAAGAAATGAATGGTACACAGTAGACAAAAGAAAGCCACAAAGAAAAAAAGGGAGGGGGAAAAGGGAGGAGAATTAATTACAGTAGACCCCATCCGACGACCAAACCGGCCAGGACGGCCGTTTGAAGGATATTATAGAGCCCGTTCTTCGAGCCGGCGCCATCGAATACAGGATTAGTGGGGGATGGAGAGGTTGCCGGGGGTGGAGTGGTGGGTTCGGGGACGCCGGGGGGACAGTGCCAGTGGTCACCGTGAGGTTCGCATTCGCCAGCAGGAGCGCTGTTGGTAGGCTGTGATGCAGGTGGAGGAGTAGTGGGCTCTGGAACACCGGGAGGACAGTGCCAATGATCACCATGAGGCTCACATTCTCCAGCAGGAGCGCTGTTGGTAGGCTGTGATGCAGGTGGAGGAGTAGTGGGCTCTGGCACACCGGGTGGGCAATGCCAGTGGTCGCCGTGCGGTTCGCATTCGTCTGCTGGGGGGCCGTTGGTCTGCGATGGAGAGCTGGGTGGTGGGGTGGTTGGCTCTGGGACGCCGGGGGGACAGTGCCAATGATCTCCGTGAGGCTCACATTCTCCAGCAGGAGCGCTGTTGGTAGGCTGTGATGCGGGTGGAGGAGTAGTGGGCTCTGGGACACCAGGCGGGCAATGCCAGTGGTCTCCATGGGGTTCGCATTCGCCAGCAGGAGCGCTGTTGGTAGGCTGTGATGCAGGTGGAGGAGTAGTGGGCTCTGGAACACCGGGAGGACAGTGCCAATGGTCGCCATGAGGCTCACATTCTCCAGCAGGAGCGCTGTTGGTAGGCTGTGATGCGGGTGGAGGGGTTGTTGGTTCTGGGACACCGGGCGGGCAATGCCAGTGGTCTCCATGGGGTTCGCATTCATCGTCTCCGGGAGTGTTGTCGCGCGGTGGGTGGCCTGGTGGCGTAGTGGGCTCAGGTACACCAGGGGGGCAATGCCAGTGGTCGCCATGAGGCTCGCAAGTGCCTGTAGTTGCCGGGATAGATGGTTCGCTTGGTGGCGGCGTTGTGGGCTCAGGAACACCAGGAGGACAGTGCCAGTGGTCGCCATGAGGCTCACATGTGGGCTCGGGCTCGGCGGTGCGTGTTGGAAGTGGCTCGCAGTGCCCTATAACGGTCAGCATCATTCCGAGTCCTTTCAAGACAGAGTGCAGAACTTACAATGGTCACCATGGGGTTCGCATGCTGAGCCAGTGGGGGAGGGTGGAAGGGTTGCTGTTGGCTCACAGGACCCTGTGATGGTGGTCACGCCAGAGATTATCTTGTATCCGGCTGAAGAGAGGGCTTTTGAGTCGTAATAGCCATACGCAGTGATGTATCCAGCTCCGGGGAAGGAGAAGGCAGTAGTGTGGACGGGGATACGGTCTCCAGAGGAAGGCTCCGTGCCATACTTAGCATCAAGGGAACTCTTGAAGGCGCCGAAGTCTGAGACAGAGGTCGCAATGCCCGTCCACGACGAGGTGGTAGTGCAGAGCGATGAGCAGTCCCCATGGTCTCCATCCGAGCTGTCGAGGTGGTCAGCCAAGAAAGGCAAGTTATATGGGAGGGAGGTAACCCGGCGTACATGCAAGAGCCGCCACCAGGAGACGGTGGAATATATTCAGGTCGTGGAAATGCCAGAGCATGTCCATGGAGGACAGATAAGACTGAAACAACGACCCATTGATTGAGAACCATTTTGGGCAGTGTATAGTTCGGTGCGAGGGACAAAGTCGAGGAACACTGGGTTCACATGATAGCAATACGACGTGAGGGCTGTATTTATGTCTGCGCGGACCCCTCCCACGAGCGGAAATTTCAACAGCATGCTGAGATACCCATAATTGTTGACAGTGTGCCTGGGCGTTGCCGTCGTGCTTGGCTATTCCAGAGATAGGATAGCCAAGACGCCGCATCCCGCGCTGGCGAAGGGAGTTGAGTACCTTCATCGACAGCCTAGCGGGAACTGGCGAAACGGAGCAGAGAAAAGAAACGAGAGGGACCAGGAAAAAGAAACAAAGCCGAAACTGTGGGTTGCCATGTGCGCGAAGTGACTCGGATAATATTCTCCGAGGGTCCTCAAGCAAGCCCAACGTGTCTCCCGCACGCCCGTCGGAGAGGCGACGACAGCTGGAGTATTGAACTCCATGCAACTGTATCTGCCCTTGAGGTCCCCAACTCTGGTGGTATACGAGCAGAAGCGAAAACTGGACTTCATGGAGAGTCAAGGACATCGAGGGAAAAGTCGCGATATAAAAAGGGCCTTGACGGACTCGCTGAGAATGAATGGAAAGACCATCCGCAAGCATCGCCAGCAGCGAACGAACAAGCCAAGCAAGCCAACAATCCCTCAGCGATCCATCGGTTCAAGGCCAGTTCAGACTGCACTCGTGACACCATGAAGCTCTCCGTCTTCACCGCTCTCTCCGCCCTCTTCCTCGCGGCCGCCGCTACCCCGGCGAGGTCGAGAGTCCTGGTCTGCAATATGCCATCCGGGTGCACCAACCTCGGTGGCTGCAACTTTTGCTGCGACAACACTCCCTCGGGCTGCCATCTGCACGGCCCTCCGTATGAAACCTGCAACGGTAACATGGGCATCGTGGTCCACTGCGAGCCTCATTAAGCGGGCAGTAAGTTAGTTATCCAAGGCTCTCGAAAGAAATTCCCTGTTGACTAGTCAGCTAGGTTTGCCAAGAGAAATCGCGCCGATTCAAATATCGATTGAGACGCTAGAGGGATAAAAGAACATGGATGATTTCCTTGTTTCTCTTTTTCCATTTTTTTTGTTTGTGAACAGCCTGTTTGCTTGTTGATTAGTTTGTGATTGAATCCTCAGGGTTAACCATAAATGAAAAATTTGATGATCATCAAAAACCAACTTTCGTTTTTGTAGCTTCACTTCTTCTTCGACAGAAGCTGGCTGCCAACCACTCTTTCATCCTGTGGGGAAAAGAGCCATGTCCGATAGATGTCGTCTATGATAATGAAATATGTTTGCGCTTGAGTTCAGAGCAACCCTTGCTCTAAAGTGGCGATAGGGCCTAGTCTGATGGGCCCCTTTATTTTTTTCGCTGCTTTTTCCTTCCATCATGACGATGCGATTCTCTCGCTGCCAACTATAGTCTTCCTTTTAGCGAAATCCTGAGTTTTAATGGAATACCGTACCTTTGGATGCATGGGTTAATTCTTCTTCTTCTTCTTCAGCATTTAATATCCCCCTTCCCAAATCAACCCCGGCCTCCTCCTAACGGCTCTCCCCTTTCCCCTCTCTGTTTTACCCGCTAGCTTTTTCATCCAGAAAATGCCCAAAATACCCGATTTACCTATTGGGACCCAAGCTTTGCGAAAATGGTACGCAACCGAGCACCTGGCTAGGGGAATGATCTTATCTCTCTTCCCTAGCAAAGAACCACTCTGTATAATCAGGACTACGTCTCAGACTATTGGCCGGACGACTGCTCTACGTGGAGAGCCTGGCGCCAGTGCAAAGGCAAGGGGAAAATAAATGTCAGTACCGGAGACGGATAAGGTATCGGAGGCGCCAAAATACAACATCGTCACCTACACATGGGGTCGCTGAAGGATCAAGGATATCACGGCGGACGCCCTACCAGTTTCGGTGACGACGTGGGCAATATCACCAATTGATCCTGACCACTTTCACGGTAGAGGCTTTCAAAGAGATTATCAACAGGGCGCGGAATGGGGTTGAATGGGTATGGATAGATGTAGCCTGAACCGACCAGAATGACACTGACACCAAGGTTGGGTACCAAGCCAGCGTTTTCAAAAGGGCAAACAAGGTCTCTGCGTGGCTTTCATCTCTGAGCACTGACGCAATGGCGTCGAGTGTGCGTCAGATTTGCGAACGCAGTTTCGAGGTCCGGGACCATATTGATGGGAGGGCAGTGACGACCACCAGCCTTCAGAATTTGCCTGAGCTTCTAGACCCAGCCGTCGCGGATTTCTTCGCAGGTCCGTGGTTCTCATCTCTATTGGCGTTGCAGGAGACTATCATGAGAGGAAGGATGCCATCCCACTCTCACAACAGCCAGAATCTCTCATATCTCTATCAACTACCACATGGTCAGCGAGCAAAGACGAAGAATGACATCTATCGTATACAAGAGCAGATCATGGAGGCCGGGTTCTACTATCTCTATTCCACAAAACCCCATTTTCCAGTACGGAACGGCCAGATATCGCTCGACATCAGTGCCCGAGGATCAGATTTATGCTATCATGCAGGTATACGGTCTTAGGTTCGGGAAGGCAGTCCGCCCGGACTTCAAGCCTGACATACATCGGCTCGAAGTGGACCCTGTGACAGAACTCAACAGTCAATCACCTGTTTTAGGCCAGACGTTTCTTCACACGGTGGATCAGATGCCACCAATACCTGGTGTATCATCTCCCAGCAGTCCATTGTGCCGCCTGCTCTAATGATCTTGAAAAACCCAAGACAGTGCTAAATACATCATCCAAAAAGGTTCAAAAGAAAGATGAGAAGAAGGACAATAATCAGGATAATACCATTGTCCTGGGTGTGAAATGCTGCTCCATCCGAGCCTGGGTCACCACCCTTGAGGAATTCAGGAGGGTCGATGGTTTCTAGGGAGGTCTGACGCTTTTCTTGGATTGTTACATTCTCGGTGAACTCGGAATTCCAAACAAGTCGTTAGAATCAGATAATATTAGCTGCGTTCCAAGCCTTTATTAAGGCAACTGGGATATAAAGCAAAAGGTAATGCTGCCGTCGTCAAATTGGGGTTAGTTCTCAGACGCTCTCGGGAGCTGGAGCAAGGATTGCAGGACAGCGCCTATTCATCGGCTTGGAGTTTGTGTTTGGGAAGCGCGAGAGGAGCCGCGTGCAGCAGGCACTGGACACACTACCTTTGGGGGGGGAGAGAGAACTGGAGCTTGTGCGACAGGACTAGTACATCTTCACAGTCTTCAAGCATTCGAAATCATGTTTGAAACAGACGTGAAAGATTCTGCCGCCCAGGAACACCATCCACACCAGCTCTCTGGCCGACAAGGAACTGTAATCAGCAATTACTATCCCTGAGTTGCGTTGCTTGCGCTGGATGCTGTCAGGTGCCAAGACTAGTTACACAACTCTCGGTACTATGCAGCTATCTAAACACACTAAGCTTATAAGTACTGTATATTAATAGACTAACTAACTAACTAGGCAAAAAGGCCAATCAGTTAACTATTCAAACTATCCCTAAACAAGTTACGCCACGGATCTTATCCATAGCCAAGCCTGAGCGGCCAGCCACGTATGTAACTGGAGAGGACGAAGAACGGCGGACGAAGTTCCTACAATATCGCACTTACAGCCAGATCACAGAGCTTCGACAATGCGTGTATGTGCTCCGGTACTCTGCAGGCCTCTGCCAGCTATTTCCACCAAGTCAGCAGTCATGGCGACGGGAAGCCTTCTTCATGGATGTGGGCTTTGGATGCCCGAGACTTCAAGCTCCGCAAAGCCTGGCTAACCCTCATTCAAGATATACAGCCATCTATTCCTGAATATTACGTCGGCGAACCAAACCCAGTTGCGAAGTTCCGGGATGCGATTGAGCAAAATCCGACTCTCTACAGCCTTGCTATCTCTATGTCCGACGAAGTGCCCACCAAAGCGCCCTATGATAGGGACGCACCCTCAAGAAACGAGTCCGAAGCTATAAGACTATGTTATATCTTTTCCAAACTCTCTTAACACGGGTGCCTGAGTGGTTTTCGGGAAAAGATTCAAGGGGAAAGGATGTACCTACTGGTCTTATTGGCTTTCCATTCAATATCATTCTTGACTAACCTATGGGCACGGAAAGCGGGCGTCAGTTCTTTTCGCATCCCGAAGTCAATATGCACCTCAAAGAAATACTGACGACGTGGGGCGTGTTCCTCAAAGAAAAATCGGGAGGGAATGACGCTTTGCGTAAAGCTCATTGGGGCGAGGACGAGGCTATCAAGCAACTGGTCAATAAGGCAAAGGAGGCTACGGCACCTCCCTTGCAATCCGATAACTTTTCAGACTACTTCAAATGTCCCAAACCGACGGCGCCCAAGGAGGTTTTTGGCTATCAGTGTTGGGATGATTTCTTTGTGCGGAAATTCAATGATACGGTTCGTCCCCTGGATGCGAGCGCCGCTGTCATCAATGCTTGTGAATCCCACCCTCTTGCGTTCGACACCGATGTCTCCCGGCGCGATACATTCTGGCTCAATGGGGCCCCCTACTCCCTGTACGACGTGCTGGGGACCAAGGCAGCAGCCTTGAATTTTCCTGATAGATTCGTGGGTGGCGCGGCATATCAGGCGTTCCTCAGTGCGGATTCTTATCATTGCTGGCACTCCCCAGTTACAGGAAAGGTTGTACACAAAGATCTCATTGATGGAACGTACTTTGCAGAGACAAAGTTTGCGGGCTTTGGCGGCTCGAGCGGGCCGGATCCAAGTGGCCCGGATTTGTCGCAACGCTTTATCACCAATGTAGCCGCTCGGGGTGTTCTTATCATTGACACGGGGGTCACGGCGGCGCGAACATCGGGCTCGTTGCGTTTGTTCCTGTTGGGATGTCCGAGGTGTCAACCTGCGAATGGTTTAGCAATACTGATGGGGACGAAACCGTTAAGAAGGGCGATATTATCGGTGCTTTCCATCATGGTGGCTCGACTCACTGCCTCGTTTTTGAACGAGATGCAGTGAAGTTTGAATTTCATCCCGGAAGCACAGTATCCTGAGATAGCCACGGTGAATCTTGCAGTCAAAAGCATGTTGGCTTCAGACTTGAGACCCTTTTGCGCAGCTGCGCATCCTGTTGCAGATTGCTAGTATTGTTCTACTTGATCAGCGCAAAAGAAAAGTCTCTATTTCGGGCTTCGTCATATTTGCAGTCTGATGGCTGCATTTTCCATGGTTCTCTGGTTTACAGATCAAATTGCTAGCATGTGTCTAGTGAATTACATACTGAGTTGGTAGTGGGAGTTACTTCTGTCAAATCTGCATTATATGCATGCATCCATACGGAGTATTTCATCGTATTTGAAAGTATAGTACAAGCAGTGATCTCATAGCTCACTGCTGAACACCTGTATGGATAAACATTTTCGGACTTCTGCGGAGTGCTAGCTAAGGTTGATAACAAACCGTGGTTCTAGTGTGCACCTGGGTACATACACATATGCAAGCCGCGTTCTGAATCTAGCCATTCTCAACCGGTTATCAAAAAGGATGATATGATATAGGATTGCTCTAGGTTGATCCGGTTTCCGAAGCTTGTGAAGTAGTTAATTTAAAAGATCAAAGTACCGGACAAAGGGGTTAATTGCGTTCCTTTGCTTGAGCACATCAGGTACCAAATCCTAGTCAAACTCCGCAGTTTTATTCAGTTTTATCTAAACAAAGGAAAAATGTGGATGCTTACCCTAATTCAGCTCCTTTCTCTCGTAGGAGTGATCCAAGCCGGATATCCTCCTACACCAACAGGCTTGACGGTCATCAATTCGAAGTTCCTCCCGGGAGTCAATATCACCTATAAGAAAGTGAAGGTAACCCATCCAGTCCCAAGTCTCCTAGGTAATCAATATTCGCTTAATTCTTCATAGGAGAGTATTTGTGACGGGAAAGCGGCGTCGTACGCCGGTTACGTCAATTTTCCACCCAGTGCTATGACCGGCGTGGACCAGACGTACCCGGTCAACCTCTTCTTCTGGTACTTCGAATCTCAAAACAAACCACAAGAAAATCCGCTGTCTATTTGGTTCAATGGCGGACCAGGTTCTGCCTCCGTTTTCGGCTTGTTTGCCGAGAATGGGCCGTGCCATGTCCTCAATGATTCCAAGACATCGGTGCCAAACAACTACTCCTGGAATAAATATTCTAACATGCTGTATGTCGACCAGCCTGTGCAGGCAGGGTTCAGCTATGATGTGATAACCAAGGGGTACATGGACCTGGAAACGGCGTCCATTTATGCTGGGGAAGTACCCAACAACAGTACGACGAAAATCGCAGGATTGTTCGCGAGCCAGAATATAAGCAATACGGCGAATACCACGGAGAATGCGGCAAGGCAGTTCTGGTACTTTCTTGAAACTTGGGCACAGGACTTTGACAGGTATACCAACAATCGGCAAAACTTCGCTATCAACATCTGGACGGAGTCGTACGGGGGCCGGTATGGCCCAGCTTTCGCGAGGTATATCAAGGAGAGGAATGCAGAGATTCAAGCTAATTCCACCAAGGGCAAAGTACTGGCTCTGGAAAATCTGGGTGTCATCAACGGCTGCATTGACTTGCCGCTTCAAGAGTATTCGTTCCCGATAATGGCATTCAACAATTCCTACGGGATACAGGCAGTAAATGAGTCGGTTCACAACCAAATGCAATCAAGTCTCGAACCTTGTCTCCAAAGGACCTCTGAGTGTCAAAACGTCGCGAAAAAATTAGATCCCGAAGCCCTCGGTAATAATGACGAGGTTAACTGGGCGTGTAGCAACGCCAGCGACTTCTGTCAGACTGCCGTCGAGTTTCCTTTTATCAGTGAAAACAAATACGGCTATTACGATATAGCCCACTGCTACCTGGATCCATTCCCGGCCGAGTACTATGACGGATATCTGGCACTTCCAGACGTGTAGCAGGCGTTGGGCGTTCCCGTCAACTACACGGAGGGATCTCTGTCGATTGGACAAGCTTTTACCAACACAGGAGACTATGCGAGAAACGACAAGAGAGGGTACCTGGCGGACATTGCATATCTGCTTGAATCCAATGTCCAGGTGGCTCTGGTATACGGCGATCGAGACTTTGCATGCAACTGGATTGGAGGCGAAAAGGTCAGTCTCGCCGTCGAGTCCAATTATTCTGCCGGCTTCCGGGCAGCTGGCTATGCGGACATCCAGCTCGAAGGCTCAGGGAACTCCAGCAAGTCTTGGGGAGTGGTCCGCCAGTACGGAAACTACTCATTCAGTAGAATCTACCAGTCAGGCCACATGGTCCCCGCCTACCAGCCTGAGCTGGCGCTTGAGTTCTTCCGTCGTGTGCTGACCAGCCGAGATTTCGCGACGGGAGAGGTCGATTTGGTCGCCAACCCGCACTATGCGACCAAGGGCCAAAACGCGTCGACGCACAGCAAAAAACCGACTCCTTCGCCGAGCCCGACGTGCTATTACTGGTTCATGCCGAGCACATGCGCGCAGAACCAGATCGAGGCCGTCAAGCTCGGGCAGGCCTTGTTCGAAAACGACTATATTATCACGTCTCCCACTGCTCCGCCTGAAACATGTCCGCCGCAGAGCAAGTAAGTTTCTAACTATCATGGAATTAGATCCCTTCTCCTTGGATTGAGAGCGGGAAATTAACATCCCTTGATTGTGGAGTGGAGGTTGAACCGTTTTGCTATTGTTATTGTTGTTTTCAGATCTGCCTGCTGAGGATTTGTGTACCCGGAACATCACAGGGAAGAAGGATAGCAAATGTAAGAGTCTTAAGGATAATTAACTCACTCCCTTGGTGATTGGCCTTTTTTGCCTTAGGTGGCAAGCCGTAAAGGAGCTATGTTGGTCTGAATTCAATTTAGAACAGTGAACAAAAACATCATCATGATCAAGCGCAAACAGTACAAACCCTGCAAACAAGCTCTTCTACCTGAAAAGAAGCTCAGGTACGGCGTAGATGCCTCCATTCACATCCACAATGCTGGCTCATCACAGGAAAGACTACTATCCCCATTCCACGTCTGCATGGATATTGTTTAGGAAAAGATAACATTCTTGGGTTGCCATTTATGTTACTTGATTTTATTGATGGCAAAGCACTTATCAACATTGATATCCCCAAGCTCCCGGATTCCGACAAACGTCGATTGTTTGCGAAGCTTGGTGGATATTTATCTCCAACTGTTCCAACAGCAAATTCAACCATATTGGTGCACTTACTCTTGATTCAAACGACAAGAACTGGGTTTTTGAGCATAATCGACGTCTTTCTATACTCATGAACGAACAGACACTTGCAGGGTTTAACCCGTCTCGCTTAATTGCACCCAACCAGGTATTCCACTCAGCCATTGACTACATCTTTATGATTCACCAAGCTTTACTGGATGAATTTCACTTGAGACGGGACAGTGTTTGTGGTGAATCAGATGCTCGCTCATATTTATATGGCCTACATAGCTCCCGCCAATTCTTGATGGATTGGGTGAAACCGGAACACAACCATGAACCATTTGTTTTGATGCATGGTGATCTACGCTCTGCGAATATACTTGTGGACGATGACCTTAATATCGTCTCTGTATTGGACTGGGAATGGAGTCACACAATCCCTCTGCAGATGTTTGTACCTCCACCTTGGCTCAGTGGTTGCGAAGTGCTTGGAGTGTTGAAGGAGTATATAATCGACTGTAATATGATATCTTGGTGTCTGTGTTTGAGTCAGAAACAAGAGATGTCGAATATCAGTATCACCTGAACTCCAGCAATATTTCCAAACTCCCGCTCTCCAATCTCTGCAAGAAGAAAATTGGGTTCCTGGGATATTTTTATTGCCCATGGACTGATGCAACCACTGCACTTTGGGAATGTCTACACCGATGTAATTGATCCTGGCTAATATAAATCTGATAAACATCAATACCGAAAAAGATTGGGCGATTTCTTCAATCTAGAGATACATCAACCCGAGCTGGCGGCATTTGCAAAGGAAACTTCACGACCTCGAACTGTTCAAAAAGGAATGCGATGAGCTCGGAATACAGAGAATTGTACCTCACACAGAATCAGATGATGACGAGCGCTCAAGCTGAGGTCCCAAAAACCAGTCCAACCAGCCACCCATGCCGTTGCAAGGTCTCAGAACCCGCATCGGACGACTTGGAGAGCGACTCTTTCAATGTTTCCACAGAGAGTCGTACACCGTAGGCAGTCACTGGTACTCTGTTAGGATTAGCTTGCTGCCTTGTTCTAGTCCATCGGTGGAGGATAATTACCTCATGTAAGATTGTGAAAGCAGCCGAAATTTCAATTCTATCATTGAGCTCCTGCTGCTTTTGAAGATGGTCGTTTATCTGTTGATCGACTGAGGGCACAGTCATCGCGTTGCGCCTGTCCTTCTGTGAATTGCGGGCACTTGATGTGGGTTGTTCAATCGCATGAAGACCTTATTTTTAGCTGATTTGAGTGCAATTTGGGTGGGGAATATTTGGCTACTGATGTTCAGCTCGTGAGAAAGAATTGGATTTTCAATGCAGACTCGACAGGGACACTCCCTCTTGGTGAAGTAGCAGCGGTCAAAACCAATCAACTAGCTAGTCTACGCTGCACTCCGCTCTTGCCTTGATGTCTTACCTTTTTTTTTTTTTTTTTTTTTTGCGCTGGTGTCAATGCGCAGTCCTGGTACTCTGGCCAATCCAACATCACGCACATCTGCAGGCTGACGGAACGGCCCGGAATTCCACTCAGGGTGAAGATGGTCGCGCAATTGGGAACAGCTTCGAAGCTTCCATCTAAATGGAGCTCAAACACCCGTCAGGCTCAAGCAGCAAAGGTTATGTGGTGACGTGAAGGCAGTGAAAAGTTGTTAACCAGAGATTCCCTGATCTTTCCAATCAGGATACAATAACCATATAAAATGAAGCAAGAAACAATGGAATTGATATGAACTGGACAAAAAGCATATTCATCCCTTCAAGGTCAACCTGACCTGCCCCCCCCGAATTTGACAACAAACTCGTTCCCAACTTTAACAACGTTATATCCATTGTGCTCAGTGAGAAGAGTGGCATTTTCTATCTCTGAGTTCGCCGGAAGAGGATGTGGGATATCAGGAGCGAAACACGGCAGGTTAATTGGCAACAGTGGTGTTGGAACGGTTCGATTCCGATGTCTAGAATATCAACTTCCAATAGAGTAAATAATCGGTAAAGCAGTGATTAATAGCGCGGTGCCGGCTCCCAGAAAGGGTACTCCAACCCTGGTAGGAGGGCGGCATTCTTCCTGGAAGCTTTTCTTGTCATGATGCTGAGCGAGAAGTGATGGCAGAAGCCGCAATCTGATATTCGACAAAGTTACCTGCCATACAGGATTTGGGAGGTTGTCAGAACGGTAGATTTTCAGTTGCTGATCTGTATATGCTCAACTGTAAACTCCGTAGCTCAATTGATATATTGGAGTGTTCTTTAGTTAATAACCATGGAGTACTTTGTACAAAGTGGTGAAAAATTAGGATTTTTCTCAAGTCTCACATTCATCTTTTGCATCTTCATGACAACTAAATCATGGGTTTAACGATTTCCACCCTTGAAACCCACCCATCCACTCTGCTCCACGATGAAGATTCCTCGTAGCTAGCAGGATCATCGGCTACACGGTCGAATCGACGGCCGGTTTTTTTCCTGTGTTCACCGTCAAACTTCCTCCAAACAGCCCAAGTTTCCTCCTTACCCCCTGTTTCGCCAACATGTCCTCGCGCATCACCGTCCTTGCTTTCGGCCCCCTCCCGTCCGCGTGGAACTGCTATCCATGATCACTCCGCACGCTCACTCTTAGCAATTTCTTACTAATTTGCTCGCCGGAGCAGGAATACGCGCGATTCTTTGACAAATCGGTACAAGGCGACGAAGGAGGGGGTTGGGAGAGTGCAAGCGAGAGGGCAGTTCATTGCCAACTCACGAAGAAGCTAGCTAAACTATGTAACCGCCAGTTGGTTTAACTAACTCTTGTGCAAGCTTAATATGCGGAGAATTATTTTTATTATTATTATTTGCCTCCGCCCAGCGCTGCGACTTGTCTACCTTTTCGTTTCTCTGCGCCGGATGTGCTACTGCGTCTTTCTCCGAGGAAGCGACGGGCAGCCATACCGAGTTATTCAGCAGCGAAAGCGCAACTTGGGAATTTGAATTTCGCCTCGCCTGCTGCGGGCGGCAGGGGAAGCTGGAGCCCGCGACTGCTTGCTGCGTGGTGAACTTCATACTCGCTTTTACCACCCAGGCGATGGGTTGAACCAGGGCCTGGTCTTCTTTTCTCTCATCGAATGCTTTCCTTCTCCCAGACATCCCCCCTTTCATCATCGACCAACCCCCCTTCCCCTTCTTTTATCCTGGAGTGTTTGAATACGGGAGTAATGCCCCGAAAATAGAGAGGCGCGGATCAAAAGAGACGGGTATAGTTCAAAAAGGAACCTGTGCGTTAGATCCAGGTCTACCGTTCACGAAATGGAGTGTCTATCGCCGCTGGACACTGAAAGTTCCCTGGAAACGGGGCATTTGGTGTCGACCAAGAGTTCGCACTTTTCTAGTACGCTGTTCGAGCCGATTAGTCGTCGGTTCCCCCCCACGCCTCCCGGATGCAATGGACGGGACGGTAAAAGTAATAAGACGCTGACTTAGCAGGAGCTACATGGGCTCAGTCCATCCGCTCGAAAGGCGGGGGGATCACTGTCCCTCAGGCCATCGCTCATCGAGGATACAGCGCAAAGTTCCCCGAAAATACAATGAGTGCTTTCATGCATGCGGTTGAAGTTGGTGCGCATGCGATTGAGACGGATATCCATCTCTCAAGAGACGGCGTGGTGGTTCTTTCTCATGTGCGTCGGTTGTAGCTATGGCTACAATATGTGTTTTATACCCATAATCCTCTGGAGATTATGGCTGATAGTTGAGCATTGCCCTAGGATGCTACGCTTAAACGCTGTTTTGGCGTCGACAAACGTGTCATCGACTGCGATTGGAAATGCTTGAGTGCCCTACGGACCGTGAAGCCTCCACACAGACCCATGCCGCGCCTGATAGACCTGCTGGATTATATAGCTGCCCCGGAGCGCGCGAACGTGTGGATAATCCTGGACATAAAGGTCTGTCATCGCAAGTCACCGGAAGAAACTTCCAGCCGCTCTAACACCTCAAGGGGAAGAACAGGCTGACAATAATGCACATAATGTAATAACCGCCCTTAGCCAGGCCTTCGACTCCGTCGCATCTCCCCATCGACCCTGGAATGAGCGTGTGGTACTAGGCTGCTGGACGGTACGCGGGGCCAATTTCCTTCTTACATATGCCCTTTCCCCCTTGTCCAACGCTATATATTTACGCGTGACCACGCGCTCTCATTCCCCCGTCCCTAATCGGATCAATTAGGCCGAATATCTTTCCAAAGTGCGACACCATTTCCCCTCATACCCGCTTGCCATAACGACTTTTTCCATCCAATATGCCCGCCAGTTCATATCCCTTCCGGGGGTTAATCTCAGTGTGAATCAGAAAGTGCTTATGGGGTGCGGTGGGAGGAGATTCCTCGCGGATGCCAAGCGAGCTGGGAAGGCTGTGTTTGTGTGGACTGTAAATAAAGAGGTGCTGATGCGCTGGAGTGTAAGAAGGAGAGTGGATGGAGTGATTACCGATAAGCTGGCTTTGTTTGGCGAGATTGTGCGAGAATGGGAGGACGATGGTTATGGGGATGGGTTTGCAAGTGATGAGGCGGAGATCAGCTTAGAACAGAGGCTCGTGGCGCTGGCTGCGGCAGTGGCGTCGTGGGTGCTTGGGATGCTGTTGATGTTGATATACCCAGTTAGGATTGCGAGGTTGGACAGCACAGTGGAGGATTCCCTCGGCTATGCCTAAGTTATACATGAATAGAAGCATTCCGGAATAGATGACTATGATATTATACCAATGAGTTGCGTGAATTGAGTGTTGACTGATAATATCAGCTATTCACATACAGCACTGTACACCAACAGGCAAAGAAGGCATGAACTGAACAAAGTGGATCAATAATATAGAAATAATACAGCAGGAAATATAAAACAAAATGATGAATAAATCAGTAGATAGACAATTCAATAAATGAACAAAAATGTCAAAAGACAAGAGGGTATAAAGCTATCTCCAGCAGTCCTGTTTTCCGGGTCCAAACGAAGAGAGAGAGGAACAAAAAAGAAAAAGGAGTATGACAAGGAAATCAACACTTCCAGGCAGCATGATACAAATCAATAACAAGAAGACGAAAGGAGCATTCTGGTGGTGACGGGATTATGAAAAAGGAGAATTGTTTTGAGGATACAGGAACTTGCGGAGGCAGCGGGCAGCGAGGGATCGTTAAGGGGTATAGAAGGAGAGGGGGAATGTAGAACGGCAAGACTAGAATAGGGAATGGTAGAACCGTATGAATAATAGGGCCTAAAGAGCAAAGAGGGGGCGTTTATCGAGAGCATTGTCTTTTCTCTCCGCCTATCCTTGGGAGTTAGTAATTAGATCTAATTACATATATGTGTATAATTATATAAGGGGTGTGTGTCTGTGTATCATCATAGCATCATCAGTTTCGTCTTCCGCCGTTCTGGGAACTTGCGTGGACCGGGAAGATTCAGAGAGTTTCCCATCGGAGGAGGCTGCTTGCTGCGTCCACTGCCGCTTCTGCTGGGAGGGTATATTTTCGGCATTGCGGGAGGACCGCCAGGTCCTCGGTTGGGCGGAATTGGGTAACCTCGTCCTGGACCCTGGCCGCGGCCTCGACCTGGTCCCGGGCCTGATCCACCTCGCGGTGCGCCGGGGAGCGGCGAGTTGTAGGACGGTCGACGGCCATAGCCTGGAGGTGGTGGACCATTGTACCCGGGTCCTGGGGATCGGCCTCGTCCGGGACCTGAACCGAAACCGGCACCGGGACCAGGACCGGGACCAGGAGGAAAACCTGGCGATGGAGGAGAATATGCAATGGCTGCTGCTCTGCGACCATCTCGATCGCAGTATACGTCGCCATTCCATTCGAGGTAATCTTCTCTCAGCACGATTCGACACATCTTGCACCTGAAACAGTCTGGATGGAAGATTTGTCTTCTTTCCGTACCGCTTTTCTCGTCTCGCACTATCTCCTCGGTTTGCAGACAGGGTCCTTCGATTCCCTGTCCGCAAGAGGCGCATAATGATCCGTTTAGTTCATGGTAATGTTGTGCACAGAACGGATTATTGTCCAGAACGTAAAAGTCCGCCGTCTGGAAGGGCGAATGGCAGGTATAGCACACGAAGCAAGCTTTGTGCCATCGACCGGTTAAGCGACCATCAGCAGAAGAAACAGATTTGCCGACGATTATTTCTCCGCAGCCCCGACAACGAACACGACGAGGTTGTCCAGGCGATTTTGGAGGAGCGGGTGTTGGTGGAGGGGAATCGGTCTTCGTCGGGCGTTGGTTGGGCTGAGATGGACGGCGAGACCTGACGGATCGTACTTCACCTCTTCGTTCCTCTGGCTTTGGTTCAGATTCAAGTTCACCAAAGCGTTCATATTTCGGTGGCGTGCATTCAAAGCGACCCTGCTGGAATAACGGGTCCGTTGGCGAATCAAGGTCGTACTTGTAGGGGCTCGGAGGGGGCTTCAGCTCTGCACTGGGTGGTTCGGATGGCTGTGTAGAGTAGGATACTGTTGTTGCAGCGTCCGAAGGAGAAGAATCTGAGGATGAAGTAGAATCGTTTGTCGTATGATAAGGGTCACCGAGACCAAGACCGCGTGCAAAGTTCGAGACGGAGAAGTCCTCCTGGACAGAATACGCAGGGAAATCAACATCCTGACCTGGTCCCCTTTGCGAATCCGGACGTTTCACCTCTAGAGGAACGCTGCCACGGCTACCCTCTGATAATCGTGCAGCATGCGAATGACGATCTTGCGGTTTTGGGGGCTCCCCATCGATAGGAAATCCAAGTTCAAACCCGGGAAGACCAGTCGACAATCCAGAGCTCCTGGGAGGAGTCGTGGCGATTCTATCATTTTCGAATTCTTCTGTGTTTGGAAATTGATACGGCTCTGGTTCGGCTATGAAAGGGGTTGGTGTGTAACTCTTGATGGGAAAGGCTGGAAGAGGGGGGATCTCGTCCAAGTAGTTAGGGTGGCCACGCAGGCTAGCGGTGTTTGGGAATCCTGGAGTGGAGGATCGAGAGATCGAATCCCCATAGCGACTGCTTGCCATTGACATTCGATATAGGCTTTTGCTATCGACTGAGACCTCCCGTTTGTGCCTGTTGGCCCGCGAGCGGCGTCGACGTCGTTCATGATCGTCATCATCGTCATCATCCTCATGTACTGGCGTTGATGTTGACTGGTTGAGCCGGAAATCTAAGCCATTATTCGCAATCTCCGAGGGACTGGTTACCAGAGGACTCTGGACGCGCTCTCCTTTGACCAAGGTCCTGGCCCTGGACCTGCTCTTTGTACTGGCTCTAGGATCAGGTCCTGGGAATGGAGGAATCACGGAGTCTATGTTAGCTCGCTCTGGAGAGGGAATATTGGGTAAGGGTGACGTTTGACTTCGTTGAGGCTGACGCATGGGTGACTTTGGCGAGAAGGACAGGGGAGACGCCGATTTGATGCCGCCGCTTGTTGGAGATGTCGGCACGAGCAATCGGAGAAAGGGACGGTCTTGTGCCATATTTAGCAATGCGCCATTGGAAGGGAGGTACACAAGGAGCTGTAGACTTACTTGCAGCATGGGGATCAATGGGAGGTGGGGGTGCCATGCGTCCAACCTTGGCGAGAGGCCCATCTAGGTTATCCAATTCTGTGCTGGGCCGACCATCCCCGTAGTTGGCCTCTGCTTGTGGTGCAGGTGGAGGAGGGAGTGCTACACGCAGCAATGTCAGTGGATTCGTCTCCAAAGTTACGAAGTATGGTAGTCCATGAAAATGGATCACAGTGTAGGCACTTCGGTGTTGCGTACGCTTATCTTCCTTCTGGCAGACATGTTCTCCCATGGCCGACAGCTCGACCTCTGCCTGGCAGCTTGAACATTTTATTTTTGGTAGAAAGTCGTCTAGGTCTCCCGCCATGGTCGTTCAGAGAGTGATCAAAGATTGCGGGCAGGATCATTGGGGAGCTGGGTCGAGATTGTTGCGGGTTTTAGCCAGGATATATCGGTCACAGTCACAAAAGCAAAAGAAAGCAGTTCAACCACCACCCACACCTGGAGGTTAATATGCGACCGTAAAATGGGGGTTCGTGGCGGCAGTAGTGGTAAACCGTTGTATGGAAATCGGCTTGGCGGACGTTGAGCTGGAAGTCGTTCCTCAAGATAGGTGTTGGTGTTGGCGTTGGTGATAATGATGGCGATGGTCGGCGGTGAGCATCGAGGGTTTCGGCAGCGTTGAGAAAAAGAAAAGAAGAGAAAGGGAATAGGATCATGAAAGGGGAAAAGGGACGACGGGGTAAAAGGAGTTGCTGGGGCAGAATATTCAAGCAATCTATGTATGTAACTTGACGGATGCGACGTCAATCAATGCATGAGACCCCAGTCGCAAGACCAAGGAAGGGGGCCAAGTGTCGCCAGCCAGACTTGACAGGTGAATTAATGTCTCAGGCCAATTGGGCTGGAATTATGAATTAGAGATTAGATACAAGACACTCACTAAACAAGACACAAAGAGAAGAAGGCCAAAAAAAGGAAAAGAAAAAGAAAAAGGAAAAATTACAAGCAGAAGAAGAAGAAGAAGAAGAAGAAGAAGAAGAAGAAGAAGAAGAAGAAGCGAAGTCCAAAGATGGAGATGAAGATGGAGAAAGAGCAAGCGACTGGACCTAGCAGCAGCGACGGGGAGGGAAAGACCTCAGAAAGGGAACTTCACATGTCTGGGCATCCGCCGGCGTCTCCTGGTTGGTCAGCTGGCACATCCCGCCAGACCAGATGGGGTTAGCGTAACTTCCGTACCTGACTAGTGGCTCCACTTCCCCAGTGACAGGATCCATAACATCATACCAAATATGGTATAGCGCCGAAATAAAGCACGTTTAGTTCCTGATCGGCGATGTGGGTCGTCTCCACTGGTATAATTACGGCCTCTGATTGGTATGTAGAGGAGTAACAATTCCGCCACCCCAGCCAATCAGAGGCTGGCTGCGCTTCATTCCTTCCGGCGACCTGGAGCTTCGGCCAATCAGCGTGGGCGTCGATCGGTGCTGGATTGCGCGTTCTGCCGGCAGTCAAACAGACAAACAGAATACGCAAAAAGAGAGAAACAACAAAAAAAAAAAAGACAGGTACGGAGTAGACGGGGCTGGAAAGGGAACGACTGTCCACCTGCAGGACTCCGAAATGTAACAACGATGACAGTGGCAAGTGACGGTGGGAGTGACCAGGAGCAGCGGGCGCGGGACATAATAAGGCTCCTCAGCTCCGACTGTTGGCGCGTCAAGAGAGTTACAAAAACACCCCCACAAAACGCCCTCGGCTTGAGGTCTGTCGCATCATCAACGCTCCTCTTCCAGAGCACTGGGATCCAACGGTCTGGCACACAGTCTGTTCAGCGCGATCCCAGAGGTAAAAACTATATGCTCATAGTTACATAGTAAACTGGAAATGTCGCGGAGTTGGGGAGCGTGCACGAAAGGCTCTCCGCGCTGCTGAAACCTGGAGAAACTCGAAGAAGGGCAGCTGATGGCCCGGACTTATGCGAATCATCCTCGCGTCACGGTCCACCCTGGGGAGATCCGATCGGCATGCCCCGTGCTCACTCACGCAATAATATCGTATTAATGGGGAATAACTCCATACAAGAGTGTTGTCCTATTAAAATACGGAGTTCTCTCTTTTTGATGTACGAACCCATCATCGTGAGCAGACGTCTCGTGGCATGCTTTAAAGCGCGACTTCTAAAACTTCCTTCTGGGTTGATCTGTCAGCCGGGATGGAATGCCCTCCAACTCCAACTGACTCGTTACAAAGGCGACGACATAGACATGGATCCATTATGCCAAGGCCGGAATTAATGATAGGAGAACTCGAGTGATCAGCCGGAAAGTCCTCGATGACGGGATTGTTTTGCAGAACGGGCGGAGACATGCATCCCACCATGCACTCAAAATGGCACAGGGATTGGACGGCGGCCCTTTTTTTTTTTTTTTTCTCCTTCAAAATACCCGACTTCTCGAAGAAAATGCCGTCAAGACGCGGATCTGTCGGGCAGCCAGAACGTCAGGATGACGGGTAAAGACACTCCATCGGCGACTGTCAATCGTGTTATCTACTAGTGCGATCCTGCGAGGGGAGATTCCACGGGGAAAAAAAAAGAAAAAAAGGGAGGCGGGGTTGATGAGAGAGCAACTGTCAAGGTTCCCAGGAAGATCCGCTTTTTCCAAGAGAGAGTTTCGGGCGATGAAGGGAAGAAAAGGCCGGCCGAGGGGTAGTCACGATCACAGCGAGAAGGCGGCGATGGCTCATCTTTTCTGGATGTTTTACGATACGGGAGCACTGCGGGATCAACGCTGCTGTCTTCATCGGATTAAGAACTCATACACAAACAATGGTGTCTCCATCTCTGTTTGAGCCCGCCAGCAAACAGACTGCTTGATGTCCTTTTTTTTTTTTCTCCTTCGACGGCTAATGAAGGAAGCAAAAGGGAAAAAGTGGACACACACACACATTATGCATGCATATACATACATAAAGACGGATGGAGAATTTCGTGGAATAATCGTGGGATGTCGCTGTGTGGTGGTGTGAGTACGGAGCGTCTCGTCAGAGCTGGTTGGGTGTGTGAACGAGTTACCCCGCCGTGATACCCCGCCACGAAGCTCTTGTCTGTCCCGGCAATGGGTTGAGGTTGAGGTACGGAGTAACTGGGGGACGTCAACTTAAAAGGCCACACTAGGGGCGTGGCCTTTTTTGTTGGCGGTGCTGCTTTTACGCCAGGAGCTCTTAGCTCCGTCCAGCGCACACCACATCAAAAAATGCCCATGATTCGCTTTTTCTGAGCTCTTCGATGTTCACGCCTCCTCCAAAAAGAGCCTGCGGCCAATCTCTACGGAGTACAATGATCAGAATATATAAGTTCGTACAGTGCTGGGCGTGCAGCATTCTTCCTTTCTCTGATACCCATCTCCTTTGATGTACCCTTATCGATCAGTTGTCCCCAGTCTTGCCTTTCACCAGGGTTCCCGTCAAACGCAAGGTTCCAGCTCAGAGGAGTCGTACACAGTGGATGGATATGATCAGTAGGCCAAGAGAGCCACCAAAGCCAGAACTCGAGGAGAATACACTGGCGACAATGGCAGGCATGGAAAAAAATTGGAATCGGTACATCCGCCTGACCTGCTTTCTGCTTGAAGCCTTCTTACCTTGACAAGGTTCGTTCAAGAATTGAAGCCGACCCCATTGTAGTGGGGAACCCGCCCCTGCTTTATGCTTAGTCAGCCCGGCGCCGATTCCCCCCCCCCCCTTTTCCCCTTCGCCCTCTATATTTGTACGCTTTCGAGCATCTGATCTTGGACCATCTTCCTCTCGAGGACACACATTGTACATTACTCATTGCATAGAGAGAGCAGTCACTTGTATGATAGCTAGATCTCATGGATATGTCTCTCCACTCGCTATTGCCTCGCCGGCCTCGCTCTTTTCCCTCTCTTTTTCCATAGCTTCCCTCACACACGTCATTGGGCAGTATCCTCTACGATCCGTCTCACTAGCTGGGACACACATATTTGCCCACTTCACCGTCACTAGCTCGAAAACGTGGACTTGAATGTTGTCGAAGCATTTCTATGATGGTACCTTGAAAATCACAACGTCGTATCCTTAAGTGGCTTCCTCGTCAGAGTTCGATACTGGAGGATCTACTATTGTTACGAATCGAATCATGATTTCCCCTGGACGCTGAAGCGAGAAACAAAGAATGCATGTGCTTGAGACCCCATTTGTTGATCCTCGCTAACACTCCTTCCAGTTAATCTGCGGCACACTCAAGGTGCAGTACGACCTTCAAGAGACGATGAGATTTCAGCCACCAATCAATGCGGACGACCTCATCAGCAACATTTACTTTGATCTTGCCTACTCGGATGTGGACTTTCCGACTGAACGGCGAAGCGCACAGCATCAGACTGTGCGTAAGATGATGACTGCCACAAGCGCTCGGCCAGATAAGGGAATTTCAATGAATGGCCAGCCTTCACCCGACAGCCTAAGTCACTTTTTCATTATCTCCTTCGAGGCATGCGAGGGTTTGCCCACCAGTGATCCATTCGTTCCTGATGTGTCACTCCATGCAGTAACTCCAGTGCCCCTTCCAAGCATCAGTAAGAGAAAGAGCAGCAAGATAACTGACTCTGACTCTCTCTCTAATAAAAAGAATTCTGTATTCAAGTGAAAGACTTGCTACACGTGCGGGGGTGCTCCCGATTTTCAAAAATATTGCTCTTTCTGTAGTCATGCTCCGGCCTGGTGCTATTAACTTCTGAACCACCACAGGAGATGGATAGCTTACCTAGGTATACTTCTGCTAAGCCAGGAATAAACATGAGTGCTTCATAGTCGCCATAAACATTGCTGGAAGCAATGGAAGAAGAGATAAAGAAGGTGAAAAGGTCTAGGGCAAATTAAAATTATAGCTTTCAGTGGGAGGTAGTCAGGGAAGGGGTGGCTTTGAACAAGTTGAAAAAAAGCGGGAACAGCAAAAGCGTCCTCAGATTTCCCCACGGCATTTTTGGCAGACCACATTGCCAACTGAGGCCACACTTTTGCTGGTCCCCCAGGGCATTTCAGATTTCCCCACGGCATTTTTCCCAAGCCCCAGGGCAGACCACATTTCCAACTAAGGCCACGCTTTTGCTGTTCCTCCAGGGCATTTTTGCAACCTCACAGCCAAGTTCAAGCCGCTCCAACATCCCTAACCAGGTCACCAGGCATGCCTTGGATGATAGCCTAAGCCTTGGTGCACATCCTGGGAACCAGGAGCTAACGTAATGTGGGGGTGCAACCCAGCCTGACAAGTAGGGGAAACGGGAGCGTATAACAAATAGCTAGTATATTCCTTATGTACAAAGAGGAAACGTTGAAGAAGGAGAAAAGAACGAAGGATAAAAGATGTAAATAAAAACACCAGCGCAGTTCTAGGTCATGTGATAACGGATAAACTATCCTTCGGACAACTTGGTGGACGACTTGGCGGATGTACTCCGCGGATGTCGAGGGCAACGCCTGAGAAACTGATAGAGGGCCTAACCTCTTACAGCTAACCACATGTCAATTCTCTTTTTGTACTGCTTGGAACGGTCTCATTCTGCCCTGTTCTTGCAGTTTTGTAACGATTATTTTCACAAGTCAGCTATCATAACTCCTGACGAGAAACAAGAATATATCCCTTCTGAGACTTTTCTCTTACCTCAATTTCTGTCATAGTCCTTATACCTTCTCTGCAGAGCATTGTTGCAACTTGTGTAGGACATAATGGAAAGCCGGGCGATATCGATGGAGAACTCGCTGGCGTAGAGATAGCGGTTGCTTCCATGGTTGAGAAATAAATTGTCTACCACCCGGTTTACAAGATATTCACGGAAAATGTAAAGGTGTATAACCCTGAAAACGACTCATCGCCTATGTCTTGTGCCGGATAATAGCATCCACAATCCGAGCGCTGTGACCGAATGGGATCCACGAACGAGACAATCCGTTGAATATTCGCTGGAATGTTGGTCAGGCGCCTCTAGCCCACGGATCGTAGTCGCGACTCAATTTCCATCTCGAACCTCTCTTTTCCATACAGCTCCTCACGAAGGACTGCCATCTTATCCGTTCCCGGGGGGAAGTCAGACTCAAAGACAGGCTCTCCTGCCCCTCGCATATTGGCAAGCACGGATTGTCGAAAATGCCATCGGAGGAGCTCATCTGATACATGATTAGGGTCGGTTGGATCGCGGCAGACGGGATCCAGGATTCTTCCATCAATGGTCATGTCGTCAGGGAAGAATGAGATGATTTTGTAGCCATCCTTTGCCATGTTAGCAGAGCAAACAAGTTAAGCATCCTAAACACCTACATCTGGGTTTATAGAGAAGAGATACTGGTCGAAAAGATTGTGCAAAGACGCGTCCATGAGTAGACCATTCTGAGTTGAGTTGATTTTGGATATGCCCACAGCATCATCCATGTTTGTTACCCAACGCCCATAGTTGAATTCACACCAGAGATTCCCACATTCTAGTGGAAATACATGCGCAGCATGAAATGCTGGCCACATGTTCAATTGGATTAGATTGTTGACTCGTCCAGATATAACGCATTTCCGATCTCTCGCACGGACCCCGCTGCGGAATTGATCCTCTTGGCCTGAGGAAGAGTAGGTGATGAGTCGCGCCACGCATGGCTCATCGTTCAGATGAAGGGGTCCTAGATAAATAAGCTTAAGTGACCTCTGTGGATTATACATGTAAAAACACAAACCTGTGGAGGAGATGTCATAATCTCCAAGCTCAACCGGGTCTTTTGAAGGAGTAATGATCCGATCCGACATTCTGTGCTTGACAGTAAAAGGTTGTTCCACAATTAAAAGTATGTTGGTAAGAATCCCAATCATGCTTTCTTCAGTGAGAGATCCTTTCTGGTAAAATCCTCCAAGGCAATCCCCTGTCAACGCATTGTAAAAGTGAACGTTCCGGAACGTAGCTCGGCCTGTGGACATTGTGGATCGGGATACGTACTGCTCTATTGAGAAAGAAGATGGAGGATGGTGAGCCACAAAGCTCTTGGAGGAGAACACAGGAAGATGTTGTTATTTCAAAAAACACGAGTTTTTTTGGTTGGAACTTCGAGAAGACTGAAGACTATACAGGGTACGCCGTGATTAGTTTGGGAGACCTAGGATGGCCAAGCGACGCGAATTGGCGATTTGACACCTTACCTGATTCAGGCGGCGCTAAGCCCTGTGGGGCAACCCCTTGATGCTTCTGTGTGCTGGGGTGTGACCACTCAGAGGGACCCTTCTTCAACGCCGTTTTAAGCCTAAATCCATCCGCGTGACCCTCCCGATTGCCTACGCTTTACATCCATCAACCTCGATTCTTTCCGCAAATTTTGTTCCACTTCAACTTTGACTGACCTTGTCTGCGAACTGTCAGTGAGCTACCTCTGCTTGAATCCTTTTCCCGTCCCTTCTGTCTGCAGTCCCAAGCAACTCCGTGGCAAGTGCTGTATCTACTGATGCGCGGCCCTCGTCCGATATCGACAACGAGCAATGGAACCAGCGGTCAGATGCATGAGAGCATATATCCTACGCGAATTGAAAGGTGTCATGCAAGAATAGTTTCCTGAGTACAAGCAGGTCCAGCCGGATTTTGGGCTTTCTGCCAGGTTGCAGATATCTCAAAATTGCAGTTTCTCATCCAGAAGGTTCGCCTGGCAGGGGTTCATGAGATGAAGGAACTTGTGCACGGGTCACTTGAGTTTGCTATTGTGCATCCAGCATCAGCAATCACTCAATGTAAAGCTAGTCTAGGAATTATCCTTGCACTTGTAAGAAAAGTTCTCGCCAGCTGATCGTCGTCCTAGGGCAACAATGTCTCAGTCCATTGCATGGTATTTCACAATCTGCTACATCCAGGCTTCACAGTGAAGCAGCAGTTGAAAAAGTTTGTTTCATACACCCAGTGCTTAGTGAAATTTGGTGACACCTCCTGTAGTGCAAAGAGAGTGACAGTGAAATGTGTGTGCTTGTGCAGACAATGTTGATGCTGCTCATATTTATCCATCTTACCTGACCAAGGCAGCTGGACAAGAACCATTTGCTATTTCAGATTTTTGGAAGCTCCTTTGATGCTTTTGGGAGGATGACTGCATTAAGAGGTGGGAAAGGGCCCTCTTCAGCGATCCACCAAACCACAGTGATACAAAAGATTTGATAACTCTCTCCCCTGGAGCCCACACTCTCTGAGGAGCTGGCCATTTCACCCTTTGTCCTGTTTCAGTCTCCTTGGATCATACAGAACTAAACCTTGAGTTTTATTGGCTACCAAAACAAAGGATTGAAAAGAGACTATATAGTTGATCTCCTTGACAAGCTGGAGACATCCCAGAATTACTATAATGAGAAGTACTACATTCTGGCTATCAATACTGGCATGACGGATGACCAAGGCAGACCCATTCCACGTGCTCTAAGGTCAGAAAATCCTATAGCTTCAAGAGTAGCATTCTCATTTTGAGAGTTTCGATTTCATGCCGCACAGTGATTGCAAACGTCTCCTGGAACCTGGAATTTGAGTGTTCCTAATACGCTTCCATGAGGGCAAGCTCCAGATATCTTGGATGCTTTTGCCAGGCCCTCCGGCAATCAAGCGCCAACCAGGGCGCCATTGCTGGGAACAACTCAAATTCGCCACAGAGCTCGTCGATGGCATATATCATTCTCCAAACGGGCTCACGCTCAACCAGCTCTCGCTGGTGGTAATGCATGGTGTACAATATTACCACCATTGCCTCCGGGTTGGGAAGCTCAAGCAAAATCTGAGGTGTCCATCCGTGAGATCTGCGCTCTAAAAACACCAGAGGGACCCTTCAAAACTGCAGCTGAAACCCAGCATCGCGCTTCTTTCCCGGTGGTGTGATCGTTCAGTTGACCGCAGACACAGCGCAGCCGTGCGCCCAGCGTGTCTCACGCCTCCCCGGCCACCAATGATACCTGGGAAGAGGGAGGGAAGAGGGTGAGAACGCCGTCATGGGCAGGTCGATCTAGCGGCGCAGCGTGCTCGGGAGAGGGCCGCGGTGGACGTAGTCGCATGTGGGACGGCCGCGGGAGAGAGATCCGACCAGGGTTGGCGGGAGGGAGATGAGGGGAAAGAGAGGAAGACGGAAGACGGGCAGAGGTCGTCGAAGCGGCGCGAGGAGGACGGCTTTTATATCTCGAGGAGGCGGCGCGAGGCACCTAACCCGATCGGGCACGCTATACCGGAACAGGAAATTAAGTGAGTCCACAGAGCACGGAGGACACTTAGGCTTGCCCGGGAACCCCTGGAAAACCACCACGGCCAATATGACTGGGCGAGAGCAGCGTGGACATGTAGGAGTCATGACAAATGGAACGGGCACGCGAGGATCCACCTCTCAGGGCACACACACATACACACACACACACACACAGAGCGCGGATAGCTTCCCGCTCCCGACGTAAATCGCCATCCATGTGTCTTTGGCTGATCGATGAAGAGACCAAAGGTGAAGCCAAAGAACGGAATGACTCGAAGCACTAGCTAACCAAATCCATTGACTAACTAACTTAATAATGTCACTGGCCTACACGAGGTTCGCCTGTCAGGCGTGCGTATGTGTTGGCGGTTTCCACTTCACTTTCCCGTGGTGCGGGGCTTGCGGGTGAGTTATCCAGATGCCTCATTCATCGTGACGGTCCAGCGGCAGCACCGGTTAGCAGCAGCATTAGCAGCAGCAAGCAGCAGGGAGACGGCAAGCAGTGCTTGCTGCTGAATTTGCACTGATTTCATTTGGCATGCTTGCTGGTCATCGGGACCCGGATCTGAGTCGTAGAGTCGGCGTTTCGTCTCATTCGTGCGATAAGGCCCGCCTTTCTTCCCGCAGCATGCAGAGCTCACTCAGTCCGCAGCCCGACAAATGAGTCCGCAATCCCCGACGATGACGACCCGCCTCGCGGTCTTCGTTGTGCACCGCAGCCAATTCGCGCTGAGGGCGGGCTGCGTGCGGTGGAGCTGGCTGCAGCGTGGCTTCCGACTGGCCCGCGCGAGCCCACACCGCAAATCTCGCCTGCCCGCTGTGCAGTACAAATACTTCCCCTCCTCGCTGCCCTTCTCTCTCTCTCTCTCTTTTTTTTTTTTTTTCCTTTCACCCACCACTCTCAGGTCTCGTCCGTCTTCCAGTCCAGTAGCAAAAAAAGACAGCTTCCCACTTCAAAGCCTTACCAGTACAGATCACTATCCCCCAGTGATCGTCTAACACCGCCAAAACGTTTTCCAATCTTCTTCCTTCGTGAGTTCTCCCTGTAGCTGCTTGAAATACAAATCCCTCCTCTCTTCATCTATCTCTTGCTCAACACAATGGATCGCTCACGTTCGCCCTTCCGAGCCGCTTGCTAACGTCTTCAACAGGTGCCACCACCCGTTCAACGGTAGCCGGCGCTCGTCCGCTCGTGGAGGAGCATCGGATTCTCCCTACGTGAGATAATTTCAGACCCGCCATTGACTCGTCCATCTTGTCACACCCCCTCATCGACTCTCGATTCTCTCAATTCCTCTCGAATCTCTACAAATCGAAATTCGCGAACAATGGCTCCACACGCTGACGCTGCTGCCAATGGCTCCGTGAACGGGTCGGCTACCCAATCCAACCTTTTCAAGGTTGAATCCCCCGACGTTGTCTACACCGACAACGAGATTAACACCACGTACGTCTATCGTACTACCTCCGTCACCCGCACCGATGATGGTAAGTATGTTGCTTCCCCAAAGGAAACCGTCTACAACTTCAAGGTCGACCGCAAGGTCGGCAAGGTCGGCATGATGTTGGTCGGCTGGGGTGGTAACAACGGAACCACCGTCACCGCTGGTATCATGGCCAACCGCCGTGGCCTCGTCTGGGACACCCGCGAGGGCAAGCGCGCTGCCAACTACTACGGCTCCCTGGTCATGGGTTCCACCGTCAAGCTCGGCACCGATCCTGAGACCGCCGAGGAAGTCAACATCCCCTTCCGCGACATGCTTCCCATGGTCCACCCCAACGATCTCGTCGTCGGCGGCTGGGACATCAGTGGAATGAACCTCGGCGACGCCATGGACCGCGCTGCTGTCCTCGAACCCTCCCTCAAGGAGATGGTCCGCAAGGACATGGCCGCATTGAATCCATTGCCAAGTATCTACTACCCAGACTTCATTGCTGCCAACCAGGAGGATCGTGCCGACAACGTCCTTCCGGGCTCCAAGGCCTGCTGGGACCACGTCGAGCAGCTCCGCAAGAATATTCGGTAAGTAGCTGAAGCCTGCCATCCTCCCAGGTTTAAAAAGGGGAGGATAATAGTTTATGTACTCACAAATTTGGTAGGGAGTTCAAATCCACCAATGGTCTCGATAAGGTGATCGTACTCTGGACCGCCAATACTGAGCGTTATGCCGATATCGTGGCTGGCGTCAATGACACAGCGGACAACCTCGTCAAAGCCATCAAGGAGGGTCATGAGGAAGTTTCTCCCTCCACCGTCTTCGCTGTGGCCTCCATTCTTGAGAACGCTCCTTTCATCAACGGATCTCCTCAGAACACCTTTGTTCCTGGTGCCATCCAGTTTGCCGAACAGCACGGAGCTTTCATTGGTGGTGATGACTTCAAGTCCGGTCAGACCAAGATGAAGTCCGCCCTCGTTGACTTCTTGATCAACGCCGGTATCAAGCTCACCTCCATCGCCAGCTACAATCACCTTGGCAACAACGATGGAAAGAACCTCAGCTCCCACAGACAATTCCGATCTAAGGAAATTTCCAAGTCGAACGTTGTTGACGACATGGTCGCTGCCAACCACGTGCTCTACAAGAAGGGTGAACATCCTGACCACACCGTTGTCATCAAGTACATGCCTGCTGTTGGAGATATCAAGCGAGCTCTTGATGAGTACCACGCCGAAATCTTCCTTGGCGGCCACCAGACGATCAGCATGTTCAATGTCTGCGAGGACTCCTTGTTGGCGTCTCCGCTCATCCTTGACCTGGTCCTGCTTGCCGAGGTCATGACTCGTGTCAGCTGGAAGGTCGCTGATGGCGACAAGTTCAAGGGATTCCACAGTGTTCTTAGCGTTCTGAGCTATATGCTTAAGGTACAGTGCGACATCGTCTCTGCTCATATGCAATATCCATGCTAACGTTCGACCTAGGCCCCGATGACTCCTCCAGGAACCCCTGTCGTGAATGCATTGGCCAAGCAACGTGCTGCTGTCACCAACATCTTCCGTGCCTGCGTTGGTCTCCAGCCCGAGTCCGACATGACCTTGGAGCACAAGCTGTTCTAAGCGCTCAGGCGGAAACTGCTCCGAGCTCATGTGATCTGACTCGTCGATGCTTGCTATGCATTCAATTTGTGTCTCTGGACTTTGCAAAGTATTACTTAAGGTAGTTGTCTAGGAAATTCAGAAGTTCCCACTACAGATTAGTGCGAGAGGCTCGCCTCTCTGTTCTCACTCCAGATTCCATGTAAAGAAGTGTATAAGGCTCTCTGTTTGATATCATCTCCATAGAAGGTGATATTGCGTAGAGCCAATTCAAATAGTAAAATAGTTAGAGAGCCGATCAAATTTGGCTGGGCGCTGAAGACCCATTTGCTGGGCATTGATCGTGAGCAGATGGCTTATTGTTTTTCGGGAATATGTTCATACTCTACTCTGTATCAAAGTAAGTTAAGGCGGTTGGGATGGAAAATTGAACTCGCCCCCAAAATGATTGCCATTTTGCCCGTCCAGCTGGTCTATGTATTATTATCAGAGAGCTGTAACGTGAAAGTGAGCGCCGATTGGACAGTTCTCAATGGTCTTGGCTTCCTGTTCGGAATTCCCCTTTCCGGAAAGATAACCTTCCCAGAACGATAACTTAATGAGGTTTTGCCAAAATAAGAAAGCAAGCGGCGTTGCTGCGAATATCAAACTTCATTCCCATTTTCAGAAACACTCTCCCCTTTTTAGGAACTACCAGCAAAATTAGAATCTCTGGGAGAATTTGATTGCGATGAATCTGTTTTTGCCCATCAAACACGTGATCTAGATTTTTTTGAGGTGAGGTCCAATCTGAGCGCTTCCCCCGGTGATCCCAAAAGCTTCCTATTATCAAATGCCTCACTTGCCACAGATAAATAGACAGACAGTATCTACCTGTCGGATCCCCTGGGCTAGTTTTCCCAAAGCTCCCCCTTCCTTGGCTCTAAGATGCTTGTCGAACGCCAGCTTCTGCGAGAGAATATTACTTTTTCTGTGGCCAAGGAGAAAGACGTCAATATTCTCCATCAGTTAAGCTACAGGTCACGACGGGATGAATTCTTCAAGTTTATCAATGAGCGCCGCAGCCTTGCCGCAAAACTGGCTGCTCACCATTTGGGCGTCCCTCCTAAAGCATGTCATGCGGTGGAGATCGACAACTGGATGAGCGGGAGTTTCAATCTCTGCGTTCTCGTCACCATAAAGGGTTTCAAACCCGTGATTATTCGCTTCCCGCTCCCCTACCGTGTTGGTGAAGGCCCTTTTCCGGGGAACAGCGATGAGAAAGTCAAGTGTGAGGCGGGAGCGTACGCGTGGTTGCAACAGGAGTGCCCTTTAGTGCCAATCCCAAAGCTTTACGGGTTCGCTTTGTCAACAGGACAATGTGTAAGCATACCACCAGCCTTTGCCAACGGTGTCGGTTGACCCCATACCCTGACTCTGCGCAGTTTACAGACGTTGAACAATTACCGCTGCTGCCTCGTCTTTTTCACCGCCTTCGTCGTTGGTATTTGTCTTTTGTTGGTCTCCCGGTTCCCACCAGGTTTGTTCAGCATAAACACAGACTTTCCAAGGAACTTCATCCGTATCTAATCATCGAATACATGGAAGAGGGGGAGATGCTTTCAGTGTCAATGCAGGATCAATACGATCGAAAGGAGCTCCGAAAAAACCTTTTTCGAGACCTCTCAAAGATTATGCTAAGTTTGAGCCGTGTTCCTCTGCCGAAAATTGGTTCCTTCGTCATTGATGATAGCGGCTTTCTACGCCTTACCAACCGGCCCCTTACATTCATGCTGCAAGACTTGGAAAATGAAAATATTCCTGTTGACATGCCGAGGGATCGCACCTTTGCAAGTGTTGATTCCTACGTCAATTCCCTTCTTGTCTGCCATGACAACCGCCTTACATATCAGCCGAACGGCATCAGCAGTGGGGGCGACTGCGTCTCCCAAATGACTGCACTTGCTTTGATGAGGACAATACGCCCGGAGTACTTTGACTCAAGGTTAAATCATGGGCCCTTTTTTTTTTCACTGACTGATATTCACGCGAGCAATATCCTCGTTGACGAAAATTGGAATATTAAATCTATCATTGATTTGGAATGGGCCGCCGCCCTTCCGGTGGAATTCATAGGCACACCTCTTTGGCTAACTCAGGAATCAATCGACTGCATCAATGCCGAAAAATATGACCAAATACGACAAGAATTCATGGGCATATTTATTGAAGAAGAAAAACACTGTCCTGCAGACCATGCCATCCAACGGGCATCAACCATGCAAAAATCGTGGGAACAGGGAATATTCTGGTATGTTGCTGGCTTGGAAAGCCCCACTGGGCTTCATTCCATCTTTTACAAGCGCCTCCAGCCACTCTATGATAAGAGACATGCCCAAAACACGGACTTCTTGCTCATGGCTTGTGAATATTGGCGGCGAAATGCGATGGACTTTATCAGATCCAGGATGAAGGACAAAAAGGCGTACGATGAAAGACTTCGGGAAGCCTTCGAAGAGCACTGATCTTGTCAGCACAAAGGTTCTTCGTCGAATAACAGTTTACTCCTTTTCAATCCATTCTTGTTTTCTTTTTCACTTCTCCTTTTTACTTAGATTTTGGATCCTTACTTTGGGTGGGCCTCGAAGCTGCTAAACACTGCTACCTTTCCCTTTTCCGTCATAATCTTTATCATCAATTTTTTGCTGTTGTTGCTGCTGTTTATCCAGTTGTCGTTCCACAGCACGATCCAGAGCTGCGATGGCCTCTGCCTCCCGCTTCTCCTTGGCCGCTCGTCCCGACGATGATAGTTGGATGAACTCCTTGAGTTTTCCTTTTACCCCCACCTGCGCATCTTCAACAACAGGATCCTTGTAATCTGCGGAAGAAATGGAGCGATTGTCCGCCATATCGATAAGAGGGCTGCTAAATCTAAGTTCAACGTTAAATACCTGAATTAACCGATTGTTTACAGTAACTGATCGAATCTAAATGATTCCAGAGCCTCTAGCGGGAATATATTTTATGTGGACAGAAAAATGTCAGTTTTGCCCGATGCTGTGCCACAATTTCGGTTCGGTCGGGATGCTGCATTGACACCAAAAACGTCCTTTAGCCAGGCAGTTGATTCAAGCCTCGTCCTGCCGCACAGACCCTTTCAGAAGCACCAACACACGTCCAATCCGCAATACTTGATGCAGTCCAGGCATGTGGCTTCGGAACTTTTGGAGACCCATCCCACTCCTCCTTCCGTGTGCTAGAGGAAACGGATTTGACAAGTCAGCTCGGGATCAGCCGGTGTGGAATAGCATACCGTGGATTTTGCCTCCCCCTTTTCTTGTCAAGAATATAAAACAGGGTTTTAAGGATTTTCGAGATGTTAGCTGACCGAAACCTAGGGAGATCGGGGCGCCTGTACCCCTGAGCGCTCTAGGCGACATCTAAGGATCGCTTTCGGATCAATTTCGAATCTCAATGAATGGTTGTTAAACAACCTGCGCCTTTCCCTTTCCACTATACATAGACGACCAGATATCATACAGGGCCATAACCAAGGATGGGATGCGGGAGTTCAAGCTTATCATTAAATATTCACGGTCTTCCGTACCCAAGCGATGCTTGTTTCTTAGCATGGCTAATCATTGTATGAAGCTGACAGACTTTGTTCAGCCTAGGATTCGATAAGGGAGAATCTTATTGCAATATCTCTGCTGTTCCACTTTCTCTCTCGGAGACAGTGTCTCGAGGGAAGCGGCGACATTGTTGTACCAGTCGACCTCTCCGCTGTTCCTTGTCTTCTGTTGGCTTTTCTCTTGGTAACACTTGTAGCTTCCACTTCTTCTTGCCCGGCTAATTGATGTACTGTTGCTGCTGTTAGTCTCAGACAGCAGGAATACCTGTAGAGGGTTTCATCACCTCACATTCAAAATGTCTTCTGCCATGAGGCTCCCAATTCCGCGTTTAAATACTCGCAGAATATCTTGCCACAGCACCAGTAGCTATGGAGAACTGAGGCGCCCTTGATTCTGGTCTGGTGGGTTTCACACAGCCAGTTGTAGAATGCCCTTGCGTCCGGGGCCTCCATCTTCTTGATCCACAGCTTTGGGGTCGTGTTGACCTCTCTGGCACAGAAACCGGCTTCAATCAGCGAGGATGGAAAGGGAACAAATTGATGAAGTTGTGAGAACATAATCTGACCATGAGAGTCTGTTCGAGACTGTCCTCTTGCCCCAAGTCTGTAGTGTCTGCATATCATTTTGGAGTAGACCCCACCTTCGCATGGCATTCACGCACTTCTCTGAAGTGACCGGCAAGTAGACCTGATGTACTGTACAACAAGGACACGTAGCGGACTCTGCTGGGTGACCAGCACCTTTTACCCTTGGAGCATACCACCGTCATCACTTGGTGTTGTTGATATTAAAGATGGTGACATGACTCTAATATTTTAGCTTCCAATCTATCTTGAATAATCTTGATTAGCTTATCATGTACAGAGTAGTCGCTTGCGAGATGGTGAAGAGGCGCTTTTGTTGACGAATATATTGCCTTGTTAAACTGAGGTAGCCGGTGACGGGAGAAACAAAAAAACTAAGCCATGCGATCTCTGCTCTCATCCCTGCTGGCCTTCCTCTCACTCTCTGCCTCAAAGCCCAACTTTGGCTTCGAACCCCATAACGCTACCATTGATGCAGTTCATGCAGCTTTGTTCTCGGGGAGAGCAACATGTCGGGATATCGTCTCCCTCTTCATCTCCCAGATAGAAACCTACAACCCCCAAGTGAACGCCATCATCACCCTCAACCCCACCGCATTAGACACCGCCGACGCGCTGGATGCCATTCTACGAGGGAAAAGGATTGAAAATGGGGATTTCATGATACCTACAGGCGCTCACAATGCCACCATTCCTACCTCCTCCTCCTCCTCCTCCTCCTCCTCCGCGGCCGCTGCGGCCGGCCTGCCACCCCTCTTTTGCATCCCGATGTTAGTCAAGGACAACATCAACACATTCGACATGCCCACGACCGGTGGCTCCCTTGCCCTTTCCGCTCTCCATCCCAACCGCGACGCACCCGTCCTCTCGCACCTGCGACGGGCCGGCGCAATCCTCCTCGCCAAGACAAACCTGCACGAACTCGCCCTCGAAGGTATCTCCGTCTCCTCGCTGGGCGGGCAGACGCTGAATCCCTATGATCTATCACGCACGCCGGGTGGCAGTTCGGGCGGGACAGGCGCGGGGTTGGCGGCGGGGTTTGGCGTGCTGGGACTGGGGACAGATACAATGAATTCCGTAAGAAGCCCGGCCAGTGCGTGTGGAGTGGTGGGCATGAGGCCTGGCTGGGGACTTGTAGATACCCAAGGTGTTATGCCAGCGTCATTCAGCCAGGATGTCGTGGGACCGATGACGAGAGGGGTTCGGGATGCTGCAACCTTGCTGAGTGTGATGGAGGGCGGAGGTGTCGATCACTTGTCTGCGTCATTGGATGTGGATGAGGGAAGAACGGATGGGAAGTGGCTGCAGGGCATGCGATTCGGCGTGGTGGAAACGTTCTTCAATCGCACGGCCTCTGCATCTTCCGATCCGGACGTCTCTGCCGTCAACACAGTCATCGAATCCGCCCTTCGCAAGCTCCACGACGCGGGCGCAACTCTCATCCCTATCACCAACCCACTCTACAACTCCACAGACATCCACGCAACCATGGACCTCCAGATCTACGAATTCCAAAACGCTATGGACTCCTACCTCTCTTCCCACCAGCGCACCACCTCTCCAAACATACCCGCCTCCCTCTCTGCCCTCTACGCCCCCGGATCCCCTTTCCTCCTCCTCCCAAACCAATACCCCCAAATAGCCCACTCCCTCCACTCCTCTCCGCAAAACATCTCCTACATAGCCCGTAAACAGCGCATATCCTCTCTTCGTTCTGCCATCCGGTCTACTTTCTCGACTTTCTCCCTGCATGCACTCATATACCCACACCAAACCACCCTCGCCGTCCCGCTCGGTTCTCCCTCCCAGCGTGGGAGGAATGGCATACTTGCTGCGGTGACGGGGTTTCCTGCCATTGCTTTGCCTGCCGGATATTCGCCGCGGAGTGAGAATGCCAAGGAAGGGGTGCCCGTTGGGATGGAGATTCTGGGTCTGCAGGGAGACGAAGGGAGGTTGTTGGAGCTGGCGGAGAGATTGGAGGGGGTGCTCGGTGCAGGAGGGAGGGTGCCTCCGGTGTTAAAAAGAAAGACGGTAAGGGGGTGGAAGAGGCATGTAGGAGTTCCGGAGCTTGTGCCTGATAAGAAGAATATTCCAAAGGAGTATCCCCTTGGAGCGAGGTAGGCATGATCAAAAATTTCATAATATCTCTTGAGAAGGCGGTTGATGTGCATTGGACATCGAGCTATGTATTGAAATGGTTTTTGAATATCGACGATATGAAGCAATGTTCGGATCTCCTGCGATATGAAACTGCCGTCTATGCGGCCGTATCTATGCAGTCCCACTGCGTACAAAAAGCAGCCTGAGACATAATATTTGGATCAAGTTACCACATCAGCTCTCACATGTTCAACCTCTTAGAACCTCTCAAAACAGCCAGCTTGCCAAGTTTAGCACTCCAGCCGAACAACACCGTAATCCTCGCATATAGCATCAACGTCTCGGTGACGATCAACTTCTCCACAATAGGTGCTTCACCGCTATCGCTAACAAGATCAGCTGGGTCACAACAAAGGAGTTGTCGCCATGCTGCTGGGACCGGATCAGCAGGGATGAGAAAAGTTACTGCTGTGGGAAGCTATATGAGAAGCTGCCATTTTCCAACACGCAAATCAACCCACTCGCGTGTATCCAGGAAGCCATCTTTTTTTCCACCTCGATAATGTTTCTTTATATTCCCATCTTGTCTCTCGAGTATCTCATTCTTTAAAATAGTCTTGCAATACATTATAGTTTTACCAAAATACTATGCCTTCCCCCCCCCTTCAAATAAGATATTTCCGTTTCCAACAGAATCTCGACACCGGATCATACCTAGCATGCTTCAATGATATACTCAAAAGGCACATCGACAATGTTTAGCCCATGGTCCAACACCAGAAGACGAATATCCTCCAACTTTAAAAGTAGAAAATCCTTCAGTGACATCTCTGAGGTGTTTAGATCCTTGGGGAGGAGTTGCTTCGACCATAGCCTTTGTAGGTCAGTCAACTTCCGCGCTTGAAGGTAATCCAATAGAGAATGAGCCTGCTTTATGAATACTTTAACACTCCATTTCCTCATATAACTAACTATAGGCTATTTTGGGGTGGTTGTTTGAGGAGGGGTGCCGGAATAACCCACAGTTATTGGGGGGTGGCATAACATTTGTAGCAAACCCCCTTGATAATTACAAACTGGCCACCGGAGGAGGTTGGAATATCGGAGGAGCGAAGCCGCTCTCGTGAGACACTTGCATTTAGCCAAGAGATAATAAGTAGTGAGGATGCAAATTGAGGCTGATTCAAGGATCGATTAATCCAGCACGGCACCTATGAATTAAAATACATTTCCAGAAGAAAACAAACCGGGCTGGCTTTGAGAAAGAGAATCAGTGAAAACTTAAGAGCGCCAGAATTGCATGTACGAGCCCACGACCACCCGAATCCACACGATAGACCGGTACACGTTTAAAGCATTAAACCATAAAGATAAACGAAGCTCCAAACATGCTTGACAAGACGACCAGCATAGCGCACATCATAGGAGCAATACCAAACTCAGGCCGTAAACCTGCGGCAGCACCCGCGCTGGATGTAGGATCAACGCTTCCAGATCCAGGCGTGGCAGTTCCAGAAGATTGTGTCCCCGCATTCTGGCTGCCTTTGCCGGAGAGACCTGGTCCCTCGCCGGGGCCGTCTTTCATAAACTTCTTCGCAGGTTCGGGGATAGCGGGAAGAGACTCGCTGTCAACGTCCCAGTTGGGAGCATTCTTCTTGGGACAAGGGTTGGCACCGCCGGTTGAGTTGTAACCTCCATCGCCTGAAGGATTCTTCGTGCCCTTGAACGCCTTTGCCAACGCTTTGAAGTCGTCGAGTTCCTTTGGTTTGCCTTTGCCAAGCTGGACCAAGCCATAGTTGCTGGGTTCCTGAGAATACTCATAGACGAGACCTCCGGAGTACACAGGTGTCATTTTATCAGAGTACAAGGCCTTGACTTCACCCCAGTCCCGCTTGTTGGTGTTGCAACCGTATTCTGAGAGGAAAAGAGGTAAACCGTAGCCAGTGAAATTCTCGACCTTTTGATCCCATCCAGAAGTGGTGAAAGACGATGGAGAGCACCACGAATAGTCGTTGAAAGCGAAGAAATCGCTTCTCTCGTCATCAGTGCCACAGTTCATATATTGTGCCATTTCAAGACGGTTTGTATCGATATCGGCCTGTGAATGAGGTCAGCACAAAAACCAAAATTCCAAGGTTGACCAGCAGGAAAGAATCAAGTGAGACGCACGGCAGAGTACCCAACTGGAACCTTTCTCAATCCACGGGCTCGAATGAATTGACGAATGTCACGAGTCACGGCCTTAACGTAAGGAGCGGTGTTCGAAGTTTCGCCATCGTTGATAACTTCATTTCCAGAGAAGAATGCCTGAGCGAGATTAGTCGAAGCAACGGGCCACGGGGCTTTACATCTTCATCTCACCAGAGTGTTATCATATTTGGCAAACATTTCGACAGTTGCAAAGGCATTCTGGAGATAGACGTCGTTGTAGGACGCCTTAGGTTCTGGATGGAGTTAGAATTTGGCTCCAGATACCGAAGGAGGTGTCACTCCCACCTTTGCGATTGATCGAGTACTTGGGAGTGTTGACATCAAGAACGAGATAAATCCCAGCATCTGAGAGAGCCTTCATGCACTCATCGTGGTTTTTGGAGTTATCGACAGTATAGATTCGGATTGTGTTGACACCCAATTCCTTGAAGTATTCGATGTCCCGCTTGCAGGTTTCTGTTTCAGCAATTGGGTCCTCAACCTTTGACGAACCACCCTACATGTGGGAGGTTAGACCTTTAGTTACATTAGGAGATATATTGAGTTGTTTGCCACCAACCGGCTGATAGTCACTGTTAGACAGTCAGTATCAGGTCGCGCAGAAAGGAGTCGGGGTTCAGCCATACAGTCCACGAATATAGAATCGCTCATCGCCTTGGAAGAAGGCTAGCAAGGGAAAACGTTTTCAGTTAGTTAACGTGCTAGAAGATGGCGCGAAAACCGCAACAACATACCGTTGCCTTTGATGGTGATGGCAGGTGTCTTGGAGCCTCTAGCTGTCACCACACCCGCGTAGGCGGATGTAGCTCCCATGGCGGCGGCCGCCACCAAGGAAACGGATGAAGGTTTCATGGTTGGAGATGGATGGGGTCGAGTTCCGCAGCAATATAAGCGCTTAAATCGAACAAGCTGTTGATGAAGGAAGACTTGAATGCAGAAGGGAGATTTACAAGAAAGCAGCGGTAAACAACGGATGGATGATCAACGAAGGCGATGAATTAAAATTGTATATTGACGAAGAAGGTAGAGCAGCGAGCGAGCAGCGGCGGAAGGGCCAAACTGAAAAGAATGGCAGCCTCAGGTCCCTTCCTGCCTTGAGAATTGACGAAGAGAACGGGGATGGAGCGAGAGACAAGGAAGAGAAGCGGTTTGACGAAGAGAGGAGAGTTCAAACGGAGAGGTGGGAATGGCAGTGGTGAAGAGAAAGGAAGAAAGAGAGAAGAGCGCGGGCAGACCAAGGGGAAAAAAGTGGGCAGCGGATCGAGCGACGACGTAATGGCGAACGAAAGGAACGGCGTGTGCGATTGACACGCAGACTGCGCCGTCGCCCAATCGCCTGTCAAAGTCCGCCGCTGCGCTGGTGGAGGGAGAAGCCGATCCGCTCCCGCCATTGGCCCCTGAACCGCTGTCCACGCAGCGATGAACTGGCAAGTCGTCGAAATCAGGGAATGCCGTGTCCACAACTGCTCGGCGGACGCACCGTGGCGATACACCCACGGACGGGCAGTTGGTTGCTGGGTGCGTGGCGACAACGCCGATTTCTGGGCATGGCAACGCGTAAACAAAGGTGTATTAGGGGATCGATCTTCCGAAACGTTGATTGTGATCGAAACTCGAGAACATGCCTAGTTTCCTGCTTTCCCTCTCTGCCATCCTTTGAGCTAGAGTCCGACATATACATATCGATTCGAGGCCACAATGTCATGCTTTGAGAAGAACTGAATGCCACTCAGGAACACAGATCTCAATTTTCTACAGAGTACGGAGTAATCTGTACAGAGTCCTGCAGCAAAAATCCATTACTCCTTCAGTGCCCGGTTCCCTATGGATGCAGATTAACGGTGCACAAACCGGATCCATCTCACCTTCAGGCGGCCATACTGCCAGTTGTGGGCCAACATCGCTATCTGAATTTATGGGAACTGCAGCTGTGGTATTGAACCACAAGGCCTTTCATCATCAGTTTCTTTCTCTTTTTTTTTTGTATTTCTTTTCCTTTCTTTTAACAGCTATCTCATCTGCAATTGAAGACTGGAAGATTTCTGATCAGGAGAGCCACAAAAAGAGAATTTCATCGTGAAATCGATCTGGTAATTGATTATTAGCCTTGTTCATAACATATATACGCAGTAACATACCTAATCAAGCACTGTTAACTTGTCGACCGTGGCGCTGGATCTCTGACAAAGAGGAGATCTTGGACCTTTGTAACCTTACATCCATTTCATTTCAGAGTACTCTGTAATGTGATCAAAGCTATTCAGGAGGCAGTACAACACAGCACCTATACTGTCTGATGGCGGTTTCAAATGCTGAGAATGGCATGGCTGCTGCGCTCTCTGACTTCAGGCCAACAAAGTCAATCAATTGAGAGATTCATGTCCAACGATCGTACTAAGGCTATGGCAGTGCAGTCTGCTTTGATTCGCTCAATCATTTGGTACCTGCATAACAGATCTCATCCAGCCAGCCTTTCAGACTGAGCACTGTTCCAAGAGCCTGATTGTCGTCGTCTGCAATGCCATTGTGTCTAACACGCTTGCTTGGCACTGGCTGAGATGGTAGGAATCTGTACTCCGTACTCCGCATGGAAATCAATAACCCAAATATCCCAAGATGCTCACTGGGTGGAAGCATTGGGTGTGTTGTGTCAGTTGGGTTCAAAATGTCGAAGTGCTGTTCAATTAACGCTGCCCATGATCTGCGAGACCATGCCAGAATGGTGGTAGCGTGCGTTCCTGGTGTGCTGACGGTCGTGCACATAAACCTACTGTACTCATCGACCCAAAGTGTTTCATAACCAGAAGATCCAGAATTCTCGGGGGCAAAAGCCAAAATCGTCGAGCATACGTAAGCCAAACGCTGCGACTCCAGATCGCTGCACGTCGACTTGCCCGTGTCATTTCCGCCGGGCGGGTGGCGACCCAGCAAGTCCATTCGTGCAAGAAATCACCTCCACATAACCGCCAATCATGGATGAAAATGGGCAGATTGACAGGGGCGCATACACGCGTTCAATGGAAAAGGTTTCCCGCGTCGGCATGCGATAGCTGATCCATGGATCCTTCCGCCGCAAGATGGCCATTTCGTTTCATGAAGAAGCGCAATCGATTAGTTAGTTCATGTCTGCTGTTTCAGCCCGTGGTCTAGAGACAAAGCCGCGGGACATAATCTAACAAAAGACGGCTGATGAGCCCTGGAGTAGGGAGTGCTTTTTCTCCAGAGGAATTGTCCCGGTCCGTCCTCGCATTTGCCCCTTTCGGGGATGGGGGGCCCTTTTGCGGGCTCGAATACGGGGTACCTCTCTATTTGGTATCCATCGGCTTTGGCATGAAAAGAGGATGCGATATAGTGAAAACCAGCAATTGACTGGCTATGATTGTCTACAGGCATATCCAAAGCAATTTCAAAAAGGCAAGCTAACACGCCACTACCAATGTATCCACACACGTCTAAACACCAGCCGGGGGAATAAGGATGTATATGCATGTAGAAAATCCCAAACCAGTACAACAATAGTGAAGCTCTTGCCGGAGAAAACAGCAAAAGGGCATTTTATCCGCAGCCTGAGAACGAACCCGCCGAGCAATATGAAAACAACGCTCTCAAAAAAAGAAAAAGTAATCGAAAGATTTCTATGAGGCATCCTCAATATAATTCGCCGGGACACACTTCGTCACTCCGCCTTTCTCAACGTCCGCCCATCCATTCCCACTGTCGCGGTTGATAAGCACAAACTTATCGCCCTCAGTCATGCTCCATTCTGCCTCCGTACGTGCTTCGTAGTCATACAGTGCGACTACGTACTGCAATTTTTTAGCACCACGCTTGGGAGCAACAGCAGGACCACGGCGCTTATGTGCGAGGCTATTTGCCAGTGATGTGCTCGATACGGAATACATGGATTCAGGACGACCCTCCGGCTCCTGGGATGCAGTCGACTCAACATAGGATGCTGGGATAAGACCCGTGGAAGAGCCGGTGCGAACACGCATCCAGCCTGAGCCGTCTGTAAAGACACGATCGAGTTAGCCTGGCTACCAAGGAATAACGTTATACACACAAACGGGGCTATTTACCATCGGGCTCGACAATGACAACATCCTGTCCCTCGTCAACGCTTATCTCATCCTCTCCGTTGGCTTGATAAGGGTAAAGCATTTTCCCTCGTGGCTCGGAGGGTCTTGAAGCAGTGCCACCGTTTGAAATTGGCGGTGGTGCGCTTACATATTGATCCGGTGGGGGAGCCACGATTCGATGCTTCCTTAATGCAGTGGGCTTCTGGGCTGGTGACACTGTAGCAGGTAATTCTGTAGGCCCAGTATCGGTGGTTTGACTAGACAAGGCCGATGTCGACCTAGTAGCGCTCGCTGCGTATCCTGAACTCAGTGAATTCATCGTATCCCGGCGGCTCAATGCCGGTAATTCAGCCGTACTGGATGTTGTCGTTGCAGCTTTATACGGGCGAGTCTCATTGGCAGCCTCTTGCCGCTCTGCTTTTAACTTCTTCTTCTCCTCCTTGGATTGCTCTCCCGGGCATTCTGCCGGAACTTTCATCTCACATTTGCTGTGACATGTATATCCGCAATCTCGGCAATCGAATCCCTTTGCAGAAAGGCCCCAGATTCGTTCGCCACAAAGGTCGCAGTTAGTAGGGATCTTGAACGTCTGTGGCCTAAAGTTATGATTCTTTGCTCCAAGCGACAAATCCCCTACAACTGAAGTAATAGTTGACGTTTCTACTTCAGCTGTTAATTGTTTGCGGTTAAATTGGTGTAGGTCTTCTTGCATCGAGAATATAGCACGGACAACCTCTACCTCATCCCGCTTGTCCTTGCCATCCCGGATACTTTGACGAACTCTCTTCGCGTTTTCAACTTCCCTTCGCTTCTTATCGGCTTCTCCTTTCATTTCTTTCATCTGGGATTTGCTTTTGGTCAGGAGATTCCGAAGGAAGATCTTCGCAGCTTCGTCTATCACCATAGTAGCATCGTCGTGCCAGACTGGGCTCGGTTCGAACTGCATGTCCTGTGGTTCCTGCCAGTTCGCAACATTGTGCCGGATAAACATCATAGAATCAAGTTTGGGGTCGTTTCGGGGGATCTCAGAGATGACGTGAGCAATCTGTTCGTCAGTTTTGGATATTAATGATTTTTCTAATTGCGCGGCAAGTGTCCAGATTGAATTGAGCTTGGCCACTCGAGTCTCGTTAAGGTCTTGTAGACCCTGCGAACGCATGTTAGCTCGAGCGGATAGAGACAAGTGTAAACGAACTACCCACGTCAAGTAATTCAGGAACATATTCATAGTAGTATCTTTCTTTAAGCTTGTTTGTGACATTAATGGCAATCAGGTAGGTGTTCTATTGCAAGTCAGCCATGTTCCGCTTTCCCCGAATGGATATTAGATACCTTTACGTTATTCATCTCCAAAAGCTGTTGCTGATAGGCATTTTGTGCCTTTGCTTTTCCATGGTCGAATGCGGATTCCATTTTCTTGCGCCGATTTTCCACTTCCTGACAAACTCCGTCATATTTCCCTTTAACCTTCTTTAAATCATTATAAGAGGAGTCCCTTTCTTTTTCCAGTTTGCCAGACCATTCGCCGTGATTCTTGCGGAGCTCTTCGTACTTAACAGCTATTTGTTTCAAGGGTTCGGCGATACGAAATTCAAGATCCGCTCCAAACTTGTTGCGTTCCGCTGCTTGGGCTTCGATAGCAGATAGCTGCGTCGTCCACGTTGTCAAGGAAGCAGATTCAAGCGAGCCGGGTGTCATCGCAGGGGTATCCCCTACGCTGAGGCTGCTTGACTTCTTTGACTTGCGGTCGTGGTATTTTCGACATAGTGCCGTCAGCTTCGATGCGTATTCCTTCTCTATGGCACTGCGCTCTCGGTAGAACTGTTGAATCTCATCCAGCCAGCTGATACCGTTTGAGACCTAGGAAGCGGGTTTAGTCCCTGCATTGGAGGGGTTACTTCAGGGGAAGGGTTGCCAGACGGAGTTGATTTCCACGTACCCAGGCATTGACGGGCTTAAAGGCATCCTGTACACGAATCAGTCTTTCTACCCTGATGCTAAAACATAACCAGAAACTACATACCCTTAGCTCGGCGCCAAAATGGGGGTCAACTTCAGCCTGAGACATTTCTCCGTATGGAGTACAGCTTCTCAAGATTCCCTTTCCCCACGCAGCAAATGCTAGGCCAGGATACTTCAAGTCCGGATGGCTAGATCAGCACAGCGAGAAGCATGTACTGTGACGTGGGAATGAGATATCGGGTGCGTCTGTCATTGCGTCTCAGCCGCCCACCAGTTTACCTTTACCCCGTCATCGATGAGGCCGCAGAAGTGGGCACAAGCCATTGTACCCTAACCGTATTAGGTTTAGCCTATTTTGTTTACTCTCGGACAATACTTTCTCCATAACTAGTGAGGTTCTGACCTCGAGGTCAGTTCTCGATCCCTGCCGACCATCGTGTCGCCCACGCATCACTGGCCTGTCGAACTACCTACTCCAGACCTCAGTCGCTGCTGCGGAAGAACCAGGCATTTCGGCGCCTAAGCCTTTTTAGGAAAGGCTTAAATTGGAGTGTGTTTATCTACTATACCATAAACGGTAAGACGCGGAATTCCCTGATTAACTGTATCAAGACTAGCCTTTGCTTACTTAATTCAGATGATTGGTGACTCAGCAAGGTATCGCGGGGAGAATGTGAAGGTGGGCGTGACAGTGCAGAGCAGAGCAAAATCCGTGCAGACCAGTGAACACTGGCAGCAGTAGAGGCAGGATTCTCTTCTGCTCTTGTTTAATTCTTTTGTGCCACGCGTCCTCCCTGTGAAAACTCTTCCTTTAGCCTAATTTCTTCCCTTTCTCTGTGTGAATCCGTACTGTACTCCAATCATACTGACAGGGTCGTCCCCCCATCCTCCTCTATCTTCATATTTGTGAGCCTCCCCGGGCAGATTTTCTGGGCCACTTCCCATTCTTGTTATTTGGTTGTCTGCGAGTTTCAATACTTACCAACGAATCAGGTCAAACTCCGCTTGTTCACGCCAGTATGGCGTCTGAAAACACAACAGAAACACCCAGTGTACCAGCTGGCGGGCCACTTGCAGCTCGGATCTCCAGACCAGAGGGCGATGCCAACCCACCTTCTACCGGTATGCATAATTGAGAGAAAGAGCCTTTTTTTTTTTTTTTTTTTTTTTTTTTTATAACACATCAAGAAGCCAAGTTAACAGTACTCCTAGAGGCAGAGAAGCCGGCCGCTGAGGATGATTCCGGAAAAGGCCCTTCGATCCCACAAGTGGACGGAGCTTCAGAGGATCAGCGTGGCTCTGAATTACAGGATTCCGAATTTGACGTCAATGTCAAGCTGAGCGATTTGCAAGCGGATCCGAATAACCCCCTCTATTCCATCAAGTCGTTTGAGGAGCTAGGCCTGTAAGGCAGCATCGTGTTTATACCCGCGATGTTTCATAGGAGCTGACATATTTTCGCTCCTTTTAGAGCGGAACCTATTCAAATGGGGCTGTCCAAGATGAACTTCCGTCGTCCTTCCAAGATTCAGGAGAGAGCCTTACCGCTTCTCATGGCAAACCCTCCGACAAACATGATCGCCCAATCGCAATCTGGTACCGGAAAGACAGCAGCGTTCGTTTTGAATATCCTTAGTCGCCTCGAGTTGACCCCGGAGAAGCAGAAATCCCCCCAAGCCTTAGTTCTTGCACCGAGTCGAGAACTGGCAAGACAAATTGTTGGAGTCATTCAAGCAATGGGAACATTTGTCGAAGGACTCTTTGTGGCGACCGCTGTTCCCATGGAAATGAATCGCAATCAAAGGGTCGAAGCATCCATAGTCGTTGGCACGCCTGGAACTGTTCAAGACCTCATTAAGAAGAGACTATTCAACACACAGCATCTCAGAGTTTTGGTCTTGGATGAGGCAGACAATATGTTGGATCAGCAAGGTCTTGGTGATCAATGCATTAGAGTGAAAAGGTACCTACACTCTATATTTATTTAGATTCTGGAATAATCTAACCTTTCACAGTTTGCTGCCAAGAACAATTCAGGTCGTCCTGTTTTCCGCAACCTTCCCTGACTTTGTTGTTCGGTATGCACATAAATTCGCGCCGAATTCAAACCAACTGACGCTTAAACACGAGGAACTTACCGTTGAAGGCATTAAACAACTCTACTTGGATTGTGAATCAGATGAGCATAAGTATGAAATTTTGGTTAAGTTCTATGGACTGCTTACAATTGGATCTTCTATCATTTTTGTCAAGGTATTTTGCCTCTGCCATTCAGCCTATGGCTTCTTGCATGTCTAACTGTTTTGTAGACACGTGCTTCAGCTGCGGAGATCGAGCGACGTATGGTGGCAGAAGGTCATACAGTAGTTTCTTTGACCGGTGGTATCGAAGGACAAAAGCGCGATGAAATCATCGATCGCTTCCGCAATGGCACAGCGAAGGTCCTCATAACGACCAATGTTTTAGCTCGAGGAATTGACGTGTCCACTGTTTCAATGGTTATCAACTATGTATGTCTCCGCCAATCACCCAGATCGCGGCGCATATGCTAACGATCTCCGCTAATTATAGGATATTCCGGAACTACACCTTCCTGGGGCAGCTCGCCGCATGGCGGATGCACAAACCTACCTTCACCGCATCGGACGTACTGGCCGCTTCGGACGCGTTGGTGTGGCCGTGTCATTCGTTTCTAACCAGGAGGAATGGCAAATGCTCCAGGATATCCAGAAATACTTCAGCACCAACATCGAGCGCGTTGATACCCGAGATTGGGACGATGTGGAGAAGAAGGTCAAGAAAATAATTAAGCCTTCTGCCGTTGCCCGTTAACTCCAACTTGACGGCTATAAATTTTGTCAATTTTCATATGCTTTTCTTCTATCTAGGCGGCTTATGGACATGGGTTGATATGATCGGAATGGATTCTCAGAAATAATTCGAAAAGAAGGTTAATATGGTTTCTATGCAATTACAATGAGAATGATATGCTGCATTTTCGATATGATCGCGCGCTGGATACAGCATCATAACTGCCTCGTGGCGTACCGGTTTTGTCCAAAGATCTCGCTTTTCCATTTGCTCGATGTTGCAAGCTTCGGCATGTATGTACATTCCCATCGTGTGGGGGTCGGTGTTAAAAGGGCGTTGGATCGATGGCCAATCGATTTTTGTCTCTTTGAAGGCCACCAACCTTTCAGGGAACCGGCTAAGTTCAGTGCTAAACCTGTAGACTTACGACTGGGAGGGCTCTTGTTTCTCCCAAACTTGTTAATGTGCCTTCGCCAGCTGAGTTCAAGGCCTCGAAGCAAATTGTGCTGAGACGACTCTGCGGAGAAAACAGAGTTTACTGGTGCCCTGGATAAATTCCCGCAAGAGCTACTGTAAAAGCAAGCATAGTCCTGCAAGCGCAATCCTATTGAATTTGATCTCAGGGTAATGACATATATGCGAATGCGAATAACGAAAGGATATACTGCTCGTTAGTTACGATATGCCCCTGATAAAATCAACAAGAGAATCGGAAGTAATCCTCCATCAAACAAAGCCCGAAACTCATTGTAGAGGACTATGTAAGGGTATCCCAGCAATTTCCGCATCATACTGAGCCCGGAAACTGAAAATGAAATGTGAACTTAGTACATCCTATGGATGGGATATGGCAAGCAGAACGGCTCGAGCAGCAATGGCCAGTGTCCAAGCAGCAGACCGGTGTTTCGTCGGGACAACACCTCTTGATGCAGGAGCGGCAGCGCTTTTTCTCAAGAGGACCAGCCGCTAGCTCTGATCTGGGGAGCACTGTAGGGTTCACCCTGGGGATACTAAATGATGGGTCTGGTAGGCATGCTGGCTCGACCAGACACATCGATGCCAGAATGAAAGAGTAAAACGCATAGGTAGTCCACCGCATTTCGTTCTCGAGTAGAAGGAATCTGATATTATTGTAAATCTGTGCTCTCTGAGGGTTAGCCACTTTTGCATCGTCAGCCCGAATACATATCAGTAAAGGGGGTCCCTGCTTGTTTAGTTCATAGTCTCTAAACATGAGTGATGGAATGTTGAGAAAAAAGCTCTTTCTGCTAACGCCGCAGACTCGTTTTATATACAGAGTACTCACATGTTCCCAAAAGCTGGCTGCAGGCTGCACAAAATATATAATGTTGGTGCGAACCGTCGCGTCGGCCTGGCCACTAAGGCTTGCGTCAACTGATTCACGAATAACTTCTTCTCCTCAGGAATTTTGCTATTGCTATCATCAAACAGCAGTATTGGAGTATATACTCCGGGAATTGGCTGAAAGGAAAGTATCCTAAGCACACTTGCCTCCCTAGTTCAAGCTAGAATCTTTGTCCCTACTGCATTGTACTCCGTATAGTACCACAGATTTAAGGGCACAACAAAGCCCTGATGTTCGCACCCAGACCTTTATTCTGTTTGTATCCACTCCACTGTTGGGGTCATTTTCAATGTAAACAAAGAACCAGTGTCAACTGTTAGTTACATTGCTTCAACGCGGTGATTCTGGACCATCCCTTCGAAGGCTCGAGCTGCCTCCGATGACGACATGAAGTCTAGTGCTCCCCCAATGACTCTGGCAGCATTGCTACACATTCATTTTTTTTTTTTTTTTTTTTTTTTTTTTGGGGGGGGGGGAGGGGTGAGAGGGGATCGGGATCAGCCTGACACACCGAGCAATTGTAGGACAAGAGATGGCTCTCAATCACAGTGAGGAGCAAGGAAGACATGACCGCAGTCAGGCATAGTATCATCTGAATAAGCCTCGCTTTGCAAGCTTCTTCCCAAACAAATCATGGAAGATGACCGCAGTCATCGTCGTGGTTAACAGCTTGACTGCAAATGTGGTTTTAGGAAGCAATTCAATGACATGAGCATGGATGAAAGTACCAGGGAGTCTCTTCAGGATAACCCTAGCATTGGAACGATGATGTTTTCCTGACAATATCTTGGTCCAATATGTAATTCATTGAATTTATAGTGCCACTCCTGAGGCTGCAGAGTAGCTGGGCGACTGGAGCGTATAAAGTTTTGTTCAAGAGAAATTTACCCAAAATTCAAATGCACCAGCAATCTCAAGACACAAGGTTTAGGCCTCAGCTCTGTAAATTTGGTGCAAGGTATATGTATATCCGACATCTGTGGTTGGAACGGGGATATTGTAAACTGGCACTAAAGAACTACAAAGGTTTTAAACATTGACACGATATCTATTCCGGGGCGGAGGGGGTACTCATGAAAACCCAGTGGTTGTCTCATGACACGAGTATATCGGCGGAAGATTTGGAATTCTGAATCTGCGAAATTTTTCAATAATCTGACCTCTTTATTTCCGTTCATTAGGGACAGGCTTCGCGATCATGAGCCCCAGTAAGGAGTTAGCAACTTCGGCCGCCGCAAGCACCGTCGTCTCGCCTGTTGTGTCATAAACGGGAGCGACTTCCACTACATCTCCACCAATGACGCGAAGCCCGCTTAGGCCATCCAGAATAGTGAGCAGCTCTCGGGTGGAGAAACCACCGGGTTCAGCAGTGCCAGTTGCTGTTGAGTCGGATTAGTCGGAATGACTTAAAGCGCACAACGGAAATTGGAGAATGGCCATGCTTACCTGGTGCGAAGGCGGGATCAAGGACGTCAATATCAACGCTGATATACACATTGTCTGACCCAACACGGTTCTTGATCTTTTCAATGATCCCCGATGCGCCGATCATATCTATGTCGCGGGCGGTAACGATGTCAAAACCGCAGCGGACATCATTTCGAAGATCGCCTTTTTCTCGGACGAGGGGAGCACGAATGCCGACGTGAATTGAGTTATTTTGAACAAGTCCCTAGCATGAGTGTAAGTTTGCTATACCTGCGATGGCAATGCACATGCTTACTTCTTCATGGGCAATATGTAAGAAGGTGCCGTGGTTTACGCCCCTGCGCTGAATTAGTCATTGTCAACTATAGACAAGCAGAGAACTGAGACCTACGCGTAGCTAGAAACTCCACCCCCTGATCCAAATAAATTGGACAATGATCAGCGATTTGATGCACATAAAGGGTTTAATATGCCATACCTAAGACCTCCGGATCCCAAGTGTCTGAATGAACAAGTTAGCAAAGTTGTTTGAATCAATTAGCCTAGGTTTTACAGATAACTAACATACCGATGTGGCTATCGAAATGAACGACAGACACCGGTCCCCATTTCTCGTATGTCGACCGTAATGCGGAAAGAGTTGTTGTGTGGTCACCTCCAAGGGTAATGATTCTTGGAACAGAGGAAACATCTGTTGTGTTTGCTATCCGTGATGAGACGACCTAGATGGAGTGAGTATGGGTATCTCCAGGGAGCTGGTCAAGAGGGATTACCTTGTGAGCTTTATCAAGTTGCTTCAACGCGATAGTATTGTCCAAAAATGTGAGCGGCGCATCGCCACAGTCAACGATCTTTGCCCAGCTACGGAGGTTATTTACTCCACTATACACGCTCCAGGCGGAACCCGCTCTCATTCTCGCTGAGCCCCGGCGGATACCTCCAGGTCCGTATCTTGCTCCTGGCCGAGCAGTTACAGCCTGATTGGATCGTCAACGGATTTGACTTTCATATCAGACGGGTTGTGACTTAGGAAATGCACCATACCGTGTCGAATGGAGCTCCCAGTATGGCAATATCATATTTTTCTTTCTCTGCCTCGCCATCTATGAAGCAGTTCACATATGGGACATGAGCGAACGTTGATAGCCCGGAAAACTGGCTCCCAGTCACAATATCGATATCATCAGCTACACCGTCATTGCTGAGAGATGCCTGCCCTGTCACCTCGTGGATTGGAGGAAAGACTATATTCCTTGCAACACTACCTGTGCTGAACAGGAGCAAAGGTAATCCAGGGAAAAAGCGCATATTGGCAGAGGTTCGGCCAATTCCCACTGTAATCGACAACAAAAGAACTGGAATAACGATGAGAAAGTTGCACCGCAAAGGGTCCAACGCTGATTTATGTAAAATTCCTCGGAGCTACCCCCACAAAGAACCCACTCGCCCCAACGCGCCCGTCTCCTTGGGATGAACGGGTTGGTGGAGTTATGACGAGAAATATGGGTGGGGCTCGCACGCAAGGCCTGGCGGCGGAACAGCGGCAGTGCCCCGGCATGCTGACAGAGGATATTGGTCCTAATATCGGATGACCGGTGCAGAGAAGCTTTGACATGGTTTTAGCTCGGGGTTTTTCTTTTTTCATCTTTTGCTGGGGGAGGGTCGGCTACTCCGCAGTTGGTTCGGTAACCGCCCGGTTAAACGGTCGGCACGGAGTAACTCTAATTCCGGATAACATGTGGGGCAAATCAGCCATCGTGGCACGTGACTCCGACGTTATCGCGTGGCAAACAATTTCGACGCCATCCCGCAGAGTAAGGCTTGATGTACTGATTTCAATTGAAAAAGTATCCGGTCAATAAAGATGGTGCGATAGCTCTAGATCTCTCATCATCCGAGAATCCCATACTGATCGTTTCATGTGGTCCCTTCCGGAGTAGCCTCATGCCGATTCGTCCTACTTCGAACCGGGGCTTTCGAAGGCGGAGGTCTATGCTCAGGTTCTCCAGCAAGCGCAAGGCCTGACTGAGGGACAGCGGAACTGGGTACATATACTCCACTTTCTGTTCGGCAAACAATTGGATCTCAATTGAAATTCGGAACGCTTTTGTACGATAAAGATATCCTATGCTGACTTCGTCCTAATAAAATATTTCGTCCTAGGTGAGGTGAGGAAACGCATAAAACTATTGATTTCCAGTTTTCAATGACTTGTGGGATTTGGAAAGCTTATTTTCCAAGCAACCTTGCAAGTGTCTCTTCCCTCCTCTGGCACGCCTATGCAAGTCTCCCCGCTCCCTCCAATGCCGTGAATTGGGCTGGTTTCTACGTCCGGAAAGATAAGTCGCCATCATCGGGAGTTTCCACCGCAAGCGATGCGAAGAATATTCTTCTCCTTGGCCCGTTCCACGGTAAACCGGCGTGTCAGTTGATACCATTCGGACGCGGGGTCTGCGGTACCGCAGCGTCGAAACGGGAGACGGTGATTGTCTCCGATGTATTGGAGTGGGAGGGACACATCGCGTGCGATGCGGATAGCAGGAGTGAAATTGTTGTGCCTATAGTCGTCGATGGAGAAGTGAGTATTGATCAAGCCTTGCTCTGCTCTTGCGGCAGAAGGCCTCTTTTCTTTTATGGAATTACTGGCTGATAACCGACTGTGTCTATTTTACGGCTCGCACCGAAGACGCTGGCTTTGATAGATATAGATTGCACGCAACCATCTGGCTTCGACGAGATAGATAAGAAAGGTCTGGAGCATTTAGCGAAATTGCTGGCAGAAAACTGCGACTGGTGAATGATGGTAATGCGATTGGTGACATAGAATATAAGCCTGCTTGTCACATTGATGGTGTGCCACATTGTTAATATTCTGGTGATTGTTTCAGACTCAGGACAGAGAGGAAACTATCTCCTCAAATGCAATCTCAGCAAGTCAACACAGGTACAGTACACCTTGCTTTGCCAAGAACCTAGTTAGACTAAATTACCATGGCTCCACCTAACATAATTCATCCCCGAGCGAGACACCAAAATATACTCTGTACATACAAATTTAAACTTTTTGCTCTCTTATATCTCAACAACATTGTTGAATATAGACTTTAGAATTTACATGTAAAGCATACATTGCCTGCAAACTCCTTACATGAATGAACAACACTCACAAGGGCTGAGAGCTGCTCACGAGATGCTAAGTCATATGCTTGCGAGCACACATAAAAGGCAGCCACTGTGCGAACCTCTTAAAGGAGGCCAGTGGCAATCTTGTCTACAGTCATACACAGTTGCTAGAAGAATATAAGACTTTTACCTTGTGTATTCCTTTCCACATACAATTCCTACTAGAGATCCATTGTCACGCTGATCCGCGAAGTATGATCCTCACAGATCTGGATCATTATCATTCTTAAAGAGAAATCTAGTATATATAGAGAAGAGTATTGGAGAGAGAGGTGATCCTTGAGGAATTCCAATATTTAAAGATACCTTTTCATGTTGTTTCTCACCATCAAAGACCAGTTAGATTTTTCTTGTTTTCATAAAAGAAGAAATCCATTTAGCTAGTGATTTAGGTAGTTGTAAATCTTTGTTGATGTTACGCGACGGGAGTTGCCAATATAAATATCAGAAAATATCAACAATATCAAGAAGTGCAGTCAACAATGTGGGAGAATCAAGTGTGGAACCCTGAATCAAAGATGCAATGTAGATCAACCTTAATTCAACAACATGCCTACCCACGACCCAACCAAAGGCACGAAAGTGAAAGAAAACCGATTCCATAACGGCCATCCAGCTAAAAGGAACCCCAAGTTATCCCAATCCACATTTGCTGATGAGGATGCTAGACGCGTACGCGTTGGGAAAACCGATCGACTAGGTGATTGATTACATTAAGCAGAAGCTCTCAGGGGAGTATCTTTCATGAAATTACCCTCTTGTCTTGTAGTTTGAGACATGGCATCCTTTCTAGGTGAATAGACTATTTTGTCTGATGATGGCTAGGCCAAGAACACTGTCCGGGGTTAGGTGTTCTATAAGGTCATCATCTTTCTTGTGAAGAAATAACTCACGTGCACCAAGACCTGGGTCAAAGGTTGACCCGGTACTTTCAAGGCTCACTTAACAGAGACTCTCCGCCACGAGATGCCTGCCTTATGCCTAGGTCCTGAGCAAGGCAAAATCCTCCCAATGTTCCCATTTGGTTTTAACTTACAAGTTGTTGAATGAACGCGTGTTGCTTTGACTGGAGGGGGAATCACAAAATGTCAAACAAGATGATCGCCTCTGAGGTGGACAAGGTGGAGGAATAGGGAACTCTTTAAAGCAAAATTAAGGCCACTAACAAGACTCATGGCCCCTACATGCTCCATAGTATGCTCTCTACCACCTCAATGAAGGTGCCTGTACCAGTCAAAACTGAATCCAAGATGCTCAGGTTCACCCAAAGAAAGTAGGTCAAGAAGTCCACACTTCACCAAATCTTCGCAAAAAGCCTTCTTTGAGGAGAAACCCTCTAGTAGAAGGTCATGATCCGCGTTGTCACGGCGGTCGTCCTTGGATTCAGTGCGATTGGTTGACTCTTTGCTGCCTCCCCGTCGTACAAACTCCCACCAATCCCCAAGGCTCCACCACAGCCCATCAATGATGGTTATAACCATGCGCCATCCATTGTTGGAAGTAGCTTCGGCGTTGGTTCGTTCCCCGTTGGTCTCATTAGCAAGGAGCCTCTCTGTGTGTGCAGCCAATTCCGCAACGGTTGCATGTTTATTATGCCAACACTTGTCAATAATATCATCAATCACCGGATCACCATCTGGCGTCGGAAATTCCATGTTCTGCAGTAACTTCACGACCTTAGGTCCATGCTCCTTGGGGTTATCTGGAGTAAGACATCGATCTCCATAAACCTCAAAGCCGTAGTTTATTAGGTAGTACAAGGAACCGAGAGCGAACTGCTCTGTTCGAGGGCCCAAGAAGCCGGCGCCTCCACGTGGTCCTTGATCGCTTTCGCTGCTGTTGAGCACTCTTCCATACGGAGGTATACAGGCTTCGAAATCTGTCCCAATTTGAGCTGCACAGTCAAAATCAGACAGTTTAAGCAAGTCGCCGTCAATGAGGATATTGTCAGGCCGGAGGTCGCCGTGAGCAAGGTTGAGCGATTCAAGGAAAGCAACAGCTTGGGCAAGGTCATTCAGCCATACCTTCCGCAAAGGTAGGGGCTCTAATTTTTTCACTTTAATAAGAGCACTGGTTTGCAGGTCCCGAAGATGATTGTTTTGTATCCTGTAAGAAAGGGACACATCTAGTGATGCCGTTAGTATATAGATAAACCGGTCAGCTGCCAACAGGGGCCGCACCTCTCATATACTCGAGGAAGATGCCCTTGTCCGTGTAGTAAAAACATTGTATTATAGAAGGACATGGCGGACGTTGTGAGAAGATCTCATAGATCTTTAGCTCTTTATCAAACTGCTCTCTCTCAAACTCTCCGGGCTGAGGGACTTTGACCACGATGCGGGGATGGACTTCGTAGACGAACGAGATGGCTCCTTTCCAGATCCAGTGCACATCGGGGAATTGGCGTCGATTGCCCATGAGAAGAAAGCGATGTGAGGATCGGAAGTTATGGTAATCTTGAAGAGCAAAGAAAGAGGAAGTGAGAGGTGAGCACAGGGGGGCTACATTGCACGACGCATTCTGATTGGTTCATGTTTGCCTCGCGGCAACTTTGTTCATTAATCATGATATTTCATAGCACCTAAACTTTTGCCTCTAGTCGTTACCTTGTTTGATTTTATAATGACGAGGATCAACAATGTAGCAGCCCCGTCTTGCATGCGTGGTTTTCAACTTGTGTCTACGGAGTACTCCGTACTCCGTACCAATACTTAAAGTTGTTGTGCCTGGACGCGACCCGCCGGAACAAAGTTTTCCCATTAGATCAGAACCTTATTCCCAAGCTTCTTCACTTCGTTCATTGTCTCTTCAATTTTCGAAATCCGATCGCTCATTTGATGTCAATATGACAGAACTCTCCCCCGCCGACTGCGCCATTATAGAAAAATGCCGGCTCAGAAATACGTCTCACAATTTACATCGCCGCCTCGAAGAAGCAGACCAAGCCCTTAGGAACCCAAGCCCACCGCGGTCTGACGCCTGTCAACAAGCGGTCTTAAGATTACTTTACTTTCTACAGGGCCAGGAAGCTGCGTTCGGTCTTCGTTCGAAGACAAGAGATGGAAGTGTGGCGTCCGAATTGGCTACTCTATTTCGACACGTTGAAGGCAATTTTCACTATGACCACTACCGACCGCTTGTCCAACTTGTCCTCCAAAAAGCACCCGACACCGACATCTGGAAAGCTGTCTTTGACCTCATCGCCACTGTCACACAGGTTGAAAGATCCACGCCTCCACCCAGGCCGTCTTTACCAATCCTGCAAACCCCCCGCTCGCGAAACACCAGTAGTCTTGCCAACTCGTCGGAGCTTCGAAGAGATATTGACCCTGTCTTGACGGGGGAACTGTTAGGCGACCTTCACGGAGACATTCCAGGGTTTTATGCTGCGTATTTTGATGATGTTGAGGGACTCAGCTCGATCGCGCAGGCCGTGTTCGAGAACTGCAAGGCCGGTGATAGTCCTCTGTACCGCGAGGAGAGCGGATGGAAGGACTGGCCTGACAATGCGGTCGAGAAGCCTGTCCTGGAATGGCTGAATGAAATCATCGACCAGCTTATACAGTTTGCACAAGATCACGATCCATCTCGAAAGGCCGCCCGCCGACCTTTGGCTCAGCCTGCAAAGCCGATCGCCGGGTCCACTGCAAAGCGAAAACTCGACATAGGTTTTGTGGACGACCTGCATGCCACACCGGACAAAAGGTATGAGTGGTCTCAGATCCTGGTGCCAGGGGAGTTGAAGAATGACCGAAAGTATGATATCCCTTCTGGGGCAAGGCTCGACCTGGCAAGGTATGCTCGAGAGGTGCTATCCGCACAGGATGACCGACGATTCGTCCTCGGGTTCACCCTGTGTGGACCACTCCTGCGTGTTTGGGAATTCGACCGTTGCGGCGGGATTGGTTCGGAGGAGACAGACATCAACAAGGACGGCCTTCAGTTCATCATGGTGATCCTGGGATTCCTCTTCATGGACCGACCGCAGCTTGGCTTTGATCCGACCATTGTCACCGTGGACGGTCGACGCTGCATCGAGATTGATCGTGATGGCAAGAAGGAGCGTCTGGTGATTGATGAGGTGATTCTGCGGGCACATTGTGTCGCGGGCCGAGCCACAACCTGCTGGAAAGCGCATCGCGAAACAGACGAGTCGCGGATCCCCCTGGTGATCAAGGACTCCTGGCAGTATCCAGAGCGCCATGAGGAAGGGGAACTGCTGCGAGAAGCAATGGAGAGTGGAGCCACGCGCATTGCTCGATATGATTTCCACGAAACTGTCCAGGTGGATGGCAAGGACGACAATGTGCAGGCTATTCGAAAGGGCCTACAGGTCCCTAAGTCAAAATCCAAGCGGGGTAGCTTGCAGGTGGCCCTGAGGGGCAGTGCATCCAACAGAGGCAGCCAAAGCAGCGCCATCAGCCGAAAACGATCTTCCGATTGTGTGGACACAATACCTCCCCCTCCCAGCAAGCGTACCCAGTCCAGCTCTCTGACAAAACATCTCACAGACAGTAGCCCACCGAATCGAGTGCACCGTCGCGTCATTGTTCAAGATTATGGGAAGCCAATCTATGAAAGCAGCTCAAGAGTGGCTTTACTTATTGGAATGGAAGGCTGCATTGTAGGCTATGAATCCCTGTACTCCAAGGCCAGATTGATCCAGAGTGATATTTCGCCGCGAAATCTTTTGGTCAATGAAGAGGATGACAATCCTTCATGGCGGTCCTTCTTGATTGACCTCGACCTTGCCATTCGAGTGGAGCGCGATGGGTTCTCAGGAGCGCGAGGCAAGACCGGCACCAGGGCGTTCATGGCAATTGGCGTGCTGTATGGGGAGAAGCACTCATTCATGCATGATCTTGAGTCATTCTTCTGGGTTCTTTTCTGGATTTGTGTTCACTATGAAGGCCCAGGAAGAGCAAGGCATGTGGAGGATTTTGAAAAGTGGAATTACATGAATACAAGAGATCTAGCCGGCGCGAAGAAAGGTTTAATCAGTGATGAATCGGATTTCCTTACAACCATGGATGAGTACTTCACTCCATACTACCAGCCGTTATCGCGATGGGTCAACAGGCTACGGCGGGTCGTGTTTCCAAACGGCGGACGATGGAAGAAGACAAATTCAAGCTTGGGTTCGGAAATGAGGAAAGTACTTCGGGATGCACAGAAAGACCCTGAGGTCATAGATTAGAATATGCTGATTATTTATTTGCTGATGTTCACTGGTGTGCTATCAGGCTGGAATGATTTCTTTCGGGTTTACCGAATTACACACTCAGAAAATATCCAAGGGCCTCGAAGTGACAAGCGGCGCCGTTAGCACTTATTGCAACCCATCGTTGGTGGCTCAAACGGGAACAAGCCAGAAAGCAACCAATGACTAAGGCACTTGGTCGAACTCGAGTCGTTGTGGTTATGACCTATGAACCGTTACTGATGAAATTCGACTGGGCCAAGATCGAACTGAATAGGACCTCCGCACTCTTTCTTCGAACTGAGTATCGCTTTTCGAACCATCGATTTCTTGCAGTCGATCAAAATGATCTGGACATCTTGCGCGGCAAAGCTCTCTCCCGCATCATACCGGAAGGGTTTTCCTACGTTTAGAGCAGCGTAATCTGGAGGTCTGCGGGGAGATTAGACTAATCCAGCAATAAGTGATTTATCATACTCACGGGTTTGAGTGGTTGCTCATTGTGAAAATCATATACCAAACAGAATGTGCTCCAGCTGCTTAACGGGGCTTTGGTGGTTGCTGTGGTATCACTCAAGGCATTTAGAAAATAATCTGAAATGGATGTCCATGATGAATGCTGGCTCGAAGCGAGTTTCTGTGAGCGAATCATCCAGGCTCTCAAATATCAAATACACACGCAAGCCACCGCCGAAGGCTAAGATAATCATGGGATAAAGTGTTCCGATCAATGGCCCATATCCTCAAGACACGTGAAATCTGCGGCGAAGGCATTGTCATGGAGCGCCATTCCGACCGTTGAAGCAGTCTGGTATGACACCAAGCGAAATGAGCTCGGCGCGCCACGTCGGCTTCGAGCCATGACTGGCCGGGAATTCAAGAACGGCTTTCACGGCAGCCTTTGGCTTTTTCGTGACAGTGTAAGCCACTCCGGCATGGCAACAGTCTCCCCTGCCGCCATTGACAAGTTCAGCTTCCATTGAATGCCTACATAACACTGCGCAGCTGACAGGCAGCAGCTAAACCTTAGGTAAAGTAGGACGGAATATCTAGATTCCGATAGCCGCGGCTCCACAGCTTCAAGTTTCCTCTTTTGGCACTTCTGCGCAGGCTGCGATCGCTGAGTTCGCCCATTTGGAGGGTGAAGTCCCGATGCTCATAGCGGTTTAAACCCGAGCGCCAGGCTGCTCATTGTTGAGGCCACGGATGGTGCCTGGTTTGACCCTGCGGCGCTAATCTGAGGGGACGTTAAACATTGGATGCAGACCGAACATCAGGGCCTGCATCGTCAGGCCATGACTACCCACCACTGTTGAATTTCCCTTGCCTCGATCTGAAAGGGAATGGTGTTGGCTTTATTGGAAACTCATTTTCGGGTGATTATTTTCATGACTGCCTACCGCAGTTTCGTTTCTGTTCGACCAAGGAATGTTCGTCTACATCAAGCAATGCATGAATTTTCTCTCCGGTGTATGTCCGCCACCCCATTTGCATTGGTTTATTTCAGCAATTAGTGCACCTTGGCGAAGGCCTGATCACTCAAAATGTGACCACTTTTTGTCCAGCTGCATGAAGCTAAACAAAACCGCCAAAGTATCACCATGCTCTAGCCGGTGGGACCGGCTGTCAAGTACGTTTTAATTGCAATCGAGTGCACTACTGGATCTGCAAGAGATGTCATGCCCATCCTGGCGGAAAGCCCGACTTTTGGGGAAGCTCCCCAGAGCCATCAAATTTACCGACATGTCAAAATGTGAACCGTTTAGGGTGTTGTGGATTGGTCCAGCTACTCTTCAAGTCCTTTTAGTTGCTCCGTTGAAGCATGGCTCACGCTGTTTTCATCAACTGACATGTCTGTCTCTTCGTCGCTCTCATCTTCAAGTTGGACCCACTTGTTTTTGTATATTTTCTCCGGGGGGGTTTCCTTCACCGTTAATCATAACCCATCGAAATATATCAAGAGATGCTTCCTGGGACGGTTCTTGGGTTTATGTAAATTGCTTGACAGATTTGTCAGTGTAACTACAGATGTAGTTCCACCGGGATGGGTGGCAATGGTGTGACTTATTGTTGCTGATATTTTATTTTGATAACAAAATGAGCTGAGATACTCATTGTTTTGAGTGAAAACATCCAAGAAGGTTCACATCCATAGCTCATGACATCTAGCATGCACCCAACACGGGGATCTCCATCTTTAGCTGTGTAACTTGATGCAACATTGCGTAGTAGACTCCTGCTCTAGCAGGCCTTTTTTTCCTTTTTTTTTTTTTTTTTTTTTTTTTTGGAACAACTCTATATCATATCGACTCGCACATAAATGAGGAGAGCCGCCACGTAGCTGTCCCATCAGGAGAAAATACCGTCAAAGTCACCTTTCGCTGAAATTTCCTGCTCCATTTTGCTTTTATCTTGAACTACGCTCTCAATTTCAAGCCATGGCAACTCGCAGAACACAACTCCCTAACCTGCCCAAAGAAGTTCTCGATCAGATCTCAAGCAACCTCGGTTACGCATCATGTCTTGCTCTCACTCTTACCTGTCGAGAGCTCTATGCTAAAGTCAACCTCCCTACGCGACCTATCAGCGATATATATTGCCATTCTAAAAAACCATACGCCATGACAGACCTCCTCGAGATAAAGATGTGGCCAGTGTATAATGGAGCTGCTTTTGACGACGATCACTTGAAACAGGCAACTCCCAATCGTGACTTCTTCGCCTGTTACATTTGTCTCAGACTGCGCTCGGCATCCGAATTCTCCAACGCCATGATGAAGGGTAAACGCGGAAAACTAGGCTATAGCATCGTCTCCGAGAGGTCCAAGCGCTTTTGCATGTCGTGCGGCGTACTTTATAGCTTGTATCAGCCGGGAAAACCTTTCCAGTTTGGGGGTAGCTTGCTCGGAACGGCGTGGGTTTGCAGGGGCTGTCATGGATTAAAAACTTTGACCCTGTGGGACATGGGCTCTTCTTCAGATGGGACATGCCCGGATTGCGGCGAAAAACCTCCCTACCTTCTAGAAACAAGTACTTGAAACGAATCCTGATTTTGCCATCCAATTAGCCCTTTTATGCTACCTTTGCGTGAAGCCGTGAATATTGTCTTTGTGAGAAATAGAAACATCTGCCTTCCCCCTGAGCTGGATGTTTTGGATGAGTATGGTTCTATTAGACACAATCAGAAGGGAAAAGCACAAAAAAAAAAAAAAAAAAAAAAAAAAAAAAAAAAAAAAAAAAAGAGGGAAAGAGGGGGAAGGGATACAGATTTGATGCAGAAAAATGACCCCAGCTTGCAGATGGGTACCCGCAGTGGAAAATTAGGTTGATATAGCAAAAAGAAGACAGCAGTGGAATAATGACATGTCAGGACTTCGATAAATCCAACGCGAAAGGGCTGGGGGCAATCTGATTGACGATGATTGAGCTGCTGTTAATCGTTTGCTTGACAATGGCTTAGTGAAGGAAAAGCATGTTAAGTCGCAGTCAAGTTTATGAATACATGCATATGAGTTAATAATGACACATGTCAGTTGCCATTACACATTACTTATTAGCATATAGAGCACATATACTCATTTAGAGGAAACTATCTCACCCATTCCTATTCCACCCTAAAGACGAAGCAACAGCGCCCCAACTGTCGTCAGCATCGGTGCATATCCCCAATGATTCCAATGCCCCTTGCCATGACCCCAACACACAATCCCATCGGCGAACGCAACCCCACTCGCCGCAAGCAAAATCCAGCCCAGGACCTGATTGTTTCCAAAATACGAAGCCGAGTACATCGCCACGCCCATAAAGATGTCTCGCACGCCGTAGACGGCCATTAGGCTGTTGACCATCTTTTTGTCCTGCAGAGATGAAGGAGGTGTGAATTCGAAGAAGGTGAGGGCGTTGGCGGGACGGAGGACGGCGTTGACGCCGAAGAAGACGAAGATGGTTCCAAAGACATTTGCGGCGATGGCGGGGGCGAAGTTCGTCATGGCTTTGGCGATTGAATTCCGCTGTGTTTAAGTTAGTCGGTAGTTCGACCACGGAGAGCCGGGATTTTTTGGACTTGACGTAGCAACCTCAAGAGCCCCCGACCTAACTACCCGGAGTATATGTACTAGAGTTGATGGATAGGTTGACCTCTTGAAACTTTGCCAACGACCAGCGAGTGGTTGAATTCTGGATTCCCTTGGAGTCAGTCCCTTGAGGAGATCCTGAGCTCCTTTTATGCTCCTCGCTTCATGTTGGGATCGGTTTTCGCGGCGGGCCCCGAAGCAGACGGAAAGTTGCAAGTCTGCCGTCATTCGCGACTCTGCTTGCTGGGATGAGCTGCTGTTGGCCCGACGATCCAGGCAGCAGCCCCCGGCCGGGGCGTCTTGGCAGGTCTTCGCGACGTTAAGGCAACGAGTGGGAGTTTATCACGTCGGAACAGCATTAGCTGCCCTCACAAAACCTGACGAAAAGTACTCAGGGGTACAGATATGCAGTTGATGCAAAGTTCGTTGATTCTGTGCACTCCCGAAACGGAATGCCTTCTCGGTATTATCACAATTCTAGAGTACGGACGTGGAAGTCAAGCCAAAATAAAGAGAGTCGTGATCGGCCAAATCGCCAATATCCAGAGCCCGAAAATTCTCTCGTGCCGAGAATGTGAAGCAACGCATAACACAGGCCACAGGCAAGAGGGGGGGCATATTTAAGAAAAGCGAAAGAAACATGTATGGTGCCCATGTATGAACTGTATTTATCTGGTGGGGCTGGTATATATGCACAACATGAGGGTTAAATAATAAAGAAATCTATAGCAGGATGAGTAGACCAGCCGGGTCAAGCCGTACTTCCGGACCTACAAACAGAAAGAATGAAAGGGGGTCATGTCACATATTCAACAAACTCATCACTCTCTTTAGGGGACTCGTCGTGCCAGGACTATCCCCGCACTCGCTGGGACCCAGCCCACTGTCCGTCCCCTGGCCGAAGTCGGTGTAGCTGTCAGTGTCGATGTCCCATTTTTCCTCTTCATCGTCTTGTTCGTCAGCTACCGCTTCAGGAGCTTGCCCTCTTGGGGTGCCCATCGGGTCGAGTCCCATCTGTTCTCCCTCTGGCCGATGGGATTTGCTACTCCACCCCTTTTGTACGGCGCCCCTCACGTTCCAGCATAGGGTACGTCGTACGCTCTCGAACCATTCGCCGCCACCGGAGACAACGGTGGGGAATGGGTATTGACTAGCTTCGAGGGTGACATAGTCACCCGGGCATAGCTCAATACGTCCTTTGCCGTCGAAGGAACAGTATGCTGTGGAGCGAGAGCCTGGTGGGATAGCAATACGGAGGAGAAGAGTGTCGGAGAGGACCATGGGGCGGAATGAAAGTGTATGTGGGCAGATGGGTGTGAGGAGAATGGCAGGGATAGAGGGATGGATCAGAGATCCACCAGCTGAGAGTGAGTATGCAGTTGAGCCTGAAATTTCGTTAGCGAAAAGATGGAAGTAAAGCTCGTGGGAAATTGTACCTACCTGTGGGTGTAGACAGGATGCATCCGTCCGCCTGGACGATAGTCAAGAGCTCGTCATCGCCGTATACTTCTAAATTAGAGACATATGGAGAAGGTCCACGGTCGATAACGAGCTCATTTACAACCTCGAACTGTTCTCCTTCCTCGACAGCGCCAGGCCTATGTTTATTACTGTGGTCTGCACGGTAGACGGTACACGTGAATCTCATGCGAAGATTCACGCGCATGCCGACATCTCCCATAATGTGGTTGAGATGTTCTTTATATTTCGAAAACTCGAAGTTCGTCAAAAAGCCGAGGCTCCCGAGAGAAAATGCTAGAATTGGAGGAACAATTCGCTGGAAGAGCCAAGACGTGAAAAGCACGGTTCCGTCGCCGCCCAGCGTGATCACCAGGTCGAACGTCTCTGGAGATGTCCAGCACAGGTCTGGCGTCCAGTACTTCAACATCGATTCGAAACGAGGCTCTTTCCGAAGCAGGCCTGGGGCATCAAACCGCGCTGACCTGCGCAGCTTTGAATCGACGTAGACATTGACGCCGAGGTCGCTGCCGTATCTGGGGGTGCTGAGCAACCATTCAGCAAGTTCTCTCGTTAGATAAACCAGTCCGTTATCCCGAGCCTTTGTGACGATCATCACATTCTTCACAGCGACCTTGATAGGACGCCGCTGGAGCTGCTTTGACACCTCACGGACACCCGTGGCCGTCTGCATCAGCCTTGAATGAGACATCCATTCGTCCGCAGCGATCTCCTCCAGCACTCTTTGTATGTTAACCGCTCCATCGAATCGCTGGTGATAATAGCAGGGAGATTTCAGGGGAAACCGGGCAGTTGAGGGGGTGTCTTCATCGGAGAAGGTAAGTGGCTTTGCTGATAGAGCTGCTGAAAGCTGTCGGTGTAACCTCGTGTCACCAGTTTGTTGATCGGATCCGGCGTTACTGGTTGGGCTGAGCATTTCGGCCAACGAAGTTGCGATAGAGAGGGAGGGCGATTCGGCCGACGAGGAGGCCTGCGACGCGAGCGCTTTCATCAGAGTCTGTCGGGGGATGCCATCGATGGATTTGGCACTCTGGTGGTGGTGGTGGTTACGGGACGATATGGGAGCCGGTCGGTGAGGGATGTGCTGGAACGGAGACGCCGGAAGCGACGCGATTGTGCGAGATTCGCGGGAGACAGACGGTTCTAGAGAGGGCAAGAGGTCTGCGGGAGCCTCGTCTGTGGACGAGCGTCCGTGGTCGGTCATTTGGGGGTCTGTGGGAATTATTGGCGTCAGATTGAGGGCAGAACCTCGATGGATCGCCCTGCTGCCGGCTTCCGGGGACTGTCGCGAAACGGCCGAGGCTTCCCCGCAGCTGGCGGCGTCGCCGTGCTCTTGAGCGGCGGAAGAAGAGGGCAGTTGTCGTCGTTGGGGATGCGGATCGGGGTGGCAGGGAGTGTGCGAGATGGAGAGTGGAGAGGGAGGCACAAAGGGCGACATTTATCCTGGGCTTTTCGGAGGCCGGTGTTGGGCCAAATGTTGGTTCTAATCCAAAACTGGGTTCCACGGGGCGGTGATGGCGAACTAGCGATGGAGCGGAGCGCGGTTCACAAAAAATTAAAATCCGCCTCTTCCACAGCGCATTATTCTTTATTTTTCCAGCAGATGTGGGGGGGAGACAGGGGGAATTGTGAGTTTATTTTATTTATTTGATCGAGGTGGGATTGTATGAACTCTTCTCAACAGGATAGCGCTGGCCGTGGTCGGACAGGTCTCGATGTCGCCCAGGGGACTCTCTGCGTGTCTTTTTATCTCAGGTTCGGTCGGAGATCCAAACACATCGTCTCTGTCCAGCGCCTGTGGCGTGCGTTGAACAGCTGTCCGTTGCTCAATGAGAGAAACCATGGAATGGAACAGCCGAAGTTTGGGGAGACTTCCCACTGCTCGCCGGGCCGGACTTCGAGACATCCAAAGACCCTGATTAGCCAACTATTATTCCAGCTCCAGCTTCCCCCCTTTTGCTATTGAATTCTGCTTGGGTTCTATTCAGCCGAGTGGGTGGTTGGCTGCCCTGTTAAATGGAACGCCCTCTGCCTCAGCCCTGACAGGGAGGTTTTGTGTCGGCTCTGCCGGAACGTGATGGGCGCACCGGTCCTGTGGTGATTGCACAGCTATTTTGATGCTTGGGATCTAACTATTTTTAGCCGCTCCCCAGTCGTGGGTTCTGACTGAAGGGCTGCCAGTTCACTGTCATCGCGACCTGTAGCGTGAACCGCGGCAGAATGTACTCCGTACCCATTCTTCAAACATGCCGGGGAAGATGTAACTCACTAAGTAGTTGATACATGAGCTACTTTTCCCTCAGGTCACCAACCTGCGAAACTCGTCAGAGACTGAGATGCTCCCATGCAACTTTGCTGGCAGGAGTCTCTTCCTCCTCAAATATCCAGCAGCAGTTTCAGCGACTCAGCATCCCAGCATGTGTACTTCGTCACAATGTCCCCTAGCCCGTTAGTAGAGAGGCAGTTACATCCCCGAGAACCTTACGGTTTACCTCATTTCGATGCAGTTACTTCTTGAGTCCCTGGACTCCGGACCTTTCCTCGACTCCGTACGACGTCGAGGATAACAATGGACCATTCAGCGGCCAGGTTACCCACGCCGTTCAACAGTGGCCGTTGTCATGCCGGCGGACGGGTCCCTTGGCATGCTGTTGCTCATGCCGCGCGAGTCCACCGTCACACATTTCACAAATGCTCTCCACCCCGATCAAACCCATGAACTGGAATCGGATTGGACGGAGGACGTCGAACGTGATGGTAGCCAGCCCGGTCCATCAACGGAAGTGCATGCCGTGCTCCCTTACAACATATATCCATCCATGTGTCCATGTGGATAGTTACTGACATGCTTAGTCGCTCTGTGCTTGTTGATTGATAGCTTAGTTGCATTACCTATTACAATCAAAACCGATATTGGTCGATCCTAGGCAAAGATTCCTACTCCACTACTCCGTAGACCGGTTCAACTCTGTCCTTGCAAGGACGCTTTTCATATCGCATCCAAAGTGGATGCACTTCCCAGGGAGAAAAAAAAAAAAAAAAAAAAAAAAAAAAAAGAAAAAGGAATGATATCCCTAGTTGAAGCGAGCTTTAGGACTCCGAGTCGCACAAAGCGCCGGCTTCGGTCAGTTAATTAACTAACTCCGGCGGGAACACCGAAAAAATACCGAGCGATAAAGCAGCTCCTTGAACAATAATGTTATCCCGCGAAAAGATACCCCCACTGACAAAAATTTAAGTTGTAATTTTGCGGAGATTCAGCATTGATAGTTACTCTTGTGGTGGCTGAAGCAGAGAGCTCACCTTAGTGAGATGGGCACTTTTAAAGCAGGTAAGTAAAATATAGTAAGTAGCCTTTTTGATTCCAAGTTGATGGCATATATATGAAACTCAGTACAAAGAGTTTTTATACATCAAGAGGGATCTTGCATGTTGTCTTGGAACCTTAACAAACTCATCACGCCAACTACAACATCAGCGACGACCATCTGCCATCATAGACAGGGACCTGATCAAGTATGAGCCGTTCTCAAACCCCTGCAGGTTCGGTAACTTGACGGTAGACTTCGAAGAACTATTTTCTTCCTATGCACCCGACTCCTGCTCCTTTGGTTAACCCCAAGGATTGAGAGATGTGCGGGTTATCTGTAGCGACTGCGCAAGACAACATTTTCTTCCCAACACCCTCCTGCTCTCCAAGAGGCAACGGAGAACGGCGAGAGAATCAACATCCCAGACAAGAGCTGAATCAGTTCCCTCTCAAGCGAGCAGAGATGGGCTAGTTATGTGTGTGTTTGTTTTGGTAGGAGGGGGGGGGGGGGAATTTCGATCGTAATGACAATATTGAGATTACTTCCCCAGATCTGTATGTGAAATCAATTTTGAACTCTTCTGCGCTTTTGATTTTTCTTCTTCCCCTTCTTACCACCCCTCTGCCCCTCTGTGCATTCTTTGGTTTCACTGTCCTCTGTTCTATGCCCTTCAGCAGCTCAATGAGGGATATGTTTTGTTGCCCACCATTGCCGCATTCTTGGGTTACCATTCCCTTCAAAAGCGCGTTTACCACTGGAACCGTATGATGTGGAATCGCACAGCCTCATTTGATTTGCTGTCACTGCTATCTTCCATTGCTAGATGAATGAAGTATGTTTGCATTCCTAGAAACCTTGGATGCAAAACATTAAGATGCAAGAAAGGCTCTCTAACAGCGCATTTATCATCCCTTATCTCTCTCCCTTTCTCTTCCGGGCCTAATCCCACATGATACGTTGGTTTCCCCTTTGGCCACAATTGTGACCTTCTACCTTAGGGGTACGTGATGTCCAGGCCACTGGCAACCAGTCTAATCCATGACAAAACTGTGCTGATGGGGGTACATGTGTTTCTACCAGCAAACTTCTAGCAATACCACATGATGGGATTTCTACCGAATTTCTCCGCTTGATTTCGTCCAACATGGTATCCCTCAACGTTTGCTGTGAGGCCCTAGATAAAATGAAAATTCGGCATGGAACGGATGATAGAGCTAATACTCAGGTGGTCGAGGTAATTAACACCTTGAGATTTTCAACATGCTATCTTGCTTCTTCTGATATCGTGGTTGTTGATATGTCTATTGGTTCCTGCTTTTGGGGTATGCATACAAAATGGATTGTTGCCTCACCTCATCAGTCAGGTATTTACAGTGAACGAAATTTGGCAAAACGTTTAGCATCCCCTTTGAAGCTGCAATTAAGTTTGTGTTAAATTTTTGAGGTCTTTGACGATCATGTCGCGTCATTTTGCAAGCGACTTGTGTTAGCAGCAACAACCTGGCCGATGAGCACAACCATTCATGATGTATTTCAATGCTTGGATATCATTTCTTGCGCTCCATTAGGGCAACAACTTCACCAATTTTTTAAAGTCTGGCGTACCAAACCCCGTCACCGGATCCCATCCCTTGGTTGCATTCCAGCTCGCATAGGGAACTAAACGTGTGGATAACTTGCTGTACATCGATGTCCCGAGGCATCCAATAGATCCTTCATGAGTGATATCCGTAAATCCTTTGAAACCAAGGACAGGTTTCCCTTGAGAAAGACGGACTTCGTTGAGGTGAGCAATGATAGCGGCAATTGTTGGCGCAGAGGCACTGTGGCTTTGGTCAGTGGTGGCTGATTGTGGTTTCGTACATGCGGTCGCCAAATCAACATACCTAGTTCCCGCAGCCGTTATTATGGACCCTTTCTCGTAGATTGGATACTTGACTGCTTGAGCTGCAACGTCTGGGAACCCGCGACCAAGCGGGTTATAGTATCCTTCCCATGTGGTGCCCAGATTGGAGAGATATTTCGTAACGGCTTCATCTTGCCAACCTGGACGCTTGAAGTAGTTTGAAAACCCTCCAGCAGAGAATCCCACTGCGCGTTCTGGATTCCGAGAGTGCGTGCCGCCGACCGCAGTTACAAATGGACATGAAGCCGGGAAAATGGGGTTGAAGACGGTCCTGTTCTTGCCATCGTTGCTTGTGCAGGCACTTCCCACTCCGGTGTCTCCGCTGCTAAATATGATTGATACGCCCCTTGCGGTCAACTTTGCGAATTCATTACATGTCGCTCGAGCATAGAGCTCTGGCACGCTTTGCTCTGTTTCTCCATATGAAGTTGTCAGTACGGTGGGAAGGTCCTTGTCTGGGAGACCCATTAGGTATTCGAGTTGGTCCATGTAAGGCTCATTTTGGTTTTTGGACTGATTAGGCTGATCGAGATCTTCCTTTAGGAGGCCGCGTCCTTTGACAGAAACGAAGTCGACCTTCATGTTGTACGTTAGAGCGACCGCATATTGGGTGTCAAGATTTGCCTCAATGGAGTTGCGCGTCGAGTTTTGTATATTCTGGCCACCCTTGACAAGACTAACGGAAAAATTAGCACTGGCAGCTTGCGGAGCGAATTTTTGCAGAAAAGCCGCCAGGTCCTTGTATTGAGCATATTGGTCAAGGTATCCCGACACAGCAATCTTATTACGGCTTCCGGCCTTCGCTGTGATATTACCAAGGTTATAAAGGCCCCGAAGGCAGTTAGGTGTATTCCCCTCCGGACAGGCCGCGGAGACAGTGCCTCTCGAAGGCAAATCTTGCAAAAAGCTTCTGGCGACCTGTTTGTTCTGCGCGGCCGTTCTGGTAAACAGAATGAGGGGGTAGATGTAGAAAATATGCTGAGCCACGGATTTTGGCGCGGAATATTCTGTCGTCCTAATTTTCGTGAGCCCGGTACGCTCATCCTTGTATTCATAGAAGCGTGCGTTCAGCATTTTCGACGCAGCTCCAATGGTTAATTCAATATCAATCCAATTCGCGCGAGTCCTGACATGTTCCAGTCCTACCCCTCCGTCTTGAATCCACTTTAAAACATCATTTAAGACGACCTCGTTAGGAGTCATAAGGCTGTTAATTTCTTCCTGTTTTAGGTGGAGTCCGTAACGAGCGTGGCCGGGAGTCCCGATTTCCATTACTTTCTGATGCAGGTCCTCAGTTTGAGACGCGGTATTCAAGTTGATTTTCATGCTGAACATCGTACTAGGGTCGACAATTCGTCCTTGAATCCATCCATCGGGGACATTTACGCGCTCTAGAAGGACCCAACTGCCCCCTGGACGAGATTGGGCTTCTGTGATTCCTGCGACGAGAACGAAGTATAACAATTGAAAGATAAAATCAAAAGACATGATTTTGACTCAGCTCGGCCCTTTGGGGGCTGAGCAGGAATCAGACGACGTTCAAAAGGAGAGAGCGGTAACTGGAAATGAAATCGCTCAGAGAAGATTAGAAGAGATACTCTGAGGAAAAATAAAAAGGGGACGCGGCGGCCTCGTAGGACAGTTATGAGCCAACAAAGAGGCCTAAGTCGGGCGTTTAAAATCGAAATAGGAGATACACCTACAAGCTGTTCCATGTTGCACACTGTGGTCTCAAAGGCAGAGGACAGCTTTGAAAATGAGACGACACATGACCCATGGTCCCCAAGAGAGATCGTGGGCTATTTTAAGACTGCAATGTAGGCCTGATACTACAATCAGTACCCAAATTATCGCCTGTTGGGGGACGTACGGTGGTGATAACAATTACTCTGTAGAGGCATAGATTGCAAGCTGATCAATGGGCTTGTATATGAAACAATAGATTGGATATCAACATTGACAACTTCCAGCTAACAGCTTGTTTGAGCTGATTATCAAAAAGAAAGCGGTTCTTTGTCCAGAATCCGGCCGTTAGGCCCTGAATGCTCAATGGCTGTGCTTGCAGTGAAAGTTGCACAAGGCACTTTAAGTGTAACCATTTGAAGCAGTAATCAGCAAGATAAGTTATATTTCATAAAAGCAGGAGTGCACTTGGCTGTATATGTCGCACAGGTTGGCAAGTCCATATTGTAATGTGTATGCAGATAGCGAATAGTAGAACTATGAAAGAAGCTCGAAAAGTTGTGTAGCAACGTGTGATGTTGGCTGATCATGTTGGAGAAAGTGTAAGTAGAGACCAGGCGGAACACAATTAAGAGAGAGAGAGAGATTCAGCCTGGTTGCTCTCTTCCTTACTTTTCTTCTCCTCTCTGGAAATTCCGAGATCTCACCAGATTCAGATCAGATGCCCCACTTTCGCTTTTATTTTGTGGTTCCATTCTCGTGGTTTTTCCTCAAGGATCGTCCTCTGCTAGTTAGTTTGTTAGGCCCCAGGAGATCGCCCCGCTTCCCAACGCATTGTTGAACTCTCAGTCACCCAAGAAGCTGGTTATTGAGACTGGCGGGTTAACTAGTAGTCCCCCGATCAACTCTCTCACACCTTTTTCCCGCATAGCTAATCGGATCAAATCAAATCAACCCAACCAGAAACCCACGCTTTAAACTTGTTGATTTCGTTGATTTGATCTCGGAACGACTCAGGTGGCAGGTCTTGGCGGTAAACAAAGCCTGATGACGAATCTATTCCAAACAAACAAACAAAGTTATCTAAGTTAACTAACTATCGGGGTTGTCAGCCAAACATTCCTTGTCTCGTAAAAATGGCACTCTCCGCAATAGATTTCGAAGACCTCCAACGCCGACTACGAGAAGCCGAAGGACGTGCCGAAAAGGCAGAGGAGGAGAAGCGAAAGGCAGAGGAGGAGAAGCAAAAGGCAGAGGAGGAGAAGCAAAAGGCAGAGGAGGAGAAGCAAAAGGCACAGGAGGAGAAGCAAAAGGCAGAGGAGGAGAAGCAAAAGGCAGAGGAGGAGAAGCAAAAGGCACAGGAGGAGAAGCAAAAGGCAGAGGAGGAGAGGGATCAGACGAAAACCACGTTCCAGGAGTATTTGGACCTGTGTCACATACACTTGTCCAAAAGCCTCTTGGTTCAGTTGGACGGGTCGCTCTCCACTAAAGGAACCGTCACGTCACCGAAGGGCAGGTACTATCCAAAGAGACTAGTGCCATGGGAGGGGTTTGAGGAGGGCCAGCGGCGCCGTTTTGATGAGGTTTATGGGGTCTTCCATTCTCAGTCTGGATCGCCGAAGCTCTTCCCTTCACGCCGGACGTTAGAGGAGCTGGGGCAGATGCTCTGCGACAGAGTCTTTGCTTCAGAAGATGACTTGAGACCCCATCAGCAACTGTCGGTTGAAACCCCTATTAGCAGCATCATTGCTGCTTTGAGCAACGTAGAAGGAGCCCCGGAACGGTTTGGGCTAGGACGCGGGGTGAAGTTTGAGAATCACCCCAACACCCTTGATGAAGAAGCTGAAGAGGTTCAGCAACGCCTACAAGCTTACGAGTTATCTACGACGGAAGCGAAGACGTCGAGGCCTGTGGCAGCAGACCGGATCTGCGTCTACAAGGATATGGAGGACAAGAACACCCTCTCCTACTTGATCGAGTATAAAGCGCCGCACAAGTTGCCAGGAACAGATGTTGAAATGGGACTACGTCCGATGGATCTAGAGCGGGAGGTGGTTCGCGAGTACAGGATCCCGAGAGATAAGAAAAGGCGGAAGCAATACGACGCGGACAGGAAGGTGGGATCGGTGGTCACGCAGGTCTTTGACTACATGATCAAGAGTGGTCTGGAGTACAGCTATCTAAGCACGGGGAAAGCGTTTATCTTCCTTCGGATCGAGGAGGCCGATCCGACGACGATGTTCTACCATCTGATAATGCCCGATGAAGAGCAACTTACGGCCAAGGATCTAAAAACGAATGCATTTCATACGGCGGTCGGTCAGGTGCTTTCTTTCAGTCTGCTGGCATTCACGTCCGAAAGGCGGGGCCAAGACTGGCGCCGTAAATGGAGACGAGAACTTCCCAAGTGGCCGCTTGGTGGGGAGGCCATCTTACCCGAGACGCCGGACAACGCAAAGCGGCCCAAGACACCCCCGACGTCCGAGTTCAAGGGCAAACCCCCTAACGTTGTCCGATCGTTCAATCTACGGGCGAGGCCTACTGGACGGAGCAGGTGCAATGAGAACGAGACTTTGGCATATACCCATTCAGATGACGATTCATCTTCCGAGACGGAATCAGGAGACAAGGAGACGCCTGCTCGATCAAACCGCACGGCTCCGATGCTGGTTGAGGCGTCGACTAACAGCCCGACATCTTCTCGGACGAGAAATCAAACCCGCAAGTACTGCACGCAGGCATGTCTGCTGGGGCTGGTCCGGAGAACGGCTTTGGATGAGGATTGCCCGAATGTATCGGCCCATCGCGCTGGCGGCCATGGTCGACAGCACAGGATAACTGTCAAGACATTTAGGCGCCTTGTGCAGGCACAGCTGGACCGGACTCTGGACCAGGACTGCGATCCGCTGTGGAAACAAGGTGCAAGAGGGAATCTGTTTAGGATTACACTAGCGTCGCACGGGTATACTTTTGTGGGCAAGGGGACGATATCGGTGTATGTGCCAGATCTACAGCACGAGGGCCTGATGTATCAGCAGCTGGAAAGGCTTCAAGGGCGGGTGGTACCAGTGTATCTGGGGAATATCTGGCTGGTCGAGCCCTGGCTGGACATTGGGGTGGAGATCGTGCACATGTTGCTGATGTCGTGGGGCGGGGAGCTGGCTGTGCCGTCGGACGTCCCGGACCTGGACGGGGAGATTGACCGTTCATTAGAGGAGATCTGTCGGGAAGGGGTGGACCACAGCGACGTGCGTGAGCCGAACATCCTATGGAACCGTGAGCGGCGGCGGGTGATGTTGATTGACTTCGAGCGCTCTCGCCTCCTGGCCCCCAACCGCAGGCCACCACTTCAAGGACTTTCTCCAAACAAAAAGAGACAGCAGCCTTTTGGAGATGGTAAGATTCGCAGGCAAAGACAGCGATCAATGGAAGGCAAATATCAAAGAGGTTGATGTGTGATCGTGCTGGTTTTCCCGCTTATTTACCTCCAAGACCGAAGGAATAGGCATACGCACCAATTTTTTCTTTGATCCTCCTTCTTTTCCCCTTTTCCCCGCGTCTCTTTGATTTATGTGTGCATAGGGCTCCATCTATGCGATTTATATGCAGCGGTAGTAACTTGTCCAATCTAGATATGCTAGCTTGGGCGTACATCTTTCTGGGCTGTTTCATTAGGCACTTTTTGCCCTCTATACTGTTACCGACGTGTTAATAATTTCCTTTTTCAATTACTTCCTCCCAAACTTTATTACCAAGAGAAATACCTATAATGACATGATCGCTATCTGCGCGTCCAGAGAGCATGCTTACGAAATCACCACCGCACCTACAACGTCGACGGGCCCGCATCTCCTGGCTCTCGTAGTTCGACCATGGGAGTGTAGGAACCTCGGAAAATGTGGATCACAGACAGCTATTCTAATACCAACAGAAAATGGCCTCATTGACAGTGACCGGCAAAGCTCGAACTTGCTTTGTAGAAGCGGCTGTCTTGCTCCACGCCCTAGGTCCCGTCCGCGGTGAACCTGCTTCACAAGCGCTGGATCACAGTGAGCTTGGGCAGGATAGAGAAGGGTTTCTCAGACGGAAGTTCTTAGATTCCTTCGCTCCCATATCTTGCAAGGGTGGTGACAGCGTGTCTGCGGCATGCATGGAAGATCCCCAACCCGAAGGAACAGTCGTTCGCATTGCAAGTAATGGCAGCGTTAGTGCGGACATACTTTCCCAGGCGCAATCGATTATCAATGATCTAAGCAGCATCGCATGTGGAGGTTTATTGTCCAATCCTGCTCTTTGCTATTCTCGTACTGACTTTGGCTCAGAATCTACAAGGCTGGAGAAAGAGGCCGACATTTTGTTAAAAATTGTGAAGATGGATATTTCACGTCTTCGGATATACGTCGATGACCTTCGTGTATATCAAAATATGATCCTGCGTCCCCGCTCCGAAGTCCAATAATGAGTGAAAAAAGACCTTTGCCGGACGTTTCAATGTTCGAGATGGAGCAATTCCTTTCGTGGCTCGATAGCATCGCTAGGATGGACGGACTTGATCGGTTCCCTCAACCGGAATTGCTAGCTCATTATATCAAGCTGGCGCGGGACGTAAAGCATAACTATCTTGAACTGCTCAACGCCGCGTTCTCAACCGACACAATCCGTTGCCCAAAATGGATTCCTATCATCTTCAAGTTGGGGCAGTATGGAATCGCACCTAGGGCATTCATCCAGCTTGCTATCGAATTTCCGGGTCTCTTCAACCCAATGATAGTCAATGCTATCGCAGCCCCAGCAAAGGTCCCGCTGCAGAGAGGTGATGTGTCTCTTGGTTTGGCACTCCAGCGCCTGGTTGGAGAAAATCAGAGTAGATACGTTTCTTGCCTTACCCAAGTCTGGGGCGGAACAGATCCCGAAGCACACTTCCGACATCAGTGTCCTGATGCCCTTGCCATCCATGCTGAGATGCAACTTGCGGGTTTCTATGATCTTCGTGTGGAGCGGACACCCTCATTTTGGTTTATTGGTGTAAGCAAGAAATCATGCTATCTGTGTGATAGATTCCTTGCCATTCACCCAAATTCCCTACATACATCTGCTTGCCATCAGAAGCTCTACTTATCCTGGGTTCCACCGCCTACAGGACAATAAAGTTTATCTTCGTTACAAAAAGCTCATAGCTGAATTGACCCATGCCTTGGAAGGGGCAGCTAGGCAGGAGCTACAACATCGATTAGGAAGTTCATGGAGAAAGCTACCGGCCGACTCCTCGTGCGGTGTCTCACTCTCTGGTCTCACTGAGCCTGACTCCATTCAAGATATGTCTGGTGCCTTAATTGGATCACAGACTAATCTGATGCATTTGCCACTACAGGGAACTGACTTGGCAGTACATGAATGTGAGTTGACTGGAGAGCTTGGATTGATGTGTGCCCCTTCTAGAGCTTCGTACTATGGGCAATCAACAATGGCGTCCGACTTGATTGATGTCGACGTCCCTCCCCAGTCTGAATGACCCACCAGGTTGGCATGAGCGAAGCCCATACTCAGAGATGGTAGCACATTTTGAGAGGGCGGACAACTCTTTGCGGCAGGACATACTTTCCATTGCTGATATTGTGGATCCTAAAATGCAGAAGCCATCTGGACGAAGTTGGTTGAGATTCTAGAAACAGATGCCAACAGCGAACTCAAACTCGCCTTCCACAACGAAAAGGAGTATCTTCTTGTTGATGATCGGATTATCATCAGAAGTGACTGGCATCTCACAGCATGCTTACAGTATTCACGTAACTTGGGTAGGCTTAACATGGGGAAGTTCTTGTGTGTAATCGCAAAACATCAGAGCCAACAGTGTCAAGAAAAAGGAAAGCAAAACGGCAGATGTAGGGCGGCACTTTATATAACCCCGGCCCCGCTGTCAAACTGGATATGATGGGGGTATTCAAGTCAATGCGTTGCTCTTACTTATGATTAAGCTACAAAGGATTGAAAGGCGCTTTTTAATAGTCATAATAATGCATAGCTCTTTACCACCAGGTTTCTAAAGCTGACCACCTGTTCTGCCGAATTATTTCTATTTGCTTTACATAATGCTGGGATGAATGAAGAGAGCAATGTAGAGAGGTGAGCTAAGCTAGGTGCAATTGAAAAAAAATTAACTATTAAAAGACTGCTTTTTGTGCCTTTGCACTGAAGGTGGCTTTCCATACTGTTTTGACAGCTGGCAACCATATAAGGAACAACACACAGAAGCAGAAATTGGTTGGTCTGGGTATTCTCCATTGAACTTACAAACTAGCAACTTGCTCCCGCCTTGCGGGTCTGGTGCCGGAATACTCGGTTTATGCTATTGGATATATTTCAAAGTCGTGTATTCAGTATAATCCTCCATGCCCTGTACTGCCTTCACGGCGATATTGTGACCACATTTAAAGACCATTTTTTGGCGAGCAAATGGGGCCTTCCAGATGATTTCGCCGGCCTGTACGACATGGACTAGTCGCTCCGAGAGGTCATTGGGCGTAGATTCAGTATTTCTTGGTACCCCTAGCAGATTCAGTACGGCTTCGGACAACGAAAAGACAACTTCGACAGAGTCTGATGCGCGAAGGAATGCTCGAATATCTTCATCTTCATCTTTAGGGGGTGACTTTCGGCACATTATCTCCCGATATTATATGAGATAGAAGAAAGACTCAACCAGCACACCAAAAGGGCTACGCACCCGATTGGGCGACGCGACGCATCTTAGTCAAACGAGTAGAATATCTCAATGGCAATTTCGTCGTCAAATCAACTTCTGGATCAATTTCAACAGCATCTCGCAACTTCTGCAAGGTATGGGCGTTGAACTTGGCAGCTTTCGACTTGGAAATACGGGCCATAATCGGAGTTGTTAGACAATGAGTAGTAAAAGGCAGTGTGAATAATGACCCTCGGGAAGGCGCCTGGGAGCGAGAAATGGTTTATTATTATTATTATTATTCATTATAGTCTTATGCAGTCAGTGACTATGAAGACTACACGAGAAATGAGTGACAGAGAGGAGGAATCAGAATCAGGAACCCGCATTTAGCGCTAAGTCGGAGTTGGCACGCGATTTCGTGCGACACGGTAGAGTTATTCAACACTTACAGCATTCATTCATCTGACCCTGTTGCATCAGTTGTCTTCAATCTTCCAACAACAAGGACACTACTTCTCTCACCAAATCATACCATTGACCCACCTTCTCCAGAACTGCTTGCTCTCCACCAGGCCATTGCTCTAATCCTTGATGTCAGTGCTGCTGGACAGTATATTGATCACATAATTCATCATATAGAAGAATTGTGGGCTAGGAGTGATGGTTCTTCAGATCTGGGGGCGCATTGTTTCCTTGAGGTTGGGTGGTTGGCTTGATGGGGTGGCAGTTTGATGCATCTCAATGCAAAAGAGCAGAATATTTCTACCAAGCCTAGAATACACTAACACGCGGTCAAAGGTCTTAGTCCACAACCTTTTGATGTGACTGCTGGTAAGGAATACGTCAGCCTGGGAAAAAGTGATTGAGAGTTAGTTTTCTCGTTCCTTGCCAATTCCCTGAAAAAGGACTCTCAAGCATGTGACATGGATAAGCATGATTTCAATTGTCCCTTACAATACTCTGTACTGGGTTGTAATAAAGACCAAGCGCACATATGGATACAATGTTGTACCAATACTAATGAATACTTCGGCAAAGGTACCAGATGTGAAGAAATGATATTAAGCCTTTACTAGCCTAATTGTGATGGAAAATGCTTCTCAATTCTCGAGATTTCTTAAAGCTCGCGTTCGAGACGTCCCAATTTTTAATTGGGGTCCGAGGCGTGTTGCTGTCGTTTAGACCCTTCCTCGTGGTCGAACGACGGGGGAATGCAAGCCATCCGAGAGCGCGGGTTTCTAAACAATATCCTGCCCTCCCAAAGTCGGACTCAAGTCTCCTTGTGCGGCGTTTTGCATCTCTCCGAGATATCGGGTGTGCGCCCGTTAATATTTCCTTCAAAAGGCAATTCGAAACAAACCCAATTTCACCATATGATTCAAGTCGTAGCCAATTTCCACGCAAAATCTTCACGAGCTTTATCTCTCACCACCCTTCGCACGAGCTGCTCTAAACTTTGTACCATCTCGGCGTCATCCATTGAAACGTCTCCATCTTTGATAAGCTGAACCTTTGTTCCACCTCGACATATTGTTTCGGCGAGATCGTATACTTTCTCCCATGTTTCTATGTTGAACTCGCCTTGGCTTTCATTTAGGAGTAAATGGCCCTTGGAAGAAAATGCGAGCACGTGGAGGGATGTCGCAGCTTTGCTGACTTTAGGTGAAGGGTGTGGCACAATCTCGTTGTGAGAGGTGACAGCCACAAGAGCAGCTGTGAAGATCATAGACATAGGAACCGCAGCTGACATAAGAGAGAGGAGTGCGGTATGAAGAAGCGAAGGGAGAATTGGAAGATACTGTTGTGAATACAAGAAACAAAAACAAAAAGAATTAGCCAAAAGGATTCATTCGCGTAAAAGCAAGTCTGTCAACCTTACCGAACCACCCCGCTCATCGACTTTGCCCTCAGCCACCATATTCTTCACGACGACCAACGTAACCACAATCGCTCTGCGTGCCATGGCTTTGTCGCGCATCAAGATAACTCTGCTCAAAACACTACGCAGGATTCCCTCCACGTATCTCTCGCCAACACCGCTTCCACCGACTCCCGGCTTGACCACTATCTCTAGCGTCGCTTCGTCCGGCTTTTGGGCATCGCGACGGTTTACTTCAATGGGACCATTGACCGATCCAAGTATCTGGTCACCCGTCGGGGAGGTATACGAAGCCGAACCATTGGCGAACTCGAGGGGAGCCAAGGACGCAATTGGTGCAGCCATTGCCGTAGAATGCATTCCCGGTTGAAGGTTCAAGCGACCGACGATAATCGAGATCGGGTGAGCAAATAAACCTGCGCCTAATTGACCGCGTGCGGCAAGAGGTGGTTTACCGCAGCTCAAGGTTGGTCGTCTCACGTCTTTTCCTTTTTGCTCTCCACTACTACGTCCTCCGTAGTTGGATCTGCAGGTGGGTACCTTAACTACGGGAAAACTGTTGTTCCGCTCCTTGGCTGGACCGCGAACATTGTCGTCGACATCAAGGGCGAGATGTGATAAGGATCTTTTCTTTTTTCTTCTTTTGCTTTTTTTTTACTTTCTGCACTTGCTTACGGAGTACTTTTTTTTCTTTTCTTTTTTTTTTCCCCCCCTCAAAGCCTGCCATTCGCCTTGGCTGATGGATGCTCCTATTGGCAGTTCTCCCAAGAATGACCTTTACTCGATATATGGAGTACTCCGTACACACGTGTGCAATTTGCAGCTTCGTTCTCGTCCTACTCGAGGCCGACTCGCCGGGTTGCGTCGGTTCAATTGTGAACCAGAGCGAATTGCGACGTTTGTGAGTCTCCTTCTCTCACCTGCAATACGGATGGTGGTGGAGATGGTGCGTGTTTTGAGAGCAAGTCACGGAAAAAGGTCCACGTAGGGAGAAAAGCTGCAGCAGGAAGATAGTTGCATGAGTCCGAAGTCATCCCCTAGCATAGCCTTTTGATAGGCCGCTTGGATGTCGTAGTCAGGTCCTCCCAACGTTTGCGTCGAGAGGTGTCGAGAGGAATAAACTAACAACCACACAAAAGGATGTACTCCATAGGGGGGTACATATATCATCGTATTTTAAGATTTGTGCACTCATTCTAGTTTCAATCCTGGCAGGCTGCTCCATGGTCAAGGAGGCCAAGAGTATCCGGAATTGGCAGCCCTCCAAGAAAAGTCGCTCCTCCGATGGCGCCTGGGGGAGGAGAGGAACGTCTGCTCCGCAGGCCACAGCGGTCATGGGAAGCCAGCCGCTGCGCCCGCCAAGAGACTTGGTAGCGCAACCCCCGCTTATCACCAGGGCCAGAACTTGCGGCGTTGGGGCTCGCGAGGCAGGGAATGGGGCGGGTCTCGACGGCACAAGGTTCTCGGCGAGCGAGAGAACCTTTAGAGCCTGGGATGTCGCATGCTCAAACCTTTTGCTCGGTTTTCCGTCATTGTGCATACCACTCTGCAATCCGATTGATCGATTGCGCTTGGCCATCCTCCATCCGTCGCTAGTGCCTTCTAATGCCCAGCACTATTTGCCACGATTCAGCCACTCAGGGTTTCGAAAACGCAGCTCTCCAGTGTGAGAAACTCCAGCGGAAGACTCCCAAGAACCATTCGTCTGGGGTGTTAACCCATCGTCACCATCATGGTGGCAGTGTGGACGTGAATAAAGAGCATGGCTTCACTAAACCTTGTCCACGACGACGATCACGTTTCTTGACCGTCGAGATGGGCTATATATACCTTCCCCGCACAGCCAACTTCCCTCTGCTTCTCTCACCCTCTCCTTTGCATATTCCATTCTGTCGAGGATCCCTCCTCTCCATCACTGTAGGCTTCCAATTTTTTGTGTAAGAAGCTCACCAAACCATCCATTCCCTGACTCCTGGCGACTTCGTGTTAGCCACCACGCTCTCTCCACCCTATCTACCTTCTCTTATTGAATGGGAACAGAGACTACTCAACCGGATGTCGAGGAATCGACTGAACCACCTCCTTGTGTTCCTATTCCTCAAGGGACCACGAAGCAACCTGGAAAAGCCGTAGACCGTTCAGTTGGCCCCCTTCGTGATCTGGACGAACGGGACAAGAAGCTAGGCACTCCAGATATCTCCTGCAGGGATTCCTCCGTCTCCTACTCACAGGTTGAGTGCAAGTGGGAGGAGCAATACGAATGTGCCCATACTTTTACTCCCTCTCAGATTGCCAGTATCTTGGGCGTTGACTTAGAGTAAGAACAATACTTATATTCCCACCCATGCTCTACACCCAGTTCTCACATGCTCCTCTAGAAATGGACTCAGCAGTGCCCAAGCGGCATCTCGCCTCCAGCAAGATGGCCTTAACAAAGTTAAGAGTGCAGAAGGGATATCCTTGTGGAAAATTCTGTTAAGGCAGGTGTCGAACAGTCTGACTTTAGTACGAGAGACACCTACTTTTCTCCCCCCAAATACGGCATTCCTAGCCAGCCAGGAACTGAAATCGAGATGTTCCATGTTAACTGCCCGATGCTAGGTCCTTGTGATAACAATGGCTCTGTCCTTTGGAATCAATGACTATATTGAGGGTGGAGTCATCACAGCTGTAATTCTCCTCAATATTATCGTTGGGTATGCGCTCCCTTGCCCTATATTCGTGGCGATTTTTTAATTCCCATGTCTACAGATTTTTTCAGGACTATCGTGCAGAAAAGACAATCATGTCTCTTCAGGCACTCTCGGCGCCCGTATGTAAAGTTCTCCGCAACGGACGGATAGATTCTGTAAAGGCAGAGACTCTTGTGGTTGGGGATGTCATCCAGCTCGCAGTCGGCGACATGGTTCCTGCCGATTTACGGCTATTTGAAGGCATCAACGCCTCAGCTGATGAAGCTCTTTTGACTGGCGAATCATTGCCTGTTTCAAAACAGCCTCATGCTGTCTTTTCTACTCGTGATATGCCAGTTGGCGATCGCACAAATATGGCATATTCCGGGAGTATAATGACTCGCGGTCGTGCTACCGGTGTGGTTGTCAGCACTGGAATGAAGACTGAAGTTGGCAAAATTGCTCAACTGCTCCGAGCTCAGCGACCTGAACAAGACGCAAATATCCTCGTCCGAATATGGGCCAGATTCAAGAGAAGCTTGTTACTTGTTCTTGGGCTAATTGGCACACCTTTACAAGTGCAACTTAGCAAATTCGCCCTCTTACTTTTCGGGCTGGCTATCTTGCTAGCAATCCTTGTTTTCTCGGCTAACAAATGGAATATTCAAGGCGAAGTCCTCATTTATGGTATTTGTGTCGCTGTTGCTGTGATTCCTGAGTCTCTCATTGCAGTTCTGACCATCACGATTGCTGTTGGAACGAAGGAAATGGCCAAAGGTAATGTCATTGTCAGAAAGCTTCAAGCTCTCGAAGCTGTTGGTGGAGTGACAAACATTTGCTCCGATAAGACAGGGACTCTTACTCAAGGGAAAATGATTGCCCGTAAGGCCTGGATTCCAGGCATAGGGACACTGTCTGTACACGATACAACCAGTCCATTTGACCCGAGAAGCGGCTTCATTCAAATTAACAACTCCGTTATCAACCCCGATCAATATCCGCGTGACAAGGATAGCCTATTTACGAAGTTTCTGCAAACCATTTCGCTCTGCAACCTATCCTCTGTGTATAATCCTTCTGACAAAGTCTCTCTAGACAATGCATCTGTTGCGGACTCAAGCGACACCTGGACCGCTGTCGGAGAGCCCACAGAAATAGCGCTTCACGTTCTCGCAATACGGTTTAATTCCGGAAAGCAGGTAATGCTGCAGAGTCAACAAATGGGGTTACTCGCAGAATTCCCGTTTGACTCGTCTATCAAGAGAATGACGGTTGTTTATCAAAGAAAGGACTGTCGGAATGCTGATGTGTTTACAAAAGGTGCTACAGAATCCCTGTTGCCGCTACTATCCATAAACAATAGCATGAAAGAAGAAATCTGTGCTGTGGTCGATAGGCTCGCTGGCGAAGGACTCAGAGTACTTTGCGTTGCGCACAAAATTATCGATCCAGACAACTTTACGCAGGTTTCAGACCGCGCAAGGGTAGAGACTAACCTAGACTTTGTCGGACTTGTTGGCTTATACGATCCCCCACGACTTGAAACCCCCGAAGCCGTGAGAAAATGCCACATGGCGGGAATCACGGTGCATATGCTTACAGGAGATCACATTCGAACGGCTACAGCTATCGCATATGAAGTAGGTATATTGGGGACAGTGATCCCAACTGCACAGGCGAGTACCGTGGTCATGGCTGCGGAGGACTTTGACAAACTATCAGACGCAGAGATTGATGCAATGGAAGCATTGCCGTTAGTTATTGCTCGATGCAGTCCCACAACGAAAGTTCGCATGGTAGAGGCGATGCATAGACGGAAGGCATTCTGTGTTATGACCGGTGATGGTGTTAATGATTCACCAGCTTTGAAACACGCGGACGTCGGAATTGCGATGGGCAAAAATGGAAGCGATGTGGCAAAGGATGCGGCAGATATGGTATTGACGGATGATGATTTTGCATCTGTGGTCAAAGCTGTGGAAGAAGGACGACGTTTGTTCGATAATATCCAGAAGGTACTTGCTAAATTCTTGCTTTAAAGCAACGTCGACGTTGAACTAACCCGAACATAGTTTCTAATGCATTTATTGATATCGAATATCGCCCAGGTCGTACTTCTGCTCATTGCCCTAGCGTTTAAAGACGAGGATGGCGACTCCGTTTTCCCGCTCTCTCCACTGGAGATCCTCTGGGCAAATCTCGTCACATCCTCTTTCCTAGCCCTAGGCCTCGGCCTCGAAGAGGGTCAACCGGATCTAATGTTCCGCCCAGCACATAACCTCCACGTTGGCGTTTTCACCCGGGAGCTCATCATGGATAAAACTATCTACGGCGTTTTCATGGGCAGCCTATGTCTCGTGTCGTTCGTTTCCGTCGTCTACGGCGCCGGCGACGGCTATCTGGGAGACAATTGCAATCAGGACTGGAACCCAACGTGCGACGTTGTGTTCCGCGCTCGTGCAACCACCTTTGCAACGCTATCGTTTCTCCTCCTTGTCACGGCCTGGGAAGTAAAGCATTTCTCCCGCTCGCTGTTCAACATGGACCTCACTGGCCGCAAGGCCGGGTTGCTCTCAGTCTTCCCCACCCTGTGGAGGAATCGCTTCTTGTTCTGGGCTGTTGCTGCGGGGTTCTTTATCACGTTTCCTGTGGTTTATCTTCCTACTGTGAACCGCTTGGTGTTCAAGCACCTGAGCATTACATGGGAATGGGGCATAGTAGTAGGTTGTGTGGTTGTTTACATTATGCTGATTGAAAGTTGGAAGGCTGTCAAGCGGGCGTGTGGTATCGGAAGTGGGAAGAATAAAGTGTTTACGGCGGAGGATGCGGAGGTGAGGGTCGGCCTGATGCCGATATCCGGTCCGCTGGTGGAGTCGAGGGAGGAAACTATGGAGAAGAAGTGATAGCTATCTGTTCGTTTATGCTGGATAACAGTGATTCCAGCGTGGCTTATCAACTAAGTCAGCCTAACCCTGGAGTGAACCGCCCCAGTGGATTTGTTTGCATCAAGGCAAAACACCTGTTCAACACCGGCTAAATTGCCTTTCCCCTTGAAGTCATTTATGACGTTATATTACGATCTCTCTCCGTTGAGAATATTTGATGCTGGCCACCTTGACGATCGGATAAAATTGTCGATGAATATGTGTGGCGTGAGCTCGTCTGTCGTTGCTCTGAGACCTGGTTGATTGGTTTTAACTGGCAGAATCCCTGCAGGGTGTTGGATCACTATTATTTTGTGTTTCATTAATATCTTTTCGCATGCTTTTATCAAATTGGAATGGCGGTCAACAATGACTGATCACCGTGGACTTTTATGAAACCAGAATGTAAGACAGTTAATCTCGGTTGATTGTCAGTCATTGTAAATACTTTGTCGAGCAATGATCTATATATATATACATATACATACATATACATACATATATATATATGAAGCATGCGGTCCAGATTAGGCACTATTATGTCTCCATTATATCCGGGATCAGTGGTATATTATACATCCAAAATAAATCTCCAGAAGTTAACTGCATTAACAACCCGCCATTTTGGCTTGATTTCCATCCATTTATCTAGCCCGGGGTTATATAGAAAACAGCACGCTTGAACGCCAGGGAAATAAAAGGAGATAAAACATTCTTCAAGAGTTAAGAGTCACACATAGAGTAAGTTGCAGACAAATAGGTTAGGATAGTTTTGAGGAGAGTTTACATAAAAAGGGAATGTTGGTGAGGAGGGGAGGGAAGTATTTTTTGAGAATGCTTTTCTGTTATTACTTGCGTCATTTGCTTTTGGGTATCCGTTTGTAGGTATGGGATTGCTTTCTTCGCGACGCGAAAGATGTAGCAAGAGTGGCGAGGACTCCGGAAGAAAATACGGACGCAAAGCGAGGTAACAACGCATATAGTTATAAATGTGCAAAGTAGTGGATGGCCGGATCAAATTCGACTGACGCACGAAGCATAATCGACGGGCGTGATCAAGGTTATCACTTGTAAACCAAGGGAGGATACTTCATCTCGTTCAACTCTCATCCTGACTCAAACTTCCATAACCCGTATCGTTACTTCGAATACTCTGCCTTCTTGTCTTATTCACGCAATGACTTTTGCTTTCAGGTCCATCGGACGCGAGAGGGCTGTCCGTATCATCCTCTTGAGATAGGGATGGTGAAGATAAATCGCTAATTTGTCCCTCGTGCATTTTTCGTTCCTTGTTGACTTTCGTCTCGTTGATGTCGACGCCAGCATTTCGACATGCTTCCACGCAACCATTGACGACTTTGTCCACCAGACAGTCTGTAAATCCGGAAGAGATCGGATTATAAGCATTCTGCACCCAGTACATGAGCTCCGAAGCGATTCTGGCCAAGTCGGGTAGGGGAAGAGGGTGGGTTCCGACGGCAGAATCCTGGGTGGACGACATGCAAACCGAAAGATTATCGGACGAGCAGACCGAGGAAGAGAGTGACGTTGATGGAACTAATCTATCGTCCATAGAAACCATGTGTAATAGGTGATAGAGTGGTGCAAAGCCCATCAACGTAAGTTCAACTGCGTCAATGGGTAGCCTGTTGAACAACTCGATAGCATTGTGCAAAGATAGTTTTGAAGAAGAGGGTTCTTGTGCTCCAGCTTGGCCCTGTAGGATCGCCGCGATCATGGCACAACGCACTGCGATGCAGATTTCATCGCGAACAGAGGGCGGGACTGACGAATCAAGGAATATCGATGCACTGCTGGACGGTTCCCGCTTGGGACGTGGGAGAGCGGCTAAAACTGAGTTGATATTCGCAACCCTATCCTCGTCGAAGAACAATGCTTTGATGGCGGCAGCTCGAGTGTAAGCGGCAGACGTGGGCGGTGCGGATTTCAGTGCCATTTCTAAATTACGCTCGAAAGCTTCTCGTCGTCGGGTACCGCAGTCTGCAGAAGTCACATCTAGGGAATGAATGAGTGCTTCTTGGAGGGCCCGGCTAGACCACCATGCTGCGATAGCATCTAGAGGGGAACGAATGGCGCTGTCTTCAACGACTACATCTAGTAACGAGTCCTCACCGTCGGTTGCTTCTTGTGTTGGGCGATTCCAAATCATGTTGGATGCTCTCTGAACGATGGCATCCGTGAAGACGTCCTCGCAATCGTGTTGAAGAAGATATGCCAGGTGACTTGGAAGCGCATCTTCATGATCCTCCGGAGTAAGTTTCTGCATTTGTTGTGCAAGCTGCCATTGATACTTGGCCAAGATTCCTGCAATATGGTCCGAAATCTTGCAGGCAATGGAGCCGGAGGAGCCTACACGCCATAGCAAAATTCGACAATGCAAGGACTTCAGCATCATTCGAGATAGGCTTCTTGGGAGGGTTCCGGCCGCGAAAATAGTCAGAACCAGTCGGCTCTTGCTGACCTCTGCATCACCACCGGTAAGCTGGGCATCCAAGGCGATATCCCATGCTTTGACACGGCCCTTTTCGTCATCCTCTGAGATACCGGTAAGTATCGAATACAGCTTCCAGCCAAGAAGGCAACGAAGCAAGTACTCGAAGCAACGAGAGGTGACGGCAAACCACTCGGGGAAAAAGGTGTGTCGAGGGACCCCAACTGTTTGGGTGCTAGTGAGCCATGCATCCCGGCGGAACTCGGTGGTGCCGGCGACAGTCGATTGGGACTTTTGTAGTTTCGATTTTGGGCGGCAGGGTCTCGAGTAAAATAGATAGAGGTAGACGAAAAAGGCACACCCAACAACGAAGAGGGATGTCAGGACGAAGTGAGACAAGGCTCTGGTTTGCCACGAGTTGGTTCGGATCACATAGATGTGCCTTCGAGCATATGCAAAGCCTTGGGCTAGAAGGTGGATTGGGACGCTTAAGAGTCCTCGATCTGACGACTCTTCCTTCTGGTTCTCAAATGTTCCAACCACCATAAGACCAGCTAATGTGCCAAGCATGAATTTGTTGGCAAGTCCTCCACGTCTCCCACTGCCATCGCCCGAGCCCGGTTCGTAGCGCTGACCTTGTCGAGACATCAACGAATCGGCATAATGCGGCTGAGGACCGGTTGGACGCAACCGTTTGAAGTACTCAGGAACTTTAATCAACCCTTCGGGTGGATACAACGGATTGGGGGACGCTTCAGGCGAGAATTCAGCATTTTGAGAGAAGATGCTCGGTGGTGAACTGGTGGCGGACTCTGGCGAAACCATACTCTCACTCGGAGACGGCTCCATATTTGGCATTGGCGGAAAAGCTGCTAGCCCTTGCTCTTGGGATTTCTCAAGCTGACGGAGCCGATTCTTCAGGGCGATATTCTCCTCCTCTAGGCGTTTATTCCGCATTTCCAGGTGCTTGATGTACTCTGTAGCCTTGGAAAGGATTGAGGCCTTGTTCAGCTTATTCGTAGAGGCGATCGTCTCTTCTTCCTCTTCGTCGTCCTTGGTCGTGCCACCGCCAAAGCGTTGCTTATACATGATGCGGAGACAGGGAACGCTGTCCCTGAGCTCCGCAATCTTCTCGTTGAGGTTTGCACGGTACCGCTTCTCGATGACGTTGTGCGATCTCTTTTTGGAAGGCAAGGACTTAGCTGCCGGAGGAGACATGCTGCCAGCAGAAACGGTGCCTGGGACACCGTCGTCCTCAGATGACTTTCGTTTCCGTCCCGAACCAGCGGAGACAGGAGTTGGGGGGAAGTTAGCAGACGTGTGCGGGGGTGGGCTCTGTTCCACGGAGACGCTCAACGCAAGAGGATCTGGGGGAGGAACAAAGGCGGGCACGGTATGGCCACTGAAGGCGAAGGTGGGAGAGAAGGGTGGCTGGAGACCCATTGCCTTGGAGTCGAGGGCGGTATGGATCTGAGAAGGTGGTATGTCGCCGCCGTGGAAGGTGAAGGCAGGTTGAGCGGACGCGGGGCTGAAGGTGGCGGCGGACTGAGGGAGGGAGTTGTCATCGCTCTTGTTATTCCCGCTGAACTGCTGCATGGCCACGTGATTGGATATTTCATCGGTGTCGAATTCGTCCCAGCGCATCCACTGCGTCCAGTCGGCGACTAGATCATCCGGATTTGACTCGATCAGGGGACTAAGGTCGTTCATGGGTGTGGCCCCTCGTTCGGGCATCCGAGTCGAGGACAAGAGGGCGGGATCGCAGGTAGGATCGGCTTCGGGAGCGGAAGAGGAAGAGGAGGAAGAAGAAGAAGAAGAAGAAGCAGATGAGGATGAGGTGGAGGTCCCAGAAGACGAAGGCATGGTGTTATAGTTTGAGGAAGGGTCAGAAAAGTTGGCTCATCAGACACCTCAGAACCGCTCCAGGTTTCGAATGGAGAACTGGCCAAACTGTGCCTAAGGGAAAGTTTCGGGAATGGGGTTCGAGAGCGTTTTCGCTGGGGTGAATGTTTTGCCTCCACGAACGGTTTAGATTCAGTTGGGAGGTCCTGTGTGGAAAGTTGGGGGAGGCGGATGGGGGTTCATCAGAAACAGCCTCAGGATCAAGAACAGGTTGGTTTAGAGGGTTGGAAAAGAACTGAGCAGATTGGGAGAAATGAAGAGGAATGGAGCCAAGGAAGCAAGGATAGAGCGGATGTTTGTGATTTAGCGAAGGGATAGTATGTAATAGCAACTCCGGATATTGGGCAGTTAACTAGACAAGCACAGACAACACGGAGAGCGTGTGTGTGATATCGCGGAAATGCGCCGTTCGGGCCCTGGGAGTCGTCAAGGATGGGCTAAGAACGAGAGCAGTCGGGGGGATGCAGGTGGACAGGCTCAATTGGCACGCAGATGGTGTTCCTGGACCACGCATGTCTTGTCTTTTGAGTCTTCTGCGCGTCACGATCGCAGGATGTCTGTCCTGCTCAACCTCGACTTCTGACGCCGTTCCACGTCCTGCCGTCGCGTTCGTCCGGCTGGCCAGGCCCGGCCCGCCAAGCCCGGCGCCACGTGAGCGGGTCTGCTTCCGAATCATACGACGCCGGAGCACCGAAGGCCCTGCAGCCGCGCTAGGCCGGGTGAGGTTTAGCTTGGGCCAAAGTCTAGCCGTATGTGGCTAGCTGAGCCGAGTTATATCCGACATCCGCGCTAGTCCCAGTCGAGATGCAGCTGATCTAATCCAGTTACGTCATGGAATTGCATGTGCAAGCCGCAAGCATAAGGGGAAAAAAAGCCGCGATGATGAATGTCTGAGGTTACGTCCGGGCGAGAACGCTTTGCTGCATCATCGCCGGTACCTGACAACGGCACGAGTCATACATATGTACACCACCTCGGGTAGTACCTGTTATACGCCTGCGTCGCCATTATTAGAAACATCAACAAGCCGATTGGGCCCTGAAACATTCATCACTAAAACGATTTGCGCTGGTTTGCATTCTATGTGTCCTATTCTACGCAGCAAGGGAAAATGGGAATGAAACCAACGACACAGACGCAACTAACTACTGACTTTCCGATATGCAGTTACTAATACATTCAAGTCCGCTCAATCAAAATGGATTCTCCACAGCTCCCTGTCGGCGCCGCCCTGGAAGTCGCTGCGGGTGTGCATCGTCAACACGTTGTCGCTAACCAGCATGTCCCCTCTCTGCCACGTGTGGTAGTACACCACCCGCCGGTCGTGCAGCAGGCTGTCGAGCTGGCTGCACACGGTGTCTGACAGCTCCGGCGTCAGCCCGTCGATCGAGATGTTGGTGGCCTCGAAGCTCGTCTTGCCCTCTGGCCAGGGTTCGTGGTACCGTAGGCAAGGTTTGCCGGTTGTGGGGTGGTCGACCACCAGCGGGAGACCGTGCAGCTTGGTGCTGTCGAAGGACGATGTCGACACCGACCACGTGAGGTTCCTCAACGTCTCGAGGGGGAGATGGTCGGGCAGGTGCTTAAAGACAAAGGTAGATGTCGAGAAGAGCGTGAATCCGGTGTCAGACGGCGACGGCGTGACGGCCGTGAAGAGCTGGAATCTGCAAAAGAAAAAAAAAAAAAAAAATTAAAAAATTAAAAAATCAGTGACTGTCGTCCAAGATCTTGGTTTAGCAAGGGTATACTAACCGAGGGGGGTTGGGAACCTTATAGATCGTACCATCCTCCTTAGTCTTCTCTTCAGTTTTGAAAAGGCCGTCAAAATGGAATGGCATCCATTCCGCTGACAGAACGTTGTTAAGCCCGCGGGTGTCAGCACCACGATCCTTGACCTCAAGCAGGATCCCGAACTTCCATGGGAGCGGTGTGCCAAACTCGGAGGCCTTCTCGATAAATCTCTCGCGCTCCCTGGTGCCATCAAAGCCGCGGAGGACAACGGGGGAATTGATCTCAGACAGGGCCCGGACCTTCTGAGGGTCAATGTCCCGCATGGAGAGCATTCCAGCTCCCTCGGTGGGTGTGATCATGACACCGCAGGGATACAGCGGAGTGACCGTGATGGGCCCTGAGCCCCAAGTGTAAAGATCACTCTTCTCCCTGAAGTATGAGGGTCTGGCATCCTCGTACACCAGCTCCCAGGCAGGGTCGTCCCGGAAGGTTTGGGCATGACCGCTGGTTACAGTACCATCGAGCCTGACTGCGATAGCGCAGTGCCACGGTGTCGCGTAGCTGGTGTCCGTAGGTAGAATTCCAATTGAGACCTTGTTTTGGCCGGTAGACGTGTGGATAGACAGGCGCAGGTGGTTGACAAACTTCTCGCGGATGGCGCGGGCGAATGCCTGGCCTCGGATGAGCATCTGTTTGGCGATGCTCTCCGTGCCCTTCTCGAAATTGGACTTGGAAAATCTATCTGAAATGGGGTATTTTTCAGCAAGGTCGGTAAGCAGGAACTCGCGATATCCACGATATGTCATGCGGACATCCTCATCTTCAGCTATTTTGTTAGAAACATCCCAATCTTTGCTACCAAAGTTGTTCATGAGAGCAACCCGGAAGTTAGTCGCATTGGCAACATACGACACCTCATCCAAGGCCTCAGGCGCCGCTAAGGGAATAAGGTCCGCAAGCCGAGAAAATTTAATGTGATTGAAGCCTTTGTTTCTCGCAAGCTCCCGGAGGGCTTCTCCATATGCCCAGACATCAGAGTCTGAAATGCTGAGTAGATCTGTAGAATTCAAATGACAGTGAGTAGATGCAGCCCCCCGATAGGTCTCTCCGTCCGACTTACCGTTATATACGATCCCGTCAGAAATAATGGTGAGCTCTGCTCCAGGACTGTAAACGTCTTGAATAGCGGCACAAAGGCCGTTCAGATGGGCAAGCGCAAATTCTTCGGCTTTATCCGGCAAGCGACCAAGGACCTTGACGCTAGTGTTGGGAGACTTGAAGGGAAAAGCTGGCAAAGCCATCTTGACAGGTCTGCTCGCTTTCACATGGCTGTAGATCTGCGTTAGGCCAGCAAGGAGGCCAATGTCCGACTGCATGCCTTCAGTGATGCCGCCTCTTCGCTGATATCGGTAGATGACCTCAATGATCTTTGCAGCCATATCGATGTGGGAGTGATCAACGACACGGCTGGAAAAAGGGAGGACAACATGGCCCGGAGTGCCCCGAAGGGCTGACTCCATGAGCACTGGGGCCATCATCTTGGAAAGCTTGAGAAGGTGAACGATTCACTAGCAAGCAGGGAGATGAAAAGACTGATAGAGTTGTATGCCCTTGGACAAAGAAGGGACATGTGTTTTTCAAAGGGTATTGAAAGCACGATGGCAGGAGATAAGATGCCTTCAAATAACGCCCTAGCCCATGGAAAGGACATGATTCGAGGCCGCCAAATGGGGGAACACCTTTATCTCCGTCCCGGACACCTGTCAGAAACATTTGCCTGCCACCACAAAAGCAACTATCCCAGCCTCGCCACCAGTCCGAGAAGATTATCAAGTGCTGAACCCAGCTGATTGTCCGGTGTTCAGCCCTCCTTCTCAACCGAAAGCACGGGCAGAGCAGGGGTGGTTGATGCGATCAACCGATCCTGTCGTCAAGATCCGTATTATTCCTAGAAAGTAAAATACGATCAGAGACTCATTTTGCGAGGCAGTTGAACCCCCACGGGAAGCGTTGATGCCATGCTCAAAAGACGATGCGATGTTGCTTGTTGTCTGTGCTGCCATTACACGTGATTGCTGACTCATATGTTGCTCGTTTTCACAGGGGCAACGCGCATCGTCCGGCAAACCCCGTCGGCCATGACGGTTACGAGGCGAGAGGTGTTGGTGATGACGGCTCAATGTCGAGATCAGCATCCAGTGTCATGAATCTCGTATCAACTGCTGAGTTCGAGGTAATTGCGCATGATGTACGGCCTGATATGACCTGGTTGTTTTTTGTCAGCTTCCACTGCTTCGACCTCTCAGCCCTGGAGCGGACCACGGTTTTGTCTCGTTCCGAATCAAATATTCAGCACGGCGATGTCCAGGATAGATCTTCTACAGGATCACCAGCCTTGTTATTCGTCTGATCCCTCATTACAGGGCGCTTTGACATGGTTGCATTCACCTTGTTGCCTGTTCTGAGGAGGAAAGAAGACGGTCGAGTTATCAATCTCCAACGTCTATATATGGACACGAGCCAAACAGAGTCAAGTCTCATTGCATGATCTGCATCCCGCAGCCAACCCAGGAGCCACCACCCTGATACGATGTCGTCAACTTGCAATGCACAGCCTGGCAATTCATCATTGGTCTCACAGACCACTCAATTACCGTTAAGCTTCTGGTTACATACTATGATACGACGATCGGGTTAGCGGAGGCGCATACTCGCGCCGAAGACGCCCGTATACACGTGTGTATCCATCATGTGCATATTTGCCTCTCGCAATACTCCGGACCAGGTGGGCTCCTCAGCCTTCTCGTGCATGTTTCCCAAGGCTTGCTATGCATGGAAGTGAGAGTGTGGGCAAAAGTGAGGTTGATGGTGGTGTTGATATCCAGCAGCCCGACTGGTAAATAATCATTTAACTGGCCAGTCAGTTCAATAGACTCGTTGCTATAAACAATCGCATCCCATAATGTTATACGGCCATCTGGTATGGGCTTCCCTGCAGATCAGCACTGCGCCGCGCGCGGAAAATTGCTCTTCAGGGGTTCCATGTTCAAACACATACTCTCTTGTTTTGTGCTCTTGCCACAGATTGCAATCAACACATGAGGTCTTCACTGACACATCAAAGACATGTCAATGCAACTGTGAATGGTTATGCATTCAATATTAGCAGGCTTGCGCAGGGTTGTTCAATATTTACATTTCACAGAGCCCGCTCTGGGGCCTTGTCAAGGTATGTAAATGGAACCTATTTCCCGATTAACTACACCCCTGTAGCGCTGTAAAGCGGGGACTCCTGCTTGATGGTTACACCATGGCACAGCATCGATAACGGCAAGTACCCATTGTCATTTTGTCTGTGAAGACTGCATAGAACCCAGCTAGCACATGGTATGGTCCGCACGATACATGTACTTGTTTTCAAGTCGCAACAGCTCATTGTTACCTTTTCGATGGGTAAAGTTACAGAAGCAGTTGGCGACTACAGGTTGAACTGGCATTGAAGCAAATTTGGAGCTCTTAATTCGAAAGCGAATTGTGAGGTTAGTTTATCCAACTTCATCCGTATTCTAACTGACAAAGATTTCTGCCAAGTACTCAGTCGCGCCCTCGGCTGTACCCGCATATGCGATGTACATATCGGGGCGAACTACAATGGCGTAATTCTCCCCCTCTTTGACAACCTCGGCCAAATAGCTTAACTCGCTCTCTCCGTTGAGATGGCAATTCTGCTCATCCGCTTTCGGTAATATCCTCAGCCATCGAACGAGACTCTTGAAGGTGTTAAAGTGGCCACCGTGATCACCGGCCACAAGAACCATGTACTTCCCATAAGTTACGATACTGTAGAGATACCGCGACTCCGAGGCGCCAGGGGTTGTCAACAGAATGTCAGGGCATGCCCGGCCGGCCTTCCAGATGCCCACCTCTGACTCGCGTACAGCAGGCGAGCCAAGATCATGATACGCGATACCCATCCCTAATAGCAAGGGTAAGTAATTTTCAGTTATGATCATGCTCCCGCAAAATTGTGCTCACCGGTAATGTAGTTTGCGTTTTTTTCCACGTTGCCAACATACTGCGTGGCCTCATACTTGATATCTCTCACCAAGCGTGCGGCAACACGGATGACATTCTCTGCCACCTTGCGACGCTCCGCGTCGTAACTCTGAAGAATTCGATTGGCCGCGCCAGGAGCTAGTTTGTCAGAATACTTTAAAATATATGCCATTCTCCATCCCAAACTGAATGCGTCAGACAGGCCGGTATTCAGTCCTTGACCACCATTAACGGCATGGCAGTGAGCAGCGTCGCCCGCAAGGATGATCCTTCCATTGCCGTTCTGGGATATGAAGGTTTCGGCAATTCTCTCTTTCACTAAACACATGTGTTGGCAAGAGTTGAGCCTTAAACGCTATCTGTAACTGATTACTTACCTTCAAAGGTGCTGAACCATTCAGTCTTGGTGAAGTCGACGCGGTAAGGAGCCAAATGCCTCTTGATAGAAGCCTTCGACTTCTCCTCAGTGACTTCGCCATCCAGCAAAATATAGAAACGCGCCAGACCCCGCTCCCGCGGGATCCATGCGACACGGGATTCGCCATCGAGCTCGAATGTGATAATCTCAGGGCAGCGAGGGAAGTCGCTGTCGATGAAGGTGTCCAAAACGGCCCACAGCATTTCAGGCTTGGTACCCGTGAAAGGAATACGAAGTGCCTGACGCACCATGGATCTGGCGCCATCGGAGGCGATGCAATACGTGCCGTGCACGATGCGTTGCGAGATGGTGGCTACCTCGACTCCGCACTCAGTCTCTCGGATCGACTCGACCCGCTCGTTATAGAGTAGAGACTCCTTGAGCTCTGCTGCGAGGAGCTGCTCTACCACGGGCTGGCCAATCATGAGAAAATTTTTATGCAGGACATGTTGAAGGCCTGTCCACCAGTGACTTTGGCGGGAGGCGAAGCCACCATTAGTAAAGGTGGAGCTGGCTATTTAAAGTGGTCAGTGAACAAGAAACAAGGGTAGATGACACAAGGATAGCCCGGTGTTCGAGACTTACTATTGCATTTGAGACCCTGGCTAATCAGATCGTCGAGAATACCCACAATCTCGAGATATTGCTGAGATCTCGCGTTCAAAGCATCAGCTCTTCCAAGTTGCAGCGGCTGAGGTTTTGCATCTGGAATGGGCCGCCCTGGTTAACAGCGAGCCTCCTAATTCCAAAGAGAGCTGAGTCATCGGGATGGAGCATACCCAGCACAAGGACTGATACTCCGAGTCTCTTCGCCAGAAGAGCAGTCAGTATTCCAGTAGGACCACCTAAGGAATCGTCCATCATGTTAGCCAGTGACGTGCTGGAAAATTTCGAACATATCTCACCGCCAACCACCACCAGATCGACTCGTGTCTCATCCATGGTGCGTGCGAATTGATGCTATGCCCTTTTTTCGGAGTACAAATGTGTGCGAGATGTTGGACTTCAACCCTCAGGGTTAGATTGCAAAATAGCTACACCGTACTGTGTGCTTTGCATTACGTTTTATACGTTGAACTCTGATACGATATTTGCTCATTGGTACTTGGGTGTAAGACGAGTTTGACAGACATCTTTGACGCCGCTAACTCAGCCGCGGCGAAGTTCATAATGTGATCCTTACTTCATAACTCCAGTTTCGGTTGCATGCTTATACGAAGTTATGCGTACGTACTTCCAACGGCTTTTTACTTTGAACTTCCAGGACAGCATGTTATAGCCGACTTCGTATCTTGTGTTAGCGGCATGAGGTAATTTGACCGTCGTATCAATACGAAACGTGGGGGATCCAAGGCGTTTTCCGGTCGAGAATGCAGCGAAATCTTCCTTGCAGATTTCTGCGCATATCATTTTCGGCTTATTACCCTAGTTAGGTGGCAACCTGGCGATCATCCGCCTCAGCTGCGATACGAAGGGCCTCCCATTCGTCGATCCACTTGGCAATCATGCGGGGAACCTGAGCTTGACAGGTGCAGGGGTCTTTAGCCTGGATGAACTTACTTGCTCACTTAACAACATGATGCATATCAGAGGCCAGAGGCTTCGCGCATATCTACTTTGAATTACTCAATACCCTGTCCAATCGTATGCGGGACCTGAAAAGGCCGCTGAAATTGAAATGAGTTACAGCAACCTGGGTAATGGAATGGGCGGCGGATATTTGCAACACCGAATTACTGCAAAGAGGCAGTGAATCCGGTCGATAGTGACGCAAATTTTACGCTAAAGAGTTTGTCTATACCTATCGTTCCTCTTAAAGAGAGATACAGAAAAGAGCATCAGGAATTTACACCATTTCCAGAAAGAAAACAGAAAATAGCCCTCAATCGACTCCTCAATAATGGATAGTTCAACCAAAGCCATTGAGACCCCTGAGCTTTTCAGCATTAAGGGTCTCGTTGCGGTGATCTCCGGCGGTGGCTCTGGTAAGTATTCAAGATATGTCGCGATTGTTTTTGCCTAAGATGCAATGCGCAGCTAACAGAACTATGGATGCCCATGCAGGTATTGGTCGCATGATCACTCGTGCCCTCGCCGTCAATGGTGCTGCGAAGGTCTACATTCTCGGTCGTCGTGGCGCCGTCCTGGAAGAAACTGCTAAACCCTTTCCTGATGTGGTGATACCAATCGAGTGCGATGTTACCTCCAAAGAGTCATTACAGGCAGCTGTCGACAAAGTTACCAAAGAGGTCGGATATATCAATGTTCTCTGGTGTAATTCAGGGACATCGGGTCCCGAAAGTCCTGAACTGACCAGCTCGTCGTCTCTGGACCAGTTTATTGAGGCTAACTGGAGGCATTCGGTTGAAGAATACGCCGAGACGTTCAAGGTCAATACTGCGGGCTTCTGGTACACAGCCATTGCGTTCTTGAAGCTCCTCCACCTTGGCAATGAAAGGGGCAATGGGATGCACAGAAGCCAGATTATCGGGACGTGTAGCACCTTGGGCTTTGGCAGATTTGCAGCTACCGGTCGTTTCGCGTATGGACAGAGTAAAGCATCTCAGACTCACATGATGAAGCAACTATCCACACACCTGGTCCCGTATGGAATTCGGGTGAATATGGTTGCCCCAGGGCGTAAGTACATACATACATACATATGAAGTGAAAAAAGGAACTCATCGAAACTAACAAACGATCAGTTTTCCCTACAGATATGACTTCATCCATGACTGCAAGTGGTTACGACCCCTCGAAGCTAATTCCAGAGGGTAGAGCTGGCGCGGATACAGACATGGCTGGTATTGTTCTTTTCCTCGCGAGTAAGGCAGGCTCTTATTTGAATGGCAATGTACTGGTATCGGACGGTGGTCGCTTGTCGATCGTTCCTTCAACATATTGAAAGGGAAAAGCTGGATAGATTCGAAAACGTGATCAATTTGATTATCTATTCCCTTTATCTTCTTGCCCAGACGATATTCTATCTGCAAATTGTAGTGCCTAGGAACTGGCGGAAACGACCCAATATCGCGAGTGGGATTTGTTTCAGGCGGTTCACTGGCCTTCAATCCTTTAACGAATAGCCGGAAGCTGCCAGGTTGCTTGATGGTAATGCGGCCACAATTCCTGTAAACGGCGTTATTACAAGGCTGTATTGATTGCCCCGATACGGATCGGCTAACTGAGTACTGTAACTAGTTACCTAACGCGATGTGGACCTTTTTCGGCTGCCTAAAATTAGCCTCGATGATGCCAAGGAACCTTCTCTTCACCTCACCTCGCCCTGTCAACATGGGCTGAAGCCTGCCTTTGCGCATCCATCTCGTATGTCTGCAGACATCGGAAAATCACGGTAACACCCAGGTGCCTGTTGCTGTCGTATCCGTGTTAAAAACCTGTCTTTTCGAGCATAATGGGACCGGGGACGAGGATCAACGGCCATCCCGGCACCGTCAACATCAATTTGCTCTCCGTTCGGCCGCAACGATATCAAAATGTTATTTTTGGAGGATTCCATTTGTTTCGAGAGGAGCGAAGTAGCCTTTTGCCATCGTGCGTTTGATTATTAAGGCAAGTAAAGATGAGGAGCCTATCTACTGAACACATCAGGCTTTGCTCCTCGAGATCCAACTCGGCCATACTCAAAACCGCCGCAAAGCTTACAGTAGGGTCTACGGATCGTTGCACAAGGCATCATGGAGAACGGATTGTATTCTGTCCCTCAGCAAGCGTCGAAAGTTTTTCGTGAAGGCATCTTAGGGAGTCCGCGAACAAGTCAGCACCTCATCGATGACCTGGAGAAGTACGATACAGTCGTTTTCGAAGGATCTCAGGACCCCATTGTTCCTGTTAACTGGCGATTTGCTGAGAGTGTATCCGCACTAAAAGCACTCGAGGCGACGTACGTCAATGCCATCCTCGACAAGCTCTATGGAGTGCCTCCGCAGAAGGCTTTTATCAACACGTAGGCATCCCTATTCATGTGGTAAAGTTCGTTTAGTTCTGCCATTGACAGGTATATCAACACAGTGACCATGCAACCCTATTCCTCTTGTCCATTCCCCTCTGGTCTCTTGACCCTGAGGGTAAAAACATAAGCTTTGTGGACATCAGAAGCGACGCTGCGGCCAAAGAATTTTACCTCAGCCTCTTCAAAGACTTTGACACCCACAAGTCGCTGGAAGGCGCCTACCGATGCTGTACATCCAATATCTATAGGACGTCCGACGGTCGGTTTTTCCACCTCCACGGCTCGCTCAACCCAGATGTTGTTCTACGAATGCTGAAGTTTCCTCTTATGCCACCTGGGGGTGAAGACACGTTTGAAAAGGTACTGCCTATGTTTAGGGAAGCACTTTCGCAATGCGATAGCAAGAGCATCGACGAACTATCGAACGACGTCTTCAAGACCTCGGGGACAATATGCCACGACATTAATGGCTACCGAAGGACACTTCATGGTATAGCGAACTCGCATGTTGGTCTGTGGGAGTCGTACAAAGCCAATAATACTCAACCTCCCTGCTGGTGGACAGATGCAGTTGGTAATAAGCCAAGCAACCCATCAAGGCCCCTCGCCGGACTTAAGGTCCTCGACGCTACCCGCATCATCGCGGGACCTGCCGTGACCCGTGGGCTGGCAGAACTGGGAGCAACCGTTCTGCGAATCACATCCCCTTCTGTACCCGATGCGACTATATACCACCCCGAATTTAATTGGGGCAAGCAAAACGCTGCCCTAGACTTTGCCAACGAGGCAGATCGAGAGACCATGAAAAAACTTATTTTGGAGTGCGACGTGTTTGTCTCAAGCTATCGGCCAGAGGTCATGGAGAAATGGGGTTTTGGGGCCGATCAAATCATGGAAATGTGCAAGGATAGATCCAAAGGGATCATTGTAGTGCGGCTCAATTGCTTTGGATGGCATGGCCCATTACGGTTGAGAAGTGGATGGCAGCAGATATCGGATGCGGTAGGTGCCTTATCCGTATACTTTCTAAGATTCTACTGGCCTGACAAGCAGCATTCTTAGCACACCGGCGTTTCCTATGAGTTTGGCCGCTCAATGGGAAACGACGAACCAGTCACTCCCGTGTTCCCAAATAGTGACTTTTGGTATTACAAATCCCCACCCAACCACACAAACGAAAGAGTAAGAAACACTGACTATTGCAGCACTGGCATTTTGGGAATATGCAGTGTGCTAGACGCCCTGATTCGGAGGGGAGAGGACGGTGGGTCGTACAAGATAAACGTAAGTTTGTTCTCTGCGACTGTGAGTTTAGATTAACCCAGACTGACGATATAAGTTGGCACTTGACTACTACAACAACTGGTTGGTCAATGATGTTGGCACTTACTCAGAAGAGACCTGGGACAAACTTCGCAGGCATTACGACTCGCCTGTCTTTCGTCACGACGACCATATGCTAGTTCTAATCTCGCGGGTAATGAGCATGCTCAAGGATAAGTCCTCGCATTTGTTTGATCCAAAGTTCTTCGAATCCCGGCCTTGTCCAAATCTAGGCATATCGATTCGGACCGTGAAGCCGGTTATACAGTTCGATGGAGTTGTAAAACCTGGGTTTGACATTGGGACGAGAGGCAATGGCGTTGATGAAGCTCGATGGACATCTGAGGCTATTGAATCAGCTGCAATAGAGACCTAGAATATTTCATAGTAGACTTCTACTTCTGCCCCCATGACAATGTGGATTGTGTCCTGCCTGTTTGTTGCGTTTGTCCTACCCTACTCCTCATATCGACGAACTACTTTCTAGTAATTGCTTGTTTCCTCAACCTTTGATGATAATTGGCTACTAAAAACTAGCTACCTGTATTGGGTCTAGATTCCATTTTAGGCTGCTTTTTAATATTATAGTCACGTGAATTGCGGAAAGAAATTAGCCGAGGCAGGACGTTTCCTTATCTTTTGGCTTAAGTTATCTATCTATCTGGACAGCATCCACCACTCTATGTACTGAATTCTATTGTAGTGTCCCTCCTGCTGAGTGCTAAACAGCCCTACGTTCAAACTGAGCGCTTTATTCCATGTGCGCCTTGTCCTCTCCGAGCACCTTGATCAATCGAGCCGCAACCTTCTCGGCAACAATGGGAAAAATGCACACCTCCTGATCTCCGGTTAGGTTTCGAACCTCCCCGAATACCTTTTCATTATCTGTCATTCTATTCAACATATTCAAAAGCGCCTCGCCAAGCAGTTTCCTGGCCGTCTGCGGCGGAAAAATCGCTCCCGACTCGCTTGATAGAAAGGTTCCTCGTTTTAAGTTCAGCTTGTCGAGTTTTGGTGCCTTTCCAATTATGGTCTCAATGTCGGGTCTCTCTGCGTGCAAAGCGTGAAAGGTCGCGTTGATAGGGAGAGGGGTCACACGAGCTTTACCAAATGGTGTCGAATCAAAGAGTTCCCGTAAAAGCCTTGGAGGCCCGATAATGGTTGTAGCCCAGGCCGATGTGGCGCCGCAATATAGCCCCTTGGCCGCAGAGAGGTCCTAACGAAAAGTTGAAATGAGAGAAAAGTAATGGTGGTCTATCAGCAGATAGAGCGATGGCTTACCTTGCTTTGATTGAAGGTAGCGACAACTCCCTGGGCCTCTTCCAATGACACTCCGACTGCTGTGGCCCAACTCTCGGAACGGTCATCGGAATACTCACTCGTTCGACGATCAACATCGAGACCCGCCCGGACAGAAGTGGCCACGATATCTGGTGCAGCATCGGCCAGTTCATCCAAGGATTGTGTTGCGGCTGCAAGAGCCGCAGGGATCTGACCGGCACAGGAAGCGACTATTAAGAGTTTTTGCTTTGACCAGAGCGCACGAACTCTTTCATCCTTTTCCAGTCGCCTTTGCGATGTTAGATGAAAGGCAAAATATTATGTGTTGCCATGAAGTGTAGATACACTAACATGATTAGGTGCCCGAGCTGGGTGAAACAGAGGAGTAATGTGCGAAGGACGACATCAGGAACTTTCTGCGCCAGGACACGCTCCTCTAAGCCGAGGTACGAATCGAAGGCGTATTTCTTCACGTCTGGAACAGCCGCATTTTCAAAGGCACGGCGCGCTGACTCCTGCGAACGTTGAATGTATGACCGAAGGCGGTCGGACTGCTTGCTGTATTCGAAAAGCACTCGAACGTTAAAGTTTGTCTCCGTCTGATCTCCAAATAAGAGAATATATGGCGTTGACATAGTGACTGTGGGCCCGGTTCGCAATATTTTCCTCGATCGTGTAACTTTGCGGCATCTCTTCAAAGCGAGAGACCCAACCGATGGGATGGCCAGGGCTCGAATCTTTGTAGATTTCGGGCTTGACTTGTTTCTGCACCGCACTGCACCGTCGCAACTTGCAATGTCATTATGCAGCGGGTATCGAATCATCACCGATGACGCCGATTCTCAAGGATCTACGTAAGTCATTAATAATTACGGGCAACTAAGGGAACAGTTGAATGTGACTATTTCGAGAAATGTCTCTCGTTTCGGCATCTCGAGTCTTCCTCGTATATGTGGGCGATCATGCAGCGCAAGAAGTATTGACATACAGCCACAGGACTACCCTGCCACCCTGCAGCCAAGTGTTACATCAGCCGTAAACACAATACACTCTCAGCTAGGGCGTTCGTATCCTAAAGTCCGAGCAATGTCGAGCTGAACAAAAAAATCATCTTCTCTCCTCACTTGGCGAAAAGATCGCGTCCTCGAGAAGACCCCGGTCACTGGGGATGCTTGAAGTGGCGGGATCATGTCGTATTCTTCCGCCAGGCAAGGACCCCGATGGGCTTGATATTTAGCCTCTCTGCGGGCTCTAGTAAAATTATTCCCACCGTCAATCTGGAGCTGAGTTAAATATCTTGTCTCCGGAAACAGCCTCATTGCTTTAAGATTCTTGACGCTTGCCATGGCTGAAGGCTTCATTTACGCCGTCTCAAACTCTAGGAGAGAAGATGTGCTTTCGAACGCGTTGGTTATTGGTATTGCGTTAATACTAGCGATCACTTTCTGGGTTCACTCTCGCGATCCACTGAGATCAATTCCAGGTCCCCTCTGGGCAAAATGGACACCCTTTTGGTTGGTGCACTACGCTCGCAGTGGCAATATGCATCGCCAAATGATTGCAACACACAAAAAATATGGGAGACTAGTCCGAGTAGGGCCAAATGAAGTGAGCACTGCAAATCCAGAGGCACTCAAAGCGATATACGGTCAGTAGTTCACGTTAAAGTTTAAAAGGCATATGGTATTAACGGTTTCAAAGGCGCAGGTGGTGATTTCCGCAAGAGTGACTGGTACAGCGTGTGGCAGGGGCTTCGCAAGTGGGACCTTTTCGGGGAGCGCAATGAAAGCATTCATCGAGCGCAGCGGAGGTTGGTCAGCCAGATATACTCATTGTCCAATATGAAAAAGCTCGAGCCTTATGTGGACAAAGCGGTGGTGCTCTTCATGACCAAAATGTCCGAGATGCAGGGTCAGCAGGTTAATATGAGTAAATGGGCCCAACTATTTGCCTTTGGTATGTCCTCTCATACTTATTTTGCCCGTGGAAAATATCTAAATTCGTACCATACAGACGTGATCGGAGAAGTAACATTCTCGAAGCGTTTTGGGTTTATGGATGCTGGCAAAGACGATGGTGCCTTTAGCCTCATCGATAAGTCACTGCGATGTGCAGCCTGGGTCGGATACGTACCTTGGGTGTACTGGACCAACCTCCGGCTTTCGCCAATAATTGGTAGTCATCTCGCGGTGACTGCCCGGCAGGGAAGTTTGCTGACATTTGCGGCAAAGGCAATTGCAGAACGCAAAAAAAGAGGCAGCGACCACCAAGATATTCTGGGACAGCTCTTTGACGTCCAGCGGGAAAAGCCAGAGCTGGATGACATCTGCGTCACATCGATGGTTGCTAGCAATATCTTTGCAGGGAGCGATTCAACGGCCCTTTCCATATCATCCCTTCTCTATCATGTCGTTAAGAACGAGCAATGTAAAAAGAGACTGGTGGAAGAAATCGATGCTACAGCCAGAGCCAACAACATTGGCCATGGAGACATATTTTCGCTTGAGACGGCAAATAACATGCCGTACTTACAGGCATGTATGTGGGAGGCTCTTCGCTGTCATCCGGCAGTAGGGATGAATCTTGGGCGAGTAGTGCCCCCACAAGGTGTTAAAATAGATGGTCAATATCTCCCCGGTGGGGTAAGACTTCCGACCTCCTTGGGCATAGCTTCACACTAACAGGGGATATAGACCGTTGTCGGCGCAAACGCATGGGTTATCCATCAAGATAAAGACACCTTCGGCGAGGACGCCCATAAATTCCGGCCAGAGAGGTGGATAGAAGAGCCAGACCGTGTTAGCCAGATGAGTATGCCTCCCTATCATCGTCTTATCTTATCCGAGAGGCGCGTTTTTCTCTAATAATGAGTAGGACGAGTATTTTTTACTTTTGGTGGCGGATCACGGTTTTGTATTGGGAAGAGTAAGTATTCCAAAGGTCCCCGTATCAGCATATCCAGCCCTAACGTTGATGCTAGATATCGGCTGGCTTGAGATGTCCAAGGTAGGAATAAAGTGCTTCACTTCCTCGTTCCCCTGAGCAGAGCTAATGATCTGCAGTTTGTCCCAACATTATTCCATGACTTTGAAATTGCTCTCGCAGACGCTGACCAGAAATTGAAAGAACTTGCTTGGTAAGAAAACCATACTTCGATGTTGAGGACACGCGACACTGACGTCTTAAAGGTCCTTTGTGAAAGTAGAAAACCTTTACATGATCCTGAAGCCGAGGAAGAATACCTCCAATGGACGAGTATAACTGATGTAAATATTATTGCTTGATATTCTGTACAGACTCTCCTGTATGTATTCCAGTGATTTGGTGGTGGGTTGTAACTAGCCGGATGGACTGCGGAGACAGCGGGGAGCTTGTTGAATTGCTAAGCTTTAAGCTTAACACTCCGCTCCGGACCCTCCCGGCAACTAGTGGCCAGAAACAGATCTTTCATTGGCCAAAGCAAAAGTAAGCTTGACTCATGAAACGTGGGGGTGGATTTAAAATACGTTACATACCAGACACTAGTACGGAGTAAACTCGACTGAAATCCCCATACAGTACGGAGTACGGAGTACCAATTCCCAAAACTCAAAACACAAACTCGAAGAACTGTACTCCGTACTCCGTGTCCCGTGCTCTGTATAGGCTTACGGTTAATGAGGCCTAAAAAGTTTTCGTCGTTACCTTAATCCCACCATCATCTCTTGCCATATGTTGCGCACCAACTTACGGTCCTAGAACTGTATTATTTATACTGAGCAATTTGTATCACAACTGTGTGTCTCGAATTTCTCCCTGCAGGCAGCCACCAGTCCTCCTGAGAGGAACCCTGATAGTTTGACTCCCTGTAATGATCTGGACAGAGGGCTGAATAGTCTGTAGGCGGTGAATTACTAAATGTTCCCCAGCAAACATGAGAGTAAGCGAAGAGCAAGATATAATTTTGGTTGCTATCACTGTGTAGAATGGGAAAAAGAGACACATGGCAGAAAGAGTTGAGATAGAAATCATTAGTCTAAATCTATGCACAGGTGTTAGAAATGTTAAATAGTAAAATGTACCGAAACCCTGCTCGTCAAGATGACCATAATACAACCAGCAGGTCTTAAGAGCTACAATGGAAACGGGATCATCGTAGTATTTTTTTATCAAAACCCTTCATGCCTTTATCATCAAACTTAATCCCTTATAGAATTTTCTGCTAGTGAGAAGGATCGCGCCCGAGGCTGCGATCAGGACGCCAGCTAATATCCACAAACTGGAAAAGCCATGTTGCTTGTAAACGACACCGCCGACAGGTGTGCCTGTGTCGGGGTCAGTCCGCTTCTAAATGGAGGGCACTCAAAATTTGGTCAAGGGCAATTGCATACCAATCAACAATCCAAAGGATACTACACCAAAACACTGGCCCAATCTTGTCCCGATCTTACCTCTGCTATGCGTTGAGAGATGCACGACGATCGAGGTCGGCGAAGAAACGAATGTGCCCGAGAAAAAGCCGTATAATGCCATTAGGACAATCAGGCCGGCCGCATTCTTGACTGGAATGATGCAAAAACATAGAAGAGAAGATATGAAAGCACAGGGAAGCATGACATTCATAGGTCCAACTGCATGATATTAGATTGTATCCACATATAGAGGTCATGTTGTAACGATGCTACTCACTTTTATCGGACAAAATGCCAGGGATGATTCGGCCAAAGGCACTGGTGCTATTCATGATAGCAAGGATATAGAAGCCAAGGTTTGAATTGGTGATGCTGTTCTGGATAGCGAAGGTCTGGACGTAGAAAAAGGGCTGATAGAGTCCCATGAAGCCGACGAATACGCTAAAAACGAAGAAAAAGTAGGGCAGTTCTTTAAAAGCCGCAAGATCCAAAATAGCACGTTTTTTATCCGGTACAACTCGCACTCTCATGACCACGATAGAAACGAGCTGCGTGGAGAGCATTATGAAGCCGAGGACACGCGTGGCCCATGGAAAGCCAATTTTTGGCTGAAGCCGGTGGAAGACGATCGGATAAATGATACCACCTGCGGACAACTAAGTCCCGTGCCCTTTCAATTGCACCAAGGCAGACAATTACTCACCAAAGCTGCTACCAGAGGCTGTAAATCCCACAGCCGTGGCTAGCTTCGTTGTAAAATACTGAGAGAGGATAGCAGTACTAGGTACGCACAGCAATCCGCATCCAATTCCAATACAGAATCCCTGGGCAAGAAGGACTTGCCAGTACTCACTACAGAGACTCAACATCATTTGGCCAAATATCAGAAAAAAGGAGCCTCCGATGATAAGTTCACGAGAGTACCCTGCATCATAGACCGGCCCAGTAAGGGCGCCGACAAATAATAGCAGGAAGGCTTGAAGAGAGCCTACCCAAGCTATTGAAGATGGCGATGAGGTTGAGAGAAGATCTATCTCGTAGTAAGTTTCATAGGAGCCGAATGTGTTAACGATGCCCCTGACTATCGGTTAGTAAAACTCTTCTAGGGAGGCAGCATGTAATACGGGCCCTCAATAATTCTCCCAGATGCATACATATATGCATCTATAAACAAGGCCGCGACTCACCAAGAATTGAAGAATAGAAAGTGTGCACCGAGGACCTGTAACCAAGCCCGCGTCCCCCCGTTAGGAACGGATGACACATTGTTTACTGACGCTTTCTCCTTGCCTGGGTCAATCTTCTTATCGCTCTCCTCGTCCGAGTTCTGGAGCGCAGCGCCAGGTTCAGCAGTTTCAGCGGGTTTCTCATTTGTCGGATCGATGGGGTTCACGGTGCTCCCCGAAGATCCATCGGCGCGGCTGTCTTCCACGGAACCTGGGATTGGTGATGCACGCTCTTCAGCATGGCCCATAGCGGTTGAAAAGTTAAGAGGGCAACGTGGGCCACACAAGTGATTTAACTGAGATTGGAAATCTTCTTAAATGGAAGATGCCGAGCGAAAGAGGTCTTTTCTCTCTCTTCAATCTGCCCTATAGCCAGCTAAGCTCTTTCTAGACGGGAAGCTTGGGAGGCTGCCGCTGTTAAGCGAAGTAGTCGACACGCCAGAGATCGCCAAGGGAAATCAGGAGCGTCCAGTGAAATTTGAGTAGCAATGACAAGAGGCCCGAAACCGTTTGAGTTCAAGTGAAGGAGTTTTGGATGAGAAAGCGGGTGATTACGAGGTTGGGATGGGTCAGAGAGAAGGGCGAAGTCGAGCGAGAAAAAAGGGCCAGCAAATCCCGCTCGGACACATCGGAGGTCGGAAAGGCTGAGTGCGTGCCCACGTTGATTGATTGCAAATCCATCTCGGATGAGACGGGACATGGGCCCAAAGGTCTTCGAAAGGCATGCTCGAAGAACCTGATTAAGCTCTGCAAGGATACTTCACAATCAACCAGGAAAACCAAATCGTATCGATGCAGCCCGGTTGACAAGTAGCCACTAATGCACGGTTATCCTCCAGGGGTGCTGAACCATCGCCGGAAGGGTGTCAAACGCCCTCGCTCCGCTAGACCAGGGCCCATGGCCTTCTCTTGTTTCTGGCTGTCCACGACGCATCGTTTTAACATACGGAAATTGTTTCGTGTCAGCTGTGTAAAATGCAGTACCTTTATAAACACCGTCTCGAAAGAGTGACAGCATTTCAGAGTCAAAGGCGGGTAAAGTCGTGGGTTGCAATCATTCAGCTCGGCTTCCCCTTAGTTACTTAGGCAAACTATGTAACTAGCTACAATCCGGTCGGAGCTGCGTGTATAATGAGTGAGTTAACAGATCTTGGGATCGCTTTCGTTGAAAATCGATGTGACGCCCTTAGCTTTCTTTTCTTTCTTTTCTTTTTTTTTTCTCTGTTTTTTGCTATTTTCTCCTGATTATTGCGTTTTCGATTTCATTTCTCCTTTTCTGAGGAAATCGGGGGGGGATATGGGATCATGTACTCCATACAGAGGAATCAAGTTTTGAAAAATCTAAAAGCATTATCATGACTCTTCGATCTTGAAGAATCCGGATGGTCTAGTTGACATTCGCGCTGCCTCGAAGATAGAGAATCATAGCCACCGTTTAGATTAGGATAAGCCCGCCTCTATCGCCGCAACTTCGGCCATCACCTTTCTCACTTCCTGCTTTGCCGCTTCACTCGGTGGATCATAGGGCTTGCGTGGTCGCAACTTTTCCTCCGCATCTTCAATCCCAGCCGCTTTTGCTGAAAAGATCGCAGCTGCGTACTTCGTTGTGGCAATCCCAGATTTACACGGCGACTCCGCTAACGCAGCTTTGCGATGCAATTCCATCGCCTGGTCCACCTTTCCGGCTTTATACAGCTCATATATCTTGGAAACAGTCTTTGGGAATACATTCGCAAACGCGGCAATGCATCCCGCCGAACCCACGCTCAACCCACCGATCAAGAAATCGGACTGCCCACCAAAGACAGAGAATGCTGCTGGTGGCAGTGTCGCTGCGAGCCGCGTGATCTTGCCCACGCTGGCACAGGTGAGTTTCACGCCGACGACGTTGGGGTTCTTCCTCGCGATGGTCGTGATCATATCCGAATCCAGATCGATTCCGTTGCACACGCCTGGGAAGTTATAGATCACCACCGGAAGCGGCGATTGGCAGGAAACGTCGTCAAAGAATGATTTTATCACCGGAGGAGTGGTGGCCTTTCCAAAGTATGCAGGCGGCAGGACAAGCACATAGTTTGCTCCCGCCACGGATGCGTCGTTGATGTGTTCGAGGACCTGCCGCGTTGAATGGGCGCCTACGCCGGCCATGATGGGGAAATCTGGCCCCACGGCTTTACGGGCTGTGGCGATGAGCTGGGCACGCTCTTCACGCGTGAGCAGGAATGCCTCTGCATTTGTTCCGAGAATGACAAGACCGGTCAGCCCAGAGCGAGCCAGGTATGCGTAGTACCTCTCCTGCGAGGCCAAGTCGAGGGTGTCTGTCTTGGAGTCGAAGAAGGTCACTGCGGGGCACCAGATGCCCGGTTGCGGGACGCGAGGGACCATTGTTAAATTGATTGAGTTCTGGAGATGATGGTGGTGGTGGTGGCTGTTGCTGCTGCTTTGCTGTTGTTGTTACTGATGATGATGATGATGGTGATGATGATGATGATGGATAGATATCCTTGCAGAAGGACTGGGGGCAGCTTCTTCCAGGGCCAGAGCAGTTCAAGCCACGCAGCACGGCAGATATAAGGCAAAGTTATGTCTCACCTCCGCCGTCTCGCTCACGGCAAGCAGCTGATATCCACGGGAAGCAGGATGTGTGGGGTTTGGCGATACATAGTGTGCTACAGCCCGCAGTAGGCGGCGGTTGGCGTTGAGTTTTCTCTGGCTACTGCTTGCATCAGCTTTATCCAGACCGTCGTTTTATCGTGTGGCAAACAGGTCGCTTGCTCCGGTGCAGGCATATTATCTGCCTCGTGCATCGTTAGGCTGGTAAGTTTACTCTTGGACCACCGGCACAACTGATTGGTTGCCTCCCCCGAAACCCGCTCACTGGGCGGTTCGTGGGCTTGTGCAGCAATGCTCAGCGGGCAAACTCTCTGACGGAAAGGTACAGTAACCGCTTTCTGGCCGGAAACAAGCTTCCAGGCTCTGGAATCTTCTCATTCTGTCCCAGCCTTACCGGCAATTTGCCAACTTTCACGACTCGTTCCAGCGCCAGCGCACTGACGTCCATGAGCCCAGCCCAGGGCCGGATGAGCGTGAAGGACGTCTGCTACCGGCTGGTTGCACGAAATCTTGGACTACTGTGGTACTGTACAAAGTGCAAAGATCGGTATGCCCTTCCGATTATCCACGAGAAATCTATCTTCCTCCGATCTAGTTGGAAGGATTTTTGGGTTGCGGATTGGCAACCAATCGTGCTTCACAAGATATGGATCAGATTGATTTTGAAGGCGTGCATCGCTTCAGAAACCAGCCCCATATCAAACCCCTGGTTCTTCTGGACATTGCTGGGGTTCCTCCAACTCTTTTGCAATTGACGGACATGCTCTTAATCTCCTTGGTCCAGAGTGACTTACCAGAGCTTACCAAGCAGGCTACTTCTAGCTTGAATAAACACCGGTGAAGATGAAACTACACCATGGGGCAGCCCAAGGCTGCACAGCCCTACCATCAAGTTTTCTCTATTGTGGATCCTATATGCTAGAAAACAGCATCTTTCTGGTGCGCTACTCTCTTGCAGCCAATCCAGCATTTCCTCGCATCTGATGCGAATATGGCAATGAGTTTCATGGAGGTCGTCAAGTCTGATCGGGTCGAGAACTTAATCATTCATAGTCACCCGATGGGCATTGTGCCGTCAGCTTCGGATCGGGCAAATGTCGCCCATGTATTCGTGCTGAGCTTGCATGTCTCCAGGTGACATGGCGTGCCCCGTCAAGACTTCATATCTATCCTGGCAGCATATACAACTATGCATCCCACGTGAAACTTTCGATGCCTCTGCAATGCTGAGACTGGTTGCACAATTGAATGCTGGATGGGTCAGTGGCGTTGAAGCGTCGTCCCTGGCTGTTGACGAACTAGATGATGATGCGAGAATAAAGAGAAGAATGTTGGGACGGGAAGGAAAGGGATAAGCTTGGTCGAGTACCCAATGAAGTGGTTTTTAATCGACAATCAGCCCTAATATGGTCACCGACATTTGGCGTCGTTGTTCGATCATCCATAGTTACATAAATTATAGGAGCTTTTTGTGCACAAAGAAATAAATTTGCAATCCCAAAAAATTTAATATAGCCTTCATGCCAGCAACATGGAGGCCATACTTGATCTTTTGATCAGCACTGTGCAGAAGATTTACAATATAAATAGTAACTTTGGAAACTCAACCTTATACTTTAGGTTGGCAGAAGAATTCATTTCTGGGCGAGGGATCAAGAATGCCATGAGTTTTGAGAAAATGAACGGTCGTGGAGATCGAGATTTGGCAATAATTGGAAGTCAACAGGTTGAAGTTAGTGAAGCAGATGTAGGTTCGAACATTTCCGTCTGTTTGAAGCAGTAATGCTCTCCGATTCTAGCTGATTGAATGGCTGCGGTTGCGGCTTTAGGATGCTCATATTCGACGAAAAATAGACAAAGTGATCCTTTCAATTCTGGTTTGGGTGTATTTTCTGCAAGTGAGTGATTTCTTGCTTCAGCGGCTGAATCAACACGCCTAGGTCCACTTGCTCTTATCTGATGACTGATGGGACTCGGAATATCCTAGATTTTGGACAAGTCAGCACTCGGCTACGGGGTTATTTTCGGTCTCAAAGAAGATGTCAAGCTTCATGGCAACCAATATTCGCTACTCGGGTCCATTGCAGCAATCGCGCAGCTAGCATGGCAACCCTTCTCGATGGTCCTGATAGTCAAAGTACCGCACCGCATCCTTATGCCATCTCTTGTCCTAGGCTGGGGTATTTCACAGGCTGCGATGGCAGGATGCCACACCTTGACTGGCCTCATGACAACGCGGTTCTTACTGGGCCTTTTTTGAAGCTGGATGCCTTCCGCTCTTCGGCGTCATCACCAGCCATTGGTATCGGCGTGCTGAACAACACATCCGGGTAGCAGCCTGGTATGGAACCAAGGGACTGGCAACAATCGCCGTGTCCACGCTATCGTACGGATTAGGCCACATTCCATCAGAAACTTTAAAGTCATGGCAAATATGAGCAAAGCCCAGCCCTATATAGAGCCCACAAAGCTGTTAATACTTCGTCCTGTTTCACAGAATCTTTTTATTTGCCGGTATAATTACCATCGTTTTCCGCTCCCATTGTCTATTGGAAGCTCCACAACGATATTCTGTCAGCACGGTTTTTGACAGAACACGAGCGCATGCAAGCAATCGAGAGAGTCCGTGTCAACCAGACGGGTATTGGATGTAATGATAGTTTCAAATGGGACCATGTCTTCGAGACACTTCTCGAACCAAAGACCTACCTTTGGATCAGCATGAGCCTGCTCCTCAACGTCGGCGCCTCAGTGGTAAATGTTTTCGGCCCCATCATCTTGAATAGTTTCGGCTTCACCGAATATCGTACCCCGCTGCTCAACATACCATTTGGTGCGGTACAGTTTATTGTTTATCCTCTTCGCCTCGTACGCTGCGCAAAGAGCTCGCCTGAAATCTGCTGTACTCGTCGCAGTGGTGGTTCTTCCAGTTATCGCAGGCCTTGCTATGCTGTATACCTTGAAGCGAAGAAGTGCTCAACGGGCAGCCCTTCTTACAGCATACTATCTCCTCGCCTTCCTATTCGGTGGAAACCCGCTCATCGTCGCCTGGATCGTTGGAAACACCGCCGGCATGACGAAAAAATCGGTCGTTATGTCGCTATATAATGCCGGCTCGTCCGCGGGCAACATTATCGGTCCACTATTATTTAATCGGAGGGATGCTGCATACCTAGCTACCGGAGCGGCCTTCAGGCACTACTTGGTGTGTTCATTGTTCTTGCCGCAGTGGTTATTCTGCAAGTCATGAACCTGAAGGTCTTAAACAAATTGCATCAGCGATCGCGTGTCGCGGCGGGGAAACAGGCGGTTATTAAGGATTACTCCATGGATCGTAACTAAACATGCCGTTGAAGAAAGAGAAAACGGAGATCAGGAGGCTCGAGCCGATCAGAGATTAGGTGAGTGCGTTTCAAGATTTGACGGACCAGAAGAACAACGAATTTGTGTACATTTATTAGATTAGTGGGAATCATCTTACTGTGGTTGCTTTGGGGCGAATTGAAATAATTCTCTTCCATATGTGCGACTTGGCCGCATAGACGAAGCGCAGTGCCGGTTTATCGGTCAATTGATGCTATATCTGAACGTTTCGAAATTTGTTGTACCATCTAGCCTCCCGAAATTACGAGCAGCTCGCAAACTTCGAGCCGATCTCAATCAAATACGTCCACATGCTCACCGAATGCAGCTTAGAGAGCCAAGTGCGCACTATAGCTGCATATCATCGAGGACGTTTGGAAAGTACTGAGATTAGAATAACTATCACCAGAGCAGATCCATTCTCGGGAGAACGAGTTGGCAATACCGAAGGTCCCCAGAAGATGAAGATATGGAGATAATGCGCCAATATTCGACATAATCCTTTTTCTACAAAGTTGAAGGCGTCGAAGCGCTTAATGCCAAACAAGAAAAGTAGAATGCGTGAAAATCCGCAAACTTCCAGTATTGAAATCAGCATTTCTCGTGCACAACAATTGCGCTGGAATAGTTATGCCTGGAAGTTCATCGCCAGGGGGAAAGGGGAATGGGCTGGAGACGCAGCCACAAGTTTAGCTCCTTCGATCCAAGAGTGAAAGCTATAAATAAGTTACCGAGATAGGAGCTCGTGCGCGGTGTGCAAGGAAGGTTGACGCGAGTGCAGGATTCCCCAGTAACCCTGATTGGGATTAATTCCAGCATGTGGGATGATATGTTTTAGCGCCACCCCATGAACAGGCACCCGGTGTATCCGTGGTGTGTTTTACTTATCGGTTGCCAGTTTTATTTTTGGCTGTTTGGCGTGAAGAGCAGACAAACAATGGCATGCAAAGCCGAGCAGATCCAGTCACCATTAATTGAATACTCCATACTCACATATGTACGGAGGATGTACTCCGTAGTGCCACATGGAAAGGCATGGAACTTCCCGCGGGCTCCCGCGTCGGCCCCCACTCGGTTGGCGCTTTGACGGGTTGACGCTGCGGGTGGCAGCACCTCACATGATTATTCGGCTCAGTTTGGCTTTCTTTCCGTGGCCGTCAACAGAAGAGAGCGATTGCAAACCGTACTCGGGAAGATCGAAACCTGGAACTATGGAAATGCGCTGTTTGTGATGCAAGGATCCCAGGGCTATCGTATGTTGTTCTCAATACAGACGCCTAGAAACATTGAGATTGTCGCCCACACGGCGGAAATACACCGTCCTGTACACACACATAACAGCGGCAGCTGCATGATAGACTCAGCGACGAAATTCGGTGGCGTTCAGGAATCAAACGTTAATCCGGTACAGTGACGATAGGGCAGCATCGAATGTCGAGCATTGAGAACCAAGCCAGTCGACTGCAGCCCGCAACCACCCCGTTAAATATTTCCCGTTAGGAAAAGTCGAGTCCACGCGAAACTTTTAGCCATACATTATTAGTACGGACAACTCCCGTAATTCGAAGTGGGAGGGGGCCCGTGAGCCGGAAACACAAAAAAAAAAAAAAAATAAGGTATGCAACGCGAAAACAGTGATAGCCCATTCGGACTGTTACACAGATACAGTTGTTGCTGCACCGACCGGGCATATGTATGGGCGGAGGACATGGACGATGCCAGCCACTCGCTTGTGAGTCGAAGCTCAACGCACTCCGGCCCTCACGAGGACAGGGAACAGACCGTACGAGCTTGCTGCTTGGCGAGATGCGGGGTTGGCCCTGCATTCTTCCATACGAGCAGAAACACGGCGACGTCGTCGTCGATACAACTCCGCAGAGATGGGATGATCAAAACGGAAGCGATGAAAGCATATAATGGTTCTCCCCTTGGGGAATCTGTTATTGGAGAGTCCACGATCCCGCTTAATTAGTGAAATGAAAGGTCATTTGCGCTTGGTTCCCCGTCCATGGGACTCCTCGATGATTCCAGGGAGCCGTCACCCTAGTGGAGAGATCACTTCTCCAAGTGGCTTATCCTTGAACCCGGAACCAAATGCAGATCGCCAGCTTCCGGGAGAGCTGTCACAAAACGGGGTGCGACCGTGAGAGAATTTTTCTTCTGAAGGGATCTCCAACACAGGGGTAACGGTGACATTCGGGCGGTTTCGAATGGGCAACCAGGAGAAGCGGGGAAGGCGATGGGCAGATCGAGGGCTTTTTGCATCGGCATAAACGAATAATAAACGAGCCGAGTGGTTCGATGAAAGAAACAATGAAAACAAAAAAAAAACAATAATTGGGAAAAGAGCGACGGTTCCCAAAAAAAGAACAGTCTTTTTTTGGTGCTGGGATCACCGCGAATCGAACGCGGGTTATGACGGCCACAACGTCATGTCCTAACCACTAGACCATGACCCCTCTGCTTGAGTTTTTCCGGCGCCGGCCGATCTCTCGAGCACGTGAGAGGCGATCCTGGTTCGCTAACCATCTCTGGTTAGTCTAGTTGAACTAGAACTTTAGCGTGGTCCCAAAAAAAAAAAAAAAAGGCTTCGTCAGAGAATACCTGGCTGGCGATCAATGATACATATATATTGTACTCCGTACATATGCTCGATTACTCCATCCATGAAGCTACAATAGCTTGGCTGTGAGATAGGCGATATTAGTTTTCCTTATCAAATCCATGCCTTGGAAGTTGAAGCTGCCACTATCTAGCCTAGAATCAGTCAATAGTGAGAAGCAAGTGTACAGAAATCCTGGACAAACCCCCCCCTCTCGATGGAGAGCAGGAGCTTGATGACTCCGTAAGCGCACAGATATGAGCGTACAAGCCTGGTTCACACATGCTTGAATCGCTGCTCTACGCCACATGTACGTAATTACATGCTCTGTGCATTCGTCTCCTTTTCGTTTGGTTGAATAAAATGGTTTCCCATCAAACCTTAAAACCTCATTTTCACCTACATTGGCATCATCAACAACTTCCGAAGATTTGCAAAATACGGCGTGGCAAACATATAGTAAAGTCAATCCCAAACCATGTTATCATCCATTGATGAGATAGTCAGTACATTCCGTCATCCGTTGGGATAGACTTGCCGGACAGTTGTGAGAATCTCATCTCCGTGAGTTCGATAGTTTAAGGGAAAATGCCCTGCATACTATGCCGGCCAACCCACCAGCTTATTACTATTGGTCTACTCCGCACCCATCTCAGGATCCCGGGGTCGTCAGAGATATACAAAGATCTTGACCTCTTCACTCGACAACTTTTGGGAGTATGTTGTCTTGCCAATGAGTTGGCGTCATCGGGAGCAAAGGATCAGACACTCTTTGATAACAGCCGGGCATCATGGATCAACGATTCAAAAGAAAGAGAGTCCCTATTGGGAGTCTATGATGAGAACTGAAACCAAGCTCCAAGAATGAAATGAGTGCGGGAATATCTGAGCGATGACTGCCCAGATGAATGGTGCTAGCTTCTTTCAGCCATACCTTCTCGATATTCGTCTGATTTCTGGGCTTTTTCCGCGCCTTGAAGGTAATTTTTTCTCTTCCAATGTCAGTCAGTACCTGGTTTACATCCTTGCATCGCATTCAACCAGTCGACTGTAACAGCGTAGCCTGTTAGCAGACCGTTTGTATCTGGCAAACTCTTTTGCGCCAGAGAGTAGTTCGGCTTCACGATATGGTTTCCGAGAAGTGACAGACTCGTATAGCACTGGAGGCAAAAGGGGGTGAGCTCAGTCCGCACACCTGGGCAACCATAATGCGAGGAAATCAGGATATTTCGGTGCCGAGCTCCGAGCTAGGGTTCCAATCATGGGGAGCTCCAGCAGACTTGGACAGCTTTGACTTCCCACCGCAGCCCATCAAGGTATACAAGGGAAGCCCCGACGCAGTCCGGGGAGCTGAATGTAAAACACCTTGCTGGGGGGGAGAGCACATTTCGGGGGTCTCGAAGTCGGTTGCTGAGTGGATACGCAGTGTGTTCCAGAACAGTCATACCGTCATGTATTGATGGGAGCTCTGTGGAAGGACAGGTGAGCCACCCATAGACAGCACGCTCAGGTCCTCAGATGGCTGCGAATTTTATTGGTTGGAAGCGGAATCTTGGTGGCCGTTGAATCGGACATCTTGGACACTGGGGAGATGCAAGGAATATCAGAAACATTGCAGTTGGCAGTGACGCCAACGAGACGGACAGCGACGAAACGCAAAATATAGAAAAAAAAACCAGAGAGGTGGGATCTAACCTATGTGCTATGCACAGCTTGGCGCTGAACATGCATACAGTTATGAGAATGTATGTAATGGACACACATTACGGTTGGATTTGAAGAATGTATGTAATGGACATACATTACGGTTGGATTTGAATTCGGGATGAAGAAGCCCGGGAGTACCGGTATTAACTAACCTATTGTGAATCACAAGCTTGAATTTCACGATCAAAGCTTGACCTGAATGCGTTCGCACTCGAAACATTTGGCACTCCGTACTCGGTCCGAGATGGTGGGCGTGAGTGAGTTTGAGTTTGTGTGTGCGCAAGGAAAATGTTCCTTTTTTTGTCTCCCGCTGCGTGCTGTGGAGAGAGAGAGGAGGGGTGGGAAGGGAACTTGGGTCGATCCGCGTGGAGCGCCAAAAATCGACGACTGGGCGACGGGCTTCCCTGGTCGCACCGATGACGCCATCATGGCGCGAAAACGTCCCCAAGTACGGAGTAAGTAGCGAAAGCTTCCTGCTTTGCCAGGCTGTCCAAGCCCCAAAATTAAGCTTACCAGGTTCACGCTCCCGGGTCAGAGCAACTCTTAGCGCACGTCGGTTAGTCGGTGGGGCGAGGGGTCCCTTTTTGCTACAGATTTGGAATCTGTACGGAGTAGTCTCGCGATCTCCCACGAGGAGAGGGCAGCGCTAGGGTGCCGCATGGACTTTACAGATCTGATAGAGACAGAAAAACAGAGTGCGAGATCTGTTTGTTAGCTCTCTCGTATGTGCAGACCGGGGGCATGGCCATCTCAACCGGAAATGCGTGAAGCTTCAGGCAAGTCAACGATCAAAACCTTGTGGGGATCTCTGACGAGCTGATGAGGTGGCAATCTGTGCATTGTGTTGTATGGACGTATGTAGTGAACAGACGTGCACGGATGTTATCTGCACGCCTTGAGTTTGCTGTGCTGCAAGCTGCAATTCACTCAATTCCGAAACAGCGCATGGCCTGGCTTCCTGAAGAGGGAAAATTTTTAGCTTTTTTATTTTCATTACAGAGTATTGTTATTATTTTATTAATATTATTTACTACAGAGTACATAGTGTTATTATTGTTCCTTCTTTTCTTTTCTTTTTTTTTTTTTTTTTTTTTTTTTTTTTTTGGCAGTCGCAACGGAGTGCCAGTGATGATTTCATGGAAGGGGTACTGGAGTTTGAGGGTTGGGCGTGGGTCGGGAAGGTGCGTGGATTTCCGGCCTGGGAAGCTTTCTCCGCATAATGGAGCCTGTGCTTGACCGGTTGGGGAAATGTGGGCCCTTTACTGACTCCTTATTGGGCCTAATCTGATGAGCTAGCTGGATAGTTGGCCCCACGACGCCGCTCGCGCTTTCTTTCCCTTCCCCTTCACCCCCCCAAAAAAAGGTAGCAGCGGCCAGCGAGTGAAAATCGTATTTCGCACTCCCAAGCGCCACGGCAGTCGCCGCTCAATCAGATGCATTAGTCGCCAATGTGCATAATGGCGATAGTGCGCTGCTGCTGCTGCTGCTGCGCTCTGCATATTAATAAGTCCCGCCGTCCGCCCTCCCGCCCACAAGCCTCGAAGGGAAACCAAACCGCTCCTCCTGCTCTTTGTCACAAGCATTCGCAATTCACATTAACTATTTTCGCACACACACATCATCTATGAGCTGATAAAAAACTGTCTACCAGCTGGTCGTGTGTACTCCCGTATCATCTGCCCGTTTTCCAGCCACTTCGCCAAACGGTCGGCCGTGGTCATCTGCTCTTTTCCCCTTAACTTAATCACTCACCTCTCTGGATGGTCACAAGGACATCCCCATCCACCACAAAAGTCTTTCCAACAACAATTGACAGGGCTTCCCTTACCGTTGGTTTGCCTTACACAACGGCTCCACAGGCACAGGAGCTTCTTCAAACTTCACCCGGTTCATTGGAACCCTGCACATACACATACAAACACCCAGCCAGCTCCACGGGAAAACTTCGGTCTTGAAGAGGGCAGCATGTTCGCTGAGCGTCCTACCACCCTGCCGGTGCCCATACCATCGTGCTCTGCCATGTCTCCCCCTATACGGTCCAATTCTCCCACTGCTTCCTCCCGTCCGCGATCTCGACATTCCTCCAAGGCCTCCCCTGCTCTGCACCTGGGAAACCTCCCTCGATTCCATCCCGCCGTCTACCAGTCCTCGAATCCAAACAACCATTTCACGCAGTCTCCATCTCCGACCCAACAGCGCCCTTCCCTGAGCTCTCGCGAGGCTCTACGTCAGTACCGGGAGCTTATCGCCAGCATTGCCCTGACGCCTCGCAATCCAGCCTCCACCCCTGGTCCCCGACCAGCAAAGCCCCGTCTCGTCCCGATTGGCAGTCCGGGCCCCGTAACACCGCTCAGCCTGGAAGAGCAGGACGACAGTTACTTCACTGCGACGCCGCATTCCACCGAAAGCACGTCTAGGGGTGATCATCCTCCTCCGCAAGAGGTGCTCGAGAGGCTCCTCGAGCGCGAGAATGAGCGCATCGCCTCGACATCGGGGTCTCGAAAAGAGAAGAAGGCGCGGTGATGGCTATGAAGAGCGCGGTCTTTTTATAGTTCATCTCACCCCGCTTGTAATTCTTCTTAACGATTTTTTTATTCTCATGCGACGGCTGCATTCCTGCTTTGTCTTTTATACCGTCGTCCCCCTTTTACGACCTTTTTCTGCTACGATCATCTTACATGGCAGCACTCCGACACCGAAATTTACCTACTACCACCATGAATGCCCACTGCCTCATTGCATACCGCACTTTTCGCGTCGCTTTCTACCTGGAGAGAATCAAAGCTGTCACAACTTCGTTGGAATTTTCGGAGCAACCCACCGCTAAAAATGAAAACAGAAGGGAAAAAAAAAAAAAAAAAAAAAAAAAAAAAAAAAAGAAAGAAAGAAAGCAACGTAGAAATGTGCACCATAGACTGGGACTGATTAATACTGGCACCCATTTGGGTCCATAAATATTCAGGACACGAGGGGGAGTTTGTTAAAGGACTAGACTGTTAGATTCCGCATTAATAGAGAATCAGTCCTGATCCCATTTATCGAGCTTGGCTTTTTCATTATTTCTATCCTCCCATCTCGGAAAAAAGTCCTCATCCCCCCTGGAATTCGGGGGAATTCATTTTCGTTCGGATACGTTCTTCACTGTGGGCTGGCAACATGTGTGGATTTGTTTGTTTTCAAATTGAGGACCACATGTTTTTACCCTATTTACACAACAGTTTCTTTTGAAAGATGGATTTTAATATATTATTGTAAGAAGAAATGAGATGAACCTATTAACATATGCTGAACCTCCTTACCTGCATGCTGTATCAATGGTAGGTCATCGCGATTTCCCCATACTGGGCCTGTAAATTCTCTTTGAAAATCTGAATGTCCTCCTAGCAGCCTCGCGCCCGAAGGGCAGCATATACTCTGAAATATGAAATGAAACCGAGCTGAAAATAGTTGTCAGCCCCCTAGAACCTGAATTCCCTGACTCTTGTGTATGATCTGGAATGCAGATGTCATTTTTTGTCTCATTAGGAGTTAAGGGGGTGGAGGTTCCCCGGTTTCGGATTAACAATTCCCCGTCGTTCAACTTTTTGCTGGTGGTTCTCTCCTTTTCAAATTCCCCCCTTTTTTTTTGTCTTTCTCTTCTAGTAGAAAGTAACCAACCAAGCAACATTCAACCTGTTGCTCAAATGGTAGCCTTTTCACGCAAGATGACCCTATGTGCAAGATGGAATTGCTGTTTGACTGTGCTGTGCGGTTTGTGGTCTATACTACCTGGATACCACGTGAATGCACGTCACCGACAAGCCTGGAGATGGATGTCTTTAGGGGGTCTCGGCTGATTCTCTTGGTGTTCTGGCTGTTCAGAGCCAATTTACTCCAGCTGCTGGATCTGTCACTGCTGGTATAGAAACTTCCAGTAAGCCATCGCTGACTGGGTGTCTGTTCGCTTGAATGCCAACCATGACTTGTGACCGGGCGCTGGCCGTAGTGGGCGGCGCCATGTGTTCATATAAAAGACAGACACAGTGTTCTGCACTAGTATCTGCGCTGCTCGGCGTAAACAATATTTCCTTTTTAATGTTGTTGTTGTGTTTAAGGCACTCATTGCTGTCAACGTGTTTGCGAAACTTCAGTGGCTACTAAGAACTCTTCGCATTAAAGCCCTGTGGCTGTCCCAGGAAAGGTCCTGCAACTTGAACCATTCCTGTCCACAGTTTGATCCTTGTATCTGCAAAGTCCCTGCAGATAGTTCACTGTTCAGGTTGAAGTGGTGAGAATTCGAAGGTATTCTTTGTTGCTTGACCCGGGGAAGTCCCCTGCGGACTGAACTAATGAAAAATCCATTTATACAGAGATATATAACTTTTTTCATTCTTCGACTCTTCGCAATGTCTTTTGGGACCGCTTATCGTTGGGATAAGCCCTGGATCGGCAAGCTGAACCTCGACCCTGCCGAATGGCATGGAGACGAGCCGTTGGAGCTAGGCCCAGATGAGGAAACGGACCCCAAGTTCAAATCTGCTGGAAAGCTTGGCCGCATGCCTCTCGAGTTGATTTACAAGATATGTCTCAAACTCGACGTGGTCACCTTGGCCAACTTCCGCGCTGCAAGCTCGTCGTATCGGGCCGTCGTCGATTCGGTTCTCCAGTATCGCAGACTCGAGGAACACGCAAAGGACGCGCTCAAGCTTCTAGCAATAACGGGAGTCGGCAAACAGTACAGTCTTGAGGAAGTCTACGATGAGCTTTGTCAGCCCTGGTGTCGAGCCTGCGGGAAATTCGGCGCGTACCTCTTCCTCCCGACTCTGCGTCGTTGTTGCCATAATTGCCACTTCATCGCGCCAGAGCTGTATGTGGCTAGTTTTGCCGAAGTGATCTCCAACTACGGGCTTCCTCCAGACGTTGCGAGCAAGCTGCATGTTGTCCATAGCCTTGCGGGATGGTATGGGACCATGCGGTCAAATGAGCTTTGGGTGCACCGCGACGCGTTGGTCAGCACGTACGAGGCCGAGCAGCTTGCTCTCGGTCTGTATGGAAGCGAAGCAAATATGGTCAGAGCATTCAACCGGCGGAAGATGAGGACCCAGCGCTCGGCCCCGAAGCAAGCCCAGAAATCGGCACAGTCGACCTGGCTCACTGGTAACTTCGCGACGCTTCCCCGCTCGGCCCCCATGAGCATTGCACCGGCGCGGTTCTTGTTCTGCCGCCAATTCCCCCTCACGCGCCATTTCATGGCCACGATTGCCTTCCCGTATTTCGACCAGAGCACCCGCGCGTCTGAATCTGGCGTCTACTGCAAAGCATGCACTGTTGCATTCGAGCGCACCATCGTCGACATGGAGGATACGCATGAGCTCTTGCTTGAAATTCTCGATCAACGATACCATAGGGCATACTTGGAGGAGGATATGCCGGAACATTTTGCTACGTGCTCGTCGATGCAGATGCGCCTTCACGACTTCCCGTCAGCGATGCTGCCCAACTGGCCGTACCATCGAGAGGGTGAGGATTTCCTGATCGAATACGAAGAACCCGCGGAAGAGGAGCTTGAATCTGATTCTTGAATGGTTTGTCTGCTGTATAAAATGTGACTATGGATCCTTTTTTTCCCTTTTCTTTTTTTTTTCTTTTTTCAAAGGATATGGCTATTCTACTGTTTGATCATACGGTCTCTATCCAGCATTAATGCCTGCAATATGTGGCTAGTTTGTGCGATCCCAGATCAGGAGTATTCTTCATGTAATTCGAAAGGACTAGTTAGGTTTATCAATTGCTCCGTAATTGCAGCGAGATTTTCAATCTCACTTTATTAAATCGTTTCATACAATGATGGGCGCCAGGAGTTCATCGAGGCCGTCGTGCAGAACCCCTTTTCCAAGCCAAGCCTTTTTGCTTCTTGGCAGCCAGTAATCCGTCCACAAAAAGAACTGCCTTCGAACATCAAAGCAGAAACAGTCATCCGGCACAGAGCAAAGAACACAGAAAACAGAACACAGAACACAAGCGACATGGTTTAGCTAGGAGACTACGGCTGTCCCTTTTAAGCACCTTTCTGAATCCCAGTGATCGTATAATCCCCGCAATATTCGCCGAGATACTGCCCACCGTACTTCTGTTCCGACCCCTGATCACACTTCTCGATGATCTCGCGGAGGACACCCAGGCACCTCGAGTTCAGCGGCACGCAGTGAAGTTTTGCCTCGATCTTTATGTTGCCGTGTGTATATTCTCGGACGTCCTGGCCCGGCTGGTCGTTGTTGGACAGGTTGGCGCAAATTGCGGAAATTGCGGACTGGATGAAGAAAGCCATCGTTAGACTCGGAGAACTGCGGTGTGAAAAAGTGGTTGTGGGGTAGGTGGGTGGTGTATTTTTTTTTTTTTTTTTGGGAGACTTACGTCTGCCTCGCTGACGGTGAAGGGGATGCCTTGGTTGTGGCACTTGACTTCAGCGTTGACAGCGGACGTCAACGAGCTTATCGCCGCGAGAACAGCGAGCAATGGTGTCTTGGAGAGACGCATTTTTCAGGGTTTTGAAAATACTGGGAGTATGCTCTGGGATTGGGATTTTAATCCGAATTCGAAGCCTGCATAAGATTGTTCTGGTGGGAGAAGCAGTCTATCCTGGCGTCCGTTGACCGACATATTTATACTCCGTATTCCTTGAGGATCATGCAGCTGGGTCTCTCGTAGTTGGCAGGAGCGGCTGGAAGCATGGCATTCCGTCAAGCCTCCCGAGTTGCCCAACGATGAGATGCCGGCATACGGAGGATACTTGCATAGCCCCGACTTGTTGTTGCACGATGCCATCTGTCCGCCCAGCTCTTGAAGTCCATTTTCAGATACCTGCTGCCTCTGTATTCCCCGTCGGGTTCAATCGTGTGATTGAAAGACGTTGGACTGACTCGTTTCTTGTATATCTTCGCACATATTACTATCTGCTGCTGGAAGCCAGTTCTGTATACCCTGACATGTCGCCTGCCTTGTGATTAAGTAGCATTTTCAAAGGGGGCAGGTCTTTTCTCTGACGAAAGCAGCCACCAATCCCCAAGCTGGCACTTTTGTTGTCATGCAATATATGCATCAAGGAGTAGAATTAACTCCAGAGGCGCTAAAACTGTGTTTGGGGACCTCTTTAAGGACTGGAATCCCAGGATAAGCCAACGTGTTCGCATATAAAACGGGTGTTCGTTTTATTATGAGGTTCTTATTTGCTATATTTATAATTAGGACGACGAGTACCTACATTACTGACTGCTCGTGGTGTTGTTTGACATCTCTTGCTCCACCACATCTGGGAAGATATAGCGGCCTTGTTAGCTCGCAACCCAATATCTCATGGAACTCTCTACTGACCCTGGTGCTACGTCCTTGCCGAGATTCGAACCCAGAGCGGCGCTCACTGGGTTAATAGCTGGGCCACAGCGTCACTCTGGGTTATCGAAGGCGGACCGTCACGGAGCTGTATGTTCCCCTTGGTCGTCAGGGCAATGCCGGAGAAGCCCATCTTTGATGTGTTGTTTCGTCAAGTTGTCGGGGATTTCTACCTCTGGAAAACTTTTTACATGAAAACAACTTGCTGGGCCCTACTCTCTCAAGGCCTGCTTTTCTCCTTTCATTCTATCTTCTCCCTTATACCCTTACTTCTGCCATAGAAACGGCTATTTCGATATTCTATACTTACGGTCAACGAGATGGGCTCGGATAAGGTCCCAGATAAGTTGAGGGACTAGAAATAGCCGTAGTCTTCGGCTTTCAACCTCTGCAGCTCGGCAGCCTGTTTCCAATAAAGCTGTGAAGAGCAATGACAGCTCCCAAAGCACTGCAACTCCTCAGCCTAAGCAAAGTGAACAGCTAGATATCCATCCCATCGATGAAAATTCTGAGAGGAAACTAAACTGGAATAAATTTCTAGATAAAATCGAAAGGATGCTCAAAGAAATATCCAATGATTATTCCTCCACGGCTCTTTTGCGGGGTCTGGGGCAGTTGTTAACTATTCGTAAACTTGAGTGGCTTCCTAGACATGGATCTTTTTTGGATATATTGCAAGTCAATGATTGCACTAGAAGTGATGTTGCGTTTATTCAGGGTTTCGGCGTGCTGCATGATGAGCCTCCATGTGAGACCTGTGCTTCGGAAGGAGGCCTGCTTCGAGGTTGTGTGACTACCATCAAGGGGCTTGTGCAAACTGTGTATGCTCATTAGGTACAGGTCATATCCCCCTCTTTTCTTTTCCTTTCTTTTTCTCCCCCTTTTTTTTTTTTTGAAGACAGCTTGTGTTGACCGAGAAAAGGTAGCGACTGCTCAACGCCGCATCCTGCCGACGGATAACCCTGACAATGGCCAAATTGTTCAAACTGGGGCAGCTCAAGGTGATGTTATGTACGCTCTGTCAATAAGCCGTGCCGAAACACCCCTCTGTTGATATACCTTGATACCAATCAATGACATTCCGGCGATCCGTGAAAGTATTAAACAGCTCGACAGCACCGCTCTGCTGCTGCGCCAGGCCCACAAAGCTCTTGAGATGAGACTTGCTCAGCTGGAAACCATAGAGAACTCAAGTTGGAATGAATACTGGATGTTGTCTGCTCCTCCATCCTCTTAACAGGGGCTGGAATAGAGTCTCTTAATTCAATTTCGGTATTTGTTCATTACAGCCAAAAACCTAGTATCTTTCTATAGTCTTGGCTTGCACGGGCTAATGATCTGTGGGATTGTGAAAATGCACTCTAATTTCGCGGGATATTTGCTTTCCTAACAACAATATTCCTTCAAACTATACACCTGAAAAATCCTCCACTGTAGATAACCCAGGCACTGGGTGCAGGTGTAGGATAACGAATGAATCTGATGACTCTCTATGAAAGTCCTATTCACTCTATAAGCGACCTAGTTGAGATTTAAAGGAGGTACATATTTAGCAGTCAGACCTATAAATCCGCATTTGTCGCAGTACACTCCATAGCTAGATAGCTCTGGTTTCTCAGACCTCATTATTTATAAATTACAGAAACATGGGGTCAAAATAATGCATGATGACAACATTGGACTGACAATCATACTATGTTTCAGGCGCTTCAGGCTTGCTAGCTACCATTTATATATTTTTTTCCCAGTAGTGTACTAACTACCTGATCTTGATTCTCACAAGTGGGCGTAACCAAGGAATACAAAGGCCAAAGTTTTAAGGAATAAGACCGCAGTGGGATATAATATATATCTCTGTCATTTTTTGGCACTAAGATGTCCTTGCTTGAAACGAGCAGGAATGCACAAAGGTGGGGTCGAGTTTCAGCCTAAATGTATGATTGCGCTTTAGGATATAACAACATTCACACCTATAAAAGTAGCCTCATGAATCAAAATTATTTCAACGAGAGACCACTCCTGGTAGCCAGTATAAGTCTTCCAGGGAGCAATCCTGTCACGTGCTACTGCTATCATTAGCTTGTATCGACTGGGACATGGGCTGGCAGCGCTTAATCAATCAACCTCATACAACAAAAAATGAGCTTCTGGTATAAAATCATCTGGAACATGGTATCGCCTAGCCTCCAACACAGCAACATGCTGTTGCCCAGTACTATTTAATGGACATGTCATCACAAAGCTCACCTGAACAACTTGTTTCTCTCTTGATCACAGATACCTACTTGCGTTTAGCAAGGCTTCAAGGGGCTCATGTTACCCAGCCGCATATCACGATGGCGACTAATCGCAACAGACTTAGTGAGATTTTGGCGTTGTTCCAGTATTCAGTCAACGCTAGAAATCTGGCTCTTGCCGATAATACTGCTCTTTGCAAACGTCTCGGTCTTCGAGGATATGTTAACAATGATACTGCTAAACCTTTGCTTCCCGGGTTATTGTGGTGGTAGCGACGCCCGAAAGGCTCTTATGTATGCTGCTAATTGCTTCCCGCATGCCGATCGTTCCGGTCGATACATTAACATAAATAAGTTGAACATCGAAAAGCCATCCGTATTAGCACTTGATATTCTTGTGGGTCTGTGGCAGGCCTTTATAACACTCCCTGGACGCATTCGTGAACATGAGAAGGTCCGTTATGTGTAGGAGCCCGACAATCCTGTTGTGCCGAGCAACACGGCCCTTGTAGCAACCCTGGCTGATTTAATAATTCTATGGCTTCACCCAAGGGTAGTCTGAATGCCCTATTCGTATATGATATACTCCTGTCGCGTATGATCGTTGAGCTGGGATTGCTACACCTCGATCACCAGGGCCAAACGTTTTCGCCTTCCAGCAGCTTGGAAGCCGGGCGCTTCCAGCCACTGTACTGGAAGTTGTCTATGATCCTACATTAGGAGCGAGTTTGGAAAGGGTATCAGGGTATTATTCTTGGGTTGTCGCAATCACAACATGGTATGAAGCAGAGTTAGCAGCCGTCACCTGCCATCGTCATTTGTAACCCAAAAAATAGCGCATTCCAATCTCATGTGGAGATGAATGATAACTAGTCAGTGGCAGCTCACAGTAGCCTCTTTCGCTGCATCATCTATTTGGCAGATAGGCTTTGGATCCGGACGACCAGTTCGTCCCGGTCGGTGGGGGGTGGTGAAGGAGTAGCATTGCGCTGCGGGTACCGGTCATGTACGGGCCAGAAATCGATGGTGAGATCGCATGGGATCGGGAATTGATCACCGCAAAACGAGCTTCTCAAGCATTAGACACCATTACAAAGGTCTGTGTGAGTGGGCAGAGATGAAGGCTCCTGAATAAACCACCGTCGAAATGACGCTTGACGCTAGCTAGTTAGTCAGCAAGGCACCTTGGCCCGTGCGCACTGCCGGTATCGGGATTTTGGGCCCTTCAGGTCTCCGACGGCGCAGAGATAACAACCATCATCGTCGCCTTCAGGACGTTGCAATGGTGCCCTCACTCGCTCAGGTCGATAACTGAATGAATGACGTCCTGCCTTGAAACCGACACCGACAAAAGGTAAATCAGTTAGGCTCTTTTGCTACGATCCCGGGCCCCTGGAACCTGGTGAACGTCGAAGAGCAGGAGGAAGTGGGAGACCGGCAGCTCGGCTTTCGTCTTGACGCCGCCGAATACATTTCTCACAAATTGTTAGAGATGTCAGGCTCGGATTCGCTAAAAGATGGACTCTCATTACCCCCACCGCCCATCGATAAGCGACTCAGGCTTCCGGAAGGTCAGAATGCAATAGCGACCAAGAGCAAGGCCAGTAATGCAAAGACAAAGAAGGATTATCGAGGCTTCGTAGCTGGAGTATTTTCAGGGATTGCGAAACTGAGTGGTAAGTATTGCAACTCCGTAATTGCTTCTTCGTTCGTTCGGCCGTATCGCTATTAGGTTGCGCTGGCTTTTTCCCGCGCGATCCGCACCGGTATCTTATCTCCAGTTTTCCAGTTTCCCTACGTACTTTTGTATAATATCTTCGGGCTGCTGTGACGTACAAAAATGGTTTCAGATATGCTAACGACTTTGCTGTCCCTGTTTCCTCCTTTTAACAATTAACAGTTGGCCATCCGTATGTTATATCAACACATTAACCCCAAATGCCAAAAAAAAAAAAAAAAAAAAAAAATTGACTTGCTGCTTTACATTGCTTGCATGATAAAGCTGACCAACGTCTGTATCCGGAGAAAAAGGTTCGATACTATAAAGGTTCGGCTGCAAACCACACAAAGCACACGTTTCAAGGGTCCGCTAGATTGCCTCTTGCAGACCCTGCGTAACGAGGGCGTCACAGCATTGTACAAGGGCGCCACGCCCCCTCTCATGGGGTGGATGGTCATGGACTCCGTGTAGGTTCCTTCGCTCCTTCGAATGAGAAATTAAGCAGTCATCAGAAACTCATTTCCTCCCGTTATAGGATGCTAGGCTCCTTGACCCTTTATAGACGGTTGTTGTTCGAACATGTTTTCAGCAACCAGAGACTGCGGACGATTATCCCGTTAGCGAGCAAAGATACACCGGACAGGCTTCCAGCCTTTGGCCACGGAATTGCCGGAATCATGGCTGGCTCGACGGTCAGCTTCATAGCGGCTCCGGTAGAACATGTCAAAGCTCGACTGCAGATTCAATACGCAGCGGATAAGAAGCAGCGACTATACAGCGGCCCGGTCGACTGCACGAGGAAAATTGTAAGCAACACTTTACCCTAACCACATGTTCACATTGGGCGATTACCCCATCGCAATGTTCTGGGTACTTACAAAAGCAGCTCCGCCACCACGGTATCCGAGGCCTTTATCACGGTCTTTGCTCGACACTGCTATTCCGCTCTTTCTTCTTCTTCTGGTGGGGCACGTATGATATTTTCTCGCGAGTGATGCAGAAGTACACCAAGCTTTCCGCACCCGCAATCAACTTCTGGGCTGGCGGCCTTTCAGCGCAAGTGTTTTGGATCACATCATACCCATCCGATGTTGTAAAGCAGCGTATCATGACGGATCCATTGGGAGGCGGGCTTGGTGACGGCGAGAGGAAGTTCCGGCGGTGGAAGGATGCAGCAATCGCCGTTGGAAGAGAAAACGGCTGGAGGGGTTACTGGCGAGGGTTCCTGCCATGCTTTTTAAGGGCGTTCCCTGCGAATGCCATGGCGTTGGTGGCCTTTGAAGGGGTGATGAGATGGTTACCATAATATCCATAAATAGAGGAAGCATATGAAACAGCCGCTCCTCCGCGAAGGGCCCTGGTACGAAGCAACTCCCTGGTCAATCAATCCATCCGCGTGTTTGGAAGACCGAGATGCATGGATGGCTACGCGAGAAATAGCCCGATCCCGTGTCACTGTCGATCTCGGTGTGTGGAGTATTTTGTAGTTTATTCACCACGTAGTTAGTTAACGTCGTCGTCCCAGAAGAAGTGTCTGGTTGCTCTGTACTGTACGGAGTTCTCTGTGTAGCCAATTGAGAAAAATGACCTTGGTGGCGTCTGGTCTGCTGAGCAGCTAACGGAGTGGCCTGGAATGAACCGGCGTGTTGAGCATTCGGTTCGCCTGAAGATCAGAAGAGGGTTTGTGCGGAGAAGTCCCAGGAGGTATTACGTCTCCCATGTTGCGACTTGAGGAGATGATCTGCGGCCGCCCTTTGGTGAGCCGCCCCAATGAAGCCAGCATCCAATTTTGACCACCTCGAAGTTAAATCCTCGAAAATACACAAACCTCCCCCCCGGGCATCGTCGCGCGTCTGTGATCATTTTCGGTTCTCTGCTCGTCTCTTTTATTTAATTCCTAACTTAATCGTTATTTTGGCTAGTTCCATTCATCATCGTCATCATTGTCGCTTTGTTTCATATCTCCTGTTTCCGCTCGCTGGATCCCTGCCCATTGAAGTTTTGACCATGTCATCGAAGGTGAAGCCAACGGCCAGATAACGACTACGAGAAGGACATCAGAGACGGGTCTCATCGAGGAGCACCTCGTCTGTGCTCCGAGTACTTTTTGCGTGTGTTATTTTCTCCCAGCTGTTAAGCCCTTTCGCAGGCCACCATGGCCGTACGATCGCTACGGCGTACGAATCCCATCACATTCGTCCTAGCTTGTGCCCTCGCTATCGGTTTCCTCATTTTCATTTTCTCCCCGAACTCGAGAACGGTTACCGCCGCTCAGAGACAGAAAGATGCTGCCCAGAATCCTCTTTCCCCGCCGACGAAGCCTTTCTTCAAGACGCAGCTATTCAAGGCCAATGGCCGACGCGTCCCTCCACCGGTGGTCAACTACAACTTGAACAATGTAACTACGACGGTGAACTCCGCAGAGAGACACGAACGAGTGCTGATACTCACTCCGCTGGCTCGGTTTTACCCCCAGTACTGGGAGAATCTGGAGAAGCTGACGTATCCGCATCAATACATTTCGCTGGGGTTTATCATCCCGAAGACAAGAGAAGGGAACGCTGCCACCTCTGCGCTGCAGAAGGCTATCACGAAGACGCAGTCCGGTCCCGTGGATGATAGATTCGCCAGCATCACAATCCTACGGCAAGATTTCGACCCGCCAATCGCGTCGCAGGATGAGAAGGAACGGCACAAGTTCTCCAATCAAAAGATCCGTCGGGAGGCAATGGCACGGGCAAGAAATAGTTTGCTGTTCACCACGTTGGGTCCCAGTACCTCCTGGGTTCTATGGATAGACGCCGACATCATCGAGACCCCGCCGACTCTCATTCAGGATCTCACAAGGCACAACAAGCCTGTCCTCGTCCCGAACTGCTATCAACGCTACATGAACACAGAGAAGAAGAAAATGGATATCCGTCCTTATGATTACAACTCCTGGCTTGATACTGATAGCTCGTTGGCTCTCGCGAACCGCATGGGCCCTGATGAGATCATCCTAGAAGGTTACGCGGAAATGCCGACGTACAGGACACTGATGGCCCATTTGGCGGACCGAAGTCCAAACCGTGATACTGAGCGGACTATGGAACTACACGGCGTGGGAGGTACCGTATTGTTAGTGAAGGCCGAAGTTCATCGAGATGGGGCTATGTTCCCTGCCTTCCCATTCTACCATCTGGTTGAAACAGAGGGCTTTGCAAAGATGGCGAGGAGACTGGGATGGAAGTGTTACGGCTTACCGAACTATTTTGTGAGTATCCGACAACCAGCATAATCGGGCTGGAATTTTTCTCTCCTTTTGCTAACGGTTGGGTGTAGGTATACCATTATAATGAGTGACAGCATCACTTCCTTCTTCTTACTCTCTATTTGCTCTTTTAATGACCGACTCATCGACCAGCCGCGTCCACGGAATTATTTTCCTTCTCGTTTGCTCCATGTCAAGCATATGTTGAGCAAGGTTTACGCACCATCAATGTTTTTGAATCCTTTAGGGATCTTGATGCTTCACTTTCATCCTCTTCCCTGTATATCTAAATATGTGAGCCTGCCCATTACCTTTTGCCCTGTTTTGAATCATGTCTATTCCACTTCTTCCCGGATACTTTTACTTTGTTCTGGCGAGTTTGATACTGGCGTTATTACATAGATCTAAAGAAAGGTATTAAGAAAGAAGACGAACTTCATTTTGGAATTGAACTCTTGCCCTTTTTCTGCTGCGGAACCAACTATGTACATACATAAATAGCTCATCCCGCTATTCCCACGCTCCGACCCGAAGTTTGTATCTTGATATAAACCAGGCTGGTTCAAAATAACTGGTTCAAATAAACGAAGGCAATAAACAGTGATGTCATGAAAGAGTCTCGTACAATCTATGGAGTACATACATATTAATATACCCCATATATGTTTCAAAGTAAGGTATTGCCGACAGGGCTGTAGGAATACGTATCCCTGTATAACCCGAGAGAGCCTGATCCAAAGGTGTTTGCCATTGGAGGGGAGGGGAGGGCAAAAGGAAAAACAACAAAAAAAAGGAGCAGTTTCGTTATTCGCTGAAGACGCTGACACTGTAAAATGCATTGAAAGCTCCGGGAGTCTAGACGGCTCCCGCCTTTCACCTCAAACCTAATTTTACTCCGCGTTGTGCTGTGCCAGAATTCGGTTGGGGGAACATCAGGGATTATGATACCCCGTTGAGGGCCCGTGGTTACAAGAGAATTGCATCCATTGTTATAGCGAACATCAGGGAGCCAAGCTTTCTCTGCGGTGTACGCCAAATGCTATTGTGTGTGTAAATAAATACTCCGTACGGAGTATATCCACTTGAGTTCTATGAGAAAACACGGGCACTTCTAGCTTCAAATACATAACACCCTAATGCACACTCCGCGCCTAATCCAATTCGCTTTCAATAATAAGAACGGTAAATGTTTACTTAAGCATTTGCCTTCGAGTCTTCGATTTGATTCATCCCTCTATGACTTTTGAATATCGAAAATATCATGTTATGACCACGATATACTGGACGCCGAGTTAGAGAGGGGGATAAATGGATAGTGCAGTTGGAACATCACAGTGCGTAAAAGTAGAAGAACTTACAAAAGCATAATACCTGCGCCCGCAAACATCGCAGCAAACTGTTTAATAGTTTTGCGCAACTCGGTAGACTTATCCTTGCCCGTCTCAAGGAGCTCTGGAATTACAGCAACGGTTCCCACATAGAGGAACGTCCCAGCGGTGAACGGTAGGAGTAAATCGCCGGCAGTAAGACTAGTTCCTAGCAAACCTGCGGACGATGAAGAAGAAGCAGACGTCTCAGAATTCCCGCCAAGCTCCTGAATGGCAATACCGATGAAAGTACCCAAAAAGGCGCCAACCGCAGTGACGAATTGAGCACCCATAGCCTTCCGCTTTGAAAAGCCGGACTGCACAAGGAGTGCAAAGTCTCCAACCTCATGAGGGATTTCGTGGAAGAAGACCGCGACGGTGGTTGTTGCGCCGATGGTTGGGGAGGCATAGAAAGAGGAGGACATTGCGAGACCGTCGGTGATGTTATGAGTAAAATCAGCGATGAGATTGAGATATCCACCGAGCTTGACGCTGGGGTTGACTTCTTTCTCCTGGGTTAACTGAGATTCTGCGGGCTTCTCCGGCTTGCGCAGTCTTGGTTGATCCTTGGTGTTGCCGTCAAATGTAGATGAGCCGGATGCTACTGCAGTGTCACCACCTTTAGGACTGGCCGGTTTGTGATCATGGCTATGATCATGCGCCCCTTCCCCTCCAGTAGCTATCCGGAGTGCTTTATCCATAGCAACGAAGGTAAGGAACCCGACCAAGATGGCAGCGCCAAGAAGTAGGTTTCTGTTGGGTTCGACGAGAACAAAACGCGCGTGCTCGGGAGAATCCTCTCCCAAGAATATCTCTGGAAGAAGGTGAAAGAGGGTATCCCCCATTAACCCTCCCACAGCGAATGCCACCATCACTGATAATGAGGATGGATCAATGTCTGTTGGACATAATGCAAGCAGGAAGTCTAAATTCTTGTTCAGAGTGACCATCATTGAAGACACAATTAAAACGAAACGGCTTACTCGGAGGACCGGAAATATAAAAAGTTGCCAGAATGGCATTGACTGCAGGACTGCCTGGGAATAGAACTGCAAATATTTTCGAGGTCAAGCTCGTGGTTTGCGGAGCTGTGGCCTGCTTGTGGGCATTTAATGACTGCACCAGTGGGCATTCCTTCGTGCAGCGTTAGAGATATCGCCAGATTACAAAAATAGAGCCTCTTAGGCCCCGTTTGATATTATTTCTTACTTGCAGCTTTTCTTCGATTTGCGATGCTGATAGCTCAGAGACTGCGACCTCCGTTCCAGCGATGGCCAAAGTAGACAGAGCTAAAATAAGACACACGACAAACAAAACAGAGATATTGCTCCTCGCCCTTGAAAGCATCTTGAACGCCATGTTTGCCTCTCTGCATCACTCGATATTTCCCCAACAGTTTGACGTTGCTGTCGCGAAACCCCTGGATGCTGAGCTGGACTGATCCCATCAATACGAGCACGTGAGGCCACAAGCCCTATCCGCAATTTAAGTTTCATGAGGGCTTGGCATTATGGAGATTAGCAAACGTGCCAAGATACGCTGCAAACAGATAAACATCGATATTTTTGCTGAGTCGCGGTGGAAGCTTGAAGAGAGAAGGTATCGCTGCATTCAATCAATATGGGTCGAGTTTTACAGAAAAAGAAGAATCGCTCTTCGGCACCCAAAATCAAAATAAAGAGCGGAAAGTCGAAGAGTGGAAAGAAGAAGATTAATGTGCTGGGAAATTCGATCATCGCGCAGAACTGGTGAGTACATAGCAGGTAGCTTGCTTTGCTCCCCTTCAAGCAGGAATGGCTAACAATTTGCCTTAGGGATAAAAAATTAACACTTGCTCAAAATTATCGTCGTCTTGGGCTTGCCACCCGTCTAAATGCCCCGACCGGCGGTGTGGAAAAGGGAGTCTCAGCAGGCGCACTCAATAACATCAGTTCCTTAGCTACAAAAGGGAAAACAGCTGCGCAAATACAACCCAGTGAAGCCCGGGTGGAGCGTGATCCGGAAACTGGCAAGATTCTCCGTATAATTCAACCCGATCAAGCTGGAGACGATGGGACAATAGAGGTCGCGGGGCATAAACGCCGAAGAACAAACCCCCTCGATGATCCCCTGAATGAACTTTCGGACGTTGAGGACTCTACTCTACGTGACACGGGTGCCTCTACGGACGTTGTTTCTGCCCTGGAGCGGCAAGCTGCAGCTGAAGAAGAGAGAGTCAAGAAAAGAAAGCCCAGACATCAGAGCAAACGGGAAGAGGAGTGGCTACAACGGCTGGTCGACAAATACGGCGACGACGTTCCTGCGATGGTGAGAGATAGGAAACTTAATCCGATGCAGCAGACCGAAGGAGATATAAGAAGGAGGTTAAGAAAATGGCATGGAAATAAAAAATAATGGCCTCGGTTACTTGCGCATTTTGGGTGAAATATGGCGTTTACGGTGGACTTCGGAATGGAGGAGCTAGGGATAGAATATCCTCAACCCGTACAGACTTTATTAATGGATTACGTTTTTTCAACTTGACTTATATGAGGACTTCAACTCTGCCACTCTGGCTTGTAGAAGATTAGAGTCCACTGCATTTCTCGATCCACATTTCGTGCTACTTCCAGTGGACTTATCAATCACTTTCAGGTCATGTTACTCTTTACATGCTTGATATGCCTACGGAGTCCTCTACAACATATCCAAAAGTATGACCAAGCTACAGTATATTAAACATACCACACCGCTTCAACTCTCTTCATGCAGGCGCCATTCCCATAGCCAGCTAAACCAACAGGATATATCCTCTACAATGATCAAGTCACCTCCGACCAGAGCACGCCTTCATAGAAATGCATAGTGCATTCAGCAACGGAGTGTGACTCCAGCGGGTCATCCCGTGCAGCAAATACCAGCACAGCAACATAAGTAACGTGATCTCCTAAAACGGAACTGGCCGGTTGCGAGGGTAAACAGGGTCCTTCATTCACGCATAAATTCACCCTGTCCTCACTATTTCTCTTTGCAAGCAATCTCCACTTTGCGAAGTTCTGTTCAGTTCTTTGCCTTGTCTTCTAACCGACCCGGCTTTGGCTGACTGTCATATCTCTCTTTGCACCACATCATTTAATCGGCTTGTATCACGAGTGTGGCCAAGATGAAGCTCCCTGAAACTGTTGTTATCGCATTCCTTGCTGCTGGCGTTGCTTCGCGCAATGTTAGGTAAGTCCAACCCGCTGTAACCAGCGTTCTCTGTCCCAACTGACTGGATGTCTCCCAAAGGCACCCGCATCCGTGTCGCGGACTAGAAGGAGGAACATACTGCACGGCAGTAGACTTCCTGAAAAAGTGTTCGGAAGACGGCAAAGTTGAGTTCATTAATTGTGCTGAACAGTATGTGTCGCACACCCGATGTAGTTATAGGTGTCATATGCCTGGAGCATGATGCTGATTCTTCATCCAACAGGCTGGCGAACCTTGACTCGGCTGGCGCAAAGGTTGACGCAAGATGTAAGGTCTCCTTAAGAGCGAGCTAAGAGCATTTCATTAAAGCTTGCGGATTGAAACTGACATTTCCCTCAACTTCTAGGCCAGGAAGTCAGCTCCATGGAGGCCAAGTGTGTGCGTGGAAGTGCACCCGGTTCTTTCGACCAGCCAACCAAGCCGAAACCAAACGACACACAAGGAAGGTTGGGGGTAACATTTAGGGAACTCCGCAAGAGATTTGTCCCAATAAGCTTCGATCCCTTCCTTCCATACTGGAACCACAGCCTGGCGACCGAGCCTGCGACCTCCGTTGCCGGCGATATCCTGGGCACAGATCTTCCTGGTTTGGCCTCTATCAGCATGACCACGTCTCGTCCCCGCCCAACGGAACCACCAGCGAATAGCTCATTCATCGAGACAGCCACGACTCTCGACGGACCCGAAACTATCACTGTCACCGTGGTGGTGCCCGAGGCCAGTGTCACTGCCTCCAGCGATACTCCCGTCAATACTGCCACTGCTGCTCCCACCCGCTCCTCCGAAAAGCCTAACGATTCTGCTCGCAATATGGAGAATAAAAAATGGGTTCTGGCCAAGGTGGTCGCTGCCGCCGCTTTATTTGCAGCTGCTTGAAGTGTCTCCGAAGGCCGTGATCTCCACTGTGATGCGACACGACCAAATTAAGCAACGGAACACACCAGGCTAGAATTTTGGAGGATATTCCCAACGGAAGGGTTCTATGGATATGAAAGGAAATGGTGTTTTGTGATATTGATCCTGTTCATTCTTCATGCTTTCAACAAAGTGTCCCCTGTATTGATTGAGCCTCCTTAATGGGTATTAGAAGCAATGAGAATGAGAACATTTGGATGTCTAAATTGCAAGCAATCAATTTTCAACCGCATGTATATACTTGCACTGTTCCAGCATGGCTGAAACAAGTCAGAACTTGAACTGTTGGGTCTGCAAGGGGGGTTGAGGTTTGCTGCAAACAGGACAAACAAAACTAAGCCCAAAGCCACCAACCACCAATCCATAAGGCCTTCGCTCCTGGGCGGCCAACAGCATCCCAACTGTTAGGCTGCCAGAAGGAAGTATTATTATCAAGTTTATATATAAGGTATATTACTTGAACCAAAATTCGATCCGAGAAGGAACTTGTCCCGGTGGTGACATCCGGTACGGAGTAGACTACCAAAGCAAATTCCGACCAGGAACAATGTAATGATACATAGTAGTTATATCTCAGCTTTACGGGGAACGTCAATAATAGGTCTGCCCCGGGTCGCTATGCTTTATTCTGTGCCCCAGTAGACAGGGCGTGCACAAATGGAGGATAGCGTCGTTGAGACTGCGCTTTGCGCAAAGAGTGTCTCGCCCTGACTGGAACTAACTCCTAAAGATCCCTTTTATCTTGTCAAAACATAGAGCCAATTGCCGATTTCACTAGCGCTAATTGATATAATCGTAATTTGATAAGTTTTCCAGTCTTGCGGGTATTACGGCATTGTACTTCCAGATGGGCGTATCCGGGAGTAGATTTGGTCCACTTCCAACATGTCTAAATGGTGATAGAGATGTGATCAAGCGGCACTTGCAACTTTCTCGTCATGTTTGACTCGCCGTACAACCCGAACCCATCGCCTTCTCCTCCACTCCCCCGTCCTTTCGGCATGTTTAGTGGCTTCCTCCCATTCGACTTTGGATGATCCGTTGATCCCAGACACGTTATTCTCTGGCTTAATGGTGGCGTCAGAGCATGAATTTTGTGATTCATCACAGCCTAGCTCGTCGGTGTTATCTTGCAGGCCTTCGCTGGGGGGCTGAAATGGCAAATCCCAAACCCACCCACCGACTTCTTCACCAATTCCATCACCGTTGCTGCTGGGAACTTCAAACTCTACCCCTGTGACCATGCGCTCCATTACCCATTCCCTACAGTCGAGATCCAGTTCCCACTTTTTCCCTTTCCAAGCCCATCCGCGTGGAGGACGGATATCTTCAAAGAATCTGGTACCTTTTGGTCGATCACCCGCGATCCTAGATGGAGAAAGAGGGTCATATGGAGTTGGGGTAAATAGGAACGGTTCCCACTCTGAGGCTCCAGAAAAAGGAGAAAGCGTTCTGTGCTGTAGTTCAAAGACTTCAACCTCCCTCTCTTCGGGGTACGAATCAAGAGAGACTGCAACCAGTGATTCCAGTAATGCCCTGAGACCAGATAAAGTAGCTGGGACAGATATTCCACACACCACGATGTTGTTTTCTGGCTCCTTTTGTTTCTCTATTGAAACCTGAGTCGTCGACTCGTCTTGGAGCTGAAATATTTTCAGCATTGTTGCGGCGCGAGGATGGTTGGACAGGATTGCGGCGTTACCAGCGAAGAGAAAGATGAAACGCCAAGGCAGAAGGTGGGCTGTGAGAAAAAGGCACACCGCGAGCACGGTGGATAGAAGAAACAGCATTGAAGAGAGTGTTTCGTCTGAGAAATTTGTAGCTGGGGATAAAAGAGCAACAGCAGCGTCGTGTAGGTTAGCAAAGTCAGCCATTGAATTTTGCAAGTCCCTCATGTTGTGGAAGAAGTCCTTCGATGTTTCCGGGACTGGTTTGATCGTTTTTGCAGGCGCAAGGGCCGGGCCTTCATAGGAGTAATATGGCGTTGTGCTGGAGGTCGAGGCGTTTGGAGGAGGTGGAGGATGTCGAGCTAAGAACCCCGGGACCATGATGTAGAAGAGAAGAGCCACGAAGGGCAAGATGAGCAACAAGTAGGGGTCCAGGCAGACAAAGGAAAAAACGAAGAGAAACGACCAGGTTTGAGTTGGCTTCCTCCAGCTGAACAGTTTCACCAGTCTGTTTTGAAAGTGAAAAACGATGCCGATCCTAACCTCGCTGTTAGCATGGATTTGTCCGGTGGCGCATCCACTTGGGGGGGGGGGAAGTGTGTGTTCCGGAGAAGCCCACCTTGCATTGAACCGTCGAAAGTTGTTTGTCATTGTCGGAAGACTGAACGGAGGCCGCTCCATAGATTTTGGCTCCTCGGGCTCCTCCTCTTCCTCGCCATCCTCTGCCGGCATCACTTGCTGCAGGAGCCTGAGGTCCAAAAGTTAAGCATCACGTCTTATCAAGGGAAACGAGCGTGATTCAAAAGCGTACCTGGAGAAAAGACGATCCTGTAACGAGACGGAGGAGCTAGCAGAGTGACCGGGTCTCAGATCATGGAGTTTGTCTCTGACGTACATAGCGGACAACCTGCTACGAGATGGAGCTTCGCGATGCCCTTCGCTGCGAGCAGCCGGGTCATGTCGATTCGCGCGGGTCTCTGATGCTTCCTCCATGGTGTCTTGCAGGGGAACGACGTTGTCATAAAGCAGCATCTCCCGTCAAGAGGAAGCAGATAGAAGCAGGGCCAGCTGCCGTTCGCTTGTCCAGCACGCCGCCCTGTCTTGTCTCGCTCCTGCTGGGCCAGCGCAGCGCTGCATGTGACACGCATGGCGTCACCCGTTCCTTGGAATGCTCTCTCGCGGTATGGTTTATCCGAGCCGAGGAACCTGCTGACTAACCCAGCCCCTTATTCCGCCAGCCGCCCGTTTGTTCTCTGGGGAGAATCTGCTTTTTCCCTCGAGTCGTCTCCGGCAGCGCGTGAGGCAGTACTGTACTGCTCCTGTTCCACTCACCCCTTCGTTCGTCGTGGAGAGTGCTCTTGAACCCTGGTCGGATGTCATACCGATCCCCGTTCCTCCAGCTCAAGGTGTGGCAGAGTGAAACCAGCCTCCCAGCGATTTTCTGGCTCCGTATTCTGTCGTCGACTAGTTCATGCAGCCAAGCGACCGTTATCTCGCCCGTTGCGGAGGCCTCTCGACGCTGATAGTAGCCGCAGGATGGTCTTTAGTTGAAAAAACCCCTTGGGCCCTCGCTGGCTGGAGCGAAGCGGTCGCCTCCATGTAACATCACGTGGGAACCGCTCGCCCTCCCGAGCCATCAGCACATCGCAATCCAGCCGCCGCTTCGAGGGATAAATAAGGCAAAATTACGGTGTACGTGGTTACTGTTGACTAGTTAGGTGTTGCGGTGTAGCGGGTTATTTAGTAGGCTGTACTCACGTCGTTACGGGGGAAAAATAATGACAATCGAATCTGCCCCCGTTTTTCATCTCGATAGACCCCCCCGCCGTGAAATTAACAAAGCGTATGTTCGTATGTTGCATGTTGTTTCCCGACCAACTGTGCTTCACCGTCGAAGCTTGCAGCTGTGGGTTACTAAGCTGTCAACCTCAAACTTGGGATACCTGCTAGTTAGTTAGCCGGCGCCGTTACTTTGCTGAGACCTCCCATTCCCAGGAGAGCAAAAATCAACAAGTCTCTCCAAACAAAGCAATTCGCTTCGATTCTTGCCGCTGCAAATCTCACCCCCCTTTGAGGGACGGTTTTGCGGCATCCCCAATTTCGAACCGTACTGGAGACGCCAATTCCTTATTTCTTTTTTTTTTTTTGTTTTTTGTGTTTTTTTCCCTCCTTCTGTGTGTCATGGATTGGTAAACGGCAACTCGACAGGTCTCGCTTCTCAACGACCTGCGGCGATCGAACTAACCTTTCTAGACGTTTTTGCTGGATTCAAACACGTCTAGTACCCTTAATTGCACCCTGCTCCGCTGTGTCCATCCTCTCCCTCGGATCAAAGGCTCGCGTGCGACCGTGGTTGGCGACCTATGGTGGGCGTTTCTGCCGTTTCGACCATGTCGAACAAGATGCCCCCTCAGAGATTGCCCAAATCATCACAGTCACGCATGTCCCTGTCAGACTCGTCAACTCGGGATCACAATGACAGCTCTAGCTCTGGAGGTATAGGCGCTTTTCGTTGTTTTCTTTTTTTGTTTTGAATGGCCCGGTTGCCAGACATCAAACCCTGCTAACATTTCAAATGCTCCCATCGCAGCCGAACTGCCATTACGGACAGTCCTACGCAAAAACGCCTCGAACGCTTCGGTTGCTCGCTCCCAGACGTACGATTCACAGGCCGGGAGTACGGCTGGTGTCACCGGAACCAGGAGGAGAAAGTCCATTCTCGAGCGTGGTTCAACGTTCGGCTCCCGAGATGTGGATTCTGCTCGACGGTACCTCGAATCCGTGGCTATTCTATGTCTGTTTCTTACCCACTCTAATATGTGCTTGTTCTAGGGTTCCATCGAGCACCTTTGGTAACCCAATGCGGTCCAGCAATACCTCCTTAGATTCCGGCAATCCTCCGTCGCGAACTCAGTCAAATGCAGGTAGCTCAACGGTGAACGAAGAAAATGAGACACTATCGGAAAATGGGGAGTTCCTCGTTCCAGTTAATTTTGATGATTTCCACAACAGCATCACGTCAAAAGAGCCTAGTTTGAGCCATTTTCCGTTGCCTGGTCGTGGTGCGGCTGGTTACGAGGGTACGGTAGCCATCCCAAAACCTACGAATCGCTGGACAACGGGTCCTTCTGTTCAGACTGCAAAAGAGCCGCGACCAGCAGGTGTGACTCGGCGTCTTAGCAATGCTACGCGCTCCGGTCAGACTTCGGCGGGATCAAAACCTGCTCCGTCATCTGTATCCTCGACAGGGAGAGCAAGACGCCAGAGTTACGTTCCCCCCGTACCAACCAGCATGGTCGCTCCTCGGCGACCTCGAAAATCGATAGGGCCTGGAAGTTTGGTATCAGACAATGGCGAGAGCCTTGCCCCTCCTATGAGAAGGCCGAGCTTTTCGAGAAAGAAAACAATGGAAGAGAATCGGGTGATGCCAAATGCTGCATCCCGCAACTCCCACCAAGAGACGTCGGATTCCGCCTTCAATTCAGCAGCGCTACATGCAGTTCGCAGCCAGAAGGCAAGATCGCTGCAACCACCAAGCCACACCGTGCGGGATAATGCGACGACGAGCCCGACTATAGGGGACCATTCTCGATCTTCGAGCCATGTGATCCGCACACCTGTGAAAGGTGCAATCGTCAAGCTGACCACCCCATCTTCGTCTAAGAGGATTTCGATCATGCCACCGCATGCCACTGGATTAGGCGCGCGAACTATCAGCCCAACAGATGCACGGCGCATGAAGAGGATGTCGCTTATTCCACACCCACCTCCCTTACCCCGAACCTCTCCCACACATCTCGATCTCGGTTTTCCCCGTCCACGATCTTCAGCTCCATCCCCTTCAGCAATACCCAGGAAAAGCGTGACGCCGTCATCCACCAGGACAACTCCAGACCCGCATCGCAAATCGTACGGCTCTGGCATATCCCTATCGTCTAGCACAAGCTATAATTCTGCGCGCAACTCCAGCGGTTCCTTCCAAGCACGTCTTTCGCAAAACGTTTCTTCTTCTCGACTCCCTACACCTAAACCTAGAACGGATAATAATAATAATAGGAACACAGAAGACGACGTCCCTCCGGTGCCCGCTATTCCCAAACTATACGAGTCGCCCAAGAATGAGCATCATCTATCATTCATTTCCCGAAAATCTAGCTTACCGCTAGAGGTTCCAAACTTTGCTGATATGTCAAAGTTGGATTCGGACTCCAGCTCCAGCCGTCCTGGGGATGGTGTCCATGTCTCCAAGCGAACGCTTGCCGAAACTCCCGCCAAGGAGACGAAACAGAGGCCACCGGTCAATCTCAGCAAAAAGAATCTCCAGCCATTGAAGCTTCCTCCTCTTAATTTACTCCCCCTTAGTGTTCCTATAAATACCAAAATCGATGCGTTGCGCGAAAAGGCATCCCAGGACTTGGCGCCTCAGGTAGCGGCAACGCCTCCCCGTCAGATCAACGCAAAAACGCCCAGTACACCGATGACAGCATCAAAAGCTAGCTTCTTTAATGAAATCCCTCCCGGTGATCCGGGACGTTGCAACACATCACATTTTGCTCTCAGAACGGATTTTGCAAAGTTTCGAGCCGAGAATAGTTCCAGTGCCTTCGATACGTTGGAGTTTTCATCCTCAAGGAACATTTCTCCTTACATCTCGTCTTCCCTTCCTCGAGGTGGTGACGAACCTGGATTTGTACGCAACCAAATATCGGACTCATATTCGAAACCTACGCCTAGCAAGCTCATCGGTCCGCGGCCACAAACTCAGATCTCGTCGCTCTCTAACACAGATCTGTTTGCCTTTGGTCTCACGCCTGATGATGCTGAAACGGAAATAAGCTTTCCCCCTCCCTCCCCGCGGAGGGCAGATGATAGAGTTCACTCCAAAATGCAAATTATCTCCGACCCTTCCATGGATCCTGTCAAATATGATAGTATGCCACCGCCCAAACTTCCCGCGTCTGCGACGTGGAACAACCTTTCCACCACGCGAGTAAGCCCAACTTCGAAACAGGCTCAACTTAAATCGAAGAGAAGTACATCGATTTCTAATTTGGTAAATGTGCCGTCACCACGGAGGAACCAAAGCATTAGTAGCGAGCAGGGCCTTGCCAAGAATCCAAGCCTGACCATTGATTCTGGTGATACGGAGGCATCAGGTAACAAGCCGAATTCGTCAATCCTGTCACCTGTGCATAAGCTTCTGGCCGGATCGAAACCGTCGCCAACTCCCAAACCTCGTCTTCAAGATCAGACCGGCGATCGAGATGATGCTGCTGCTGAAGAAGAGATGCGCAAACTTGGTAGCAAGCGAAAGGACTTTGAGGTTGCAGCACGGGAGCTGGAGGATCTCCGTCGCCGAGCGAGCCCGAAGGAGCGGGCGTCTGCTGCCCAAGCTCTAAAAGTTGCGAATCTTAATATTTTTGAAAGAGGAGAGATTATCGATTTCAAAGACATCTACTTCTGTGGCACTCACAAAGCCAAAAAGCTTGTTGGTGATCTAAATGCGTCGACTGGCAATTTCGGCTATGATGATGATCGTGGTGATTACAACATCGTGATAGGAGACCACCTCGCTTATCGATATGAAATTATAGACGTCCTTGGAAAGGGAAGCTTCGGGCAGGTTGTTAGATGTGTGGACCACAAGACGGGCACGCTTGTTGCGGTGAAGATCATCCGAAACAAAAAGAGATTCCATCAGCAGGCTCTTGTCGAAGTTAATATTTTACAGAAGCTGAAAGAATGGGTAAGGCTTGATATTACCGTGATTGGAGATTGTCGAGATGTAGCATTATGAGACTGACCCAATGTCACAGGACCCAAACCGTCGCCATAGCGTCGTAAACTTTGTCCAAAGCTTTTACTTCCGTGGCCATCTTTGCATATCTACCGAGCTGCTGGGAATGAATTTATATGAATTCATCAAGGCACACGAGTTCCGTGGCTTCTCGCTGAAATTGATTCGACGGTTCACAAAGCAGATCTTGAGTACACTTGTCCTTCTTCACAACAAGAGGGTTGTCCATTGTGATTTGAAGCCGGAGAATATTCTGCTGGTTAACCCTCTCCAAACCGGAATCAGGGTCATCGACTTCGGCTCGAGTTGTTTTGAGAACGAAAAAGTGTACACTTACATCCAGAGCCGCTTCTATCGCTCCCCAGAAGTGATTTTAGGCATGTCCTACGGCATGCCCATTGACATGTGGAGTCTTGGTTGTATCTTGGCTGAACTATACACGGGCTATCCTCTCTTCCCCGGAGAAAACGAGCAAGAGCAGCTGGCATGTATTATGGAAGTCTTTGGCCCTCCAGAGAAGCATCTCATCGAAAAAAGCACTCGACGAAAACTCTTCTTTGACTCTACCGGCAAACCCCGCGATGTCGTTTCATCCAAAGGCCGTCGGAGAAAGCCAAGTTCCAAGAGTCTCCGCCATGTGCTAAAATGCGACGATGCCGCGTTCCTCGATTTCCTAGCACGATGTCTCCGATGGGACCCAGCGCGTCGCCTCAATCCACACGATGCGATGAACCACGAGTTTATTACTGGCATGAAGTTCAATCCCCGTGCAAGGTTGCACTTAACGTCCATGGGTCATTCTCCCGCAAAAAGACATACATCGGGTTCAACGCCAGGCGTACGCCCTCTTCCGGAACCACCGTCGAAGCGAGGAGCGGCAAGGAATTCTTCCAATAATTCTCCCGTTAGACCCGGCGTTGTAAAACGTCAGACGGTACAAAACGTCACCTCCACGCCGGCGACAAAACGGACTTCCAACCCTCCTCCCGCGGCCGGTTCTGCCCTCCCGAGAGCTGCAGGCAGAAGTGCGAGTGGGAAGCCAGATCTGGCTGCAGCTGCGGCTGCAACTAGTTTGGTACGTCATCTATAATTGTCACTGAAATGCACATGTACTAACCCATCTCTACAGAAGACTAGAGTTTAGTGAGCATTTATTTTCCAGACCTTTGTCTAGAAAGATAATACACGCCTGCTCTTCCCCTAGAGTGATAAACGATACCCTCTGGTCATATATCCCCTTTTGAATATTCAGTTCATACCCTTCAGCTGTCTTTGTCTTCATCACATCAAGGTTAAAGTGTGTTCTCGTTCTAAGGCTTTTAATGTGTGCATTTTCATGGTTCTGGGGGTCGTCTTATGATGGTATAACTTTAGGCTTGTCTTTTGAGCCAGCTTTAAATGAAATCTCCTTGAGGGCCTCCCTTTCTTTGTTTTTTCTTCCCCCTTCTTGTTGCTTTCCTCCTCTTTTGTGTCTCCTTTGTTATGCTCATGCTCTCCATCATATATGTCACCAATTTAACATGCCCAGTTGATGTTTTTTCAGCCACTCTGTTCGCTTCTAGATTCCTTATACTTTTTCTTTTTAATTCCCTAAACTTGCCCTTAGACCGTGTCTCCTTTTCTTTTAATTTCTGACACGCCCCTTGAAATTACGCTTCTCCCACCCACTACATTCGTTTTGAAATTCCTTTCCTGTCAATATCTCTTAGACGGTAATTATTTTAATCCTATGGCATTGATATTGCCGCTCGCTTGATCGAAACAATAAACTGCCTAACTAGTTATGTCCGCTGTAGCGCTGATGAGTAAGCCCTTAAGGTTTGACCCCTGCAGGCTTGCTTGCTTTAGAATAGCGGTGCGGGATTCTGGAGATCTGGCCTTATCCCGCCCCGTGGATGAATAAGCACAAGGTACCCGGGCACGCAGTGGTCGAGGCAGCACGACCTGTTGCTCCGGCAGTTTGATGGAGTGAGAGAGCGAGGAGGGCCCGATTTCGCGGTGTGTTTTGTTAGCGGCTGTTCATGCATCTTTTCCATTGACAAGGTGGGTTGGAAGCTCTCCCCGCCCCGCCCGCACGCCGGCGCAATGAACGGTTTTGCGGACCATGGCCTCGACGAGGATGCGTTCGGGGAGAACAGCGGCATTGCGGCCGGTTTGAGGACGTTCGATGCTTTTCGTAAGCTCTCCCCTTCTTATGTTGATTTTGGTGGCACTTTTGCAAAGAGCAATTGGCTTCGAGCCACATGGAACCTCCCACGCTTCTCAAATCAGTGCAATGCTGACGGATGTATGTACCATTATAGCAAAGACCAAGCCTACATATACCACGGCTAGTCGTCGCGGAGGCCAATGGACCGTTTTTATCTTTCTCTTTTGTGGTATGCTTGTGTTATCGGAGCTCATCTCCTGGCATGGAGGAACGGAGAACCATCACTTTAGTGTGGAGAAGGGTGTTTCGGAGGAAATACAGCTTAATCTCGATCTTGTCGTTCGGATGCCGTGCGATTCACTGCGTGTGAATATGCAGGATGCAGCTGGAGATTTTATCCTTGCAGCGGAGCTACTTCACAAAACTCCGACCAGCTGGGACGCTTGGAATCGCGAAATGAATTTTGCTGGAAAGGGCGGGTCTCGGCAATATCAGACATTGAGCGCGGAGGATGATGTGAGATTGGCTGAGCAGGAGGAGGATCAGCATGTAGGCCATGTGCTGGGTGAAGTTAGACGGAGCTGGAAGCGACAGTTCCCTCCTGGACCGAAATTGAAACGTAAAGATGTGGTCGATTCATGCCGGATTTATGGTAGTTTGGAAGGAAACAAGGTGCAGGGAAACTTTCATATTACCGCAAAGGGACTGGGGTATTATGATCCGACCGGCATGGTGAATGTAAATGGTATGTTACTGCCCGGATCTCTATGTGTTTGTTGCCTTGCTAACTGCAATAGATATGAACTTCACACATCTGATTACTGAACTGTCCTTCGGCCCTCATTATCCAACGTTATTGAACCCACTGGATAAAACAGTTGCGGCTACAAAAGACAAGTTCTATAAGTATCAATACTATCTCTCTGTCGTCCCCACAATCTACACCCGCGCCGGAACTGTTGATCCGTACAGCCAACGGCTTCCTGACCCTTCCACCATCACTGTCAGCCAGCGCAAGAATACCATCTTCACCAACCAATATGCAGTCACCTCCCAGTCTCGTACGATATCACAAGGCCCATACTCTGTTCCAGGAATCTTCTTTAAATTCGATATAGAGCCTATCTTGCTGGTTGTGAGTGAGGAACGAGGGAGTTTGCTCGCTCTGCTGGTCAGGCTGGTTAATGTTGTTTCGGGGGTGTTGGTTGCAGGAGGCTGGGTGTTCAACTTTGCATTATGGGCTGTTGAATTATGGGGAAGAAAGAGAAGGGGCGCAAATCTAGGCGTGTTGGGGAATCATGAGGCCGAAGAGTAGTTTGAAATTTGAAACATTCTCGGGAGTGTATGGAGTTTTCCCTTTTTTCTTGGACGGAAAAGGAGGACGTCTGAGCTTACTGTTGTGTTATAACTGCGTATGTGCAACATGCTGTTTGCCTTTTGGGGACTTTATTAGGTGGTTTGTATCTTTAAACATATGGCAATATGTGTTGATTAGAATGGATCACTGTCCCCCTGTTTCAATGTTCAATGAGCAATTTTGTGATGACCAGTTATGCTGTGTTGATATTAAAGGAAGACAAAGAAGGAGACTATGGCCGGAAGTAAAATACCTAAGTCTCAGTCCCTATTGAATTCAACTGAGGTAGCTAGCACCCCTGAAAGATCGACAGGGCCGTCTAAACCTTAAAAATGCTTAATAGTTTCATTTTCAAGGTTGTAAATACACCAGACGATTAGGGAGAGCGTCAGGATGGTATGTAATTGAATCTGGGTCCTTCATAGTTGTCTACCTAGGTTAATAATCTATCTAGCGGTTAGGTAGACTCTGGCGCAACCAGCACAGCACGATACCGTATCTTTCCTTCTGCCAGCCGGTCCATAGCTCTTTCAATACCCTCTTCGTCCATATCAAATAACTCAACCGTTGGCTTAATATTATGTCGTGCCGCAAATTCAATCATCCTTTGGTGTACTGGCACCGAAGCCACGATGGATCCCACAATTTTGAGACCTTGACGCAGCAATGGCATATACGGGATAGTGAAATCTCCAAACGCTACCGTGAGAGGGTAGACTGAGCTCCGCGGCGCAAGAACAGGTAGATATAGAGCCCAATCCACCTGGGCGCTGGTAGTGACAATGAGATGGTCAACCGGCTCGATATCTTTGAACTCCTCTACTCCACGCGTGGGGTAGAATTCGTCTGCACCCAGTGATAAAGCTTCGTTTTTTTTGTCATTCGTACCGGAGAACACCACCGTTTGGCAGCCCATGTGCTTTGAAAATTGAACGGCAATATGACCCAGTCCCCCGAGACCGAGTATTCCCACACGATCTGTCGGCCTGATGTTATACTGGTCGAAGATGCTGAACACGGTGGCACCTGCACACATTAGAGGTGCGGCATCGGCACTTGTGATGGATTCTGGAATCCTGAAAAGAAACGGTTCGGTCCAGATTGCAGCGTGGCCCATGGAGCCTTGGTCTTTGTTGTGGTTCCCGAAGGTTTGGCGATCGGGGCAATGTATCTGGTGGCCGTTGATGCATTGCTTGCAGTGGGCACAGGAATTTTGGAGATAGCCCCAGCCAACCCGATCTCCCCTACAGATTGTTATTAGAAATTGAACTTGTTACTTTAGCTAGTACTGGAATCCACTTCAGCCTTACTCTCTCAACTTTAACACATTCGGTCCGACCTCAGAGACGATACCAACACCTTCATGCCCGAGGACACAGCCGGAATTCCGATAATGAAGATCGGATCCGCAGAGCCCTGAATGGGTAACCCTCACCAGCACTTCGTTCCCCTGTAAGGCGGCCCTGCGTGTGATATTCCGAACGACTTTGCCGGATTTCGTCCCTTTAAAAACGGCAAATTCGTGCCCAGGTTTCATAGCAATCGTCATTTCCCTATCTTCTTTAAATAAATTCTTCCCTCTGATGCCGCCGTTCTGAGTATGTCTCCAATACTTTTTAACCCGATGTTGTCCAATGTACCAAAAGTTGATTTTGACTTATAAAGTCGTCAGGCAAATTTTTCTCCAAATTTTCTTTCGGGTACAATCATTTATCTCGAATTACATCATCGTGGATATTCTTTTCTTCAAACGGCCCCGTCTGCTTTGATTCTGGGTCAGGAGTGGAGCCCGTCCCCGAGTTCGCCCCAGCATCTTATCAAAAGATTCACAGAAGCATGGCGATTTGCTAGAAGGGCGCCTACTTGGCTAATTAATCGACAGGCAAACTACTATGTAAGAAACCTGCATTCGTACTTACTGGTCTCCAGGCTCCCTGCTGATGATCGTGGGTGGAACTTTGGACCAGAACTAACAGCATATTTCAACGTGAAAAGTGGTAGGCTCATAAACTTGGGCTAAGGAGGCGTCTATGGCGTGCTATGCAGAGCTCAATAGACCTTGAGCTTCCACAAGTGTCGCCTGCTGAGGATTTGCCTTGACGGTTTGATATCGACCTCCGGTAAGAGTCGCAAGGGACCAGCAACAGGGAAATAATCTTGTCTCGACAACAAACAGGTCAAACCGAGCAAACAAATCACCCCTTAAATCCGGCTGCGGCCATTATCATAGTACATATCAACTTGGGCACTAGGAGAGAGCGTCTCAGCTCCAGAGCACGGGGTAGTACTGCCGATGTTTTTGCAAGAGCTTCTGGCATAGTTACAATAAAATACATCCGAAAGTTCAGCTACCATTGCACTCCAACTTAGACCTCAAATATCTCGCCCAGTCCTACGCCAGCACCCTGAGCGCCATACCGACAATCAACCAAATCTAATCTCCATCCCTTCCAACCCTTCAGCTTATTCTTCACCTCACGTTCCCATTCAGCCCGTTTTTTGGTCTCCTCTTCTTCCTGCGCTCTAGCAAATGCATCCTCGTCAAACATGCCATCATCCTCTAAGAACTCTTCGCGATCTTTTTCCGAAAGAAGTTCGAGGCTTCTGCGTAGGCCACTCGAGCCGGGTCTGTGGGGTTGGGCGGTGCCCGTAAATGCAGCGATACCGCTAGACAGCACCGTTGCGAAAGATGAATGCTGGCGTGGTTTATTCGCCGCTGTGCTGCGACGGCGGGAGTGCTCAGGCCCGCTGGGGCCACCAATAAGATCCACATCGTCAAAGGTACCCCCAGGGTTAGAGAGGGTTTCGGCAACATCGACATCGCTGCCGTGGTCAGCGGTAAGCTCCCGTTTTCTCTCCTTCCAAATACCACGCCGAAGGTCGAAGATCTCCCCTTCAAGTTCACGAATTGTTCGCTCTAGACGGGCTTGTTCTTCGTTTTCGAGGTCGTCTAATGCCTCATCGTCCCCCGTGCTTACCACCTCGCGTTTTCGAGTTCTTTCACGCTCCTCCTTGAGCCGCGAGTTCTCGTTTTCGATTGTGACAAGCTTTCTACGCAACGTAAGCACATCCTTCTCGAACTTGTCACGCTCTCTAAGCCGCGCTTGGTGTCTAATTTCAGATTCTTTGTGAAGGTTGCCGAGAGCCTCAAGCTTCTTCTCCATTGTGGCTGTTCTGTTTTCCGCCTCTGCCTTTGCGCTATTCACCTGTTCAAGCTCATCTTTCAGATTGCTGATTAGCGTTTGGGTGGAAGCTTGAGTCACACCCTCGCTGACGGATTTCTCAATCATCCGGTCCATTCTACTCTTCGTATTTGCATGTTCCTTTTCTTCCTTGTCTAAAGCAGCTCGAACGGAAGACAATTCATCTTTCAAGGACGATAGCTGGGTTTCTATTGTAGATGCCTTTTCTGTTTGTGAGGCGAGTTGGGCGCGTAGATTCGATATCTCTAGTTCCATGGCTTCAATTTTCGCGGATTTAGATTCTAGTTGGCTCTGGAGTTCAGATGGTGGCGATTCGGGTTTCCCAGATACAGTGACACTGTTTGAAGACCGGTGCGACTTTGTTTGAAGATGGGAATTCTGGCGTTGTAGAGCTGTAATCTCCGCTTTCTTTTGAGAGTTAGCATCTCTTGTGCATCCAATGCAATAAAGCCAGCAAGGTATCCCAGATGTGGACTCACCAATTTTTCAACATATTCTGCTTTCTTCTCCGCTGTGACAAGTCTCTCCTTTAATTCCACTGTCTCCGTATTCGCTTCGCGCAAATCTTCCAACTGCTCCTCTGACTTCTTCCATCTGGCATCTGCCGTCTCTAGTTCCTGCTCCAGCCGTTTGTTTTCCCTTTCTAGCTCTTCTAGCCTAAGCGCTTGCTTTCTAAACAGCTCAGGCGCAGTGTTTCCATCCGGACTCAGTGGCGGCAGAGGTGGAGATTTCACCCCGGAGCCTGTAGGAGTCAGGCCAGTCTGAGAAATCGACGAATTTCGAAAAGACGAGGAGCGCATCTTGGACTGGATGGATAACGACGGTTGGCGACGATGGCGGGATTCTAGGGAGGGAACAATGTCGTCTTGCCCGCCTTCGGCTTTTTCAGAAGCATTCGCTTCTGGAGTCTCGTTGGGGGCATCTGGGAAAGACTCGGTCGACCTCTCCTGCGCTTTTTCGGGCTCGTCATCTTTTGTTTCTGGTTCGGGTTCCTGTTCTGGTGCTTCTGGAGGTGCATCGGCTTCATCCGGGACGGGGGCTGGTTCAGCAAGTTCGGGCTCTTTGCTCGGTCCACCGGCGGGTTTCTCTTTTTTCCCTGATTTCTTTCCCTTTTTCTTTTGTAGTTGCGCTACCTAGAATCATTGGGAACGTTAGCAAAGGAGGAGGCAAACAGTGGACACATGTCAACATTAACACGCGGACTGGGTGTCGATATACCCTCTTCCTGGCAGCTGCAAGCTTTTCGGCCTTGGCCTTCTCATCAGCGTCGGCCATGATGCAATTGTGCGGCCCCTTTTTTTTGCTGTATATATCTGGTGGGCTATAATAATCTAGGCACGGAGTAGACTGAGCCCGTACTCGTCCTCTAGCAGCGATTGGGCGGTACAGACTACGAAGCAACGATCGCGAAAGCTGGTGACTTCCGCTTACGTCATCTACTCAGCTTCGCTCCCGAGCCCTCATCGATGCTACCCGGTATCCAGCCGGGCAAAGCAAAACAGATAAAGAGCCGAAGAAGTTAGTATTGAAATCATATTCGTATTAACAATGTGTATGAACAGCCGCACCAATGTCCAGTCATCCCGAAGTTCCCATGAAATAGCGCCTCACCCGCTGATGCCCACATCCCCTCCAAAAGAAAAAAGGCCCAGGTTGAAAACAGACCAGCAGCAAAGAGGAGAGAATAAAAATATGAAGAAATCAAGAGAAACCATTTCAACCGTCATCATCACACCATAAAAATTACAGACCTGAAGCGAAGCGATACGCAATCGAACGAAAGGACCACCCCATGATAGCGCAGAGTAACGAAATAAAAGGATATCATAAAACAAACATGTCCCGAGGCCGACTGTTAAAGTGTGCAGATCCCTAAAGGATATAACTCAACGAATCGATTTCATGTTCCCTTAAAATTCCATGGAATCTGCCACCTCCTCGCTCATCGTTCTGACAGCGTTCGTCTTACTACCAGACCTCGAGCGTACTTCTTCATCGCTCAGTGCATAGTTCCCCTGCTCGTCTACAACGGGTCTAGACGGTCCGGAAAGTATTTCAATTTCGTCATCCTCGTCGCTACTTAAGTCTTGGGCCTTGGCAAAGGCGTAATCACCCAACCAGTATCGTGCACGTTTCCGTGCACCAAGATCCGGAGTCAAGTATCCATCGTCCATGTTTCTTTTCGTCGCGATTGGAGTTGCGGCGCCGTCCGCCAGTCGACTAAGAACGCTGATTCCACGAAGGTAGAGATAACAGACACGCTTCCGCGCCTTGTTGAAGAAGAAGTAATTTAGGCTCCATATGGAAGCATCATCTCCGTCATAAGGATCTTCTTCGGGAGAGTAGCAATATATGCTACATTCTTTCAGCGACATTTGCTCATCAATTATTTTCCACATCCTTGGGCCCCACGAATGTGCTGTTGTTGGAACATGCGGCGCAGAACCGCTGAGCGGTGTTGGCGGCGTAACATCCCTCGCCATCTGCGGACGCAGGTTAAATAACGTGCTGTCAATCGTGTTCATGACCTTTTTCAAACTCTTCTCCCGGCGAAAGTCTGTAGGTCGTAATAAGTGAGAAAAGTCGTAGTCAGGATGGCTTGCGTTGAGAGTAGCGATCAGGTATGCGAAAGTTCGACGGCTTGAGTGCTCACTTAACGGGCCAAAGGGACTGGAACGCGAGAGGTTGAGCGATGCGGCCGCGGAAGAGGCATGCGGTGGCGAAAGTGATGCCGATAGTCGCAGAAGTGACTCATACTGCGACTCGAGAGAATTCTCAATATTTCTGTACAGTTTCTTATCTCCACCAGCAGCCTTTGTAGTATAGAGGTCGCATCCTCCGACAACGTGGCAGTCAGGAGTGTCAAAGTTGAGGGCGTTTGTAACGTCTTCGAATTCGCTCAGTGGGAGGAACTGGACAAGTAATACTTCTTTAAGCGATTGTAAATTCTGTGATCACCGAACTCGCATCACCATACCTTCATTTTCAAGTGTAAATGTTAGGATTCGGACCAATGGACAGTTCATTCAATTCACGCGAAGCTGTTGTTGACACGACTATAGCGTGGAGCCGAGGTAGATAGCTGCTGGTAAGCCGAAGGTCAAGGAACCGATAACTTAGGGTCGAGCTTCAAAAAGCGACAACCAAACGCGGGGTGACGCGCTAGATGATCGATAAGTAAAGGCCCGTAGGTCCCTGGGGGTGTAATATGATCGGTGCTTGCTGCGGTGTCCTGCGGAAGCAAGTCGAAGGGCGATAAGGGTTCTCCAGGCTGGCTGCAAGGACAACGCTTACGGATCGACTACGCCAGACGATAGCGTCTAGCAGGAAGTAGATATAGTCGAGGAAGCCATGAAATTTGATGGAAAAAGGATGGAAAGATGAAGATGCTGATGGATTGAAATCGCATCGAGGATGCAGCCAGTTGGGTGTTGGAATTCGATCGCAACCGATGATGTCACGTGAAGAACACGCTTGGCCGGTCCGGCCAGTGACATCACACCATTCATTCACGGGATCCAAACAAAGGGGCAGAGGCGAGACACCAAGTGTGGCAAAAAGAACCATGGTTAGTCTACCTTATACTGCATCCTTTGCTGCTCTTCTCTAGCGCACCGCCGAGGGGTGTGAGCACAATTGGCCAAGAGCGAACAAAGGCGTCAATAGACTCTGGAGGAGAACACCACAAATGCCTTTGGAGGGTAGGCAATACCGAAAGCGTGCTGCCACTGTCAAAACATCGATGGGTTTGGTGTCGTGCACAAGATGCCGAATTCATAGCCTGGTGGAAGCTATTCTCTTTGGAGTGTCCCCGTTTTCTTCGATGAGGTATGGAGGTCAGAAGGCACTATATTCCCAAACGCTCTAATTTCGCTTCTATCGCAGCAGCTTCCTGTAACTCAATTGACTCAATCAGTAAGATGGAATGAGCACGCCATATATACATTGTCCCCTTGATAAACGCCGGGTATAACGGGTGCAAATTGTGGTATAAAACAGCGAAGAAACCGATAAACGCCTGAAACCAGTAGAAGGGACTATCCCGCTACATGAGCTTCGTCACAATATCTTGCTCTGTCTGAAGACGCCAAGAAGAATCGCGAATTAGCATCTAATTTTCCAGCCAGCAGTGGCAACAGCTTGTCTGGAGCATTGAAGCGGATATGAAGGCGAGGGACTGTAGTTTTCATCGGCAGGACTATGTTCAAAAGGACTTACCTCCATATCCTCCAAGCTGTCCTGTTGGCTGATACATCGCAAGACATTCTTCTTGCTACTCTCCTGCATCTCTCCGGCGAGCAGCAGCTCGTCGAGGATGAAATATGCCTTTTGGAAATTGAAAATAATATCTAGTTCACAGACATTGCCGTAGTACTTATCCATCTGTTCGACATATCGATGGACGATTTCCAGGGTTATGAGCTCATTGTCGGTAGAGGAGCAGCCAGCGATAAAGAACAAGGATGCATATCGTCTGTAGACTACCTTGGAATCTAAATGTTTTATCCATCGATTAGCCGCGTCCAGTACGTAAATATATAAGAAAAAGCTGCAAGAGCTAGCGATCTAGTCTGCCGATTGTCCAAAGGGTCATGGGAAAAGGGGCGCACCTTTGTATTCGAGAAAGTTGCACATGCGAGTGCGTCGGGAGAGGACGAGCTGAGAAACATCCTTGATGATTTTTGCCTTATCTTTGGGGGAAAGAGTGATGAACCATTTTGCTAGACGCTGGAGAAAAAGTTAGAAAAATTTTCTCTCCTAGGACGGAGATAATTAGAAGGAAACGAGAAAAGGATTCGAGAGTGCGGTGGGCGACGACCAAAACATACCACTTTGCCTTGTCTCGACAACAGGATAAGGTAGCTAGTCCTGTCAGTTTCCCTCGCAGCGTAAAGACGGAGACGAAACGGTCTTACTTAATTGCCATACTATCCTCGACAATTCGAATTCAAACGAGAAATGACAGACAGAGTTGGATTTTTTTTTTTTCCTCGGTGGTGGGGGGTGAATCTCGTTCGCATCCAAGAAGCATGGATCGGCTGCGCAATCAAAAACAGCCGCCTTTTCGCCCAGTCGCCGTGCTGACTAAGACTGCCAAGAGCTGGTGAAGCCGCAGGCCAATCAGACGGTGCCGACTCACGTGGGCGGATCCTGTTGCCCCGCAGCCCTCCCGATCTCGATCTGACAAATGCAGGCGGGCTGGAGGACCGCGGAAGAGGAGTGCTGCGAAGGCATTCGCCGGGCGACAGTTATATGAGAGGGTCTGTCCGCTCCAGTGCATCGTGACGGCTGGTTGAGTCTTTGGTAGAATCTTCTGTTAAAAAATTGCTAACATTCCACCACAGCCACATCATGAAGCTTGTGCTGTCTACGTCGTAAGCAAAAATGCATCTGGCTTCCTAGAAAAATTGTCCATTCTAACATTGGAACTATTCATAGAAACATTGTCAGCGGCGGGCCATCTGTTGTCCGCCGTATTACATCCGCGAAATCGAATGTCGAGCTGTTAAATTCGCTCCGGTACAACTTCGTCGCAGCCCAGCAGATCGAGCCCGCCCATACAAACGAAAGCCTCCATGGGACGCATTCGCCTCCTCGGAAACTCGCCTACAGTGACTACATCACGTGGACCTCCAAAGATGCTGATACCCTCTACGTTCCGGCCATCGATTTCTCAACGTCTGGCTTGACAGAGGACCGCTCTCAGTATGATATCACGGTGAAGCTGTTCTATTTGCCAGGGATACCGGCCTCGAGGAGGTGCGAACACACTTGTGCCGCCATCCATCTCGTTCTGAAGGAGCTACACGTCGGTTCTATAGATCTCCTCATCGTTTCGTTTCCCGGAATCGCGTTTGACGCAGATGACGAAGAAGAGGAAGTGGTCAATGGCGATGCGGAGTCGGAGTTCAACAATATGGTGCAGACGTGGCGAACATTGGAATCGCTTCACGAAAAGGGGATGATTGCGCAACTTGGACTGGCAGAATTTGATAAGGACCGGCTGGAGAAATTTCTTCCGTATACCAAGATACGACCCTCCGTGGACCAAATAAACGTTAAAGATTGCTGTGTTGTACCAAAGGATTTGATATTATACGCGAAGGAGGAAAATATTGAGCTTCTAACGCACAACGATTGCACTGATATCCTTCCCAGAGGTACAACGCGAGATCTACTATCGCGCGCAGAAAATGGCGCAGGCATCTTGGCAGTAGCCGCAGATGCCGACGATGGTGGTATCAAAGGGGATATTGAACCACAGTGGGTGGTAAAGTACACGGCAGTGGTCAAAGACCGCGGAGTAATTGAAAACAAGGGCTATTTTGCTCTTGCTGAAGTCGGAACATGTATGCGTACTTCTTCATAGCCACAAAATGGCCACTCACGGCATTGTATAATTCCAGTGCTGCACCAGTATTAAAAATAATAAGCTGATGCTTATTCACATTTGTCACAGCTTTTTCGTCTCTATTCAAGATTTCTTTTCCGTATGTCATTCCGGCATAAAAGGCGAGAGGTTTCAATAACAAGTCTTAAGTCCCCGGGAGTTATCCGACCATACTTCGTTTTCGGCCTCTCATCCGAACCTTTTTCAGTGTTTCGAGCACCGAACTTGCACCTTTAAAGCTTTCTCGGTAAGCCTTGAGGACTTCGTCGAAGAAAATCTCTGTTCTGGGATGCGAACTTCCGAAGGCTCGCTCAAGCACGTAAAGATCCACCGCTCGGTCCTCGTCTTGTACGCTTTGACTCGCCAGACCAAAGTCGATAAGAACAATTTCTCCTTCCAAATTGGGTTTCAAGGTCGTTGAATGCGGATCTATGTTGGTAGTGTTTTCGTTGGATTGACCCCTCAAAATGAGGTTGCTCGTCGTCAAATCTCCGTGAATAACGCCTGCTTTATGCAGGGCGCCAATGACACGTCCAATTCTTCGTAATAGTGAACGAATATCTTCTTCGGCAGAGCGTTCAAAATTTTCATTCATTCCAGAATTATTCCCCTTAGTAGCGCTTTCACAATGCTTCATCCATTTTTCCCAGTGATTTACAACTTGTCTGACGGCAGGGCCTTCGATCCACTCCATCAGCAACCATGCACCTCCGTTCCCGGTTTCATCTTCCCCCTGACCCGTATTCCAGTCAACAGACAAGACCCCCGGTACCGGTATGCCCTCTTTCAAGAGCTTAACCAAACATCTTGCTTCCTGGAGAACGCGTTGGCGCGTGAGTCTTCGATCAAGAATCGGATGCCGATAGGGCTTCGAAGGGCGAAATTTCAACGCTGCCGGAAATGAAGGATTGAGGAAATCGGTTTTATACAGGCGAGCCTCAGCACCTTGAGCCAGAAGGACGGGCGGAGTTTTGTTTGACGTGAAAGGCGGGGGTAGAGGAGGGGGCGTGAACTCTTCTGTCATGGTTGGTATCGGAGTGACGTGAGCGCCGGTGCTGCTAATTGCGTGGCTTGCCTCCCTGGTAGCGTAAGCAATGCAAATTTATCCTCGGTGAACAAGCCTGGCTGACGTTTTAAGAATATTTGAGATGATAGCAAATCGACGGTAGTAACTGTGCCGACCCGAAGGGAAGGGATGACGATGCCGGAGGAATTTCGCTCCGGTCCGAGCTTGAGAGGCTGCCCGAACTGATCCATCCATGCAAGCTCCTTTTCACAATTATGCCGGACGATATATGCTCATCATAACCGCCAACACTGCTCCGCAACATTGCTCACTTGCCATAAGCCGTTTCTTAATCCTCACACCCATGCGTCAATTCGAAACGGTCCCCCAACTTGGGAACTGGCACGGACTCTGCCTCACGGTTGCGGATCCCAGTCGCTGACGTTCTGAACCCTTTTGGAATTCACCGAGCCCCATCCCCTGCTATGCCACATGCCAGTACCCAGCTATTAGGCCGTGCAGACGCCGCTATGGATAGCAGTGAGCGGGTGGTGATGACTTACTCATCGGAACTCTGCTCTATGCTGAGGGATCGCCCTTAATTCTACAAATTATGATAGGTCCCGCTGTGATCGCACCGCGAGGATGCGCCTCTAGCGCAGAGGAAGAGAGGCTCTCCCGCCCTGACCACAATCCGCGTTGTGTTCATTACACTAAAATACGGGCCGCGTTGGTAGTGCCCGTTTAGCATGGTCGACAGTGCCTATTTCGAGCTTGAACCAGACATATCGAAAGATTCGGGAATCCTGCCGCAACAGACACTGCTGTGCCCAAACTTTCCTTGCCTGGATACTCGCGTTTCGGCCCATCCACACACCTGTATCCCTTCAGACAAGTTTGTTATGTTCCGCGTCCGGAGTACATGCTCCGTACATTTGCCCCCAATGGTTTATTGGATCCACAAACCCTGATCATGCGGGATGCAAATGTTACCTATGTCTATACCCATCCCCGTGCAGTTGCGGATCATCGGAAACCTCATAGGTTTGAGAACTGCATGCACTTCCCGCTCTCCAATTTTAATACTGGTTTCTTTGGTCCACGCTTTGTCTACAGAGCCTACTGGGAGGGCCACATTGATCTTTGTGGTCAGCCCACAAAACGTTGAAGCCGACCCCAAGCCACCGGCTAATTCTGTCATGATCAACCTCACATCCGTATCTTTGGGCACTCTTTTCACAATACGGAGTATTCTTTCTGCCCTTCCCGATCTGCCTGGATAATTACTCGACTGAAGTGCAGATAACCGCTAGATTCTCGATTTTTTGTAATGGATATGCCTCCTTCCGTTCCCGCGATCTATGCTGACCAATATCTACTGCGGAGTTCCATTGGAGCAAACAAGCTATTTTCTTTTCTTGGTAACCCCCAGAGCGGCTGTCTCGGGTTGAGAATCGCCTGATACCCACTGTGGATTGTTCTTTTGTGGGTTGTTCCAAAAAAAGATCTTAATTGCCAGCAGAAGATGGCTTTGTATGATCAGCCCTTGCCACTTTCCCCAATTTATCAGCATGCTGATAGGGTGGTTCTGGGTTGTGAACAACTGTGCAGAACGCTCCGTAAGCTTTATATTTAGTGTTTGGGATCTGGCGTGAGGTTGTCTGGCTTAGTATTGTTCTCTGCATCAATATGAACCTGCATTAGTATTGTTCTTTGCATTGTGGCTTTTGGCGCCGCCGGCCCGGCTGCTGACAAACAATCCATCGCCTACTTTGACATCTCAGTCTATCCATTCAGCTGCTTGCTCTTCTGTGCTCTTCATATTCTTCTTTTATGTATGAATTCTGTTTGTCCTACTGCTCCAAGATGATCGCTGCTCTGCTGTCTAGGATTGTCCGCCTAGCCTTGAATATATGTCCGGGCCAAATTCTATGGATTGCTTGCTTAATGACCCCACCCCCCTTTTGTCCATTATCTTTTACTATTATCTGAGATCAAATATGCAATTCATCAACATAGCAAATGGACCCCGGAGAGAGCTCTGGTTTTCTCGTCTTTGTTGAGCTTCCCTGCAAAACTCATCTCTGGTCTTCATGTTTTCTCATTAGCAGTCTTTCATCACGAGGCAGTTTGAGATACCCAAGATCCAGGAAGGAAGCTACACTTTTTATATCTTGACTCATTTCTACTGAACCTGAGCAATATGGTTGACACATCCGGATTCGGTAACAACTTTGACCCTTTTACTCAACCAGTTCGCCTTTACTATCCCAACGGCACCGATTTTCATAGATCCCTCGCAGAAATCGATTGGATATTACGAGACAACACCAACCAAAGCATTGCATATGGCTGTCAGCTTGGCGCGTCGCTTACGATGATAATCATCCTACTGCTGCTAACACCACCGGGCAAGAGGCGATCGCCAGTCTTCATGCTGAACGCTGCAGCCTTGGTCCTTAACTTCGGGCGCATCCTCTGCTCTTGCATCTATTATACAACCGGATTTTCGGATGTTTATGCTATGCTTGCGCCGGATTTCTCTAGAGTTTCGGTCGGTGCTTACGCTAACACATTTCTGGGCGCGATCCTCCACGCCCTGTTGCTGATTTGCGTTGAAATATCGTTGCTGTTCCAAACCCACGTCCTGTGTTCGACAATCCGAAGTGCCTATCGGCGTCTAGCTCTGAGCTTCTCCGTGGTGTTGGTTCTTGCCGCCATAGGATGTCGACTGATGCAGACAATTGAGAATTGCAGAGCAACCATAAATCTGAAATCCTTTGCGTCATTTATATGGCTTCAGAGCCTAACAAATATTCTCACCACCGTGAGCATCTGCTATTTCAGCACAATATTTGTTGCAAAACTCGGTTTCGCGATTTATGCTCGTCGGACGTTGGGTTTGACTGGTTTTGGAGCAATGCAGGTGATGTTTATTATGTCCTGCCAGTCAATGATCGTTCCGGGTATGATACCTCCCTCTATTCCAATACACCCTTACATATGTCAGCACGGCGTCTAACTCACGACTTAGCTATTTTCTCCATCTTACACCACTTTATCGACGCTGCTGAAATGGCTCCACTTGTCCTTACGCTAGTGACACTTTCATTGCCTCTTTCCTCCATGTGGGCAGCCCAAGCAGTCAAAAATAGCTTTGAAGGCGATAATAGGGGTCCGACTCAGCAGCGGCATCTCTTCACTCAGGGCTCCTCCACGGCACAGACGTCAATGGCTTCGACCCTCGTTGCAAAGCGTACCTCCTCTCCCGACCATTTAGATCGCCTTTATCCGGATATTGATGCTATTGAAATCCGCGTGGACCGTGATTTTACCGTCGATATTGAAAAGGGCCAATAAATACGAGAGACTAGAAGGAAATTGTTTCTGGCATAAAGCTGGGCAAGGACGAATGTGACTTTTGGTTTGTCTTACTTTTTCGAGTCCCTATTGCTTGGGATGGCTTGCAGATATGGGACTGCGCGCGAGAATGATAATGGGCTGTTGAAGGAACTATTTTTTCTAATATCTACCCGCTCCCGTTCCCGTTTCTCCTTGTTATATTGTGTCAAAAAAAGCGATATTTGCTTGACGTTTCGTGCGGTGGGTGTCATGGTTTGCTTCGTGGATTTGCTCATACATACGTATATTACCAATGGAACATTGTCCAATTCCTCAAGTGACCGCAAGCCTCTAGTAGAGTACACAGGTTTCTAGTAATCGATCGAGTCAGGACCAGACATGAACTCAGCCAGCGGTGTTTTCAGGGCGGTTGCTGACTAATCTGGGTAAGATCGGGGATACATCATACCTCCTGCGACGCCTCCATGAACCGCTCCAATGATGCCTTCACGGCCGAGCGGGAGATAGCTACGAGTCATGGCTACAGTGCCACAGAGAACACTAGACTGGCTCTATCGTGTTCTTACAAGTGTGTGTATCCCAATCCTGTATCCTATCCAGCTTGTACATTTACTAATTCTGCCGGGGACTCCTCTCACTTAGAGCAATCAAGATCCGAACCAGGCATATCACGACCCCAACAGGACATACAATGATGTAGCGCATTTATTGGCTCAGTACCCCCATTTTTCGCCCAGGACGGATGTGTATAGTGAGTCCAGATTCCCCTTCTACGGGATTCTCCACGCCGTGTTAGCAGATCGCATACTAATTGCATTCCCTCCCCGACAGCGCATGAAAACGGCGCATCTGCGCTACTCCTTAACCTCTTCGGCACATTGCCTGTTTCTTTTCGCGGCGTGTTGTATCGATTTCCAATAACAGTATGGGTGCCAACTACATACCCGAGAGATCCGCCCATCGTGTATGTCACACCGACGAAGGATATGTTCGTTAGACCGGGACAACACGTTAGCGGGGAGGGGCGGATATATCACCACTATCTGGCGCACTGGGCAGAGGCAAGCAATGTAAGCACGAGACATAACCCAATATACCTGTTTGGACTAACGATTGTGTTTTGTTTTCTCCCTTCAGCGATCTACTATCGTGGACTTTCTATATATCCTACGAGAGGTTTTCGCCAAAGAACCTCCCGTGACATCTAAGCAAGCGCAGATAAGCAGGCCCATACCTCGCCAGGCCGATCGGCCCCCTCCGGCTGTTCCTCCACTTCCCCCGCAGCTTGCAAGGCCTGAAGCCCAACCAAGCCCTAGTCCTCGACCAGCACAGATTCCTCCGCAGCTACCGCCGAAACCGGGAAAAGTGGTCGAACCGCAAGCGGCGGGCGAAATACCAGTACCTGAGAAGTATACGGAGCCACCTCCGCTTCCACCTCTTCCCGATGAGCTCCGTGATCCAAGACGCGGCTTCGTCCAACCACCACCATTGCCCAGTCAAGCTTCGCCTAACCATAGTGTAAGCCATCCAGCACATCAGCCCAGAGGCTCAGGCACGCTTGAACCTCCGAGCCGGTTTCAGCACGGACATGTGCCGCACCATCCAGGATATCAACAAGAGAGCCTTGGCCCTACCACCCCAACAGCCCAAAGCGGACCACCACCCCCGCCTCCTCCACAGGGTTCGGTTCACCGATCAGGTCAACCCGTTTCATATGGCCAGCCAGCTACTATGCAAGGCGCGGCGCCTCAACACCGACCTATCCCACAAGGCAAACATCCCTTGCCCTCCCAGCAACCTCCTCAACCATTACCAAGACATCAAGAGCCAGTGCGGCGGAAGCAGCCGGCTCCCGATCTTCTCACTTCCCCCTTCGATCTAGAACTCCCGTCCCAGGCCCTCACAGCCGCACCGCCACCCATCCCACCAAATCCAGAGAAGGACTTCCTCCTTAAAACACTCTCCCGCACACTAACGCAGACCCTCCACGATAACATCAACAAAACCAACTCCGGCCTCCAACCACTCAACTCCCAATCCCAAGCTTTACAGGCAGCCATAACCACGCTGAAATCCGAGATCGCAGCTCTGAACGCGTTCCACGCCACCTTGCAATCCAATACGTCTATCCTCCAGCAATCTCTCCATCGAGCCGACGGAATCATCGCCGACGCGCGTGCCCGAATCTCTTCGTCGTCATCTACATCCGGCCCGTCAGAGGAACAGCCTTCCACCGGCCGATATCCCTCAGGTCTTCCGCCGATCGATGAAGTCCTCGTGCCGCCGACCGTCGTCGGAAAACAAATATACGACCTCGTCGCGGATGAACGCGGGATCGAGCGGGCGATCTATGCGCTGCAGACCGGACTCGTCAAGGGGCGGGTTGGACTGGACACGTGGGCGAAGTTGACGAGAAGCTTGGCGAGGGAAGCGTTTCTGAAGAAGGCGTTGATCAGAAAGGCTGGGGTTGGGATGGGATTGAGCGTTGACGCGAGAAGCTAGGTGGTTGTAAATACGTACTTCGTACGGAGCCATGGAAGCGACGGTATTTTGATTATTGATTACCTCGACAATAACCTGGAGATTCATATATAGATCTCCTGGCATTCAGATACATAACTGTTCGAGTTTCAGGTCTTTGCTTTGACTCGTATACTCGAATTAAGGAATGTTTTAATTGCACAGAGCAACGCAGGCATATACTTTTCCCAGAACAAGTGACTCTAAACCCTCACCCCCTTCTTCAAGTGTAAGCTGTAGTAACTAGGGTGTAGCGATGTATATAGTTATGCTAGGATATCTCAAATCCAGGTAAGCGGAGGTCAACCGTGCTGAAGCACTATGTCTTCATGTTGATGGTGTGATGAACCGGCTGGATCTCAAGCACACACACACTCTCTCTGCGCAAACCAAAAAAAAAAAGAAAAAAGGCAAAGAGAAAGAGAAAGAGAAAAGCCAGGCGACGCATGTAGGCAACATCAACAAGACCAGCACACAAAATAACTAATTAAGCAGAGTATCTAAAACAGGCTCCAGAAAATCACGCAGAAACAAGACGTGCGCGCGCGATTCAATGATCCTTAGAACGCCGAACCCTGAAAACAGAAGAATCGAGTGAAGACTGAGCAGGCCGCGAAATTAACCCTCTCCATATCACAGCACAGGGGAAAGAATAAGCAAATTCCCGATTAATTATTTTTTATTTTATTTTTTTCTTTTTTCTTTTTCTTTTCTTGTCTTTGGGTCTTATTGTCGAGCACAAAAGAGCGCTGCCGGGTGGGATATCATAGGTTCACCAGCAGCGCTATATAAACGACAGAAAAGAAAGCAAGGAAAAAAAAGGGGGAGAAATTACACGCATCACGTATCTCACGGGTTGATAGAGGTAAAGGAAATCCCGGGGGGTTGTCGCCCATTTCACCAGTGGCACAACCCTCCCTCGCTCTCCTCCATCGACCACGTCCCCGCCAGGCCCAGGATCTCGACTCTGCCCTCGATCGTCTCGCCCACCTTGGGCAGCTCGATGACCTTGGCCACCTCGGGCCTCTTCGAGTCGAGGACCTGTTTGCCCCAGGCGCCGATGGCCGCTTCGCCGGTTTCGTCACGGGCCTGCTTGAGGAACGGGATCAGCGCGGTTCCTCCGGTGCCGCGGAGTTTCTTGCTTCCCGAGCCGCGTCCCTCGGTGGACGCCGTGGCGAGGTTGAGCGCCGGAGCGCCGGCCGCGAGAGGACGGGTCCCCGTGTTGCGTTCGCGCGACTTGACGATGATGTAGCGTGAGACCATGGTGATGTGGGTGGTGCGGAGGGCCTTGACCATGGCGACGGCGGCGTTGAAGGCCATCGTCAGTTCCTGGTTGGTCTGGTTCTCCTCGACGTATTCGCGGATGTTCGCCACGCTGGCGGTGTGTTCGAGGAACCGCTTGTGCGGGCCGGGCATGTAGTCGCGCATCTCCATCATGAAGCCGTGCCATCGACGGCGGGCGGTTCCGTCCTCCCCGGAAGACGGTGCGCTCCGCGGCTCGCCGGTGGGACGGTGCTCGACGCCGAGAACGATATCGAAGAATTGAATCAGGGAGCTCTGCGCGTTGCTGCCGCCGCGATACTTCTTCCACTGCTGGTTGCCGGCGCCTTCGTCCATGAGTACGCCTCTGGGGAGGCCTGCCTCCTCCATGTTCATACTTCCTGCGAGTAAAGGCCGGATGCGATGGTAGAATACGTGTGGGTCGCAGTGCCTGTACATGCGCTGCAGCAAGACGTTGATCTCGTCGACGACCTCAGCGAACCTGTTAAGGGACTCCATCACCTGCTTGGTGTCTCCTGCGCGGACCGCTGAGATGGCGTCGAGCATGAGTGGCAGAGTGCATGCACCGCGACTCTCGATGGCGACCGAAATCAGATAGAACCATTGCTCGTCCATCGAGCCCGTCAGGGTACATAGCGTCGAAAGGTTCTCGAGATCGTGGGACGGCTCATCGGGGAAGATGGGACGATAGTTCCACAGACAAACGCCGGCATATGTGGCGACGGGCGGCAGCTCCAGATGCTCCGAGATTTCCAACAGAGGGATCGTAAGTGGCGGCGGGATTCTCTATTATAGTAAAAAGGGCCCCAACTGTCAGCATCTGAGGTCCACGTGGAGCGGTTAAAGAGCCCTGCCAAGGACGACAAGGGTGATTGGTGACGGGCTTTTGTTTTGCTTTTTTTTTTTTAATCAATAGGGATGATATGATTTCATACCTCTTGAGGTTTATCTCCTGACCAGATGTACGCATGCAGCATGAAGACGAGGACAACATAGGCGCGTCGCCATTCGGGAGGGGTGTGGAGATGATCGGTGGAGAGAGTGGGCATGCGTCTGACGGTGTCCCATAGTCTGCCGCTCAGCACCAGCGACTGCAGGTTCTCGATAACGTGCTCCCACGGCGAGTAGTAGTCAGACAGCCGTGCCAGAGGTGGCTCGGAGGGGAGAAAGCCGTACTCGGGATCGATCCCATAGTCTGACAGCTTGGGGACGGGCGGCAACATCTTCGTGAGGGAGTGCGGGGCAAAAAGAGGAGAAAAAAGAAAAAGAAAAAGAGAAAAAAGGGGAGGGCGAGAAGAGAAGACGGGATTGTTTCACATTCCCAAGTTGAAATTAAAGTAAAAGAGAAGACAGTTCCACTCCAGGAGAGAAAAAGAGTGAGAGAAGTGAGGATGGATGTTGTTTTTCTAGGATGAATTTGTGTCTCGTGAAGGCAACCCGGGGGTGGTCGCGACAGTATAAGGAAAAATGGATTAAAATACACTTTGAGTTCACCGGGACCGGGGAACGACACACGGGAAGATAAGGATCGTTTTACCTTTTTCTGATTTTTTTAATAATTTTCTTTTCCTTCTGGAATGCTACGGAGTATCCTTACGCTCTAACCCTCCCCCCTAAAAGCCGCCGACGTAACCAGGGGTGTGTGTGTGTGAGACGGGCCTGGACCAAGTGACGTTTTGAGAGATTCAACAACAACATCTCCTTGGCAACACAGAGACAAAAAGATCCTCAAGCCCGATCAAGGTCGTTCGCACAGCAGCGAGCCGGTTTGCCCTTCCAAACAGCTTGTTCGTTGGGGGAGGAATAGACTTCCGCCGTCCAACCCACTCGCGAGTATCAGTTAGTTAGCCTTTTTTTGCCGTCATTCCTGGTTGGAACTTGCCAACCGATCACGGAGGGTTTTCGTGCAAAGTCGGAGCTTTTCTGATGACGCTGAGAGTTTCCCGCTGCGGGCGAAAACGACTCGACGTGGCGGCAAGACGGGGCTACCGACGGCTGCTTCAGCGGCTGGCATCGAGAGAGAGAGACCGAGCAACGGCCGTGGGTTGGTTAGTAAAACCCAAGTGTACCACCACCCTGCTGCTGTGCACGGTCGAACGAACTCACGAGGCCCATCCTCAAGGCGGTAAGTTTTATCTTGTTGTTATTGTTAACTGACTGACTGACTGACTGGCTGGCTGGCTGGCTGGCTGGCTGGTCCGTTGGTGAGTACTACAGAGTACTGGTTAACTAACTAGTGATTTGTTTAGCCAAAATACCCGCTGCCATGCGTGCAACCCTCAAAATCTATTGAATACATAGTGTTGCATGGCCGGACGTCACCACCAATAAACTAGTTAATGTTTACGTATTTTCTTTTTGTTCTCTCCATGATATGTAGTAGCTACGGAGTACTCCGTAGTTTGTCCAGCGTAATCCAGGCACGCGATGATTCAGTCCAACCAACCTCCGGAGCACTCATACACAAGTCAAGTCAAACCACCAACCAGTCAACCAGCCGACACGCAACCGACCGCCGCCCCGGTGATTCAAAGCAGCTGGGGCGCGTGGATTAAAACGCCGGCACAGCAGCCCCCCAAACGTCTTGATATCCGCAAGCTGAGTGGCGAATATTTTAACAACTCTTTCTTCCATGGAGGGGAGCTGGCTCGTCGCCCCGGGTATTTGTTGCCGGGGACAAAAAAACACTGACCTCACCGGCTCGTCACACAGCTCGTGATGACGCAGCCTTTTCCTCCCTCGCTGTGGAAATATATATTTTTGTAACTGGTTAGAAAGGCAATATCTCAAAGGCTATCGTAACAAACCCAGCTCGCAATGCCTCTCTCTACTTTGTACTGATAGAAAACACACACAAAGTTAATCACACAAGGTTGCGTTCGCAGCTGGGGAATTCCAGGCCAAAAAAACAAAAAAAAAAAAAGGCAGTGCGCTGAACCCTCCTGGGCCACACGTTGCGCATTGTCGAGACCACGGAGCTCCGGCTAGGCTATGATGCGTATAGCGAATCGGTACGGAGTGCATAACCCGTGAGTTGATGTACCCCAACATCAAAAGTGTTCAAGGCAAAGAAGCCCGAAGGTGGATTATCAAAAGTTATCATACAGAAGTCATCAGATGTGTAACTATGTACAGTGGGTATGGAACCATTTGTCGAGGTATCATCCATCATCCTTTGTTGCTCGTGTCCTACTACCAAGCGAGCAATGGCCTTTCTCTCGAACGCCCTTTAAAAAAAAATAATAATAATAATAATAATAATATAATATTCGGGGCCGCGACAATTGAAGCAACGCAGCCAATCCCTTTCCGAAGCACCGTATCCATCCTGGTTCAATTTTTTCCACGGATCAGCCGCAAACTCTTTTCAGGACAGAAAGATGGAAAAAAACGAAAAACAAAAAAAAAAGGAAAAAGGAAAGTTCGTTATAAATACATTCGATGCTCGCCACAAAATTAGGTGCCGCGATTGGATAGTGAAGAAGATAAGTCCGGACGCCCATGAGTGCTAGAACACCAGAGAGTGATCATGTTTCACTCTAAGTCAAGGCGGTGGGCGGTAATAGGATACGGGGAGAAATTTTTTTTATGGCCCGTCGTTACGCTGTTGAATCGACAGACTGGCGGAGGTTGTCTTCGAAGAGGACCTGTCAGCAGTAGAAGATCGAAGGTTTAATGCTGGCTCCATTCGATTGTATTTAGGTCTATGCCCTCCTGGACCAGCTCCCACAGAGGGCTCAGGTCGCGGAGGAACTTCACTCTCTGCTGGACCGCATTCAACACGTAATCGATCTCGTCATCGGTCGTGAACCGACCAATGCCAAATCGAATACTGCTGTGTGCGCTCTCGTCACTGTTCCCAAGCGCTCTGAGCACGTAGCTTGGCTCTAGAGAGGCAGAGGTACAAGCACTGCCCGAAGACAACGCAATGTCCTTCAATGCCATGAGAAGCGATTCACCTTCTACGTACGCGAAGGAGACGTTGACGCAGCCGGGATAGTGACGCTCCGGATCACCGTTGAGCGTAGTGTGCTCCATGGCCAGGAGACCGTCAACGAGCTTCTTTGAGAGTCGTTCGATATGCTTTGCATCGTACTGTATAAGAGCGTCGTTAGCCGAAGGCGCCTTGGACAAAGCCACAGAAAGCAAGTTTTATTCTAAGTAGTGTGAATCCCGATGAATATCATAACCCCTGCTATGTAAATCACAAAACGGTGGAAACACGAAAATCGTGCTGCTCATCCACCGCTTTTCAGAAAGCCATGCATATTAAAGCGTTTAATCATTTCAGGAAAAGGTGTACGTGAAGTTAATATAAAATGAAATGGTGTCTCACCTTCATATCTTCTTTCGCAACGCGGCAGGCCTCGCCAAAGCCAACAACGAGATGTGGAGCGAGGGTTCCACTGCGAAGACCACGCTCCTGTCCACCACCGCTGATGATAGGATCGATGCGAACTCTTGGTCTGCGTCGAACGTAGCAGGCCCCAATTCCCTTCGGGCCATAGATCTTATGGCTGGATATCGACATCAAGTCCACGTTCCAGGCATTGACGTCCACCGGGATCTTACCGACTGCCTGAGCAGCGTCGGTATGGAAGAAAACCTTCTTAGATCTGCAGAGAGCGCCGATCTCCTTCATTGGTTGGATAACACCGATCTCATTGTTGACGGTCATTATGCTGACCAATGCAGTGTCCGGGCGAATCGCAGCCTCGAGGTCCTCCAATCTGATCAATCCATTACTCTGGACGGGTAGATACGTCACCTCAAAACCTTCGTCCTGTAAGTGCCGACAACTATCGAGCACGCATTTATGCTCTGTCTGCGTGGTGATGATATGCTTCTTCTTCCCGGACCGACCGAAAAACCTTGCCACGCCCTTGATGCTCATATTATTACTCTCGGTTGCACCACTGGTGAAGATAATCTCCTTCGCATCGGCGCCAATAAGGTTCGCAACATATTCTCGAGCTTGCTCGGTCGCCTTCTCCGTTTCCCAGCCATATGCGTGTGTTCTCGAGTGGGGATTTCCGTAGAGACCGGTGAGGAACGGAAGCATCGCATCGAGAACCCGAGGATCTGTTGGGGTAGTTGCTTGCATATCAAGGTAGATCGGGCGTGTACCTTGGTCCATTACCGTGGCTTGCTTCAATATCCCAGCATTCGGACTCGTTGGGGTATCTCCAGTCACTGTAGCTCCGGGTACCTGCACGCTATTAGGTTTAAGGGTGGTCTGCTCTGTGAACAATCGTTGCTCAGCCTTGATGGCGGCGTCAGCGGTGGTCTGGGCCTTGCTCTCGGACACATAACTGCGCCAGGAACTGTGATGGAGAGCTGCGTTGGTACCAGGGCCGCAAAGAGGCCTCAATAAACCTGTCGATGAGGATAGTCGTCTCGAACAAGCTCTAGAGGCCTGCCTGAGGGCCTGGGGTGCCAGATTTGACATCTCGGCAGATGAATCTCAATGCACTGGAGATGCAGAGAGGAATGCAATGGAAAGAAATGGAAGAGAGGGAAATAGGGAGAATGGTTGAAGAGGTGGTGGGTGTGAAGTTAAAATTAAAAAATAGGCTGGATCTGATAAAAGGCGGCCAGCTGCTGACAAATTGTGCGGCAAATTCTGCCGGTTTTATCTGATCCGTGCACTATTCCTGATTTGGAAGCCCCTATGTCCGTCCGTCCGATGCAAACCAAACAAACATCCGCAAGCTTCGGCCGCCCTCGCCCGGGATTCTGAGCAGAGTCTACGGAGTACGGGGTGCAAAAAGCTATCAGGAGGAGCAATCTGCAGATTTATTTGGATTGTCATATTAACTCTTCTGTTATAACCACAGATATCTATTAAGGGATATTGGAGTAGAAAATCCCCGACAGTGATGGCGTGATAACCCGGGACCTAATTGCGGCCGAACGTTTACATCTTTGGTTGGAAGACTATTGACACCGGGCAGAGTCAAGCTGTTCCCTTTACACCTCCCTGAACAGCTTGCCAAGATGGACGAGAAACGAGCTCATTGAACCATCTAAAATGCATTGTGGTTAGGAATGGCTGTTGCACTGTCAACGTCCGGTTCATTTCCACTTACTTGGCAACCGCAGGTCTTTTCTCAATGGCGTCGCATTTACAAAGAGCGAGCAACGCACCATATGGCAGGTGGAATAAGTCGGCAAGCGTGAGGGCCTAGAGAGCAAGGTATCAACACGACGAAGGAGACCTCGACTGCAAACGGGAGTCTGGGTGACATACGTTTCCGCTAATGTATTTCTGTTTGCTGAGGATTTGTTCGTATACATCTAATTTTGCATTAAGAAGGTCTTCAGCTTGCTTCGCGGCTTCCTCGCTGGTTTGCAAGCCGTAAATACTGCGCGATTTAAGGAGAGAAATCGTCAGCAATCAGATGCGCTTTGGCCGATCTTGCTTTTTAGGGGCCCAGCCTTGTACTCACGGTTTAATGAATCTTTCGTATGCGAGTTTCGAAGCATGAGGATCGAAGTGGGATGTTTCAATTGAAGCACCTTGCCGGAAGAGAGCGTAATCCTTGATGTCCTTTGGGACCAGTGGTGTGCCTTGGTCGGCATATTTTGTAGCGATGTACTCCGAAATCGCGCGGCTTTCGTAAAGGATAAAGCCGTCATCGTCCTATTGATCTCTCTGTGTTAGAACAGTCCAAATTCTCATCGAGAGAGCCCTTCGTAATCCGCTGCGACGTACTATGTAGGGAACCTGGCCGAACGGCTGACGCGAGATGAATTCAGGAGCCTTTTGTTCCCCCTTGGCGAGGTCGACGGGATGGAATTCGAACGGCACGTTCTTCTCGTGGAGCACCATGGCCACACGCTTGGTGCATGTTGACACAGGAGAGCCGTGGAGTTTGAGAACCATTGTGATGCTGGTATGTAAGGATACGTGTTAATTGAGGCAAAAAATGTTATATTCTCGAGATAGAATCTGCTGCTTGGGCGATGTATCAAACCGGGATAGTGAGGGTGAAGAGACGTATTTATCTCATCGGGGTATCGCGACGCATGATATAACCTTGGTGGGGTGAAGAGAGCGGAACCCGCCGTTCCGCCGATTATTCATCTTTCCAAGCGATTCCCCTGAGCGCGGAGCAGTTCGTTGTTGAGCGTTGCCGGTTCGGGAGTGTCCGACGGCTAAAGTTGAGCCCGCAGAGCTTCTCGGGCGAGCAACTCGAGATGTGTGATACAATCGCCAAACAGCCATCTTTTCGGCGTGTGGTGGTTCAGTTTCGCAGAGGCTGGTTTTCTGTTATTCAGCTAATGATCACGCAAGGTGGTTCCGACTCTTGTATCACAGCATGTGTTTGAAATTGGTTTGATTAAGTTGGTCCTGGTTGTCGCTGTTCCGAAAGCCGGAAAGGATGCCGAACCCAGCGTGATTATTAATGTGGATTACCAACAGATCGCAAATCACAATCGCTCCGATGAAATGCGCTCTTTGGGCTGAAGTTCAGCTTTTCTCAGCTGAAACCTCCAGCTGTGAAAGTATCATCTCATGACAGGTTCTTGACGACAATCGACTTGCCAGCACGAAAAATGCTTCACACCTTTTGTCAACTAGCTAAGTGGCCGATGGCATTGATACTAAACACCATCCAGATGCACACCCGGAATTCTAATGGAAATAGAAAACATCAGGGTCTCTGTTGCTCAGGTGCAGAAGTTTTCCCCTGCACCATGGCAAAAACGCGGACTGCCTGACTGCACAAAATCTAAACAGTACCCACTTTGCTTTCAGAAGCATGCGCTATGGCATGGTGTAGAGCCTTCCAGCACCAGTTGTCTCTGGATTAGGATGGCCATCTTCTGATTGTCACTACTCTTCCATAACTCAAGCAACTGATGATCGCAGGCTCCCATGTAACTAGCCACTTCCCAGCCAATAGACTTATGTCGCTCGGTCAACCTTGTTCGGAGTACTCAGTACGGAGTACCTGTAGCCATAAGGGAAATGCCAAGAAGTTAGGCTACTCCAACATCTTCGATATCTCCTAAACTGTGGCATCCATTAACGGCTTGGCCATGATTAGCCGCCGGGGTGGCCAAATTCCAGCGCTATTCCGTACACATCGATAGTAAAGACTCTGTGTGTGTGATCACTAGTGTAGGCTATATCGCTCACTTGGATTCTTGGTCCTGATACGGCCAGAGCTTAGAGAATAGCTCTCTTTCTTCCTCGTCCTTCGCCAGGCCGACGAATATATCCTTGAACTTCTGACAATTGATCTTCGCCGCCTCTTAATCCTCCTGGTCCACCATCCCATCTACCGGAAGAACCCCCTGGTCTTGAAATAGTTTGAGCATAGTTCCGATCCCAGCGATTTTTTCATCCTCTTTCGCGTGAAGAGCTACTTCATCCCGTGTAAAGTCAATCGGACACTTTGTCGTCTCAGCAGGCCGTAGTCTGTCCCACAGGGCTGCAATAGCAATCAAACTCTGACACAAAAAGAAGAGATCACTATTCTCCCAGACTCCAGTCACGAGCCTCGTTGGCTTGCGTTTGAGTTGGATGTCTCTCTGCTGCCCCACTAACCTTCCAGTGGTAAGGAGCGCGTCTATAAACTATTGCTTCGTAATATTTGTGGATCGTTCCGTTCTCTAGGTCTTGATCGACCCGTGTTTGCTCTTCCATGCTCAGGGTATTGAAATTGCCCGGCCTTGATGGGACCACCCAAGCTTCTCGAACTGGGCCGCCGTGCCTGAACATCCTAGGTACGCAGGACTGGTAAAACAGTGGCGCGATACTAGTGCTCTGCCAGTCAACTATGCTGGTAACCTTACACGTTGTTGGGTCGACGAAAATGTTGTCTAGATGTAGATCGGGGTGCCAGAGGACATTTGCGGCGGCTTCAGGTTCACTAGGTACCAAATAAGGGGTAGCTTCCAGGTATTTTGAGAGAAGGGCAAGAGCCTGGTCAGGGAGCTCAGGATCTTTGAGAGATACATAGTAGTTCATTCAAGGAGACGCGTGTTCTTTGACCCACGCCATTTCATTTTTTCCCCATAGCTCTGGCGTAATTCTCAGGTCGTCGCCCTGCATGACATTGGTGAATAAGTAGATACATGTTGTTTTATAGACAAAACTTATACTTACAAGGTCCTCTATCCAATCCCATATCTTCTCGGCCACTACACCAAAAGGTCCGCGCTTGAAAGAGGCCCGATAGCGTACCGGTCTAGGCAAGCTGACTGCCCGGATGGCTCAACTAGCAGGGTGTCATTCTCTTCTCGAAAGGAATTTGGTAAATCCTCCTTGAAATAAAGACAGCCATGTTTGGAGAATTTAATAGTTGTAAGTGCGTGTTCAATATCAGCAATTTGCTCAATCACACACAGTTTGGATTCCCGAGGCCACTGGTGCCATATACTCCCTAACCTCGTACCAGGGGCTTTCTCCTCAATAATGTACTCGGCTCCAACTGGGTTCGCTGGATCACACGACCATGCGAAAGCCCGAGGGACTGGCAGGTTTACAACTTCACCGAGCTAATAACATGTGGTCAGATCGTTAGCTTGATTTAAACAGGTGACTGACAAATTCCCTTGTGGCGACTTCTGATGCTGTCACATATCGGGCAGGACCGGCATTGGGGTTTGGAAGTTTTGCAAACACTTCCTTGCCATTGTCATTGTCAAAAGGAGAGCCTTATTATGGAGCCCTTCAACGCATTTTAACACCTTTGTACCTATAGGATGGCTTAGTACGCGTCACATTCGCCGTAAACAAAAAAGAATAAATTGGTACTGACAGCTCTGTGCGCCATCATCAGCAGCATTAACAGCAATGTCAAGAAGTTTTTGAAGGTTAAAACTTATAATGGCGCGAAAGTTCCCTCTCCGCTAAAACTCAAAATCAAGAATATGAAACCAGAATCAGAAACTTACAGTCATCGGTGACAACTGTATCTGAAAATGTCCTCTTCTGTAGCCTGTTCCTCTGACAAGAAGTGAGAAATGTATACAAAGGGCGTGTGAAAGGGTATTAGTACATGACCTACCAGTTCCATCCGGCTTTTCGAGATACAATCCTGGAGTTCGAATTCGCGCATCCCTGCCCCGAGAGAAGAGAATTGAAAAGCATCTTATTCTTTGCCTGTGTAGTGGCAATGTATAACTATTCAATTGGATAATTCGTTGAGAAGATTTCCTGAACATCGCTGTGGACATGACAAGGAGAAGAGTTTGTCGGTTGGGGGGTTCGTATGCTCTCCTCTGGCTGCTCGTAAGCGCTCTCCGAACCTGGGGAAAGTTCCCATTGGTAGGCTCCACAACCAAGCCGGCCGGAATGAAAGTTAACCACTCCGTACTCCGTAGTGGGTGCCAATCTCTATTTGGTTGGACATCATCATTTTATACACTACAACTGATCGAGCATGATGTCAAAGTTTTGAACCGCCCGACAAGTTAATCACCATGACCAACCACTCTCGACGAACTTGCAAACGCTGTTCGTACCAATGTCGATAAGCTCCTCAGAGTCCTACTGTAGTGTGTGAATGGCTCATTAATGGACTTTAGTACAGTACAAAGACTTTGAGGATATCAAAAATTAGCTAGAAACAACACAAGCCGCAGAGGGGAGGGAAGATAGGAATGCAAAGAGGGGGAAAAAAAGGAAGAAGAAGGGAAAAAAGAAAACAAGATTCCACACGTTCTGCTATCTGTCAAAGCTCTTATGCAGTGGGATCCAACCTTGTACACTTCCCAAATGCAAATTTTACTTCTGTCTTTGCATCTACCTTCACTTCCTGATTCGCAATTATTTCAATGCAATGCGCAATATTCCGCATCGAAACCACCTCATCCTGCACCCATACATTTCTTTCACCTTTTCTCACACGCTCTGTTGTTTTGAGAAGCCGCTGCCAATTATATAAGCAGCTTGTGACGTGAAACTTCTCCCACGTATATGCCACCATGCTGTCCAAGCTCTGTAGCTTATCCTGTCGTATTGGCAATGTGCCGTTGGCATCTGACCACCATGGGAAAGATTCTGAGCCACCAAGCGGAGCCAAGGTGGGGTTTGCAGATTGTGAAGCACGAGCGAGGTCAGGATCGTAGCAGAGAGGTGGGATCCACGCGGCGGCTGAGACATCGAATTGGCAATTGCGGGATAGTGCCTCTAGGCGTGTGCTGCCACAGCTTATCACTGGGGAATTTGGGTCTGCGAAGCGGCGATAGTACGTCGAGCCCGACATGGAGGATAGTGAGCGCGTAGAGTTGTCAGAATTGAGGCGAGAAACCTTTGATACGATGGCGACAATGGCTCCTATGATGAGAACCGTGGCGCTGATCACACCACAGATAATGCGACCTGCATTTGGAGAACCCGATCGGTGAGTAGTGATTTGATTCCGAGGGGTTGAGCTGGGCGGCCTTTTCTGAGCTGGGCGGTCCCTTGTCTGTGTTGGAGTGGGTTCTTCGAGGACAATTCCAAGCATGGGCTCAGCATTCGCCCCTCCCGACTGTTGGCTACTCATTGTGAGCAAATTAGTCCAGAGTTTGAAAATGGAGAAAGAAGAAAGAAGAAAGGAACAGGAAACACGAGGACCAAAGAGTTCTCAGCGTTCGAGGATCTAAAGTCGAGCATTTGGCTGCTTCTTGGTATAAGCACGACTTGCTGGTAGAGCCTTGTAACCCACAGCCTCAAAGCACAACACCCCCTGCTTCCCAGAATACTAGGGAGAGACGGCATGGGTGGTGGGGAAGCCCTTATCACTGCTTGTGTGACGGAGGCTGCGCAATCTCATCAAAGACCGACTTGTATGCAAGCGGCACCGGTATCTTGATGGACCTAGATTGTATTGGAGTTCTGAATAATTGCAGAAACAGGAGAGCTGCATCTAAATCTATTTCAGGACAAAATCCCGTGTTGTACAAAGTACTCCGTACAGCGCAGCGTTTTAGATGAAGGCTGTGCAGTCCACACCGTATACTGATCTGCTTCGGCGCAACGTTCCTGGACACAGGAGAGGCTCCTGTCCAGTGTCTCACAAGGGTTAAGTAGTTAGTTAACTAAGTCGGTCGGGGGCTAGACCAGATCTTGGCGGGCGGCCCCGGCGGGTACCTCACCCTGTCGAAAACAAACTCTCGAATTATCCCTACTCCGTACGGAGTACAACCACGGGGATATAACTTTGTTCTTCCAATGAGTTTTTAGCTAGTTACTCAGCAAGCCTCAAGGTATCAATTGATACCAAGAACTTATGGCGAGCGGCTCATCCACCCCACAGGTGACCATTCAGCCCTTTTCAAGCCTACAGCCAGGCAACTCAAATTGTCAATGTTTTGGAGGAATATTGTGAGAATCTGCTGGGAAAGGGTAGAGTGCCAAACTGAACCATGGTAAAGGCACCCATGGAGAGCATGAAGACTTGCTTGGTAAACTTTGGCAGGATTGGTACCTTGGTTTCTTCGTGTTTCCCTATAAATCATGTGTCTTTCCCATCGACTGGATTTAATCCCCAGCCAGTGATGTTCAGCCAATCCTTCGAATGCCACGCCTGTCCCAGATTCCTTAACATTATGAAATCATCATCTGTGGTACATGGTCACAAAAAAGCACACCGTGCTCTGAGGGACGAGCTCAAACACGGTCATTTCCAATCATCTCCTTTGTACTGAGTATATAGAATAATGACCGGGAGCTGGGACAGCAAGAATGACAAGATCAAATCAATCAAACCCCGGCCGGCGACTTGCCAGACGGTCGTTTACTGGATTATTTACATTCTGAAATCTGCTTCCAGATTTCCACGTGGAAACCTATAGAAAGATTATGGTTCGGCTTTTAAACTATTTGAGGCAAGGGTCAAAGCCAGTTTCGCACTAAAGAATTGTTTCGGAGTTTGTTTGAACCACTCCGTAACTATCTTCCTAAATACATTCATCGAAGGGGACAAGCCAGAACCAGTGTGCTCTGCTCCCTGAACCCCACTAAGTTCATTTGAAATTGGAACCAAGACCTGGAATCAACTCTGGTCAGCTATTCATCACCGTGCGGGATGTAACTATGGGGTGCCGCAGTTGGCATGTCATTATCCTTGGCTAGCCATTGTGTTAAATGTTCTTATTTTCTGATTCCCTTGTTTTGTGGAGTGAAGAGCAAGCTCGAGGACATCTTCACACCTAATTTGAAGACTCCAACAGCTCCAAGCTCATGGCAGTCTCGTAAGGCTGAATACCAATGTAACTACTCCGTAGTTATAGTGATCTTAACTAAGTAGGTACTCTAACTATACAAACCTCAAAGCATGCTGCTCTGGTGGGAGACTGGTTAGTGGTAGTTAACGAACTCCTCCCCCCAGTTGAGCTTGATTGCTGCGAAGCCAGGGGAAGATGATTCTCGTCGATGGAAAAGCCAACTCAATTTGGCTGGCGGGCCAATGATAGAAGCAGCTTTTGTGGGGTTGAGCTTAGCTTGTGGTTTCCGCTCGTTTCTGTTCCTTTCTGTGATCGCGAGAATTTGACTTTCCAGTCAAAGTGGTCATTTGCCCGGCGTCGTACATAAGATCCCTCCCGTCCCCCACCACCTCCGGCTAAGTATCGTGAGCAATAAAGTCGAACGTCTTCCCGGCACGAGAGGTTCCGCCTGATCTCGACCGTTGCGCTCGAAAAAGGCCACAACCGCTATCACACGAGTATTGTTTCCCGGTACGCTGATCGCGAACGAGATTTCTCTTCTTTTCTTTTCTTTTCTTTTCTTTCCTACCCGCCTGTCGAGATGTCGGAGAAAGAAGTCGATGGCATTGAGCCGGTGCGGGTGGATTCGGTTGGGTCGGCGGATAGGGAGTACTATGGAGTTCCTACCATGTCGACGGAAAAGCTCTTTGAAAACGCGAAGTCAGCAACTGATAAGGAACACAAGATGACCTTACTCCAAGGTATCAAGCTCTATCCGAAGGCCGTTGGGTGGAGCATCCTCATTTCAACGTGCATCGTCATGGAGGGCTACGACATCAGCCTGGTCGGCAACTTTTATGCTTTTCCCCAGTTCAACCGGAAGTACGGAGTGCAATTGCCAGATGGGACCTACCAGGTTCCAGCACCGGTATGTTATGCTTTGCCTATTGCCCTCGTTTTATGGTCCTCGCCGTTTTGTCTTTACTTGATAATCTAGAGAACACAGATGGCCAACATTTCGTTTCATTTCAGTGGCAAGCCGGTCTCAGCAACGGTGCGGCTGTCGGCGAGATCTTCGGGCTGTTCCTTAATGGCTGGGCGTCGGAACGCTTTGGTTACCGCAAAACCATCATCTCGTGTCTTGTTTTCCTAACCGCCTTTATATCGCTCTTTTTTACTGCGCAGAACGTACAGACCCTACTTGCGGCTGAGATCTTGTGCGGGATTCCATGGGGCGTCTTCCAAACCCTTACTATTACATATGCATCCGAAGTCTGTCCTGTCGCATTACGGGGATATCTCACAACGTACGTCAATTTCTGCTGGGGCCTTGGGCAGCTCATTGGTATCGGAGTGATCAAATCTATGCTTAACCGAAACGACGAGTGGGCATATCGGATTCCGTATGGTCTTCAATGGATGTGGCCGCTTCCCCTTTGCATTGGAATAGCGCTGGCTCCTGAATCACCCTGGTGGCTTGTCCGGAAGGGCCGAGTTAAGGATGCAAAGCGGTCCCTCCTACGCCTAACTAGCTTGAACCGGGAAACTGACTTCAACGCGGACGAAACGATTGCCATGATGGTGCACACAACGGCATTGGAAGAGAAAATAACGGCGGGAGCCAGCTACTGGGACTGTTTCAAGGGTATCGATTTGCGCCGCACTGAGATTGTCTGCATGGTGTGGGCTATCCAGAACCTGAGCGGCAATTCATTCTCAAACTACTCCACGTACTTCCTTCAGCAGGCTGGCTTGGAGACCAGACACGCATATTCTTTTGCTATGGGCCAGTATGCCATCAACATGGTCGGAGTCTTCGGGGCCTGGTTTTTAATGACTCTTGGCGTGGGCCGTAGATCGCTTTATCTTTATGGTCTCTGCGGTCTCTGTAGCATGCTCCTTATCATGGGTTTCCTTGGACTTGTCCCGGAGGCGCACCGAGACCAAGGATCCCTAGCTACCGGCAGCATGATGATAATTTGGGCCTTGTTCTACCAACTCTCCGTTGGAACCGTTTGCTACTCACTCGTTTCGGAACTTTCCACGAGACGACTGCAGATCAAGACCGTCGTGCTGGGTCGAAACGTGTACAATATCGTGGCCATCATCTGCAACGTGCTGACTCCGTACATGCTTAACCCTAGCGCCTGGGGCTGGGGTAACTATGCTGGCTTCTTCTGGGGCGGTAGCTGCTTCCTCTGCATCATCTATACTTACTTCCGGATTCCGGAACCCCAAGGTAGGTCGTTCGCTGAGTTGGATCTCCTGTTTGAGCGCGGGGTAAGCGCGAGGAAATTTGCATCCACACACGTCAATGTCTTTGAGGAAGAGGTTGACGCCGACGTTATTGAGAACTATAAGAAAAAAGAACAGAACCGTGAGGCGCAAGCGGCATGATCATTCATGTTTCCCGCCCGCAATCTATCCCATCAGGGGACGGATGCTACCAGCAGTCTGGAGCTTTGCGAATAGCAATCTATCAGTGATAGTCTTTTATGTCTGTACATGACTTGCTCTAATATGCTCAGGTTGTTGTGATGTATATAAAGTCTTCAACGACGATATCTTTGAAATCATTAGCCTCCCATCTCAGATGAAAATGTTGATGCTGAGCTATCAGCTACCCATTTCAGTGCAAGATTCCTGGTTCACAAGCCAAACTTAAAATTTAGCGAGCATTGATGTGCACTACACACTACCTCTCTCCCCTCCCCGTCTTAGCCCATTTCAGGCAGGACATATGATTGTTATGACGGATTTCACCAAGATGCAAGAAGTTGGTCTGGGATCTCAGAACTGGTACTAGCCCACCTATCGGATTGTTCCGGAGATCTGATCAGGGATGAAACGTCAAGTGACGATCCTCCTTTCATGGACAGCCGAGTCCTAGGCTTGGTATGACGGTGCGGGGAAGAACGGCAGATCTGTTACTCCGTATCGTCAGCCCTACTCTGACGTTAGGACTGACAAGGGTAGATGACGTAGGCTAGGAGACACACCCTCGCTCCCCGAATTGATTAGGAGAGGATGCCCGTTTTGTAGGCGGAATCGTCCCCGTCGAAGCAGGTATGTAGCGTGGTCCGTACCAGAAGCACAACAGCGTCTGTGGCGTTAGGCTCGGAGCTTGTCTCACAGCCACACGTCGGTGCGCCGGGTAGATCGCGCTAGTCCAATTCGGTCGAAGAACCGATGGCTTGGCTCTCAGCCACACCAGTGACGATCGCCGGACAGCGTCAGCCACATAAAGAGCGCCGGGGAGGGAAACACTCTTTTGAAACAATCGTTTTCGCCACGGATCGATGCTGTTCTTGCTATCACTGTAGTTTGTGAAGAGTAATATTGATTCTCTATGCGCTAATTCCGTGTCGTCCGTCAGGTATGCTTTCCTGAATGTTTCAACCGAAGAAACCCCCTACTAATTCGATCACATCCAAGCGGTTCAGCGATCGAGTTTCCCCGCGGTGCAGAACGCTCCTAATTACCCCTGGTCTATTTACGTCAATCGCGAACCGTTAAACCACACTCTCCCGGTGGTTGCAGATATATAGAGTACGCTTGGAGTTCCTGCGATGAGTTTGAAGGGAATACAGAAGAGCTTTGCACGAGCTCCTCAGACCTTCAAGGCCAGGTTCAACCTCGGCGAGAATACAAAGGACCCTGTATATATAGACGCCGAGCGGAGGTTTCAAGAACTCGAGAAGGAGACAAAGAAACTGCACGATGAGTCGAAAAAGTATTTCGACGCAATTACTGGTATTCCGAACCTTCCGCCTGTTTTTTTCTTTTTCAACCCCCACCCCCGCTTAGGCGCTCAAATTGCTGTAGCCTGGCTGATTGTTCTTGTTTACTAATGTGAAAGCTGGGACTTTATAGGCATGTTAAACCACCAGATCGAGTTCTCCAAAGCTATTGCCGAACTGTATAAGCCTATTTCCGGGCGAGCTTCCGATCCGACTACGCTAGTACCCGAGGGGAACCCGGAGGGCATCCAAGCTTGTGAGGAATACGAGTCCATCGTGAGGGAGCTATTGACAACGTTGCAACCCGAGCTCGAGTTGATCGAATCTCGAATCATCAGTCCCGCCGACCAGCTGCTGGAGATCATCAAGGTCATTCGGAAGGTTGCCGTGAAGCGACAGCATAAACAGCTGGATTATGACCGTCATCGCGCCTCATTAAAAAAGCTCCAGGACAAGAAGGATAAATCGTTAAAAGATGAAAAGGCGCTCTATAGGGCAGAGAATGATGTCGAGCAGGCGACGCAAGAATTCAATTATTACAACGACCTCTTGAAAGACGAGCTACCGAAGCTATTTGCGTTGGAGGCGGAGTTTATCAAGCCCCTTTTCCAGTCATTTTATTATATGCAGCTCAATGTCTTTTACACACTTCATGAGAAGATGCAAGGGTTGAACATTGGTTACTTCGACCTCACGTCGGATGTGGAGGAGGCATACGAGAGGAAACGGGGGGACGTCAAAGAGCGTACTGAGCAGTTATCAATAGTCCATTTCAAAACCACAGGCGGCCGACGGCCGGGCTCAAAATTCACACCCGGCGGCGGAAAGGATAAGCTAGCTGCGGAGTCAAAAACATACCCTTCCCGACGAACCGCGAGCGGATCAGAAAATCCTCCTCCTCCATACTCTGCGCATACTACATCCCCCCTAATCGGAAGCTCCGCATCGGGTACCTTTGGGAACGGCACCCTTGCTGCTGCCGCGAAAGCGAAGCCTGCTCCACCACCACCAAGGCCCAAGCCAGCTAAATTCGCGGCCGCGCAAGTCGAGACTGTGACGGCGCTGTATGACTATGAAGCACAGGCAGTGGGAGACTTGAGTTTCATCACAGGAGATGTCATTGAAATTGTGTCCAGGACGAATAACGAGAATGAGTGGTGGACGGGAAGAATAAACGGAAAGGTTGGACAATTTCCTGGTATGTCTTAACATCGTTTACCCGCCCCGTTGAGTGCATTTGTGTGACAGGTAAAGGCTAACTATTGCGTTAGGAAATTATGTTAGACTCAACAATTGAGGATGTTAAACTTATCCGTTGACAATTATCACATATCTTGGGGATCCGACTACATTTACATGCGACTACATAGCTTCTATTTTATCAAGGCCATATCAATATGGATAGGTATACATGTTTTGGCGCTATATCCAAAGGACGCTGTTTTACATTCTCTTGAACCACTGATCTTTCCTTCCGTACTGTAGGGTAACTACTACGTATTGAAATAGTTGGCAGCGGTAACCGCTCACAAAGGAGAAAATCTGACGCTGAGTAGAAAGAAACATGCGAGGCTTCTCCCATGATGTCTACTTGGGGAATGGAGGGCCTCATAGAATTCCCTGCCCGTAGCGCTGAAAATGAGAGGGTAGGAGTTGATGCGATTTGAACCCTTCTTTTTTTTTTTTTTTTTTTTTTTTTTTTTGGATTCCGGGAATTATTTGACTTCGCGTATGATCTTGGTCGTCGAATTGACCCCTGGCGCTATAATGTGAACCCTTGACTCGAATGTATCGGAATGTCTTCGAAACAACCCTCCCGAGCGGCATCTTGCAACTTCAATTTTCCTCGTCTTCCAGGCCCAGCGCCAACTACCAGTGGACTCGATAGATATTCGATGTGCATGGCAGTTAACTAACTACCATTTGTTGCGCTCAAATGTGTCCCGCGCGAAATCTTGACCGCTTTTGTCACCCCCACTTTGACACCGAGTCGACGAGTTGACTACTCCGGATCCCACTGAGAAACTCAACTTTACGCTCATGTCGTCTCTATCTCCATTTCCGTCTTATCCCATTCTCCTTCCTTCTGGGGTTTGATGCCGCAAGTGAAGCCTAAGTAACTAACCGTCAAGGACCGTTTGGCTGACCGGGGTGTTGGGGGGAGGATGCGTCGCAAATCGCCAGTTGTCAGCGGCTGGGGATTTTCCCTCGCTTGCCCTGCAGCTGCATCCTTGGGCCCTGTCGGCTGTCCTGTTTTCCAGAAACCCCATGCCGCACCAATGAATATCCACGCTGAACTGTTGACCTGCTCCATTGAGTATGGCGTGCACTTTCAGCCCCAGGAGACGGGAGTTGGGTTGGCCGCCAATCCTTTCTCCCGACAGTGGAACCCATGCAGAACTTCCCAGAGGACTCCCCGCGGAGGCGATGTAACACGGACAGGTTCATGCAATGGTAAATTAACCAAGGTCCAGAGTACCGAGTGCTCGATATATATATGAATGTGCTCTCTCATAGAGCCCATTTCTTCCGGACGTACGTTTTTCAATTGCTCTGCTTCTGCGGCACTATGAAGTCCGCTCTACTCCTGGCGTTGACCGTGGCGGCCAACGCGGCAGCCAGCCCGCGCGTGACGGATCCTGAGACCCAGGTCACTTACGAAGGGATATCGAGGAATGGTCTCGATGTCTTTCTGAACATCCCATATGGCCAGGACACGAGCGGCGAGCACAGGTTCAAGCCCCCTCGGCCATATGTGCCCGAGGAAGGATCGACGATCATGGCCAGATCATTCGGGCCCGCCTGTCCCCAGGAGACCGGCAATCCAAACTTTCCCTTGACGTTGTCAAATATCTTCGATATCTCTGAAGACTGCCTTAATTTGAATATTGTTCGACCCCCGGGCTTGTCGTCCGACTCCAAGTTACCCGTTATGATTTACATCCACGGAGGCAAGCAGTTTTATGCCGAGTTGGTTGGGTGGGAATGTTGACTAACTTGCCTATCAGGTAGTTTCTGGACTGGCTCAAATGCCGACCTCTCCTACGAACCGGATGGAATGATTCTGGAGTCTATGAAAAATGAGATGCCCATCATTCATGTCTCGATCAATTACCGCTTGGGATGTACGTTTATCAGAACAGCATGACTTCAGCAAAAACGGTGTGATGCTAATATATATACAACAGTGTTCGGGTTCGCCATCTCAGATGCTCTTAGAGAGGAAAAGTCGACCAACGCCGGTCTAAGGGACCAGCGACTGGCTTTCGAGTGGGTTCGCGACAACATCGAGGTTTTTGGAGGGGATCCATCGAAAGTTACAATATTCGGCCAATCTTCCGGAGGTACAAACCTGGCGATGTTTCATTTTCTTCCTTTTTCTGGCGGTTGCTGACATCGACTTAGGCCTTGCGGTTGGCCTCCACACCATGGCATATGGTGGCACAAAGCCGGTACCGTTCCAACAGGGCATTTGTCAGAGCCAGGCTCTCGAACCCGGAATTACCGGTGACTTCACTATCAATGAAATGAAGCTGGTCGCCGGCGCCACTGGCTGCAATACCACCGATCTGCACTCCCCAGAAACCATTGCTTGTCTGCGTGACTTTGACACGGAGCCCCTATTGAATAAGTCTATCGAGGTCCACGTGGCCGACATCTCCAACAATATTGGAGACTCCTGGCTGCCGACGGTAGACGGTGATTTTCTACCAGATGCACCGTCAACTCTCGTTTCCGAAGGTCGCTTCGCGAAAGTGAGGACAATGATTGGATGGACCGAGGAAGATGTCACGTATTACACACCCCAGGAAATTTATACGGAAGAGGATACATTCAACTTTGTCTCCAGCTATCTCCCTGCGATGACGGATGACTCGGTCAAGTCATTACTTGAGCTTTATCCGAGCTCCGATTTCTCTGACGATCCAACGGCTAACCGCACTGCGCAGTTCTACCGTTCGGCCAGAATGTTCAGAGATATCATCATGACATGCATGCCAATCTGGTATGGAGAGAATTTGGCGCGGAAAGATATCGACGTTTACTTGTATGACTTCAACCAGACTCTTGTCGCCCCAATCCTGGCTGCGATAGGCAGCCCCGGCCTCGGTGCGATCCACACATCTGAGTTCGCATACGTATTTGGCAACATTTCTCACTATGACATTCCCGGATACCCTTTCGACCCGGTCGACTCTGACCGCCGTCTTGCGATCGAAGCTTCACGGTCTTGGTCATCCTTCGCCAGTGTCGGCCGTCCGTCCGTTCGGGGAAAGGAGACTTTGAAAGGATGGGAAAAAGCATTCGCGAGAGGTAACAACACGAGTATTTATGTGGCTGGAGGCCCGTCGGCAGGTTTATCGCCGTGGGATGGCCGTCGGGCAAAGCCAGCTATCCGCGCACAGAAACTTCGCGAGCGGTGCATGTTCTTGAACTCCCCGGAAATCAGAGAGCAGATGCAGTTTTAAGAAAGCATCTTTTTCAGTACACTGTCGTGTCACTTGCTCAAGCCGCCAGGCGAATGACTCGGGTTAGCGTACCTATAGATGTGACAGGTCAAATGATTCTCACGATGTGATAAGGGCGGTGCATGTGTGTACGTATGTATGTATATAGTTAAATTTGAGACCGGTTTTTGCACAAGAGAGGAGAACGTCTGCATTTTTGACTGGACGCGCCCCTGGTGGGCACGAAACTAGTTCGGTTAATTTGTACGAGGGCTTCAGCAATCGGAGAGTTTGAATGCCTAGAATGCAGGGCATCTTCCGCTGAAATGCTGATTCGCAGCAGGAGACCCATGTCACTCCGGAGAGGGGCGGGGGGCAGCAAGTACATACAGCCCAGAAAGCAGCATTGTCCGAACAGATTACAATGTATGACATTGAGATACAGCCGGCTTACCATGTAAAGCGCATTGTCACTTTGTTTCGCCCCATGTTTCCCTTTTTGATTTTGTAATGTTTCTCTTGCCATTAAAGCTTTTGGGATCCAAGGAGCGGAGCATTGTGCTCTTCCGAAAGGGATGTAAAACTCGAGCCCTATATCTACGCCCCTTGATCCCGTTTTCTGTTGCTACAGATTGCGACCACTGCCAGGTCGTCTTGCTTTGGCCCATATTTTTAGATGATTGGGAGGTGGTGAATCTGCTGGAATGCCGGTGGTCAGCTGGCCTATACTACAGTAGACTTGTTTCTCTGGTAAAATGTTGCCTGTGGTTGTGGTGGGGGTGATAAAAGAGAATAGTCTCACCTCTGCTCAGTGTGCCATTTCACTCTTCCTCATTTGCCAATGCATTGGCGCTGCAGCCCTCCAAGGTATCTGCATTTCTTCAGCAATTCTTGACCACATTTCTTTTTGAATCTGAATCTGCACATTAGCAACTACTATTAGGATGCTGATGATATACTGTATATCAAGGAGATCTCTCTGGTCGGACACTGATGCTGGCTGTAGGCCTGCTGTCCAGCAGCTGCTCTCAAACTGCTGCCAAAGACCTACAACGCCACAGGCTGGTTGTGAGAGGCCAACCACAGCATAACATCCCCCAAGAGCGGTGTTTTTGTAGCAGTTGATAGTCCTGGTTGAAAATTAAACAGCAAACGGCCCCAGATGGCAGGAAACAATTCACCAGACTACAAAGCTCTTTTCTTCAGAGAAATCGAGCGCACACATCTTACAACCTTTGACAAATATCTTCAAACCTGTCATGATTCATCGTCTCGGTCATTAAGGGTTGCACAGGCACCCCGCTCTACAAAGGCTTCGTCGACAATGCCCACGGGAAAACTTTGCCCTACACGGCTTCGTCTTTGGACGGGCTGCCCAGCAAGGCAGCAAGACGTGTACGATACCGTTCGCAATTACTTCCGCGCATCTGAGGCAGATGCACCGCGGATATTTTCACCTATTATCGTATTGGAGGGCCTTGGGGTGTTTGTTTCATCGCCGGCTACTAGCCAGCGAAAAGGGCCTCGAAAGTTACGAGCGATTCGGCGTGCAAGACCATGTGCATGATGTGATTGCGGAGCTGTGTAAAATCCCAAATGCTCGAAGCGAATTCTCGCTGGGAGATGGGATCCAGTTCGAAAATCACGCAAATACCTTGGATAAGCTTGATTCAGATATATCGGGTGCAAAAGCCAGCCTACTCCCGATCAGTTCTGCGTCCATCGCCTGGATAATAGCACTAACACTCTGATCACCACAGGGGAGCTTAAGCCTCCCCACAAGCTCCCAGTGGAATATATTCGGGTAGGGCTCCGCCCAATGGAATTCTGGGAGGAGGTCGTTCAACGGGAAGCAGTTCCAACTGACCCCGCTGAGAAATTAAAATATAATGCTGAACAGTTAACTGGAGCAGTTTTGGCCCAAGAATATCATGTGATGATCCATGAAGGCCTCGACTATTCCTATATAATAAATGGTTTCGCCCTTATCCTTCTTCATGTGCGCCATGATGATCCCGCGACGTTTACTTCTATCTCTGCGAACCCAATATGGAAGTCGATACTGGAGATGAGCAGGCTTTGCAGGAGCCGAAGACAGCTATCGCTCGGGTCTTGTGCCTACGTCTAATGAGTTCTCCTTTGCGTCCTCGGGATATTCAGTAGCGCAACGATGCAATTCAGCAGCTGCACGTGTGGGAAATAGATTTCGACTATGCCCGAGCTCAAATCCCGGAGGAGGAGCTTTAGGAAACCCCCCCCAGGCTCAGAATATTTTCCATCTTCCCCTTTGACGGCGAGCTCGTACGCGGTCCTAGGCAGGCTGTGCACCTGAGGCAACCGCATACGACTCAGAACCCACTGATTCATCGGACACCGACTTGAACCAAGCACCACCCAGACGCAAGCGGAACCTCAGCCAGATCACACTCATCCCCTCCCACTCAGCAACCGCCACGGTCAAGACACACCCACCGTAAGCAACAGAACCACCATGCAGAACAATTTTGCACACAAAAGTGTCTACTCGGCCTTAAACATAGCCGCATGCTAGATGGCCAATGCCCTAATGTGGAGCTTCACCGACGAGGCCGAGAGGGCAAGCATCATCTTATTACCGCAGATTGCCTGGTACAGCTGCTCAAGGAACAGCTGGATGAAAATCTTGATCACAAGTGCACATCATTTGGAGACTGTGGTGCATTTGGAGCACCGTTCAAAATCACCTGCGCTACATATGGCTATACAGTGGTTGGAAGGGGGACGACGTCCCTCCGCTGGAATGAGGTCTCTCGCGAAGCAGATGTATACCGCATCCTCAAAAAGGGCTCAGGGGTCTGCAGTCCCTGTGTTTCTTGGAGCGGTCGATCTGAGAATGGTCTACTTTCTACATGGGGGCGGACAGATACGCCACATGCTGCTCATGGCCTGGGGTGGTAAGGATACAACTAAGCTCGAGCACTCCGAGGCGTTGACTCGCGAGATCAGGAGGTCTAACAGAGAAATTCGAGCTTTGGGAGTTATACATAAGGACTTTCGTCATGGAAACGTTTTGTGGAATGATGAGCTACAACGGGCCCTAATCATTGACTTTCACCGCTCGGAGTTGGAGCGTCGACCGATAGAGAAGCGAGTGAAACTACGAAAGAGGTCACCGTACAAAGTCGATCTCCTGGCCCTTTGGATTGAAGAAGTTTCGAACTTTTAAACTGATACCAGCATATTTTTGTAGAATGAGCCTATACCCATGGAATCTCCTAACATCGTTTTCCGCCATCTATTATGTCATCTTTAATTTTATACCCCGAAATACCCAACAGGTGCCATCTATGCAATCCATGCATTCTCCTTTTGTATCAAATATACCAAAAAGAAGCAACGATCTAAACTTCTACCTTTTGCAACTCGGCGGGTAATGTTTGCACCTTCTCTCTGTATAGCTTCTCCGCCCGTTGCCAGACGGGGTGGGAGGTCCGGTTCTTGATCTCGAGCATGGACGGTAGGAGATCTGTGGAGAAGGCCTCGGATGACTCGGCTGGGAGAAGGCTTGGAAGGTGGTCGATTGCTGTTGAAAATCCGGATTTAGCCTCTTGCGTCTCCATTTTGGAGGAGAAAAGTAATGCAAATAGCATAAGCTTGAGCAGAAGCCACACTTACATATCACGCTGAGAGGAGGATTGGTGTAATTAAGCTGCAGGGTAGGTTTATCGAAAGTCTGTTGGGCAAGTCGATCAGCTGGAGTTTAGGAATAAATGAAAGTAGATGTACATACGGTGTTTACGTTGTAAATGGGCTAGAAAGCAAACAGTTAGCTCAAGGCCTGTATGAGTTACACAGATAATCAGGACTTACAATAGGATTGTTGGGATTAGTGGTATCACAGCTCTATAAATCCCGCTGGGTTAGCGCCCTTGCGCCCAAAATTGGCGGGAGGAGTACATACCACGTCACACACAACAGAGAGCTTACGATTCGGGCTCTTGAGACTCTCCTCATCGACAAATGAAGGGATCTTGCTAGTGAGATAAATGCAGTTGATGAAGCTGTCCGCCGTCAGCAATCCAGCACGTCTATTCTCCCACTGATAGCACATACATGTCGGATTCGACAATTTCGGTGAAAGGACCGCCCTTCGCCGTTTCTGCCATATCCCATCGGAGGATATCCTCGCAACCTGCCTTGACACATGCATCGACGGCTCCTCTATTGGACGTGTTAGTGCTATGCTTTTACTTCAAGCGATGTCCAAATGGGTCGGTTCACCTTCCGCAACGACCCAATGCACCGATAATCAGGACTCGTGGCTTGCGACCCGCAATCTTAGCTCCCCTTTCAATATCGGCACGGATCTGATTGACCATCTCATCCTCATTGACATAGTAACCTTTCCCGCCGGTGAATTCGTCGACACCTGGAAGTGGGGTGCCATCCGGGTGCTCGAGCTGCCAGGCCCAGGTCTTCAATGAAAGCGCAGCACCGGCAAAGCCAGCATGATAACCAAAAGCAGCTACTCTTCGACCCGAGTCATCCTGTAATATGGAGCGTTAGCCCTGCGGCCTTGCCAGAAAGCCCTCGTAGGCCGCGGCACCAGGAGCTCAAACCTGCAGAAATTCCAAATCATATAAAACACCCCCACCACGACTCCACCTTCCCAAAGCCTTCTCCCAACCTCCTTGGTTCTTGAAGCAATGGGCGAATGTGACGTGGTCGTGCACCAATGGGAAATCTTTGGTCTCATCAAGCTCCTTCAAACCCACGATGATTGAATCCTTGGGTGCATTAACCCAGCTTCCTTCGGCAACCAATTCGGCGCCAGCCTTCTCAAATTCCTCGTCCGGAAAAATTCGCTTGCGGAGAGCGGAGGTAGGTGACCGCTCGACCTTGATGTTGTAGCCGGCGTCGATAAGAGCACGAGTAGTTGACGGAGTGAGTGCAGATCTAGCTCGAGATTTGTTAGACTTGGGTGGTTTGGAATTGGAGGAGCATTAGGTGGGCCTCAATCGAGAAACCCAACGCAGTGATTCCCATCGTATGCTCGCCGAAAGACACGAGAAGTAAGATCATACCTGTGCTCGAGGATCTTGTCCTCCGCACGGAGGTGGAGAGTTGTCCCAGCCATTTCTGAATGCAATTGGTAAGCAATTGAGCAAAATAACTTCGTTCTGTGTCACTGAGCTGAAGCAGAGTGTCCAGAGAATATGTCTCGAGCAGTCCCCGTCAGAATCTCCTCTTGAAGAGGGGGAATCGCTGCGATGACTCAAACCCTTTATCGGCACTCCGTCCCTCACGTGATCTTCCCTTATCAAGGTTTCGCGCGAGAAATGAAGAGAGGGGGCTTTTTTTCCCTCTAACTACGGAGTATAACTAACACGTATCGCTCATCTGTATCCAGCCATGAATTGTCATAACTACTGATGCTCAAACAAGTGACTCTGAAACAGTTTGATTTGGAGTGATTTAGCATATCAGTGTCCCATCAAAAACAACAAGCATCAGCTATTGTGGAACGCATCAAGCACAAGCTCCTATCAGGCCCAAGTGAATTCAGTAACTTGATGGGTGCGCTTTTTTAACATGTATTGGTCAGAGGAGCCAGATCCTACCTCTTCGACTGGCTGCAGAACCCATTAGACCTCAAACTTGTTTGAAAGGAAACCACAGGGGAAAAGGCTGAGTTCCCAACTCCGCCGGCTTTTGAAAGAGCCATACAGAAATGTGCGAGGATCAAACTCCCCTGGTTCTTCTTACTTCCTCCGCCCGCCAGCTGACTATAGCTGGACTGGTTGGTTGGCAATGACTATTGATGGCTTGAAAAAAGAAGCTACAATCACCCCTGGAGAACAGTAGGAGAACTAGCGCCTTTTCCTCTTATTATCCCTACTTCCTGACTCCTTGTATTTCATGGCTGTTTGTGTCTTACCCTCTCTCTCCTTTTCACAGATGTGGTGTGGTCCATTGCTTTTCATGCTCGGTCAAGGCCTGGTAGCTGACAACCACCGCCGCACTCTTGCATACTGTCTCTTTCAACACCGACGGGATCACTGGGCCATCATGATCCGGGATCACTCACTGTTGGACCAGCACATGGATGGCAAGAATTACCTTCTTCGGAAATATTGGGAATGCCTTCCATCTTATACTGCCAGATGAATGAAGTACGCTGGGATCCCTCAAAATCTGAGTATACAGAGCCAGAGACACCCGGGCATTAAATTTCCCCCTCATTTTACACAGTATGCAACTGCTGACATTCCTCTTGGCTACGGTCGTGATCTTCATTCTCGGGCAAGTACGCGTGGTCCAGGCGTCCTGTGATCCGTCAAACCCATACACCGCACTTACATTCACATTGAAGGCCTTATATGAACTCAGCATGTCTTGCTACGACAAGACCACAGCCCAGAAAGTTTTGAAATGAATTCTTTGCCCGCCAGACCCGGCTCAGCGTCTTCCGTTGAGGAAAGGGAGAATAAACTTTTGATGTACAGCTCCTACGCCGGGGACAGAGTATTTGACTGGGCTGGGTTTGTTCCAGATAGAGGACGACGGAAGAAAGCAGACCTGAACCTAGGATTCTGAACTGCGGAATGTAATTCGGAGTGAGTGGAAGGATCTACCCGGTTACAAAGACTCAACCAGGACGACATATTTGCCTTCGGCACCCTCCTGTACAGCCTAGTTAACTCCGAAGAACCTTGTAAAGGTTCGACTGACGATGACGTTGTCAAGCTTTACGCCACAGGCGCATTTCCCAATACCTCATGATGGCCCGTGGGTAGCCTTATCTACAAATGCTGGTGCGGGGAATATTCCACTGCGTAGAAGCTGTTCATTTTTTTGTCCCTTTAACCTTGAGCTCCCTAATGGACCATATTATGGAAGTGGACTTTTCTACATTTTCTACCACTTTCAAGGCAAAATTAAAGGCAATTTGAGCGATCTCGGACCAGTGCGCCGGGAAGTTTGAAAGCTGTTATTGCATAGAGAGCATGATGTCACGCACGGGTTCTCATTGAAGGCGACAATGTTCCCGGGCCTTTAAACCAGGCAGTCAAGGTGCAACAGGCTTTGAGCTTGCAGGCTTATTTACACACCTATAATGCGACTTTAGCTGTGATTTTTTCAATCTCTTGATAGACTTATCCTTCAAAGGCAAGCGATAATGAGATATGGAACGCCATCTTTAATCTCATCGCTAATTTGCTGTGGGCGTCAACTCGACAAGATACCTCAAGAGACGTTGAGTTGCATCCAGCCATCGTTGGTGCTGCTCATGTTTGACCCCTTCTTGCGCCCGGATTACAAGGTCGCAGTTCACCAAGTGTATGGAAGACCTGGGGAGGAACTAAAGCCGTGCTGAGAAATTTTACTGGACGATCTGTGGACAGTGTGGTTCCACGAACAGCAATATTCGGATGGCAGAATCCTGGGGGGTGGTCTTTATGGGATGATGAATAAAATGTGATGTGCCTCCTTTGCAGGAGTCCGAAGCTGGATGATAGATGTTTGCACTGATCGGATCGCCGAAAATGGTGAGATTCCAGGTCAGATTAACGCTCTGCGAGTTATCTTCCCTAGACTGAGTTGAAAGCCGATCTTCTGATGTGTCAGATTACATACATTGAGAATGTGAATGTGCTGAAGGATCGTTGGGACAAACTTGTGAAAATGTTCCTTTTTAAACAGTTCTTTTGACTGATTTATTCATTTGAGATTTCCTCAAACAAAGCCATTTATGATCGCATTTGTCTTTCAGTTCCATAATTTGCAGCTGCGTTCAGGCAGAGGCCTGTCATGGAATCTGATCAAGAACTAGTTTGCCAGAAACCATATGCTCTGTTGGCCTGTTGCAGCTCCTTTCAAGAACTTGCTTCTATGAACTTGTTCAACATGGAAAGCTGGAGCCTAAAACCTATGGAACTTGGCACAAGAGTAACCAGAAGGTTTACAGTAACTATGGAGAACACGAAGGGAGAGGTGTTTAGTTCGCCAATGAGGATTACAGCTCTCCCCCCACCTCGCCCTTCCTCGCTCAGCTTCACTCCGCTTCACGCCCCTTCGCCCGAGCCTCAGGCCAAGCAAGCCAGATTAAAGCTGATCCTCATCCCAAACCTGGCCCTCGAGCTAAAAGGGTATTTTTGTCGAAACCATATGATATCTCTTTCTATGGCTTTTAGAGGTAGTTTCAAGAGGGTTAATTCATGTTATCAGGTGATATTATGTCTCCGACGCAGCCCAGGTTGTAGCTCTACGCCTTCAGTCTTGGTTCAATCAACGAAGCCAATATCCAGGCATATTGTGATACGACGCTGACTCAATAGCAAACCACCGTGGTTCTGTGTAGCGTAACTTCTTGCCGCGACATGCGGGGTCTTTAACCGCGTCATGCGAGTATGGTCGGCTGGATGTAGAGTAGGATCTTGCTTTGGAAAGAGATGGGAAGGAAGAGGATTTGGGCTGGGAGGACGCAGAAGCTGTAGCGAATGCGTCTGTCGAGATAGATCGCGTGTTTGTGTTTCCGGAATCGGATGTGGTTGTCAAGGAGGGCTGACTTAGCTGCTTGAGCCCCTTGAATCTGATGGTCGGGTCGAAATTAATCAGTACAATCACTTGTCTGGGATCGTCCGGTTGTGAAGCTTTTGTCAAGTAAACAATCATCCTTTCATCAGCGGCCGCTTCGATCCGCCCCGATGCCGTGTGCGGACAGAGGAGCTGGAGAAGCTCCTCTGGGGCGTCATCTGGTGGCCAGAACTTGATTCCACGAGACTTGTAACGCTCTTCAGACCATTTAACAGGCACACCACAGCCGTGGAAATATTCTGGGGGGTATAAGGAACCACGTTCGACTTCTTCGCCCTGTTCGTCGATAGGACACTTACGTTTTCGAGAGCCAATGCGGAGACGCAATCGATCTGCTTGTGCAGAGAATCCTTTTGTTGGCCGTGGGTCATTAACGAGGTCAACAAATGACGACGCGGAGTGGTTGTACGTCCAAAATTTGGTTTTCGATAGTGGAAAATCTTTTCGAGAATCCGAAGTTCTCTCTTCAAAAGTATATTCATCATGATATTGCCGTCGTACACGTTTCCGTGGAGGAACATAGTTGGGTTTACTAAAAGCGTCAAGCGTACGGGTCAATGGATCATCATTTGGTAGTTCAGCAGCGCGCCTATAACAAGGAAATCCAGGACTCGGAGGCTCATCTCCAGGAAGGGGAGAATTGGCAGTCACCGGGTCGAGATCATCGGCCTCCCATTCAGCCAGAGCACTTGGACGGTCGATCGGTTGCATATAAAACGTTCTGTAGTTTTCACTGCCGCCATTTCGCCATTCTCGCCGACATTCAACGATGGTGAGATTTCCGGTCTCTTCATCCGTTTTCAGGGACAGGTCGGTCCAGGAATCGTTCAGGGGCCCTTCTTGATGCTGGCGTCGCCAACATCGCCGCCATATGGGCTGTGTTGGTTGCGAGAGAGGAATACGCACACAGACGTAGAACGATGTCCAGTCGACCTCCTCTTCTTCGTGTGATGTCTGGTTGGAGACCACGTAGAGGTAGTCATCTCGTATTTCAAAACAGATAGTGGATCCGACCTCGGACCCTACGACATTTTCAAGCTGAAGAGGCCGTTTTGTGAGGTTACGGTCCTCAGGTAGGTACACTCCGTGAATTAGCCATTCCCTATAGTCAAAATGGTTATTTTGTACCTCTCCTGAATGTGTTCCGTAGTAAAGATATGACGCGTTGTTGCGTACGAAAAGCTCATCCGTTGAGTATAGTTGGCGCATGGTTCTGACGCGACTCATGCCCACTTCGGAGAAAGTTGGGCGCACATCAAAAGCGAGAAGCCAAGCAAGGCCAGCCCACTTGCATAAGCAAGAAGCAATGCCATCTGAATAATGAAGGAGGGTGATCTGGGGTCTTTCTCCGGGATCGTGGGGTTTTCGGCGGAGAACAACTTCAAAAAACGCCGCTCTGACGTCGATAACCTGCTCCGTGTCATCCGCATCACGGACGTTCAAAACCCGTAGCGTATCGCGATATTTGTAACAGAGTACACCTTGCTTGAATTGGAAACTCTCCGCGCAGGCGACAACGCTTGCAGAGTAAGGCTGAGCGTTGGCCACAGCCTCCCGGACGTCAAACGCCCGTCTTATGGCTTGGCAGTAGCTGATTTGCCCGCTTGCAGCCAACCTGCACTCAGCACTGTGGAACATAAACTTCTAGTAAGACGTGTCAGTGCTCAACATCTTTCCAGCCATGGGTGGGAGAGAGGGGGGGCCATCGGGCAGGGCATGCGGGGCGCCATCCCATAATCAGGCATACCTGAGCAGATTTTCGGGCTGTCATGTCATCCTTCAACAGCTCGTACATTTCCCTGTTGACGAGACTCAAGTTGACGTAGTCCTCGGGCCCCAGATAGGAGGCAATCTCATGCCAAATGTCGAAAGGAATGGAGTCGAATTTTTGAGTCATGACAGTCGAGCGGGAACCGAACAAGGGAAACAAGAGCACACAAATCGCAGATGTCCCTCCGTCTCTTTAGCCAAACGCCCAGGTATTAACCTAGAGCGAAGCAAGTCTTCTTGGATTTCGAACTTTTCAAGGGCGGGGGATGTGCTGCTGGGGACGTGTGAGGCCGAGAACAACAGATCATCATGGAAAAGGGTATTATTGATAAGAATTTAGAGTCACTCTTTCAATCCAGAGCTGCGCTTCACTTGTTCAAGACTTTCTTGATTCAAACCAAGCATCAATGCGCCGTCCTATGAGCTGAAGTCGTTGAGCAGTGCTGTGATGCTGGTGTTATGTATGGGCGAAACTGCCAGGTTCACTTCTTTGGCATTGCCTAAAATATATCTGTGTCGCAAATCAAAATTGAGGCTCAAGTTTGGGACAAAAGGAGTTTTCAATGAGTGAAACATCTGTTCCTTTTGTTGAATGGTAGCAAGAGGCAAATATGAGGCTTAAAACACACATGTGGCCAACAAAACTTAACTTGTTATCTCTCCTTCTTGGACTAGAACTACATGTACGGAGTATACGCTGAGCTTGCTAGTTCACGAGTTAGCGCCCCGATCTCAGTTACATGGTTTCAATCAAGGTTCAGCCGAAACTTCGACGTGATTGAGCGGCTTTTCAGTGTTCCCATGCTGATTGGCAGTGGAACTCAACAATTCCGGGGAACGACAAGGCTGCGAAGCCTGAAGCGACAAGCCGTCATTGGCCCGAGGGTCTCGATTGGTATGAAGACGGAAAAAGCAAAAGGCGACTGTCGATGACCTTTGTGCGGCTCTGCCTCAGGGATGGATTCTCACGATGCTGCAAATCACAGCCGAGACACCAAAGCTTCTGGCCCCTCATTGCCGCCAAGTCGTGCCACCCGACATTTCTTTTGGTCCCAACTCCAGCGAACCACCCGGGAGAGGGATCGGAGTGCACTAGCTCGTTGACGACTCCGTATGCCTGAAGTTACCAACTCGGTCGCTGGCCAAACGTTCCTTCGGCGAGCCACATGCTCGGTCTTGAGAAAGCGCTGGGATCATCTTCACTGTGTGGCTGAGTTTTGAGCTGTGGAATGCTGGCGGGCTCCGAGATAGGATGATCGCCGTCGCATGACCCCAGTGAAACTGGGACCATTAGGATGGCAGGCGACAAGGCCAAGGATACGTGGGAGATTACGTTGAGAGGGCGTAGATCAGTCCGACCGTTCCTGGCAGATTGTGAAACCTACTGCCCCATTCTCGTCGGCAGCAACGTATCAGGCTCCAGGGCAGCATCGGCCAAACAAAGAGCCTCCAAAAAATCCGGATGAGCCCCTCGAGCTTGGTAACTAGAGCACGAAGCTAATACGGGAAACTTCGTGCCACTATTCTTGCAACCCACAGAGTTGCCTGGACGCGAGTGTGATGGTGCGGGGACCTGCACGCTCTCCTTTCCTTTGAGGCTCAAGCAGGCCCCAAAGCTGGTCCGACACCATCGTTTCGGCACTAACTCCTTAGTTAACTAGTTGGTTGGCGGCTTCGATGGCACTTGGCCTGGTGCAATGAGTAATCATGACCACCACCCGCAGGCCCGGCAGGGATCTCGTGCCCTGGGAACTTTCGGTCGGTGAACGCTGCGGCTTCAAGATCTCGTCATGAAACGATTCCAGATCTCAAAACGCTGGCGGCATTGATTCTTGATTGGACAGACGAGCGTGGTGCATTACACCCTTGCATGGTTGTGCCGGCTAAAGAAGCTTGATTGTCCCGCTTACTACTTTTTACGAAAAATTTTTACGAACCGAGCCCCAAGGGGACACTCTTTTCGCTTGGCTGTATTCTCTCCTTTGGAGTCGACGTCCACAGCAAGCGCCGGCCGCGCCGGCCGTGGCTCTGAACTCAAGGGTATTGCCTGCTCATTTCATTCAGAGCCCCAGGAAGTCCAGACCACCCGTACGGCGTATCGCGTGGTCATTCTCACTCGGGGTTAACCCCTTCCAACCATCACCCAATGGAATCAGTGAGGGCCGTCGCTCCTGTCATGCGGGAATATAAAATGGCTGAACAAGCACGTGGCAAAGTCAAAGTGCTCACTGGTCATAAATCGCTTTACTTTTGAAAATGATACGGTTCTGCGACGGGACACCGAGAGGGAATTGGAAGTGATTCACGGGTGGTGATGTCTTCGCAGGGTAAGCTGACCTCTTCCGGCGGCTCAAGCGCATGGCATTCCCCCCCCCGGGCGGCGGGGGCGATGCGGAGGAACCCCTCATAATCGCGGCTCATCCTCCAAGAGAAGCCCGTGTACGAAAGGGATAGAACTTCCATTTTTGTTTCCCATGAGAAACCAGTTATTCTAGAGCCTTGTGCCCCGTGCTGATGCATTGAATGTCGGTCAACCCTCCTTGGCAGTGAGTGCTCACTGATTGGTGTTCATGCATTTTTGTTGCTTGCAAACGCTCCCGTCTGTCTGCGGTAATATAGTTCATGTACTCCGTACTCCGTATATGCTTGCTTTGTTGATCATGCATCCCGTGAGCTTACAAAGTCAACCGCCCCCAATTCAAGAACAAAGGTTCCAGAACACAATACTCCGGATGCCGTGGAACTTGCCGGAGTTCATTCCATACCCCATATTCTGTACTCCGTTCATGCATATAGAGTTCTTTTTCTTTTTCTTTTTTTTTCGGAAGAAGATTGCGCGATAGGCTTGGCTTGACATATCCTCCAGATTGTGTGGGGAAGCTATAGCATGCATTTGAAAAAGCCACCCGCCTTCGTTCCCTCTCCCCGTGATATTTTCGAACGCAAAGAAGGACTTTCGAAAAGCTGTGGTCCTGTCTGAAGTGGAAGGGACCCGGGGCACGTTGCACCAAGGCCACCGTCGTCGTGATAATGTTATCCATGGTCATATGCAATGACCATATAGAGGGTAAGAGGACATAGTAGTCTCTGGCTCTCCGCCGCTATCCGCAAAATTATGAGGATGAGGATCCTAAACGACGTGAAGGGCTCCAGCATCACTCTAGATAATGTGCCGTAACTATATTCGCTGGGGGCCAAACAGGTAGTTTGCTGATGAGCTTCAACGCTCAGGATCCCCTGTCGACCCCGTGTCTTCCTCGACAGCGGAGACAGTTTTACCTCATCCAACATCACCGCGACTGGAGCAGGACAAGAAAGAAAAAGGCACAGTTGCGATTAGCAGAGGAAAGATAAGGAAGCACGATAACACCGACGCTAAACCCGACCGGGGAGCTTTGATGAGTCAGACTCACCCCGCCAAAACTCGAATATCAAAGAAAGTCTTCCCCCCGCCAGGGAAATGCAACCTATTCATGCACCTTTTTATATCTTTTTTTGGATAGCTCTTGGTTATGCCAGTCTGCTCTCCGTACTGAGCTTGAGAACCGGTTTGATTGGATAAGCTGATTCTTGAAAGAGCCATGAGCGCGCCTACGGGTACCACCGAGCTGCCCGAACGGCCAAAGGAGGCCAAACCCCCAAAGAAAAAACCAGCGAAGCAGCCGAAAGATAATAGTGCCAAAAATGCTAATAAGGGCCCTAAAAAACAGGCAGGAGGTGCCGCTGGTATAGATGTCACCCAAGACCCCGAATTTATGTTCAAAGTCGGTTTCCTGGCCGATGTGTATCAAGAGAGACCGATTTCAGATAAGATCCCAAAGGTTACCACGCGATTTCCCCCCGAGCCCAACGGGTTTTTACACATTGGCCACAGTAAAGCCATTGCGGTTAATTTCGGCTTCGCTCGATACCACGGTGGCAGCTGCATTCTGCGATTTGACGATACGAATCCCGAGGGCGAAGAGGAAAAGTACTATAAGGCAATTGAAGATATAATACATTGGCTCGGTTTCAAGCCTATCCGTGTTACAGCTGCCAGCGATAATTTCGAGAAGCTCTACCAGCTTGCCGAGGATTTGATCCGCCGTGATGGTGCCTATGTTTGCCATTGCACAAGTGCGTGATTCGAAGACCCCCATCACTGCTAAGTTCATTGAGCTAACACGAGCAAAATAAAAAAAAAAGAGGCCGAGATAAAAGTTCAACGCGGTGAAGGAACTGGCGGCGAACGATTTCCTTGCAGTCATCGATCACGCCCCATTGAAGAATCCTTGACCGAATTCCGAGCTATGAGAGATGGAAAATATAAACCAGGGGAGGCTGCACTTCGGATGAAACAGGATCTAGAAAACCCGAACCCGCAGATGTGGGATTTATTTGCCTGGAGAATCCTCGACCATGAGCACAAGGCTCATTTCCGAACCGGAAGTAACTGGAAGGTCTACCCAACTTATGACTTTGCCCACCCCCTCTGTGACAGTATAGAGGATATTTCACACTCCCTTTGTACCACGGAGTTTGAACTTTCTCGCGAATCATACGAATGGTTATGCGATAAGCTAGACGTCTACAAGCCAATGCAAAGAGAGTACGCGACCTCATCCCCCGGTTTGTAAAGCGTCTCAGTACTAAACTTTTGGCAGGTATGGCCGCTTGAACATAACCGGAACCGTTCTCTCCAAGCGTAAGATTATCGAGCTGGTTAAAAAAGGCTATGTTCGGGATTGGGATGATCCCCGTCTCTATACTCTTATCGCGTTGCGCAGACGCGGATTTCCTCCCGGAGCTATCCTCTCTTTTGTCAATCAGCTAGGCGTAACCAAAGCTAAAATCAACGTTCAAGTCGTCAAGCTTGAACAAACGGTCCGTCAATACCTAGAAACCACTGTTCCACGTTTGATGGTTGTACTCGAGCCGCTCAAGGTTATCATCGATGATCTCCCGGATGATTTTGTTGAAATGGTCGAAGTGCCTTTCTCGAAGGATCCATCTTTCGGGGTAAGAATCGAATATTATCCCTATTTTTCTGGACAGCGAAGGCTCACACATTCCCACTTAGTCCCGTAAGGTACCGTTCACAAAGGTAGTGTATATAGAGAAGTCGGATTTCCGCGAGGTCGATTCCCCCGACTATTTCCGCCTAGCACCTGGTAAGACGGTTGGTCTAATGAAAGCGCCTCATCCCATAACCGCAACTTCTTTTGAGAAAGATCTAGAGACCGGGGAAATTATTTGTGTTCATGCCAAGTATGAGAAACCTGTTGAGGGATTGCCAGTGAAGAAGGCAAAAACGTAAGTTCTTTCTATGGTGGAATAAGATATTTCCATGTTGAATGACAAGCCTTGGTGCTGATTACTATGCAGCTACATTCACTGGGTCGGCGAGTCACCCGCCCACAGCAGTCCTAAACGTGCAGAGGTTCGCGCGTTTAACCAGCTATTCAAGTCGGATGATCCTTCTGCCCACCCAGATGGCTTCCTGGCAGACATCAACCCCGACTCCGAACAAATATTTACGAACTCTTTTATCGAAACTGGATTCGACGAGGTCTGTCGGTCTGCTCCTTGGCCGAAAGAACAGAACAAGGAGAGCGGTGAAGGAGAGGGTGAGACCAAAGCAAAGGAGGACGGGGACGCGAGTATTGTGGAACCGTATAGTATTCGATTCCAAGGCATGCGCATGGGCTACTTCACCGTCGACACAGACTCGAAGCCTGATGCAATTGTGCTAAATCGGATTGTTACATTGAAGGATAGCGCGGGAAAATCTTGAAGCGAAAAGGCTGAGCAACGTCAAATTTCCCTGTACATACACTCCTCCCGGGCTGTAACTGTAGGCCTACGCGTTTAAAAGATTAATAAGCTCACGGGATACTCGGCTCTGCTTGATCCACAAGCTGAGAGAATGTCCTTGTGTCTTAGAAGCTTGCCTCGCATTTCATTGAGCGACTCGTCTAGACTAGTCCTTTATTGCAGAAATACAAAGACGCCATTGCAGCAACGAGAATCACACGATAGGCTACTAGTTGCATCTTCACCGGGTAACGGCTACACAGCCGAAACTGAATGGCTGTGTAGAGGAGACTGCAAGCGCGTATCTCCGAACTGTAGGGTCATTTAATCGCCACTCCGTGCTTCCCGGCCGCTGGCGGAAATCAACCGATGTTGGCTGAGCTGAGCTCATCCTCCAGTGGCAATATAATGATTTGAACCAACAGCCGCATTAGCCTCGAATAAACCACGTAAACGCTCCCGGCTGCCTTGTGAAGGAGCGGGCCGAGTTGACTTCGTGAAGCAAGCAGAGTAAAACCTCTGCGTCTGCTTTGCCGTTTGCCTGCTTCAATCTTGGGACAAGCATCACACCGTCGTCCAGGACAAAATACTTTGCATTCATGAGGACGGACTTGAGCACATGAGTAGCTGTTATTAATCTATGCCCTATCTAGGTTAGGCGGAAGCGAAATGAATCTATCTAAATCAAACTAAGTTACACAAAGAGTCGAATATCAAAAAGTAGACAGCAGGCAAGTATTATTACGAATTGTGGAAAATCTTAAATTTTCCTCGTGGCTTCTTTTTCTCTCTCCTCTTCCTCCTTCTCTTTCAGCCTCCTTGCCTCTTCGCGTGCGATTTGATCCGGCCGTCTAATCGCGATATCCTTTGGTCTATAATCGCTGAAAAACCTCTTCAACCCATTCTCTATCAGCCAGCATCCCGCATAGTCCACAATCATCAACGTTGTCAGCACAGCTTTAAACTCAAAGGTGAATGGCACCAGGCGCAGCTTTTCGTTAAGCTCGGGGATGAATTCGGTAGCACATGAAAACGTGACCAGTGAAGTCAGCGTAAGACCCCAATACATACCACGATTTTCACGGATGGATTCGCGGAAGGGCCTGCCCTGGTAATTTATGGAGAAGGTCGAGATCTGCTGGATGAGCTGAAGTAGATAAACGGCCGAATTAAGAAGAGTAGGTTCGAATTCTTTTTCAAGGTCGATGTTCTCATGGCGCCTGTTTTCAAAGGTATTAGTTAACTTATGGGCATAAACAACAAGCGAGAAACATACGGTTCTATGGAATAGACATATTGAGAAAGATAGATCAGAGTAGCTACGTGAATAGCAAACTGTCCTAAGACAGAGCCGACAATGTAGACGTTGAAGATGTTTGGCTGTGGACGTTCCTTGGAAAGCCCTTCGACCGGCTGTGTGAACGGTTAGAAGACGGTCATATGATCGTTAAAAGTTACGGGCATACCTTTGCTCGAGAGATAGATAAGAAGCAAACGCTCATGAGCATGCCGCTGATCGTGACTTGCCCATCTCCAAACTTGATACCATCAAGATATATGACGCTTAAACTATAAGCGCTGATGAGGCAGTTCAATGCCAAAATTTTGTACATTTGAATTGTCGCGACTAGAGTGCACCGACCCTGGCGAATGATATTTGGAATGGCGATTACATTGGCTAGTTTGCTGGTAAAAGGTGCAGCTACAGATGCATCACCCAACTTGAGTGTCGGTGGCTCATCTTCATCTAATTCTTGCTCCATCATAGTTGAGGTGAGCCTATCTGCAAGTCCAGCGGCAGCAACTTTCGCTTGTTGCTCGCGATGTTGCTGAGGTGTAAGGTTGGCGTTGGCTTGCTGGAGGGCTTGGGCACCTGGGGAGACAATAGTAGGAATTCCATTTGCTTGTTGCAGAGCAGCAACGGCGGCTGGACCTTTCTTTTCGGCTTCACGAAGCATAGCTTTCTCGTAATTTGGGTTGTTAGGTCCTGGTGGGTAGAGATGAGCAATGTGCAGAGGCACTGGAGGCGTCGGTTGATTAAATCTTTGCATAAGAGAAACCTGCTTCTCATAGATTTCCTTCATTTTAGTCATTCTGAAATGCTCAGCAATCCTACTGAGATCCTCAGGTGTCCCGTTTAGGAGCGCAATACCGACATGGGCCTGCTTTAGGGCGCCGACATCGTTGGTACCATCGCCGCACATCAACGTTGTGTAGCCAGCATCCTTCATGCCTAGAAGAATATCTTCCTTTTGCTTCGGTGATACCCGTGCATACACCCAAGTATGGCGAAGAAGGTCACGAAGACCCTTCTGGCCACGGAACTTTTCCAAAGCGTACCCTGTCACACAGAGGTCTTTTGTCTGGAGGATTGTCTCATCTAACGGCTTTGTAGGATCGACATCAACACAAAACTTATCGTCGATGCTGCGCCATACAAGCCTTGTTTTTGAAGTGTCGTGCTCTGGGGCGTCGAGAATAAGCGTATCCCGATCCACGATTTCTACTTGTCTCGCGACATGAACTGCGGTCAAGGGATTGTCACCAGTGATCATAACCACTCTATGGCTGCTTTCGTTGAGCATTTGCAAAGCCTTGACAGCGTCTTCCTTCAAAGGGCATTGAAGAACTAGGAAACCCGCAAAATGTAAATTGGCTTCAACATCTTCACGTTTTAAATTGTTGATTCGCCCGGGGCTCAACTCTGCCTCGGAATTCAGGTACTTGTAGCCTAACGCAAGGACTCTAGCTCCATTGCGGGTAAAGTACTTAAATGTCTCCTCGTAGTAGGGAGGGACGGAGACGAGCATAGTGCTGATTGTTTCGGGGGCACCCTTCACTCCGACGAAGGTACCTTTGACTCTCTTCGCCGATTGTCTATCTGTGCTAGTGACGGTCGCCACCGCGCTCTGCCGTTTCAAAGCAGACGAGAACTGGAATCGCCGCTTAATCTGGACAGACTCTAGCACTCGCCCTCCAACTCTGGCAGGAGCTCCTGGTTTGCTAGTCAACACATCATGTTGGCCAAGTTTCCACCCCAGTGAGGTGAGTGTCGCTTTTTCCATTGGGTCACCAACGATTTCTCCTTCATCCAACTTAACAAGTGCGTGGGCAGTAGCAAGTACAAGGGTAGTCTCGTCATTCACATCTTCGACTTTTGTAACTTGAGTATGTGCTCCATCTGGTGACACAGCTGCACCCTTTCGTCCCAAAGTCAGACCCGCGATACCTTCCACCAGGAGGTCTTCTCCAGTCAAAGTTCCAGTTTTGTCGAAACAAGCGATGTCAACACGCCCAGCGTATGGAATTCTGAACGGCTCGGTGCAAAAAATGGCGTATTTGCTGAGCGCGGCGAGACTAGTGTTGACGGCCAAACTTAACTCCATTGGTAGTTCTGGCGGCACGACGCTTGTGACAATTAAGATGCAGTCTAGCAGCAACTTCGATCTCTTTCGATCCTTAGAAACACCTTCTTGCCAGACATACCAGGATGCTGCGATGGCGAACATTAACAAAAACAGGATAAACAGCAGTGCTTCCACGTTGTTGGCAGATACCGGCTCTGTCGAGTATATCATAGTGCGAACCAAACTCCCCTGGCTGGTCTCGAACCCGGTCTTGATTACAACACCGAGGGCTCCATTATCGGGAGGAGGCGGGGCGTTGAATCGGACGTTGGCACTCTCATCTGAGGTAGAGCTGGGTTGACTAATTTGCAGGACCTTTGTACCTCCGTAGAGGAACGAGTTCTTGTCAAGTCCGTTAGGGTCAATGCTTTCATCACCTGGACGTAACTGGATAGAGTCTTTCAGCAAAGGGGTACTCTCTCCTGAGAGCATAGCCTCATTGACGATCGCGCTGCCGCCAATCATGAGAATATCACATGCAACACCACTGTCTTCCTTCGTGCGATTCACAGAGAGTAAATCACCGGGGAGCAATTTATCACTGCTGATCTCAACCCAACGATTTTCTCTGTAGACCCAGACATCGTATGGTTTGATACTCATGCTTCGGAATTCATTCAGGGTCCTTTGACGTTGCCACACAACCGTACTCTCAAATGCGACGAGCATAAATAGTGTGAACAGCGAATAATACCAATATTCATCCAAGAGCCACAACCCAACGCAGAAGACCTGGAAAACGAAAAACGGGGCAACGGCGTGCTCCTTGAATAGCTCGACAAAGGTCGGTACCGGGATATCGAATGTATTATCGCCATAATGGTTCTGGATGTGTTCGATTTGAGCGGGGGATGTTAACCCGCGGCTTTCCTGAAACTCTCTTAAAAGTGGCTTCGGTTCGACATCGAGAGCATATGAAAGAGGGGCAAAGGACTTTTTCTCGGGATAGTACAAGAAACGACGTTTCTGGAAAATGAACGAAAGATGGTTCCTTCCGCCAGTGTACTCTGTAATCAACGGACAGATCTCCGCCGATCCAGCGTTAGCCACGGGAAGGACCTTGATGAGCTGGGCATCGTCGACAGATTTTGCAGCGGTGGTAGTGAAGAGGGCATCGATATTGACGTTCCATTTGGTCATCAACCATAGCAAAGCTTGAAGCGTAATTATCGAGCCAGCCCAGACGAAGGTCCACTCGGAGGCCTGAATGTATTTGTCGTATCGTTCGGGGGAGAGATAGAAGGCAAGGAACGCCGGCCATATGATGAGGAAGGGCCAGACATAGGTGTGCAGTTGGACTGGGAGAGGTTTTCTAAGGGCCGCAGATCGTATCTGGGCGTTGTCTATAAGTCGAGTCCTTGATCGGGGTGTCAGCACGTTGTGAAGATTCACTCGAGTGCACAGGGAGAGCTCACGTACATGTTGGAGAAGCTAACCAGCGAAAATCATGGAAACGGCCATGCAGAACAAAACAACCTGGAACTACTGTAAGGGGTAGGAATGCAGGCTCTGAGTCTATAAAAAATACAGGAACTGCAGAGTCGTTGGGACTGCGGATTGCAACCTGGTCGGATCGATCGCTTTACCAGCAGCTCCCTCACAAAGGCATTGTCTGCACAAAAAGATCTCGGTGTCTTCATAGGGCTTATGTAAGAAGCTAGCTCAGGTTAGGTTAAGGTTGCGGAATAATGATGACCCTGTAGCCTATTTGGCGCTTAGCCAATAACAACTCATGAATTTGCCCCACCCTTCATCGCTGTTTTGTGTTGTGGGATGTTAATGTATGCTTGGCTCAGATGGAAGGTCTATTTGGCACTGGAAGCTGGACAATAGGCGTTGGCACATCCGATTATTATACGGAGTACTCCGTACTCCGTACGTCAACAACTGCGGGTTGACATCTGTGTGGTTCTTTCTAGAAGACCCAGGAGCAAGGTTCGGTGTTTCCAAGGAACTGTGCCCATTCCTATGTTTGGATGCGGAACGCCATGAAGAGCATTATGGTAGTCTTGACAAAAATTATACTTACAGCTTGAATCCTCCATTGATAATGTCGTTGAACTCATAGTTTCCCCCATATTGTTAAAAAAGAACCTTCCCGAAAATATTACAAGGACTACTTCAAAGGATCAAGGGGCAGTCACTTGAGAGTGAATGTTTCACTGAACTATTTTTGACATCAGAGTTATTCGAAATGAGACTCTCCAGACACCCCTGGCATACTTTGTACATTTTGTATTCATTGTCTGCTGATGATTTTTCTTCAATCGCGGAGTGCGGGTTCGAACAAGCCGTGATACAAAGCTCAAACCTTGGCTGGAATTAGGTTCAGTATCACGCACGGGCGCTTTTCCCCTTTGGGACTTGGCCCGTTGGCCGTAGTACTAGGTGACGCAGCGCTATGAAGACGCTCCGGTTGTTCTTTCAATAAACATGCATTTAACAGGGGGCGTGAAGTGTATGAGTTGATTCATTGATGAATTCAAGAATGGGCATAGTTATCATGTTGGATCACTAGTTGGTTGGCCAATCACCGACGCTGTCTTCGCCCCCTGGCTGGTGGCGGCTCGTTATATCCCCATCCGCCGACTCCGCTCACTGTGCCTCGCCGTTTCGAACGAGCACGTCGACACCGGATCGAATTCTCGCAATTTATCAACATGTCAAGGAGAACTCTCGGGGGAGGAAGAATTCTCGGTAGCGGAAGATCATTAAATCCCACACTCCCGTCCACATCCGTAAACCAACCCTCGAAGCTGCATTCCCCGTCAACGAGTAGCGTTTCCCTAAACTCGCAAGCATCAGCTTCACAACTCTCATCGGATACACAGGACCTGGTATCAAGGATATCATTAGAAAATGGAGACTCATCCATTTCGAGGACTGCGGCCGCAGCCGCTAACACCTATCTCGCCTGCCCTATTTGCAACGAGGAAATGGTGAGCCTAACTTCTGGGGGTGCGGCGGAGATGCATTTACTGATGAATTACCTATGTAGGTCACTTTATTGCAGCTGAATAGGTAGATCTCCAACCCCCCAAAAAATACCGCTCCTAAAATATTGATCCCACCTCTCATAGACATCTCGATGATGCTCACCGGAATCTCGAGGACGAACAACAAGTCGAAGTGAAAGACTGGTTTCAGATCCAAGTTGAGAAAGCGAAACGATTCCAACCGTTAGCTGTGCTAAACCAAAAGCTAAAGGGCTTGGATGTCTTCGAGTCAAACAATAATCCACAGTTTGCTCCCTCCGTTCCGACTCGATCCTCTACAAACGGGCTTGTTGAGCCACCCAGGCTACTAGACCCAGATGAACTTGTGACTAGGGCACATTGGCAACGGCGTAGTCTGTACGATGTGTGCCTGGAGCCTATGTGTGAAAAACAACTCACTATGACAACTGGTTGCGTGAATTGTCGAAAATGCGGACGGTTGTTTTGCGAGGAACACACAATGTACCAGATGAAGTTATCTCGATCTGCTCAACATGATCCCGTCCGTGGCTTATGGTGTCGGGTATGTGAGACATGCTACAAGTCGAGAGCGGGCTACAACGATAAAATTGGTATTCCATTTCCTTCCAGCACCCTGGGGAATCAAACTGACATCAAACGCAGGGGCGGAACGCGATCATACCGCAGCTTTCAAATCCATAAGGAAGCCAGTGGTAGACAGAGCGTTTTTGGAAGTGTCGCGGTTAGAGAAAAGGCTCAGTCGGCTGACACAGCTTCTCGCCGAGCTTCCTTCCGAACAGGTACAATCGGGTACTAACAAGAAATGGTCATTTTCCTGGCAGGGAGATCAGAGGAAAAAGATTGAACAATCTGTTGTGAGCTGGGAAGACGATGCTAGCGTTCCAAGGTGCCCGTTTTGTCAGCAAGAGTTTACCACATATACGTTCCGAAGACACCATTGTCGGACATGTGGCCGTGTAGTTTGTGGTGATCCAGACACGGAATGCTCTTCTGAGGTTGGGTTAGATGTAGCAACAAGTAAGTCTAAAGTCCCTCCATTATGTTCAATTTCTAATTGCCATAGGTATACCCCGTGTATCAGAGAAGCCGGCCAACGCAGGAAAACTTAGTATAGATATTCGGCTCTGCAGGGAGTGCAAGTCTACGCTATTTGATAAACGGGATTTCGCGCTAGATCTAGCTAAAGAGCCTCCTGATGCTCGGGCATACAAAAATCTTGTTCAATTCGAAAGGGGAATCCGACTTTTGTTACCTCGGTTTCAGAAACTTTTGAGCGCCCTACAGTTGGTACACCCAGACAGCATCACATTAAGAGGTGCTAACGATTTCTACACAGAGATCCCGAAGACCCCCCTTCTCCGGCTCAGTTAGCAGAAGCTTCTAAAGTACGCAAGCGTCTTATGGATTCGTTCGCTCAATATGATGTTGCAGCCCGCCGCATCCGTGATCTTCCTACCGACTCCCCGACACAATCCAAGCTCCAAAAGTCCATATATCACCAAGCCACGAATTTTCTTCATCTTCACATGCTTCCACTGAAAACGCTTCCGAAAATCCTTAAACATGCAACACCTCATGGTCGCCATTCTGATTCTACATCATCCAATGGATCAACGCCCCGTGCACTTGCAGCAATCAATTCCCATAAACATGCGAACAGCCGCGTGAGCCTGACCAGTGATAACAGCACCGCCTTATCCGCTCTTGAAACAGAGGAAAGGTCACTGCGAGAACGATTGATAGTACTCGAGGAGCAGAAATTTTTCGTATCAGAGATGATTGCGGATGCTAATCGTAGAAGGAAGTTTGACGAAGCCGCCAGCCTTACAATGAATGCAGAGGAGTTGGGTAAAGAAATCGACAAGATTAATGGGATGTTGGAGCAGTTGGATTTTGCCGGGATTTACCTGCCTGCTAATGGTGATCAGGCTACGGAAACCCAGGCTTGAAGCCTATAGCTGACTCGTATATACTAATGATAACGACGACTTGATTTGTCCATACAGATATGCTTAGCGTTTTCATAGCTCTTCTTTGTTGATACTCATGACAATTATCCAGGATGATTACCAGCGTATTATGAAGAAGGAATGAATTGTTGATTTTCTTTGGCATTATGAAGAGCTCCACATTTGATTCTGATACAAGCTTCCCTTTCCTTGGTATATACTTCCGGATTGATGCAAAGATATAGCCAGTAGCCGTTTAGAGTACCGTTAGTCAATATATTACCGCCCCAGGAGGTTAAGAGGTTTACATTATTATCGAAGGAAATATGGATTAATACAGATCTCATATATACATACTGAGTACAACTACATGCAGATACTGCCGAAATTTTTAGCTTCAGGCTCCCCATCCATTATTCATTCGAATTTCAATAGCCCGAAACTAGTAACCTACATTGGGAAGCACAAAACCACCTTAAATAACCAAAAAGACAAGGAAACCCAGCTCCTGTGCGAAAAATGCAAGGTCCTACACTGACTGTTCAGATCAACTGTTCTGCGCCAGAATCATCGTCCGCTCCGTTCACTTGTGCATTTTCACCCTGGTCTTCTCCAGAGGCTGTCCTTCTGTCCCTCTGCTCTACCAATGTTTTAACCAGGGTTCTCAACTCTGCAAGCTCTTGCTTCAAGGCCCTGACTTCTATAACGCATAGGTCAACCTCCACGTTCGGCTTTATCTCTTGCACTTTCTGGTCCCAGTCCATCGTAACGGAAGTTGCACCGACCAACGCAGCAGCTTCTTCCCACTCCTCTACTTGATCATCTTCTTCTTCACCAAGGCGCCTGTTGACCTGGATGCGACGGGCATGGCAGGTTTCGATGAAGGCGGTAATGAAGAGGAGTGGGGAGTAAATGACTCCCATGACGTAGTGATTCAATCGCTCATAGCGAGCGCTGGGGAGCCACCATTCAAATGGAAGGATGAGGAAGAAGATTTCAACGAGGTTGAAAGCTAAGACGATTAGTATCGCCGCAGATACGTGGAAGGGGACACTTGAACTACTTACGCACGATGAAAACATTTTCGTCTGGTGCGCGGACAAATTGAAGCGTTCGATACGCGAAAAGAGCTAAATATTCGTTTGTTGCATTTCCGGTGATATCTTCATAGGCACTATTATACAAGGCGATAAGGATGTTCAACAACACTATCGAAGCAGTTAGACGCTGTCCTTTGTCTTATCATCCGAGATCCGAAGTGATCACTTACCAACCATGACGACAAACGTAAAAAGATAATATAAAATAATGCCAAAAGGAGAGGCAAAGTTTTTAAAGGAGTCGAACTCAGGATTTTGCATTACAGTGTTCGCCATTCCTTGAAGGATCATCGACGGCGTCATAAGATTCTCGGGGTCTGCCTGATCCATTCCAGCAAATCCCTGGAGGAAGCCAATGATAACCACGCCCAAGAGCGCAAAAAATATTAAGCTTTCCTTCATCATAACCTTCAGAACAACGAGCATGGCGCCGAAGAAACGGAACGTGTCCAGGTACAAAAGCAGGCGACCCCAGAAAAGGGGCGCAGAGAAAGCCAGGAAGTTATAACTCAGCTGGTTCAGCCGCAGCCTTTCAAGATTGTGTGAATCTGGAGAGCGAGTAAGAGCTACAAGCCGGATTATGAACGAGGCGGCCAGAAGGAGATAGAGAGTGGAATTGAAAGCGTTCCAGAATCCGAAATAATTGCGACCGACTTTCCAGAACTTAGAAACTTCGTCACAGATAAAGGCAAAAGTCATCAAGTAGAGGATGCCTTCAACTACATCAAGGTCACCAGTAGAGTTGATTGTATTTATAACGACGGTATAGAGCACCAGGTACAATAGAGAGAAGAATATCTGTACCGCATTTTGATAAATAGGTACTCGCATTCTGTCCGGGTTGAAGTGAGCCCAATAAGACGTATTGGTTCGTTCATTGTATTCGACAAAATTCGAGGCATCTCTCTCGTCCTGGCAGACCCAGCCATGCCAAAGGTACTTGATGCATTTCTGATACCCTGACGAGCCTATAATTTCTAACGCGTGCAAGTCAACGGCACGTTCGATAACATTAGCCGGAGGAGTTATTTCATTGCCACTAGTGACAATCGAGTATCGCTTCAAGAGAACCGCTTGCATTAGGAAATAGTGGTCTTCGTCGCTTTCGAGTCTGCACGTGGAATGGATTCCGTTAAGAAACCAGGCTTTCAGGAGACGGTAGAGTGGGTAACATACATGCGCTTCGCAAGAACCTCGCATGCCACTGCCCTAAGACTATAAAGCTCTGTGTCCCACAACTCTTTGACGGCCTGTATTCTGAACCATCGTACACAGGCTAGGAGGCCGAAGACCACGCAAGCTCTATACTCGTCCCCTCCAACGTGTCTTGCCGTTTCAATTACAGCTTTGGTAATAACTGTACTATTCGGCTTGGTTATAGAAGATTCTTCAAGCTCGCAGGGAACAATTTGTTCGATTAGGTGCTTCAGTTGAAGAGCTACCTTGGTGACTTCTTTAGCTGGAAGGGAAGGCGGAGGACCATCGGCCTCCGTGTTTGGGAGCACTATGAAGTGTTTATCAGCAAGATTTCATCCAAAGGGCCATTCCATGTGCCAATTGACTCACTCCTATCATGCTCGTTGACATCGACTAGTGCTTCCTGCTCGGTCGAGCCACTGAACAACCCCGACATGGTTGAACGTCGTAGATCTTGCGTAAGGTGAAGAGGCCAAAACAATACGGACTAATACAGCAATTGAGTAAAAATCGGTCACTCCAACACTAAAAACAAACTCTTCGATATTCCCAATTGGTGATCGTTGACCATCGACTCGTCCCGGACGAGAGAGGTTGCTTGTTCCTGGTACGCACTGGGGCGAAGAAGCCCCCCAAACCCGCGTCTTGGAGTTGCGGGGAAGGTATCAGCTATCGGTCACTACGGAGCACAAAAAGTATAAATCGCCACTTCAGACAGCCACCAGCAACGCCGCTCTTAACGCTGATCAGGGGGGGATGCTTGGAGTACACTGGACTCTGCAAATGGCACTAACTTGGGTCGCCACGTAAGTACTTGTACAGTCAGCTTGTTGAGCGCTGCAACTGGAGGACTGCAGCATATGCAAAGAGCGACAAAGGCGAGATTCCCATGTTTTCCATTTTTTGTCTAGCGCTATTTTCATACCAGTGCCGACCCTTCAGATATCCCTCAAGATCACATTTAGAAGACTGGGCGAGCGATAATCTTTAAAATTCATTCCAAATCATAAAGCAAATGCACTTCAAATTCACTCGACCATCGCATCGTCACTCTCGCTGACACTCTCATCACCGCTGACCTCCTGGTTTTCACGCTCTTTCTTTTCCATGAGTGCCTGGAGATCGGCCTCATCTTCTTCGGTGACGGCCTTGGGAGCCATTTGCACAACACAGGATCCACCAGACGCCCGAATTTTCTCAGTGATACCCTTGATTGCATCTTCCAGCGTCTTGATACCGAGATTCTTGTCCAAGCAGTGACTGGTTAAAACATATAGCGGTGGAGAGACCAATTTCACCTTGACTTGGTTGTCTGTGGTGTTGTTGGCCTCTGCAGTTCGCAAAGCTTCCTTGACGGCGTCGATTCCTTCGTAGCTGAAGCATGTAACTTCGATATCTGCGCGAACCTTGGTCGGCTGTGGTGTGAGTCGTTTGCTGATGTGCAACAACAATTCGTCCTTGACAGCTTGGCTAGGGAAGGTAACGTCGTCCCAAATGCTAGGATTTCTGCGGAACAAGTCAGCATCCGCTTCCATAGCCAAGGTGATGGCATCGCCTCACGTGATCGAGAGCTTGAAAGCATCGTTGGCGTGCCCGTATTTTTTATTCAATGGCCATCCAATTTGTTGGTATAATGTCTCGATCGGAGTCCTTGTCTTCTCGGCAACATGTCGCATAATCGAGTGAACAGACTTGCTCTTGTTGTACCGCTCCTCACACTTGACCACATCTTCGGCAGATACTCGACGTTTCGACAAATCGATATATCCTGTTTGCAGGCGCATTCCCGTTAGCACATTTGAGAGTGGATGACTGAGCCAAGGTTTTCAGCGCACCCTTTTCCTTGTCTACACGAAGAACAACGACGACCTCGTTCCTCCCGACGCGAATGAGTTTCTGTATACTTCTAATACGACGTCTGGATAGTTCGGATAGCAGAATCATCCCATCGATGTTGTCGTATTCAAGCAGGTTCACGTAAGCTCCCATCTCCGCAATCTAGGAAGTAGACATGTCAGGTTAGAGCTATCATGCATGATCGCAGCCTGCAACCAACCTGCTTCACGTTCACCATCACGAAGCTATCAATCTCCGGGTACTTCTCCTCATAAAACCGACAATTCGTTAACGACATGATGGCGGGGCTGGTCACCTCTCTGGGAGGCGAAGGATCCTATCAAACAAAAAGAAAAAAGGTTTGCAGGCTCAGATAAGTAGAAAACTGCAATCACTACGGATGGCGTAAGGATGAAAGCGTGTTTTGGAAATAGCAAGCGCCTTGTAAGGATTCGACAACGCTGCAACTCGACTCGTCGAGCTCTTCCAAGTCGGACTGTGGCAGACTTCTCTCCCTCCGTGCTCATCGCCCAGTCTGCATTTTTGTGTAAAAGGGTTAGCGGGGAGCCGGGTTAAATCACGTGATAGATGCCATAAGCAATGATGTAATCACGATTCTGGCCAGTGAATTTGACGACAAAGAAGCAGGACGCCGCCTGCAATGTTGCGTCTGGCTGGTTCGCGATGGGCAGACACCCGGCAATGCAGTCTTATCCCCAAGGCCCGAATCGAGGCGTCAAAAAGGGGCCCTAACGCCATGTGTGTAGCTCACCGAACGACTAACTATTTAATTAACTTAAGTCTGTGACTGTTCTCCTGTGCACCTCCAAACCAAGGCTTGCCCCTCGAAACACCCATGAGCGCCAGCCAACTCTTCCCAGAACTATCTGAACTTGTGCCTCTCAGCGCAACAGTTCCTGCAACCTTCTACTCCGTACTCATAGGTAAAGCCCAGGAATCACATCTCACATAGCTCCTCCTAAGCAAACGAAGGGAGTGACCTTCCTAGGAGCATCGCCCACCTATTCGACGGCTCTCCGTATCCAACAGGCTCTCTCATTTATTTACTACCATGTCACGCGCACCAGGGCATTCAGACGCCAATAGTGGCAATGTGGAGGACGAAACCTCTCGTCTGTTAGAACTCGAACGCAATGATATAGCCGCAGGCGGCTCAAGGCATGGAACATTTTCTCCTGACACTCACCAATACCCTAATCGCGGCACAAGCGCCAGTCCCAGCCTACGACATGGGTGTACGTTGCCTGGGAGCTCAAGTCAAAGTATAAGAGGAGATGGAATTTCCTCGGCTCCTTTCTACGTTGCGACGGGTAAATCGGCGACGAGGCAACTCGCCGATGCGCATGGCGTGAAGAACAGGCGGATTATGTAGGTCATCCGTAGCTTCCCCTGTGAATTCAGGTAGCTAATGGGAACTGTGACGATAGGTATTTAGCATACTATGTGCCATTTTTCAACTGGATATCGCAATACCAATGGAGATATCTTCGTGGAGACTTTATCTCCGCCGTAACCGTCGCGTCGGTCTACATTCCCTTAGGGTTGTCACTGGCGTCTAACGTTGCCCACATCCCTGCACTTAATGGACTCTATTCCTTCGTCTTCCACCCGCTTATGTACGCCCTCCTCGGAAGCAGCCCACAAGTCATAGTCGGCCCAGAAGCTCCTGGTTCTTTGCTGGTTGCGACCGTCGTTCGCAACGCGGTGGATGATGGGAAATCCATTGACGACGATCTCCTCGCAAACGCTCAGATCGCCGGAATCGTTACTGGGATGGCCGGAGCGATGATTCTGATCGCAGGCCTTACCAGGTTGGGCTTTTTGGATAATATCCTCAGCCGACCATTTTTGCGGGGGTTCATCAGTGCAATTGGTTTTGTCATCTTCGTTGACCAACTCGTTCCAGAGATGGGCCTGAGTGATCGAGCCAAGCATGATGGCCTGGTTACCCATGGGAGCAGCTGGGATAAGTTGGTATTCTTATTTCTAAACGTTCGATATAGCCATGCTTTGACCTGCGCTGTCTCCTTCGGCAGCTTCGCCATTATTATGATGTTTCGGTAAGTAGCATTCATCCAAAAGACTACGATCAATACTGAAGAAAACTTGAAGCACGCTCAAGAAATTTTTGGAGCCACGATTTCCAAGCGTTGTCTTCTTTCCTGATCAGCTTCTCGTCGTAATTTTCTCCGCGATATTTACCTGGAAATTCGGCTGGGCTGAGCAAGGATTGCATATTTTGGGCGACATTAAGGGAGCAGGAAATCAGACGTTTGGATTCCGTTGGCCATTCCAATGGAGTCAATTGGATCATATACGGACCGCCATGAGTACTTCGTTCATTATCTCGTTGCTTGGCTTCTTCGAGTCTTCGATTGCTGCCAAGGGCCTTCGCAGCACAGTTCAAGACGGAATAGAGGGTATGACTTACAGTCCTAATCGAGAGCTCGTTGCTCTTGGGACTGCTAATATCCTTGGCGGGTGCTTCATGGCACTGCCCTCGTTTGGCGGTTACGGAAGGAGCAAACTTAGCGCTGCAACCGGTGGGAAAACGCCCATGAGCAGCATTTTTTTATGCCTAATTACGGTGATATGCATCGTATACTTATTGCCCTACTTTTACTACCTTCCGGTAAGTTAATACCCAATAAGAAAAGCATGTCCATTTGAACGCTTTGTTAACAGCTGGAAGATGGGTGTCCTGTCCGCTGTAATATCTGTTGTCTCATGGTCCCTCATTGAAGAATGCCCCGATGACATCCGATTCTTCATCCGCATTCGCGGCTGGTCAGAACTGATCCTTATGCTTCTTATTTTTGTTTCTACCGTCTTCTACTCCCTCTACCTTGGCATAGCCCTGGGGATGGGTCTATCCATTTTGCAAGTTATTCGACACGCAACAAAGCCCCGCATCCAAATCCTGGGCAAGGTTTCTGGGACCGACAACCGATTTGAAAATGCAGAGCTCCATCCGGAGAGGGTCGAATTCATCGAAGGCTGTCTGATTGTGAAGATTCCAGAACCACTTACATTTGCAAACACAGGTGATTTGAAGAACCGCCTCCGGCGGCTCGAGTTTTATGGCACCAATGCTGCTCACCCAGCTCTTCCCCGGCTTAGGTCCCCAGAGCATAATCGGAATATGATATTTGATATCCACGGTGTTACGAGCATTGATGGTTCGGGTGTCCAGGTGCTCTCTGAGATTGTGCAGGAATATATCGATCAAGACGTTAGGGTGTTCTTCTGTCGAATTCCTCGACCGGAAAGCGAGGTCTTTCGATTAATGGTGAAGAGTGGTATCGTGGATATCTGTGGAGGAATGACGCATTTTGTGGAGAGTGTCGATGAGGCTCTTAAGCTCACGGAGACACCACATATTCATATGGAGTAGTTTGGATCGACCGTTTTGGATGTTTAGGGGCGAGTGAGATTTTTCGGGGTACAATATTACGCTGGCAGACGTTTTGAAGTTTATGATGCGCCTTTCATGAAGTCATGATTCAATCTTCTATTAACATGGATTTCTTAAGCGGAGATTGCTTTTTCCTTTCTTTTTGGGCGAAAAATTTTAGCGTGCGTAGCACTTGCATTTGGTTATGTATGAGCCACTTTAGTTGAAGCAAGATAAATGTCTTCCTGAACACCTTATCCTAAATATGTACGTATAAGTAATTGTTTGAAAATACAGCTAGTCAATGAACACGGCGCGTGAGATTTCGCACCTTTAACTCACAAAAGTGATCACTATCATGCTGTTTATTACACAATCAGTTTTGCATAGTTCACGACAGTAAAATTTGTCAGATCAAGTTACTTAGAATCCTGACTGTTCGACACACTCGTAGAGCTCCATAGCTCTGAAAATAAGGTCCATCGTCTTGCATCAGTCTTGACGCGGTTGTAGATAAAGGCGCACCGACTTTGCTAGAGGAAGCTGATGCAGAGCTCTGAACTGCCCATAACGCTCAAATCGACGCAGGATATGCGACTTTGTATATCCTCGAGCATTTATTGACCAGTGGTCATGATATCCATGTTCTCGGTGCCAACAAACTCCCAAAAGATCATTAACCCGGCGTTTGGTGAGATAGTCGTTGGAAATGGGCTTCGCACCGCCCGGACGGGGAAGTTGGTAGACTACGGAGCATAGATATAAGGGAAGGCACCTAGAATGTAACAAATAGGTTTTTTTTTCCCACGGTCGTTTCGGCTCAAGTTATAATGTCGTTCGTCATACTCGCTCTCTCGGCTTGACTCTGACTTCCAGCTGCCCTGGCAACCAATGCCCGTAACAGCTCCTCATTGGCTTTCCAGATAAATCTCTTCTCTCTTTCCTCAGCATCCTCCGGGAGGTCTTCGGCATCAGGCTCGTCAATATGTGAGTCGTCAAGAAGAATTGTCCGACCGGGATTCGCAAGAAGTTTTATTCGCCCTTCGAAGCCAATCACAAAAGCGCCAGACGCAATTTTCGTTAGTCGGATGTGATGCTTTTCTGGTGTGCGAATGGTAGTTGTGGTAATAGAGGTGTTGATATCAATATTCATGGCGAGATGGGTCCTGAAGTAGTCTGATAACGCCGATATGAATGGAGTCGGTGATTCAGTGCCTGAAATGCCTGATGTGTTCGAGCCTAATTTGCGTTTTTGGCCGCGGGACGCTGGTGTACGCAAGGCCTCTGACTTATCCAGACCACGAGTGTACAATTCACTCAGCGACTGACGGGGCAAAGACACCTCTACGCTCTTCAAAGCGGGCGCAACAGGCGCATTAAAAGATAGTGTTAGTTGGACCTCCTTCATTACCCGTTCAATAACTTCCCGGTCATCATGGCGTCCCCGGACACTCTGGTGTAACGTCGCCAAATACGTTTCCAAGCATGAGCATAAAAACCCCGATGGAAGCCTGAGGACGGAGCATCGTGCATCAAAATTGATTCCAAGGAAGGCAAGGAACGCCTGGCGAAGCGCAGTTGGCATACGCGTTACCAAGAGCGGGAGATGGGTGGCATCATCATCACGGGGCGTGTGATATCCATCGGGGTCACAGAGCAGAGCAGCCTTATACTTGATGGTTTCATACTCTAGAGTCACGAGAATACCGGCGGACTGCTCCGCAGTGATGGTGAGAGTCTCCTGATCCGGATCCTCGAGCAAGGAACGCTCCTCGTTCCAGTAGTGCCAGGTGGGTAGAGTTTCCCACCTGCAAGATTTCAAGGAGCCAGCTTTTGCAAGGGCTTCATCTAGCAAAGAATTGTTGTCGAGAGAGAGTCGGATTCCGTGAAGGGTATCGCCTGTAAGCATGTCACGGAGGCGATTCGCGTACATGGACAATGCCTGTGCATCTTCGAGAAGGGTGCGTTTGGACTCTGCTGTATGATATAATGGGGAGAGGCGGTGAAGAGTCCAAGATGTGGCGAAGAGCTCCGAAGGAGACTGTGCCATTAGCAGAGTGTAATGGACGGACTTAACTGGACTAAATATGTGTGCACCACAGAAGGGCAGAGGTGAGTAGCAAGGTATTTCGCTCGTTGCGCGTTGAGCAAACAAACACGGCAAACCTTCGATTCCGAATTTCGCCATTTTAACTAGTTAACTAAGCTGGCTATCACGTGATCAACATGACAAATAAGGTTCACGCCCTATCACCTTCCTCGCTCAAACTCCGCGCAATTCTATTCGCTGCCGAGACGCGCCGTCCCGTGTTATGTATCTTTCCGCTAAGCACACCCAAACCCGACCCCTCGGGCCGACTCGCCGCTTCCGTCACACGCAATTTCCCGCCCCGAGCCGGCCCATGACATACGCCTCTCCCGCCTTCCCCATCACCTCGACGCCGAACAGCCGCTCATAGTACGTGCGCGTGCGGTCTCCCCGTGTCATCAGCATCAGCCGTCTCAGATACTGCATCTTGTCCATCTCCTCCTGTATCACGCCCATCAACCACGTCCCAAGCCCGCAGCTCTGGTATTCCGGATGGATATACACGTCGCAGAGGTAAATGAACGTCACGCAGTCGGTGATGAGGCGTGTCAGGCCAATCTGCTCGAGGTTCCGGGGTTCTCCAGAGTCGGAGTTGGGCGCTGGTGTGGATTTGTATATCCCGAAGCAGACTGAGTTGTCGAGCATCTGCTTCATGGCGCTTTCTGGGACGGACCGTGCCCAGTACACGTAGTCTTCATTGAACGCCGCGATGATGGACGGGATCGAGAGCAGTGACCGATCTGTGGAGATGACAAACTGTGTTTCTTCGCCTTTGTCGTCGGTGATGGAACGGGACCATTCCTTTGGCTGCTCTTGTAGGTGGTGCATGACTATCGGTTGGGTAAGAATCTATGGACTTTGAGGGATAACGCAGCAACTGGGCTTTTCTCGACCTGGCAAGTCGCCTGATCTATATTATATTCAATGAGAAAATATTTATATTCACGGAGGTGCCAGCATACGACCCTCGGCAAAACGAAAATCTCGTCTTGACCCCCTGCAATCGTTTTTTTTTAACTCAACAGAAGGAATTTCAATATCCAGAACTGCTAACTAAAGCATGCGCCAACCAAGATTGAGGTGCGTTAATTTACATTTATGTCTACTCGCGATTTTGTCCGATGCCAGCAAGTGAGTCACCTCCGTCAACATCACCTAAAGTTACAACGCTTGGAAACGGCTCCATGAGGCGTGGGTACAATACGAATCCGTAGTCCACATCGAGCCGATTGGAACTTCTTCCCGATAAGCGCTGGGCTAGGATAAATTGGCTTTGATTCCTTCCTTGGCTGATAATGTTTTGGCTAATGCCATAATTCACTTCTCATTCACTGCCCGTTGGGCATAGAGAGTCCACCGTACACACCCGTGAGCTGTCTTGTCCAGCAATAAACCTCCTCGCTTCTTCGTTGTCGTACCTGTGTCGCCTGCAGTCCCCAAGTCAGTCAATCGACGCAGTCACCATCATATTAGTTAATTGAAGGAGGGCAACCCACAACTATCGATCAGAACCTTCATTTTCCTCACACACTCTTCCCTCTGGATGAAGTGCAGTTTACCCTTGGGGCAATCCTTATCGTCGAAGCCTCCGTTAAAGGACGCTTGAAATCTTACGACAATTTGTCCAAAGGATGTATAGGCAGCTTGCCCGCTTCCTTCTGCTTTTTGATGAAAATTATGTAGATCAACTTTAAAGTCAGGGTCGACTTTGATCTTTTCGCCGCATATGTGGTCAATGGCTTCCAGTGCTTGAGCCCGAGTCATTGATTTTACGTCATTTACGTCGCCTATGATATCTCCTTCCTCGATGCCACAGAAGACGGCTTCAACGTTCTTTGTCTTGACGCGGAACACACCACAATGATCACGTACCGTGCCCCCATACTTTGCGGTCACTTGATTTGTGTCACACCCGTCAACTGCCTTGAGGAGGAAACGTTCACATGCTGCTTGGTCGACTTCGTACTCCGGGATATGGTCCGGGCACTGATCAGAATCATGGCTGAAGCTGACGGAAAGCTCCGCAGCCGAATTACCGGTTTCATAGTAATACTGCCGGCTAAGTTTGCGGTCCGGATTGACGGTCTCTCCCCCGGGGTTCGCGCAGAACTCCTTGATGCTTTTCTGCCGATCATATCTGGTTAACCAAGTGTGCGCTTTTTGTAGTACATAAGACTTGCTTACCGCAACATCGTCCCGCTTTACTCCCCTGTCGTCATTGATGCCCCTTTCCTTTTCGCATTCTAAATCGCCTTCATACTCTTGAGCGATCGCTCCCCAAATAAAGCACCCATCCTTGATGAAGCTACCGTGTTTCTTCAAGGTATTGGTGTCGCAGTTATCTAAGCACGACTTTAGGAGCCACTCACAATCACCATGACGGAGCGAATTCGCCAACTTTGCAGGGCATATTTCATTCCACTTCGTGGAAAGCGACAGCACTAGCCCGCGTCCGACGTAAGGGGTATCTTGAATCCCCTCGTTGTCTATTTTCTTGTCTTTATTGTTCTTGCAGAACCCTTTGATCTTGTCCACGGCAATGCTCCGCTGAACAGTCGGCCCGGATACCTCGGCGCAATTCGTGACATCATGGGGCGCTTTCACTGGCTTCTGCTTGCGAAACGACTCATATTCTTTCCACACCCGCTTCTCGTGAATAAAAGGTGTTTGTGCTGGCTTCGTGTTTATGAGTTCTGAAGTCGTTGGGGTTTCTTTTGGCTTGTCCTCGGTGTGCTTGGGATCATCACCTGGTTCTGGCGGTTCTGGCGGTTCTGGTGGTGGAGTTGGCGGAGGAGGGATGGGCTTGGGGCCAGCAAGGCCCACCCATGCGAGGCCACCTGCAAAGACTCCTATTAATACGACCTTGCCAGCTTTATCCGTCGAAGTGACTGTGGTTGGACCAGTAGCCGACGCGTACTTCGTCAGACGTGTCGGAGTGAATGTCTGGCTCCACGTTGAGCTACCGCTTGTGGTCGTCACGACGACCTGTGTGACTGATGCCGTGGTAGCCCTTGGCTGCAGCCTTGTGAGGGGACTGGCATTGCATGGCCCAAACACGCTTTGAAAAAGTAAGAAAGCAGTTAAAGACAACCGCATTATGACAAGGGGTACATTCGTCGGGTCTGGGACGGATCGATAAACCGTCGTTCATGGGGAGGAAAAGCAGCTATGAGGCCCCCCATTGCATATTAAATATTCGAGGTAATACTTAAAGCACTGGGATATCGAATGCATATTCCAAAGTCCACAGCGACGACCTCGTGTGATGCGCTGGTACTGTTCGGAGGATTGTTTTAGTCCGCCGGCGGCATCTCTGCGCTAACCCGCGCCCGATTTCCGCCCCCCCTTCCTCTCAACCCCAACCCCAACCCCAACCCCGGCCCCTCCGCTCCGGTGCCGCACCGTCGGAACGGGGGTCGAGCCGCATTTATAAATATTTAATTAATATGAAGCGCAGTCTCATAAATGAGGCGACTTCTCTACTATTTGCTGGTAGATGCGGCCGTTTTATTATTTTTGAGCCAAACGTACTTCATCGGCAAGCCCTCCGTGTGGTTTTGGATGATAGTCGTACATGTGCTCGCATAGCATATGTGCACAATGCATATGGCCTGCGCAGGGCCCCATGCTGACACCCGTTGCGGAGAGAGTCGAACGGTTTCAAGCACGTCCAAGTGTGTACTTCCTCTTAGCGGTTACTGCGAAATTGTTTGCTCCTTAGCAAGATACTGCTTACGGATAATTGTCCGGAATATTGGTGATACGTCTATCGAGGGGGCCTGTTTCTAGCCACCGTTTGGCATTCATAATAGCTGGCCTACATCATTCCAGCTCTTTAGATGATCTTGTTATTTCTATAGCCCGATACTAGGCTGACAACCCTAGTATTCACCTACTTTTCCTAATTCATGTTTCAATGCGTGCCAAATCATCGGGTGCATTCAAAGGGAATCCGACGAACGGGATACTCCCTAAGTACGACGGCACCGTGAGACGCAGCCGCCCGTTCTTCATGCGGCCATGCTACACAGAGTTTTGATCTGCTTCCAAGGATTTCTGCGGTGCTTCTTTATAGCTCTTATCCTGTTAGAGCCATAACTCCTTCGCTCTATTCCCAAAACTTAGAGCATAGGCCCTCTTCATTGATTGGCGATTTGATGCTCTCCGGGCTCGTCACCACCAAGTCAACGTAGATCATATGAAGCAGTCCATGGAACGCTGGCGATTCACGGAGATGCACCATGCCATGCAAACCATTCCTCTAGGGCGTGGTTTTTATGCTTGCATTCTAGTTCAGTCCCCCAAGTCCACTCGAGCCCACACCTATTATGGAAAAAGACCTCCGTGCAATGAGCGCAGGTTGCCACCTGTTTCTTGAGAACTAATCCCCAAAATTTGGCCTGCTTCAGGTAAACAGTATTTGCCCCTTTCCCGGAGATATCTTACAAAAAGGAATACATGTGTTTCGTTGGCCTGTATGAAGGCTCTATATGTTGATGGCAGAAAAGTTTCCAAATTGCTATATCTTTGTTTCCTGTATCTTTTACATGAAGTACCATGTTCGAAAGCGCCTTTCCCGGGTCCTTCAAATGGTCTGATGCGATAAGATGTGGGTATATAATATGAGAGTCATGAATAAACTGACTAGGCTCCTCTTTCTCGGCTGTGCTGTTCTCAACTTTGCCTCCATGATAACTTGCTATACCATTCACAGTAGCTGCGATGGTCTCAGGGCGGTAATTCGACAAGCCGCCGACGAAGCATTTTTTATGGCAGATCACGCAGCTTTTCGAGCTGGCCTGCAAGATCCGCAGATTAATAATGACCTTGTGCACAAGCTGCTGGGTAATCCTGGTGGTCTTCAGGCATTCGAAAGTAAGATAAGATGTCATTCTAATAAGCTATCTCTTCTGCAAATGCTGACACAAGAGAATATAGTGACAATGAAACGAGTCAAACAAGAGGTGGGGGAGCACACTAGAACCCGGCCATATGGAGCTGCAATCATTAAGTGTGGTGATGATCATATGGTTGAGGTTCCAAATCGACCAGGCCACTTCCTTGATCGTGAATTTCTCACGACTATGCGGCCAACAGTGATGCCGGCGAACCGGAGGCAAGTTTGCGTCCCGGGAGTAATCGCAGTAACATATGAACTAGGAAGAAACAATCCTCAGTCGGCCGTGCTTCTTTGCTTGAATCGGAACGGCGATCCGGTGCCGGAGGAGAATGCGATCCTTGAGGGTTGGAATGACCCTCTCGTAGAGAGCGAGTCATTGAATTTGCTGGAATCGTACCTGAGCGTGACGATGTTGCATGAATTTCTGCATGCGATAGACCCACGGAACTGTATGCTTTCTTTTCTTTTCCTTTTTTTCCCCCCCTCCAGAAATTTCAAGCATGTTACTATTGCGATCTCTAGTAGAAATACTAACAAGCTACGACGGTATCGAACAGTTCCCAGTGACCTTTCTCCAGGTGTCGCAGAAGCATATGGTTTGTCAGATATTTCAATGCTGACTACCCCTGAAAAGAGGAGAAATGCCGATAGCTACGCGCTTCTCGCTGGAGGTATGAAACTGGACATTTTCCCATATATACTTCCTAACAGCCCCGAATGTGGCCCGCGCTAACATCCTGCATGACGAATAGGGCTGTATTACCGACTAAACCCACTCAATGAAGACGGAGAATGGGAAAGGCCGTATGAAAGAGGAAGAGTACCACCGAGGGGGCCACATCCTGAGGACGATGTACTTGATATGATGAACTCTGATGACGAAGATGACTCCGATATTGAGATGCATGATGTGAAGAAGAAACTAGGCGTCCCTATGAACAGCACAGCTGGTATAGTTATGAGGAAAACCAGGAGGAAAGCTAGAGGATTGAGGCTGAGGTAGAGATGTTCATTATTGTATCTGTAATTATATAGTGCCTGTTTTCATCTGCTATTATTAGTATCATTGAGAGATATAACAATTACTGTGAACCTACCGTACATGCTCGTTCTTCATCGTTCCTGGATAATAAACAAAACATAGGAAAAACTCATGATCGATGTACAAATAGCAATGGAAAGATAGATTCCTTGGGCTAACAAAAGCAGTCTCAAAGCCTGATTGAAATGACGGCTCAAGCAAAGGATGGGTGACGTAGAACGGACGCAGTTGTTCCACTAATTGTATGGCGGTTATACTAACAATAGCTCTGTAGTAGCAGGATCCGAGATGATATCCACTTTAAAAAGAAGAAGCAAAAGGAATTAAATCATTGAACTTGCAGTACAAGTTCAGGGTGTGAAGCTAGATCAACTTCGACGGGACCAAAGTATTTCTCAAACGCCTCCTTCAAAACACGGTCAGACAGTTGCATATGCTCCCCTGGGACTGTTAAAAACTCCAGACTCCCAGCCTCATCCATGACTTTCAGACCCAGCCAATCCTCAGTGTAGATTTCTCGCTCCTGAAGGGGCTTAACATACCCAGTCGTGCTGTTAACTTCGGCGAAATGCGCACTCTGCTTGGGCACCACCAGATTGTCATCTTTAAACATGTACATGGCAAATTTATTAAGCGAAATGAGATTGCGCTTGTACTGTTCGTTCTTGATCTCCCGTTCGTTGTTGATATCAGCCAAGAAATTGCTATGCAAGAGATACTGGTCGAGCTCCTCGGGATCACGGAAATACTGCGCCGGAACAAACCGAGACTGCACCATATTCGACCACGCTCCAAATCTCAAAAGTGCCTCAGCGCCACGGCACACCCAGTCACCCGTTGCGGCGCAGGATTGGAATTTTGCAATACCATTGTGCTGGCTTCCGAACGTAACCAGATTTCGTACGGGAGGGCTATTGCATCGTTCTACATATCCACGCAGAAACTGACCACCCTGAGAGAAGCCCAGTGCATTGACAGCGGGCGCAGTGCTGAGAATCGGGTCGGACTCAAGCTGCTTGCAGACAGTTTCGAGTTGGACGGTCACATTGCCAAGGAATGACGCCTGGCGGTCTGCTTCAGGCGTGTCGCCAACATGAATAATGTGTATATATGTGCCGGGATGTGTATCTTCGGCAAGTTGTGCGATATGTTTCAGGCCTTCACGGGCAAAGTCATCGCCAAGGCCATGCCAGATGACGAGTGGCAGTTGTGTAGTTTCGGAGGTACTGGAAGGGAAAACCGGGAAAGAGACAATGGGTGATAGGAGGTGGGAAAGGAAATAAGCGTTTTGAAGCGTTCTAAACTTCATGAGTTCTTGATAGAGGAATCGATGCTGTTAGTCACCAGTGCTCAATGGATTCTCGTCCAGGCCTGCGGTCGAAGGGGGAACATCACGTCCTGCTGTTAGTTAAAAGTCACTGATAAGATAACATAGAATCTTGCCTTCCCGACTACGCGCTAGCCTAAGGTAGTTAGTTAGTCTAGCTGGAGGATACTCGGATAAATATAATACCGAGTCCGTGAGCCTGTATAAAGGGGTCGAGGTTCCTATCTCATGGCTCACTGGGCAATTATGAATACTGAAGGAGATATAAATCTTCTAGAAGCTTCAAAGTTAAAATGCAAATGTTTCCACTAATAACAAGATGAAGTGTTATTCCCCAGCAACAAATAGGCAAGCTTGGGCGGACAACTCCGACATACTCTCCTTAAAATCTCAGGCCCATGTATATGCTCATTGTCTGTGCTTCTGGATGTCTTGAAAAATGGACTTTTTTTGAAAACGATTGTCTTGGGCTTTCAAAGGCATTCATCTCCAAATGAAGAGGATCGAGGGATGACCTAACGGAGCTCTGACTTAGCCATGTATGGCTACCGCAAGCTGCTTCATCCAAATCTTGCAGTACGTTCTGACTTTTTGGCATCGCTTCTGGTGAAGTTAAATAAATCGACTGGTTTGGACTTGCAGCATTGTTATACGTTGACATCCCGCCCAGAAATTCTTCGATATAACCCCCCATTGGGCTGAACTGTGACAAAAAGTCTGTTTCTGAAGGCATAAACTGGCCATCCGCAACAACCGGTGAAGCGCAGTTTATCGACGTATTTATGGCAGTTTTGAATGTATCACTGGTAGTGGATGCTTCGCCTGGAACGGTGATGTTGTCTTTCGATTCACCCGCTTCACTGATGCTGCTGGTATCTTCGATACCAATTGGTTTTCTGCTTGCGAAGAAAGGGGAGTCCAATTTCTCGCTGGCCCGTGTTCTTTCGGTTTTTGGTCCGAACACCAGTCGTTTCCAAATTTCGTCTGCATTTGGGAAATCATCTGCCCTTTCTTCTACGGTCTGACCAAAGAAGACCGACCTTGATGATTTTGCTAGGCTTGGGCGCATTTGTCTTTCGATATAGCTGTCTGCTATATGTCCCTTAGGCATTTCATATTCCTTAGAAAAAGGAGGATTGTTATGCTTGCCGGTTAATTCGCCTATCAGGGATTTTCTCTCACACCCAGCCACACCCGAGGACGTCTCTACCGATTTCAGATGTCTCTCATTGAGAATTACAAAGTCCCTCGAACCCGGCGGGATGTACTTAGTTTGGTGTCCATGGGCGGTGAACGTACCGTTTCTATCTAAGACCGGAAGCCTAGATAGCTCTGAAGAAGGTAGACATGTCGCTCCTTGACCTAGTTCCTCAGTTTCCTGATTTTGGATTGCTGATAAATCATCATTATCCTGGTCCCAGAAGACGTCTAGATTTCCACTACTTCTTGGGTTCACAATTATAGACGATGACTCAAAGTCGTAACCCTCAATAGCCTCCTCTGTGTCGAGCAACATTGACTCCGACGAAGCCTGGCTGAGGAAATGGCTTTCTGTTCGCAGTCGGGGGGTCAGAGGTACCATCTTCTGCTCATTAATGCGTATACTGATGGCATCAAGGTTTTGCGCAGTTGAGGAGTCATCGTCCCTGTATTGTTTCTTCCGCTTCTTCGAGGGCCACTCGTAGGAACGGAATATAGGGACTCGCTGCTTTCCGGCAAGCGTCAGCCTCTCCCGATCTGCTTCTGTGAGGGGTCGCCTTCGACCGCAGTTGTATCTTTCCTCTTCGGTGGTAAAGTGCACGTTCAGCGGACGTGAGATGGAAAGGCCGGCCCAGTCGTTCTTTTGGAGGAGCCTGCGGCGTATGGCTTCAATGCTTTCATCCCGTGCTGTAGGGGATCTTAAAAGGTTCTCTTCCAGGAACTGGCCTCGACTTCTGGGTGGTTTATTGGAATGCCCGTTAGGCGGCTGGTGGCTTCGCGTTTTCAAAGCAGGCTCCGGATTTTCATTTCCCTTGAAATACTGACCGTTATCAGTGCTCTTAGAATACTCTAGTCCAGTTCCTTTCCCCTTAAACTTGATCGTCGATGGCCCGCTAGCCCCTTGAAGCTCTGGGGCAGATCCGGATATTCTGAGCGGTGACAGAGCCCGTCTTCGACCCTTGAGTGCCAACCTTCGTGCTTTGGCAAAATGTAGTTTTTCGCGGGCCTTGAGTGTGCTCTTGTCTTTGAAAGAATGACGGAAGAGCCTACCTCCGGTCCAATTCATGGGGTCATTGACTCAACTTGGAGTCTTCTTGGCCGTTAAAGGTAGATGTAAACGAGAAGTAGATGATTTGAAACGGCGATTTGGCAACAGACGATGAGCATGTGCTGTAGAGCCGGGGTGGTTCTTCGACATCTGAAGCGTCGCTTGTGGGTGGATTAGGTCCGCTTACCGCTTTCGGAAATGGGCTGCCGGGGCGCAGTTACGCTCGAGAGAACAGTAAGGCAATGAGGCGACAAACGCGATTTGATTTGATTAGGATGAAACCGACAGAATCCATATAACTAGGTACATGCAAATCAGGCAAATAATGACACTATGGCAAGTTGAGCTTCGTCGAAATTCAAGCTGAGGATGCACACTCCAAACGAAATCCACAATTAAGCACATATAACACAAGCCAAGTTCAAACACACACCCTGCTGAGGGTCAAAACACCGTGCTGTCTTTCATTCAACGGGGTACATTTCGAATATCTACTGCCTAGTATATTCAAGGCCATAATTGAACTTAAATCCCTTAAGTCTACCCAAAATAGGCCAGAGCCAGCGAAGGGTAGAGGTGCTCATTTCGTGCTTCATGCCGTCAAGGGCTTCGCTAGAACAGTTGGTGGCGATGCAGTGGTGAATCATAGCAAGGTCAAGGTCGATCAAGTCGGTTTCGTTCTTGACGGCGTCCTGGCGACGAGCCAAGCTGATGCCGTACTTTTCATGCTTGGCGGGACCGTTTTCAATCTCCACAAACGAGGTGATGTTCCAGCCCTGGGTGGCTGCGGGATCGTTTTCAATCATGTCAAGAACTTGGGCCAAGGTCTGACGGTCGCGCTCGGAGCACTGGCCGGAGATACACTCGATGGTGACATGAGACGGAAGGCCAGCTGTTGTTTTTGTTAGCTGATGACCGTGAGATATATTGATCTGCTGTTTGCTACGTACTCGCGTTGCGGGCCGCAAGTGCATCAATGGCAGCTAAGAGGCCTGTCAGCTTGGACAAGCGAGGAAAATTTCTGGGTCGTGGACTATCACTTACTTTTATCCGACTTCAATGGTGTAGCTGCACCAGGAGTGCTGAGTTGGATGGAGATGATGCCCACCATGGCACATGCAAAACCAGGCTTCATTTTCTTCAAGAACATCGTGAAAGAATTAGTAAGATGAGAAAAGTAACCCTGTAATGATAGGATATGAGCACGAAAGTATCGAAGGTAAGACCGGTGTGGGAGAGATGTTTGAAAAAAAGGAAAAGAAAAGAAAAGAAAGAAAAGGGGAAAAAAGCCCGAGAACATCGAACAGCCTGGGGGGAAGATATACCCTAGCCGAGACGTCGAAATCACATCAGAATGACTTGGTATATGATGTGTATCATTTTGTGGTCATCAACAACTCAACGTGGGTGGGCGCAGCGAGTAAGCAAAGAAAGCTTTGGCTGCTGGATTCGCTAACGACTCACAGGATGGTCCATGGTTTGGGCTTGATGGTTTGGCGAGGGAAGGTAGACCCAGCGGAGAACACGGGCAACCATCGACGGATAGTTTTAAGGTTTTTGGGATCTATTCTGCGACGACCAGACTTGAAGTCTGCAGGAGGTACCGTGGATGGAACTGTCAGCGTCAATATTAACTCAGGTCAATCAACCATCTCATCAAAATGACGAGAGTTTCACACCTGAGAGCAATCGCGAAAAAGAAGTCGTAGGATTAAGTCGACCGATGAGCCACGCTAAAATGACGATAGATTCACGGCTAAGGATAGTCATGAGGAGAAGGCCGCATAGGTCCCCGGATTCCTCATCGGCTGGTTCGAGAAGACACATCCTCTTCCTCTGCCATCGCCCGCTAGAGAACTACTTCGCTGGCAAGGACCTCGAAGAAAATGGAATACTTTTCGCGTAATTTCTCAATCGACACAGAAGCAGTGAATGAGGCCTTTATTCCGCCGGAAGAGCATGACGAGGACAGCGGGGGCATTACCCGTGACGAACAAGCGCGGAAATGTCAAAGAAATCCATGGAATAAGCATTCGCAGTCGAGAAAGAAGTACTTAATGTATTCGGCATTTATTGTCCTTCTCCTGTGTCTTGTGCTGCTTGGCGTTGTCGTAAGACTGTCGATGCTGGCTTTCCAGAGCTCAGGGTGTGAAAAGACGTCGTGCACGAACGTATCGGGCCTACCTGATGCCGTTTATTGTAAGGTGCCCCATTTGAACAGGCATGGCACCCTCGCTGGGGAGAACTGGGCTAATGTCAATACCAGCGCCGGCACAAGCTGTCAAGGAATTCCAGGCTGTGCGATTTGACGGCAGGGTTGACACCAGAAACATATACAAGGGGGCTCCAAGCTCCCGGCTTGACGACGCTTGGAGAGAGCTTTATGATGGTATGTCGGCGTTTAACAGTCACAAGGTAGTAAAAATAAAAAGTATTGACACATTGATAGTTGAGCCTTTCCTAGTTACAGCGCAGGAGCTGAAAAGGATCCAGAAAACCAGCGTCGAGGTGCCTTCTCGACGTGGATATCACCTCGCCAAGCTAGCTGTTTTTCATCAGCTGCATTGTCTGGCAAGTAGCAAGTCATTGGGAAGGGGAAAAAGAGCGAGAGCTAATATGCAAAGATATTAGGATAAAATCCGTCAACATGTCCACAACGACCACTATCAGCGGACAGATGAAGGGAAATCGGTTTCAGTTATAGACCATGTCGGTGAGTGAAGCCAGGCGGTGATTGTCGGATGTGTCCATAACGTTAAGCATGCTTGAATGCAGACCACTGTATCGATATTGTCCGCCAGGCGCTCATGTGCCAGGCAGACACAACTCTCATCACATTTAACGATGACGGGGCACTCGCGCCCGTGAAGCCTGATTTCGAGGCCACGCATGCATGCCAGAATTTTGACAAAGTCCATGATTGGGCGAGGGAGAGGGAATTCAATATGACAGAGGAAGCGATACGAAATCCTAAACCTTTTAGGGATGATTTGATTGATGCGATTAACAGAGAACTCGGGGAACGACGCAGTGGTTGACGGAGAATTGTCACCTTGCTGTCGAGTTTGCTCGGTTTTGGATGTTTGACTTTGTTTGATCCACAAGCTCGTTGACTAGTTAGTCAGCACACTAGCATTGAAATTTGAGCTTTTTGCAAAATCTCTCTTCATTCTCTTTTTCTTCTCTTCCGTTTCATTTCAGAGCAGCCTGCTTTGCTCGTATCTAGACCACTACGCAAAGTTGATGAGGATGACGGTATGCCCTTAATGTCGAAGGTCGACAACACCTTGGTAATATGGCACAAAATTGCCATCACCAGACCAGCACCCAAAAGGTAAGAGAGAGAACCCTACCAACGAGCTCACCTCCTGGGCCTCTTGTGATGATTCCCAATTCTTAAGCATAGTTCACCTGAAGGTCCCTGGACCACTGAACGACAACCCATCATCATTTTCTTTCACCTTTGTCTGAGTTTGAGCCCAACGTTGATTGACCTGCCTTCATTCTGATCTCTCTTGATGTTTCCAGAAGCTGACAGACGAAAGAGTTCTGACCAGGATACTTGAGTGTTTCATCTCCGATTCCTACCGAAAATATGATTGGCGTCACGAGAACGGAATGGCTGAAGTTGCTGCATTGCTGCCCAATCTATTGTAAGGACCAATCACAGTAACCCGCCCTAGTAGACGGCCCGCTGCAGCCCATCTCGGATACCTCGTAGGAACGTCATCCTCGGTCATCCTCTTCTCTTGTTCTGGCAGGCTGAGGCCCCTTTCTCTCATCTTCTTCCTGGGCGTAAATATGTTTGTACGAGCCATGCCTCCGTATTGGCAGGCGAGAAGTGCCTGTTCCAGTGGCTGTTGTCACTCAGACCTGACACAGCTGCGGTCGATGATGTGACATTTGATGCAGAGTCCCTTGTAATCACATTCTCGGACTCGCTGGGATCGAATCAAATCAGCCACCGATTCCCACTGTGGTCGCTGAGTTTGTGCGACTGGTGGTCACCAGTCTGAAAGGGAACACACTTGCGGCGCATCCGTCTGCCACGTCAAGCGATGTGGAGCTGAGAGCCGTGGGGAGGGGTGGCCTGCTGCGGCGGAATCACTCCCACTAGCTCCCGCCGTCGAATCAATGCTGGAATAACCGTAGAAAAGCGTCGTCGAGCTGCAGAAAGGCTGCATTAATGCCGTCCTGCACTGCTACACTGTGCCCCGCCTTGCATCATATTGGTGGATGGGTGAGCTGGCTCGGTTCTGGCGGCGTTCACCCGCAGTTAAAGCCTGATCAAATCCCCTTTTCCCGTCTGCCCTCTCCTTCTTCCTCTCTTTTCCTCCTTTTCTCCATACAACCCTCAAATCGTCTCTCAGGCTTCCTTACAGCTGCGTCCCAACGCTTTATCATTCGATCTACTCTCCATTAGACATCTCTCGACCGCTTCTCCGTTTCTGATTGCAAAAAGGTTATTTTTTACGTGGACCGTTTGACACCTTGCATTCCACTTCTTCCTGGACATTAAATTCTCAGACCAACTTCGGCCCAACACTGGAATCCAGTCCACAGGTTTCGTTTTTGCTTCTTGTTTGCCTGAAGATAGATCAGCCCAGTTGCCAGGTCCAAGGATATTCAGCCCATTTTTGCTCCCAACTAAATAAGCGCCTTCACTCCTCAGAAACATCAGGTAGTTCCCATTTCTTCTTGTTCACGCACTGCATCATTCCCCCTCAAATATTGTTCCATGTCATGTATTCCTTGACTTCTGTACTTTTTCTTTCTCGGCTTTGCTTGCGTTTCTTCGACTCTGTTCTCCGTGGATGCCTGGCCGAGATGATTCGAAACCTTTTAAGGACAGCCCAAATGGACGCCGATATTCCTGGAATACACTTTTCAAGCTACTGTCTGGAGGCTCTTTAGCCATCGTCACGACGGCCCTCCCGCAAACCGCGTGGCTGGGTACGCTCTGACTATACTTTTGAGTGCATAATGCTGCATTCTCCGTTGGATAATGAAATCTCGACCCAAGATATGGGTTGTCCGTGGATCTACAAATGATGATAATGATGATGCTTCTCTGACTCCCGAACCTGAGGACTTTCCGGAGTTGCCAATGGATCTTTTTGAACTCTTCATGATCGGCCATGGCCTCAAAAGAATGATGAACAACTAACGAGCAGTGCTTCTGTCGATAAGCATGGGCTCAATGCAGCAAAAAACACAAACCCAGTCTGCTAGCTGTTGCCTCTTTCTCCTGGATGGCCTTACGACCCAGATACATGGACACAGGCGCCAGCCCAGGCCATGGATGTTCCCGCTGTTTCGTGCTCGGTGGCTTTGTCATCGATGCGTCGCTATTCGTTTTCCTGGCTGACAGAACAGTGCCCTGTTACACGAAACCCCAGGATTTGTTTGCCAGTCCTTGGATCTGATTGCTCGCTACTCGTTTGCTGTCCTATGTGATGTATTACAAATTTGCAACGCTCTTTCTTCCGGCCCAGTTTTGTGTGCCCAGTCTCGACAGATCAGCCTGAACGCCCCAAGCCTGGAATACCCTTGGATCCTCTATTCATAACTGGCAATTCTCAGGGTTTCTTCATCGATAGTATGAAATAATTGCTCGGACTAGCAACGTGTCTCCTGAGCCTCGATTCCTGGTTCGTAACAATGCTGCTGTAAAAGTCATGACTAGGGAATCGTGCGGCTAACCAATATTAGGGACCCTACGGATATCAAATCATTTCCTTTGCCCAGTTATTGCTTGCTGCTACGTTCGAGAACTTTGAGATTTTAAGGCGATGGTAATACTAACTTTTGTGCTTGTAGTCTATTTTTTCTGGTGTTTCGCCGACAGGACATTCAGTCACTATGGCTTCAAAAGCAAAGACGGGCCCACTGAGGCTATCAATACCCAAACCAAGCTCTAAATCAACGAAGTCCCAACTACCCCCCACTCAAAATTCCACAAGCCATGATTTCTTGGATATCTCCAGGACAATCCCGGATGATGACTACTCTCAAGATGCCTTTTCATTGTCCCCAACGTTTAATGGCCAAAGCGGCTTTAATGACTTGAGCCAATGGGCCTTTAATGATGCTGTCTTGTTGAGCTCCGATATAAGCTCCACCAGCGAGGCTACTGAGGAATCGTTTGACACCAGATCAATCCAAGCGGGCGATTATGATATGTCAGATGCCCAGATGCTTCCATTTTCTTCGTGTTCTCCTACATTGTTCCCCAAGGCCGATGGATCCATGGACCAGTCTCTTTCTGAATTCGGACAGCTTTCTGGCATCTCAAGCTCTCAGGACAGCAGCCCACAGTTATGTTTTCGCAATCCACAGGGATATCAGGATTTTAATGCTCTAGGCTTCTCTTTTGATAATGACGCAATGCACCATGCTACCGGGATGAATGATGTAAAACCCATGGGATTAAGTGTGGCCCCTCAGAGGATGGTCAAATCCGAAACATTTGGACAGGTTCCGTGGGATTCTATCTCTGGCGATATCAACGCCGCGTCCAATGTGACTCTCAGTGGCAGTCGTATCAACAGGCTTCCGGCCACGCCTCCACTCACTGAGGCCAGTCAGGATATGTCTGTCACTTCCGCTTGCACTCAAACGTACACCTTCCCTAACCAAGACGGCTCTCAATTTGTCGATCTCTCTGATACATCCTCTCTTTCCAACCAAAATTTCAGCATTGGGGCCCCCTTTCACCCTCTCACACCACCTCTCACTGAGCTGGACCCAAATAGGTAAATTCAAGAATGCTGATTTACGCTTGCATCGTATATCAGGCTTAATGGGCGAGGCTAATACTTGATACTATCGAATAGGACAATCCGCCCACAAAAGCAATCCCATAGGCCAATTCTTTCTGCTGCAATCACTTGCGCCTCGGACAAGGAGTCAGAGTTCTTTTCCTTGCAACAAACTATGGGCCAAAAGTCAAAGGATCCCTCTGACGGGAAAAATCCTCGTGACCATGCTTTTTACTCTCTTCCAACCCGGAGCGATGGAAAATACCACTGCCCGTACGCCACTGGAGATAACCCTTGCAAGCATACTCCTACAACTCAGAAGTGCACTTACCAGTAAGTCCTCCTAAGTTATACAGTGACATTTCACCGGACAAACTGACCGTGATTACTAGCAAATATCTGGATTCCCACTTGAAGCCCTATCGATGCAAGGTCCCACAATGTGTTGATGCCCACTTCTCCTCCAATGCATGCCTATTCCGCCATGAGCGTGAAGCCCACGGGATGCATGGTCACGGCGAGAACCCCCACTTGTGCCGCTTCCCTTCCTGTGACAGATCTATTCCTGGAAACGGATTCCCTCGTCGCTGGAACCTCCATGACCACATGAGGCGTGTGCATGATTATACTTGCTCCGAGAAGGCCAGCTCACCTGAAGGATCGCCAATCGCATCAGGAAAATCTCCAGCAGGCAAGAAGAAGGAGACAGCCATCCGCAAGCGCAAGGGTGTCGTCTCTGGTACCCAGACAATCAAGCGGGTCAGACCCACACAGGCTCAGTCCCAATCGCAAGCTGCCATGAAAGCCTCCCAAGCACATACCGACCAGCAGCTTCAGAATGCGGAGAAGAACTATAATGCCTGCTTGTCAGAGATCAAGAAAGATCTCGATAACATCAATCCTCAGGACCCAGCAATGCATGAGCGTATTAATGCAAGGCTTCAGGAACTGCACACCCATGCATTGAATTATCGATATATCAAGGCTAGCCAATTGGCGACGAAGAGAGGATCCGGGAGCTCCTCATAAGTCCCACCTAAAAACATCTTTCGGAATTACTTTTCTCTGGTGATTATTACACATGTGTTTTTTGTATGATCAGTATCGGCGTTTTCTATTTTGTTTTTCTTTCGGTTTCGACCCAGTTTTGGACTCTCCCACGGCCCGATTTATGGATTGCATCCGGGACCTCTAGGAAAAAAAAAATGTTTCTTTCTCGACGAATGCGGATAACAGGCCCAATTTTCTCCTGCCTAGGGATATGGCAAAAACGTTTTAAAGGATATTTGACCGGATTACGATGATACGAATCCCTTTTGTTTGTCTTGCCTTTTTCAAGAAGTGTTTTACTTTATCAGTGTTTTCATGTATTGCGATTGACGGTGAAAAGAAATCATGACTATCAAGTGGATGGCTGTGTATGGCAAAGGGGATTCTATTTATATTCTTTTTTCATATTTGGTGCGTGTCCTCGGGGCGGATGTAACTATCGACTTTCTGTGTATGTATGTGGCATTGTGATTACTGGGTGACTTTGCGGGAAATGGCTTGGATTGGGATATCTTATCTGGATGGACTGGCCATATCAGAGCTACATAGGATTCTCTAGCTCTTAGATTTATTTGCATATGGACTTGCAAATGAAGAAATATGATTTATGTTGTTTTCAACGGGCTTCTTTTGCCGCTGCTCAAACATTTGAACGGGCATACAGGAAAGCCATAATCAGGGCGAGCTAGATGTGATAGCCCAGAGCTTGGTATGATAAAGTAGAGAATGGACACAATATGAAGTTGCACCTCAATTCGTACTGTAATATATTTTTGAAAGAACCGCTCTTTGTGTCTACCTCCAAGATTTTCCTGCCGCCGATTATGTTCGAATGGACATGGTCGCGATTCCAATGCTGTTCTGTTTTCATTAAATGCGGATATAACTATCCGTTTCCTCCGTTATTCCTATTTATTCCACCCCCTCAAACTCGCCATTTAAAAATCGCACAAACGCCTCGCCTACTTGCTCTGATCCCATCGATCCCGGACCTTTCCCATGGCCTTGCCCAAGATACGCCCGGTTCATTCCCACCCATTGTCTTCTTAGCCTCTGAAGTCGTGGCAGCGCCAATACTCCTCCTGCACCAGCAAGTTCTTCTGTTGGTGATGCAGCGAGAGCAGTGCTAGGAATAAATACGGGTATAGAGATGTCTGGGATAGGGACAGATATCCCAGGGGCTGTTGGGTCGGTCAGTGTACTCGAGACACCGAGAGAGGAAATTGTAGGGTGGGTTTGGGTGAAATTGCGGATGTGAGTGACGATCTCGGATGTGCGCTTTTCGAGGGCGTAAAGGGCGCCGGGGTCGGTGGTGGGTGGTTGCATCGTTGCTTGATGAGGAACGATTTTGGGGCGAGAGACGCGGGTGCGCGGCGTCGTGGTTGCCGTGGAAGCAGTGTCACGGACTGATGTAGATGAATTTTGCTCTGAAAGATTCGAAGGGTTAGACGTGATGGTGAGGTAGGAGGAGGCAGTAGATGCGTCGGATATTGTTTGGCCCGTTAATGCAGCCCAAATTGATTCTATAGGTGGTGTGGGATCGGACCAAGGAACAGTAAATAGTGGCTTGTCCCAGCGACTTGACGTGGACGGCTCTTCGAAGCGGAAGATCAAATTTTGTAAGAGTTCAGGCGGATAGGGTTCATCGTCGTTGGTAAACGTCACCTTCGCCGTAGGAATCTCCTCGGCGCTCTGGGACGTTGGCCCTTGCAAGTTTTGCTTCAGTTCATCATCCCCATTCTGCACCTTCTGGAGACGTGCTTCGTTATTCTTGACGCACTGATCTATCGGCGTTCCAACGTGCACCTTGATATCACCACTGTGTCAGCTTTTTTCCTTCCTCAAACAACAAAGCATGTCATACTACGCAACACGTCGTCGATGCCGCTTTACTCTCACACCACAGTTGGTATCTCCACCCCTTGATGTAGTTCATCCCATCCACGATTACGATGCTATCCTTTCCCAGTAACCTCTTCACCCGCCCGTACACAACGGCCCGGGCTTCCTTTTCAGAACGCGCCGTATCATAAACTGTTCGCGGATGGGAAACATCATGCGATGTGACAATGTGAATCTTATAGCGACCCTTTTGCTGTTGTACTTGTGGTACCTCTTCGGAAGCTTGTGATGGAGGGTGGAGGCGGTTTTGGAGGTCTTCGAGCAGGGTGGAGAGTTGATTGGCCCGGTAGGTAAGACCAGAGCACGGGTATCCGGTTAGGATTATGAGCTAGAAGATGTGTGAGGAAAATCTCTGGGCTGCGCAGGTACAAGCAAGACTCACTGGCATTCTGTCGAGCGGAGAACGGCGCGGGGATGGCGGGGTTGGTTGGAACGGGCGGGACTTTTCGTCAGCGGAGTCGAGCGCGCGCAGCTTATGTAACTAACTAACAACCAACCAAACTAATAGCTAAACAACGGGCTCTTGGCACGGAGCGGAACTTTGCCCCTGAGCAGGGAGGGCCAGATGGTTCTTCCGCTGGTTTCCGCGGAAAATTGATGGAATTCTGTACCTCTATGGAGTACCTAGATCACAGTCCATCATGGATGATGGCACCATTCAAGGACCTTGCTATTTTATAGGGTTTTTTGACTCCCAAATTCTCTTACCTTGAATTGATTTCTCAATTTCGAGAATCTCAATATCCCTGACTCCGCCCTGACATAGAAAAGAGCTGCAACCATCTTACCAAAAAATGGCTTTTTTTAGTAACTTACCCTCAGAGCTCATCCTCAAAATCGTGGCCTATTTGGAGGCTCTTCACGATATTATATCCCTGGCCTTAGTATGTCGCTACCTTCACGATGTCATCGATATCACAGAGCGGCGATATTATCATCGGATATGTTTGCAGAGCGACCATTGCTATGTACGGGCTTATTGGTTGCTACTTCGGATGCTCAGAGAACCGCGATTGCGGCTATATGTCCGTGAAATTGAGGTATACATCTGGCCCACAGCGTCTGGTTTTGCACCCATCGCACGTCTACCCGAAACTGCTCCGGAAGACAAGAATGCGTATAGGGAGCTTCAACCTATCATCCCCTTTCTCAATGACGCCGGTGTGACTGATGAAACGGAACTAAAAATGCTGCTCTCCTGGATACAAATGTATGAATTTGTGGCACAAATTTCTACCTATGTTATTCTGCAGAGGCCTCTGCTAACTCCTTTTTCGAGACCCTGCCGCCAGGGACCTCCAGGTCTTTTAGCACCCGCTGCTTTGGAATCATTTGCGATTGCATTTATGTCGCTTTCGCCAAACCTTGAAAAGCTAAAGCTTTGTAGATTGTCCACCAAATCTTTCCTTCGGTCTGTTCTGAAGAATGCTAGAGACAACGCTATGAGGTCTCTGAAAAATATGAATTCCCTGCAGAACCTTCGAGAGGTTCATATTGGCAGCAACTTTTTACCTGAGACATTCGAAACTTACCTACTCAATAGCTTGAAATTGTTCCACAAATATCCAAATGTCGAGAAACTCGTGGTGAGCTGCATGAAAGCTCCACAGCGTGAACAGCGCGTCCTGGCACCTAGGACGTCAAATTTCCGAAAAGTTTACATTAAATCATCTTGCATGACCTCTCGCCTCCTCGCTAACATCATTAGACATTTCAAGACCCTTAACGAGTTCACTTGTTCAACAGGCATCAAGTCGCCAGATGAACTGATTGAACGTGGTAACTTCACCGCCCTCGAACCTTTACAGTTGAAGCAGGCCCTCCTCGACCATAAAGATACACTGCGTCTGTTGGATCTTGACTTGGATAGTGACGTTATGGACATCACACGAGGAGTGATACGCTTCGGACACAAGCATGAGTTAGATGAATGGCCCCAAAAGCTAGGAAGCGGCGTCCCTGTGTATCTACCAGGAACCATTGGATCCCTAAAGCAATTCGCTGCGCTGACCCACCTTCATATAGGCGTTCAGTCATTGCTTGGACACCCTAAAATATTAACGGATTTTCCTGCTCCTGCAGAGTTCAAGCTGGCCAGTATTCTTCCTCCAAATTTACAATTTCTCTCCATACGCGGCTATCGTTCAGGAAGTTGTGCCTTTCACATCTCCAAAGTCTCGGAGTTGATTGAAACCAAAAAGTCGTGTTTACCATCATTAAAGGGAGTTTGGGGTCTTGAGGACTTGAAGTACGGGGTTAAGGTCCCGCATGGAAAACAGCAACCGCCTCCATGGCAACTTTGACTTCTCCGTTATGTCTCTGCCATCTCAAACGGCTTGCATGCTTGGTGAGAAACTATTGCTTATACATCAGTGCCCTCCAAGCCTCATACTATTCAAAGATGTCAAGAATAGCACAGCCGAACCCATGGCGCTCTTCAATGAAATAATGATATAAGAAATCACTGATTTGTGCCTTTAGGCGAAGAGATTCATCGAATTAGACCCGCGGGTTCATATACTACCCCTGGCCAATTATTCCATCGCCCCCATTAAATTCTTGAATCAGCTTTCCAATTCCTCTTGCTTCCACCTTAATTCATAACCGAATACAGTTCGTCGAAGTGTCTCATCCTAAAAGCTTGGTTAGCCCTGCGAAGCTGGCAGGACGACATTGAGACTCACTCCAGGGTCCTCTTCGAATAAGAGCTTATCCAATACTTTTTCAAACAATTTCGTCACTTGGAACCCACTGCTTTCAGCCTTGGGAAAGAAAGCAGCGATTTTGTCCAACAGCCAGGGCTGATAGGGCGTAAATACAACAAATGCGGCAGCATCTCTTGACTTTTTAAGCGTTTTCTGCACGCTAGCTATTAAATTGTGATGCTGAGGGTGGTTATATATCACGTCGGCGAGGATGAGCACATCGAAGCCTTCCTCAGGAGACTCTAGATGGCTCAAAACGTTGGCTGGATCAGCGCCCCATAGATATCCCTCTACGCGCAAAGAACACGGAAACGGCGAGCTGGCGCGAATCAATTCCTCCCAGGCAGTGGCATTATATCGCAGATTGGCAATCAGGTCTAGATCCGGATAGTCCGTCACGACGACCGTTTTCGCGCCTTTAATCGCGCAGACTAGACTGGGGAGGCCGGCGCCAGCGCCGAGTTCGAACATGGTTTTGCCTTGGATCCATGATTCCGCGTGGGTTTCGAGATAATCTGATACTATCCTGCCGGCGTTCCAAAGTAGGTAGCCCTCTCAAGGCAAAATTGTCAGCTGCAAAGTTCAAGAAGTAAGAGAATTTGGGATGTGGAAACATCTGGCTCGTATGTACATAAAGCGGATGATCACCGACAAGTCGTATGCTCAGAGTTTCGCCGGAGAGCATGCGATGCTCCGCGAATGTGGGGGGTTTTGGAGGCGGGAGAAAGCCCTCTGGTTCTTGGAAGACGGCACCGAGGCCGAAATTCTCATTATCTTCGGTATTGGATGACATGAAGGCGGATGGAAGGAATCACAGAAGGATAAGCAAGAATGGTTAAATTACAACGATCCTCGACATCGAGGAATTACCTTTTTCTTTTTCTTTTCTTTTTTTTTTTAATTTTTTTGTGCCCACCGTTGAGGCTCTGCGGGGCTTTTTTTGGGCTTGAGGTGTGGTGAACTTCCGCCAAATCCCATCCCTGGGCAACGGGCTGCTTAAAGTTGAAATTCACATGTTGATAGACTTGTTCAATGGCACCTCAAATTTTTATTCAAAGCGCCTCCCCGCTGAAAATCCGAGCCTCTTTCAGTCGCCTTCGCCGTTGTCCGAAATCATGGAGGTTATTGTAGAAGTTTCTTCAACCCTTGGCGTTTCCCGCTGCCCTCAGGGCTACCACTCCCCGACCTTCAGAAAAATGGCGAGGTCTTGCATTTGAGACAGGTTGGCCTGTCTCAACTATATGTATGAAATCCCCCTTTTTCCGTGTTCGCGACGCGCCTTTGCGATCCCTCTACCGCCTCTATGAAGACCCTTGCGTAGATAACTTGACTGTGATGGGCTATGAATGCGAATATTTCTTTTCTCATGCTGAGGCGCGGTAGCACCTTTCACGAGTTCCCGATCCAAAAAGACAATGACCGAATACGGTACGCCATACTGGCTAGCATGGCCGAAGCCCTAGTGAATGCTTTCAACTGGCGGCTAGAGCTCGGCCTCCGGCGAGGAAATTCCATGGATGACTCTCAGCTCGGAGAAAACTTCTTGAAGGAAGAGCCACCGCCATGGGCATTAGTCGGACCTCTTGCTGAGCCGTTAATCCTTACGAGATCGCAGACAGAGAGTACACTGCATGAAGCATTCGCGAGAAGGAACATCCAAGCTTCCATGGGTTACCTCTACACTGTTTAACTGCCCAACTCCACGGCAATTTTGTTTTTGGGACAGACCGAAATACTGTAAATCACTTTTGAGAGCGCCAATGGATTCCCAGCGCCCCGTTGCTTTTTGCCAAGCTTCAGCCAGAAGGACTGTTGTGCTTGGTCCAAAAGAAAATAAAAGCCTATATGGGGGACCTACGTTTACAGCTTCATCCAGAAAGTTCTGTATTGTGCGGTAAACGGAACTATTCAACGTGAGTCGATAATGGGTGCCCCCTGGAGAATATATTCCTCTAGGGGAGATAAAAGGTAGTGGTCCCTGGAAGTAGATTCTTCCCCCCTTGCTGAACCGGTTGAAGGGACAACTTCCCAGAAAGGTGTGTTTTTGCTTCAAACTGTGACCGGTGCTTGGTTGCTTTCTGTCAGAAGAGATCAAAAGATGATGACATTCATCTGAAATCCAAGAGGATTCAAGAGCCACCTAACTACGGAGTACTGCTTATTTAATTATTAAAGTAGCTTGGATCCTAAATTTATTGAATTCATACATTTAGAAACTCCCCTCTCTCAGCATCCCTCCGCAAGATTCTCCGAGTGAGAACTATTATTTATTGCAATGTACTCTGTACAAATTCGCTATTAATGTTGCTATCTTCTAATCTCCAACTATCCAAGGGTATTTTCAGCTCAAGGAACTGAACTCGATGCACCCTCAAAGTCCGCACGCTGGCCCCGGGATGTAATCTTGTGGATGATACCAATCATGCTCTCCCGGACGTATCCAGTAGCCTTTGAGCACAGGTCATGCTCCCTCCTCCTGCTGCGAATCATTTTGAACCGGAAGAACCCGCCACAGCGGCTCTTGCGAAAACGAATTGTACAGAGTGAAACGTATTCCATTCTCCCTGAAATTGAGTGCGCGGAAGTAGCTAGTCGGCAGCAAGATGTGGCAATGTGAGAGACGATGTAGCTTTACGACCATCTGATCAACCAGCTGTAGCAGTTCTTCGCTTGCATTGATGGTCATCTCATCTCCTTCACTTGTTCCTCGTCTGTCCACGGCAGGAAACCCCAAGTTCCCCTGTAAAGAGAGGTACAGAAACCTGATATTGGGCAATACTTCAGGGAAAATATTGAGCAATGAGATGAATCCTTCCATGTCAGAGCCAGGAGGATATTTCTCTCTTTTACGAGAGCCTGGACTATCGAGCCACGGGTGAATATTCCAATATAGCTGAACGGACCTAATCGCAGCACGACGCTGAGGCAACAGGAGGTCCGGTAGCCGACGCAGTAGATATGTTCCTTCAATCCGTATCCGGTTTGTCCCATAGAGCACCTCAACACCCTCAACATATGCCTGCCGACATGTCAAGAGCCAACCCATGGCACCAATGAGACACTTCATAGGCATTTTGCCTGGCCAGGCGTCACAGCATGAGCTGGCCCCCAAATGACAGGTCGTCCAGGTCAAAGAATTCGTAGCCTGGCGAAGTGAGTGTGTAGCCACGGTGCACATTATGGCATACAGAGCTGCACCACTGCCACTGGCGAGGTGCAAACTCATCGCGTGCTGAGTGATCAAGGTTCGCATGACGTGGGCCATGTGTCCCGGAACGCTTTGGCGGGTGTTTCTTCAAAGGGTGCAATAAACGCAGGTCAAAGTGCATTGGAGATTCTCCAAAGGCCTCAACCAGAATGAGCCGCCGAATCTCTGGAGGAATGCGCTGAAAAAGGGCACTGTTGGCTGTTGCTGAAGGCAAACAAGGGGTTGAGGTTAGGGGTGGGGTTCGCGCTCCGCCAGAAGCGTTGGCATCGGCGGCTCCGCTAGCCAATCCAAGCGCTTTTGCTTGCGCTTGCGATTGTGCCTGCGTAGCCATTCGATGAGAGAGTTGTGCATTGTTGTTACCAGAGGACAAGACAACTGCCTAGCAGATAATACGGAGCGATTAAGGGGTATAAGAAGACAATAAAAGACCCTTCTCCCGTTATACTAGTTGCTCTGCGTCCATACCGTACTGACTGGTACGAAACACTCCGTCCCAGTTACAAAGTTGGCATCAAGAGGCCAACCACCTAGAGGATGGGCTCAATTCTTCCTGAGGTCTCTACGGAGCACTGCCCACCGACGCCTGATGGGCTGCATCTGGAACCGGAGCGGATCTTCTATGATCCGACCCCACATTTTGTACAGAACAGGTGACCGCGAATTTCATGGATATTACGCCAAGCCTTACCGGCGCCAAGCTCCTCATCGAGCGTTGGCGCTTAAAAGGGGCAAGCTTTCTTTGTACAGAGTACTCCGTACGGAGGACAGAGCCCGGCTAACCAAGGGGAAGAAAGACTTCTGTTCCACACCTCCGTCGGTTTTGGATCTGTCTTTCTCCTCTGTACTCCGTATAGAGCACGGACTACATGCTGTGGATGGAATGCCATCATTGTTTGTGTTAGGGACTGCAAGAAAGTGCTACGTACGGAGTACTCCGTACTGGCATTTCAAATGTCGGTTCAACTGTATCGCCAAAACAGATAAATTGGTAACTCCAGCTCGGTTAACTAACTCAATCCTCATCTTCGGCCCTGGCCCCCCGGAGCTGTCCATGAATCATTGAATTCCACAGGGTCCCTTGACCTGTGCTCACCCCACGGCTACGATCTGCCACCTTTTCAGCCTCTACCCCCGCACTAAGCTTGAGAAGGCTGATCACTGCTTTCTTTTTCTTTCTCCTTCCTTCTTCTTTATAAACAGCTGCTCTCGTCCTTGAGGCCTTCTCTGTCTCAATGAGTTCCAAATCAACATCCATAACTACTGTCGCTTCCTTGAAATCGTGTAACTAGTCGAATGCGACAATATCCCTTTTGTGGCTGCGAACAGTTCACCAAGCACGCGAGTCGTTCATACACGCAAACGGGCTCATTACTGCAAAGCAGCTCATGTCTACCCAACCTCAGCCCTTTCCAGCCGATGAATCCCCTTTCATGTCCGCAAATATGTGCTCCCACAGCTTTCCGTCATCCAACACGTCGTTGACGCGGTCGGGCCAGTCTCAACAACCTCAATCCGGGTTCTCCCAGAATCGAGGAGCAGCCCAAGGCGGACGTCCCTCCACACAGGAGAAAGGAGGACCGACCGCCACAGCTCCATTCCTGCAAGACTTTAGTCTCGTGGCCGAGGCAGCGAAGCGGGCGCAGATGGCTGTCCTTATGAGGGACTTAGAAGGCGTTTCTCTATAATGGACTGCGACTTAACGACATCTTTTCACTAAACTAGCGGTTTTGGTCCTTCAAGTTTAAAAGGAGAGCTGTGTTTGCGGCAATTCGAAGGACGGCATTAGAAACATCATAGATTAAGAGGCCTTGGTTGAATTGGTGCGAGTTACGCTGTACATTTCCACCGATCTCTATGCACATACACGCGATTTAAAGGCATGGCGGTGAAGGCTAAACTTGGCATTTTGGAACTGGCGCAGGGGATTTATTGACGGATCAAAGGGACCATTTCGATTCATTTTCATCGCATTTCCTTGGTTTGTGGTGCAACCTCCCTTGGATGAAGAGAATCTCATGACCGACTAGTACGTTAACTGTAACGAGTGAACTTAGGCTGCCGTTTGGTTTACAAGTTATGTTTTCAATTTGGTCTCAAAAAGATCCCACCAGGCTCGTCGCGCGTATGTCGCATGTTCTTCAATCTTATTGAACCATATTTATCTTAAGTTTCAATTCAAGTTCGCATTCGACAACCATTCCAGAGACTTTAGGCTTGAAACCAACCTACGCTCATTAGCACTAAGAAGGGGTGAAAAGCTTTTGCAGGGCCAAAAGGAAACTAATCGATTACCTTCGAATTCCTTCTGCCACGATCTCCTCTTCGTGAGTGTATACAAGTCGAAACCACCCTGGTGTGTAGGATTGTTCGTCACCGGGCTGAAGAAACACACCTGCTTCGACGAAACGTTCGGCGAGTGCAATCTCACGGTCAGTTTTTGACATCGGCTTTTGCTCTGTGGTCGGCGGAATAAACGCCGATAGATCAATCCAGACGAAGTAACCGGCATTGCTAGTCTCTTATCAGTACTATGTCCTATTTCATATGGCAAGGGGTGGGTTATATCGTCGGGGATGTTGCATCACCTTCCGGGTAAATACGGAATATTATTCTCTCGAAGCAGGGAGGTGACAAATTTGTACGTTCGGGCCAACGTTTCTCTACATAGGGAAAGGTATGAGGAGACGAATGCCTCATCATTCAGCATCTGAGAAGCAATTGCGATCGACACTCCCGAGGGTCTCCCGAATCGACTAACCAGAAGGATGAGCACCGGAATCAATGATTCAGTTGAGAGGTTTACTCACCTAGCACAGGCTACGCCCTTTCGGACATCTGCATTTTTACTGATTAAGAAACCAAGCTTGAGCCCAGGGGCAGAAAAGTCCTTTTAGATATTTAGCATCGATACGATTTGCTACATTGGAGGCGGGATGCAGACCTTGGCCATTCCATACATGACATGAATATAATTCTCATCCAGCAGTCCCGTTGGATCGATGGCCAGTGCTGAAGTGAATGGAATAGTACCTGTTTCCCCGGAATCGAAAACAGAGAGTGCATATATTTCATCGCTGATGAAATGAATCTTTCGCCGATGACAAAAGCGCATCAACTCCCTCAATGTTTCCGGTGGATAACACCGCCCTAACAACTTGATGAGATTTCCACCTATTCGCTAAGTTGCAAAGGCTCGAAGAAAATTCTAGCAATCACAAAAGTGCTACGTACCTAAAGGATTGTGCGGGTTGGTTATCAGCATGGCGCGGACTTTCACTCCCCCTTTTTCTGCCTTCACAATCGCTTCCTCATACTTCTTCACTACATCCACACTAAACACTTCCAACGGTTCTGTATCGGCATACACTACCCCCACGTCCCCTCGGCATCCAAAGTCGAGCCCAAACTTTCCATAAATGGGACGATTAATCATGATAGCATCATTGGGATCAGCGAGTACATAGCCCAACAAGTCGTTCACCGCAGTGACGCCGTTGGCTATGACGATATGGGACGATGAGATGGGAGTGCAAGGTTTGAAATGGGTGTTTATATGCCTGGAGATAGGAACAGTGAGCGCAGCACAATAGGGGCTGCCGTACGCATATGTAAATGCGGCTTTGGGAATGGATATCTAAAGCCCAGGTCGTTAGAAGGAAAGCTTTACTCTTGAGTTCTTCGGGGGCATAGTGTATATATACATTTCTATTTATATATTCCTCTAATGTATCATGGACCAAGAACTGGATGCAGGATGCCGGTTTTTGTTAGTATTAAAGGATGCATTGCGACATAGCATATCTGAAATACCAACATTCTCTGCGGTCGCGAGTGAGATGATTCCGTTCGGATTTTTCTCTTTATCGTACAAGGAGCTTTCGCTAGGAGGAAATTTCCACGGCTCCTTGAGAATTAAGGCGACCCTAACTCCACGTTCAGAGAGCATCGCTACTATAACGTGTTATTAAACGGGAGCCGAGTATTTGAGTTCTGGCTTTCGGCGCTGATAGTTGCATTGAAGCAGGATGGAACGGAAAGGTGTGCCCTGCATGATGGGTCTACGTTATTAAAGTTATTGCCGTGGGCTTCAACCGGGTGGAAGCGGGCTTAGATACGAGGATATCCCTGACGCCACAACCCAGGGTTCTTTTACGACTACTCCGTACGGAGTACTCCGTACTGAAGGCTGTTATCCTAATTGTATCGGCTGAATGCGAACTAAATGGTTCTCATTCATTTGGGAGGGGTGCTGGGCGCCGAGATATTTGTATATTCATAGGTATATCCGTATATGCCTGTATCCTAGCCTTATACATATCAACTGATGACTCTATGTCTTTTAGTTGTCTACGGCATCATTTATGAGAGATGTGTGCTGGAATATCCCATCCAGCAATTCACCGCAAATGAAAAGGTTGGCGGACGTGTTTGAGCGGTATAGTTGTCCTCTGCCAGTCGCATGAAGCATTGAAAACGACACCAGATCACCATTTGGCTGCTGGACTTTTAAGGAATTCATGGAGGATTCCTACTACTTTCTCCAAGGCAGTTATTTCGACGTTCATCGCAGTTGAGACCTTGGTAGCGTCCTGACCAAGCTTGGCATAGAAGTCCTTTCTATAAGGAGTTGCGGACATGGCAGCACTGAAAATCGGTTTGACCAGCAAGCCGTGATGTGGTTTTAAGGTAGTGCCGTATGCAGCACGGAAAGAAGTAGAGAGTTCAGCAGCAGGATCGGAAAGATTGAGGCGGAGGGCTTGGGCAGTGAAGTCGAGACCACTGCAGAGATTTTGAATGTTAGGTGAAGTGACTCCAAGGATTACGCCGAAGTTTTGAAGAACGTACCGGACCAGCCATAGCAGGCCTTCGGTCGCCGTGTGCTTTCCAGTCTTGAGTTCGTTCACAACAAGTTGCTGAAGAGTCTCGGATTCTGCTGGAGCTGCCAACTGGCGGTCACGAATTTTCTATCATGCAAAATGGTCAATGAAATGCTGAGGATCGCGAGTCCGTGCTAAACCCACCTTGATGTTGCCTAGCAAGTCGTTCTTTACCGGAGTGAATGCGACGGAGCCAAGGAGGTCTATCTATAAGTGAGCTGCAGCAAAAGCATATTATTCAGTGTTACGAACCAAATAGCATCACCAAAGCTTCGGCAGCCTCGAGGAACTCCGTTGTGGAAATACCGTTGTCGTTGATTGGGACATCGGCGAATGACCTCCTGATAGTGTCGAACCAGGTGCCGTCGGCGGGAATCACAGCAGCAGAAGCCATTTTACACTGTTTCTATCAAACGAAATTGAAAGGTAAACAAAAATTCGAGGGGGTGAAGTCGAGTAGATCGTAGGAATTGAGGTGCTTCTTGTCGTCCCAGCTGGACGAGGGGATCTAGACTGAGGGGTATCAACACGCAAACACTCCAAACAGACTGGTGGCGCCCAGTCAAACAATGCAAAGTATGCAAACACGCCAAACGCTGTCTTCTCCCATTCGGTCGACGTCATCGCACAGGACCTTGTGGTTCGTGATTGAGGAGCAAGAAGACCCTGGTCACACCCTCCAGCTAAGATAGACAGCACGAGGATTCTGTTGATATATGCATATATCTGACAATTGTGCCACTTACACAAGTCCAACCCTACTTTAAGTCCAAAGGCTTTCTACGGAACCCCCCCAACCATGTGAAATGAGTGGAGAGCGGCCTTGTGAGCAGCCAGTGCCAACTTGCTGGCGACGCTTCCCACGGGGAGAATATCACAGCCTAGATTCAGAGTCATACACTGCACAAAGATTGGTATGTACATAATTCCATCACATTAGCAGGCGCTTGTTCTTGTTAATATTTGCGTAGCAACATGCCTCCCCTGAGCATTTGCATGTCACCAGTCGTCGGCTATTCATCGGCCCTCTCCCGAAAGGATGGTTGTCCAGCCATCGTAAGTCGTGGTATAAATCATGGCTTGGGCTCAAGGATTACTCCTCTCGGACAGCGACCTTCTCTGCGGATATAAATCTTGCCCATCAACGTCAGTTAACGGGGCTGTTTGGACCTTCTACCGCGGCAATGTACAGACAAAGCTTTCCTCAACCGGAAGACGTTGATGAGGAAGCTGAAGAAGAGGAGTTGGTAGCGGCTGGAGCCACGGTCGAACCCGCTGCCATAACCACTGCTGATACCGCACACGAAACGCCCTATCGATATGGGCCAGAACCAGCTCAGGAGCCGCCCCCCGAACCTACTTCTGAATTAACCGCAGAGCATTCCCAATTATCAACTGTAACGCCTACCTCAACTTCTCGGCCGCAACCAGATTCAGTATCAAGCAAATCTGATCCAGGTTCGAATCCGCCGTCCTCTAGCCAAATTCATGAGTCGTACTACTCCGCACCTGAGTCACATAAAAATGCATCTCGGATATTGAGTGCCACCTCGCCAATAAGTGAAGAGTCTCTAGAATCCGGTAATTATGGAGTTAATGAGAATACCAAGTCAGCAGGAGTTATCAGCAGACGTATGTCTCCGCATGGACAATCGTTAACTCCGTCTATACCATCTGCGACCGGAGAAACAGCTTCAGGGACCAACTTTACTTCACAAACATATCTACTGTCAGGGAGAAAATCCATCAACGATAGATCTCCTTCGAGTTTGTCATCACCTCGTCTTCGTCATGAAGAGCCATCACTTGTCGAACAGGAGGATTCACGAAATAAAAGCCGTCCTAGGCGGCTGATGAAACGCCTTGCTCCTGGTATCGTTCGGTTTAATATCGAGGACAGCATTAATGATCGACAACGACGACTGCAAAAGAGGCTGACTAGGACCGCAAGTGAGCTAGAATCCACCGCAAAGAAGCAAAGGCAAGCCAGCCGGTGTGGCGCGATTGTGAGAGCTGAGAGAATGCTCGTTCGTATCGAAAGCACTACTCAAACCGTCCCAGACGATTATAATGAGAATGAGAGTATCAAAATCGACACTAAAGTTGTCTCAAAATGGAGAGAATTCCTGGTTGTATGTCGCGAGGGATGCGAAGCCGATACACCATTTCTCCTACAGTTTTATAAAACTCGCGTGATTCCACAGGTCCAAACTTCCGATATGAAGAAGAAGTGGTCTTATGAGATTCCGATCGTACGGAGCCATACCAAAGTGAACCTTTTTTCAACTCTTGATAAGACATTAGTAGTCTGGCATCGATTTAAACCTGAGACCCAAATTTTCATAATGCGGCCCAGGTCATCAGCTCATTCGGTTGAATGGTATACATTTATCCGTGGCGGCCTCGGGTGGAAACAACCGTCAATTCTTTTTGTACATGTTCCTGATCTCGATATTACATTGCGTTTGGAGAATCCATTCGCACATCTTGGAATGAATCAGAACGAAGACGACGATGTTTGCTCCGCCGTGCTAAGAACAATGAAGGAGGAAAGAGCTATTGCGTCGGGCATTATAAAAACATGCCTGAACACTCTATCAGAATGCTGCGAATGGAATAAGATACTGGCTATGTGGGGTAAATCCGCCAAAATGGGCCTTGCCTGGCGACGATACGATCGCCTGGAATGGGTTCAAGGGCCAAACGAGCAGAGAATGTATGGAACAATGGCCATGCGAACGACTCATGAACTGGAGTTGCGCCCCAAACAACATTATCCTACATCGACGACGTTACAAAAAGGGGGGCCCAAGGTTGAAGAGCCGGCACCAACAGAAGGCTTCTTGATACTCCTCACATCTCAAAGGGGACGGCAGAGATTGATAGGAAAGAATTTCTTTAAAAGGCTTTACTTTTATACCCAGGATCAGTTTTTATGTTTCTGCAGACCCGGCAAAGCAACTCCCCCGGCCCCCCCAAGTCTTCCTACAATCACTGGCAGAAACATTCCCACGTCCGCTGAGATCATAAGGGAGACTCCGATCGTTTATGATGTGGACCCTTTTCCCGTAAATAACGGAGAGGTCACTTGGCTTACCGTGGGACGCAAAGAATATGCGAAAAGCCACGATGCGGAAGCTTTCGCAGAAAACCGTCGAATTACGAAGAATGCAGCTAACACTGAGGGCTATATTAATATGTGCAGAGTAGCAGAAATACGTCCTGTTTCTTCGCAGACCTCGCAGGAGGAGCAACATGCTAACGCAGGGGATGTTGAATATCACGGAGAAAGGGGTAGAGCTGTCCATGGCGCGAGGCACGAAACCAAGGAAGAACGTTCGTTTGAAATCGTGTTGGATGATGGGCTAGTTGTCTTATTTCGAACCTATAACATGCAGACACGACAGGAGTGGATTAGACGGCTGACCGAGCTTTCGGACTATTGGAAAGCGCGTACGAAAAAGGATATAGCTACTCTAAAGTATATCCGTTCTCGGAACCTGAAACGACTTGAAATCGACGAGGCACAAGAGTCTATGCTAGGCCAGTTTGCTCAGAAATGGGAGGTTTCAAGGGCGGAAGCATCCTCGGAGTTGTTTCACGCATGTGGGATGTCGGGATGCCGGCCCATAAAGGTAGGATGTTTCCTGCCAATTATGCTTGGGAAGTATTTAACTGAACTATGCCAGATGTCTGGGAATCTATATCGCAAACCACGCCGCCATGGGGCATTTACACATTGTAGCGTCTTGCTCATTGAAGGCCAACTTCTCATTTTCCAGAGCTCTCTGCGTCGGTGGACAGGCGAGCAACTCCCCCATACATATCATTCGCGACAGGCCGTGCTCGATCTGCGGGATTGTTATATATATAGCGGGATAATCACCTCCTCGGACCTCCTATACCAACACCAAACGTTCGACAGTAATCTCCCCAGTCAGCTGGAACGGCCAAGGATGTATACTCAGGACGGATGGACAGCCTCCGATGAAGACATTGCGACATGCTTTGTTATCTGGCATGCCACAAGAAAGGCCCTGTTTCGAGGTGAACTCACCAAAACGGGAAAACCTAAAAGGAGCGGGTGGAAACAGGTTTCTGCTCTGGGGGTTCCTGGGAAGGCGATTGTATTCAAAGCAAGGAGTAGAGCGGAAAGGGATTTATGGGTGCTGGCGATTGCGACGGAGATCGATCGACTGCAGCAGCAGGAGGACTTGAGGATCGTGAAATCGCCGTGTATTTGAAAAACATCACATTTTCTGGCGTCCGGAAGTTTGTCTCTACTCGCTCATTGTGTTCCTATTCTATGAGCTAAACCAGCTGAGCTGCTTTAGAGAGATTTGGAAATACCCCAGGGGTGAAGTCTCTGTTGAATTAGCCTGTGTATTGCCATTTTTAAGGTTGAGGATTGCACTGTATATGTATTTTGTAATAGCGACTTCATCAGTCGCACATCTTTCGGTCGTCACTTGCTTATCTTCACTGTTATATATATTGTACAATACATACATGCATATGATACATTCCAAAGATAACAGCCATCCGATCCAACTGCGTTGCATCGAGTATCTTAACCAAAAGTTATGATTTAAACCCAGCCTTATTATATCAATAACCCCGTCTATTTAAGAAACAAATGGTGCCTCAACAGAAATCACACTCTTCCTCACTCTCATCCGCTGGCTTCTTCCAGCTTCCCCGCCGGCTTCTCTTTCCCACGCGAGTTCAGGCACGTCACTCACGTCGATGTCGGGAACGTTCGCTGCGGGGTCCCACAACTCCCATCTCAACATCCTTCTCCTCTCCCATGGCCAGACCACACCAACGACCCGACCTGTGATTAGATTCATGCTAATGGGACCGTAAGTATTGCTATCTAGACTCTTACTAGTATCATTCGCGTCACCCTCTACCCAGACATGATTGTACGGGACGATCTGTGGATGTGTCGGATGAATAGAATCCGGAAGATGAGGGAACTGGACGGAGTAAGAAGACAGCGGTGCAGGCCGAGGTGTGACTTCGTCGCCCGGTAAGCCGATGATGCGCTTTATGGCCAGGACTTCCGGGTTCCGCGGCGATCGAAACATGACCACCATCCCCCTATGCAGACCCTTCCAGTTTTCGTCGCCAATGCCGCCTTCCTTCCCATGCCTGGTGCTTCGTAGCCATAAGAGCTTGCTCACCACGACGGTCTCCCTAGCCAAATCTTCCACGCCGTATGTGGCGTTTAGATATGGCGCCATTGATGGCCCTCCCACGGGGTATGTAGAGATTATGTGCTCACGGAACACGACAACGATTGGTGTAACGGGTATAAGGGTCAAAAAGAAAGCTTTCGCGAATGAGAGGAACGGAGACCGCGGCCGGGATTTTGAACCGGAGTTTGATCCCGGCCCGGGGCCGCTGGAGCCGGATTTTGGAGTAGAAGAGGCATTGGGAACGCGGGGTATTTGGCTCTGAGGGTTTAAACTGTGCAGTTGAGCGCAGAGGGTAGAAAAACGGTGGCTGCGGAGAGTTTGGAAATGGGTGTATCGGATGAAGGCATTGCGAAGGCACGGGAAAGACATGGGTGGACGGAAGAAAACGATAGGTCAGTGAAAAGGGAGAATGTAGCGCGTGGTGTCACGCATATTAATAGCCAAACATGGGATAACAGCCGTCTCACATAATTCGCAGTCTCCGTTGAATTGGACTTCACTGTCTTGAGATCCGCGCAGGCCTTGGATGAGCTCAACAGCGTCGTGTTTGCATTGTTTGCAGGTTTTGCATTTGTTGCATTTCGGCCCGCCGAAGCCCCCGATGAAATATGTCGCGTTAGCCCTTCAGCAATGCATGCTCTAGCGCGCACATATGTATAGATTAACTATACTCAATTACTCCTAATTCACAATGGCTACAGCCTCAATATATGGTTTCAATGTGGCTATCGTTCGGGCTCACCTGTGTGGTGCATACAAAGGGCTCGCTTCCAGAATTTTTGTTCGGAGTTTCGAAGGCTATATAAACAAGAAATTGGACGCTATTTTTGCTTCATTTCCGTCGATGACTCCAAATCTGCAACACTAGAGACCACACTCTGAACATCAGCTGCAGTTGGGGCTTTGTCCACCTCAACCGGATCATCGTCGAGTTTCTCTATGGACGCAATGCCCTCGCATTGATCAACTTTCTCCCAGTCATCTTCACTTTTATCCTCCTCTCGATCTAGATCTGGCTCCAGTTTTGGTTTCTTAATGTCGGGTTCCCGTGGATTAACGGGGTCTGAGGTTGGCGCGTCGGGTAATTTCGCTGCGAGGCCCGGCGATGGAGGAGCGTTTTCTTCGGCGGTGGGGGTCTCCTCCTTGGCTGGGGGCTGCGGGATATCGGACTGGGTAGGAGGAAAGTATTGACTAATAATACAATTACGATTAGCATTGATTTACAGTTGAATTGCAGATAAAAGCGGAGCCACTCACGGAATCAACAATTGATATGCTCTCTCGTCTTTTTTCTCAAAGGTACAGAAGACCACCCTGTCCAGAGCCTGCGGGCAAGCTTCCAAAAACTCCTTGACGGTCCGGATCGCTATATCTGCAGCTTCTGCGCTCGGGTATCCATAAATACCTGTGCTAACGGACGAAAACGCAATGGTCTTCATGCCATTTTCGGCCGCAATTCCCAGGCTTCGTCGATAGCAATCTCGCAGCAGCTTTTCCGGCTGATCCTCGTTGACTTCTACCTCTGTCCAGTAGACAGGTCCAACGGTGTGGATGACCTTCTTACAGGGAAGGCCATACGCACCGGTGATTTTGCAGTCACCGGTCTGGCAGCCTCCCAAGGTGCGACATTCCCGGAGGAGGCCAGGGCCGGCTGCGCGGTGAATAGCTCCATCGACCCCACCCCCACCAAGCAGAGACCTGTTGGCCGCATTCACGATGCAGTCAACCTCGAGCTTTGTGATGTCACTGGTGATGTGGCAGATGGTATCATTGAGGATTTGGGAAGGAGTCGAGACGCGCGGGGAGGCTGCGGGGACAAGGTGCTTGAGGCGGTAGAGGAGTGAAATGGTTGGAATTTCGGTCAGGGGGATTAGAGAAGCCATTGTGCGAAAACGTAATTAAAAAGGAGGAAACAAATAGGCTTTAGAATCAGAAGAAGCGCCAAGTAGAAGTAGAGAGAGCGAAGTGGGCACGAAGCTATGATACAGGACCAAAAAGCAAATAGTTATATTATTAGGAGCGAGACAGCAGAGAATTCATTAGCGTTGAGAAAAGAAGAGTCGTCAGGATCATCAAATTAGGAGCTGTAGCTTTCATCAAGAACGGTCGCGGGAAGTCATCTCGTCATGATTTGCATCGTCTGCGCGCTGGTGGAAGACGGGCTCTCGACGCAGTGACCGCCGGGGAAGGCTAAGAAGGTTGCTGGCGGGGGGCCTGGACCACATCAGGTGAGCGGCAAGCCCGGGTCAACGAATCTCCGAACCCCCGTCATGGTTGATTGAACGGGACCCACAAACCTTAAGTCTCGCAAGTAACGAAGCTCCTTGTTCTTGAATACTATTTCTTCGTTGTGGAAGAGGTCTATGGGTGAATTCTTACACCAGCAAAATCTGTTAAGATCTGGAGGCTACAGAGAAGGACAAAAGCCACATGACACACTCACTGCTCAGTCAAAGCCCCAGGAATCTCTCAATACAAACATTGGAAATTCACATCCTGTTGGAACTGATGCTCGTGCAAAACTAGCCTTGAGGGGATAGTTTCCATCACTTCATCTGTCTCGTGGTTCGAAGAAGCAGCTGTCAAGATATGGACACCCTTGCAGCTCCTATATTTTCGCCGCTCAGAGGACTTGCCCGGGCCAACCCTCTACTAAGGAAGATGTCAGGGCGTCCACGACATTTCTTGGTGACCGCGTTGCGTAGATGATTGTGCAAGTTGGCCGGCATTTTGTCGTCAACTATGGTCGTTGGACAAATGAAATTGAGGGACACAATCTCCTGTTTGTTGAGCACCACTTGCACAATATTGTCCGCGCACCACGGCTCTATGCCATGTATCAAGATTCGGATAGCTCACTGTTCCTTGTTATGGGGTTCTTCGGAGGTGAATCTTTGTTAAAGTGTTAGAAGACGCTCTCAGGCGATGTGAAGTTGCATATTATGTGCGGGTTAAAGGTCATAGATGCGCTCTCTACCCTCCCCTGGGTTCTACAGTAGCATTCTCAAAGGCAGTATTCCCCCCATCACCTTTTCTACACAAATCTCCTAGACTGGAGGATATCTAGGCCTTTTCTTCATGAAAAATGAAGTGAACAGTGCCGTTACTGCTTAACTCTGCAGCCAAGCAGCCTTGAATTGACAACACAACCACAAATCTGATTTCTAGGAGTGTTCTCTCTCTCGGATTTCGAGCCACTCACCGGTCTTTTTGCACTCTGACATCTATCAAAAGAATATCCTGGTTCGCAAAACCAGCAAACATACCTCAGAGAAGTGCGACTATGATATTGCACTCATGGACTGGGAAGACGCAGGTTGGTATTCTACAAGATTTGAGAGCTTTTCTGCAACCCTGGCCTGCAGAGGCAGCTCTGGTCAAAATGGTCTACAAGGATATTCTCTTCTAGTTTTGGAAAACAGATTTGAAAGCCAATAAGTTCCAGCGGGCGGTCAATTTGTATGTAATGGGACAATGGACAACGGCAAACTCGATGGGAATCTGTGGGGAGCTGTGTGCCAGTCATGTTGCTGAAATATGGCAAACCGAGAAAATCTGGTAATGGAAGCAGGTCTCCAGCCAATTCTCATGGCCTTGATTGTGTGAGAGGAAATGTTTAAGTTTGTTGATGGTCTGATGCCCCAGTGCCAGCAACAAGTAAGGGAAAGGCGGTGTGATCTTTCCCGCCCACCAATGAGTGCCAGTTATTCATGTTGATGCAGGCGTGCGCATCTAGCTTGTGCACAGGAGAATCAGAAAATCGTCCTATCACTTGAACCACTGTTGCTGCTCTTGCGTCGTGCTATAGTGCGTACATATCAACCAATGTACCCCGCGCACCCCACACCCACTAGGGCAGCAAGGGCAACAGGCAAGGTTGAGAGGGTTCGACTTTACCACAACTGAGCATCCTACCAGCAAAGGGAACCATGTCCTCCATATCTATTCGCCCTGCCACACTCTCTGACCTTCCTGGCATCCATGCCATATACAGCCACTATGTTCACAATTCCGTCCTGACCTTCCTCATCCACGAACCGCCGCTCTCTTACATAGCAGGGATATACAACAGTGCGCGATCGAGAGGGCTCCCATTCTATGTCGCCCACATCGACCAATTGCGAGAGAGCAAGGAAAAGATCATAGGATATGCCTGTGCGTCGCCATTTAGGGGCAACTTGCTCGGCTACGCACCCACGGTTGAACTTACACTCTTCATACACCCCGAACACCAGTCACAAGGCGTAGGGAGCCGTCTTTTCTCTTCCATCGTGTCTTCCCTGCAGGGCGAAACGAGACATCTGGCTAGGGAGTTCGAAGACGATCCGACCCGGGAAGTTCGGTATGAGGCCGATGGTGGACAGGGTGCGAGGGTAAAGACTCTCTTGGCAATCATGGCAGTCGATATAGATGGCAAGGCCAAAGGGATGGGTCTGAGGGACTGGTATGTTCAGAGAGGCTTTACGGAGGTCGGAAGATTGAAAGAAGTGGGCTTCAAGAAGGGGAGGTGGTGAGTGGACGTTCATCTATACTGTCCTACATTCTGTGAATGCCCACGTCATTAACGAACAGCTCTTCTGAGTTTAGGATTGACGTGATACAATTGCAGTACACACTACATTGAGCCATGGACTAATCAAGAGATTACCTTTTTTTTTTTTTTTTTTTTTTTTTTTTTTTTTTGGCCTTGTTCACAAATTATGAATGTATCTTCCAGCCTTTCTTCAGTATATGGCCTGGAGTCCGATATTCGCTGTTCATGCTGGCGATAACATACATCTACCCACCAAACCCTCGAACCTCCCACTCTCCCAGTCCGTTTTCCCCTCCTCGCGCTCCGGAACTATGATAAGAAGAGAGCTTAAGGACTTGCTGCGCGCTATTCGCCTCTCCCATGTGTCGTTCATGAGCGGGATATTATATCGGCAACTAGAAACTTTCATCCTTGAGTCCCGTGGAATCCTCTGCTGTATCAATGCTAACATTCATCCCGCAGCCCCTATTTTTCATGTCTTTCTTTGACGGCAATCCCTGGTTCTCTTCTATCTCGCGCCTGTGGCTTCACAGTCCCGACCACAACCCTAATATTTATCTTCTACTGGCATTATAAGAGGCGGGGCGACAGAAAAGACAAAGGGGATGAAGACGAGCAAGGGAAAATTGAATCCGGGATTTGAAACAGAATAGCGAATAGTAAGGTGTGCGCAATCGTACATACATTAGGGCAATCATACATCATCATTGAGACACGTAACTAAATACTATCCGTATTACAGTATATACACAGTGTGGGAGAGACGTAAAGGGAATCCAGTCTGAGGCAACTTTGCAAAATCCTAGCTGGCCAATTATTTTAGATCGCACTTTGAAAACGGTCCAAAACAGCTTGCTGCGATTCCAGTGGCTGTCCACCCATTGCTGCAAGCTTTGCATTTACCCAATTCATCGCCTTTTCCACCACCAATTCCCAAGTTTCCCTATCACCATCCCATTTCTTATTCAGGTATGCAATAGCAGCGAGTGTCATGACAATGGTTTGCAGATTTTCATCTTCCTTGTCAATATCGTCCTGCCCAATTCCCAGGGTCATGGACCAATCCACTTTTCCTTTCAAGGTCTCGGAGTCTGTTTCAATAATGTCAAATATTTGTCTCTTCCACTCCCATGATCCTTCGAATGACTGACACAAAATAAGCTGGTGGAACTTGGGGTACTGGGCTGATACCGGCGCCTCTGTAGGGTCGAAGCTTGGACCCGAGCCAAAACTGGCTATGGCTGGGCTACCAAATAATATGCTATGTCCAGGGCTAGAACCTGAGGGCGTAGAGGAAATTTCAGCACTGTCAACGGGGGCTGGCGGTGGCTGCGATTGGAAAGCCCCAAAGACATTTGGGGTAGAAGCCACATTAGGGGAGCTTCTGAATAGACCTCTCCTAGAAACCACTTTTTGCGCCGCTACACTCGGTTGAGGGTACGCTTTCCGTAGCTTTCTAGAACAAGCTAGAGGCTGTGATAGCCTTGGTTGTGGGGGGATACCCCAAGCCATTGGTTGTGCTGGAGCGCCAAATCCGAAGGCATATTGTGAATACTGTACAGGCTCAGCCAGCTCCCTTGACAGCAGCCTCTCCTTTCCGGTTAGATTCGCTACTTCGTGCTCAGTGCTCTCCACAGCAACGAACGAACACCATTTTCCAGCAATTTGATATTTCGTTCCTAGCCGTATAGCTTCACGCTTGGCGATGTCCTCCTTTTTGCTTTCATGCTGGTCTACAAAGCGTCTTCCTGTTTTGTCCTTCGCCTGGGACGTCCAGCCGCGGCCCTCTTCCAAGTCGACAATAATCTTTCGGGCAGCAAGTTGGTGAATTGTTATGTTCTTGCCGACATCCTCAACTGGAATCGTCAAGGACAGCGGGCCATGCTTCGACATGCCTTTAAGGATAACCGATTTGGGATTAGCAGCATTGGACTCCGGCGAAAGTAAAAGATAAACTGTGGATCTGTTGAACGGGAATAGCCCGGGGACGTCGTACGGCGCCTGGATGACGGCCGGAGCCGGTATTGTTGGAAGATCTGCAACAGACTTAATATCAGTTTCTTTGAAATTCTCATCGTAGAGGGATATAGGTGGCTGGTCCTGTTGAGTCTTAGCGGTTGTGTCGTCGTCCGTGGTCCCCTGAGGTCTCGTCTCTCCCTCGTAGCGATCGTCCTCTGATTTTTCGACGATTTCAAAACCGTCATCCTCACGGCGTGAATCGTTGTCACTGCTTTCATACTTCAGTTCAAGGGTATATTTAACATGTGGAGTCAATGCCGCCTTCAACATGCGCACGACTTTCTTGTCCAAGTCTTCATTTGTACCCACAGTCTGCGCAAAGCCACCGCCGGCCCGCGCAATACCCTGGACCAGAGAATGAGAAACCGCATCCCCGATTCCTAGGCTGAAGAAACGGGTGGGGGCCTTGGATACTGATTCGTTTATATATGCAAACAGCTGCTCCTGATCCCATATTTCCCCGTCCGTGAGTAGCAAGACGTCCAAGTCCAGGTCCTGAAAGCGGTTTTCCACAGTGGCTTTGATCGGACGGAGCATTTCAGTTCCACCGAAATCAGCGCAGACCGTGTCGACAAATGCCAGCGCGTCCTCGAGGCTGGATTTGTCATAGGTCCGACTCTTCTTCCACAGAAAGGAGTACGAGGAGCCGAATGAGCAGATGTTGAATTTGATCCCAACAGGCAGTGACTTGAGGAAGACCTTCAGGGCTGATTTTAGCGTGTCAATCTTGTCAGACATGCTCCCACTTCGGTCTATGATGAAGACAATCTCCGGGTCATTGTTCGGAATATTAAATTTGGGAACTAGGGAGGTCATGATCGCGCGCTGGTTCGGGATGGTCGGATGGGTTTCGAGAAAGGCATATGGGAGACCCAGGTCTTTGGTGTTCACGATCAGAACAAAGTCACGTTCAAGAGCGATATGTCCATTCTGCGATGGCCGCGAGGAGCGGCGAAGGCCCCAGCTTGCTGAGGCCTTGTTGGCGTGGTGTTCACCTTCCGAGTCCGTGGATGTTCGTCCCGGCAAAACGTCCAGCGGATGACTCGGTGACTGGAGTCGCTGGATGACTGATTTCTGTTCGACCTGGACATCAACAGTAATCTCGATCGACCCGCGAGATGCAAGATGCTTTACACCGTCCTTCAAATCCCGAGGAGTTTCAACGAGCTTACCATATCGGGGACAGATGGCCAGAGGAACGGTGAGGCGCAGCCCGTCGGCCTGGGCATCATGCTGTAGCTCGCCCAGGTAGGTGATGTGCACAGTCACCTTTGACTGCTCGGGAATATTTCCAATGCTGGTGGTAAAAGTATCTGAGGCTGACATGGACTGCTCCAGCAGTGCTGCAGAGCTGCCTTGGTCCACCGCTGCGTCATACTCGGCGCGAGCTTGCTCTTTCTCCTTGACTACACCGTGGATCACACGGTCTCCGATTTCACATTTGAAGGAGACGATGCTAACGCCATCAAAAAGCGGGAAGGTGTAGGATGCATTTTTTATTTTTTCAGTGGATGGGTTGATGAAAGTTTGAGACAGAGAGGTCCTCGAAGTAGAAGCGAGGATTGTCGAATGAACCTTGAGGTCTACCTGGGGCAGATAGACAGGAGTAGGCAGGGGATCAGGGAGGATGTAGTAGCACCCGCAGGGCTCAAGTGAGTGATGAGCAGACATGTTGGATGATGATGTACGGAGTAAATATGGAGTTAATGAATGTATGGAAAGCCTGCTCTTGGTTATTCTTATCCCAACGGATTTCTGCGATGACAACTCGATGATTAACCCTATGGAAAAGGGGCTGACGGATGGGAGTTTTTTGAGTGCTGAGAAGAAAGAAGAAAGAAAACGCAGATGAGGCACAGATGCCAGTTATTATGTATGTTGGTTTTGCTTTTTAACTGCCGATGACGATGATGGATGGCGGCGGGTGGCGGGTGGCAGCTGCGGCTCCGCAGGCAGCAGGCGTGGCTAACCCCAACTAGCCCTGAAAAGCCTCGCACAGCCCCAAGGCAGCCACAGACACAACCAAGGCCGAGTTATTCGTCAGCCTCAAGCCCAACTTGATTCGTGATTCCGTTCAATCTGGATGCAAGGCTCGCTTTCACCTCGACACCGGACATGTTCCTAATCCCTTGGCAAACAGAGCATACATCGCGGCATTCCTTGCGTCATCGCTGAGGCATTAACCTTGCCTGGGATTCTTGAATATGGTGGGGAAACCGTTGTGTCACCAGTCAACTACGTCCGATTAAACTCCACATGGATACAGGGGGGGGGGGGGGGGGGGGGGGTGTACTATGGCCATCCCATCAGATCTGGAAACGCTCTGTTGGGCTTTCAGCGCAGCAAGATGTTGGATGCTGGACAAAAGGAGGACACAAATGCCATCGCGTTCGATATCAGTACTGCGAAGTACGTATAGGGTGATTAGCAGGTGCTCTGTGCTCGAGAGACAAATGACACCACTATGAGGTTTGCGTGGGGTTCCATAACCAGCAGTAGTCCCATTCAATACTCTTTGTTGTCATTTCATTTGAGTGTTAACGACTCTGGGGGGCACACAACAAAATCAAAATAAATACATACAATAAGTAGGAATAAAATTGTCGAAATGGCAGCAAAAGAGTCCCTGTTTCGACCCCTCGCTGGCCCATCCTTATTTTCATTTGATAAATAATACCCCAAGAGATAGATGTCATGATAAACCCAGAACGGAACAGACATATTTTGACCTTTCAAATGTAAAACTCCCGCAGAAAAGGGCCATTCATTGGATTCCAGTTTTGAAAAGAAATAGAAAACAAAACCGTGATGGGGAAAAAGAAAAAAAAAAAAGAAAAAAGAAGAAAAAAAAAAAGGGGAGAGAAACCCAAACGGTGACAATCGGGGGTATCAGGGGGTATCGGAAATCTGGCAACACTACGGAGTAGAAAGAGCAAATTCCATCAGACAGGAAAACTAAGAGCTCAGACAAGTTGTGGACAAAATGAAATTGGTCATAATGCTCCGTCAAAAACCGCAGGGAGAAAAATAAGAACCGAAGGTATATCGAAGGGACCCACGAAGTGGCCATCCTTGTATGTCTAGATGCCTGGAATATAAAGATCAAAAGCGTCCGCCGTGTCTCGTTAAAACTAAAAAGATAAAGCAAAAGGTATCGTGCCTTCTTTTTTTTTTCTTGAGTGGGAAAAAAGGGGGAAGCAAAAAATAAAGCAAAAATACATCATGAATGCAATATAATAAATATCACGGTTGTGCTGCAGGCGTCCGCGGATCAACCATGTTGCGCGATCTCAGGCGGGCAGCGGCCTCGGGGCCGAGTTTTCGGGAGAGCTTGGCAAAGTGCAGGCCGCAGGCATTGCAGAGAGTCCGAGCACCGTCGGGACCCCTGCGCCATTCGGGAGTTTCGGATCGGTTGCAGCTGTGGCATTTGCCCGGTGGAGCTGGTTTCTAAATAAAAACACCAACATTCTTCAAGTCAGAAACCAACCCACAGAAAGAAGTGTAAAAGGGACGTTTTATTTCGTTTTTCATACCCCTCGACGCTTCTTAGCATCACCGCCAGCAAAGCCACCGCTGCCCTTGAATTCTTCTCTGTAGCCGGTAGATCGATCATGGTTGTAGCCTCGCTCGCTCTGCATCATTCGCATACGCTCGCGTTGTTGCGCTATGGCGTGCTCCTGATCCAGTACCGCATTTCGAATCCTTCCGAGGGCCTCCAGGTTCCGGCGCTGAAGTTGAAGCAAATCATCAATCTCGCCCAACGTCGGAAGTGTCTGATCCGCTCTATTCGACTGGTACATGCGCGTCGCGTGGATTCTCGAGAAATCCATGGTTTTGGCACTGGCATCGCCAACCTAAAACGAGACGATTAGCAAAGTGCAGAAATTACAAAAATATAAAGGAATCAATAAAAAGAAAAAAAGGAAAAAAAAAAAATAAAATAATTGGGGGAGGTCTACCTCGTTCCAAGCAGCCTGCAAATCAAAAACATCCAGTTGGCGCTTTACAGACTCGCCATACGGAACCGAAGGAGCTCTGGAGATGGCACCGGCCTTCCCGGGTTCGATCGTTGAGTTTCCTTTGACCTCATAAAGCGCTGGAGGCCGTGCTACATGCGGTTGCGACCCATTAGGAGGGTATTGATATCCCGGAGGATAAGCTCCATATGCTGATGGCGAAGGCATCGAGCCTGTGAGGCCTGCACCCTGGATATCACAGCCGGAAGCTTGGGATTGTGCCGTCCTAGAGCTCTGGGTTGGGGATCTCCCTGAACCTAATGACATTATTGACGGATTCCTTGACTCTTGGGACCGAATTGAGGCCACGCTGGACCTTTGTCCTTCTGACCTTATCGACGCAGGTTTTCCGGAGAGGTGGTTCGCAAAGGGTTCCTGAGCGAAAGGCACAGAGCATGCAGTGTGAGCAAAAGGATTGGGCGGGCCGTTTGTGCTCTCAACACCTGGTGGGAGAGGGGCATGTGACGTAGCTAAGGATTGTGTATGTGGTGCTGCCGTTGTTGCTGATGATGGTGGCTGGAAGGAGAGTGAATTGCTTCCTAGAGCTTCATGGATGGAGGGTAAGGACTGGCGTTGATTGGAGTGCGTTTGCGGGAGAGGTGGGTGCTGGTGCTGGTCCGTTTCAGCATCTCGCACTGGGAGCCGATTCGGTGAGTAGGGGTATCCGGCTGATATGGAAGAGTAGTTCTGAAGAGAGGAAGAATATTTATGCTGGGGACGACCGGGCTGATATGCACCCGTTGTCGGACTCACAGGCGGAGAACCGTTTGCTGCCACGGGTTGACGGTGGACCTGTGAACGTGGGCTGGCACTATTGCTCTTACCCAAATCCAGGAAACCTATTGACGGGAGCGACTCTGCGGAAGGGTGGCCGCCGCTAGCATTGACCTTGTTGGCTGAATCCTCCATAGCGTGTCCTTCCCGCTGTGAGAGCGGAAAAGTGACATGGTGCGGCATTGAAGGTGCGAAACGTGGCCAGTGACTGGGCCCTGCTTCTACCGTCCCCATTCCCAGGATATATAATTTTGGTTTGTTTTTTCGTTCACCCCCCTCTGGACGGATCGAACACTCTAGCTTGGACCTCTTTTCCGCGAGCGGCTTTTCCAGCTACGTAGATGGTCCTCACAGGGACGTAATTGACCCTCTATCCTTGCTAATTTCGGGAACTGAGACGCTTCAAGAGTTGAATTTCGTTTCCGCGATATGGATTCTGCGACTAGCCGATTTCGCCAGACAAACGATTGCGCTGCTGGACCCTAGCCAGTTCTTTCTATCTTTCTAAATCACACTCTCTCGTATACACACTGTATCCTGAATATCGTCCAAATATCCAAGGTCCAGTTCCGCGGGTATAGAGCGCGAGAGGAAGTAGAAGAAATGGATGGAGAGGGATGCAGGCTGGGACAATAAAATATGAGGATCCCGCGATAATAAAGAAGCGCCGTCGAGACGAGACGAAAGCAGAAGAGCAAGGTAATGTCGGGCGTTTTGGGGGAGAACAGGCCAAAAAAAAAAAAAAAAAAGAAAAAAGAAAGAGAAAAGAAAGGTGCCAATAATAATAATAATACGGGTTGCAGATATAAAGAGCGTCAGACGTCACACAACCGTTTTCCACGCCGAGATGCGGCTCGCTTTGGTGGGTGAAAAGGAGAGATAAACGGTCAGGATTGCGGAAAAAAAGGAAAAAGATAACGGACTGGGCAGCAGTTCAGACAGGCCCGTTGGGAATATGTTACTTGGTGTTGTGGTCGTTATCCTTGTCCAGACATGGCAAAGATTAGCACACCAACTTTTGTATTGCTTTCTCGAGGCGCGAAGACGGAGATATAGGGCTGCAGCAGATCTCAGGGCAAACCCTGGGTCTGAAGATAGAGAGATAGATGTTAAAAAGGGGAATAGGGATGAGAGAGAGACGAAGATGCAGAGAGTGCAGATGGCCGGGAGTAACGAAGTGAGAGACAGCAAGGTTACTGAAGGGAGCAAGCAGGTGGAGATGGTTGGCCAAGTTCCCTGCCCAGCGCCCATCCACGGTGCTGCAATTATGGATGTAAGTAGCTAGTATGCAAGATGGACGTGTGGATGTGTGGATGGGATGGGATGGAATGGAATGGATGGATGGATGGATGGTGGATGTGTTCACCGCTCGAGCACGCAGCATGAAATTAACCAACTAACCAGCCAACCGGCCCACCCATGGCTGCCAGCAGGAAACAAGCGTGGAGTGGATCTGACACTGTTTCTTCCGCCTTGTGGTCCCATGGATTACGCAATGGCAGAGATCGCGAGTTTAATCAAACGGCGAGCCGTCTTCTAGAAGCGTAGTTAGGTCTTTACGGAGGACGCGCCGGTACCGAGACAATGCTAAAACTGAACATACATTTTCCATGCTCCATACTCCGTACAAAAGACCTACAATCATCCACCCATGAGTTGACCACACGAACAATCTTGTTTGTTCGTGCACTCAACGCGTGTGATGTCTGTAGCTTGTTACAGGGTTGCTCCGGGCCTGCAATGGTAGAGCAGCATCGTAACTAGCAGACAAATGCCGATCCCCCTCTGACCAGCCCGGAGCGCAAGTCGCAAAATTTCAGCGGGCGACCGGTAGCGATGGATCCTGGCTATAATTCCATCTCGGTATAATAATGGGGCAGCTCTGGAACTTGGACGTGATTTACCTCTTTCGCCACCAGAATCCTAGCCCGATTTCAGATTGTCTGGCGAGATCTGGAGCCGAGGTGCTGCAGCCGGACAAAGAGAGACATCCTCAATGTATCCATTTCGTGTTGAACAAAGGGTAGCCTCGACGCCTTTGTGAGTAGTGGTTAAGGACTGTCCTTTTTGGTCCTGTTCTTTTCTTTTTCTATTATTTTATCTATATTTTCTTTTCTTTTTCTTTTCTCCCCCCCTCTACGCTGACCTTTTTGTTGCAGAGGACCGGAGCCGTCTAGCGCGCAAGAGGAAGGCAAGAAGAGAGCAGCAGCTGCATGGCCGGCCCAGCGATCTCCATCGAGTCAGGAGGCAATATACAGAGTACTTTGAACGACGAAATGGCTAACAAGGCCGGCTAAGATTTGCGCTGGGCCAAGGGGAACTGCATTCGGCAGTTGTTCGGTCCACCAGATCAATCCTTTTTCTCCCCAAGCAACGCAAAAAGAAAACGGAAAGGAAAAAGAAAAGAAAAGAAAAAAGAAAAAAAAAAAAAAAAAAAAGGCCCAAAAAAGTAAACAGAAGCTCTCCCTCCCTTAGTTGCTTCAACTACTGCTTATCCTGCTCCTCCATAGACTGTGGAGTGCCGTGCAGTGCTCAGGTCTGAACCAACGAACATGTGGGCATGAACAATTACCTAATTGCCGGAGAAGATCTCTCACGATTGCTCTGGTCAGTGTAAGATTCGGAGAAAAGCAACCAGCACCACACCGGGATGCCTGCAGCACATCACCAGCCATTCCATCGACAAGCTACCGAACTCAAACATGCTCATCGCCGTCGCTTGTGTGTGTGGACTACCCTGTTGGCGGTCCGTACGGAGTTTTACATATGTAGTACGCCTGCTGTTGCGCAAACCAAAAATGTCGATTGTCGCGGTACCGGGCTAGTAACGAGATCCCGCAACCTAACGGGGTACGGGGGGTTTTCTTTGACTTGCTTTTTTCCTTTGCAGCAGTTCCACCAATGGGCTGGGTGATTATCCGAGTGGAATCGACAAGGTAAAATACTAGTCAGCCCACATAATCCAAGATGGACGTTTTATTTTTTTTACTTTTGATCTTTTATATTTTATTTTGGCAGGGGGCCCTGGACAAGGTTGGCAGCCCTGGTCGTTACAAGTGCGGTACAAGGGGGATCGGGCTGGATCGCGGGTCAGGGACCGGACCTGGAACCAACGCAGCTCTCGTGCAGAAACCATTCCAGACTTGGCGGCGAGAACAAATTTCCAACTGACTGCCGGCAGCCGGTGGGTATGACTGGCGTGACGGAGGGCTGCATCGAGAAAGTCCGTGGGGAAAATTATTTCAAAAAAAAAAAAATAAAAATAAAAAAGAATAAATCTGCCTCCTTGAGAACTGCGGGCAACCGTCTAAGGAAAGAATTAAAAAAAGCCAAAAGAGCGGAAGAATGATCGTCGAGTTTTGATTCTGAGATCGGGTCCGATTGATTCTTGACTGGCTCCATCTGATCGACAGCCCCTCGGGGTTTGGTGGATCGTATAGGAATACGAAGTACGGAGTACGGAGTACGGGAGCTCACTTCAAATCCCGACGCGAGAGAGAGAGAGAGTGTGTGTGTGTATGTGTATGTGTGGTGGGTGAGAGAGAGAGAGAGTGTGTGTGTGTGTGAGAGTGTGTGTGAGGGTGGACGACAAGAGTGTGGAAATAATGTTAACATGTATGCCTATACTCTGTACAGATGGATGAATGGATGGATATGCCGTTCCCAATTACCCTCAGCAGACAACCTGACAACTGGGAAGTCGTGGAGATTGCGTGCGAGGCGGGGGGAGGGGGCGTCGATGCAAGCAAGGGAGCTGAGCTGGGCGAAACGGAGATCGAAATGAAGTGGCTGGTACTGAGCACAGAGTACCGGGAGCGGACGACGTATTGTCCTCGTCTGTCTCTTCTCTCATCCATGGTGTCGGGAGATGGATGCGGGCAGGGTGATGCAATCGTCCCGATCAGGAAAATAGAAGATTGCATCCGTCTGATCAGCGCAATTTTCAACGGTCGGCCTGTGTGTTTGTGGGGGGGAAATAAAAAGTGGAGGATATACGGAGTGTGACCTGTACATAACTAACTAGTATGCATAGCTTATCCATTCATAGCACAGCTGTATTATTGTTTATGCCATGCTGTTTCTGCACGGTGGGGAACAGCACACACCATGTGTCGCGTAATGCCCTTCATAAAAGCGCCGGCATTAGCTCGGATTGTCGACCCAAAAACCTGTGCAATCTGGCAGGTCCGGCTGGCGAGTCTCAGCGATACGCGCCAATCATCGAGGTTACGATCTCCGTACGAAGAAGGTATCGCGTCGTGTATTGTTGGTTACGCGGAAATTGCAGTGCTGCTTGGGCACCTCCAATCATTCAAAAAAAGTCTGCCCCATGTCATGTCGCGCTGGTCAGCTAACAAATATGAACAGCTCGTTCGCTGGCTGAAGAGGAGGGGAGGGGGGAAGGGTTTTCGAGAGGGGATAAATTCCCGCTGTAACGTGGTAGGAAGGGGATGAAACTCGATCGGCACCCTGATCTGAACACGTTTTCCGCATCCCTGGCCCCGGCATCGACAAGCACACACACATACTCTCTCTTCCTCTCACTCACACACACACACCCTCTCTCTGTGGCCGTGCGCTGGCAGAGCACAGATCCTCCGTCCCGTCCTGTCATGACCGGGGGGAAGAAACCAAAATTACGATCATGTAAACTCCAAGCTACATAGGTAATTTACCAAGCTTTAACTCCCGACCATCACAACCCAAAAATAGGCAAGGTTCGATCGCCCATCGAACGATCCAGAAAATCGCAGCGCCAACAGGCGGGGCAAAGTGTCCGCCTGACGCAGTTGGTCACCCTCCCCTAGCGGCAAGCTGAGGGGGAGAAAAGAAAAAAAAAAAAAAAAAAGAGGAAAAAAACTTTTAAAATAACAAAAAAGAGGATCCTTAATTTCCAATCTTGTTGTCACCAGACGCCGGCGTCCCTCAATCGAGCGTGTGGAGCCGCATATGAAGATGGGAAATCCCGATTGCGTGAAGGGACTGGCCGGTTCAGCTCAGTTGTACGCAGTATGGAGCCTCGTGAGTTAAGTGAGGGAGGACGGATGGGTGTCAGTATGTATGGAGAAGCCAAGCGAGTCAGTTTTTACTTCGTTTAACGGCGCGCAAAACCTTATCGCGAAGCAAATCCCGAGGCTTGTCGCCGTGCATAATCCTTACTCGAAGCTCCAGAGCACGTCCTCTTTGCCCCTCCAATTGTCATTCCTCTTTTCGACAGGGCAAGGTGTTACCGGGCATGACCGTCAGCCAGGGGGGAAGGATCTCAGGTATGTAGTTAATAATTGCGGAATACGATAGATCAGATCTGGGCAACCTCGAGACTTGGATCTTGGTTCCGCGCTGCATTAGCTGGTCTCGCAAAACTCTATTCTTGCTGCGAAGCTTGAAATCATCGATCGACTCACATTTCTCTGTATGTACGGAGTACTCCGTGTACTCCGTATGATCCTCAAAAAAGGAACGATCATTATGCATTATTCCGCACGTCGACGATTCGACAGCCGCTCTAAGCGACTTGTGCGACAGGGTTCCAGTGTCGCGGGATCATTGTCCCATCAGACGAGGCTGCTCATCGACGCCACTGGGACAAGTACAGGCATCATGCCACCATGCACGAGAGTGCATCTCCTTTGTATAGTACATACGTCCAAACAAAGCAATAGCAAAGGGATTTCCCTCCAGACGCTAGATGGGTGCAAACATAACCTGCAGAGATCAGATGCGAACAGGCCACCTCCAATCGCAGCACCATCAATTTGTTCAATCCTTTTCTCTCAACGGATTGTCTATCTTGAGGCCCTTTTTGCAAAACCGACCAGTCACTGCAGAAAACTCCCTGGGCCCAATTCGCAACCCATTTATTGTGTGTTGCTCTAGGTGTAACACCACGGTATCACAGATCTATTTCCCGCTGAGTCGGCTCTCACGGCGGTGCAAGTAAGGTCCCTCCCGAATTCCGTATCCTGTTATTGGCTGTTGGAGAGTTATGGCTCTTCGCCACACGACAGACCTATTCCTTAGAGTGCAGCTATTCCCTTCTTCATCTTCTGCTCTTTTGCGTTCCGCGGAGACTACCTTTCTCTAGGTGCTCTTGCCTTCGGGCTTCAAGCCGATAGAGTTCGATGCTTTGGGCGGGATCGAAACGGACACAGCTTCGCTGCACCAAGCTAGACTTGGAAGGCTCACGATCTGCAGAATTACCAACTGATCTCTGTACGACGATTAGCTGCTTCCCGCCATCGACATCCAACATTGAGCGTTGAACAGCATTTTCATCACTTGAAGTCCCCAATCCGATTGGGGTTATTGCATAACGATCCCATATCTTTTTTCCTGCGTCTGGTCTCCGGAAACGGCTTGTGTACTCTGCATGGTGGCTCCCGAATGAGAGCCAATCGCCAAGTCACCCAGCTCAATGCGTCCATGTATTTATCTCCTCCGTGAACCTGTGAAATCTCCTGCTGCAACCGGCTCGGCTCCAGCAAACACCGTTTGTTGAACGAGGGACAAGTTCACCGATACCCACACGACAGGTACACAACGTGCGTTCCCTCCTCTGCATGCATGTATGAAAGCTTCCTCCGTACTACCACCTCCAGGCTTCCAAGACCTCTCCCAGTGCAGCCCACAGACATCAGGATACCGCCCATCACACATACTTGCTAGTAGCGCAAATCGGGCATAAAAGGGGCACCACTGCGACTCGGTTAGCCGTCAAAAAGGGCAATTCGCAGTCAAAAACAGATGCTACGTTCATCTTTGCTAACCCTTGTCAAAACATACAAGGCAATAGCAGCTGCAGTAGACCCAGGCCCCAAGACCCTGTACAAGGTGAGAAGGAGCTTGGTAACGTTCCACTCTGCCTGTCTCGCCATGGTTGTATCCGATGGTCGCCTGCAGCATTTATTGGTTTCACTGTCTCATATCTTCTGCATGCGCTCCGGCTGTTGGCCCTTGGCATCCAGCAAAAAGAGAACCCCATCCAAAATACGAAACTTGAGTCCTGGGATCCTTGCCTTCCACTGCATTCAGGGAAATGTCTTAGACCAACTTCCTCCGTAAAACGTCCCGGAAATAATAAGTAGAGTTCGTACTGGCTGATATCGTGCAAGGATGCAATCTATCCTGGCCCGGCAGCTGAACTTTGTATGTAACCATATCCTCCACACAGAGTACCAAATACGTATTTATCCAGGGCCTTCCATGAAAGCTCAGACTCTTCCGGGGAGCTTAATTAATTAGCAGCCAGTCTGCGTACTACATATGTCTTTCCAGGTCGTCGGGTCCCCCCGTCAAGGTTCTCCTGGGTCCTGCTGCTGCGTGGGAGGATCTCGGTGTCTTTCAAGAACAAAGACGGACCCGGTGTGGGAAGGGAAATCAATTCATGTGATGATTTCATCGAGGGCCCGTTTATCAGGGTACTTGCATTACTAACTGGACGGCGAATTCTGCTCACCTCCATGAGTCAGATCACATCGATCTTCGCATTGTCGGGGATTGAATCTGGGCTCCACATGTTTGAAAGGTGGGAACGCGGGATTCATCGAGATCATCGTGAAGTGATAAAAAAAGCAGGACGGAAAATCGTCGTCATCCGCATTGCAGATCGGAGGATTCATTGCTGCACATCATCGATGTCATGGGGTTGGGGGTGTGGTTTTTTCTCCCCTTGCTATCCCCAATTGTATATCGCTCCTTTTAAGGATGCTCGCTTAATTTGATGACAGAGGCCTAACTCTCTGATCATAGTTACTGTCAGCTTCCCAACCGATAAATGGGTAGGGATCACAGACCGATGATATCGGTGCTGAACAGAGCCCTTGCAACACTGAGAAGGATACAGTGGTTCATCACCATCAAGACACATACCCGGCTGCATTGTCCCTTGGCAAGTGTTGCGGTCAATCAATTATTATGAAACTGGGGTGCGTGGAGAGTGTGATGGACTAGCGACATCTCTCTTACCTAGGCAAGTTATGTCCCTGTCTCATGCAGCCAAGGTAGTCAAAGGATCACCTGTGCTCCTTTCATTACCATCCTTATGGATGCAAACAACTTCGAATATTGCTGCAGATAAGTCATGTCATTGTGCTTGCCTGGCTGCAGAAAACTCTCTTCAGTGTACTCTGTATTGAACAAAGTTGGCCTGTACCCCCATGGACAAGGCCAACCTGGTGGCTTATCTTCCAAGAGGAGCTCAATGGTCAAGTGGGCGGCCATGATTATAACTATGTGGTTACGTGTTAAGTGTGTCCAAAACCAAGTGACCAGTGCTGAAAGGAACGATCGACCGGTCTGGAGATTTGCAAAAGGCAACAGGGGAATAGTGTTTTGCTTCATAGAGATGGGACTCTATTATTTTATCTTTCTTTCTTCAGGGTCTGATCAAGAAAGATCAAGTGGAAATTCAAAAGCCCGTGTAGACGGCCAGTCATAGACAAGGCAGATATCCCCAAGTAACCACCCACAATCAAATCTAGATGCATTGTATGTTCTCATGCCAAACCCAATATTTGTCTATGAGCGTGGCCAACCAGATTAAAAAAAAAAAAAGAAAAAATTAATGATCAAAATCCAGCTCGCTCATCAGTGTCTATATCCAGTATCAAAACCAAGCACACATGAAAGATATTCACTTGAAAAAAAAAAAAAAATTCCACAAGGAATATACAGTCCAATCACTGTCCTTCCGGCTCTTCACTCTTGGCCAAGCTTGTATACAACATCTCCCAGCCAATGCTTCCGCCCTTCCCTTCCTTCTCTGTGATCTTTTCCACTGCTTTGACAAGGTCGTAACAAATCTTCTCTGAAACGACGCTATCTTGTTTGTAATCGGGATGCTTTGCGACAAACTCTCTGATCCACTTCGCATTTGTCAATAGCCTACCGTCTGCCCGATAGCGGATTAAGTTGAGGTAGTTTGCAAGTGCACATCGAGTCTCAACATCGATGTTGATGCTGTTGAGGTACGATTCGACAATTGGAATCAGACCGGGGAATTCCCCAGATGGTGAGCCGTTGATGATGTCGGCGACGGCCATTAACTCGTACTCGGATTCCACTGGTAAAAGGCACGGGGATGGAGGCGCGGATGGGGAGCGAGAGCTGGAAGGCGAGCTGCTGGCGGTCTGGCGAGGAAGACGGTGCGGGAAAGGGTCTTTCCGGAAGTAAAATTTCTTCTCAAGGACGGCGTTGCGGGCATGAGCCGTCTCCATGTTCTCAGTCGTCCGGGCAATCGGGATATAGAAGTTCAGATCGAAGCTTAGAATCGCCCGAGTGATCAGTACCATAAATATGCTGAACGCGGCATTTTCAAAATCAGTGATCTGAATCTCCATGGGTCGGAACTCGACCCGCCAGCCGATGTCGTTTTCAGCCGGCGGCGGCTTGAATCTAATGTGCTGCCAGTTGGTAGACTGGAGATTCTCAAAGTGATCGGTCTTGTTGAGGTCGAGTTCTTCCAAGTCTTCCGCAAATACAACAATTGGATCGCGGATAAACAAGTGGGCGAAATGGGTTGCCAAAAGGTCATCCATTCCGCCATCCATCAATCGCTTTTTGATGTCTTCATCTATAACGAGGTCAGGGTCCATGTACTCTGGGCGTAACCTCGGATCTTGAGAGATGTAGGTCGAATTGGAGCTATAGCGAGATTTTGGGATTCTCCATCTGTCGTTTTTCAGGGGCTGGATGAACGTCAGTAAGAATCCGTCAAGAGCAGCTCAAAAGGTCCTCACCTTTTCTCCTAGCTCCTCTGCTGTCCTGCAATCCACAGCTCCGCTAATTTGATTCCATCTAACGTCAGTGTCGACAAGGAAGCCCTTGTAAATTGGAGTTGCCGCCGTCAGCGCAAGCAGAATAGGCCCCAATGGGCTCAATTGATCGTAGAGCTTCCTCCCCTCATTAATATTCATGCACTGGAAGGTAATCTGCAAACAGCAGCTTCCCATTCCAAAAGCCATTGCATCCATGTAGACATGGCCCTTCTTCACGGCCCCGTTCCGGACATCGCTGTCTTCTGGCCAAGTGTGGAGGTCATAGTTGACTGTAGGATCATTGAACGGCCAGGGAGTATTGGTATCCCGAAAGACAGGGACGTTTAATTCCACCTTTCGACCTCTTCTTTGTCTGATATTGGCCGCCAAGGTAGGGAAGCGAATATGTGGATTTGCGATCTCATCCGGAACGAACTGCGAGCGCAATGCGCCCCCAGACAGCGGGTAGTTGGGCGTGTAAAAATCATCCTTCGTTCCCAGCCGTGGGAATGTTGTAAGGGTAATAGGGTACTCGTTTGGAGCCATGTGGTTCTTTGCGATCACTCGTCTGATGGGTAGCGTAAGTATCGGTGTTCGTTCATTGGGTTTGACAAGACGTTATCCATACCTCCGCTTCATGTCTGATTCCACTTTCAGGAGGTCTTTAAATCCTATACCCCAGGGCTTTCCTGGTGTTGCCTCGAGCATGAAGCGTCCAAACTCCGGATGAAACTTTGGGAGTGGTTCCGCCCTGATAGTGACGGAATGACGGTCAGTTATCTTCCGCGCTCAGAAGAAGCCAGAAGGTTACGGTGGGCTCACGAGTCGTCCCGTTTCGCAAGCTCTTCATCTCTCGCAAGCGATTTGAGGATTTCCGCCTGGCAGAGTGACAGCCGCACTTTCCGCTCATTATCATCCACAGCTACAACGAGGTATTCAACCTAACACGAGGTTCAGCAGATGCCGAGACAGGGGCATGGCAGTCGAGGACAATACCTCGTCACCCCAGAGCAACGCATCTCTCTCCTTGCCCTTTGCCTTATTCCAGATGCTCAACAATTGCTAGAAAGCTTTTCGTCAGGATGGTCCAGCTGGACTTTGTGGGACTGGGGATCACCGGGGATACCTCGATTCCCCACTCTCTGACTTGCGTCGCTCTCTTCTTCGCCTCCGGCCACGGCAGGGGCGTCCCGAGAGCCCTGTAGCACAAAACAATTGCGTGTCAGCTCGATGAACCTGCTTATCCGGACCTGGGTCTTTTCACGAACAAAGGGTGGAGGAGGGGGATGGGGGAGGGGGAGGGGGAGTGGGAGGCCCGAGAATACGTACAGCAGCCCCATGGCGCAATATCAGACGGAAAGCACTCAACACGCGTGGCTACGATGGCGCTTTCGGGGAGACTTGACGAAATGCAAAGAGCACCCGTATCGCCATGAGGGGATATTAAAAAGAGTAATCGGGGTTCTGCCTACGAGAAACCAGCCGCCGATGATGATAAATCCTTCGCTTTGGCGTTCGGCATTCTCGCAGCCCCGATTAATAAGCGAGGGGCAAACGGGGTTGAACTTAAATAGTCCCGCGCAACGGAAACGAACGGAGCGCCCGAGACAAGGCGTGCATTTTTTTTAACTATCGTCCGGGCCGGTAGAGGCTGAGGGTGTCCATCGTGCGATTCCCATGTCTTTTTGAATGAATACCTTCGTGGCAGGCCGCTGCTAAGATGAAGGCGGGGTTGGGACATATAAAGGTGGTGGTTGAAGCCGGCATGATGAAACTTCCGCCCCTCCAATCAACCCTTGTCGGCGCTGCACGACGATAAGAAAGATGGTGTGAATCGGCCCTGTGGGCTGCAGGGCGATCTTCCGGGACGGCTGACAAACCCCGATCACCACGACATCCAGCGGTGCCTCTATTGTGCTGTTGGGACATTTGCGTCTGCGCTTCGATGCTCCCAGTTATCCTTGGCTCAGGAAACTCCCTCATTAATTTGATCGATCCTAGCCTGAAAGCATCGGGACAAAAGGGAATATCGAGATAATAACCTGAGCCGCCCTGATGACGTTGAAGTTCAACTGGTTAAACCCTCCAAATACCAGAGAGCTCCGGCGGTTTCTTTCTTTTCTTTTCTGTTCCTTTTTTGTTCAACAACCTCAAGAAAGCTGCGCGCTTCCCACCCGAAGAGGCCCTGCTGAAACAGAAAAAAAAAAAAAAAAAAAAAAAAAAAGGGAATAAAGATATTCGTAATTATATTACCCGAAGCAGTGCACGAAAGTCACTTCAGAATGGATGAACGAGTCAAAAAAATTCCCGAGATTCCAGTGCACACATTCTCACCTCCACGCGAGTACACATCTTCTGAGCTTCTTCCCCGGATATCCATTATAGTTAAGGATCATAAAGAGTAGGTATCTACATAAGATTACTCCCACCGACTACATCTCACAACAAAACGCCTAGCTAAGTCATATTTACAAAGAGAGATAATTCTTCAGTCCACAACAAGCACACGCACACCCTTGCTACCCACTTTAGGGAAAGGGAGGAAAAGATCATGCTTCAGAGTCACATCCTCACGAGTGGTCCCGAATAGTTCAAACTTCAGTTCGCGGAAAATCTTGGAGATGGCAAGGAGAAGTTCGGCTCTTGCCAGGCTGTTGGAAGTTGATTAGAAGGTATTGGACGAATAAGAAACGTGGGAAGACACGTACTTGATTCCAACACATTGGCGGGATCCTTTGCTGAATGCGACGAGATATCTTTCCAGGTACTTTCGTCGGTCGGGGTCAAGCCATCTCTCGGGGACAAAATTGTATGAATCTGGGAAAATATCTTCATTGTGATGCATCATCACGCTTGTCATACCCACAGGAGTCTGGTTCGATGATAAGCAGCTGGAAATATAGTTAAACAGACGGAGTGACCTTACGCCTGCTGGAATAGACCATTCCTTGTACTGGAGATCACGATCGGGGCAAATTCTTTGCAGCCGAGAGCTAACACCATATGAAATCCTATACCTTGATCAGTGGATACTGGAAAGTAGGGGTTACACAGGACGCCAACATACCGAAGGGCTTCAAGCATTACTGATGTCTGATAGTCCATAGTCAGAAAGCCCTCCTTTCGAATCAGGTGCTGCAGCACAGCTTACCAGGTACGGCATCTTCTCCAAGTCCACAACAGTCGCAGTTCGATCTGGATCGAGTCTGTTCAGTTCTTCAAGCAGCTTGTCCATTTTATCCTTGTTTTCAAGCAGATAGTAAGTCAGCCACGTAAGTGTTTTCGCAACTGTTTCGGAGCCAGCACCGATAACTCCTTGGATTTCTTGCGCTAGTCGTTCGGGACCTTTCTCCTCGGGCGGAAGGTTGCTGTCGAGTATGTCGTGGAAAAAAGTCGGATGGTCGTATGACTTTCGCTTCTCCTCATAGTCGGGCTCGCTGTGCTCCCTGATAACTGAATTGATGAGAACTTTGCAGCGGCGTTGGAAAACAAAGAACAAATTCATGCCGGGATCGACCCTGCCAACCAAGCCCTCTGGTAGAGCCTTGAGCCAGTATAACAACCATGGATACGGCTTGAAGAAGACTGTGGCCTTGGCGATGGCGCTCAGGGTCTCGCTCCAGTGGGGGATAAAATCGGGCTCGTCCAGGTAGTGAAAGCCGGTTCCCATAGTGTAATCTGATATGACATCTGTGGAAAAGCAGGTGTACGGATACTGCACCACAATCGGGACTCCTGTGCCCTTGAATTCCTTTAAGCGATTGCAAAGCTTGTCTACAAGAATCTGGATGGCCGGTTCCAGCTTTCGAATCCGAGCCATGGAGAAATACGGGTTCATGTTTGAACGGCGAAGACGATGATGGGCGTGGCTTATCGTGGAGATAGCTGCCATCGGCGTACCGAACTGACCCGTGTAGTACGAGTACTTGTCTCTCGGGCTATCTCGTGAGTACAGAACATCGTAGTACTCCGGGTCGTTGATGTGAAGTTCATGAGGGCTGATCCTAACAATGGGGCCTAAAAATTGATAACGGATAAGATATAACTAGTTTTTGTCTGATGGTTTAATAAAAATGGATAGACACGGACCATATTTTTCGTGCATTTTTATGATCTCAAAGGTATATTTTCCGTGACATATGGCATCATAGTAAAACTCGTACCACCGAGTGGCTGCGGCGAGCTTAGGTCCCGGGAACTTGGATAAAGGGGAGAGCCACAGCCGATAGACAACCACCGCTGTCACATACACGAGGTATGCCGCTGTGGCGGTCAAAAATGGATGTTCCTTTATCAGCGGTAGAGCCTCCATCCTGCGTCAAACCCCCTGTCGATTTTAGCAAAACTGGGAGAACGAAGTTAAACAGGAGCTGTTTGTCGCAGCAGCTGGGTTTGAAGTGCCTTTTTCTATCCAACTCGCGGCTCCACCAAACACTCCAGAAACTCTTGACAGTCAACCTTAAAATGAAAAACTAAAAAAAGGATGGCCCGTCAGCGGAGTTTGCAGACCAGTGTGCAGAGGCAGGTCGCTTGACTCGCTGGGAAGAATCGGCCAATGAGAAAAATATAATCACGGAGCGAAGTGATCCAGCCGTGAAATTAAAGCCGCAGCCCCGCTCGCTAAGGCTCGCAAACTATGTATGCGGAGGACGGGGCCAAGTTGCCTTTTGTCACGGAATCTCAGAAATATCAACAATCCCCCATTCTCCGTACCGAGGACATGGTTCTCTACAGAATGGAAACGGATGTCACTGGTGCATTCAGTGTATAAGCGTCATAGGGGAGGGAGAAGCCGTGCAGGGTTCGTCTACACTATCTCTTGCGTGTGAAACGTATGCAAGAAGATTGGGGCAGGTTGAATGCCATGGAGATCGCCTCTCATCTTCGTGTGTAGGGCTCATTTGGCTTCCACGTCGCCAGTCGGCAGGCGGAGACGGCGAGACAGATCATTTTCAATTTGGTTAAGTGTTTGAATTCCAGCCATTTCACGACGAGTGTGACGGCCAAATGCGAGCGACGGTTCTTGGCGACGATGCTCGGACACGGTGTTTGGATGCGTGAAGCAACTCGGGCTCGCTTGGAAGAGCGTGGTGGCTGCGAGCGCCTGTTTAGCCTGGCGAGTCATGCATCGAGCGCCAACACGCTTCGCACGTCTCAGTCGGCTGGGGGGAGGGAGGATGCCGATCCCCAGCAACGAACACGCGCTGCCCAGCCATTATTTCGAGCTCCGGATGACCCTGGACTCGACATGGGATAGTATGGTTGTATGTACACCGAGACCGGAGGAGATTTGAACCCGAGGCCCGGGTGTGAAGTCGAAACCTGTGTCAACACGAACAAGCATGCTTTCGGATGTGAGAGAGGATTGAGCGTTCGCCCTTGGACCGGCTCCGTTGATAGCCCGTCTTTCCTGCAAGGACCTTATTTTGGGAGGATCTGGGGTGGAGAAGAGCGGGTTGTATTGGTCGACAACGCGCTAACAAAACTCACTTCTGAAGTTGGAGAGCAGCAGGTGACTAAGCAGCAGCAGCCTGAGAGTGGCGCAAGCGAAGACAAACAGCGCAAAACTCAAAAAGCTAGGCCAATCAGAGCGCGGGGAATTCAAGGCGCCCGCGCGCGGCTCGTAACTCTATCATATCATCACGTGACACATGTGGCGTGCCCAGTGAGGTCTGGGTTTGCGGGCGACGGGGAGGTTGGCTGCTCTGCCGGCGAGGGAGAGAGATGGGATGAGAGGATGAGGGTGAGGAGAGGGTGAGTGTGAGGGAGGGAGCCGAGTGGTGGCCGGCGTCAACCAATGCGGGGGGAGGATGCGTGTCATCGAGACCGTGCCAGGTCGGCAATCGCTCTTCTGCGATGGAGGGTCGCTGTCCTCCTGCATACACGGGAGTACTGTCCAACTACAGAGTAGTTCCCCAAGTCAATACGTGGTCTTGCTGGTGGTCTGGACGCTTATATGTATGTGCACTCATATGTGCTGTAACTCATTTGTTCCGTCAAGCTGCGAGCCTCAAAAAAGGGGAAAACGCGGACACCCGGGTTTAGAGGTGGGATTGCTGCCAAACCAAACGGCCCCCCGGGCCGAGCGGTCCTTAAGGCCTTCGAACGACGCAAGGAGCTGACTAGGGGCTGTCGCTGGGGCCTTTTGGGGGTGTGTGGAGGGGGGCAACGCTCCGGGGATCCCTTCCGCGCCAGTAGCGTCAAGCGTGCCTCCGGAGCCTAGCGAGTCCGGTGCGCAGAACGCCGCTTCCGGGGCCCACCGCTCGCCCCCTCCTCCTCCTCAGTTCTTCTTTCCCCCCCCCGATGCGCTGCAGCTCGCCCCTTGGCTGTCAACTGCCATTGGGCGCTATCGGCGCGCTAAACAACCCTCCCGTAACGAGGAACAGGTGACGAGAGCGGCATTTTGCCTGGTCGCCGATAATAGTCAATATTCCCTTGCCCATCAAACCAATAATTAACTCGTCCTATTATTTGGCTTTTTTTTACCAGCGAAAAATCGCCTCTTTTTGGCATTTAATAATACTACGTATATTCACAGATTTTTCCCAGTCAAAGCGATTTCCTGTCCACTCTCAACAACATCATCCGGGAGATAGGGCCATATATCCACCGAATCCATACACAGTAATATTCCTCGCAGAGATTGGTACTCTTGCCAGCTTGAGTCGATATCGAGAAGATGGCACAGGAGCCCGCTGCGACGACCTCGTCGACCCGCGAGCCGCCCGAGGCTTCACCGCAACAACCTGCCATCGTCCCGGCAGTCAGTACGCCCCTGTCATCTCCTACCAAATACAATCATGCTGTTACTGACCTCCGACACAGGATGACCACGACCTCTATGATGGAGACTCGGATGCTGCCTCGTAAGTGCATCGGATTGGAAGATCCCGCCGGGTCTACAGTGAGACTCAAGCTCCTTCCCATCATAGGTTTGAGAGCAGCACAGCCTCGCTCACTTCAAGTATTCTGGGCCACAAGTAAGATATTTCTTTGGACTTGATAGATCAACCTCTAACATGCAAGCAGATATGAAGTTAGTCTGTGTTCTGTTGGCCCTGGTTCACATCGAAACTAAGGCAAGTGTCTGTAGAATGGAAGACGATACCACGCCTACAGAGAAGGATCATATGTCATTGTAAGAAAGACACTCTTCCCTTCACATTCGCTCCTCATGGGCGTGTGAACAGATCTTGCTGACCTTCCCCAGCCAAATGATGAGAGAGAACAAGACCGGCTCGATCTAGTAAGTCGCCTCTTCCATCCCTGGGATTCGTTCAGAGCGCATTCTGGTTACTCACCATTTTATTCCCCCCCTTCTCTTTTCTTTCACAGCAACATCACATCTACAACATGATCCTAGGAGGAGAGCTTTACCGCGCCCCAATTCCACCAGGTACATCCAAAATCTTGGACCTTGGAACCGGCACTGGAAGTTGGGCAATTGATGTCGCTGAGTATGGTCACCCCTTACAATCAAGTGTCTGACGTTTGAATATTAAACTGTACTTCTTAGTAAACTCCCCGAAGCTGTCGTGACAGGTCTGTTGCCACCGTCTTCTGGCCCCTTCTTCACAACCTGAATGATTAACTTGCTGTTTGCCAGGGATCGATCTAAGCCCCATCCAGCCATCATGGTATGATTGCCTCTTCCTTTTGACCAATCCCGGGAGAAGCATGGCCTTAACCAGCTCTAATAGGATCCCAACAAATTGCAAATTTGAAATTGATGACTTTGAGGCAACCTGGAATTTCAGGGACCCGTTCGATTTCATCCATGCCCGGAGCATCGAAGGCAGCGCCAAAGATTATAAGCGTCTATTCCGCCAAGCCAAGGACAACCTTCGACCCGGAGGCTGGTTTGAGGTCGCGGACGCGACGGTGGGGGTTTTTGGCGACGACGACACCATCAACAAGGCCCCAAACATCCTGGAATGGCGCGACCACCTGATCGATGCAAGTGCTAAGTTTGGCAAACCTATGGGGGTATCAAAGAACTACAAACAATGGTTTATCGACACTGGATTTGAAAATGTGACCGAGGAGATCTACAAGGTAAGTTCCGTTACTATCAGGACGTATACATGGATTCCACGTGTGGCTTGCGAGCTAATCTTTTGACCACAGGTTCCATTTTCGCCTTGGGCCAAGGATAAAAAACTCAAAGAGCTGGGACGATATCAACAGGCGATGATGCTGGAAGCCCTAGAGGCCTACTCACTGGCTCTTTTCACGAAGGTCTTGAACTGGGATGTTAATCGAATCCAGGTTCTCTTGGTTGGGGTTAGGAAGGAACTTATGGACAGAAGTCTCCACATCTACTCCCAATACTATGTCGTATATGGACAGAGGCCACAGAATTCTTGAAGCTGAAAGGGCATATTTTCACGCGTCTCTCGATTCCCACTCCGTTTCCTTCCCAAATTTCTTTTTATTATTTGGAAAATAATGACACCCAATTCCCCATTTACTGCGATGGCGAAAAGTGAAAGACAGTATGTAATTAACGATTCTCTTCAATATTCGAGCTCCACTTTGCTGTCTGATCGCAGAGGCGAGAATACCGACGTGTGTCAGATATCAAGGTTTCAGCAATCCCACCAAAACGCCTCTTTAAACCTTCGCCGCGCCATCCAAAGACGCACTGCCAAGTAGCGCTAGATTGACGCGTCGGGATAAATCCAGCATTTACCATTGCGGGCTAGATTGCTTTTCGACCTGCTTTCCCAACCGCCAACCGCCTGCCCACAGCATGCTTCATATAGCAATCCTCAGATTTCCAGGCTGCGCGACGACTTTACGTGTGAACGGAAGAATTTACCGCGTACAGGTCTTAAAGGCGCACTTGTGACGCGACAGGTTGATATTCACTTGGGCGAATCTTACGAGGCCTTTGCGATATTTCCGACGGAACTTGATTTCGCGTAGCTGGTATCGTGTTAAGATGTTGGGCAGAGACCCAGGACTGTGTCCGTTGACTTCCTACCATGGAACCAGGGCACTTTGCACATGGTAGACGATACAGACACAACTCCTGCTACACTGTACATGTACGGAGCTACGCATACCATCATGCTAGAAGGCACCCCTGATGGGAAGCCGCATTATTAGCGATAAAAATGCGTTGAGTTACCCTGTAGAGCTTCTTTGATACATTGCGCGATCTGTCACACGCACTTCCTCCAACAACCAATTCCACATCATCATCAACCCCCTGTCGTAGTAAATAATGTTGGAACGGTCGAAGTGTACTTAGCATGCCTTCCAATCGTCTTCAATATGCGTGGCCTCGCTTCGCCACTTTGGCTGCGAAGGTATCTTGTTGCTCTGCCTTGAAGCAATGAGAGGCAGCAAAAATTCGATGCAAATGATGGAGGGTGCCCGGAGTACGCTGCTTTCGGTGCAAAAAGCGGTTGGCCCACCGATTTTCACGCGGGCCGGCCCGAAAAACCCCACAATTTATGGATTCGAGAGTTGGACATTGCTCTTGGCTGGCAAAGGGGGAGAATTTTGATATATTTAAAATTCCCGTGAGCGTTTTTGGCCTGTTTTGGGGATTTGCTTGATGAGGGAAAATTGGATCCGAGAAGGTGATCCAAAAGCTTTACGGATACTCCATGCACTCTCAAGGGTCCCGTCCAGTGTGGAGACCACTTTTCCTTGAGAACGGCCAAAATGTGGACCAACTCGGCCATCTTCCATCGTCCCACTCACGGAAGGTTGGCTTAGGATTATTCAGGTATGGATGGGTCTGGATTTATTATACCTTTTTTTTGGCTCTTCGCAAAGAAGGCCAGTGGGTGGCTAGCTGTATGCAACGAAATGTTTAAAACGGTCATGAAATAAAGAGGATATAAAGCTTCATCAAAGAAACAAAATAAAAATGCCGCCCCAACGCAATGTAGCCATAGAATAGTTTTTGCAAATCGAACAGATCAGGCCTGCCAATCAATAATATTTGCCCACACCAACTCTTCTTAGTGGCCCCCTGTCGGCCTTGTCCTGGTTGAAAATCAGCTCTAGGCGACGATTTGCCTCCACCTCTTGAACACTAATATGGTGTTTAAATGTGTCTGTATTGGCGATACCGGCGCTCGTGTTGTCCAGTACGCTGGTTGGCGTGGAATTCATCGCAAGAGCCGTGAGTTCCGACGTCGTTGCCCATGCTCGCGAGCTGCGGCCTGAGAAGAATGTGTAGAGTACATACGCAACGGTATATAAGCAGTAAATCGACAGCACGCAGATGGAGAGTTTGGTAGAGGTGCCTGTCGTGTTCCATACGTAGCCCGGAGCCTGGCTTCCAAAGATAAACTGAACCCCGGGAGGCTCCGACAGCTCCATGCTTACTGTCTCCCAGGGTATACCCAGATCCTCATATTTCCAAGTCCACTTCTTGCTCTCACTATTGAACGTTAGGTTTCCGAGCTGCGCCGGCCCAGCGGCGCCTGATAACCCACTCACAATCATTGACGCAACGAGGGCTTCATGCATAAACGGTCGACCGTAGGAAGTAAGAATGGCCCCTCCCGTCTCGTGTTCATATTCGAGGGAATAGTTACCGCCAGTTGGACATATATTGGGGGTTATAGGCATCGCTTGAAGAAGGTTATCGGCTACTGTTTGGTTCTGAACTTTGGTAGTGGGATTGAGGCTTTCAGCCCATGACTTGGAGAGGGAGATAGGGGATCTAGACCACGAGGGTAGGGTAGCGAGCGACGCCGTCGAGAGGGAGCTCTTGATTTGACGTGATAGCAAAATATCTCGTTCGTAACCGAATTCTAAGGAAGATGTTGTGTTTGCCCATGTTGATCCGATCAAGCATGCAGACGTGGTGAGAAATGGCTCATCTATCTCGCAGAACTCCGAATGCACAACAATTACTCCTAGAGGCCGAGTCGAGACCGGCCTTGTCACCTTGATATCATCAACCCAGATCATCTGGCCATGGATATCTTTTTTTGCTGCCTCCCAAAGTTCTTTTCTTGTGATATCCGTATAATTAATCACGTCGGTTGGGTTAAGGCGAGGCATGGACCCTGGCGCATGCTTGCCCACGAGGGGCGCAATGTAGGTGTCAGGGAATTGGATGGGTCTCGTGTCGTTTTCACCTTTTATGGCATTAAGTTCGCACAAAACACTTACATAAGGCTGTGGCATTCTGACACTGGTCTCTATCTTCGTACCATGATCCCAGTTGTCCAGCGCTTTTTTTGCTGCTTCTGCGAGAGCGAGTGATACTGGGATGTGTTGTACAGTAGCTAGAGTGCCATTAGGCGCGTACTGGACATACATAGTCCGATCCATAGCTGGACGCAAAACAGAATGCAGTGGGGGCATAATGTTGGTTGGGCCGTTCTGATGATCGCGTTGCAGACCCGTTTTTATGTTGTCCGTTAGTCCTATAACTGGAAGATTGTAAATATCACCCCAGCCAGCAGCAGCGAATCCTACAAAAGCATGTTAGCGAAAAAGACCGGCCGTGAGGAGGATTTCGAGCAGAATCTGACCAACTGATAAGGTCTTATCAATAACATCGGGATACAGCTCCGCGGAGGTAAGGTTCAATGCCAGGTCCGTGTAATCCGGCAAGGTGTAGTTCCCAAACCTAGGCAGCATAGCAATGGCGCTTGACGGGCCAACAGCACTCGCCAGTGCGATGCTAAACGGAATAAATAACAGAAAGACAATCTTCATTGCCACGGACAGCCAAGGAGTTGTCAGGGAGGCGAAGAACTCGGGGGACATCAGGTACGCAATGTTACCGATGTGATACACGGAGAAAATTGCACCGAAGGGAATGGCGAATTTGTTTGTCAGGAGGTACTGGATGTAGGCAATCATGACCGTCAAGATCGAGGCCTGCATGAGGACCTCATGGGCCTTAGCCGCAAATTGGAGCAGGTTAACCGTTGACCCATCAGTGCCATAAAAGTACGTCTTGATATTAAAGACGATGAGAAACAGAGCCACCCCCAGCGGAACGGCATGGAATAAGAGGAAGTGCCAAAGTGCCTTGGGGCGACTCCGGGCAAGGACCACCTTTCGTCGTTCGGCACACTTTTCCAGCGTGTCATCGTCATCGTCACTGTCCAGGGCTTCAAGCGACGCTATACGGTCTCCCAAGAGGTCGGAATTTTCTGGACTCCTGCGAGCAATGAGTCGGGGAAACAACATCTTGGGTGACCAAGTCAAATCCTTACCTGTGATGCTCCCTGGTATCTGCGGACGCGGGGCCCTCGTTTACGCTGAAATCTTGCAACGGGATCATATATTCGGGATCAAGATGGTGTGAAAGAAGTTTCTCTGACATTCGAGAAGGGAAGCCTTTGGACTACAATGTGGATGCATAGTCACGAACAGGGTCGCCGCAGAATGAAATATGTATTTTATCGCTGTCCCGACGCGGATTCGTAATTCACTGGCAGATCACCGTGGCTGGGTCGGTATCCTGTTTTTAGTTCAGCCGCGCGGAATCACGCATGAAGAGCTTAGTTGGCTCTGTGCGAGGACTTTCTCTGTCGTGTTGTTACACAGTGACTGGGGTCCGAAAGGCAACCCGGCAGGACATTCTCCGCCATGCTGTCGATCCCTGGTTGGCTCATGTTCTTCGAAGGCCATCTCTGATATTCGATCATCCACAAGCAAAAACTATGACCGAGAGGCCTCATTGCCTCAAGGAATGAGATTTGATGATGGAGAATTCGCGTCAATCTGTTAAGGGATAAGAAGAACAACAAGCCAAGTTTCATTCGAGTCGTCGGTGAATTAACCAAGGTGATGCCTCATCCCATCATCACCTCTTCAGGGGTGTGGGATGAGTTCCCTTGAAGAGGCTCAGCAAACTCTATAAACTCCACAGCTCACTTATGCTCTGAATACACACGCGCGAGCCTATAGGTATCAGGGAAAAACAACCTATACTATCAACTCATTCGTGCATTCAGTTTTATGAAGTTGGACAGCAGACACCAAAGGCACAGTGATCTGGTGCCTTGCCCTTTTTAGGAGAGTATTCTCTATACGGAGTAGTTGAGATACGAAAGCTGGGATTTTGAAGCACTGCAGCGGCCTGAGGTATCCTAGTTCTCCGAGTCACGTATCTTACGATCAACTGCGCCCTCCGGGCTGCTGAAGATGATGAATTTACCTTCACAACTGCAGAATATGGTCTCCCTTGAATTGCGAAGCATTCACTTTGTTGGTGAAGTGATATGAGGGAATTGGGGGGTTCCCAGACCCCGGACAATCGACGTAGATGACAACCCAGGTTTTCCGGGTCGCATGGCTTGTTTGAACTTTTTTCTTTTTTCTTTTTCTTTTTCTTTTCTTTTTTTTTCTTTTTTTTTTTTTTTTTTTTTTTTTTTTGGATAGGACTCTCCTAGCATCAGTTGGCCTGTCTCCATGCCGAGCTGTCTACCCAGTTCATTTCCCTTTCTCCTGTCCTCTTTTACTCTTGTTTCTTTGTGCCCCGAGTACTCGATGACGGAAGAAATTGGCCAAAGAAGGAGCGCAGAATCATTGCGAACTGGAAACAATGGATGGTCTGGACTGTCTATACATTCAATTGATCCACATAGCCGGTACAATGTTTTTGTTTTTGTCGTTTCCTTGAAAATCCCCGGAGATAAATACATTTAGCCTAGTCTGCAGGCTTTCCCATGCAACGTTGTATGTATAACCCGTGGGAGTATCCGATCAATTGCTTCTCGCTCCCCCCTTGGCCGCCCGTAGCTCATCCATCTTTGCGACCCGCTTCTTGAACTCCTCGTATTGGCATTTCTCGTAGGAATGTCTCTCATTCTACCGTTTTCCCGTTAGCATTATGTTATGATCCGGTATCAAAACCCTCGTTCCGCTGCGGATGTCTTCCCGGGAACGCAGAATTTCGGTCCTCCGTGGACTACGTCGTACCTCGCATTTCCATGGCAAATAATATTCCTGAACTCGGCATCGGTTGAGCGGTATCAGTAGATGTGCACAGCTATCTCTGAAGGCAATAGGGAGGCGAGCATTCGACATCTCTTCCCGAGTGGCAGCCGTCGGCTCTGCAGAAAACGGTTAGCACCAAAACCCCCATGCGTCGCTATTATGGAAGTCAATTGATCGGAGTAACTCACGGCTGGCATCGCCAGTAACAAGTTCCTTGAGCGTCATATTGATCTCGTCCCAGTTCAATTTCCTCTCACGAGAAATCAAAAGTGTTCCGAGAATCGCAGAGCCGGACAAGTCTTGTGTCATGAGGTTGCGACTGGGTTTCCGGAGCTTCGGAGGCCGGTTTATCCGAAGTGTTCCACTTAACGCGCGCGTGTTTGCTGGGTGCACGATCGCGTTTCGTCTTTCACTTCTTTTTGCCCTCTCTGGATGTGGTGAAGGCAAGTTGTTGGGAGGGATTCAGAGTTGCTAGCATTATTTTCTGCATGGCATCTTGTTGAGCAAGCTGGGGGCTCCAGATAGTTAGTTATCTGTTGCACACAGCCATTCTTACCAAGCGTCGTTTGTTGACAGCCGGAGAGAGCAAAAGACCGCTCGGCCCATCGCCGCCATGGCGACCATGGATTCTGGTATTGACACTCAGATCTACTCTGCTACTTATAGTGGGGTAAGTTTATTTCACAAATTCACGCAATACAGCCGCAATTCTCCTTATTCTTTTGTTTTCCTTTTTCCTGGCACACTCAATTTCAGTCGCTGACAACATGGCATACGCAGGTTCCGGTTTACGAATTCAAAGTGGGGTCGGACAGTGTGATGCGACGCCGTCATGATGACTGGATCAATGCCACTCATATTCTGAAAGTTGCCGGCCTGGACAAGCCGTCGCGTACTCGTATCCTCGAGAGGGAAGTGCAGAAAGGCACACACGAAAAGATCCAAGGAGGCTACGGGAAGTACCAGGGTAATTTTTTATCTTTCGGCTGCCAGCCGTCCATGGTTATCCTTTGAGTTGGAGCTGAAAATTGGCGTCTAGGAACATGGGTGCCTCTCGCCGATGGGCGTGCTGTCGCCGAAAGAAACAAGGTGCTCGATCAGCTACTCCCCATTTTTGATTTCGTCCCTGGTGACAGGACCCCTCCTCCCGCTCCGAAGCACACGACGGCGGTTTCTTCGAGGCCCAAGGCTCAAAGGACGGGGGCTTCAGGCCGAAGAGGTGGCCGGGCGTCGTCTTTCGCTTCTATGAACACCCGTGCGCCTCCCGCGGCAAGCTTTGTGCACTCTGAAGACGCATATTCTCAGATACCGCAGTCATTCAACGACCAAGAATCTGTTGACCAGGCCAGCCGTGAGTCGTCCTCGGTGCTGGCAGAAGAAGACATTGCACAGGTGTCTCAGCATCCGACCCATCCTCGGAAGCGCAAACAGGATAGGGACCTTAGCGCATTGACGGTGGCAGAGCAGCAGCACATCATGTACGGCGACGAGCTCTTGGACTACTTCATGACCGTTGGCGATGCACCCGCTCGGGGAGCCGCCCAGCCGCCTATCCCTCCGCAGAACTTTCAACCCGACCGCCCAATCGACGACCAGGGGAACACTGCCTTGCACTGGGCGTGCGCCATGGGATCCTTGGATGTGGTAAAAGATCTTATTATGCGGGGAGCTAATACCTGCGGTCTTACGCGTAATGACGAGACTCCTCTCGTTCGTGCTGTCCTGTTTACTAATAATTACGAAAAGCGAACGATGCCGGAGCTTGCAGAGATCCTCAAGAACACAATCAGCTTTCGAGATTGGTTCGGCGCCACGGTCTTCAACCACCTGGCCGTCGCTACGAAAAGCAAAGGAAAATGGAGAAGCTCGCGCTACTACTGCCAGGTCCTGATTGCAAAGCTCTCCGAGATGTATCCGCAGCATGAGGTGGGGTTGCTGCTCGCCTCCCAGGATTCCTACGGGGACACGGCGGCTCTCACCGCTGCCAAGAACGGCTGCTATCGACTCGCTGAGATCTTACTGAAAAACTGCCCGGAAGCCGGCAATCTTCCAAATAAACATGGAGAGACGGCGAACGAGGTGATGATGATGATCCAGCAGCAGCAGGTCCCGAGGGATTACCCGCACCGTCCATCATCTGCAACCCAACACAGCGTCCACGAGGGCGACATTGGCGGCGTCATCGAAAGGGGGGGGGAGAACATGGCGCAGTGTCAGCTGTCCTGCAAGAATCCGGTCGCGGCGGCGCTGCTCAAGAAGATAAGCGCGATAATGGACGATGCAAACGGCAAACTTACCCAGGCCTACGGCGAGGTAAAGTCGCGTCCCCAGAGCTTTGACGGCAAGAGTCATCCAAGAGAGATCTACGAGCAGCTGGAAGCCGAACGCGAGACCATCCGCAAGGACAAGACGGACACGTTGTCGAAGGAGGCCGAATCGGTACCGTTTGAGGACCTGGTCTCCCGACACGATGGTGCAAAGCAAAAGTACGCGTCGCTCCTGGAGGGTACGCAGGAACTCACGCTGAGCAAGCGGATTGGGCCCCACGGCGGCAATATCGCACCACCGGAGACGGAGAACAACAAGCCAGAAAGGTTAGACGGCGCCGCTACCACCACCACCACCACCACTGCTGCTGCTGCTACAGCTGCTGCACCACCGTCTTCGGAGAAGGAGAACGAACTGGCACAGAAGATCGAGCTGATCCGCAAGATCGCGCAGGCGGAGATGGCGCGCAAGAACGGCACAGAGAGCATGATGTCGCACCGTGCAGACGCGGGACCGGACGCGAGGCTCAACGTGCACCGGAAGCTGGTCGCGATGGCGACGCGGCTTCCAGAGCAGGACCTGGACCCGATGGCCAAGGACCTGGCGGTCAATCTTGAATTTGTGCGAGCCCACCAGAGCCGGCCGGGCAAGCCGCTGGCAGACGCAGGAAGGGCGTTCAAGCAGAATGCATGAGAGCAATAACTACATTTAAGTCTCGAGAGCAACTTTTCTTTCCCTCTTTTCCTTTTTCTTTTCCTTTTCCTTTTCTTTTTTCTTTTCTTTTCTTTTCTTTTCTTTTCTTTTCTTTTCTTTCTTTTCTTTCTTTTTTTTTTTTTAAAAAAAAGAAAATACTTTTCATTGTAATTACTCATGTCTGGTAGGCTACGATGAAGCAGCTTCGTCGAGCCTGATGATGATGACACCCTATTTCTGCGTTTACTTTTGATGCATCATTGAGGGACGGCGCGGTGGCTTGTGTGTACGGGTAAAAGAAAGGATCATGCATGTTCCACTGAGGGATTGCGGTGTTTTCCAAGGGGATCAACTGGTGGGCCGGGTCTGGCTTTTCGGTCTCGTTTCATGTTTTGAAGGGCTGCTTGCGCGCGCGCGCGTGTGTGTGTGTAAATAATGTTATTTATGGAGCAACTCTTTTTAAAAGGCTTGTCTCAGCCCTGAATATATTGTCAGACAACCAAGGAAGTTACTCTGCATCAGTGCATCACCTATGTAGTTATGCGGGAAGAGAAGCCCGGTCTTATCCTCCTTTTTTTCTTTTTTTGTGTTTTTAGGTCTTATCCTTTTTTTTTTTTTTTTTTTTTTTTTTTTTTTAAATAAAAACAAAGGCAAGCACACTATCAAGGTAACTAAGAGGATTGCAACGGATGTGGCAGGTGGCGTCTCCCGAGGAGTACCAGAAGAATCGAGTTTTAAGGGGGCGGGCCGCTGGAAGTGCGTGGTCTCGAAGGGGGGGCTTGAAATCATCATCGGTGGCTTGCTTTTTCGCGCCTGTCGCTTTTTTTTGGGGGCGGGACGGATTGAGAAACAGCAGAACAAGCAGAGCAACATCTGTGCTGAGTCATCGCCGCGTTTCTGCAGGGCAGGCGCGGGTTGTTTCACGGAGCGTGATTGGTCCAGCAAAGACATGCGATCGCGTCGGGCGTATCCAGATCGGGAATAGCGCAAGGACCGTGCTAGTCTGTTTTTGGGGGCAGGCGACTCCTCGCAGCCAATCACCGCGCAGGGCCGCCCCCCACGCCAGGCGGTCAGCCAGTCGATCGGCGATGCTGATTGGCCAGCACCCCTTTTCATTTGCTTTCCTTTCTTTTTTCTGCCCTGCTTCCATTTTTCCGCCTAAGAGGATGCAAGTCGAGGCCCACACCCTCTCTGTTTTGTGTGTGTGAGCGAGAGAGTGAGAGTGAGAGAGGGAGGAGTGTGTGTTGTGTGTTGTGTGTAAGAGAGAGAAGTGTCCCTTCGGCCCATCCGCAGCGAGTGGCCGCCGCCCGCCCCCCCGGACCTCACCTGCCACATCGTCCGGCGTTTCCCCTCTTTCTCCATACGATCTGTTCTTCTCTCTCTCTCTCTCTCTTTTTTCTTCTTCTGCATCTTCCTCACCCACTCACTCTCACACACTCTCTCTCTCTCTTCCTCACTCCATCTCCTCTTTTTCCCCCCTTTTTTGTCTTCCTCCGCCCCCCATCTCCTGTTACCTTTTCGCTGCTGGCTTCGATCACTTCCCTCCTTGCTCTCTTTACTTTTTTATTTATTTATTTATTTCTTTTTTATTTTTCTTTTCTTTCTCCTGGCTTTTAGAAAACTCACCTCTCCCCGTCAAAAAGTTCCAGCCGACGAGCCTTGCCGCCGTGTTCTGTCGCGCAACCCGTTCTTTGACCTCCCCCTGCCGCCTCTCCCAGAGCCACTCCCGTTTTCCTCAAAGCAAATAACATCCATCTGTCTTCCCCTTCCGAAGAAAAAGAAAAAAAAAGAAAAAAAGAAAAAAAAAAGAAAAGGAAGGAAAGAAAGAAAGAAAGAGACAAAGATCAATCAACCATCAAAACCAGTTTTTTTTTCTCCCTTTCTCCCACCTGGAGCTCGTCCTCGTGATTGGATAATTTTCGTTGCTCGGGTCCTGTCCGTCTTGTCAACTTCGTCGAAAAAAGGCAAAAAAAAAAAAAAAAAAAGGAAAAAAAAGGGTCTCTTGAAACCCAACCTAACCCTAATCCTTGGGGTTGTTTTGCCGCCTTCAATCCCGACCTTTTCCAGCCACTGCGTTCGAACGACTCCGATCTCGCTTTCTACGGTCTCCTTGCCTCTTGAAAATTGTTTCTATCATTTTATCTCTCTCTCTCTCTCTCTCTATCTCTCACTGTCTCGTTCGATCCGTCGTGATATCCGCTCTCCTTCTGTCCTCTTGTCTTTTATCCTTTTAGTTTTATTTTTTTTTTTTTTTTCCGTTTTTCCCTCAGTAGCTGTGCCTCGACCGCTGTGCTCTCCCGTGAGATTGCCGTGCAACCTCTCTCTCTTCCCTCGAAATTAGTCGCGCGCATCGTATTTGAATTCTCGCCAGAAGGACAAAAACAAAAATCTTTTATCTGGCTTTGGATGCAAGATTCGTCTTATCGCTCTTCTCGAAAAACGACTTGCAAATCGCGTCCCGACATCTTTATATTCCGTTCCGCTGTACATTCATTTTTTTTTTATTAATTTTTTTTTTCTTGTTCTCGCTGTGACGTGAAGTTTTGGTAAGTTGACAACCTGACGTCGTTATTACTTGGCCCCCCCAGGTCTTCTTTTCACTAACAGCAAAAATTAAAAAAAAAACCAAATAGACAGTTGGACAGTCAGGATTCTCGCGGTCCTCACCTTACGAAATTTTCTTCGACGCCCGAGGCCTCGCCGCTTAGTTGTACCATAACACCCCCCCACAAGTGCATTGCGCTTTGTTAATCGCTTAATTCGATCCTCCATTTCCTTGTTGCTGCGATAATCCGTGAATATACAACGCATTTCCCCCGTCGAGACCCTCGACGGCCTTAATCCTCCTATCTAATATACCCGCCGGTTACGATTTCCATCTCTCGCCATATCATTTACACGGTTGTGAATTTGTTGGCACCCTTTGCATATACCGAAACCCCCTCAACCCCAAGAAAAAAGCAAAATATTCGAATCTCCCGTTCCAACGATTAAGAGTATGGACACTGGTGGTCTAGCTCAAATGACTTTCAACGCGTCTGTCAACGGTGGCTCCCTCGGCGTTCCGGGCTCTGGCTTCGCTTCCCGTGGAAAAGGTTCGCATATAAAACGTCTCAGTGTCCCCCATCCTTCTAGGTTTGGGACTGGAGATGAGTCTCAGGCCCTCCCAACACCCCGCACTAGTCGCTCTCATCTCCTTGCTGGCTTGAGGACTGCCCCGAAACAGCCATCGACCCCGACCACTGCACCTCTGTTGCAGCAACGGCCGAATCACTTGGGGCTGGATACTTCGGCGTATGGCGCTTCTCAGGCATCCTACGTTGGAGGAATCCCCCATTCCGCGACTGGCACCACATTCTCCCATAACAACGGGTCAAACCTCGGCATGAGTGCCCAGATGTATTCCCTTCCGGAACACGTTCTCGCTCCACCAGCTCTGGACCAGATCTTGGAGTCAGGAGAACCCATCGACGAGAGCCTGTACAATGAACTCGTCCAGACTAATCTGTTCCTGGCGGCACAACAGCAGCGTTTGCAACAACAGCTTGCCACCGTCACTGCCGCGGCTCAGCAGTTTCAAGCGTTGAATCTTGGGTCGCCTCTTAACTCTCAGCATGTTTTGACCCCTGGCCTCCCCGGAATGAGCTTTTACCAGCAGCAGGCCCAGCATGGTATGCAGCCCGTCGTCAACCCTGTTCCCGGCAAACCGGGGATGTTCTCTGTGTACAACCCCATGACTGGACAACACAGCTACCTCGTGGACAATAACGCCCAGGAAGAGCCGCAATCCGCCACTTATCAAGAGCATTTTCAATCACCTGCCCCATCTGCCCAAGGCTTCCGGAGCGACATCCCATCCCCCCCTGAACAGAGGCCCTCTCCGGTTCGTACTCAGTCTTCAAACAGCCCAACAAGAGTCCCATCTCCAACCCGTCAGGCTTCTCCGTTGCAGCAGCACATTTCGAACAAACGTCTTCACAGGAAGATTCCTTCTGTGTCGGTAAAGACCGGGCTTGACCTGGGGAGAAACTCGACGCCAAAGCTGGCGAACTTCCCGCCCACTCCGGCAACTGGCACCTTTGGTCCCGGACAGGGGCGCGCTGGAGAGCATCCGCTTCGCCAACCCCGAGGCCCACCATCGCTGGAGGAACTCGTCGCGAAACCCACTGCCAAGCATGAAGGTAGCAAGAACTTTGTTACCCGCCAGCGTCGTCGCGCCGTCCACAATCTCGTTCGCGCTGGAATGGAACGCCGCAGCGGTAACAGTAGCACCGCTGGAAGCGTCACCCCATCCAGCGATGTTGAATTCAATTTCTCCCCTTACCCAGGCGACGAAGGGAGTATGAATCCCTCGAGCCACTCAAGCGTTGAAAACTTACGGGGAGCAATCGGGTCGGAAAGAAGAGAAAGAGAGTCGTCCCCTCGCAACTCCGTTGGGAGGCTTTCACCAACTGGTGGCAAGTTTGGTGAGGGCCGCATGGCTTCTCCCACTGCTGCTGAGATAGTAGCTCGTCATCCGCCGGCAGCTACTCAGCTCCCTGAGCGACGCAAGATGCCGATGTTTCTGCTCTCGAGTGCAGAGAAGCGCAAGACCCCCCTGATGTAAGGGGTTGGAGGCTGACAAATGGTCAAGAATGTGGTTCATGAACAGTAAAGAATATGGCAACAGTAAATGGCTTCTTGTTTTTGGTTGGATTTTTTTTTTTTTTTGTTTTTTCTCTTTTTTTTTCATTTTGCTTACAATTTTTGTGATCTGATCTGTTTGCTCACACGATGGATGACCCTGTGAACCTTTGATACCTTTTCTTTTGAATGAAAAGAGACAAGACAAACTGTGCTGAATTCAATTCTCTGGGAACAACTTCCCTTTTTTATTTGCTCTTTTTCTCTTTCTTTTTTTTTTCCCCTCACCTTGTTTCACCTTCACCTGGTGTATCTTACTCTCACAGGCTTGAGATTGAGTTTAACGGCCGTGATTACTGCTTGCTACTTGGATGGTGCTTAGCAAAAATTGGAAATGAAACTGATAACCATTATGCTTCTTTTGGTGTGGCTTTGATTTGAGTTCCCTGTTCACCCTAGTCTAGCTTGTTTCCCCGTGCCCTTATTTTCTGAGTTCAAAGCTGGTATGTGGTGGCAGTACCTTGTTGCGGAGAAAAGGGTGGTGGATTTTGAATGTGCCTGAAAGGCCAGTCTAGACAGCAGAGAACAGGCTGGTGGATGACTTTGTGGCTTTTAGTGATGGCAGGAAGCCCATCAATAATGTGTCTGTTTCTTTGTATTAAGATTTCCAGGCTTGAGACATGTTTGCTTTAAATAATTTCTTCAGCCCTTTCTTGGCTCGCTGGCGAGCAAGATGTGGAATAGATAGTTTACTGCAACACGTTTGCCATCCAGCCTGCTCACATTCTGATCCCCAGTGGAGTCAACGCCTGGATTAATTTATTGGAGCTTCTGGGTTAGCCAGGAAGAGAAAAAGGCGGCTACATGCAGATGCTACATTACAAACAGAGAGAAAAAAAAAGGGGGGGAGTGGAAGAGGAACTCTAAGGATAAGAATGTAAATGGTTTCCAGGCGCCTTCGTGCGGGTTCTGGAACATCAAACGGTCAAAAAGAGGGCGGAGAAAAAAGCCATTCGTCGAAACATTGATGGCGGAAGTCTGAAGATCAAAATCGAACACACTAAACTAACAAACTAACGAGTTAACTTCCTTGCGCCATAAGTTTGGTTGATTGTGCTGGTTGGCCAGTCAGCCGGGCCGTGGCAAGCTCTTCAACGTCACCCATCATGGATTTTTTCGCCGAGATAGCGGTACCCACGGCCGGGGGTTCTGAGAACTGCTTCCAGACCTGAAAATTCTGCAGTACGGAGATAAACTGGTGATTTCGTGCTCAGAGCAGGCGAGTCTGATATCATGCCCCCTCCTCCAAAGTTTTCTGTCGTGGCCTGACAGAAAATGCTGCCGAAAATAGCACGGGGACCTCCTTGTGGCCACGCTGCCTGTGGGGAGAGCTTTGTTTCGAGAGCAGAGTACGGAGTAACGGGCCCCAGAACTCCCGCCTGCGTGATCGGTGGATGATGGCGCGGTGCTCTTTTTGGGTCTTGCTGCTATTCGATAAGCCAGCTGTCTCCTCCAGCGGGTCTGCCTGTGTGTTCCTCCAGACCTCCTTGGGATGACTGATCGAGATCCCATAAGGTTTTGATAAGCCGGCAATGCTTTGTGGATGGAATGATGTAACCAGGTTAACCAGTCAACCGGCTTGCCATGCCAGACATCACCCGCCACTCCACGAGTTTCCTGGTTGGTTGATATCGATTTTCTATGTATCTCCCTCGAGAGCTCTGATTCCGCATCGTCCAGACACAACCCCCCTCCAACGCGCAATGGAGAAATTGGTCTCAAGCACACTCTCTAGACCAAGTCGCTGGCTAGGGCTAGGTCATAGTTACCCTACGCCCAATACTGTCCATGGGAGAGCCACGCTTTAACCTAGACCGCGCAAAAAAAAGCCTGTCTTGAGGAATTCTAGGCCTTATCTTCGCCTCCCAGCTGGACCCTTTTGTCTCGAATACCGATATCAAGTCGGCCGAGGGATGATTCACATACTTTGCTCTTCATTTTTTTCTGTCGTCGTATCTTATTACTTAGCCGCTGTCATCCTCTCAAAAATTGCCCCTCATACTTAATTCCTTTCATGTTTTTTTTTTCTTATGGGAATATAAACACAGCTAACTAACCAGCTAACTAGAGCACATTTTGTTTGATTTGATCTCGTTATTTTATTTTATTTCTCTTGCTTAATCCTAGCTGACTACCCGTCGAGCGTTTGCTATCGAACGCATTGGACCCTTGTCAATTTTGCCCTTGGAAGAAGGAATTTGACAAGAGATCTTCGACCAAATCTTGTATTGAACCGGTGTTTCACGCCATTTCGAGTAGTGGTTTGCTTGCTTTTTCCCAATCCCGGACCCCGACAAACGCTTGAAAGATCCGTGGTAGTTGCAGCCTGTCTGCTCCAGTCCTGGTGAAAAAAAATCCTGTTGGAGGATCAATGTGGTGAGGCGAGACATCCACGGAAATCCTTTAGGGTGTTGTCACCTTTACTCCCATTGAGGGAGTTTCCGGGACCTCCGCGTAGCCGAGTGGGCACGAATTGCTCTTTGTCGTACTATGGAGGAAGAAAATCTGTACTTCGCAGTGAGCACTGAGGCCCTTCTGCCGACTCCTGCCAGCTGCCGGAGTTCACGAACACCAAGCCCTTCCGGGATCCATATGGCTCCATCGCGGCCAGCCTTGAGGCGTGATAACATTACTAGAAATGGCAGGCCAGAGGGCAAAGAGTTGCGGTGGACGAATCCCGTTGGGGATGCATCAGAGAATCCGCAAGATATCCTACCAGATAGCGCAGAGGACTGCAGGCCACGAGCTCCCCAAATACCACCTGCCGTCCATCTGTCCTTTGATACACCAACTTACAACGGAGAATCTGCTGAGGATCATAATGTGCAACGGAAATTCGAGCGACGATTGACCGGGTTTCCTTCCGACGTTGACGAAGAACCTCTACGGCAGACCAGTTCGGAACAACGAAAAAGCAGGGAACTGCATTCCGCTTATGAGAGAGCGCAGAAACTAGCTTCGAGATTACGCATGCCGTCGTTTGCTCGGAAAGCCCGTCCCATGAAATCTAAGGATGACGGTGGAGGAAGCGGTGACGCATTTATCCCAGTTGATCTCAACGAAAAGGATGATAGCTTGGATGAACCGACACACCCAATGAACTCATCCCCGTCTAGCATTACTGAAGCCCACAATATAGTTCGAAGATTGAGTAGGCATCGTTTGGACCCTTTGACTCACAACCGCCCTATCGATCTCCCCTCAGGCCAAGTCACTCCTTACGGAGAAAGGGATCCGAACAACTACGTGGAGCCACGGTCGCATTATCGCGGTAGCATATTGTTCAATCTACTCAAGCTTTACCATAATGGCGAGCAAGAAGGACGAGAGGAGAGTCAACAACTTTCGTCGTCGAGCCTGCCGTTGCACCATTCTCCTCAGCAATCCATTTCTATACCTAGCACGCCGCGCACAAAGAGCAAATGGTACGACAAGTCGAAAAATTTATCCTCGAGTTCGCTCAGCACGCTGCTACCGGACGCACAATCCCGTCGTTCTTCGGTGGACCATGGGCTCAAACACTCCAGGAGTAGTAGCATGCTTGCCTCTGCGGCAAAGAAACTCCTCCCTCGTCCCCGCCTTGAAGATGAAATTCGTATTTCGGTGCATATCGCGGAGACTATCTCACGCCAACGGTATCTGATGAAACTCTGCCAGGCGCTTATGAAGTACGGTGCCCCGACCCATCGACTCGAGGAGTATATGTGCATGACGGCAAGAGTCTTGGAGATCGATGCTCAGTTCTTGTACGTCCCTGGGTGTATGTTCTTTTCTTTCGGCGACTCTGCGACGCACACCACCGAGTTGAAGCTGTTGAAGTACCCCCCAGGACTCGATCTGGGACGACTGGCCGATGTACACGAAATATACAAGGAAGTGGTGCATGATGTTATCGGGGTCGAGGAAGCCATACAAACATTAGACGAAATCAACCGCCGGAAGGACAAATATAATAAATGGTGGCTCATCTTCTTCTATGGCTGTGCATCTGCCTGTGTGGGACCTTTCGCCTTCGAAGCCGGCGCCTTGGATATGCCGATAGCCTTCCTCTTGGGATGCATTCTTGGTGCACTGAAATACCTTGTTGTCCCCCGCTCCCCGTTGTATTCTAATGTCTTTGAACTCACCGCTGCTATGGTGACGTCTTTCCTCGCCCGTGCATTCGGAAGCATTCGGGCTGATTCGGGTGAATCCCGCCGCCTGTTTTGTTTCCCAGCCCTCGCTCAATCTTCCATTGCGCTTATTCTTCCAGGATACATGGTGCTCTGCAGCAGCTTGGAGCTCCAGTCTCGGAACATGCTCGCAGGCTCAGTGCGGCTGGTATACTCCATCATTTACTCGCTGGTGCTGGGATTCGGAATGATGCTGGGTACGTCCTTTTATGGAAGCATGGATCCATATGCAACTTCTGCATACGCCTGTCGTGGCGCAGCCCGCTTCGGCAATATAAACGAATACGCACGAAAGTTTCCATCTGTTATCCTTTTCACACTTTGTTTGGTCATGATCAATCAGGCGAAATGGAAACAGGCTCCGGTCATGATCATCATCTCGTTTGCCGGATACGTCGTCAATTTCTTCTCCGTTAAACGGTTTGCGAATAATACGCAGATCGCGAGCGTCCTAGGGGCCTTTGTCATCGGCGTTATGGGAAACCTGTATAGTCGTTTGCGACATGGGCTCGCTGCCGCCGCGATATTACCGGCGATATTCGTTCAGGTGCCGTCGGGCTTGGCCTCGAGTGGTTCGCTCCTGTCCAGCCTGGCTTTTGCGAATGAAATAAACCGCAACAAGACGGCCACGCATAACGCGGATAAGAATTCGCTCGATCCTATCCTGCCAGTGAATTTAACTGAGACGAGCAAGGGACTGCCGCAGTTGCTGGGGGCGAACAAGATGTATGGGAATGTGGTGTTTGACTTGGCGTATGGGATGGTGCAGGTTAGCATTGCAATTACTGTTGGGTTGTTTCTGGCGGCGTTGGTCGTATACCCTCTAGGGAAGAGGAGGAGCGGGCTGTTCAGTTTCTAGATCTCCCTTGGCACTCGGTTTACTTGGGGGTTACAGGCGTTGCTTGGAAGTTTTCGGTGCCAGACGAACGCCATTCGTCTGCCGGTCATAAAAACACTTTCGTCTTTATCCTCTCTTGTTTCTATGTTATGAAGTGAGCTTATCTGTCTTTCGCACGGCTATATATGCGGAGACTACTCCGTACATACATACGGAATATAGAATTTTGAATTAATTATATATTTACTTGGACAGAGTTAAAGCCGTCAATTCCTATTGACATTTCAAATCATGAGATTGGCAGATGAGTATCAAACGCTCAACCTAAGTGACTGACATCTGAGAGGGCCGTTGGTGTGCTTCAGAGTACCCAGGGATTGTTAAGGGGGTGGGTTAGGGATGGGCTAGGGGGCCTGGGGGTGAATCTTCAGAGGGCGGTTAGGGGGTGGAACCTCGTTGTTTGGGAGGCGTTCTGGGGGCAAGCTAGCTACGGAGCACTCCGTACTTAAGGGGCTTTCACTTACCTTAGGGTTTGCGCCTTTGCCACAATGAACCGGCGGATCGATCAGCGGCACGCCGGCAGCCGAGCAATTTTGGCGCCGTACGTATTCTTGGCCAGCCCCCCAAAAAAAAAAAAAAAAAAATCAAACACTCACTCGTTAACGAAGTAATGGACTCGCAGCCCTATTTGATTCGCGGATATTGCGGAAGCGAACGCGGAATATTGAAAAATGCCCCTGACGAAGGATGTTCTGACCTGCTTTGGAACATGATTCTTTGAAAATGTTGATAATTTATGAGGCCGGCGGCCCGCTCGTGGCTGCTTCGAGTCGAACCTGAAACTCGAGTGAAGAATCATCGTGGCAGGGGTCCTGCAATAGTATCTCGGCAATTAATGGGAACTGCAACGACGGTTCAGAGGTGGGTAATGAAAAGTTTGCAAGGGCTTCGAATCCCTCATCTCAAGGAAAAATCAGCCCAATTGAACGAGGCGAACGCTGGCGATGGGCTCAACTCAACCCTCCCAAGAAGGACGGTTACACGCCTTCCAAGTGATATCTGACCTTCATCTTGAAGTTGGCCGGCAGTACTCTTCGTTCGAATTTCCCGTTAAAGCGCCGAATCTTATTTTTGCAGGCGATGTTGGCTGCCTGGCGCAATATGACGAGTACCTCGACTTCATTCGGAAGCAGACGTGCCGATTCGAACGGGTGTTTCTCGTTCTTGGAAACCATGAGTTCTACGATATGACCTATGCCGCGGGCCTAGAGAAGGCGAGGGAACTCGAGAAAGAGCCTAGCCTGGATGGACGGCTTATCCTTCTTGACAGAACGCGCTACGACATTCCGGATTCTCACGTCACGCTTTTGGGGTGCACGCTTTGGTCGAGGGTGGCTGACGATGTGAAAGAGATTGTGAGATCGAAGGTTAAGGATTATCGGAGGATAGAGGACTGGTCCGTCGAGGTTCACAATTCAGGGCATGAAAAAGATAGTGGCTGGCTGAAAGACCAGGTCAAAGAAATACAGCGAGGGGGTGAACAGAGACAGATGCTGATCGTTACGCATCATGCCCCGTGCTTCGATGGAACCTCGAGTCCGCGGCATGCGCAGAACCCATGGACGTGCGCGTTTGCAAGTGACACGCTCCCGGATGAAGGCTGGGCGGGCGTGAAGTATTGGATCTTCGGGCACACACATTACACAACAGAGTTTACCAGGGGAGTTGTCAGAGTTGTGAGCAACCAACGGGGATACGTACTTCCATCGGAGTCGACGGAGAAAAAGGCAGAAAACAAGTTTGATGTCGAAAAGGTGATTTGGATGTGAACAATATGCAGTTCAGTGAACCCGTCGCTTGTCAATTGAAGTATCCGAAGTAGGTACATATCGGAAACTTTTCAACGACCTTAATATTTTTTATTCCTCTCATCCCTTCCTATCTACGGAGTAAAGCAGAAAAATTTGCTGCGCTCTACCATCACATGTATTTGCTTTGCTTTAATGATGGGAACAGTCTTTCTCCCGTCGCACCGCAATCACTCTAACCACCACTTCTCCGTATATTCTACAGCGACTGCAATCAATCTCGCTCCGAAAGGCCATATTCGTTCAATACCTTCCCGCCCCACTTTCGTGATGCAGTACTGCTATCAAAGTGAATTACTCACGGACGCTGCTCTCTCCCATCTGATAAATTTCTTGTCCGAAGTGTGCAGGTGGCCGAATGTGATGCAGGCGCCCCTCTCTTCGCGAACCGCAATATCGCCACTGATGAGCCGTGGGGTAAACTAAACTACATATGTATGTCTGACAGGGGGTTTGAAAGCAAAAAAAAAAATAAAAAATAAAAAAGAAAAAAAAAGAAAAAAGAATAAAATAAAAATAAAAGCCAGTTGAAGCATCGGCTGTCCCGCAAATAAATACCCGACTGCATTATTGTTAGGTCATTTGGCAGACAGGCAGGGATTAGGTGACGTCCACGCACTGACATCACTTCATGATGAGTCCTCATTTGCCGCTTCAGATGTGAATACCAGGTTAACCAACTAACATGGCACGACTTGAGGTGACATAGGGCTAAATTCGAACCGGTTGATTTTAAAGCTGACTATCGTGATTCGGTAGTTCATGAGTCGACGGCTGGACACCCTCTTTGCTAAATATGGCGTTGTGCTCGTTTGGCCTCCCTACAAGACCGCACAAATGCGCGCTTGTAGGCGTTGCAAAGTCAATACTGGCCGCTCATATTCCGAAAGAGATGCCGTTTTCTTCCACTACTTTATTGCATAAGGCCATCGCAGTTGGCTGCATCTCCCACCCATGCCAGCTTCGGCAATTTCAGAATATCTAGGATGTCATGGACCTGCTCCAGGTCAGCCGCGCCATCGATTACCTTCAGCCCGCCACTATTGTCCTCGAACAAGAGTGATGCACCTTTCCAAAAGGGGTAGTATGTCTGATGCGGACTTCGATGTACAGTGGAGCCAGCGACATGCCACGGGCCTCCTTGTGTTGGGTATCAATGGACGTCTCCGTCTTGGAGAGTCGGATGGTCCTTAGACTGGGGAGAGCTTTGGTCGTCTTCGCAAAGCTATAAATTGCTGGATGTTTCCCTGCCTTGATGGACCATGTTTCTCAAACTCTTCTAAAATCGTCAGGCACAAGAACTCAATTTTATCCAAGTCTCCTTTGATTACGAACAACCTACCGATTCGAACTGCGACTCCCCAGTGGCTATGGTCCGAGTCGCGTCAGCTGTGGTAGCTCTGGGAGCTGTATGCTTTGCGGCATCAGAACAAGTGTTCGGTTTCAAATCGGGCCCTTCGGCACCGCACATCCCTCCGGGGCTCTCCCATGGGTTTGCACCGGCCTACTCGTCGAATAAAACCGACAAACCGACTCAATATTTGATGGCAGGACCGCAGTTAACAGGATACGCGGCAGCATCCGCGGTGAATAAAGTGCCTGTGATTCCGATCTCCGGGGACGGAATAAACTGTCCAAGCAATACAGAGCCCAGTGCTAAGAGCTCCGATGGCTACCAGTGCATGTACGGAAATGCAGAGGGGACTATCCACCTTCACTCCGCATTGTCCAAGTGCTGCTATTCGCCTCAGGAATCGGTGTTCTTGCTCTCTACGACGGGAGAGACGTACCATGCGGCGAATTACTTCTTCGATAGTAAATACTGCTGTGTTGACGAGGGCGAGGTGGACGCTTCGCTCACTGATGGCATGTGCGTGTACGGGCAATCGCGGCTGACGGTGCCGACTTCGTACGTGACCAAGTGCTGCTGGAATAAGAAGACGGATTCGTTTGGGGTACACTTGCGACAGTCCGTGCCGAACATTCCGCACGTCGTCATCAACAAGGGGGCCAAGGTAGATATCTTTCCGGATCTGAGTGCGGGAGCGACAGTCGTGGAAGCGAACATCTACCAGTCGTTTATGACCCTGAAGATAATGCTCTGGCTCGGCGGGGCGATCAACGAGCATATTACGTTCACGATACAGGTGTGGTACAGTCACAAGTGGGAGATTGCTCGACGATGGCAGTTTGGGACGTGGATCCCGGGCGAGGTGTACGCTGATTTCGAGACGCTGATCAGGCCTGACCTCTCGATCGACTACAAGGTGCACTACACGGGCAGTGGGATATTTGGGCGGCTGGAGGCGACGACCGGGCCGTTCCACATCGATACCCCTCCCGAACTTAAGCTGTTTCTGGGCAACCTGAAAATGTGCTAGGAATATCTCATTTGGCATAAGATAAGTTATGAAGAAGACTGTCTCTGTCGGATGATTGGTCATTGATGCATGTTGTGTGGACTGCTGGCCCTGTTGTCAATATCAAATTATCAAGCATTGGACGGCAGTGAGGAAGTAAATAGCTTGACATAGTTAATGCAGTTCCGTACTCCGGACATGAGATTATTTCTACAAGCATCCAATGGGACAATGAAGCTGGATGTCGGATAACCGACCAACTCTGTGGCTGCTGGCTGTGACTGGTTTCTGTTTGGCAGAAAACCGGCTTTTAACGAGAGGTGAGTCCAAGTTTCAATGATGAGTTGGTTAATATTGTCTTTCGTTGCATATAGAGTACTATGGGCACAGTGGGTATTATAATATATACGGAGTACATGTTGTATGACTGTGTGGGAGTTAGGGTTAGGTGGGACTTCCGGCGGAAAAGGGTTTTTTACTTTTAGTCAAAAGACAACAGGGTGCAGTTCGGATGATTGCGGATAGAGGGGGGTTTTGCTCATAAGTCATCCAGGAGAGTTAATTAGTTATGATCTTTCCTTTTTTTCTTTTTTTTTTTTTTGTTTTTTTCCCCCTCCCGCGTCAGGCGGACTGTGTTTGTGGGGGATGCGTGACTGGGATGTGAGGGCGTCGTGCCTGGGACTGGCCTTGCAGCAGTGGCGGTGCAAGTCTGTGGAGGTGGTGGTGGTGGTGGTGGTGGTGGTGGTAGTTGATCTGGTCAAGAGGGTTATTAACTGCTCCAGAATTAGCTCTGAGAATTCTCCGAGAGAAGCGAGAAGTGGGAGAGCGGGAGGCAGAGACAGGTTGTGAGGGTATTGACCAGGCGAGAGGATTTTGAAAAGGGGGGGTGGTTGGTGGGCTGGAAGAAATCGGGATGCTGGGTTGGGATCGGGAGATGGACATGCCAGGGTGCCGGCTCAGCCCCAGGAGAGAAAGCTTGTCTTGCTAGTAAGCGATCCAACCGAAAGACTCAACAGATGCTGAAAAAGAGAGTTAATACAGAGTACTCCGTAGTTAGTGTAGTGAAGAAAGTGGGTGATTAATTTACACCGGTTGCTGTCAATTCACCCGTTTGCTCTGTTCGTCCATGGCCACGATGCATCACCACTCCACTCTCTGATGAGGGTGTTTAGAGTGAGAGCAGACAGTGCAAAGGAAAAGCAATATAAAAAAAGGGAAAAGAAAATAAAAAAAGAAAAGAAAAAAAAGGGGGGGATTGTGATGGCTATTAATAGCTTCGTGTCGGCAGCCTTATTCTCCCCAACAGACGAACACACACCCAAATGCAGCATCCTCACCCACCCCTGCACTGGTTAACAAGTATGTAGTTAAAAAGAAAAAAAAGAAAAAAAAGAGAAAGAGGGAAAAAGAAACAAAAAAAAAAAAGAAAAGAAAAGAAGAGGCTGCCTTTTTTGCTGTGTGTTTCATCATCTTTTTTGTTGGAAGTTAGCAGGACAACCACATTCACCGGTCCATCCACCACCACCACCACCACCACCACCACCAGCGACAGCCAGGCCAGGATCAACCCCCCGTGCCCCACTCCCGCTCAGCTTGCTTCTCGCTCGCTCGCTGGCTCGCTGGCCTGACATCACGTCCGCTCCGTCGCTCCCTTTCGCTCTCTTCACCCCTTCGCTCCCTTTCTCACCTCCGTCTCCCTCCGCCTGCAATTGACCCCCCTCCTCCCCAACCCTACGTGGCCTATCGCTCCCACCACCACCCATGCATCTCTCGCACGACTACTAGACCTCTTGGCTTGAAAACCACAGAGAGCGATAGAAGGAGAGACTGAGACTGGGAGGAAGATCCGCCCAACGCTCCTTAAGACCCCCAGGATAGCTGGCCACGGCCCTCTCCGTCCGCAAAATGGTCCGGCTCCCGCTTCCTCACCGTATCAGCAGCAAGGCCAAGGCCCCTATCTCGTCTCCTACTACCCAAGAAGACGTCCTGGCCGCTCCCACGCCCGTCAACCCCGACTCCAGGCCCTTAATTCTCATCACGAGCGTCATCTGTGTAAGCTTCACCTCACCTCTCCTCCAACCACCAAGCTTAAGATGCTGACATCGCTCCTTCAGGGCAGGAACTTGGCCGCCAAAGACAGAAATGGGACCAGTGATCCCGTACGTGCCTGAGACTTGACCCCCAGATACATATTGGAGTGAACTGACGTCGGTCTCTTAGTATCTGGTCGTCACCTTGGGGGACTCCCGCCAATCCACCCCGACCATCTCAAAGACGCTGAACCCGGAATGGAACGTGTCTTTCGAACTGCCCGTTGTCGGCGTCCCTCTGCTGGAATGCGTGTGTTGGGACAAGGATAGGTTCGGCAAGGACTACATGGGTGAATTCGACATCCCCCTCGAAGACCTCTTCATTGACGGTCGCATCCACCAAGAAGTGTGTTTAAATCCCACCACAAAGCCTTCCCCCGCTTTTACTCGTTCTCCGTCGTGCGCAATGCTGACAAGTCCTTTTTTCCCCCCTCTTGTCTGCAGCCAAAATGGTATAATCTCCACTCGAAGTCGAAGAGCGGCAAGGATAGCGATGTTTCCGGCCAGATACAGCTCCAGTTCTCCCTCTTCGATCCCTCAAACCCCTCCGGCTCCCCGGAAGAAATTTCCGCCAAATTCCGGGCCCTGGTGTCCTCTTGTGATCCTGAGGAAGAGGAAGTCGCCCCCGTCGTGTCTGCGGAAACGGACGAAAAGTCGGAAGAGACCTCCGATGACACGACAGACGACCTTACGAAGCCTGGAGTCGCCGAAAAGAGGCGCCGAAGACTCCGCCTTGCCAGACTGAGGAACAAATCAATTGCTGCCCGCGCATACGAGTTCTCCGGTGCCAAAGAGGGAGTCTCTGGAATCGTGTTTATGGAAGTTGGCAAGATCTTGGACCTGCCACCCGAGCGGAACGGTAAGAAGAGGACTCAAATCAGTTTATATAAGAAGAGGGGAAAAAATGAGTGCAGATTGTTAACTGTATTAACTGCCAGTCACCCGAACATCTTTCGACATGGATCCGTTTGTCGTCACATCCTTAGGCCGCAAGACACTGCGAACCCGTGTCATCCGCCACAACCTTAATCCCGTTTTCGACGAGAAGATGGTATTCCAGGTGATGAAACATGAACAGTCGTATTCTTTCAGCTTCACTGTGATGGATAGGGACAAGCTTTCCGGAAACGATTTTGTTGCTTCGGCGAATTTTCCCCTCCAGACTCTCATTCAAGCTGGTCCCGTCGCCGACCCCGAAACCGGCCTCTATCAGTTGCCCGGCCTGTCACAACCTACAGTTACCACACCTCTTGCTTCCAAGTCACGGTTTAGGCTTGCAATCTCGCGCTCTTCCTCCGCCAACAGCCTCTCCAAATTGGCAAGACCGGCTTTGAAATCACGAACCTCCGCCACATCCCTATCGAGTCAGTTCCAGCCGGTGGAACAACAAGCCAGCGCCCCCGGCACCGCTCCATCTGAGTCCGCGCCCCAGCTGAATTTACCAGGAACCAGTCCTAACTCATCGGATGGTACCGCCACGCCGCCCGATGCCGATGATCTAAAGTCCTACATCATACCCCTCGTCCTGAAAAACAAGGATCGATGGGAAGACAAACATGCCCCGGAGCTGCACGTTCGCGCCAAATACATGCCTTACCCTGCCCTGCGCCAGCAGTTCTGGAGGGCCATGCTGAAGCAGTACGATGCCGACGATAGCGGCAGAATTAGCAAAGTTGAATTGACGGCCATGCTTGATACTCTCGGTTCGACGTTGAAAGAGTCCACTATTGATAACTTTTTCCACACTTTTGCACAAGAGAATGAGCCCAGCGATACGGTAGACTTGACATTCGATCAAGCCGTGATCTGTCTAGAGGAAAAGCTTCAGGCACTGCAGAAGAAGACGGTGGGGTCACAGTTACGTAAACTGATACCAAATTCTTCCATGTCGACGGGAGGAATAGCGGAGAGTGAGAATCAGTCCAGTGAGGATTTGAGTCCGCGTCTGGGCCCCTCTATCTCCGTCAGCGCTGACTATCGAGGTACAACTACCACGACTATATCGCGTGATGAATCGAGCTCCAGTGAAGAAGGAACCCTTCATCCGGACGACCTAGCAGACGAACGGGGAGAAGAGCACGTCATTGAACTTCGTGAATGTCCTCTCTGCCACCAGCCAAGACTCGCAAAGCGATCGGATGCCGATATCATCACCCACATCGCCACCTGTGCTAGCCAGGATTGGCGTCAGGTCGATAATCTGGTCATGGGTGGGTTTGTCACCTCCAGCCAAGCACAAAGAAAATGGTATAGCAAGGTTATCACCAAGATCTCTTATGGCGGCTATAAGCTTGGTGCCAATTCAGCAAATATCCTCGTCCAGGACCGGATTACTGGCCAGATCAATGAAGAGCGCATGAGTGTGTATGTGAGACTAGGAATCCGGCTACTATACAAGGGTTTAAAGAGTAGAGATATGGAGAAGAAGCGAAGTAAGGCCACGAATTGCTTTGATTTTTTCTTTTTTTTTTTTTTTTCCCCTTTCGGTTCAAAGAGGTTAGAATCTAACGAAGCATAGTCCGAAAAATGCTCAAATCCCTTAGTATCAAGCAAGGGAAAAAATACGACGACCCTGCGTCTGCGAGTCAAATCGAGGATTTCATCAACTTTCATCAGCTAGATATGTCGGAGGTTTTGCTTCCTCTCGAGGAATTCAAGTCGTTCAATGAATTCTTCTACCGTGCCTTGAAACCAGGAGCCCGTCCTTGCTCTGCCCCGGACAACCCAGACATCATCGTTTCGCCCGCAGACTGCCGTAGCGTTGTATTTGATCGAATTGATGACGCGACGAAGATTTGGGTGAAGGGTAGGGAGTTCTCATTAGAGCGACTTCTTGGAAAAGCCTATCCGGAAGACGTGCAACGTTACAAGGGTGGAGCTCTGGGGATTTTCCGGTTAGCTCCTCAGGACTACCATCGTTTCCATATTCCCGTGGACGGTGTATTGGGGACCCCTAAGACGATAGAGGGCGAATACTATACGGTGAATCCGATGGCGATCCGCTCTGCTCTTGATGTCTATGGCGAAAACGTCCGCATTCTCGTTCCAATCGACTCTGTTTCCCACGGGCGAGTCATGTTCATTTGCATCGGTGCTATGATGGTCGGCAGCACGGTCATCACACGCCAGGCCGGCGAGAAAGTAACGCGCGCAGAAGAATTGGGCTACTTCAAGTTCGGTGGTAGCACCGTTCTACTCCTATTTGAGCCGGGCCGAATGAACTTTGACAGTGATCTCTTGGACAATTCCAAAGGAGCTCTTGAGACACTGGTATGTGCCCATGATTCCTCATCCAAGTTTCACTCTTTTCACTTTTACTGATCCTTCTAGGTGCGAGTTGGCATGTCTATCGGCCATAGTCCACACGTCCCACAGTACACTCCTGACATGCGGAAACCCGACGAACTTATTTCTTCAGAAGAAAGAGAGGACGCCAACCGCAAAATAGGCGGGGGTTCGACACCAGCGATACAATTAGAGGATCCATCGCAGTAGAGAAGTTAATTTAACATTACTTCCATGCTTTACCCGATTGCATTATCCAAGAAGCCTTGTATTTTCAACGACAGCGGCGAGCTTGAAAAATCTTTTCCTTTACTTTCCCTTGCTTTGATACCTCTTTGATCTTGAAAAATTAATTTAATATAGATCTGGGCCCTCGACGAGGACCCCCTCCCTTGCACATGTTTCTTACTGTTGAAATTACTCATGTATGCATATATACTTCCGCATGCACATGGTGGAGAGTACCGATTGTCCAACTCCTTGCATGCGCAGGGTGAAGAACTCTTCTGGTCTTATTTTTCCTGTCCTCTGCGAATATGTAGATTGGGTGTGCCGAGCTGTGTCTTGTGCCTGGAATCATCTAGAGAGGAATATTGTATAGCTAATACCAACTTCTGATAGATTTGGGGGCTTATCTATTCTATTTTCACCCCTCCTCGAGGGGAAGTTCTGCATTCATTCTGCAAAGAAGTCGAGCTTCGGATCCATGTGATGGCGAGCCGTGGAAGCATGCTGTTAGCTGCATGACGAATTTTGGGTTCAACAGCGGCGCGGGCCGCCATCAGCGAAGCGCCCCGAGTTAAATAGTTAACTGGAAAGGTTGATAGAGCCCAGCCATCCCTTTGCTTTCGCCAGTCCATCTTCCAGTAGTTATACCCCACCGATCAGATATGAGTTCCCCGGGCGTGCATGAATTTTAGCTGCGGGGTTTTAATGTTACAATGAAGACTACCTAGCAGCTTTTCTGTTAGGATTTACTTAGTATACATTGTAAAAACTGAAAAATAAGAAAAACCAGAGTACTCCGTACTTCAAGACACTTTCTTGCATTTCTTCCACCTCCAGCTGCTTTGTACTAGCCCCTTCGATTTTTATCAATAAAGATAGTACAGAACAGGACCTTGTGTTATCAGGAAAATGCATTTAACATTGGGAATTCTGGTTCTCTCAGGCAAGGATCGACCCTGGATAAATACCCTGAGACGTCCACTGATAGCCTTATCGAGACCCTGTTCAATGCACACCAGCAATGCTGCGAAACTGTCCAAATGAGGATTTTCAGCAGTCTTCTTTCTTTAAAACACGGCCTCAACTACCATCACCGGAAGATGTCCGTGCCCAGGCTCGTGCTCAATATTTAGCAGGATCTGGCCCGGACAAGCGAAAGGTTTTTGGAGATGCAGGCCCACAATGGAATCCGCCACCTGCTTCGTTTGCATCAATGGGTTTGTTTGTCAAGTCGGGCGCCAACATTATGATCGCCGAAGGTCAAAGTCTCTATGCGGTCTGTCACTTTTTAAAAGGCAGTGTGCCAGTTCCTGAGTTGTATGGTTGGCGTACTGATGGAGGTGAGGTCTTTTATATATGGAATTGGTACATGGACAGACATTGGAAAAAGCCTGGGACTCAATGAGCCTAAAGGACCGCGCCCAAGTTTGTTTAAAACTTCAGATTTGCATCTCCAATTTACAATGGCTTAAACAGGATCACCAGGACCCATTTATAGGTAATGCATGCATGCTCTCTGTACTAATTGTGAAATTTGTTGATTAAAACCCATTGTGTTTAGGCAACATCAGTCGGGAACATATGTATGACAGAGCTATCGCCGATCGATTCATGGCAGAAGCAGGACCTTTTCAGTCTGTCGAGGAGTTCCATGACTGGTTTGTTTTTCTCTGCCGGCGCCCAATGGCGGATCCATACTCCATTCCAATGGAGCCCTTTCGCTCTGAACTCCCTGATGATGCTGCAATAAGTTTCACGCACGGAGACCTCCATAGGAGTAATATCATGGTATCAAAGTCAGAACCATGGCGGGTTGTTTCAATTGTTGATTGGGAACAGTCAGGCTGGATGCCAGAATACTGGGAGGATCGAAAGGGCACTTCACTTCAGAATGGAAGGGCGAGTGGGCTACCAAATACTTACCAATGATACCGCGGCAATATGAGAGCACAGAGGAGGCATGGTGGTGGTACACATCATCAATGGGATTTTAGAGTTGGGCATCCATCGCCCAGCTGCAATATCATATCATAAAGACATACTTCAGACAATTATAGTATTTGTCTGTACTGAAAATACCTGCAAAGATTAGGAGCAAGATATATTGTTGACATGAATATATCTCCTATTCTGGAACCCTGAAAATGATATTCTTAAATATTAGAGTGCATCAGCATCCTGCCTTCTGTGGCAATACCTATCTGTAAATATTTATCACTCAATCAGGTGCAGTTGCTTATGTTTCTCATATAGTGGGTTGGGTAATATTGTATCACCAGTGAGAGCAGTAGTTAAAACAAAATTAGTGTGTTGATGTGTTGAATCGATGCTGCAATCTTCTTGGTAAAATATTAGAATGAGAATGCCAGTCAAAAGGGTTAATCATTCTTCCTTTCTTTAAAGTTTACACAGGCCTAGAGTGGTATCTGGTTCTGGGATTTCCCAACCCAGTCCTGGATTCCTGTCCCAATTCCCATCTCAAGAATGGGATCAGGTTGGAGTCCCGGCAGACAAAAAGCTACTGAATCAGGTGCAACCCCCAGTGGAACAGCAGAAACTTCTAATAACCTTTCTCTTCATCTAGATCAGTAGTGTGGACAACAAGTTGATGTGGGACATTGACCTTCATGAGGAGAGAATGCAGGCTAGGTTGGGTAGTTCTATCACTGCTACAGCTGTAGAACTGGGGATCCCTGCAATCCTTCTAGAAGCAATGACCGCGATCATTGGGGTGTACAAATCACTGGAGGATCTACTGAACCATCACCCTGAAGACTGCTGGATCACTGCTCTCTTAACATTTGTGATCAGATTCCCATGGAGATCTTCCGCGGCTGAATGTAGGGTTAACCCTGGAGGACTACATGTCTGGCTATCAAGGCTGGTAGTGAAGGATGGGAACAGTGTGAGTGATGATCTGCAGCTGTCTAGGAGCATTGAACCTGACCACTACTTTATAGATAGATAATGGTGGTTGGGCGGGGGAAAGGAAGAAGAAACTACAGAAAGATGTTTTAGATGTTGATTTGAGTTCAGTCCTCTCTACTCCGTACGGAGTACTTATTTCCACTCAAAATTAACAAATTGTTGATGATCATCCACCTTGCCTGATTTGGACCTAGCGCCGCAAGCTCCCCTGCAAAGAACCTTCGTGCACTTGAGACACATGAGCGACAGGCAGCCGTCGAGATGAGCTGTCCAGTGTCACTGCACAGAAAATTTCCCGCCATGAGCGGTGCAGTGACTTTGGCATAGCTCTGTCCAGCACCCACGGCTCTCAAGAGCAAACAGATCTCGGGAGACGGCTGTTGGGTACGAGAATTGTTAACTTCTTTTTGCTGGTATCATGGATCAGCTCACCCGTCATCTGCTTGATAAAGAAGTCAAGAAGTTCATTGACTCGATTGAGCCATCTTTGGTCTGCAAATTGGCTTCCTCCTTGCACCCTGAGAAGAAGTCGTGCCAGGTCTTCTCAGATCCACAGAAAGGGAGCTATAATATCTGCTTTCCAGTTGTTTTTACAGACGCAGGGGACCAGATTCCCAATGTCGAGTCAACTCAGAGTGCTGAACGATGGATGATCCGAATCCCCCTGCTCCCGCGTCTCGCATTTCCCGAGGAAAAGATGCGTGGCGAGATTGCAACAATGAAGTAAGGAACATGAGATATTCCTGCTTCGTGGTCAAGCTCTAACATGCTGCCCTGCTACGTAGGTACATTGCTGAGAAAACCACTATCCCTGTCCCCCGTCTTTTTGAATATTCCATCAACCGAGATAACGTTCTTAATCTTCCCTTTATGGCCTTGGAGTACATCACAGGCAAGGCTCTCCATGGAACTGATGTGCCATGTCTTCCTGACGAGTTGAAGTCGCATCTGTTCGACCAGCTTGCCGATGTCTATATTCAACTCTATCGCCAGCAGTTCGATCATGTCGGCGCTCTCACGCTGGACAGCAACGATGAAAACTGGGTGTTTGAGCATAACCGCCCGCTCACCATTGAGCTGAATGACCAGGAACTCAGCGGAATGAAGAGTTCCGAGATTATCCCTGCTCACCAAACCTACAATTCCACCATTGATTATGCCTATGCTGTCTTGAAATTGATTTTCAATGATTTTTACCGCGGAAAAGATAGTGTTTTCGACAAGAAGGATGCACGGAACTATCTATATGGCATATTTGCGTCCCAGGGCATTGTGATGGAATGGGTAGACCCAAAGGACAACCACGGGCCGTTCATTCTCATGCATGGGGATCTTCGACCTCCTAATATCTTTGTGGATGCCGACCTGAACATCATCTCAGTCATCGATTGGGAGTGGAGTCACACGGTTCCACCGCAAATGTTTGTCCCGCCCTCCTGGATTACAGGCCAGGAGCTCCCAGCTGCCACTAAAAAGCCCTATGACTTTGCCTTTACGGTCTACATTTCTCAGTTCCAGCGAGCCGCGAAAGAGCGGGAGGACAAACATTATAACCCGGATAACAAGCTGAAATTTATTCTTCCTCTGGTCAAACTTTGGAGCAAACATCTCATGTCAGATACGGTGTTCATTGCCTACGCGCTTTTAAAATCATGCTATTTTGGGAATGTCTACTGGAATCTGTTGGATGACATGTACTACGGAGAAGACAGTGACAAAAGAGTGGAGGGCTTCTTTAAACTTTGTCTGCGGAAGCAACAAGAAGAAGAATTGCAGAGAGTGCTGTCTGACCTTGAGGCTTTCCAGAAGGAATTAGCACTGGCAGGATTAGACCCAATCGAACCGCTCAAGCCCCCAACACTTGATCCAGCCAAAGGTAAGGAGGGTGCTGCTATACACCAAGTATGGAGGAAACCCAACCTTGAAAGAATCGTTGCCCTATTCTGTCGTTGGCTACCCTGCTCGCTGGTGGGTGTCAGTGTCTTCGTCTGCTGCATCATCGCCAAACGGCGGTAACATGGGTTTGTTGTTTCAGGACAATTTGATCATCAGCTTTGGATCACTACAGGAAAATATTTGGAGGGTATTGGGGATGTAACACTATTTTATGGCTGTGAGTGGATTACCCCTTCATTTTTGCCTGTGCCAGCACATCCTTCAAGGAGCCAGGATGGATCAATCAATTGAGTAAGAAAATACATCCCAATGTGCATGGTTGCCTAATCAAAGAGCTGTGGGCCCTGGAGGAGGGGTGGCTGGATGGCTGCTGAGACTTCACCTGGTTTCTTCTATCATGGCATGGACTCATTTCTACAAGTGACCATCAGCTCATGATATTTCCAGCATTGTTGTCTTATAAGGCCCAGAGAAACCAGGTAATAAAAGAAGCAAATTGGTATTATTATGCTAATCATTCCCCGTACTTGCTCCCTAGTGGTTTGGGTCCATGATCAAAAACAAAAGTCATTTGCACAGGTAACGAAGCCTTTAAACCCAGCCTGCTTCTTAGTACACTGTTCAACATCTTGCTCACTATGCAATAAGGGTCCAATGATTGGAACACCCTCAGCCAACACCCTCTGATGGAGTTGAACTGAATTTGTTCACTTGGCAATGAAAGCTTGATCCAGCTCTCTTCTTTAAAGAATATTCAATCTCTTGCTCACTTTGCATTGATCACTGCTGCTTCCTGGCTGGCAGTTCTCTGTAAAATGCAGTTTTTAGATAACCTGGGTAAGATTTAGTATGTTAATAAAATAACTGGAGGGAGGGTAGGGAAAAAGAGTAGATGGTAGCTCTTACACCAATTTTCAGCTTCCATATCTGACTGCAACCCTTGGGCGATATCACAACACAATTTTGATACTCTATGCTCTTCTCCTTTCCTGAAGGGCCACAACCACATTTCCACAGGTATAAGTTCCCTGTCTTGTCTTGTGGTTGTACATTTAAAGAGGTCATCTAACTGAAGGAAATTTCTGTTCTTCAAACTGATGAAAACCTCACAGCTGCTGATGTAGGTACCTCCTGAGAAGTCTGTGGATTGAGCCACAGAAAATTCACAGGTACATGCTACATGAAGGTGGTGGCTAGAGTCCATGAATTGGGCTGAAGGTGACACTGATCCTCTGACAGACTGAGTTGGTTGCTGCCCACATGCTCTGCATGCATGATAGAAGCTTTTGTCTGAGAGCTGAAAGCTGCTGTAGAACTCTGCTTGTGAATGTGCAGAGTGATGAGACATGGGGCTGTGGTCTTTCTTCAAGCCAGAAGAAGGCTGACCAGATGGACTGACACTTCTCAGCTGCTTCATAATTGTCCAGGGTTGGGATATGCTGCAACAGCTCCAAAAACAGATAAGTGTCCAGTCTCACTTCAGCTGGCCTAGAGGAAGTGTATTGGTGAGAACTGGGGTATCCAGTCATTGTATAGGGCAGGCTGGACAAACTGAAGGAGTCTGGCCAGGTGGAGGAGTGCTTCACTTCACTGGGGTATTGTGACACATTGAGATGAAGAGATGCCAATCATGGAAGGCTTGCCCTCAAGGTGAATGTTTTAAGGAGATTCAGAAGCGGCTGTGTGGCTCTTATATGGAGGGCTGTATGTTGCCCTCAGCCATGTCTTCATTGTAACTTCTAGGAGTTTGTACATTCATGAAAGCATTGTGAAACCCCACACTATGCATCAGGAGTCCTCTAAGTACATCATGTGATAAAATGAGGAGCTTGCGGGGTTTTGGCAGGGGTGTCAGCCGAAATCAGCCTGGCATCTGTAGAGAGACAAAAGTGGTTGGCAACCCCCCCCAAGTGATTTCCCTTGATCGTCCAAACATGCTCGCTCCAGGCACTTATTGAAAATAAAAATGTCTTTTACCGTTGCGGAGTTTTCTTCAGGACTGTACTGCGTTTCTCCAGCTTGATAACACCGTACATGTTTTAAAGCATTGTGAGAGTTGGCAGATAAAGCTTCTATATTACGTTGCAATTCTTGAGGAGATTCCGCCTTTAATATATTGCCTGGTTAGATCGTAGCTACCACGGAGTAGAAATAACCTAACGGTAAAACTATCGGATTGAGATGTAATTGCTCCCCCAGCAAGTATTCTCCCCTAACGTGTCACGCTGCAGCACATTTTCATTTGAGCCAGCAGGCCGTAGCTCCACTATGTTTGGCTCCGGTGGTAGATCAGCAACAGAATTCTGGGAAACATAGAGTGCCATCACCATTGACATCGCGCTAATCAGATGATCGACCAAATATGAACTGGATGATAGCAAACAGAAGGTAGACAAGATTCCCCTCTAGGTAGCTTAGTGAATGACAAGCATACGAGTCCTCCATCATAATGCCTAAACATGGTGCAATTCGATCACGACAGGAATCACAAAATTGCAAAAAGCCAAAAATCCAGAAATCCAGAAATCCAAAAATTCGAAAAAGCCAAGGCTCTAAAACACACTGGTCCCAAAAGGACTGGTTTTCAATGCTTGGTGAACCCATCAGCAATTTGTTCTGTAGTTGGAATGGATCTCTCCTTGCCACTTGCATTGGATTTCCATATGCTTTGTGCGGGAGTGGTATTGCCCATTTGGGGACAGAGCAATGGCTCCATGGTTGTCACCACAGATGATTGTTGTGGTTTTGCATTGGCTCACATTTGACTCACTGAGAAGTCTTCTCAGCCAGATCACCTCTGACCAGCAGCACCATCATCACATGCAATTACTGAGAGAAAAAAAATAAAATAAAATGAAGCAAAACACAAAGCAGATTAGCCCCCAGTTGAATTTCTTATCTCAAAATTTGAATAGAGGAAAGCTCCCAGCAGTAATTGCCTGCTATTTAGCAGAATTCTCCCCAAACACCACTCCGGCGCATCCAAGCATATTTACCTGAGGAGAAGGCATTAACAGCTCACTCATACAATTTATTCCACTTATAAGCCAGTCCTAGGTCCAGCACACAACATCCATTCATGGCCAATGCTGATTGGACATGGTCAAATCTCAGTTCACCATCTTTTGCTGCTATTGTGCAAGTGATAGACATGATATTTTTGATCTAAGCAAATCAGTCTGAGGAGCTTGTTCAACCATGGGCTCCACTCACCTGCTATCCATTGAGAATTACTTGTGCCAGAGCAGTCAGTTGCTGATCATTAACATTGACTTTTATGCTAATGTCTTTCTGTAGGAACTGTTGAAAGATCTCTTTTCTTGCATCATGGTTGAGGTCACTATATATTAGCGATAGATGGACTTGGTTCAGGATGGCCGCATCCAGACCATCAGGCTGATTTGTCGTCAAGAACAGAATCCCTTCAAAGCATTCCAGCTTCTGAAGAAAAGTGGCCACGAGACCAATTGGTGTGGTAGAAAGCAGCCTCAAATTCTGGAAATTCCCAAAGCACATCAGACCTGCTGTACAACGATATCACAAGCTTATCATCAAGATGTAGGTGTTATAGGGCGGCTGGCGCGAATTTGCATGTATGAAATGCATAGAAAATTCCTTGCTAGTTTCGCTTCCGATTGATCCATATCCAAGCAAAACTAACACCAATAGTACCTAGCAGCATTGTAATGTGTTGATTTTCAAACAGACTTGACCTTATGTACTTCCATAGTGCTGCAAGATTTCCTCCATCATTTGCCTGATAAGTGCAATGACTGTAGTCACCCTGGAGTTCGTCCACGCCTTCGTATTGGGATGTCCAACATTTGTAGATGATATTCTGGTATTTAAGACCGTCAAGTTTCGGAAATATATGTGCCTTATAAAGCTTTTCGATTTCTTCAGTATCGATCTCGTGATATGGGCGAATTCCAGTGGAAATTTCATAGATCAAGCAGCCTAGAGCAAACAAATAAGTCTTGAAATTCCGTGGCGACAGCGGCGAAATTCGGTACCGATCTTCTTCCTCAACTAAGGGCTGCAAGTCGCCAATGGCGGATCCGGCGAAGTCGCAAAGCTTGATCGATAGGTCATCGGCCACAAGAAAGTTACGTGGGCTAATGTCGGCATGGATCACACCATAGGCATGTATCACGGCGATAGAATCGATAGCATTTCTGACCCACTGGTCCCGGATATTGTTGTCTATTCCATTGTGCTGGAGATAATCACGGAGATTTCCGAGTCGACAAAATGGAAAATGGAGGCTCTTTTCTTTGGTTTCGAGACAGTCAAGAATGCGAGGATGCTTCGGTAATGCTTTATAAATTGATTTCTCGCGGTCGATGCATAATTCCGAGATAGACTCTATTGCCGGACATGCTCAATAACCTGCTTGCTGCATCCTTTGACATCGTGCTTGAGAGTTGTTTTGATGACTTGTCCATTGCTGTCTTGGAAAATTGCCCCAGCTGATCCCAGGGCAATAAAACCAAGGGCTCTCTCAGGTTGAATTAGAAGCGGATCACCATTCATGTTGAAAATAGAAGGGAAATCTCGGGCAGTCAAATAAGCGAACGGCGAAAATGAGAAAGGGGTGAAGAAAGTAATTGTAGGGAATATCAGCCCGCTTTTTGTAAGGGGGCTCTCAACGGACTCGGACCCCTTATGCCACGTGACGCAAATTCTCTGCCCAGAGAATTTATATTTATATATATACTCCGTACAGGTGTCGGACATGGGCGAAACCCAAGGGTCCGTCCCCATGAGAACTGAAACAGCGACTAGGGCTACCCGTTGTCAATGGACACTATTGCCTTCAACGATCTTGTTCACCTGCAGGAGCTGATCCCATGATGGAAACGATTTGAAGGTTGGGTATGAGCTATGCATGAGCAACCCTTTGGAGTCCCTGCCAACCTTTGGCGGGCAACTCAGATTGCTTTATCTGCTCGTCAATTCAATAGAGTGTATCATCTTGAAGAATATTGACATCTCTGCTAAACGAAAGAAAATAGTTGGTACCTTGCATTTGCTATTTACCGTTCCCCCTTACACCAGCATTTAAATTTGCTCCCCCGAGATAATTCGTAGGCCTGAGACCGAGAAGCAGAGTCTACTTACTGTGGATCGATCCTTTAGTGTCTCTCCGATGAAGTGATCGAGCAACTTACTCGACACATTATATAATCATCCAAGCACCCGCCACTAGTCCTGAAGCAGAATAGCGCAATTTCCTGTCAACGCGCCAAGACCAAAACACAGGTTCGGACGGATCAGCAGCAGACGACAACAGCGACGGCGAGGGCCAGAGAGACAACACGCGCATTGCAAGCCTTCTTCCTCGCTGTGAACCGGTTGGCACGAAACGATATAACAATCATCGAAGGATTGATCAGCTCTTCAGGTGCAAACGCCATCTCGACCGACACAGATTGACGGACAACGAGCTTAGCCTGCCCCGACGGAGATCGCGAGCCTGGCACGTTGGAACTGTGGGAGAAGGCAATAGCTTTGGGCGCTGGGGTGATAATTCTTGATAGAGTGGGCATCCGGATTCGCGACAATGAACTGCAGCTTGCACTAGGCGCCTTTGATATCACCCGCTAGTAGTCATTTGAACCAGACCCCGCGCGAGCCGAATCCAGTTGATTACGGAGTACATCCATCGAAGTTTTTACAGGGACTTGGGAATCCTCACTCTACCTCGCAAGTGCTGCGCACGGCCTCTCTGCTCCCGAGTGTCATACTCGATTTGCGTATCCCTTTATCCTGGACATGACCACCATCCTAGTTCCTACCCGCGCCAGCACGACGAATAGAGCCACATTACACCCATATTTGGACAACGCATTGCATGACACGTTCATGAGTGATTGGAGTTACTCTTCCGGAATTAAGATCCTAACACATAGTCTGACAGTCGGTGGAAACGCAATTACCAATTCTCACGTATTGCAGACACCCACGCGATTATCGGCCGTTGAGGGGTTGACGAGCATGTCGAATGCACGGGCGCAAGTGAAGGATGCGAATATCCATGGGCGGACGAAGAATGGCGCAAAGATTGCTGGGAAGGAGAATGCGACTCTGAATGGTTGGAGCGATGCGACCACGAAAAGGAAGGCTGGTAAGGAATCCCTTTAGACTGCGCGGAGGAAGACTTCTGACTCTTGCTTTCCTGTGCAGTGGATTATGAAGAGGATATTGAAGGGTTTCAATTCTCACGCACTTCGCGACCGAAAAAGCCGCGACCGTCTCCTGAAAATGCGGCCGTAGACACAGCACCACAAACTCTACCCGCCCAAAAACGGCGAGGGAGAAAGGGTTCACCGGATGTTGTGGATTCGAATCTGGAGACACCGAATGGTTACAGTGTCGCGGAACCGACGCGACGAAGGCCAAAAAGACTGGCCGCTGACGAACACGAGGCCCTTCCACGTTCAAAGAAACAACTACAAAACTCAGAAACTACTGTCGGCCGCTCGACAACCAAGAAGGGCCGTCCCGGCAAAACGAAAGATCCAGATTTACCGCATGGTGTGATAGAGGAGAATGAAGAAAGAGAGACGACTCCGCAACCGCAGGTCGCGGAGACAAAAATTGCATTGCCTTTCGCTGATACCCCTGTTATTCAACGGAATAAGGAAATGAGACAAGAGCGCGGGAGAGGGAAAAGACGAAGTAGCTTTGGCATGAGGGGCAGAAGAGCAAGCTCATTGATCGATTCCGGAGCGTCAAATGGTAAGAAGCCTGCATCCTCAGTTTATGACAGGGTTCTGATTTTCTCGTAGCACTACCACATGACAAGGTCGACGTGGCAGAATTCTACAAACACATAGAGAGCGAGGACTTATCGGAGCCTCGACGGATGCGACAGTTGTTGACTTGGTGCGCAACTAGGGCTATGGGTGACAAACCTTCTGGTTCAAGATCGGATGATGAAAGTGCCAAGTTAGCAGGTATGCTCCCAGATACGCCTATCCTGCCGATTGAAGCATGTCTGACTGATGCTTTGTCCCTCTAGCCCGTGTGATCCAGGAGGAAATGCTCAAAGAATTTTCCAATCGATCCGAATTGTCGGATTGGTTTAGCCGTGAAGAAACAGCTTCGCCGGCTGTGGTTGTGAAGAAGCCGAACCCTAAAAATGTCCAGAATGCCGAAAAGATTAAAGAGCTGGAACAGCATATCCAACGGTGAGTCTAGAACTCTGCGTGAGCCCCCGTTGATTTTGTGATTCTGACCATACCGTAGGCTCCAAGCTGAACGGCAATCTCTCGCTGCTCTGCTTCGCGCCCCGTCTCTACCAAGCATAGAGCCTCCCTCTGAAGAAACTGATCTTAATCAGAAATCCGAGTCCCAACCCCGGCTTTCCTCTCCCAATCTCATTGACCCCGCGCTCCTTGACATCTCTCAACGATCTCTTTTAGATGTCGTGAAAGAACCTCTTTTCCCTTCTCAACCTCAATCACAGTCCTTACCCACAACTTCCCGCATGGTATCGGAAACATCCGACCCTATATCATCCCTGACAATCCGTCTTTCGTCGCTCTCCTCATCCCTCGCACCCACCCTAGATTCTTTCGCTGCTGGAATTCACGACCTTGAATTATATCGCTCCGCTGCAGATAACGTTGCCGGCGGTGTACTCCGAGCCTGCGCTAGAAGACTTGAAGAGAGGGATTTGAGAGGTTCAACAAGATCACCAGTAACTGCTGAAGTGAAGAGCGAAAGTGAAGGCGACGACGGAGGAGGAATGACAAAGAAGGATATTGAAAAGGAAGACCTGAGACTAGTTCTTGGTGCATTGAGTCGGCTGGAAAGAAGATGAGAGTTTGATTGACATTGCATTTTTAGCGCGGCTTTTGTTGTGTTTCTGCCTGTTCTCTCTCTCTTTTTTTTTTTTTTTTTTTGGTATATGCCTCGTTTTAATAGGTGCTACGACAAAGGTTGGTGGGTTCCATGGGTTGTATGGACTTTGAATTCCAAACCATTGATTGTACTGTACATGTACAGAATGATAATGATTTCTTTGAATAAGCTACCTCAATACATCGCTGCTGTTCTAGTTATATCTGTAATAATGTATGATGTCAAGTAAGCACGGATAACAGCCGAAGTATCAAAGTTATCAATCAACCCTTCTTTCTGCTCTCTTACCCCAAACCTCCTCCATGCTTCCCTTTCCCTTAGTTTCCGGCACCCACCACGCAATAAACCCACCCAAAACAAGCGCTATGGCGGCGAAGATCCAATACACCCTACCCTTACCGCCCAGCGCAACATTCAATGCCGGGAAGAACTGGGCAACGACAAAAGTTGCTGTCCAATTAGTTGCCAAGCCCCAACTCTGGGTTGCGCCAACTGCTTCAGGGCCGACAAGCTCGGATGCGAGAATAAAGGGGACTGGGCCTAGGCCAACAGCAAAACTTGCTACAAAGAGCAGGGTAGCTATAGCAGACAGGATTTTGAGGTTTGAAGCAATGCTAATTGCTAGGAGGGCTGAAGAAAGGCCCATTCCCGTTATGCTGAGGAGGAGGCATCTTTTGCGCCCAAGTTTGTCGGCCAAGGGTGAGCAAAGAAGGGTCGTGAAGAGATTGATAGAGGAAACAATAACGGTAAGAAGGGCAGCAGTGGTGGGGAGAATGGTCGAGAGAAGAGATACGCTGTACATTATTATGCTATTGATGCCGGTAAATTGCTGGGTTATCATTACGGCAACGACAGCAATTATAGCTCGACGATAGAGAGGGTCGCGGGCCACGCCAAGGATAGAGACAGGAGGCTTCCTGGGAGGCAGGTTCCCTGGTGGAGGAGTTAGGAGTGATTCTTCCTCCAGCGGGTCGGTTCGGCTGGCGGTTGATCCGCCGATCTGCCAGCTTTTGACCTCATCATGAATGTCTGCATTCTGGCCGCGAATTCGCTGGAGGATGCGTTTGGCATGGGCCAACCTTTGATGTTCTGCAAGCCAGACTGGACTTTCGGGAACAAACAGAAGGCCCAGGAGCTCTGCCAGTCCGATGAAGCCAGCAGTGGCAAGAATTATACGCCAAAGATTGCCTTTACTCAGGAAGTAGCCTAAAGACTGAGTTCCCAGGATACCCACGTTGGTCATTACCTGTGTAAAAGCCCCATAGAACCCCTTATCCTTAGGTGGGGAGATTTCAGCGATGTATATCGGCCCGACGACGATGGCGGCTCCAGCTCCGATTCCGGATAGTAGTCTTCCGAGAACAAAGACCGGAATGCTGACAGAAAGGGCTTCAGCAACCGGACCCAACATGAGGAAGATTGTTGTCCCTCGCAGGGCGAGCAGACGGCCGTACTTTGTCGAAAACGGACCTGCAAGCAGAGCTCCGAGGAGACCACCCAGCGAATAGCTCGACGAGACGAGGCCGAATTGGGATGGGTTCATGGGGATGCACTGTGGCAATCCGGAAGAGGCGGACGAGGAATACAGATTCCTCAACAACTTGATATCCTTCTTCTCGCATGTAATAACCGCCTGAGGAGCATTTAACTCCGCCTTGGAGGATGTCAGTGCATTGCGGAGAGGTAGAAGGATAACTCAAGAAAAGATAGCCCAGGCAGCAGTGATGGAACGAGAAAAGCAAGGCGGAGAGGAAAGTTTTACCAGGTGGTATCCAAACTGGAGAGGCCCCAATGTCGTGATTAGAATGAGGAAGATGAGATACGGAGTCGCTCTCGGTCCTGGCGAGGGTGAGGTTGCCATTGTGACGAACTACCGGGGGCTGCACTATGAGGGTCAGCGACACAATTGAGATTGGTGATCAACTGTTGTTGGTGGTAAATGTTCCATAGGGAATCAACGCCAGCTAGTTACATTGACAGGGCAGCTGCCTGCTGTTGGCTGATAATGGGTTGATAATAATAACAATGACAAAACGCCGTCGTTGTCGATGGTGATGTTGAACATTGATGTGGTGTTTTGGCAGCTGACCGTGAAAGCGAACAACCAAACTACGGCGAGCCAACATGTCCAATCCAGCAAAGTTTGTGATTTAACGGAAAATCAAGGACGACCAAGAGATGCTGGAGGGGGAGCTGGACAATTGACACCAAGCTGAAGTCGCCTAAATTAGTATTATCAGACAAAAGATTCTTCGGACAAGGACTGTAGCTGTGGTTGACCTTTGCATGTACACATAAAATGCACTAGAAGTTACGCTGAGGAAGCGGATTCTATCGGGGATTTCAAGGGGGGTCGCTCGCCTGACTGGCGCCCAACCATGCAGCTGGCGACTGCCCATGGCTGGGAGGGTCTCTCAGGGGCTTTTTAGGGGTGTCTTAGGGGGTTCATAGGGAGTCTTTCCCAGACATGCTAGTGCAGCAAGATTGGGACAGAATTTTTGAATGGAAGTGTGTTCAGGTCAGGTCTGGCTGTTATTGTTACGCTACACAGGAGGTACCAGGAACCGTGGACTCTAGATTAGTTTGGGGGAGTACGGAGTAGCTTGGCTATCGGCTGTGTGCGCCGTGATCAGGATGTATAGAGTACAGAGTGCTGGGGATGGGTAGTTAAAGTTGATGAATTGACGATATGGATGGATGGCGAAGGTAGCCCACGTGATCACCTGAGAACGACCTTCACCCTTTGGCTGGAATTTTATATAACTGCATCAACTCCATTCTCTTCTGGAGGGAGGGCGGCGAGAATGCCTCGACAACCGTTCTCGCTATGAGCTTTAGCAACTTGCCCCCGTCCAGTGGCAGAGGATCACACGCAGATGGTGCCTCCGGGAGGTCGATGCCGCCGTTTCCGGGGTCGTCGTCGTTTACCGCGAACAACCCCAGCAAGGGGATACACCCAAACCTGACGCTCAAGCGGAGTGTCCAATCTTTCGATGGTAATGAGGTTTCTCCTTGTTCTTCTTGTTGTTGTTATTTTGTTCTTTATCTGTTTTGGGCTGCCTGGCTGTCCCCGTTCATGTGGCCTGGTGACCGAGCTGCCGTGAGGATTTTTCCATAGCATGCAGTGAGAGAGGAACCTCCCCGGGATGGCCCATCGGGTGATGTGAATGACGCCGTGTCTTTGTGCGTGATTGATTTCGCCACGGAATGGCATTCCTCCCCTCGCAGCTCTTTTTCTCCCTTCCTTGTCAAAAGCAAAGGCGGGAGCTTCTTCCTCCCCGGCTGCCCGGTGCCATGGTGTGCTGCTTCCTTCTTCTCGCTCTGTTAGCACACGTATTCGCTCACAAACCCCCCCCCTCCCTTTTTTTTTTTTTTTTTTTTTTAAACCTCGTTCATTTCCAATCCTTTATCAATTCCGACCGTATCCCTTTGATCTTCGCCCTCCAGCCTATTCTAGTCTATTCTTTTCGCATTCCATTTGCTCTTATCACACCACAGGATGCACTCTTTTCGGGGGTTACTGCATGATTCCGTTTCCGCCAGTTCTGTATCCCGGCAAGGGCACGGTGACCCCCTAGGTTTCCCTGGTTTACCCGAGTGTTCCGAGCCATGTGAACCTTTCAGTAGCCGCCCACCTCCTAGAAAATTTATAACCCCGTTACAGTTTGCCATTCGGATACAGCAGAGCAGACAATATCGAGCCGCCACAGCTAACTCAAACCGACTTTTAGAATCACTAGACAATAAAAAACCGCTTCCGTTTTCGTACGCCAGTAAAGTCAAACTCAGAGAAAAATACCTTATTGTTGGTTTTATCAGTAGTGGTACCTATGGTCGAGTCTACAAAGCCAAAGGTAGAGACGGCGTGGGCGGGGATTTTGCTATTAAAAAGTGCAGTGCATTTCTCCCTTTTTTATTTTTTTTCCCCCCCTTTTCTTTTTGACCTTGGGGAAGCACGGGGCATTAGCTGACTTTTCCACAGGTTTAAACCGGATAAAGAAGGGGAAAAAGTAGAATATACTGGCCTTTCCCAGTCGGCCATTCGAGAAATATCTCTTTGTACCGAGCTGAACCACCCGAATGTCGTGCGCTTGGTGGAAACAATCCTTGAGGATAAGTGCGTTTATATGGTCTTCGAATACACTGAGCATGACCTCTTACAAATCATTCACCACCACACCCAACCTCAACGCCACGCTATTCCCGCTCCGATGGTGAAATCGATCCTCTTTCAGCTGTTAAACGGGCTTCTCTATCTCCACTCTCAATGGGTTATGCACCGCGATCTAAAGCCTGCGAATATTCTAGTTACTTCTAAAGGTGCCGTTAGGATAGGTGATCTTGGTCTCGCTCGGGTGTTCAAGAAGCCACTCAATTCTCTTTTCTCCGGGGACAAGGTTGTGGTGACCATCTGGTACCGGGCGCCTGAATTGCTACTCGGAGCGCGACACTACACAACAGCCGTAGACCTTTGGGCTGTTGGCTGTATATTCGCAGAGCTGCTATCTTTGCGACCCATATTCAAAGGCGAGGAAGCAAAGATGGACAGCAAGAAAACGGTTCCTTTCCAGCGAAATCAGATGCTGAAAATTATCGAAATTTTGGGTCTACCAAAGAAGGAGAAGTGGCCGGGATTGAGCTCGATGCCGGAATTTCCTCAACTCCAAGCCATGGCAATGGCGCCTGGATCTGGTCATTTGCATAAGCCGTCCAATCTGGAACATTGGTATCACGTCTGCCTCAAGAGTGGTGGCTACTCGGGCAGCTCTCCTGCTGGAAGTCCAGGAAAAGAAGGATTTGACCTTCTCTCGCGATTGCTCGAGTACGATCCGGAGAAGCGAATCTCTGCGAAGGAAGCCCTAAATCACCCGTATTTTACAACCGGTACCCCTGTGGCCAAAAATTGCTTTGAAGGATTTGAGGGCAAATACCCGAACCGTCGGGTTAGCCAGGACGATAATGACATCAGGAGTGGCAGCCTACCAGGAACTAAAAGGAGCGGCCTGCCCGATGATACTTTAACCAGCAGAGCAGCAAAGCGAGCAAGAGAGATGTAGCTTTTTTGACATGATTGGAGTTTTAAAGCGGAGCGAACATGAACTTGTTTACCGGTTTTATTATGAAGCATGGGTGGTGTTTGCGATCCGGGACTTTTTAAATCCTTTCATAGTATTTCTACACGTTGATAGAGACTACTCCGTACTCTATACTTCCGGAATATCCTCCCTGTTCCGGCTTAGCGCATTCTTTTGGTCTATTGGTATATATAAAGGGCTCCCTCCCTGCTGCTCTTGCACGTCAACACCTCTTCCTCAATCCATCTTCTTTCTCCCGTCCGTCAACCGAATGCTGGACCCTCTTCCCGTTTCACATCGGCGGCACAAGCTTCTGCCACTGACAAATCATCCCGTCTCACTCGCGCGTTTCCCCTCGTCTACGCTAGGTGGATGATCACATTAACCATCGCCCAAGCGGTTCACGAGGAGTACGATAAGCAGCTTAGTCAACCTCCAGTCTCGATGATGCTACTAAGGGTACAAAGTTATTCGCATAGATACTCGCAAATCGGTGAATTAGGAGCCAGATCAAGTGCGCAACGAAAGCATATGGCCCGAAATGAACAAAAGCGACGGAACAACGCAAAACCATAACATAAAATCCACCGGAGGGAACGGGTTCTCCTCTGACATGGTTTTCTCGCCATAAGCCGCTGATGACGGTGATGCAGGACTGGGAATCTGTCGAATTCGTGCGAATATCTGGCTGATAATAAGTATTGAACTCATTGACAGTTGTAGGCAATCTAGGAATTGATAACCTCATGCCCACTTGCGTGGCCTGCTGGATAAGGATTGTACGCCACGCGGTGGGCAAGTTGCTGGCTCAAGGACTGTTGTGGAGTTGGCGAACTTGCACTGGAAGATCAGGAGAAGAGGGGAAACAGAGAAAGCAAGTGCTCACACTCTCAGAAGGAGCAGAACACAGGCTAGGTGCTGCAGCCTGTGATGACAGCTGTTGGCCATATCCCTGGAGACTTGAATAAGCAAGTATCACGCTGAAAATCAACATCCTGGAGCGTAACAACCTGGCCATCTTGAATCAATCTCCAGGGTCCTGGGAGCACACGTTTGTTGTAGAGATCAATGGCAGCACGCAGGTTAGTTTTCTGCTCCTCGCTGGTAGTTGGACCGTCAATCATGGTTTGGAGCTCTTTGATCCGAGAATCAACATCGAATTGGATTGGAATCGGACACGCTGGAAGTGGGTTAAATCTAGGCATGGTTGCAGAGTTGAAGGTATTCCTGGACTTCCTTTGCTGAAGGACAATGAAAGGGTGCTGGAAGAAGTGAGCTGCCAGTGGCAGGACGAGCATTATGGTGGGGTCATCACATGATCGCTGACCAAGCCGAATGAAGGAGGCTAACTAGTCTAGATTGGGACGGAACTTGAATTAGAGTTTCGGATGAATGTGGCAATATTGTTAGGTAATCCAACTAGCACCTCGCTCACGTGACCCGCATAGATTAGCTGAGATTCCCCTTTAGGTAGCTTAGTGAATGACAAGCATACAAGTCCTCCATCAGGTTATAGCTCTTTGTGCTGAAGAGCAAGCATATAAGATTGATTTGTAGCTTAAATTGATTATTGAAGCTTACAATCAATATTCTGAACAATTATTCTTGTGAATAACAAGTTTTACAAGCACAAGAGAAAGTGTATATTGAGATAGGTGCCTTCTATACATGCAATCCCTTTAGCTTTCTAGCATCTGGCTGGAGAGCAAGTTAATCTCTGTAGCTTTCTGGTACCTAGAGTGGTATCCAGTTCCGGGATTTCCTGTTCCAGTCCTGAATTCCTGTCTCAATTCCTGTCTCAAGAACAGGATCAGGTTGAAGCTCAGCTCAATGAGATGGGACTGGATTGTTTAACAGCATATTGAGATGGTTCCATGGGAGCTGGAATCAGGATGAGATTGGGACTGGAATCAAAATCTAGCTAATAGAATGATTCTAGAACCTGGCCATGACAAAATGGGATAGAACCAGGATTTCAATATTATATATGAGATGAAATCAGTAAAGTGTAGAATAGGACTGGAAATTATGGTCTCATTTATGTTGTTAAAAGATAATGAAATTTGATAATGATTCTAATATAATTTTATCAATTTATTCAGCTTTAGAAAAGTAATGAAATTTAATAATGCTCTTTATATAATTAAATTATATTACAAGCTATTAGACTTTAGCTACTTGTATTTATTTATTAATAATATTAATATATTTTCTGTTTCTTATCTGAATTAAGTAGTGAATTTAGCAGGCTTTCACTCTCTTTCTGTATAATTTCTGAAGTATCTTGATTATTTTAATTATCTTGAATGACATTCTTGGCCAACTTCTTATATAATATGAGTACTTTATTTAGTATATATATCTTGTCTTCATGTTTAAGTAGCATGATCTTCTTGATTATAAATGTATGAAGCTATAATTATTAATAATAATATGTATTCTGAGCAATATTAAAAATCTATTCTACTTTAATCTTTATTAAAGATACAGTTAAAATATTTCTTGCTATCTAAGTAATAGTTGAAAAATCAGGCTCTAGCATTCTCCACTATTCCAGAATTAGAGCTTGAGATGATATTAAATTCTCATTATTTAAATATTACTGTATTTTATTTTGAAAATTTGCTTGTCTTTAATGAAATCTCTCAAAAATTATTTACTTAATATTTTAGAGAAGTTAGCAGAGAGAAAATTAGAATAATACTTATAATAAATATATATTATTTATATTAAGTATTACTTTTCTTGACTGTTTATATTTCTTATAATGCTTTTTGTAAAATCTTAAAATATGTTGTTAGTATATTTTATGGTTATTACTGGTCCAATTCTCTGAATTATATACTTTCATGCAGTATAATAAATGAAGAGCAGCAGCTACAGCTAGCAGCTCACTTTTTGAATGCTCAGTATTACTATAGTATTTCTAAAATTTCAAGTTGATAACTTTGATAGCTTCTTTAATATTTTCTCTTGTTATTAACTGTTGAATCTTGTCCTTCTCTCTTTCTAAATACTGGAAAAGATGATTGTAGATTGTTTATACTAGATAAATTATTAAATCTGTTGTTTTGAATAGTATCTTGATAAATTAACTGAATGACTGTAACAGTCTAATTATATACTTCATCTGCTTTCAGTCATGATTCAATAAGTGAAGTCTTTGATACTTTGATGATGAGTTCTGAATTCATGAGTTTACAGCTTGTTAAAGCAACAAGACATAAATATATATCTTATAAATGAAATTCTATCTTGTGCAAACATCTTGAATTATCTTGTGCTGGTTCTCTTGTTAATATTCTTGAAAATGTGCAGTAAGTTGGGAGAAGATGTTGGTTGCATTAGCAATAAGATAAATCTATTATTAAGTAAAGATTAGTAAATCAAATCAAGTATATCAAGACTGTTACCAAATTTTGTTATCTTTCTAAGAGTATTTGCAAATGTGTCTGTTAATGCTAGATCATCAGTAATTGAGCTCTCATTAAAGATAGTGCATCAGCAAATCCTTACCAGGCCCAGGGCTGGCCCTGAATGTCTGGGTGGCCAGGGTGTCTGGGCTTATGTTGCTTCCCTGGACTCACCCCAGACAGGTACAGAACTCACTCTGGTAAGTATTTTTCTCTGCTATAGTTTCAGGCAACTTCTAATATAATGAGTGCCTTTACTGCATCTGCTGTTAATTTAGCATGTTTTGTAAATGCTATTATTTTCAACAACTCTGTTGTGTCTACTAGATCTGTTATTTTTTATTAATCTGTACAAGTTGCTTTCTTTTACATTGGTGTTAATAACAGTAATAAAGATATTATTGATATTTTTGTTTACTTTACTGATGATGTTGCTTATATAATTACTGTTATAATTAACATAAACAATACTATTACTAAATACATTAATATCCTATTTTATACTGCTGCTGCTAACACCAGAGATGATAATGAATATGCTGCTCTTAACTTTACTGTAGAAAATATATCTAGTGATACAGTCAGGTAATTCACTACTACTAATATGAAAAACATAATTATACAGAATCTCATATATACTCTTTAATGCTATTAATCTTGCTGTACAGTCTGACTATTTCATGCTGTACAGCTAGATTAGCAAGTTTTACCCCATTAATTATTATTTTCTGGTCTTTTTGTGCTCTGTATTCTCAAGAACATGAGAATTGCTCTTTTTATTATCTTTATCATCTTTATTATTTCTGTCATCTCTATTGTTTCTGTCAGTCTCATTATCTCTGTCATCTTCATTATCTCTATCAACATCAGATATCTTGTTTGTAAGGTCATGAATACATTTCAAGTTAATATTCTTGATATTAACAAGTCTCTATATTTTTGATTCACATCTGTTAGTATAATTCAACAAACTGGAGTTAGTTTTATGTTAGACTAACTAAAGTACTATCATTCAGGATTCTAATATCATTATATTATGATGTGCACTCATTATTATTACCAGTATCTTTTACAAAGTCTAGCTTCACCAAATCATTTAAACTATTCTTATACTTATTAATAATATCAGCAGCAGCAGGCTCTCTCTTCTTCTGAGCATTTTATCTTATATAAGCTCTTGCTTTGTCAAGAATGATTTTATAAATATATGATTGTTGTTCTTCTGTCTGTTAGTTTCAAACAGCTTGTAGACATTTAAAAACATCTATTAAAGTACAGTACTAGTTAGCTTTTAAATCAACTAATTCAGCATCTGTAAAGCAGCTTACTCTGTATAGCTTGACTTTTAAACCTGATACATTCATGACTACCAGTCTCATACTTCTTGATAGTATGGCACAAACATGTCAACACTCAAATGATGCAACCAGCAGACAAAGAATTAAAGAGATATATAGTGTGTTCATTTATGGCAGAGCTGTACATATCTCTACTATAGAGAAACTAACTGACAGCAATATATATTATTAGATTCAGAAAGTGTCTTTTGCCATTCTGTCATTTCAGGCTTCTTAGTAGCAGATTTCATCAGATAGATATCTTAGAAAGATGTTGCATATCTTTTTCTCTGGATTAAAACATGTAAAGCTATTTTTAAAAAGAAGATTTATAGCAGTCTTTTTCTACTCTTCAGCTGTTAATCCAGAGAGTTTCTCTATTATAATATTACAAGTCTTTTTTATGAAGTGCCTTCATACAAAACTTGCAATATTATAAAGCTAACATGTAATATTAGAAACTTGTTATGTCTTGCAAAGATAATAAGTCTTACTCTTCTAGCTTCTGTCTCATTTAATTTATTAGATAGGGTACTTAATATACTACTAATATTATGTCTGCCATCATATTATATCTGCATTACTCTTATCCAGATGTTCTCAATCATTTCACTAAGTTAATTTGTATTAGCAAGATATTTAAATCATGGTGTCAGTTGATCATCTGATACTTTGTCAAGATTTAAACTAGAAAACAGCTGTACTCTCCAGAGTTACTTTGTAATAGAAAGCACTGCTTTATTAGCTGTATTCAGTGATCTGACCAGGCAATACTGCTTGATATCATGCCATATTACATGCTTTAAAGCAGGTAGCTAGGCACTGGAAGATATATCTACTGTATTTTCTGGAGTTATAGTACTTCTAGCTCTAGTGTCAGAATTTTGCTAAAGTTCTTTAGCCATCTGCAATGACTTCTATCATATTAAATATTATTAGTGCTAGCAGATGCATTATGATTACAACTTACTTTCTCAAATAATATATTAATATTACTATTCTTTGTCAAGTTTATTACTTCTTGCATCATGCTATTCTGTAATATTAATAATGCACCCCTGTCTATTAATTGCATTTAAATTAACAATTATCTCTGTAGTGTATTATTAAAATCTGACTAACTCTGTCTGCTGTTCAGAGAACCTGCTGACTGTTTAATTAATGTATTATATTTGACTGTTTATTACTTGCATCAACTGTTTATCTGATCTCAGAAAAGCTCTTGCAGTACTTACTAGTTTGATTCTCTTTCTTGTCATCTAAGAAGTAGCAGGTGCACTTCTGTACTAAGTAGTGTCTGACTAGATTTGTGATGGTGACTTCTGCTTCTGTAACAAGAGTACTATTGTATGCAATTTCTTATATAAGAGTCAGTATTCAATCTTATTAACATAAAATAATTCAAGTTTGACACACCTTTTAATTCACTGTATAATATGTGTGAACAAAGGCTGCTCTTAATGTAAGTTCACTTCACTTCTCATCTTTAAGGCAAAGGTTCTAACTTTCAAAAGAATATGCCACAACTTATTGATTCAGGTCTTCATGCAGCTCTTGTTACTTGCTCAGCTCCATCTGCAAATAACTTTCTTCCTTCTCATGCTGTAAGATATTCTCTTAGAATTGAATTGGAAAAGGGATCTAATGAGAGTAAATTAGTCAAAACATTTCTTTAACAGTAGTTTCAATTCTGAAGCAAAAAGGATCTGCTTAAGCTTCTCACTGCCACAAACTGTTTCTGAAACCCCAACTCTGATCAGGAGTTTTTAATTTTCTTTATTTTTAACCAGTATGTGTGCAAATAACATTTCCTGAAATATACTGACTGTTTACTCCAATAGAGCAATAAAGTATAATATCAAAGAGTGAATCTTCTTCTTATAATGTGACTCCAACACAAACTGTCATTTCTGCAAAGCCAAGCACACCAGGAGTCAAAAATCTTGATGCCAACAAGAAGAATGCTGAAAAAAATGATGCTGACAACAAGAATGCTGACAAGAACAATGCCAACAAGAATGCCAACAACAAGACTGCCAACAAGAAAAGTGCTAAAAATGAGAATGCTGAAAAAGCTGATGCAAATGTTACTTCTAATGTTAGCAGCAAAGATTTGCAAAACAGGTTTTTCAGTCAGGGTGATCTATAAAGCAGCAGAAATTGTGTCACTACAGTAGTTATCTAGCTTTCAAAATTAAGAAAAGGTTCTTTCAATTTAAAATGAAACTCCTGATCTCATGGTTCAAATTTCAGTTATGTTCTAGAACTGAGCTCATTTTCCAAAAGGAAGCATTTTCAGAAAGATAATAGAAATCTTACAGTGCTCCAACAGTTCTCTATTTGAATTATGATTCTTGCATGATTTTTAATTAGGTTACCATGAGATCTCAGAAATGTAAGAGTTTTTCAGACCAACAAAATCCCAATATGGAAAAAGAGTGATGGAGGACTTGTATGCTTGTCATTTACTAAGCTATCTAAAGGGGAATCTTGGCTAATCTATGTGAGTCACATGAGCAAGATGCTAGTTGGATTACCTAACACCTCTCCATGCAATGAGCTCTAGCAGCAAGTAAGAGCCATAAAGATCCAAAGCTCCAGCTTCCAAATCTCTCAAATCTGCAATAAAAATTAATTACAAAATCCAGATTTATTTCTTCTTTAGGCTTAGCTCCATTTGCTGTGATACAGTATTTTTACCAGCTTCACTAATAAACCTCCATATTTTCCTGTATTAACCTGTCACCCCCATCACACTCACAAATTGAGTGTAGAGATTCATTGCAAGAGCCTTTGTAAGCCTGTCAGCTTTATTTGCATCACTTCCAATGTGCTTGATCAAGATTTTGTTCTTTTGCATCCAGTCTCTTAGCATATGGTGCCAAATCTTAATATGGCATGCTCTTCACATTATAGCTTCAGCTTTAGCTAAGTCAATAGCTCTCTTGTTGTCAACACTTAATTTTGAGCTCCTTAGTCTTGCTGAGCCTTCACTAATTACCCCAGCATCTATTAACAGGTCATTGATCCAAACCAGTTCACAAGCAGCTTCACTAGCTGTCAAATACTCTGCTTCAGTTATAGATTTCAAGACAGACATCTGGTGCTGTGATCTTCACAAGATTGGAGCTCTGTTCATGATAATAATATAGCTGCTGGTGAATTTGTACACAGGGTTGGCTCCAGCCCAGTCAGAATTCAAACTGGCTGCCAGTTTTAAGTCTTCAGGATCCATATCCCTTTTGAAGACTATTTCTTTCAATTTTATGCTCTTGAGATAGTGTAGAACCTGCTTGAATGCTGCCCAGCTCTTTCTATTGGGCCTGCTGTTGAATCTTGCCAGATAATTGACTGCAAATGCAATATCCAGCCTCATACACATAACTAGAAACTGTAGAGAGCCCAGGCCTTTTCTGTAATTCATAAATGTAGCCTGCTCATTAACTTCATTTTTGAGGGTCTGATCTGGTGTAAATTTAATTCTTATTCCTTTCTTCATTAATGTTTTAAAAGATTTGCAGTCTTCCATTTCATACTTGATTAGTAAATCCTTAATATACTGTTTCTGGTTCACAAAAAGGTCTCCATTCAGCTGCTTTTAAACCTACATGCCTAGATAACAGTCTTATTTCATAATCTTCTTGATCTTAAAGTGTTTCTAAAGCTTCTGAATAAGCTATTTTATTTCAGCTTTGTTGGGTCCCATTATACAGCAGTCATCAACATGTAGAATTAGGTAGATTTGCTTTCTCTTGTCATAGAGTAGGCTTACATCATATAAAGAGATCTGGAATTCTAGAGATTTTAGATAATCAGTAGCTGCTTGATATCAGAGTCTAGTAGCTTGCTTTAATCTGTAGAGTCTCTGATGCAAGAGCTCTACTAGATTACCTTACCTGTGCTTGAATCCAGTAGATAGTTGAACATATACACATTCATCTTCTGGAAGAGTGCCATTTAGAAAGATTGTCATGAAGTTAAAGACTCTGACCTTCCAGTTCTTGACTGTTGAGATAGCAAAGAAGGCTCTCATTATAGATTCACTAACAACTGCTGTATAGATCTTCTTGTAGTGAACATCTTCTTGCTGTTCAAATTCACATACAATCTAACAGGCTTTAAATTGTACTGTACCACCTGTATTGTTGAGCTTTCTATCAAATATCCATTTACCAGAGAGAATCTGCATTTAAGATTTCTTCTTGACTAGAATCCAGGTGCCTTTCTCTTATAATTTGGAGACTTCAACATCTAGAGCCTTCTTCCAATAAAGCTACTCTTTGGAGTATTTGGCTTCAGCAATGGATTTTGGTATGTCTGTACACATGCTGAGCACTAGAAGCTCAGCTTCATTTGCCTCTTCTTCCATCACATCTAAGAGAATTTCTTGCTCTTCATCCAGATATATGAGCTCTAAAGTCTCTAATTCACCATCTGCAAGTTTCTTCATGATTTCTGGCTTCTTCTTTGCAAGATAAGCTAGTAGCTTGTGTTGCCAGCTGTTCAATGGATCTATATAATTATGCTCCTTCAGAAGTTCAACATATTCAGCTTTGATTAGTGAATTTGTGGGGATTTGATCCAATTTTTCATCAAATATAACATCTCACAAGATCATTATACTGTTTGTTTCTGGGTCCCAAAGCCTGTAGATGTACATGCCACAATATTTTACAAATTTAATCTTCTTGAATCTAGGTTGAAGCTTCAAGAATTTGTTTAAAATCTTTATGTAGATATCACATCTCCATCTATAAACCCATCTGCAATGAGATTAGTGATCTGTTCAAACTTTAAAAAATGTCAACAGCTTTGTGCTCTTGCATCTATATAGAGATACTGAGATAGACAATAGATTCACCATCATGGAGACTGTAACAAGAGCTTCACCTCATAACTCATTAGATAGTTCTGAGTCTATAAGTACACTTCTTGTCCACTTACAAAGAAGTTGTATTTCTCATTCACTCATTTCATCTTGTTAAGATGTATATGAGCACATAATCTTCTGTTGTATACCCTTGCTC